TTTAATTAATTTAATTTATTATAAATATTAATTATTATTTTTAATAGTGTATATAATTATATATAATTATAATTTTAGTAAAATTTTAATAAAAGCTAGCTATTTACTTATTTTAACTACTTATTATATATTTATATTAGTATAAAACTATAATTTAAGTACTATATTTAAAATTTTAATATAATATTAATATAGTAAAATTTATATATTTTAATATTTTATTAAAAAGTTTTTTTTTTTTAAATTACTAAGTAATTACTTAGTAAACACCCATCCATGGGTTGTGGCACACGACCTGGGATCGATCAACCGTAGGGTCCTTTAGTCATGAAAGGCCCGAGAAGCACATCTTGGCCTCGCGATAGGCGTTTGGCATCATGGAAGCGAGAAGAAGGAAGCAGGACATCAAACGTCCCGAAGTCTCAAACGCAGCGAGGGTCAAGCGACGGCACGGTTTGATGGCCTCTGGGGTAAGCGGTTGAAACGCGCACATGTCGGCCTGGCTGCATCCGTGGAGCTCTGAGGTATCCATCGCGTGAAGTTGGACTGAGGACAGCATGGTGGGACTGGGTGCTTTCATGCCATTGCTGATTCACAGACAGGAGGCTCCATCGACTGCATCGAGTAGCTGAGGTCCTGAGGAGGAGCCAATCTCATCGCCCTGGGTCCCTGGTCTCGCCCTACGCACTCGAGCATCCTACGGCTCTCTAGTCTGTCCTTGCCATCTCACGACCCCGATGCTTATTACTCAAGCATGTCCATATGTGAGGCTCCATCCAGCTGCACACGCGACATTCGTCTCAGCCTTGTCGTCCTCGCCATCAAGGCTGCTGTCAACCATCGCACTCCAAACACAGCCTGTCTCGCCACAGATAAGCTTAAATGTACCATCTCAGCTATAACGCAGTATATAGTCTAGGGACGCTACTTTGCGCATGCTGCGTCGTGCTGGCTTACGACTGCGAAAGAGAGAGAGAGAGAGAGACGTCTATAATTTGGCTAAATCGGACCCCCTCCCCGTAAGTGGTGGTTTGTTATTATCATTCCTTGCAGGCAACGTCGAGCGGCACCCACGCGACCTGCACTCGTTGTTGATAGGGTTTGTTACTCTGCCTCCCGCCAAATTGATCCAATATAACGACCTGGGCCTCTCTCCTTTTATTTCTTCCCAACAGCGTGCAGGACTCCGGAGAGCACAGAGCACACAAGCGCGTAGAGGGCCAAGATAGCAGCCAGAGAAAGCGATTCTGCCGTCATCTAATAATTGAAATCCCCACACTAGGACTAGCGAGGTCAACGAAGCGCCTGGCCAGAAGGTGCTCCCCACTGTTGATTGGCCTGCACGCAATAATCCCTGCTCGTTCCTGCGTCGGGGGGGACTGCAAGGCTGTTTTTCCCTGCGCCTTGATCAAAACCTAACGGCGCTGCTCTGCTTCTCGACCTCCTTGCTCACCTTCTCACGGTCCCACCCATCGTCAACAGTCAACATTCTTCCCTTGCGGATTTATCGCTTCACTCTTTCAGCGATATCCGTGTACGCTCTTTCCGGCTGCTTGTGTCTCTCGTTCCCTGTCTGCTCTCTGACGCAAACGACGGCGCTTCTCAAGGTGCGTTGCCCGGCCTCCGCAGCTTGGTTGCATTCCACCGAGTGGATACGCTCAACACCACACACACACACACACATATACACGAGCAGCACCACCAAGGCTGGCTATACAATGGGTGCTAACCATGACGCAGCCAACACGATCCTTAATCACCACTCTGGACATCTCAGCCATCTGCACGCCATCGACACGCCGTAACGACGACTTACCCAGATAATTTCACACCCGACACCCAACATGATGAATATTAAACACCTCACTGCGCGCGACGATGGCCTCACCACCACCCATGTTGCGCTCCTCGTCTCTGTAATGATGCTCGTCCTGATTGGATTGTGCCTTATTGGCGCGCTCTGGTTTCTCCGAAGCATGCGCAGGGCGAGGAAACAGGCAGAGGCAGACGCACAGCTTCCCCTCTATGAGAAACGACAGTCGCATCAGAATCGCCTGACCATCACCACAATGCCGTACAAGGGCCGCGATTCCGTCGTCGTCTTCTCGGAAAAGGAAGTCCTGATGAACGACTCGCCTACCACACCCACTAGCCCAGTGCCCGAGATCCGCATCACATTCCCCGACGAAGTCGACGAAGCTGGCAAGCGACAATCTGGACGCGTTGTTGTTGTCCGTGTTGGAGAGCACAGCGTTGGACTGGAGCCTGTCAACGACGACCTCCCGCCCTACCAGCGCGACGCATCAGACCGCTTCGACTCGCTCGACCTCGACCGCATTGGAGGCTTGAAGGAGAAGGACAGCAAGTACTACTCATAAGTTCGAGCCTCACGATTCGCCCATGCCCGGCCGGATTGCAACGAAACGTCCGGCAGCCCGGGTTTTGCAGCCACTTGGCTATGACCGACTTATTTTGATGACGGCTGTACCGCGCTGATTTTCAGCATTCTACACCACCCAGACCTTGAACAGCTGGTAGTGACCACTTGTATATTCTCGGAGACGATGGGCCATTTGTATACCCGTCGATGTTTGCCCATCTTTCCACTGAGGTTATGTCCTCTTTACATAACTTTATTTTCTAATGTATCATATGCCTCTCTCATGCGACTGTGTCTGAGCAGCAAGAGAGCCAATACACTTTTTGTCAAGATATCAATGCTGCCAATTTGTCGTGATGCATCAAGGTGAGGCCTGCAACAACAGCATTTACTTGAGCAGCTGATCAAGCTTCGCCGAATTCAAATTCAAACCACTACTTACATGCTTACATGCTCGTCAGCACCTCAGTGGTTCAGTCCATGCATACATCGGCCGTCTCGGCCAAACCTTGATCCACCTCCCCATGTTTTGCTATAGCTCCCCTCTCCCGTAAACTCCGCAATATTTCCTTCCACATGGGTTCTCCTACTTGTTCCACTCCTTGAATCCTTCAATTCCGCTCGCAACTTGTTTCGGCGTCCTAATTGGCGGCCGCCCTACATTATGGAGAATGGCGAGGTCTTCACGCCGCTCTCCGAAATAACCGGCCAAAAAGCAAAAGCCAAAGTCGATCCGCCAAAGCAACAGGCGCAACGTCTTCCGGCAACCAAAACAGACCCAAACAAGGCCAAGAAAATCGGACAGGTTCACTTCAAGGCCGCACATGGCATCATCGTTGCTTTCTTTACTTTCATCTTGTATGCGCTCCAAACTCCACCCTCTGCACCCAAAAACCTCAACGACTAACAGCAGACTGCAGAATTCTTCACGTCCTCGGAATATACCTATTCACAAGCGGTTTCCTCCTTACACGTTTAGTCCTCGATCACAAGTCCGACTGTGCAGTTCCCCCGATCGATTCTGCGAACAAATATACAGCGGGCAATGCGGAGAAGGGGTGCTGGCACCCGAAGACATTTAAGAAAGCTGTTGTTATCATTGTGGATGCGCTGAGGTACGATTTTACGGTGCCCTTTGGCGAGCAGTTTGAAACTACAGACGTCTCTTCCATTGCGAACGACCCGGCTGGCGCGCCCCCAGTCGCTCCGCGCCATTTCCACGATGCGATTCCCATCTTATATGAGACGGCAAAGAACCGACCAAACAACGCGTTCCTACTACCGTTCATTGCGGATCCGCCGACGACAACACTACAGAGGCTGAAGGGGCTTACGACCGGGACACTACCTACGTTCATTGATGCAGGGAGCAACTTTGCAGGCACGGCGATCGATGAGGATAATTTGGTTGCCCAATTGAAGAATGCAAGCAAGAGGATAGTACATCTAGGCGACGACACATGGCATGCGCTCTTCCCCGGCTACTTCGAGCCAAACCTTACGCACGCGTACGACTCGTTCAATGTCTGGGACTTGCACACGGTCGACAACGGGGTTACAGAGCATATTTTCCCGCTCCTAAAGGCAGAGAACACAAGCAAGTGGGATGTGATATTCGGCCATTACTTGGGTGTGGACCATGCGGGGCATCGCTATGGACCTGATCATCCCGCTATGACAGCAAAGTTGAACCAGATGGATGGCGTCTTCCGGCGCATGATCGAAGAGGTGGATGATGAAACACTTTTAGTAGTCATGGGTGATCATGGCATGGATGCTAAAGGTGATCATGGAGGAGAGTCGGACGATGAGATCCAGGCCGCGCTGTGGATGTACTCCAAGAAGGGTCTCTTCGGGCGCACTGATTCTGCCTATGCTACGCCTCCCGTAAACGCAAAGGTACGACCGGTTGGGCAGATTGATCTTGTTCCGACGCTATCACTACTACTGGGTATGCCGATACCGTTCAACAACCTGGGGAAGCCCATCGAGGAAGCGTTTGTTGGAGCGAAAGGGACCGGTTTAGAAAACCTGGCCATTGTGAACCGCCTAGCGGCTGCACAGATCCATCGCTACCAACACGAATATGCTAAAGCTCGAGGCCTTGCAGAAAGCACCAGATCTACCTCATTAGCGCTTTGGGCGACGGCAAATGAGGCCTGGAGCTCGCTTGGAAAATCCAAGGGCAACAGCGTGCAGATGAAGAACGCCTACGAAGCCTTTGCTGCTTATCAACGCGATACTCTCAGCATCTGTCGCGCTCTTTGGGCAAGGTTCGACATCCCGAGAATGCTCAGCGGTGTCGCAATCCTTGCAAGCAGTCTCATCGTGCTTGCTCTATACGCACGGGTCTTGCATGGAGATCGCTCTGAGGTGACACCAGTGTTCTTCACTCGTGGCGCTATCGGACTGGTTCTCGGAGCACTCTTTGGTTTCGGCGTTGCGTTTATACTGCCAGGAGAGCCCAAAGAGCACATCGTCATTGTCTCATCTGCTATTTCTGGAGTCGTGGGCGCTGCCTCTACTTTCTATTCTCTAAGCTACCGCCTCATGTCGCCTATTCCGAACAATATCTGGGGCTGGATAAGTGTCATCTTCACACTTGCTCTTTCTGCTGGGTTTGCGGCGAACTCGTTCACCATCTGGGAAGATGAGATTCTCTTGCACTTTTTGACTACCTTTGGTGTTCTGGCTGTAATCTCGTCATTCCGACAAAAGCACGTTGCTGATCGGACTTTGGGCATCTATCATTCTATTCTATTTACTGTCTTAACAAGAGTCGCAAGCTTCTCGAGGCTTTGTAGAGAAGAGCAGATGCCATACTGCAAGTCCACCTACTACGCTTCTGCGCTCTCGACCACCTCTGCTCCATGGCAGCTCATTATTCCCGCCGTTGCCGCACTCCTGATACCAACATTCATCAAGAGTTACTATGAAGGTACAAAGAGCTACCAGCACAACGCAACCCTTTGGATAGGCATTGCGCTGCGATTCGGACTCATGCTTTCTGCAGCCTACTGGGTTCTCGATGCTGCGGACGACAGCGACTGGTACCCCGGCTGGGAGAACATCCTCCGAACCACAAAGCGCCTGGTCGCCCAGATCGTTCTCGCGATCAGTCTCGCATTCGGCTACTCCATCTACAACTGGTCGAAGCCGCTCTTAAACATCATCATCAACGAGTCTACCGACGAAGTGGGTGCGCCAAAGGAAGCCATTACGATCCTCGGTTATGCCAATGTCTACGGCTCGCGTTACGCCCTCCTCGTCACGATCTGGTATCTCGCTGTCGCCGTGCTACAGAAACCCATGGGCGCTGGCTCGATTGGAGTTCTTGTCTGGCAACTGTTCTCGCTATTTGAAATCATAGACACGAATAACCTCCGACACTCCTCGATAGGCCCCGTTGTCCTCGGCCTACTAGGATCCTTCCACTTCTTCAAAACAGGCCACCAGGCGACTCTCGCGAGCATACAGTGGGAATCAGCTTTTATCCCTCTCGCCAAGATCCGGTACCCGTGGACGCCCGTCATCGTAATCCTCAACACGTTCGGTGCCCAGATCCTGTGCGCTGTCGCCGTTCCAGCCCTCGTCCTGTGGAAGGAGAAGCCACAGAAAAAAGGCCTGCTGGGCATGTTGGCCAAGGCGGTGGCGACGCACATGTTATTTTATGCGACGATTAATCTTGCGACGACGATGTGGGCGGGCCATTTGAGGAGGCACTTGATGCTGTATCGCGTCTTCATGCCTCGTTTCATGCTCGGGGCGTTTGTACTGGTAGTGGTAGATGTTGTGTCGATATTCGTTGGGTTATGGGGTGCGCGGATGAGTATTCTGAGTGTTGCTGAGGTGTTTGGATTTGGTGGGTGATTGGGTGAAGAGATGCGTGATGATTTGGCTACTCTAGGTTTGGGATTTGGCCATGCGTCTACTGACGCCTCTGTGCATGGTTGTATAGTATAGCATCGCATTGTAATGCGTGAAGCGTCAGTTTTTCCTTGTGTTCATCTGCGAAAGAATCATTACTCATTTGATTTCTTTTTTCCTTCTATCTCAATCAGTCTCATATTGTTCCGCATGGCCCCTACATTTCCTTCTGCCTGGAGTTTCAGCTCAAGATTGACCTCGCTCAGACTTACCATCTACTCCGCCTCAATCGACCCCGCAAGGCTGCTGTCGTCTCCTCTCTCACCGCTGGTAACTGGCGTTACGTCACCTACCAACTCGCTGGGGGTGGGGGCTCAGGCACGAAGTAAAGGCAGCGTCTCTGTTTGCGCCTGCCACCCCCAACTGCACTACCATATAAACCTCCGCTGCGCCCCAATCTCCATCCATTCTACACCAACCCAAGGTCCTCCAGGGTATTATTTGACTTTGCCCACTCTACTTACATAAGCTGGTTACTGCTGCTGGGCTATTGTTACTTACAGCACGGCACGGCGTGGAGAACCACTCCGTCGTCATCTTATATTACCTGGGTCTTTGCGCGGACCTGTCTCTTTACGACAGGACTGAAGGCTAAAACACTCTAGCCTCTACAACAGAGTCTCTCACTTTGAACCTCGAACCTCGACTTGAGCATACCAAACCACTCAGTCCTCCCTCAGCGACCCGCCGACAGAGCGAGACCGGTAGGTACTGCAAGTGCCTTACCTCGCCAGCTTTGAAGTGGCTGACGACCAGAGCAGGCCGTAACAAGACGACACCTTAGCTTGGACAACCGAAGAACACAAAGTCCATTTGCACCAACTACAGCTGAAGCTGTGTCGATCTACGATACACACATCATACTTTACAAGAGGCTACTCGTCTACTTACACGCTCAATTTCACAACATGCCAGCTCAACTCAACCACATCCAAGAGTTCGATGAGGATGAGCTGATCGATGACTCAACCAGTACCATACCAATTTCAGGGCTAAGCACCCCGCTGGGTTTACGGGACCGCTTCATTCGTCGCCTTGCCAGATTATCTGGAGCAAGTGTCCAGATAAGTGACGAAAGGGAGTGCTCTATGAGCATCTTCCTCACCCGCAGATCGAGTGGACTCGAGCTTGACAAGGAACTTTGTCGGCTATTGGGTAGCATTAAAGACACTACTCGTCTTATTGCTATGCATAAAGATGGTATGTGTGCCTTTCCATCAGTGATAACTAATTACTAACACTGCTAGGACCGCAATGTGATAGCGCGCGCGAAGACTTATGGGACGCCATCCTAGTCTATGCCTATCCCAATGTCGACCACATTCTTCAGAGCATACATCAGATCTTCGACGATAACAAAGACGCCTACGATAATTTCATGAGGAGGATGTTCGGCATGGACCCGATCCAAGAGCGCGGCTCGACGCTTGACCACGACTTGGGGGATCGATTGATAGCGCTCTATCATAGTGTGCACGAGTACACTGGGTCGATGAAGAAGCTCAACGCCTTGATCCATTCTGCCTCGACTATGACCCGCTCTCTACCGCACCTGCATGTTCGTATGAAACCCCTCCTCGGGAAAGCTCGTTTTGCAGATGAGCTATATCAGCTCATCTGCACTTTGGGCTTTCCTGAACGAGTGTATAGCACCTTGGTCCGCGCGGCTAGAACTTCGAGAACATTTGAGCGTGTCACATTCCACTTACAACCTCTCTCATCGCCAAAGCGAGCTTCTTTCGCTAATAATATGACGATGATCCCAAACAAACCTCCACCGACACCGACACCGACACCGACACCGACACCGCGGCCAGTGCCAGACAAGTCGAAGCGCCTCAAACAGTTCGAGACCGCCGCGAAAACTCTCGCGACTCCTGAGGACGGTCACCTTCGTGCAGCAGATACTGTTGGAGAAGCGCACATGTATCTTGAGGCGGATGACCGCAGAAGAAGCTACCTTGCGCTGCAGCCTCTCGAGAAGCGCGAAGCTATAATCTTTGTGGCTGCAGTTCTCAACAAGCAGTACCCTGATGCAACTTGGGAAGCCTACCATGCTTTCGGGTTCTCGGCCTGTTGGACTGAGAACCAGAAGGAGACTCTTCTAGGTTTATATTATACGCTACTGGCGGAGACAGCAGAGAAAGACAAGGCAGCCTTCTTCCAGAGTCTATGGTTCAAGCTATCGGACAACAAACTGCCCCAGATTTTTGACGCATCAAGGTTCAATGCAGTCTGGCGTATCGAGCTCCCATCAGTACACTATTTCTTCACAAAGCCACCACAGAAGCGCGAGAGCGTCTTTCGCCTAATCCAGTTCCTCAACGACCGCGAGAACACGGAACCTCGACCATGTCTGCAACGAGACTACGGGTTTTCCTTCTGTAAGCAGCGCGAAGAAGTCTCATGTGTTAAAGACATCTACAGCCGGCTTCTCCAGAAGGTGCAGCCTTCAGACCTTCATACAGCGTGCATGAGTGGAGAGCTGTACGAGCTAGGGTACAAGAACAAGGTGTTCATCGATGCGAAGAACAGCCGTCTGATGAAGAATGATTATGGCAACCCTTATCTTGGCTTCGACAACGTGGAGGGCCTTGAGAAATTCAAGGATTCGCTCTTCAAAAGACGTTTGAGGTCGTAGGTCTGAATGCTGAAAGTAGAGAGGTCGGACGAGCTCCTTGCTCGCTCAGGTGTAGCAGGCCGAGCTTTCGCAGACTCTGTGACGGACATCATTTCTGAATTTGGAACGATTGGTTCTAACGAAAAGTTTCTGGAGTTTGGGCTTCGGGCGTTTTCATCTCGGGAAAGTCTACTACGACACATTGGCGTTAAGCATGGATGATTCTGGGGTATAGAAGTTCTCGGTGAGGGAACGGGAAGTTGAATGCCTGAAAATGCCCCTTCGACTGATCTATAGTTATATCTTTCATGGCAGAGGACTCCCTTCTTGCCAAAAGCGTCTGCAGATTAAAAGCACTATGAAACATTTTGAGTAGAAGTATCATCCGATTCGTGCACTTGGCCCACAGCCAACGTCTTCTGCACAGGCGTCTGCAGCTGAATCTCAAAGTCTGATAGGGAATTCGTACCCCTATATATTTCCAGTCTGTAAGGTCTAGCTAGGTGCCTCATGCAAGACTGTCTGCCATCGAGGTCTCTGCGTTTTCCAATACGAATTGTGCTGCTGGAGCGCGAGCCCACGGTCCTGTTGGTCGTGTGATAACGTACTTAAGACCTTCTAGGTACCTTTTGATTCGGTTGCTATTGTATGTGGTGCCGTGGGTGCCCTCACCTCGAGCAGTAGTTGTGCGTTCCACGCACAAGCTGCTCCCGGGCAATCACATTGCAGAGGGCTGACCTGTTTTGGTATGCTAGATTCGATGTTTCCAGTTGCCGGCTCGAAACATATGCGCGCTGGCATTCGTAGCATTAGAAGGTCTATGAATTCATGATTTCTTCACCGTAAAAGCTTGTGCCGTACTCGGAAATGTTCTTCTGCCTAAGACTTGACCTGGTGCAACGAAGTGACTGGCTATGGTATAGGTAGTACCTCGACGCTAAGCGAGTCAGGCATCGCGTCGCGTCTTCCGAAGTGGAGAGCTGGCAAAAGTCGCATCATCATTTAGCAATGCCACCCACGGCACGAATACCTACTCTCGAGTTCCGATCGCTTCTTCTGCCGCCGATTCGAATCCCTCTCCGTGCCATTCGCTCCCTATGCCGCCCGCAATGCGCCCCCGCCGCTCTTCATGCTACTCGCCTTCCGCAATGCCTCGTGCAACGCCGGTCGCTACATCTCTACAAGACAGCTAGGGCTAAGACGGCGCTGGGAATGCACAAAATCATCAACTTCAGTCCCTACGAAATAGCAGAACCGGCTGCATCAGAACACAAAGTCAACCTGGTTGAAGGCAAGGAGGACTCTACAATCGTAGCCAAGGACGTTTCGCTCCAAGAGCTATACGACAATCATGTTAAGCCGGGCTATATGCTATACCTGACGCAGGAGGTCCAGAAGAAGACGGCAGAGAATATCGAGAAGCTCAAGAAAGAAGACATACCGGGCGAGGCTAGAAACTACGCCATTGTCAAAGCACATACACGCTTCGTGAAAGTCGAGGCAGGGCAGAAAGGGAAGCAGCTTGGCGGATTGAAGATTGTGATTGTCACTCTGGCGAACCCGGTGGACTACTTCCAGCTGGCACTCGATCGCGCGTACCAGTTCATTGCAAACGGCTCACCTGTCGAATTCCGCATCCGCATGAAGGGTGCCAACCTTGGCAAGGAGAATAGACTTGGGCCTGGAGACGCTGATGTCTGGCCGTGGATGCACAACCACTTTCCACACATACGTCCGGATTTTATATTGAAAGCGATGCCCGAGGGAACCTTCTTCCTGGTCGAGCCTGTGAGTGATGGACGGCACGTGCAGTTTGTCATGGCCAAGCAGGCAGAGCAGATGCCTCGTATTAGTCTCACTACGCGGTTGCAACACGTGAAGACATCAGTGAAGAAGTCGATTGAGCAAGGGAAGCAAGGCCAGCTGCCAAAGGCGATGAGGAAAGAATTACGGGACGGTGGACACGAGGACTATTCTGTCGACACGGGAATGCCCAGACGGTAGGTATTGCGGGCGTCTGGGAAGCGGTATAGAAATATGGGTCGGTGGACAGAAACCAAGGAGGCATTGCACAAGTCGGTGACGAGTCTGGAAAAGTCGATTGTCAAGCGCAGGGGGACATGGACATGAAGTAGTGCAACCATTCCTTGTACAAGTAGGTAGAATATCAGGCCCACAACTTCTCATGCATGCATATTCCCAAACCCGAAGCGTTCAGACACGTAGCTGCAACGTTTCGTCAGTGGTTGCATGTGACGAAGGTGTCCAATGTTCGTCATCATCCTTGGCGAGTGGATTAGGGCTGACCGACGGAAACATCTTGGGCAGTAACCACATTTCTGGGTCCGACATGGCAGCACCGAAACCTCGTACCTAGCGCATAACACTCTCACTTCTCCCTCTCATTCTCTCCTCTCTCTCTTCGCGCTCAAGCTACGTTTGGGTAAATGCTCTATTTCGGATGATGATGATGCAGCGGTCGTAGATTGCCCGCCGTTCCGTGACCCTCCGTATCCCAACTGCTTTCCCCCGCCGCTGGTGCCTTGCCTTCCCGCGAGCTTCCTCGTCCTCGTCCACGCGACGTCACCCTCTTCGCGCCTCAATGAACGCAGCCCGGCAGGCGTGTCGCCCTAAGCACCAGGTCCTCGTGCTCAAATGCTATCCCAAGTTCCAGAAGAACAATGCGGATGTCCGGGCCAATTCGAGCGAGTTGAGCTACCTGCTCTACTACGCGAGCACGCGGCGCAGCAAGCTGCAGAAAGTGGGCGACTTTCTGGATAAGAGGGCGACCAAGGAGGTGTGGAAGGGCAGCACAGGCAGTGTCCAGGTCACGCTGCAGATAGTCAGGGCCCTCATCGAGAAATGCCCCCGCGACCTCCCCCTCTACGCCGCCGCTGTGCTGCGCATCCTGCGCACCATACTCACTTCGAACGATGTCACCATGGTCGAGGAATCGGTGCCGACTTTCGAAGCACTGTGCGCGCACCAAGACCCCGCCTCCCTCGCTGCCGACCAGGACTACATCAAGCAATACGAGGAGATTGTGCAGTTGTACGCCCAATTCGCGTCCAAGGACACGGTCAAGACTGGGAAGGCACCCATCAGCTGGCCCGTCGCCATCCGCTACCGCAAAGCTGGTCTACAGGCGCTGAAGGCTGTTGCTTCGTCGGAATCGCTCGGATCCGAGACAGGCCGTCAATTGGCCGTCATCATACCCGTTATCCTGCTCAGCATACACTCGGAGAGCGGCGCATACGTCAAGCGACTGGAGATTCGCGAGTCCGAGAAAGACGAGCACGAGAAGGAGCTAGCACTACGGCGGCGGCACAGTGTACAAACAGCGCGTACCGAAGACGATGATGGTGGTGACCCGCTCGCAGCATCAGGGACTACAGAGGATGCCGACAAGCTCGCGGAAGAAGAGGTTGGCGTGCTTGCGCTCCAGGCGCTGAGGAACATCTTCCAGGGCGTCAACCGAGGACAGCTTCGGTTGGCAACATCAGCGGTCCTGAAGTTTGTGGGCACCCATGTGCAGGCTCCGCAACATCCTATAGGAAACGATAGCGATAATTGGGCCACAACCCTCATGGCCGTCATTTGCGCATGGGCGCCAGTGCAGGATCGGTATGCCATTCTCGTTGGCGCCGTGGAAGCTCTCGTGCGCAGTCCTATCGTCGAAGACGACCTTGAAAGGCAGCTCGTCTTGGCCACAGTCATCGACCATCTTCTCTCCTCCACCATCAATTTCATTGGACTCAGTGTGATGGATGTCCTCGTTGGGCTTATTTCTCACACATTATTACTCCTACAACTTGGCGGGCCGGGATCGAACATAATGCCGCATCATCAGCAGACGACATCAGTGCTAACCGAAAAAGATCTCGGCGGGCAAACGCCATCAAACAACCTGTCAGGCGTAGTTATGGAGTTCGTGAAGGAGCCTTCAAACCTAAGATTTCAATTGTTGAACACAGTGCAAAGATGCATGGCAGACCTGGCGACGCACGTGTACTACACCGATCAAATATCAGATATGGTGGGAGCGATCCTAAGCCGCCTCAAACCCTCTCGGCTGTCGAGTGTTTCCTCAACTGCGGAAGCTATTGAAAATCCGGCAGGCGCTATAGATGCGGTCGCCGATTCGATCAGCATGCAAGAAAAGACACACGTCGATCGTTTCTTCTCTTTTGAAACCGCGCGAATTGTAGCTCTTGAGTCGGTCAAGGCTATCATCAAGACTGCGAACGCTCGGCGGCCAGACGGGTCTTCTGCATCTGTGTCGGGAAGTAAAGTAAGTGTCACCGTGTGGGAAGGTACACAATGGCTTCTGCGCGATCCGAGTGGCAAGGTCAGAAAAGCATATGTGGATGCGCTGATTACCTGGCTGAACTCGGAGAAGAAGAAGCAGGACCTCAAGATTGTGGACAATTATAGGAAAAAGGAAAAGGACAGTGACAAGGGCGGTCTAGCAAGACGCGCCGTGTCGAATGCATCGCCACGAGAAAAGTCGTCCAAGCCAGGCAAGCACAGCACGTTTTTGCCTCTTCTGCATCTGGCTGTCTACGAGAACGCTCTCTACTACGTCGACTCGGAGGCGGACTACCTACTACTACATCTACTCCTCACGACCCTAGTAGATAGCCTCGGCGTGAACGCTGCCAGAAGCGGACTACCCATGATCATGCGCCTACAAGAGGATATCGCAACCATAGATGAACCCGGCACGAAAATACGGATAGGCTCTCTGGTGCATGGCCATCTTTTGGCTCTTAGCATGTCTCTAGACTTCGAGACATCTTCCGTCGGTCGGGCACTCCACAATGAGATTACGCGGAGAAACAGCAAAGGCCTGTGGATGAAGAGCATCCGCGTACCCCCTATGCCTATCGAGCGCATTGAAACACCACATCCGGTACCCGTCAGCCTACCTACCGAAATCGTGCAATCCGAAGCCCTAAACCCCTTTGACAACCGCGAAGCTCTCGTTGAAAAGATCTCGGAAGGTTATTCGTCTTCCTTGTACTCGCCACCCTCATCTCCGCCTGGTTCACCTGGGCGATCTATGTCTATGTCTTCCTCGATACCCGTCATTCACCAACCAATGGCTCTCAAAGCTGCGCCTCAATTACCCTACAAAGTCAGAGAAGAGCTTCTTGCCGACTGGACACGCGATCTCTGTCTCGCTGCCAATACCATAGACTCCTCGTCCGCTTCAATGACGGGTTCCAGATCGGGTACGCAGTACACTGGAACGCAAAGGAACAACTACCTCGGCGTCAACATACCTAATGGTACTTTAGACAGTGCAAGCAACTCCCCACTTCCAAGTCCAAGACGCGCGAGCAGCAGGCCGCCAACTACTGCCTACGGTTTGGTTGGTCGCCTTGCGTCTCCGCATCGGGACCACAGCCCTAGCGGAACACCAGGTAGCACCTCGTCTCGACGCTCAACTGTGCGCGTCGACGACCTCAAGCGCGCTCTTTCTACCTCTGGTGGAGGACCCCCTCGAACAAGCTACTCTGTACGCGCGCCATCTCACCACCGCCGCAAATCGTCTGACGACCATGATTCCTCGGCCTCGGACTCTTTAGTTAGCGTGCACTCCCTTTCCGACGCGTCGTTCCTCACTGCAGATCGCGCCATAAACCCACGGCTGTCCCAACAACTAATGGCTCCGGACTCACCAACCACGCCTGCGGCGACCCTGACTCCCCGCCCGCAAACTGCGGCCTCGACGAATATGAACAGTCCACCGAGCCCGCGCTCCCCGACCCATGCGCAAACTGCGAGGGAATCAGCGTATTCGATGGAAGATGTGCCGCCTGTCCCTCCCATTCCTGAGAATCTAAGGGCCAGTCCGACTGAGCAGCAGAGTGATACGCGGGACTTTGCACGACCGAAGACTGCTCCAAATGGGAGTGCCATGAAGAAGAGTAGGAGTGTAAAGAGCGGAGTCAGTAGAGGGCGTAGTCGTAGTGGGAACAGGAGACATAGAGGCAGTGAGGTGCAAGCCAAGACGCCTGACTTTTCTGGCTTCCTAGACAGTATAGGTGTCGACGATGACGACGAGGGGGATGACGTTGACTTGGAAGTGCCCCACGCTATTGGAAAGGCTCCCTATTGAATATGTACGTGAGGACCTGGGTCGTCGACGGAAGGATTGCAATCTGTATTTTTTTTGTTCCATTCTCACCCTATTACTGCCTATCTGCTTGTGCATAGCCTGCTGCTCATATTTTGAGCGCTTTTGGATTACTATGCCACTAATCTTCTTCTTCTATCTAGCCCTTTTTCGGATTCTCTTTTGTTTGGGGGTTTGAGAAAAGGTGGCCTTTTGCTTAGTTGCAAAATGTGCTTAGATACCTGTCCATAGCGATTGTGCCTGTCCATACACATGAATATCTTATATATAATCTATCTGCTGCATAAAATTGCTCATTCACTCGTTCATGGCGCATCTAACTGTGCAGAACTCGGGATTCACATGTTCAATCGTTGCGTATTGAACTTGAGTGAGTAGTACCTTTTTAGCTTTCTTTTGCACGGTTACTGCATACTCATTCATTGCTCGCACTTCCCAGCTAAAGCCACAAATGCATTTGAATTCCAATCGAGTAATTCTGCCTCCCTATGAACGTCAACGTGGTTACATTGGCTCTACTCTACGTACAAGTCTCTGCGTGGCACTGCATCCTCGTATTATCATAGTAACACGCAATGCACGATTTCACTTCCACATCCCCTCCAGCTTCATGATCTTAATCTCGCTCTCGCTGGCAGGGCTTCAATATCTCTTCCTCTCTCGTATCCGTCAATCCTTACCCGTCACATACGTTTTCATGTATATAAATGACCATACCTAGTGTAACAGACTATCTTGCTCATCATTAAATTCCTTCTAACTTGCAGACTAACGACAGCTCAACTAGGGCATAGGCGCCGATTACATCCTCAGTTTCCAACATGCAGCTCGCATATCTGACCCTCCTCGTACTATACATCTATGCCGTTGCTGCCGATCCATGTCCTGCAAACATGGGCTTACCTGGCGGCGTATACATATGCTCCGACAAAAACTTCACCGGCCAGTGCACGTGGATGCCCCCAAGACCCGCTTGCCGGTACTTTGATGGGTTTCACCCTACATCAATCGGCCCAGATCCAGGTGGCTACTGCCTCCTCTGGAGAAATCACACATGCGAGGGCGAGGCCATAAGCTTCTGGTTCGGGAAGGTGCAGGCAGAGTAAGTTAATCATGGTATTATTGGAGCGAATAGAGGGACTTGGGCTAACGAGCGCTAGGAAACTGTACTGTCCTGGTAGTGGAGATGTGCCGCGTGGTGTTCAAGTAGGGAGTTTCAGGTGTTTCGCTGGAGAGTAGCTGGTTCCTGCCCACTGGAACTCATCTGATATTACATGAAATGCTCTACCCGAGTGCTTGTTTGCTTCAGTATGTAATACGCTTTAATCTTGTGGTGTAGCGCGGATCCTCGGGATATATTATTGTTCTCATATCAATCCCTTCTCAATGCTGATATACACAGTACACGTTACACAAGACCATGTCTCACGGGTATCCTAATTCCCATAGCGCCATGCCTTTGACCTTTTCAGGTGCGCCGAAGCTGAGATATGAATGTGTCAAAAGCCTTGTGACGTTGTCGCGCCATTCGCTCACTGGACACATACTTCTTGATGCGAAATATGAGAAGCTCTTCCGGTCGAAGGCCTCTTATCCCAAACGTCGTCTATGCTCCCGTGAAGCATCCTATACATATTGCCATCATAAGGCGTAGTATCAATGATATCCCTAATACTGTCAATTGAGCTAAAAGATACTATGTAGAGTCCAGAAAATACTTACTTGTAAACCCCGTGCTCCGTTACCAACCTGTCATCAAGTTGCTCGAGTCACTCGATACCGATTGGATCAGAGCCGAACTGTATGAACTGAGTGCCGAGTTTGGCTCTTCCATCCATCCTCTCAACCGTACGTTTGATGAGTTGGGGTATGTCGCCTGCTCCAGAGTCGTACGGATTGTTCCAAATACCGTTCGTCAACACGTAGCTGCTGACACGCCATTTCTTTATACCAACAGCACGCCTTATCCTTGTTGAGAGCCTAGATTCGCTACTTTGTTCCAAGATACTCGTCAGCATTATATCCATACTGCATTGGCCACTGAAGTCGACCTTCTTCAAGAGTTGAACTAGTTTATCCCGGTCCCGTCCATGGCCTTCTTCACGATGGTTGGTGAAAAACAAGCCAATTCCGTCGGGATCAAAACGTTTGGCGAGATAGGCAAGGGCTTCGAAAGTCCTGATGACGTGATCTCGGTGCGTTTTCATAGATAGAAGGAACAAGAAAGCCGCATGGATATGATGAATCTCTCTCGCATAAAGTCATGTCTCGAAGCTATGAACCAATTTGGGGAAACAATTGAGGTTTTCCTAAATGTATCAAACGCTTTTGTCTGGGGCCCAATGAAGTTTCAACATTAACTGAAAGTGGCCAGACTATTCGATGGTCAATAGACCGACTCACCGAAAAAAGGAAAGAAGGTGATGGGATTGTACGTGGATTTGACTGATTTGCTGTCCTTATCGGGCCAAAAGTTGTGAAATTACTGCTGAAATGTATGGCCTGATAGTTAATCCAAGCCAAACCGATGCACATAGGCAAGGATCCTTCTGTCGAACACTACGTGAAATCGTACACAACCAAGGCTTGACTCCCCTCACTCTTCTCACGAAGGACGATGACGTTCTGTTCGTCAAAGCCTACCCAACCACGGCTCACAGCGGAATCGTCGAATCCTCGTTCAAGTGCAAATCGGAGCCCGACTTCTCGCCCGGATTCGTCGTCTTGCACGTCCTCATCGCCGATCCTTGAAGGCTGCACTCGGACACTTAACTCGCCATTTCTCGATTGTCTTCGAGATGCCGAGGAAGCCATACCGCCCTCCAGATCCCAAACACGTAGCTCATCGCCTAATCTGCTCACCGAGACAGCCTTCCCGCGTATACCGACATGAGCGCCGGAGATCGAAGATGTATGGCCCCAGAGACGGTTGCCAGAGCTAATCGATAATGCGGAAGACGTCGACCGCACCAGATACAGCGAAAGAGTATTATCAGGATGGGCGACTAGAAGATAGGGATGCGAGTACGACATTGATGTAGGCTTCGATCTGCTTGGACTGCTCGTCAACGAAACCTCTTGCGTAGCGCCTGGAAGAGGAGACGATGAGCGTGTAGAGGGTGACGACGCCGATCGATACGCGGAAAGTGTAAAGGAACGTTCGTCGGCTGCAGTGGCCAATCTAGATTCGAGGAGCTCCCCTTTGCGTGAGAGCATTAGCTCCTGTACACCGACGGTCCATCCAGATAGATATGTCGGTAGAGAATATGCAATGGCAGCAGTCATGCTTGTTGCAGTAGTTCGCAACGAGAGAGATACAGGAGGCCACGCCGTGTGTGAGCGCAAGGAGTATAGGAGTTTGGGGGCTTTGAGGGTAGCGGAGTTGCTCATGATTCCTTCAAAAGTGTACAGAGATAGTAGGTGATCCTCGGTCATGGTTAGGAGGTACGGCGATGAGAATGCAAGCGCAGATATCATTCCATTAGTCGACGGTGGATGCGTGAATAGATTATCGAAACTCTTGTAGTCTCTCCTGAGAGTATAAATCGAGAATGAACCGTCCTCAAAGCCTAGTACGACTCTTTCGAGACGATCGTCGCTTTGGGCTGCATCTATTGCCATAGATATTGGTAGTCGAGGAGTGTCCAATTCGCCGAAGAGTGGTGTACATGCCAGCAGCCCCCGATCGTTCTTCGAGCTCCATGCTCGAAGACCAGATATAGAATCAGCAGCATACACGATGTTATTTGACATCATAACGAGTAGTGGTGGGTCGGGCGGCCTTTCTGCGACCACGATCTCACTGATTGCGCACGATCCCTGAGCCCAATTGTGCCGTAACCGATACTGCTGTTTCCACTTGGTTTGGACGCCATCTTTGACCAGATAGCCGTCATCGAGCCACTTGGACAGCTTTGAAGAATAGTGTAACCGGTCCGGACCAGGCGTCCCTTTGATTCCAGGGATACGGGAGGCTTTCGGGAGGACAAATTTGCGATAATATGCGGCTTTCCAAAGCTCCGAGTCGACTGCAAGGCGACTGAATTTCTTCGATACCCTACCTCAGTTAGCACAAGTCATGAGTAGAGGTGAGCGGCCATACCTTTGGCAGGTGAGGAGCGATGGCGTCGGAACGAAGGACAAAATGCGCACAAGTAGCTCGTCGCTCAACCTTGTTAATCTGTCTACTTTCGACAGCCGCCGTACTTTCACTGGATACCCGATGTCGTCCTCCTCACGCGTCCGCTTCATAGTGAACGTAATGCTGGAGGCGGCAAAGGTGTACGACGGTTCTCGGAATGATGATATCTTATCGTTATCGCCGAGGGGCCGTGCAGTGGCGCGTGATTTCGCGTCGCGCTAGCGTGTTCTCTGTCGCTGACATCTACCAGCACATAACGTATCACCTACAGCCTCCGAATGAATGCTACATCAACTGCCGGTGACAGCTCCTTGCGTACCGTGTCAAATGGTGAGATATGGCCGACCTTTCAGCGTGGATCGAGAAGAACAAGGCGCTATGGACACGCGTCTATGAGGAGGTCCTTGCACCAGACTTCGAGGCGGAATGGAAGAAGAGTGTGTATGCTCGAACACGCGATGGTAAATGCTAACGACGCGTCAGGGGAGGAAGTGCACGAGAAAGAGCTGAAGCAAAGTGCGTATTTTGATTCGATCAAATTAACGCACACTGACGGCGCACAGGGGACAAGAACCACTCCACGGATATTAGCAATGAACATGTTAAAACCGCGCATCTTCTTGCAGAAAATGAGCAGCTCAAGAGGCAGGCCCAGGAACAGTATCAGGGTATGGCATCTACATCAGGCCAAGAGATTGCAACGGCACGGGAATCGATGGTGTCTGAAGAGGAGCTCCGCCAGCTTACCGACAAGTATAACGAGCTCAGCAGGAAGTACCAGAATATTTCCCAGAAAGTGAAGTATCTTGAAAGAAAGAACAACGCTGTAATGCAGAAGAATAAAGATATGAAGGAGAGTGTCCGCGCGTGGCAGGAATACGCCGATCGCCAATCTGGGAAACAGAAGCTCAAAAGCGAGACGAGAGCCGGGGGAGGGCAAGCAAAGCCGTCGGCTATTCATATTTCTCAAGATGATCGCCCTCATGTTCCGTCCAGTCCCGGGTCGGTGGCCACGACCCGGACGCCAAGATCGCTTGCGGACACAGACCGGTCATCTCCTGCTCCTATGCTTCCGCTTCCGCAAGCATCAAGAGAAAGTACGTCTCTGCTGGTTTCTCCGAGATTGAACATGGGCAACGACGAAAGGAGTTCAAGCGCATCAAGCACGCCAAAGCCACAGGATCCAGTCACGCCAATCGAGCAGCAATGTCTAGACATTAACGACCTCGGTCATGTCCTTCCTTCAGATACTCGGATCACAGCCTTAATTGACGAACGCTCAGCCCAAACGTACAATTTTCCAACCAACCCAAGCTCAAGCCAGACAACGGAGGACGAGAGCGTAGAGTCGACAAAGAAGCATACTCAGGTATTAGATGCCGAAGACGACGATGACATCCCCCAGTTTGTATCTGCACGATCGCTCAAGCGAAAGCGTGGCGAACCCTCAAAATCAAAGTTCGAGATTTTTGCAGACCGATCCGCGGACGGCACTCCAGCAAAGCCTTTTCGCGTGAAGGAAGAGCACCTCAGTAGCCCACCCACTACTATCTACAAACTGATGCGGAAAGAGACCATAGACCTAGACGATCCCACTCCCAAAGTCCTTCAGACACCCCGTCACCCTCGGAGAAAGCTTTCAGTCGACTCTAACAGGACCAGTACGCTCCTTCAACACAGGTCAAATAGTACATCCTTCATACAAGACATTAAACAAGAGCGCCCAGAAGCTGGGCATCTAACAACAACTGATGCTGTCGATCTCAATGCTGGGGTCAACATGACCCAGGTTGCACTCGCTGAAGTCCGAGCAATTAGCGAGCCAGCTAAGCCGACCCAAACTGAAAAAGCTGTTCTTCAGTCACTGGATCCAAATATACTTGGCAACACTTCTGAAGAACCTCCTAATAAGCGATTAAGAGAAGCAGAAGTGAGACGTAACAAGGGTTATGGCATACTTGCGGAGTCGGGCGAAGAATCGCCTCCTGTGGACGAGAATGAATTGAGACTACCTCCACATCTAGCCCGTACACAATTCAATCGCCGGCTGAATGCTTTGGGGAACCCTCAAACACCTGCGAAAGGCCTGCATCAAACTCTAAAACCAGCGTCGACGAGGATCAAGCTTGAACAAGTTCTTACCCCGCCGTCCAGTACCTCTCGCTCTAGACACATGTCTTCGGAACGGAAAGGATCACGTACAAATCCATCGAAGGCTCGCTCAAAACCTCGCGATGACCCAATCCTCGACGACCGCCCGATATGGACAATGAAAACTCCCGACACGCGTTCCAGCACCCGGAAAGATCGCACATCTCCAACGAAACAAAATCGTCTGCGGGATATGCCTATTACGAAACTCAATGTGCAAGACTTCAAACCAAACCCAGCCTACAATCAGGGCTACAGCTACGCATTTTCTGAGACAGTCCGCAAGCGCGGTGATCGCATGTGTCTACCCGGTTGCACCAATCCACAGTGTTGTGGCTCCACGTTTCGAATTCTAGCTGAAGCACATGCCCCACTGCCTGCGTCCCAAGAAGAAGCTCTCCTGGAAGACTATCTGGGTGATGCATACAATAACATGCAACTCACCCAGATGTCATCCGAGGAGCGAAAGGAACTAGTCCTGCAAGCGCGTACCAAAAAGATGGCAAAGGAAACTGGGAAACATCGCGAGGCCTATGAGCGACGCCGGACGCCGCCAGGCTTTTGGCGAGTTGATTTTCCCACGACGCAGGAGCAGCAAGAAGACAGAGAAAGGTCGAAACTGCAGGAACAGAAATTAGTGCAAGAGCGGTGGCTTGAGGCGCATAGAAAAGGCGGGAAATGGATCTTCAAGGATGAATGAGGTGTGGCTAGCTAGCTAACTGTGCACTCTAGAAATCCAAGATTGCGGTATTATTCGCATTAATTGCTGAAATTTCTCACCTTGCTGCCTGTTGTACCCTCGCTTCTCTGTTAACCTCTGTCAGCAACCACGTTTCGTATCTTTCACCTTCTTCTATACCCCAATCCTCTTTATCCACTTCTGCTACCGTAGCCCAAGCCCGTATGAGCGCCCTCCAGTAACATGTTTCTGCTGCTAGACTCAGATACCCACGTTGGAACACCGACTCCCGTTGATTTTGCGCTATTCGCTGTGTAACTTCAGGATGCGAGCGCAAAAGCTGGACCACCGCCTCGAGATTCGAGAAGTCGGGGTGCACGTAGATTGCGTTGGCATCTTGCCAAGTAGAAACGGGTGAGAGCATAGCTTGCGGTCCTGAAGTTGAACTCGCACTACGACGAACTCCAGGCCTCCTCAGCCGGTCCTCGCCCGAACTCATCAAATCATTCGCCTCAATGGGCCTCAGCAGCAGCGCACTCGTAGTAATCCACGTTAATGGCGCCGTGATCAGTACACTTCCACACGCCTGATGAAACGGCAGTCTTCCAGAATATGTAACGCCCTCTGTGTATATCACATACTTGTACCGACAGAAGCTCTCAATATTGAGGCTGTTCGTTGCATTGCCAATAGTACTCAAAGCTTCGACGTCCGCCCATTCTTTCCCTTTGGTGGCTTTGAGCAGGTCCTTTCGCAGATTCGGGTAACCAATGGGGTTGAACCATGGCGTACCTCTCCATATCGCCTTGTCGACTTTCTCGCTCCCCACGAGCTCCTCCTCTACTCCCTCGATTCGATCCAGAACATCGTCCATAGTTCCGATGTTCGCTTTCGGCCACGACCACGACGCGAAGCTGGGCATTAGCCACGTGTTGTAGGTCGATTGCTTGTTCGGCCGCGAGAATGCCCAAGTATTGTTCTTCGGTACGTCGTTGATACAAAAGGCGAAATAGCCGTCCGGCAGGGGAGAGGGAGACGTGACAAGTGCGCGGTGAATTTGTGACAGGATGGCGGTGCGTTGGTGCAAGATCTCGGGGAGCGTGTCAGGTGCTGCAGTGAGGATGTATACCTATCAATGATATTTAGACGGGAAATGTGGAATGGTTAAGGTAAGTATGGTTGCACGAACCTTTCCATCTTTTATGCGGCCTTGTACAAGACCTCGGTAGTCCTGGTCACTTTTTCTGAAGAGAAATTTACCACGCGCTACTGAGGTATCGATATCGGTGAAGAGAAATGGGAAGCTTTTTCGACACTCGTTTTCGTCGAGATTCAAGAGCTGCACAGTAGGCCTTCTTTCGTGGGATGCTGTCGGCTTAACCTTTGAAAACACTTGCTGATGAGACGATGCTCGATTGTGGATTCCATACTCGGCGCTGCGGTCCCGGTAGAACCAAGATATTGTTACTAGAGTGAACAAGAAACATATCAAGATCGAAGTGCGGAAAAAGCCTCTCGGAAAAGTCGCCATACTCGTTCAATGGTTTACATTGTTCGAACTGAAAGTAACATGGAAATACAGCAAACGTCCCAACCCTATACCCAGGGCCTTACGCAACAACCCAAGCCGTGTTATAATTTCAAATATAGACACCTCGTCACCCACCTCTGTTCCCCCTCTTCTTCTTTCCCACATCAAGAAACTGTTGACCAACTGACCAATGGCAGAAATGCACTTTGATCTTTTCCCAGAACCTTCTCGTGTAACCTGGATAACACGTTCCTTCCAGCAGCCAGTTCCATTTTTGCAATATATTAGATTGGTACGTGGGAGGGGTGTCGTGTGATTTTCCGTGGTTACACCAATTTATTTATCCTAGTTGCCGAGCCGGGGGTAGAGATGGAGAACCTTGTTTCCATGCATCAATGAGACAATTTTTCGAACAGAACGGCTTCTACTTGGAAAGAGAAGGATAGATAGCTGTATGGAAGAAAGATGGAAATTTATTCTACTTGAGCCAAGCAAAATAAATCGAGATGACTGGCGTGCGTCTCGAGAAGTCGCATGAAGATTTTCTGCTGAGGTCAATCTGACCTCGTCTTGTCTCCACATTCTTTCCTACAACCTCAGACTCTCACATGTTCAAAGCCATCAGCACCATGAACAACCTTCTTCAGCTCCCCCTTCTCTTGCTGCTCCTCACCGCCCTCCCTCCTAACATGCTTTTTCTCCCTCGTATCCACACCCAACCAAAGCAATTCCGGCCTGGAATAATGACCAATCGGATCAGCAAGATGCCTCATACTCACCAACATATCTAAGGGTAGTTCAGCGTATATAAACCCCTCCTCCTCTTGTGGAATTGGCTTAGTCAACCGTCGACCGTCCGGCCCATACACCGCAGATTGCCCGCCACCAGGTTGGCCGAACAAAAAGTTTCCTGCCGTCTTGTGGGCCTCGATGCCGGCTGAGGACATGACGGCTGTGCAGTGTAGAACAAAGGTGGATGATTCCATTGCGTGGGCTTGGGAAAGTGCAGCGCAACCTGAGATAGAGAGTCAGTCAGTTGCACACTACTTTCTCATGATCTGTATAGCCATGTTGCAAGTAAAAAAAACAAGAGAACAAGAGAAGAGGGAGGCTTACCCTCAGCGCTCAGGCTGTACAAGCCCTCGCCCCCCTCCTCAAAAGGAAACAATGGCGGCCATGCAGCAACATGGATCTGCTCACGCAGACTCGTTGTATGGTACTTGAGCAGCGGCTGCATGTGTTCCCAACAACTTAGCGCACCTACTTTGCCCACGCCCTCAACATCAACGACATTATGTAAACTGGAGCCGCCCGCGTCGCCGAAGACGGTGCGCTCCATGTGCGTGGGCTTGAATTTGCGGTGCTTCATCAGTACCTCTCCCGTAGCGGAGACGATGCATTGCGAGATGTAGAGGCTATTATGGTCGTTTTCCGAGAAGCCGAGTACAACTGCGATCTTCGATGAGCGTGCTGCTGCACATATCTTGTGCATTTCGGGGGATTCGTAGGAAAGCGAGTTCTTGATATAAGACGTTGCTAGACGCGAATCTAGAGATCGAGCCCTTTATTATATTACTTTCTTAAGCTTGTGATGCTGCATCGCGGTTTAGAAGGTCTTTTTACGAACCATATCCAAGCTGGATACCCCATGATCCAAACTTCAGGGAACGCAATCAATTGCGCTCCGTTACGTGCCGCCTCTTCTATCAACCGACATGTTTTGTCGACTGTGCCGGCGAGATCGAACCATATTGGCTCGTGTTGGGTTACTGCGACCTTGACGACGTCGGTCATTTTCAATGCTACGAGTCACTTCTGGGTGAGGTGCTTGAGGACGGAGAAAGAATACAGGTAAAACGGAATATTTCCCACTATATAAACTTCTGTGACCTTATCCTCGGCATGTCTACGTAGTAGTAGGGGTTATAACGGAATTGCTCCGCTATTCAATCGGGCACGATAAGCGCATCTACCGAATTTGGCCAGGCCGATATCCATCCTGGCAAGGGCCGTCGATCTCGCTCTTCCGGCCCATTCGTGTATCCTATTCGTGTATCCGCCTTGGTAGCCTAGTACCCTGGCGCACTCACATTAGTGGCAAAGAAAGACCGAGTGCTTCTTCGTACATACAACTAGTCGTGTATCCCCTACTGTGCTTATCATGTCTTTGATATGATTTGCCTTGCAACACGGGTATGACTGTCTCTTAGCATGAGGCGTCGTTTATACTATTTGTATTTGTGCAAAGCTTCATGGGAGATGCAGCTCATCTGACTAGCTGAAGATGTTGGCCGGACACGCAGCTCGCTCTGCCAACATCATCTTCCAGCTTCCAATATCCATCTCCAGACTATAGACTATAGCCTTGCACCAAGTCAAGCCAGATATCCATTAGCCCCCAACCACTCTCTCACAACCTTCTCATCTCTCTTCTTATAACCCGCATAGCTCCTTATCGTATCATCAATGACCTCAAGACCCTTATCGTAACCGCGGGTATCCTTATCTTTGAAGAATGCAGCAATCTCGTCCGCGACCTTCTCATCCGCAAACTTGTTCAATCCAAAGCGCAAGAATCGTTCTAGCACGACGAGATTGCCGCTGAGCGTTGGATTGATTTTCGAGTCCCAGTTATCACGAACGAACTTCCATACCTCGGGACGTACTTTTGAGTTATTGGCAAGAGCGATGGTGCCCGAGTGCTTGTCCTGCATTGCGACTTTGTCGGAGAAGATAAAGGACATGACTTCTTGAGCAAGCTCGGGGGTCTGGACACGACCCAGGGACTGAAGGCAGATTTCCTTACCGTCGATCGATGTAGTGGAAAGGTACTCGTTCTTGATAGCCTTGAATGCTGAATCTCCGCGCTGCTTGATCGCAGTCGCGAAGATTGCGCGGCGAAGAGAGGGATGTATGGCATTCTTGTCTTCTCCGGAGATGTAAGCGTCGAAGCGTCGAAGAGACTCGTCTACAGTCGCCTTATGACCGACCAAGGCAGCGGACAAGATGAGGCTAGCGCGAAGCTGGCCAAGCAGAAAGCCCTCACCCTCCCTGAAGTCCCATCCAACCTTCTCTACAGCGGGAGTAACGAGCTTGAGGTGGTATTTCCTCAAAGCTTCGCTTATATCTTCGCTACCAGAGAAAACGCTACGGACGTTGCCGATGTTGGTAAGGATCTGGGACCACACCAGGTAGTCTGACTCATCCTCAAAGCGCTCAACCAATGCAAGAAGACCAGATGTGGTACCGTAGCCAGCGACAGCGTTTGCGTATGCATCCCCAATTAGCCCGATCTTGTCCTGCACGGACAACTGATCGCGAGCCTCGCCGAGCTTCTTCAAACGGTCTGGCGGGTAGTTAGTCCTATAAAAACCGGTGAGGTTCTTGTTGAGTTGGTAGAAGCCCTCGTTGACACCGCGAATAGTATCCTCTTTCTGAGTCAAAGCAGTGGTCTTGTGGAGAGAGGACGCGGAAGCAGAGTCGCCGGTATGCAGGCCTAGCGGGATCCACCAAGTGGTCTGATCTTCCTCAGACTTGACGTCGCCAGCTAGAAGGAAGCGCTGCTGACGTAGGCCGATTTGACCAGGCTCTTCGGAAACGGTCACGACCGGGAATCCGATCTTGCGAACCCAGAAGTCCATAAAGCTGTTAACATCTTGGCCTGACGCCTTGCTAAGAGCAGACCACAAATCGTTGGTGGTGGCGTTCGAGTACTGATGCGCCTTGAGGTAGTCGGCGACACCTTGGAGGAAGACCTTTTCGCCGAGGTGAGCGCTCAGCATGCGAATAACGGAGCTTCCTTTCAAGTAGCTGATATGATCGAATATTTGATCAACTTCGAGACCATCGTACACGGGAACTTCAATGGGGTGAGATGTGCGTAATGCATCGAGTGCGAAAGCTTGTTGCACAGAATCAGTCTAGTAGCATGTCAGCCGGCTATTCAGGGAAGTGATACCTCGAGATTTGTGACGTACAACAAATTGCCCCCAAACGTTCCAGTCTGTCGTGCCAGTTAGCAATATCCCAGAGATGTGAATAGTTGATCATACCGGGATAGAGATGATCGATGGCAAACCATCCAACCCAAGTAGCAAAGCCTTCATTCAACCAAAGTTCGCTCCACCAGTCCATGGTGACAAGATTGCCGAACCATTGATGGGCAAGTTCGTGGGCTACAACGTATGCTACACGGTTTCGGTAGCTATCTGCAGACGTCGCAGGGTCGAAAAGGACAGCAGTCGTTCTAAGATAAAATTATGAGCATGTTTCTGCGACGAAGTGACTTGACACAATACTGACCGGTAGGTGATGAGACCCCAGTTTTCCATAGCTCCGTGTGACTAGAAAGCAACGGTCAGCTAACGCTCCCAGGAGAAGAAAGAGGGTACGTATGATTGGCTAATTGATCAGCACAATCCGATGTACACAGACCATACCACTTACAAACTCATGAACGGCCAGTAAGTCGACCTTTGGGAGTGGGTAGTCAATCTGGAAGACCTCCGAGAAGTAATCTACGATCTTGTGGCAGTTGTCCAAGGCAAAGCGTCCCTGCTCTTTCAGTCCACGAGTCGTGTAGACCCTGACTGGAATGTTCTTGCCGTTGTACTTGCGTTCCGTGAAGGCCTCCACGTACTCAAAGTCTCCAATGGCCCATGCGAGTAGGTAGGTCGACATGACGGGGGTCCGCTCGAAGACGACAGTATGAAACCCATCGCGCTTGCTGGGTTTGATCTCCTTCTCCGGCATGTTGCTGAGCGCGATCTGGTCTTTCGGGACCTCGATCTCAACATCGAATGTGGCCTTGAGGTTGGGTTCGTCGAAGCAGGGAAAGGCACGGCGGGCGTCGCAGGACTCGAATTGCGTGCTGAACATGTAATGGAACTCGTCGTCCTTCGCTACGGAGGCGGGTACCTCGCCCTTGGGCGTGTATTTGGAACGGTAGAAGCCGGCCATGATGTTGTTGATGGTGCCCTCAAATTTAACCTCCAAGGTAGCCTCCCCAGAGTACTCAATCTTCTCGCCAAAGTCCAGCGTAACGCGCTGACGCTTCTCGTCATACGAGATGTCTTTTGTCGACCGGGTCTTGTCCCCAGTCTTTAGCTCCGCAGCATGAATCTTTAGCTGATGCGCATTGAGCACTAGATCACTGAAGCCACCATCTTTGTTGATGTTCGTGTTGATCGTAACGGTTCCTTGGTAGCCGAAACTTCCGCCGAACTCGAGGTCGTGGAGGGAGACGGTGTAGTGTGCTGGCTTGACCCTGGGACGGTGGATGTTAGCAAGGTATTCAAAAGTTTTATAGAGAGGTGTATTGAGCATTGATTAATGAGGAGTGACTGACCAGGCGGGGAGAATGTCTCGATCGGATGCCATGATTGCAAAGCTACTCGTAACCTCGCTTTGACAGTATCTCTTCTGAATCCCAAGCGTACTTGAGTTCGCAACGCCGAATCTCGGTCTTAGTCTTGAGCTGGTATGAGGGCTAGTAGGAGGCTTTTGAGCTTTAGAAGAGAAGCTCGCGGGGCCCGTAAGGTGGGGTGAGGAATGCGTGAAGCTAGGGTAACTGCTGTTGCCAGAATAGCAAGAAGCAAGAAGACAAGAAGTGGATTTGGGAAGCCTCTTCAAGAGCGATGGTCGAGAACTAAGTCTCACGGAAAGAAGAAGTGCAGCCAGCTTTGAAGGAGGAATCGGAGTGGGCTGGCGGAGTACTGGCGGAATACAATTGCGTGAGATGATGCTTGCTGCAAGCCGCAAGCACACTTAGAAGGGAAGGTGCGCGTGCGAGTGCCCCTCGACGGCTGATCCCTGCTCGAGAAACTAGCGCGGGGTTCAGAAAAGACACGGATCAAACGAACGTTGAAAGCATCTTGAGTATGTTCTGTTTTCATGATGGGAATTAACTGGGTACTCATGCTTATTTCATGGTGCTATTGAGTTGAAGACTAGCATTGTCGAGTTCGGGTGGTAGACTCAAATTCTCGCTATACGCGACAACATGAGCAAATACGAGTAGCAGCCGTATGTACAATACACTTTAGGAAGGTCAGTATGCATGAATGTATATCCTTTTAATGCCTTGGAATATCTTCTAGTAAATAGTGGGATGAGCTATACGAGACTTTCGCGAAGCTCGGCAACTACGTATTCCCATGTGATATGTCGGTGTTGTATCCTATCTCACCCCATATTACCCCCTCGAGAGACACCAGGACGCACATGTTGGGAAAGGTGGGCTCAAAGAGAAGAGTATTCGAAAGTGGTATTTCCTGTACGCCGTGCAGATGCTCAAAGACCAGGCGCCAGCCACACGACATAGTCGTTTACTCCCCTCCAGCCTGAACACCAAAGACGCCTTGTGATTCACACATTACCAAAGCCGAAGTTTCCCTCCTCTTATGATCATGCGACGCACTCAAACCCGAATCAGCACGTCTAGACACTGTATCCGCCACTCCTTCTTCCCCAACAGGCCCTTTACCCATTCATAACTCTGTCCTGCACTCGTCTTCTCTTTTAAGCCCTCTATCGCACCCTTCACTACCGCTTGCGCAGTATGATTCGCCGCCTGCGTAAGCACCCCTACAGCCTCCACTATCCCAGCTGACGTGCCGTTCAAAGCCAATTCTGTAGTATCTGACGGAAGTGGCGGATCAAACCACGGCGTATGGAAATCGAAGAGCGCGACAACGAGGATGAATAGTAGGAGCGAGCAGTATACACATGGGCGGTTGAGAAAATATGTTGCGCTGATAAAGAGGACGAGATAGACGGGGGAGGCGTGAGTTCGTAATCTACAAAGATTGTAAGCCTGGGCGTTGTAACGCGAGGGGAAAGAAATGTAGCGTACAGAAAGAACAGAACTGGTATCCAGCTCCGTAAGCAGAACATTGTGTGTAGATGAGAGAGTAGCCTCGCGTGCGCTACTTGTTCGAGTTATCGAGATCGCGGGAATGCGGTATGGTGCGAAGCGCAATATGCTGCGATGCGATCGATTGTGCAAATGTAGAAGCGAAGCAGCGAGCGGATGTGTATTAATAAACGCTATAGGTAAAGGTCAAGAGAGCGATGAAAGGCAGCGGGGAGTGAACGCTCGCTGACGCTGGCAAGCACGACCGATGTTCGCGGTGGCGCTTGCAGGCGGCACTTGCTTTCAAGTGTGTCAGCCTCATTCGCAAAGTAAGATGACGCAACGCTCAGGTTTCAACAACGAGCATATGTCAATATTGTAATTCTTTTTTAAGATCTTTATATTGTATTGAGCTCCAAATCAAGGTAACCTGGATGGCTTTTGCAACTCACGATTAGCAGCTGCAAGACATCTTTTAAGACAACCAGCCCAGTCGCTCTTCGTCCCCCAGCACGAGCTATTTATGATTAACTGCCAGCCATAGCTGGGTTGCTATCAAAGAGCACCAGATGGTGTTAGGTGTTTGAAATCTAATTGATTCAACGTATCTCCTACATGTCCATACTCCGGGCCCTAATGCGATTAGGGCTCACAAAAACCCAGCTAAACAAATACAATGGTTCTATGCATGAATCAATCGATGCTTTTGCCTACCAGCCAAGATTGCCTACAAAACGCCGCATCCATACAAATTATGGTACAAGAACCTCAAGCGTCGTCTTCCTGGACGGGCGAACAGTAGAAGTGAACTTTCCCGAGCTCTCGCGGCTCCTAGACCGGAAGGTTGAACTTCTTGCCTTGGATGACCCTAAATGGTGTCAGCATACGGTCATGAGACGGAGAGAGAGATATGCAAAACTCACTTTGTCCAGTAGATGTAAAAAAAATCCGTGTACAGAATTGTCTGGATGATGCCCGCGATCACCGCAATCGGGTCATAGAATTTGGGAACCTCAAAGAAGTATCGGTAAATCCAGTTGGGAATATACAGCGCCCTGTACGCGCCGAGCGCGAAGAGATAGTGTGTCGTAATTGTTTCGGCTTCGCCGGTTCTTTGCAGCATGAAAAGCTGAGGGAGGATAGCAACCGATTCCAACCAGATTGAGAAAGCCCAGAGAATCTACACGCTTTGTTAGCACCTTAACCAATATCAACCCGATAGCTACCCACCTCAGAGAACGTATATTTGTAAGGGAACAGTATCGCCAGCACCGCGCTCGCTCCCAGCAAGTATTGCACCTTGAACGTGTCTAGATTCGGGTCGTGGGTGGGTTTGTAGTCGTTGAGCATTAGGTAGACAGTGTACGCAGATGTGCTGATGAAGACGATCTTGAAGACGGTGTTGTAGAGCAGTTTGGGTTCGTAGAATGTCCATAGAAGATCAACGTAGCGCGTAAGGTAGACCATGAGGTAGAGGAATTGCGACTTGAACGAAATGCCAGACGCGCTCTGTTTCGATTGCTTGTTAGTGATTGCGCGGGAAACGGGGGGGTTTGAGTAGTCGTACGCTTGACGTTTTCATTTTGTGTAGTAGAATCAGAATAGAGAAGAGATGGGATAAATCCCCTAAATCGCGTCTGTTAGCATTGCGATCAATGTATGACCTCCGCGGCCTTCGCAGAGCTTCAAAGCATACCCAATAACCTGAAGAGATTCATCATTGCGGCGGTGAGTCGCTAGTCGCGGATGGGTGTAGAGGAGGCACAGCGACTCGGTGTTGGTGATGTTTGAAGCCCTTCGCGGTATGCTAAATAAAAGACACGTTGGGGCAGCTGCAAGGCGTAGGGTTGAGAGCTTGATCCTTGCATGCCAAGGCTGCCCCTGCCGGCACTACCAACCCGATCACTTACCCCAGTAGTGCTACGCCTGTGCGAAATCGCCCTCTTCGCCAGTGGCCCGAGTTGTAATTTTCCAAGATCGGTCTCAATCATGGTCGCAATCAAGAATCTGGATCGTTAGAAATATCAATAGTACTGACGCCATCTAAAGCTCAGCCAGATCAAGACACCTCTGTAAGCGGCTAGAAATGCAGTATAGGGGTTCCTGATCCCCAGAAACACGCGATGGCCAACCTCTTAGGCTGGAAAGATATCCTGCGGCCCATACGAGACGGATACCGCCATCTTTTTCCCGCGCCAGACACTGGCCCGACGCCAGAAGAGCGTCGCCAGCAGCGCGAGAAAGACCGACTGCAGGGCTTTACCTACTTCAACACCTTTCATCAGTTAGAAACATGGACAAGATTTGAGTCTGATCCTCTTCAGAGAGCAAACACGCCGCTATTACGACGACGATCGATAGAAAGAAAAGATGACACAGCCAAAGCAGACGTCCTGTTGATTCATGATTACGGCGGTAACTACCATACTTACGAAAGCTTTCAGGGAATCGGCATTGAGGAAGAGATGTATACTTGTGAATACCTTCAATATGTTGATACGTTCATATACTTCTCTCACAAACTTGTGTGTGTTCCGCCACCTACGTGGACGAATACACTCCACCGCAATGGTGTGTTGTCTCTCGGTACCATTCTCATTGAACCACAGACAGAGAGCTCAGGGAGATTACTGCAACATACAAAGGACAGCAGTGGAATGGTTTTCCCGATGGTGAAGATACTAAGTGACATTGCCCAGCACTATGGCTTCGATGGCTGGCTTTTAAACGTCGAAAAGCCGTTCCCAAAGGCCGACTGGAATTCGGAGATCCTAGAGATGTTCATCTGCCACCTGAGAGGTGCATTGGGAATAGGAACGCGGCTCATATGGTGCGTACCATATCTCGAAATGTGCCAGAATGTGAAGTAATAGCTTTAGGTACGATGCTTTGACTCTTTCCAACACGGTATCCTACCAAAACGCTCTGAACAGCTCGAACATCGCATTCGCAAGTGACAGCGGCAGCATGCTCACGAATTATTGCTGGACAGAGGCCGATGTCGAGAGATCTAAACAAGTCGCCGTGTATAACATGCTTCCGCTTCAAAACATATCTTTTGGCATCGATGTATGGGCGCAAAACACGTCTAAACTAACCCATCCACGAGTCACATACCCTGAGAAGGGTGGTGGGGGTACAAACACGGGAGTTGCTGTTTCTAAGCTAGCTGAGTTGGGGTTTTCTGCTGGTATTTTCGCACCAGCATGGTCATTTGAGCATTTTCCCGATCGAGGTCGAGCAGTCGAGCGAGCAATTTGGGAGGGTTCTACTCTCCCCCAAGATCTTGATTGCTCATGTGGGCACCGCAGTACGCGCCATCAGCCCAACCTAGAGTCTCCGATCATCCGGTCTGCGAGTGAGTTTGCTGCCGGCTCGGAGGCCTTCTTCTATACGGACTTTAGTCGCGCCTTTGGTAAGCACGAGATTGAGCAAAACGACGTCTTTGGCGGCCATGACATGCACGCACAGCTCGGGGCCCAGTCCATTTCTCCGCGCCCTTCAACATCGGAGTATGGCAATCAAACCATCGGCCTTGCACATCAATTAGTATATTCACTAGGTCGAACACGGCTGGTGATTGAAGCGTATCGAAAATCCTCCACCACTGACGATGCTCAAATTGAGCTCTGGCTCCCTCTCTACAAACTTGACATGCCAGCCAATGGGTCTTTACACCTCAAGGCTTCCTGTCGAAATCTACTAGGCTCGACGACGGGCGCTATGATTAGCTACTACCTCCGGTCCACTAGTGGTCTCCAGTTTCTACCTGTCCCCGAAAGCGATGGCATCCAGTCTCTCGGAATGGCCGTTGGTAGGACTAACCATCACATAACGAACGTTCACCTACAAGAGCTAGGCTTCTATATACGGGGCTCCATCGGCAGATTTGGAGAAGTCGTACAGCTTCTTGAAGTCTTCGAAGTCTGCATTCTGCCGCGGTCCGCACTTGGAACTGTAAAGTCGTGCAGTATCAGCGACGTACGCATTGAGCATCGCGGAGAGCGTCAGAGTAAGCACGCCCGGTTGTGCTGGAGCTTCGATAGCATGAACGAAACCGAGTCGGCAATCGAAGGGATGCCTTATAGCGAGATTACGGGTCCTTTTTCGTACTTCAACATCCGACTTGATGGTTTGCAACTAAGCAGAGCGTATGCTTTAGAATTTCCCCTCCCTCGAGGCTTGGTGGAGCGCCTGAAAGATCAAGATGTGGAAGTGTGGATCACAGGGATCGGATTTGACGGCCAGGAGCTAGCGGAGAACAAGGTCGCGCTTTCCGTTTGAATAACAGCGTGGTCGTTGTCTGCGTGCTTCACTCTCAACCGGTTGCTCACCTTCCCCCACATGGGCCAAACAAATCCTCACTACCATGAAACCTTCCAACTACACCAATAAGCCAATTTGAAATCAAAGAAAAGAATACAATCGACAATAGCCCTTTCATCACCCATCATTACGGTGATGGTTTGAGGTGGAGAGGAAGTCGATGCCACTCGCAATCAGATTCATGTAGTCGGACTATAAATATGAACGAGATATAGAAGGAGGTCCAGCATAAACCATTTGAAATGAGTGTTCATATTAGTAAAGTGAGGATCTGTCAAGATGAACCTGGAGCCATTTCCGAGCTATCGTTTTTTCAGCTGTCTACATTACCTATGAAAAGATCTTGCGATTCAGTTCTCGGCTTCAGATTTAAATATCTGATCTAAGAACTCACGAAAAGAGTGTGCCTTTAATGTGAGGCGCGAACCTCAGTTGTTAAATAATCCGAAGTTGGCTTAGCGCGACTCCGACGTCATCGATTGTCCGTAGACAATACCTAGGTACTTACCTTTACCTCAACGGCATGTGCTCGTCCCGCGTAACCTCACCTGGTGAACGTAGTAATGAGGTCGCTTGCCGATCTAGTATATAAGACTCTAAATACACTACCACGATTACAACGATCTCTACGACAGTCTACCTTGGCTTCAATTCCAACCCAAGTTAGCCAGCTTCATACAATCATGACTTCACTAAAGCGGAAAGCCGAAAAGCCAGTGTCGACTCCAAAATCTAAGAAGCCGAAGGTCGTCGTCCCGGAGTATCATCTGACGCCATCCAGGCAAGATGAGTTTGGTGGGTTTGTATGGCCAGCTCGCAGAAAGCAGATCGACCGCGCGCGAGATATTATCAAAAGATGGTAAAGCACAAAAGCTATTACTAAAAGTACCTACTGTATTATGTACTGACTTACAACAGTGCCGAATCTCAGAAGCCTACCCTGATACTGCCCGACAAGGACGCGGACGGCATTTCCTCTGGCACCATTCTTTATCACACTCTCATCACCTTAGGTCTTTCGCCCGGCCTCATATCCGTCTATTTTCCGCCCAAAGGATCTAATGTTCATGATGAAAGCACAAAGGATGCTATATCCGTGAAAGCACCATCATATGTCTTTGTTCTCGACCAAGGAAGCAGAAAAAGTCCGTCGCTCACCGACGTACCACACACGTGCCTTGTCATCGACCATCACTTCACGGAAGAAGGCGGCTTCCCAGAAGGTGCTGATTTTGTTACGGCTCATGACTGTCCACCTGTGGCGACGAGCTCACTACTAACGTATCATATCTGTCTACCCTTGCATCCGGACCTGAGTGACAAGATCTCATGGCTTGCTGCACTTGGCACGCATGGGGACTTGGGTGCTTCGCTGAAGTGGAAGCACCCCTTTCCAGATATGACCGAGACTTTCAAGGAGCACCCCAAGAAGGCTATCAATGATGCTGTCGCCCTTGTTAACGCACCAAGGCGCTCCGCAGCATACAATGTCGAAGACGCGTGGAATGCCGTGATCGCCGCATCTACTCCCGAGGCAATCGCAAAGAACGAAAAACTTCAAAATGCATCCGTTGAGGTCCGTCGCGAGACAGAACGCTGCACGCACACACAGCCCAAATTCTCCGCCGACGCCACCATCGCAATTCTCACCATCTCTTCGGCCGCACAGGTACACCCTATTGTCGCTACCCGTTGGTCCGGCTATCTCAAGTCCACCAAACTTGAAATCGTCATGTGCGCTAATGAGGGCTATCTACCGGACAAAGTCAACTTTTCATGTCGTGTCGCAAAAGATGCGAGGGCAAGGGAAGGCGATGAGAAGGTTGATATCATCAAAAAGCTGGAAATTATCGTGGCGGAAGATAAAGATCTGAGAGCGAGACTGGGTGAGAATTTTGCGAGGGGTCATAAGGAGGCGAGTGGTGGGATCGTGGGGAAGCAGGAGTGGGAGGAGTTCAAGAAGTTGATGGGCGTTGGTGAGGGTGTTAGGAAGAAGGCGGAGGGAAGTGGGAAGCAGGGGAAGCCGACGCAGAAGAACACATTGGCGAACTACTTCAGCAAGAGTACAAAAGTCCAGCAGATATGATCGGACATATCGATAAAACGATCGTTATCGAATTTTCATGGAATCGACAAGCCACAAAGTGGGAGGCTCCGACTTGAAATTTTGAACCGGCAGCTCTTCAACCTTCTTCATACGATCTTCTAGGACCCTGAATTGGTTATGTGATCGATATCTAAGCAGGGAGTCAGCAGCGGCCTCAAAGTATCGACAGGGAATCACCTACCGGCCTCGGATGTGGCCGAAAGGAAAACCGAGCAGTCGAACTTGCAACTGACCGGATTCATATGAGGTTAAATCTATGCGCATTGGCTCGGAGCTTTGAATGGTATCACGGCAACTAATGACGTCTATTTGCATAAGCTTGGGAAGATGGCAAGTCAACCGGCATGGCATGCATCCAACTGCGATTAGAACATTATTTCTTGCGATTATGGAATTCTAAACTCAAAACCGTGTTCACTGACCTTGCAACTATCGTTTGGTTTCATGTTGTTTCAAACTAACAGCCAATATCAAGCCGGCTATAAGGCTAGGGTGCCGGATGATTTTCACAACAGAAACGGCTAGGTGATCCACATTAAACCCTCCAATATCTTCCATCGTTATGAAAAACATTCAGTGTTCGATTGACAACCACGCTCTTCTAAGCCGCTGAGAAACAAAAGTCTACCAAGACTCAGAACGAGTCGCTTACCGACCAGTCCATGCATAGTACTAAAGCCAGGCTGACCGCGCGGTCCTTGTCTATCATTACCCACATAATATGGCAAGGCATCATTGCGTGCGAAACAGCGCCATGTGACACCCGACCCAATCTTAAGTGCCGTGCCTGATACGGTAAAACCTGGGGGTATGCACATAGGCGCACGTTAATACCCGCGAATGGCGGGGACACATGGAAATGAGCACGCGGGCCTAGTTCATTCGCCAAGAAGGCTTGACTGTACATATGTTAATCTATGTAAGTGAGGAGGGCGAGTGGTCATACACTCCGTTGCACTTTACCTGAATGCGATGATTGGAAATAACGATACTGTGGTATAACGGCCCGGTGGCAAGTTTTAGCTATTAGATTGGCATAGAGCGACATGACGGAGGGGGAATGTGATAAATACTAAGAGGCGCCTTTGTAGAATTGTCGCTTCACGAGGCAGACATCCATCCTTACCATTTATCAATACCTTCCGGCTTTTTCGACACCCAACCGTCATCATGAAATCAGCTCTCGTCCTTCTCGCCACTGTGGCTTCCGTATCGTCTCATTCTACTTGGCAGGACCTTTGGGTTGGCAGTGAGGATAAGGGCACTACTTGCGCAAGAACAGTCAAGGACAACAATCCTATCGCTTCCCTCTCGTCGCCGGATATGTTTTGTGGTCGTGGACCTGTTTCGTCATCCGGGGTTTGCGAAGTCGCTGGTATGTTTATACTATTATGTTACAAATCTCAACGGAATAGTGATAAGAAAACAATGCTAACGGCCTTTGCAGCTGGAAGTCCCCTTACCGTAGAAATGCACGCCCAGCCCGGCGACCGAAAGTGCTCACAGCCCGCGATCGGTGGAAACCACTATGGACCCGTCCTCATCTACATGGCGAAGGTAGCCGATGCGAAGACTGCCACCTCGGGCTCTTTCTTCAAGGTCGCAGAGGATGGCTATACCGGCACCACCGCGTCCTGGGGTACCGAAATCCTTAACGCCAACTGCGGAAAACGTGCTTTCACTGTACCAAAGAGCCTGGCGAGCGGTGATTATTTGGTTCGCTCAGAGGCCATCGCATTACATGCAGGTGCGGGTAATCCTCAACCGTACGTTACGTGCTTCCAGGTCAAGGTTACGGGCGGTGGCTCTGCGACCCCGAGTGGTGTTTCGTTCCCGGGTGGATACAAAACGAGTGATGCTCTCTTCCAAAAGGCTATCTACGACTCGAGCTTCAAGTATGTCAGCCCTGGACCGGCTGTCTACTCTGGTTAAGCTTGCAAATCCGGGTGGATGGGCAAGCTGCGTGCTTCTGCTGTAGTCTCGGTTATGCAGAGGTAGCGCATGTTGGTTTGAAAGTCGGAAAGAATTCACTGTAGATACTTCTAGCGTCAGCTTCATGATATCCCTCATGTAATTGAACTTTGAATATTGTGCTATACTTTGATCGCACGAGCCTGCTCATAGTGGCAGCTCCCAATCGCCTTCCTTCAATGGCTTTGCAAGACTACTCGCCTCTCTCTTGATGAACTTTCCGTATCCCTTCTCCCCAAGTAATCCCCCATTCTCTTTGCCCCATACGACTTTCCCTCTCAGTATCGTGTATCGTGGCCACTGCATCAAGGTCCTTCCCTCAAACGGTGTGTAGTCGACATCATGATGCAACATCTCGTTCTTTAGCTCAAAGTGTTCCATCTTGCCCGGTGAATACCAGATATTTATATCTGCATCCGACTGCCCCTCGACCAGTGCACCTTTTAGTGGATACAGGCCGTAAAGCTTGGCGGGATTAGAAGACGTAACTTCAACGAACTTTTTGACGTCGAGTCGATTCGCGGACAAGGTAAGCGAAAGTCTTGTTTCGATGCCAGGGCAGCCGTTAGGGATGTATTTGAAATGGCCTAGGGGGTATTCTTCGTTGACACTGCTCTTTTTACCAGTCTCGCTGTCATCATATCTGAATGGGCAGTGATCAGAGGATAATATTGTGAAAGTCCCGTTCGCAAGGCCTTCCCAAATCACATCGCAGTCAGCCTCGCTCTCTCGTGGTGGTGGCGAACACACACACTTTGCACCTTCGAAGCCTGGCTGAGCGAGATCCTGCTTGGTGAGGAAGAGGTACTGGGGACATGTCTCAGCGAAGATGGGCAGCCCGCGGTCTTGTGCGGCTTTTATATGCGCCGCTGCTGCGGGCGTAGATACGTGCACAATCAGAATTGGTGCGTCCATGAATTCAGATAGGCTTATGGCGCGATATGTAGCTTCAATTTCGGCCAAGGGTGGGTGCGAGGATCCATGATACTTTGGAGCGAAGAGTTTCCGCTTCTCGAGCTGCGCGGTCATCCAGTCTATCACTTGCCCATTCTCCGCGTGGACCATGGTAGTTATGCCTTGCTTTCTGGCTTCGAGGAGTACGTCGAGGATCTGGCCGTCGTGAAGTTGTAGCGCTTACATCATTAGAATTCTACTCGTCTACGTCTTCTTTGACAACATCTTACCTTCGTAAGTCATATATATCTTCAAAGATGAGATGCCCTCTTCGCGTAAGGTTTTGAACTCGGAGAGTGCGCGGTTTGAGGGGTTGCCAACAAGGAGATGGAAGGAGTAGTCGATGTAGCAGTTGTTCTTTGCTTTCTCGTGTGTTGCGTGTAACGTGTCTAGTAGAGTGTCTTCCGTCTTCTTCTGCGGCGCGAATGTCACCATGGTTGTTGTTCCGCCGCATACTGCTGATCGGCTTCCGGTCTCGTAGTTGTCTGCTGTGGAACCTTTCCCGAATAATGGGGGCTCTTGGAGATGTACATGAGCATCGACTCCTCCTGGCATAACGTATCCATTTTCAGCGTCTATCATATGTGCTGCTTTGACATCTTTCAATCCTCCTCTTGGGACGATCTTTGCAATCTTCTCATCTTTGATTGCAACATCCCACTCTTGAACCTCGGTATCTGTAACTACGATTCCGTTGACAATTATGAGGTCATACTCCGTTGCCATGATGTCTCAATAGCTCTCAAGACTCCGAATCACCACTAAACGGGCCTGGGAATCGAAGATAGCAACATTATAGTCCATGTTGGCTGCCCAGATGTTGTCGTGGTCATGATAGGTAGGCTAGACCCAACTAGTGAGGTGCCTATCGTAGCCCCTCCGTGTTTGCCCCACCCACACTTCATCGTTCGACCCGAGGTCGTTTTCTGCACCGCTTATCTACACGACAATGCTTATCCATGAATGGCTTGCCATCGGAAGGATGAATGCACAGTCATATCAATCAGTCATTGTCGGTGCTAAACCAGCACGCGTCGACCGTCGGAAAATGCGTCTCGCGCTATAGCACCAACACAGCGCCACTATGCGCGATTTGGTTCTTCGTGAGCCAAGGCAATCTGCGATCAAACGACAATGGCTTCATCGTCGTTTCAGATCAACGGAGATAGACTGAACAGCACGCTTCAAAGCACTTGCACGCAATGGGGAGCGCTGTCGACCGGTACAGGCATGTGCCGTCTCACGCTCACTCAAGAGGATAAACAAGTTCGCGACTGGCTTGTCACAGAATGCAAAAGTTTGGGATGTGAGGTCAAGGTCGATCAGATGGGCAATATTTTTGCAATACGGCCTGGGACAGCGGAGGACAGAAGTCCAATCGCTATGGGTAGCCATTTGGATACACAGCCAGCTGGTGGAAGGTATGCCCCTATGTCTATTTCAGATGTGCACTTTACTCACTTCCAATCGAAGATATGACGGTATTCTCGGTGTCCAAGCAGCACTTGAAGTCCTTCGTACGCTCCGCGACAATAACGTTGAAACGTACTGCCCGATTGCGCTGGTCGACTGGACAAATGAGGAGGGAGCTCGATTTCCTGGTGCTATGATGGCTTCTGGAGTCTGGAGCACCAAAAGCAGTACATCGCTGGATGCATGTTGGGATGTAAAAGATAAGGAAGGTATACGCATGAAGGACGCTCTAGATCACATTGGCTACCTGGGGAATACGCCATGCGACTACCGAGCGAACGGCTTCGAATGCCATTTCGAGCTGCATATCGAGCAAGGTCCCATCCTCGAGAAAGAACGTAAAAGTGTTGGTATAGTTACTTCAGTACAAGGGATGAAGTGGTTCGCCGTTCGCGTCAACGGTGTTGAGGGTCACTCGGGAACGACGCTAATGCCAGGTCGTTCAGACGCTCTGGTAACTTCATCACGTCTCATCACGGCTGTTCGTGACACTGCTCTGAAGACTAAGCTAGGTGTCGCTACTGTGGGCATGATCAACAGCGATACGTCAAGTCAAGCCACTATCCCGGCAGGTGTGAATTTCATTATTGATGTTCGTTGCTCAACTGATGAAATGGTTGATCAGCTGGTTATTGCTATGTTTAAAGCATTCGACGACATCGTAGTGGAAGAGAACAACGGCACGTCATACAAGATCGAGCGTTCTTGGGGCCTGCCAGAGAGCGAATTTCATTCGCACTGTATCGACGCTGTGCGCACTTCAGCAGTCAGCCAAGTGGGCGAGGAACAGATTATGCAGATGAAAAGTCGAGCTGGTCACGATAGTGCATGGACAAGCCGCGTATGTCCGACGAGCATGATCTTCGTACCGAGTAAAGAAGGGGTCAGTCATAACCCGAACGAGTACACGAGCCCGGAGCACTGCGTGTTGGGAGCGCAGATCTTGCTTGGTGCAGTGCTGATTTATGATGACAAAGTAAAACATGGGAAGCATTAGGCCATTTGCGTCCTTTAACCATGATTTTTGTTGTCTTTCAATGTATGGTATAAGCGTCGCAGTATCTATGGTGTGCTAGACTTGTCTTGCGTCCCCCATCCGTTATCTTATCATCGGCATCTACACCACAGCCCTTGAACCCCCATCTTCGGTCGCTTCCTCCTGCGCATCCCAGCAGCCGTCATGGGGCCATCTGCTTCCTTCGTTCTCCCATTGGTCAATATATCTCAATTGGCTCTGGCGAGCCGTTATCGCCGGCACGCTTAACCCATCCTGCGTCCATGAATGGCGTACCCATGGTGCGATGGACAACTTGAAGCTTGTGAAGATGGCCCGGCATAAGGTCGCAGAGCCTCTTGGTATTCCAAAGCTTAGTGACCAAGAACAGAACAAGATGAGCAATTCAGAGCTCGGAGTTGAACAGGTTGATGTCCTCATTGTTGGTGGAGGACCTGTAGGTATACCAACCCACCCCGCAATCCGCATATGTGATATCGCAAACACTAAATATAGGTCTTATAACCGCTTACCAACTCGCCCGCAATCTCCCCCGTTCCACACACAAGATCAAAATCATCGAAAAATATGCCAAATCGTCACAGGACCAATATGGTCGAGCCATCACCCTGTACCCACGGAGCTCTGAATTGCTTGACCAGCTTGGTCTCGCCGACTCACTCGCACAACAATGCTTCGCCTGCCGACAAACTGCCAACTACGATCAGCATGGTAATGAAGTCGAGGGAAGGGGGTGGGCATTTATGGAACATATGAAGGATTCCAAATGGGATTTTGCTCTTGTGCTTAGGCAGAAGTACCAGGAAGAAATATTCAGGGAGGCGCTGAGGAGGGAAGGAGTGGAGCTCGATGCGCCGTATGCGCTCACTGACATCAAGGTCCTGGAGAAAGTCGATGTGAGTGGTTATAAGATTATCGCTACCATCGAGCACGGAGAGACGAAAGTAAAGAGCTTGGTCAAGTGTCGCTACCTGATCGGCGCAGACGGTGGGAAGTCCTTCGTCCGTCGTGCGATGAACATCCCTTTCGAAGGCTCCTCCAGCGAAGACAAATGGGTACGCATCGATGGGGTCATCGAGACTGACTTACCGAAACCACGAACATATTGTGCTATCGAATCCCCGAGCCATGGAAACGTTCTCTGGGCTGCCTTAGACCACGGAGCTACACGCATTGGTTTCGCATTTACAGCCGAACGCCAGAAAGCTTATGAAGAGTTCAACGAGGAAGCAGCTGTCAAGGAGGCCATCGCATCCGTGAAGCCTTTCTCGCTCAAGTTTAAGCAAGTCGACTGGTGGACTATCTACGTCGTGGGTCAACGCATTGCGCGCTCCTTCTTCGTGAATGACTGTGTCTTCTTAGCTGGTGATGCATGCCATACCCACAGTAGTGGCGCTGCGCAAGGAATGAACACCGGTATGCATGATGCCGTTAATCTAGGCTGGAAGTTGTCTCTGGTCTTGCAAGGCCTGGCGAAGCCCGATCTCTTACACACCTACGAAGCAGAACGCCTGCCAAACGTACAGAAACTCATCAACTACGACAAAGATATCTCGCGTCTGATGACCATGCAACTCCCAGAGAGCTGGACTGGTGATCCGAATGCAGACCCGAATGAGATTCTGGGCAAAGTCATGGCAGAGGCGGCAACTTTCAGCAGCGGACTGGGCATATACTACGAGTCAGACACGTATCTCAACATACAACAGAGTGAGGATATTTCTATGGTACAGCCTGGACAGCGAGCGCCAGACGTTGTTTTGCAGAAACCCGCCACTTTCGAAGGCACACGCTTACAAGCAGAGACCCCGAACACGGCACTGTTTTACATCGTCGTCTTCGCTGGAGACGTCGCAATGACCAAACCCTCTCTTGCCTCCTTCACCGAATTCTTGTCTACACTTTCGTCGCTTCATGACCCGACTTTACCTATTCAGAAGCTATCTATCTTCGCTGGACCGGGCGGGCCCTCGGCATATGAGACGCTAGGTGATATGCCGTTCGGTCGTGTTTTCTACGATGAAGATCATAGTGCGCACCAACGGTATGGAATCAGTGTTGAGAAGGGCGCTGTGTTCGTGCTGAGGCCGGATGGGTGGGTAGGAACGGTTGTGGGCTTGGATGGTAGTGCGGCTGGGAAATTGGATAGATATTTTGGCAAATTCTTGAACGGTGTAGGCAGCGGCAAAGGTGGGGCGAAGCTGTAGATTGTTAACGTGATGCTACTATGGAACCGTGGCTGAGCTCAAAGTTCCAAGACCTCCTCTTCATCCTGCGAGAACCCATCGTCTCCGTCCTCCACCCTCGTCAGATTTGCCCTAAATGCGCTTAATTCCAACTTCCTAAATGTTCCCTCCTTCCCTTGATCCCAGAATACAAGCTCGTTAAACCCTACACCTGCATACAGTGGGCCATCAATGTTCGTCATGCAGAAGTCGTCCCATATCTCGCCCACACCCTCACTCCTTTCTTCACTGACCTGGACCCGCCACTCTTCTCCTTTTTGCCCTTTCTCTTCGCGGTAAAGGAGTGTAGGAACTAGCTGTGCATACCAATGCTTTAGCATGAGAAGCTTACTACCAACAGTCTCTAGGACATCTGTGGAGTTCGATATCCATTTCGTGATGACGAGGCCGCGATGATCGGATGCGAGAGTCATGCTGGAATTCAGACTTGAGTTTGTGGATGCGTATGTCCCTGTATAGCGTTTGTTAAGTTGGCGGATAGAGAGTTCTTCGGCCGCACGAACAATAGCCACGGTTACAATTTCTTGGATCTTGGAGAAAAAGTATGGTGGGCCAGCTAGCAGGATGGTGATGCCAAGATCATACTCCGGTATTGTCATGATAATGCTTGTGTATCCCGGCAGGCCACCACTTTTTGTAATGAAGCGCACCGTTCGCTTCGAATCCTTGAGTATGCGGTCCGTCTGGAAAATCTCCCAAGGCATCCCGTAGAAAGAATGCAGGCCGCGAGATGGCGAAACAGGGTGTATCCAATTTATCGCGTGAGTTATAGCGTTGAATTGCTGCAGTATGTAGCGGAGAAACTTCGACAAGTCGCTCGTGGAGCTGTATATTCCGCCCGTGGGCGATTGAATGCCTTCGTCGGCGTCCCAGTACTGGGGCTCCAAAGGGATAACGCCAGCGGAGTCGGGTGGTAGAGACAAGGTGCTTGTAGACATGTTCAGTGGTTTGAACACGGCCTCGTTGATGTATGATTCGAAGCTCTGGTTCGACACTCGTTCAATCACGAGGCCAAGAAGCTCGAAAGCTATGTTTGAGTATGTCGACTTCTGGTTTGGTGCGAAAAGTGGCGCTTTCGACCTGAGTGCGTCCAGAAGATCTATCATACGTTAACAATGCATTTTACGATACTGCATACAAGCCTCACCATGCAAAGTGCAGGGTGTCTCATAGTTCGGCGAGTACTCAGCACACTTGATCAATCCTTTTCTCGACACAGGCGGCAAGCCAAGATGCTGGGGATCCAGGACCCACTTATCCGAGTTTATCAAATCGCCCTGAGCAACTGTGAAGGAAATTAGCCTGCATACCTTGAGCCGTAAAACACTTTGTTGAAAAACCAAACAGCGTACACTCGCGCGGTATGCCGCTCAGCTGGCTAGCAAGACTCCGCAAAGTGATGTCCTTCCACGGAACCCCACCCTCGGACTTTTCGCCCAACTCCTCTATATACTTGTTTACGGTGCTATCCAAGCTCAAGTTTCCCGCCTCGTGTTGATACAGTATGCCCAAAACTGTGAAGGCCTTGGTGATGCTTGCGATGCGGTAGAGGGCGTCGCCGTTGACTCGTTCTATATCTGGGCGTGAAGTGTTTCGCTCGCGGGCTGTATGGTGGTGGGACCATAGCGACTCCTTCGACGACGTGATTTCCACGGAGAATGAGGTTGAGGCATATTCCGGTGCTGCGACAGCTACCGTGAGTGCTGTGCCGATGGATTCGAATGCACTCTGCAGCAGAGGATCGTTAGGGTCATACTCAGGCAGTGGATGGGCGACTGAGGGCTCAAAGCACTTTGCGCTAGCAAGAGCCGCCACAAGCAAAACGGAAAGAAGCATCATTGTGGTGGGTGAAGCTGGAGTGCTCCATGGTGGCATGCGGTGTTGTGATGGATTGACGCGCAGGTGCGGGCGGCCTAATGTCTGACCGCATCTGCAGGAGCCTTGATCGCGGGGTTAGCGTCCATCTGCGACAACGACCTGTATCTACCTCTTGACATTGATCATTCCGCTCTCGTTGATGTTTGGCCTTACTGCTCAAAGTCTTCGGAAGTCGCGACATCGCGCGATCACGTGCGTTGGCGTTTCGGTGAGCGTCGGTGCATAGGACCCACAAGGCATTTCAGACTCGAGAGGTTCAACATACGTATCTAAACAAGCTCCTTTCAATTTGAACTAACATCAATCATACTCTATTCTGGCTCCACATTAGTCCTGTGTATGTGGAACCGCCTTTTATCCGCTAGACAAGAGCCCCACAAATACCGACCGAAAAACTCATGACACCCTCTGCAATGCCTCGTGGCTGCAAGATAATCGTTCCCATTCGAACATGACCAATTTGCCCTATTCCTTCTATCCATTACAATGGCTTCGAGTCAAAACAATGCTGTTGGCACTCTTGGACCGTCTAACGATCGTCATCTCTGGGGACGAGACGCTTCATCAACGTCAATGCGATTTATGGTCTACTCTAACTGCCGATATTAGCTTCGGGAGATGTTTTTGCCACATGAACGCCTCTTTACCCCAAATAGGCATCCTCCATAACACGAGCAACAGCATAGGTCATATACGGATGATTTTACGAGCCAGGTGACACTGCTCTATATCGAGGCAGGGCTAGGCTTTCGATCCGGCTAATCGTGTTTATGCAGGAATCGAGTCTTAAAAGTAGCTTCAGCCTCAGTTCTTCAACCTAAGGCACCTGCTATCATAGTCAGTCAACATGCGCGCGGAACTAGTAGCTCTTCTCGGTGTTGCGGCAAGCACCTATGGTGCACCTCTTGAGAATATCAATTTGGAGCGAATTCTCGATCTTTTTCCTCGTCAATCAAACGTAACATGTCCTTCAACGCCAAATCCCATGCCAAAAGCGGCCGCTTTCCCTTCGGTCAAGACGATGCCGGACCCGTTCCTGTACCTAGATGGCAAGACCCGTGTTCAAAGCAAAGATGAATGGATCCAATGCCGCCAGCCGGAGATTATGAAGCTTTTACAAGAGTACCAGTATGGTTACTACCCTGACCACTCACAGGAAACGGTATCGGCAACTCGAAGTGGCAACACATTGACCGTCACTGTAGCCACAGGAGGAAAAACCGCCACCATTGCAGCAACGCTGAACCTACCAAGTGGTAGTGGACCTTTTCCAGTCATCATATCTATTGGCGGTATGGACACAAAGAGCTATACGGGTGCTGGTATTGCTGTGGTAACATTTGATTACGGGAAGGTTGCAGCGGACAGTAATACCAAGAGCGGATCCTTCTGGACTTTGTATAGTGGCAAAGATATTGGTAGATACTTTCCCCTCACCCTGCAGTACGCCCTGTGGGTCTCTAATTTAGTCCTGCAGGTGTTCTCACAGCTTGGGCATGGGGCTTCCACCGCGTGCTCGATGGCATCGAGCTGAAGGTCCCCGAAATCGATGCCACAAAGTCCGGCGTAACGGGTTGCTCGCGCCTCGGCAAAGCCGCCTTAGCAGCTGGTCTCTTTGACAAGCGTATCGCGGTCACGATGCCAATGTGCTCTGGTGTTCAAGGCGCAGGACCATACAGATACAGTCTCAGCGGTCAGGGTGAAAACCTAGAGAACGCCGTATGCACACTTCCTCCTCGCTAAGTTGTAGATGCTGACTATGCGTAGAAGTCAGGAGCCGGTTGGTGGACTTCGTCCGGCATTTCTCAGTTCGTCGGCAAATCCACCCAGCTTCCCTACGATGCGCACACCATCGTCACCGCCATTGCGCCGCGCGCTGTGATTCTCTCGCAAAACTCCGGCGATCAGTTTACCGACTCTAAAGGCACCGCACAAGTAACTTTCCCCGCTGCGAAGGTCGTGTACAACTGGTTGGGAGCAGGTGAAAAGTTAGGTATGAGTATCCCGGGCGGCGGGCATTGCGATCAAAGTGGCTATGCCGATGTGTTGCCGTTTGTGCAGAAGGTACTGCAGGGGAAGAGTACGACGAGGAACTTTGATGACTTGAAGACTTGGAAAGCTATGCCGGAGGCGTATCCTTGGGGGACAGATTTACCAAAGGGGAAATGAGGCTAGTCGAAAAGTGCGAAAGATTGCATGTCAAATTACTGTAGGGTCACTGGTCGGGTGTTTCGCAGAAGTTCGGTACTACGGCTTGGACCATGGGTTATTCTAGCTCTACCATGTTGCCACCTCTGAATTTTCGACTCTTCGACGCATAGGTGGTGCATAACTGTGCGGAATCTGATAGAAAGACTGAGAAACCGCCTTTCTTCGATTTGCAACTCATTACAAATCCAGTATCCCTCTCACTATTTCCCATTCAAGCAATCCCTTACACCTACTTTTTCAAGAATGATCATGACAGAAGTACACAGAATGTCCGCGCTGCCTCGCTGCGCACTGAAATGTCTACGCAATGCCCCCATCTGCAATCCCGAAGCACAATTCACAAGGGCAAAATCCGACTGCGGCGACTCCACCCTCAAGTTATGGGTAAGATTCGTTTGTTGCGCAATCGTCTTCCTCGTAAGCATGAGCCTGTACTACGTTTCGTACCTGCTGGTCCCGTATCGCACACGCATCCTGTGAATCTTATGGGAGTTTGCCTGTGTAACAGTACGTTATCCTCCTTAGTAGCAGGAGGTAAAGCGTTAGGTACAGAGCTAACAAGGTCATAGTTCATCGTGGGAGCATTCAGGATGATTTACTCTCGTAGGATTAATGGGCGGTTGAGCTGTCCTGCGTAACTTTCGCAAGGGGAAAATCTGGGATAGATTGTTTATAGTCTGATGGGAAGGAAGAATTGCGAATAGATTCTTAGAAAAAATAGTAAATATAATGAGCATGTTGTGCAGTTTTGCAACTGAGGTTTTTGGGTTCCAACCAATCATTCTCAGTGCGAACAGTAGACAATGATTTCATCGACAGGCCTTAGTGAATTATAATCTTTTATGCTAGACTAAAAACTCTTTATTTATTCATAACGTTAACCGTGGGTACATTACTTATGAATAAGAACAGGTATTTGGTACCGATCTTAGTACCGGATCTTTCAAAAATATATCGAAACTTTTTGTTGTTTTAACTTTGAGTATATAATTTCTTTTCCTCTCAGTAAAATTGAAGGCACAACGAAGCATACCAACCCTCCCACATCAAGATACACTTCGAGCCAGTAAACCCCCACAACAATCTAGACCATGTCAACCTCTTCAATAAATATGGGCCGCCCTATTCTCCGCCCTGCCGTCCACACGGCTATCCACCGCCCCAGAGTGGATGCGAACCTTCCATCGCGCGACAGCTTCATCGCCAACCAAATCAACGTTACAACCGAATGCAGCCTATGTTACGAAGGCTTTGATGAGAATCATGCCCCGGCTCGCATTACCGGACCAATGGCCTGCAATCACGTCTTTGGCGCGACTTGCTTGCGAGATTGGCTCATGTCCGACCATCCCAATGCGAACACGTGCCCCATGTGTCGAGCTACGCTATTCCGCGGAGAGGAAACCCGCCAAGAGCACCATAGAAGGGGATACCATATAGATGAAGACAACGAAGAGGAATTCGGTTTCGATGAATACTATTTCCAAGATTACGATGAAGGGACACCCTATTTCCGGGAATACGATGAAGAAGAAAGTTACCCCTGGGATTATGACACTGAAGAGGAGAGCGAGAGCGAGAGTGAGAGTGAGAGCGAGGGGGAAAGTGATATTGAGCAGGATGGGGACGATGCCAGTGATGACGGTACGGCCGTAACCAACGAGGTAGATGCCCATTTGTCCATCAATGAAGGTGGCAAAACCTCATGATACAAGAGTAGATAGGTTGAAAATTGGGCGATGTTTTGCTTCATCTTGTACACATATCTCATAGTGCTATCATGTCAGGCTTTTGCGAGGCAGGAATTATGTATTAAATAGCTAATAAAGACCAAGATTTTGATACAAGCTGTTGATGTGGAAGAAACCGATATTTACGTTGCAGATCATACCCGACACCCTTGCCTCGCTAACCTCGACTGAGACATGCACACGTGCCGAACTAGCGCAAGGTAGCCAGATCTCTTGCATAATCAGGCCCTCGTACCTTTCCATCTTCACTCGCCATTATTGTGGTTTAGCCTCTCTCTATAGTAGCGAAAAGGTATTCACGGTACGCTGTATAGCTGCACGACACTTTTGTACAAATGATATAAACTCAGGCCTTCTGAACGCTCGACTCTTGGACCCGGTTAGACAGTACACTACAGCTTTTAGAAGATGGAATGCGCCATCTGCAACAAGTTTCAAGGGCGCTGGAAGATCAGCAGCAGGGCTGAGGCGCAAAAACATCGCGGCCAAGGCATCCGAAGCCTCATCGTCCCCAAGTTCACGAGGGATGAATTACTGATTTCAGCACAGGCATGCTATGGCTGCCAAATCCTCATAGATGGGTGCCGCGGATGCTTCAAATTGCATGGTATCAATGAGGCGGATATACTACACTGCGGCCTTCGCTTTCATTATCCATACTGTACCGAGGTTGTAGACGATGCAGACACGGACAAGCATCTCATCTTTCATTTGTCAACCGGGGGCCGTTTTGAAGTGGAACTGTTTGCTACTGAAGACGACGATTGTCACATTCCGGATAGTTGGGATTACATTCCTACACTGTGGCGCACTTCGCCTCGGACGGATTCTCCAGCGGCATTGGTTAAGATAAAGGGCTGGATTGCCCAGTGCATTGTCGACCATGGCGAATCATTGTGTAGGTGCCCAGAATCTGTAGTTCTCCCGACTCGGGTGGTGGATGTTGGTCTCCAAGACGGCATAGTGAAGCTTCTCGAGACGAACGGGGCCAAGGCGAAATATATCTGTCTCAGCCATTGCTGGGGCCTCGAGCAGATTATCACGACAACGCGATCGACTCTCAAGGAGCGCAAGAAGGAAATAGCCTGGGACGACCTATCGAAGACGTTCCAAGATGCAATATCCCTCACCCGGGCTCTAGGCTTTGATTATATCTGGATCGATAGCCTTTGCATCGTCCAAGATGATTCTAAAGACTGGGAAATGGAATCAGCAAAGATGGCTTCGGTTTATAGCAATGGGCGTTTGACAATTGCTGCAACACGTTCTGCTAGCGGCCACGGAGGTCTTTACTCACGCACAGAAGACTTCAAGGTATCCGGCAAAAGCCCCGATGGAGAAGCGTATTGTCTCTACTTCCGTGAACGAATCGATCACCAAATCGACGCCATCTTTGAGAGCGCCGACTCCACCTCGAGCGAAAAGTACTATCCTCTTCTTTCAAGGGCATGGGTCTACCAGGAGCGCATGCTCTCTACACGAGTGCTCCATTTTGGCCGGTACGAGCTGTTCTTCGAGTGCAATTCTAGCATTCAATGCGAGTGTGGGACTATACAGTACCATGGTGCCGGTATCGATACTCCTGTGCCTCTGATCAAGCTTGAATACGCAGATGCGCTCTTGGATTATGACCTCGGCTACGAGGGACAAGCCCTCGCCAACATACAGTATCAATGTGCCCGCTTGTGGCGCACTATGGTGTGCTGTTATACAGCGCTTTTTCTGACAAAGTCTAAAGACCGACTGCCGGCGATCGGTGGCTTAGCAAGACAAATGGCCACCAAGAGGAAGTCAAAATATCTTGCAGGGCTTTGGGAAGAATCTCTTCAAGATGATGTACTCTGGATGGTGTATACGACGTCGACGTTGAAGAAACCCAGACCCTACCCTTTGAATGCTCCGACGTGGTCGTGGGCAAGTGTAGAAACGCTTACTAGCTACTGGGATGTGATTGTTTTCACCAATATGGAAGAAGGTGTTGCAGAAGAACGACCGCCATACAAACACTTTAGTATCATCGAAGAATGTCAAGTCGAGCAGTCGGCAATCGACGCGTTCGGATCAATCGCGCACGGTTCTCTCACCATATCCGGTCTGTTAGTGGAGGGCCTTCTTGAGCGCGAAACCCGGCTGCGTGATGGCGAGGAAGTGATTGAGCACTACGTATCTTTTCCAGATACTGTGCGCTTGGGTTTGGATACAGACTACCTTCTAGATGCTGACGGTCCTGGTTATACAAGTCCGGGAACCCTAATTTCTTGCCTTCGCATGAGTCTCTTCCAGGAAGGCCAGAAGGAATATTTGCTCTTACTTGCGCTGAAGAAGTCTACAAGGACCCCAGGATCTTTCGAGCGGATTGGTACATCAAGAATAACCGGTGTTGTAGGCTCAGTGGACACGGAAGGCGGAGTGTTTCGAATGGCAGAGTCCCGAACCGTCATCATTATTTGAATTTGAATGCCTAGCATTAAACAGTATGACCTGCTATCATGCCATGATAATAGAAGTGGCTATTGAAAATGAGTCTAACTAAGTAGATAGTGTACATTCCCATTGCAAAAGTCATCAGAAGCCACGTATGGCTAGACAAGAGCCCGTTAGGCACCGTGCGACCTCCGTTATCGAGGGGATCTTCCGCTGAAGGACCACGAAGTCATCTAATAGATGGACTACCGCTACATCCATGCCCATGTAGCCATGTAGTAATGCAAATATGTAAAGAAGAGAAGCCACCATGGCTGTGACCCAAAACACCCAGTAGAACGCCCAAGCCCTCCGTAGTCATACACCCCATTCGAGTACATTAGTCATGTTCATTAAATTCTCCCTCTCGCTCTACGAGTACCGCCATGTCTCCCCACCATGAACTTGATTAGGTGCCGGTTGTAATGGTGGTAGCACCGACTTCTGTGTAGGCATAACTACAACACCCTTTCCGTCATCGCTGATCGGGCTCGGCGTCGGACGCTGAGGCTCTCGTGACGGCAGGAGAGGCGGCGTCTGGGTTTGCACAGCTTGCATATTTTTAGGTAGCTCGTATGCTAAGCTCGAACGAGGCCCTGGCGGAGGGTATCGCGGCTGCGATTCCTGGGGCGAAGCAGCCACGACAGCAAGCATAGCTGTTGGGCCTGTCGAAGTTGCAAGTTGTTTGAGCATCTGCTCCCATTTGGGCGCTTCTGCTGATTGAGGTGCTCGTGCCATCTCACGCTGGAAAGCATCCGGAGATTGGAATTGCGCTGATGGCCTAGGCGCAGGTAATCCGGTTGGTGGAGGTCCATGATAGTATCCTTGGTTCGGTGTTGGCCCATCGGGGGTCAGAGGCTTCGGTGCAATAGCAGTAGGTGGGCCGCTGGCGCGCGGGGTTGGTGGCTTAGGCATCCATTCCGGTGCAATTCCACCATCCAGACTATAAGGTGACACGTAAGTTTTTGCTCGCCTGAGGTACGCGTTCTTGAGGTATGGGTAGTTCATAACGTAGGCAAGATATTCAGTGGGGGATTGGGCAGCATAAACAACGGAAGAGGAGGGTGCAATGGCGTACATTGGAGGTTTGGGAGTCCCAGTTGGGTTGCTCAGCATGTTTGAGATCGAGGCATGACTATGCGAAGGCCCTTGACCCTGAGGACCAGGTTGACCATACGCCGGAGCCACACCTTGAACTGAACCTTGGGTGTATGGGGATATGGGCATCTGGCGAGGGCTCTGTGCGTATGGATATGGTGGTAGAGCCTTGTTGGACTGCGATGTGTGAGTATACTGATCAATCCCGTTGAGCAGGCCTTGTCCAGATGCCGCGGGCTGTGCCTTCCATGTAGAGGTGGAGTAACTCTGAGGTGGAACGTATGGGTGGTACTGAAACTGTTGCTGTTGCTGCTGCTGCGAAGGCTGTGGCTGTGGCGGACGATGGGAGTGGTAGCCTTGGTATGGTGCTTGCCCATAGGGTGACGTTGGTATCCGGTGATCGTAGCTGACGTTGGGCTGATGTGCTACAGGGGAATTGGGATTCTTCCGCGTATCTGGATTGTATACGGGCGACTTCCAGGTGGTCATCATTGCCTCCTTTGGCTTGTACTGATACGGTCGATTTAGTTGTATCTGCTGTTGCATCGGCGTACGCGGAGGTACTGCAATAGGAGCCGGTTTGATTGGGTACGAAGCCGTATACGAGGTTCGATTGAAAGTAGGCACTGGCGGGGCTGGAGGCTTAACAGTGTCCAAAAAGCTGCTCTTTGGATTGTTCTTTGGGTTTGCAGGATCCTCGGTATACTGCGGCCTAGCTTCAGTCGATGGCTTTCCAAGGTAGTACCAAAGTCGGTTCTCTTTGCCAAAGTCAACTTTTGCCAGCTTCTGAGTAACCTCAGGAGCGATGTTCCATTCGGCCCACTTTTGCACAGAGTTGGGATCGTGAAACGGATCGCCCATTTCGGGAACGCCATCTGTACGATTGGTGATGTCGAGCGATGCATCGCTCTCCTTGAGATGCTCGGGCAGAGGCTTAGCATTCGCAGATGGCTTCAGTCGTTGGGATTCATCCGGGTGCAACTTCAGGATATATTTCCACTCCACCTCGACCCGGTCACTACTCAGTGTTAGCATGTTAAATCTCATTTCCATAATCATAGCACTCACCCATCAGGCAGCACGTCCACGAGTACTGCTTGCTCGCCAGGTCTGTTCTCGACAACTTGTGCGCCATAGATCTGGTACATTTCGCCACCAACATACTGGAATTGAACGACATCCTTTGGCTTGAGTGTCTTGCCATAGGCGAGGATGAATCTGTCCTTTTCCAATGAATCGACATCAACCGTCTTATTGTTTCTCTTCTTCGGACGATGGAAGCGGCATCGGAAGTCATACCCGTCGTAAAAATATTCCGTGCCCTCCTCGTCGAATGTCGGCATGGGGCCAAGATCAACCTGTACACCAGCTGCTACCGCGCACGTAGCGTGGAAGGCCCTGGTGCACTTCTTCTGGGAGCACTGAAAGACGGCGCCGCGCTTCGATCGACAATAGTTGCACTTGAGCTCGAGACGGTCCTTGGCAATATTGGCCACGTTACACACGGTCTCGCTATCCGCCTTGGTAGAGATAAAAGTCTCTGGTGTGTAGTCGGCACAGATCCGATGAGCCTTCATACCGTTATCCGTCGGCAGTAGATCGTCGTATTCAACATCGTTGGGACACAGAACGCAAGGCATACCCCGTCCTGGAATTCTAATGCGGATGCGGATTCGCTTGAGCTTCTTCGGTCGAGGTGCGTCTTTGGGATTCTCTTTACCGCGCTTCCTCTTATTGTTGGCCGGTTTCCGGCCAGCCTTTCCTTTAGACCTACCAGCAACACTGGGCGGGGGACTCGGAAGATGATCTGCACCATCTTCATCATCCTCGTCATCGTCAGTCTCCTCATAATATTCGGGAGTTGGCTCGCCTCTCAGCTTGCGCTCAATCTCGTTGACATCGACCCAGACGCTGTCTGACTCGCAGTCGCACTTTTTAGCAATTCTGCCATAGCTTAACCAAGACTCATTCGCGAAGTTGACCGACTCTGCGCAATTGTAGCCAATATTGTAGCCAGAATGGTAGCCATATGGGTAGGTAATGACAAACTCGCCCTCATAATGGACTAGTCGGTTGACCTTGATGTTAAAGTCCTTCTCTAGTCGCTGAGGCGAGATTAAGTAGGTCTTGTGCCGTAGAAACTGTGAGCAGTTCTTTGCATCGCGCGGCCAGATGCTCTTCATGGCTGCCTCGAAACGTCGAGCGTCCTCCTGCGAGATACTGTACCATTGCTTGGGAGCGCCGAAGTGGATGTAGTTGATACTGTAGAGATCCACATCCTCGAGATGCCAAGCAAAGGTGGCTTTCCACATGCCGAGGTAGAGGTAGGCAGTGTTGACGCCCGGCACTTTCGTTCCAAGCACGTCGAGCAGATTCGGGAGTTTGGCGACATTCCAAGACGTCGTGCGATCGTCAAAGAGAGAGCCCGGCATATCCGCTCCATACATGGGCGCTCCATAATTAATAGTCTTCCAGTAGTTGTCTTCGAGCTCCTTGCACCGTTCGACGGAATATTCTTCAAGACCAGGGAGGTGATAGTCGAAGTCATCAAAGGCCTCCTCGTCAATATAGTCTGCCACGGCGCCTCGGTTATTCAGTCGTCGAGACGAGACCGACTTCTTCTGGTCAACAGTCTTTGGTTGGCGTCCACGTGCTTTGGTTGGTGTTGTGTCGTTGTGGGTCTCTTTCTTGAGCCCTTTAGTCGAGCTCTGCTTCTCTTCCTTACCCGGCGAAGTGGGGGTAGGGGGAACGTCGATGGACTCTGCGTCGTCGTCGTCATCGTCGTCGATTGGTTCCTTCTTCACCTGGCGCCTTCGGGCCGGACGGCCAGGCCTGCGCTTGGTGGCAGATGAGGCGTCATCGGTGACTGCGGGGGCGGCCTGAGCGCGTGTGGAGCGCGAGCGAGATGGAGCCTCTGCGGCAGCTTTCCGGCGCTCGCCTCGCTTAGCCGGAGGTTGGTGGTGCGGCTCATCAGTCACGGCGCGCCACTCCGGCAGGTTGTACGATCGCTGCTTCTCAATGTTCGCCTGTGTGTAGATACCGTGCTGTCCAGCAAACTCCTGCATGATGGGGTTCTTGACTTTGATCGCCTTGATGGCATCGCTGAGATCGGGAAGGGAGTCGCGCCTATGGATTGCATTAGCCAGGAGTTTGTACGGGATGTGTACTCGCATTGGCTTACCATTCTTTTGGTGGGATGACCTTGACGATGCCAGACTTCATCCCGTGCTTGTCGATCTTGTCGACGAAGCGCTTGAAGTTGCGGAATTGGTCCATTGTCTGTACACATGGCAATTAGTAGGGTGCTATCTCCTACTGCGTGCATCCTGATAGAAGCTCTACTACACGCAGGCGCTCTTCCCGCGCGCGTGCATGGCGAGCCAGTAGTTGGGTCGCTCCAAAACGTACCGGCTTGAAGACGGGTATCTTTCCTCCTTCAAAGTAATGGTCGGGTTCAATGTCCTCGCCGTCATCGCTGTCGAGATCTGATAGTTCCGACGACATTCTCTCATCCCTCTTGTCGTTGTCCTCGCTCGTAGGTGGTGTCAGGGCGGGCTTGGTAGTAGCATCATCGTGTTGGGCAAGAGGTGCCTCAACCGACGGCACCAGGTCCGCCGGCGCCTCCATGGCAAGAGGCAGCTAAGTCGTTCGAGTCGACGTCGTCTCAAGTGCAAGTGCGAAGCTCGTCGGCGGCTGGCAGGTGTGGGTCGCGACGTATCTGGGGTTCACCATGCGTCGCTACTCCCGCCACCGTAGTCGCTGGTAATTGCAGCAAGACCACAGTAATTTTACGGGCAGCGCATCAGCGTCGCGGAGCTTGTGGTATGATACAGAGTCGATATAGCGGGGTTTGGGCAAGAGGAGGACGCTGGAATGTGCCAGCAGTGTAAAGGCGAGAGTGAGGAGGTTGCAGTCGCCAAGATGGGTGCTAGGCTCTGGTGGGCACTAGCCGCTGCATCCCTGTCCGTCTGGCCTGATCATCACTTCACTCCTGTACCAACTCGGAAGACCTAATCCATCAGCTATCGGCTGTCAAGTCGGGTACATATGCCTGCCTATGCTAGTTGTGGCTTACAGTATTTCACCTGACAGACGACTTCTACTCTACTACAGTAGTCGTGTCCATGAAGCCTTTTCAGGTACCGGCCTGCATTTGCACGCGCTAGCCTGTGTGCACCCCCCAACCCCAACCCCAACTACGGCATGCACGTCATTTCAGGCCACAATCTGCGACTCCATCTTATCAGATCGATTCACCACCACGCATCAACAAATTGCCGTCGCGCGCAATCAGCCCAGTCATCTCAGCATTTCTGTATAATCATGTCATCTATGAAGGTGAACTCCTCCCCTATGCGGCCTAGTCTTTGACGAAACGCAGTTCAGCGGCACTGTGGCCTACCCATTACATATAGTATTTTATCCAGGTCTGCACCAACCAAAACAACGTTCGTGTGTGAGTGGAGATAAGCTTTCTAGATCCGTGTTGTAAAAACGGCCGCCGCAGTGACCCGCTAGTTCATGCATCACTCCGCGCTGCGGAGCACAAAGCCTCGCTTCTTAGTACAGTATGCGGCTCTTTCCTGAATAGTTGGCCCTTCTTCGTGTGATGCTGACTTACTCTTTGCTGCTGGATACAAGCGACCGCCGTGTGTAGCTTCACTCAGGCAGGAGGTTTTCGGTGAACCTTGCAAACGCAGAGCGAATGAGGATACATCGCCAGTGTCATCCTAGCTGTCGCAAGAGAGCTTGTCTGCCCTTGAAGAAGCTTGCCTAATGAACCAGCGGGCCATCGCACCATGAGCTCGTGCCTGAATCGCCAGTGCCATAGCTCGCACTGCAGTTCATAGAAACCTCCTACTGGCGCTCACTGAGACAACGACACTTTCTGCCGAAAGGAAGCTGAGAAAGAAACTGACCATCCAACTAGCTTACTTACGGGGAACTGTTTCCGCGGCTTAGACTGTGCGTATGTCATGCAGCAATCGGCGGGTTCCTGACAAGACGAGCGTTGCCACCAACACACTCCACTCGGCAATCGGAGATGATGAGCCAGCACATCACCCGTTAAAAATCTCCGGATCGGCGTGTCATCTGCGGCTGACGCAGGGGCACGACACTCAGTCATCAGAGTCTAGCTGACGGTACAACTGCCAACTTTTAGCTTCCACCACACCCTAGGCACACACAGATGTGAGATTGCAAATACACGACCTATGACCAGCCACCATCCCTCTTTCTGTCCCCTCAGTAGCAAGAGGGAGCTGCATAGGCCATTAGATGGGAAGCAACGCGGCCAACAGATGGACAAGTAGAGTTTATAGAGACAATGTTGAGAAGTTTATGCAAGCGCATGATATTGAGCGCCAGATCGTAGCCCAGAAGACCATGGTATTATACAGTGGCCCATGCCCGAGATATGCGAGGCTCCTATGCTATGCTACAAAGATTTAGGCTGTACGCATTCCTTTCAGCCGCTCTTTAGTCTTCCTTGTTAAGATACAGAGCATGAAAGGAGAGGGGAGGTGAATGACCAACCCAAGAGAGACCAACGTCTCACCTTTCGTGCTTCAAAAAGTCCTGGAAAGAAGTTCATCGTGCCATGTCTCTACGACGACTCACCGCGAGGAGGGCCGCGGAATCCGCCTCGCGGACCCCTAAACTCTCCACGACCACGTCCGCGACCACCTCGGAAGTCACCTCGAGGGCCGCCTCGGCCTCTGCCGCGGTATCCTCCTCGATCACCACCGGCGTGTCCTCCTCGTCCTCGTCCTCCGCGGTTGTGGTGGACCTCGGAGAAGCCGTCGTTGCCAGATGCCGGCGCAGGCGCAGTTGTCGGCTCAGGAGTATCGTCCGCCCAGCTCTGGGTGCTAGTGACGGGAGCAGCTACATGCGGGTTCTCAGTCTCTGCGGGGTCTCGCGGGATGATCTCGAAAGACTCGCTAAGCGGGTCGTCACCTGCAGTAGCCTTCTTGTCCCACTGCTCCTCTGCAGCGGCATTTGCAGCTCCTGGCTCGATGCTGGATGCTGCTGGCGCAACTGACGTCTCATGGCCTTCTACGCTGCCGTTGTGACCCGCCACGCTCTCGCCAATCTCCGTGAGTCCTGCGTTGGTGACAGTTGGGTCCGATACTGCTTCTGATGCCTCGGTTTCGGGAGGAGCGGGCTGTGATTGCGCCACATCATCCACCCAAGCCTCCTCTGCGGCAAATGGAGCCTCCTCGAGCGCTGCCTGCTTGACCTGGGAGTCTGAATCCTGGTTAGCATTGTCTCTTTCACTGTTGTACCGTGTTGACTTACAAGTGATGCTGAGTACCACACCCTCAGTAGAAGGAACACCGTCATCCGCACCATCGATTAGCTTCTCCGCCGCGAGCACGGCAGTAGCATCCCCTCCGTACACCTGGAGTAATGCGCCCTCAAAGGCCTTTGTAAGGTCTGAGTCGTCGTCCTCAAGTTGGCGTCGAGCAGCAGCCGCCCTCAAGAAGCGGGACAGAGTCAGGATCTTATCTTTGAGAAGCTTCTTCTGCTCCAGCGCTGCCTCAGCCTTGATTGTCTCCTTCAGTGCTTCCAGCTCTTCAGAGTGTGACTTCGACAAGATCTCCTTCTCCCGAGCGAACTTGACCTCGAGCTCCTGCCCATACTTTGTGTAGTGGCCATACTGCTCCTCGTACTGTGCGAGCTGAGCCTGGAGGCCTGGTTTCCTCTCGGCCTGGGCTTTTTGGTCGGCGTTAATCTTGCGAGACGCGAGGAGATCGTCGAGGGGGACACCGGGATTAGCCTCGATTATGGAGTCGACCTTCTGGGTAGCACTCTGCGCAAGTCGTGTTAGCTAGGGCTCGTAAGGCTGAGGCGCAAATGTCAGCTTACCAGTTTCTTGTTGATGTTGCGGATGTTCCTGTGAGCACAGATGTTATTAGCGACGGTCTTTCCGTGGTAGTTTGGAGCTGGCGAGCTGGGCTGCTACTCACTTCTGGAGCTCCCTGATGTACGAGTTCTCGCTGTCAGTACCATTGGCCTTGCCTGCTGCGTCGGAGCCACCTGCGCCGAACTCAGAATTCGCCTGCTCGGGGGCAGCTGGGACTGCGGTGGCAGTGTCCCCCTTGCCCTTCTTCTTGCGGGCGCTCTTCGACTCACCCGAGACCAAGGATTGTAGCTTGGAAACAACGTCGGGTGCCATAGTTCTGTGTAATTTGGTGTCTAATGGAAGTTAGAAAGGGGTCTACACGTGAGTCGCGAGCTGAAAAGTTTGAATGATTTAGGGTTGGTGCGTTGTGTTGTTTCGAGCTGAACAGTTTGGACATTTGGTCGCCTGCTTCAAACGTACGCCAAGAGCTTCGTGGGCGGGCGCATGGGCCTCGTGGAAGCTACTAGACCGTCTATGGGCATGATTCCACGCGACTTAGAACAGAACACGAACATTATCGAGATATGTCTTGATGGTGAACTGATACGCGCAATCTCTTGCTACCTATCCAACATGCTTACTCGAAACCGAGAATGGAAATGGACCCACTGCATAACGCCATCAGCGAGGTCCTACAAACAATGAACTGCTTTTAGTCTCTGGGTATACGTAGTATTTGCAAAGCTGTCGAATCCCTCGACACACACGAAAAGGCATGTGAATACCGAATTAACTCCGGCTAGTTATGTGAAGCATAATAGGGACCATAACTACCGAGGAATAAAGACCGGATCTGATCAACCTTCTGTGATGTGGAACCACGGAGTCAAGATCTTTTGCAAGGGAAACGTTTAGAGCGTGATGGACTAATTCGAATCCGGGTGATCCCCTCGGACACGCTGGATTTGTTATGGCCGGGGCTCCTACTCATTAAGGGTGAGTGTGATTCCCACCACTACAGTGTGTCAGTGATCTATGACTGAGGAGCCGAATAAGCGTACAGTGCAACGTTACTCCCGCTCTTCGCCCTGGGTAATGTTTCTTGGGAGATTCTGTGCTCGATAGGAACAGATTCGGACGTTATACTAGTATGGGTAGTCCGACCGAGGCCAGTGTATGTAGCGGAAGTGCTGTTCGTCTTGACATCCTTACTCTGCCGCACACTGTGCGTTTTCGTTCGAGTTGAATACTGCATGGGTCGAAGGAAAGAGCCATCTAGAGGTAGCGTTGGGTGACATGGTCTACAGTAGGTTTAAGATCGTTCCACGCGCGCTACTCTGCAATGCTGAACTAACTATACCCCCACAAGCGTTGTCGCTACTATATATCTGAAACAGGATCTGCATCTATTTTTATAGAGTTTTATATAGACAACGAGATGGGGTATCACAAAATAGACACAAATAGTCCAAACCAGTAAATCCCCTCTACCAGTAAGGGAAAAAACACGAAAAGCGTGACAAAATATAGGTATACACAGAAACGCCGGTCTCGTAAGGATCTGCATCTATGTTGCTATTAGAAGTAGGCATGTGATTGAGGCTAGGTAGCTGGTGGTGGTGGTGAAGCTGAGTCGTTCCTTCCCAGAGAAGATGCAAACAGCGCTGGCGGATTAGTCCATAAACCACCAGACCACAACCTTAAACCAACGCCAAGGTAAGTGTACAAGCCTTTCAAGACGTGAGGAATCAGAAGAAGAGTGATACACATGGGAATAGCTGGTCTTGCATCAGTGTTTTACCCGGAGATAGAATAATGGCTACGCAGCCTTCTGGTCTCTTACAGCTTGAAGCTACTCTATAGAAACAGGTTCTATTGTTTCATAAGGGGGTTATAGAAGAGAACTGTTCATGACCTATAGCTACCAATGCAAAGACAGCGGTGGAGGGTAGAAGAGTAAATGATCAGCGGCTATTCATATATAAAAGGCATTATGCTCCGACCCATCCATGAGCTCGCATAAAATACAAAAATAGTCCGGCTCTGCTGGCCTGAAGCACAAGCGGCGAGGCTTCTGGCCCGTCCCGTATGAGTCCTAGTACGGAGAACGATGGCGCAATGTAACCTGCCAAGTTGGGACGAAGTATAGACCGATGAGGTACAATCAGACTTGAAAAATGTATATGGATGTTAATGCGCGGTCCATAGTAGTGGTCAGATCCTCGGGGTGTTGAGGTTAACAGTTACTTTCAGGCATATTGCTGTAAGAGCTTTGTATGAATTGGTATCATCCCCGTCGAAGAGAGCAGCCCGATTGATCATGGAGGCTGGATAAGTTCACCATGTTTAAATTTTCCGATTGAATAAACATCGCAAAGGGGAGAAATCTAGGCTACATTCTGTGAGTAGCATTGCATGATCGGGCCGATAGTCGCAAGGGCAAGGTGAGGTAGATAGCCTCGTGACTGGCTGCTGCAATGTGGGGGGGTCTATGTCACATGCCATCTTGTCTCGGATTGCTATAGTCATGGGGACTAGGCAGCTTGTGAAGGAGGTGTCATCTGTACGCTGCAGTCGCCGATTCTGATAGAGTGCGGAGAGATGTGTTGCCAGTGTGTAGAGGCTGGATTCGTGCATCATGTCCAAGGCGCATGCCGAGGTTCAGCAACCCAATCAGGACGTTCTGGACGCGAAGCAATCCATGACGGAAGCGGAAGCGGAAGAGTCTGACTGATACTTTTTCCATGCTCGATGCATATTTCGAAAGCTTGCTTGCGACGTCTAGCAGCCGAGATGCTGCGGGTTTGTGGGTCTCTGTCGCGGTTGTGTAGTAGAGAGTGGTGAGGGTTGCTTTCGCGCAGGCTAGGGAGGTGGGGAAGCTGGCATGGCGTCAAGCGATTCTCTGATTGGTCTGTGGGAAAGGCACTAGCCAGACGTTCAGCCGGTTCTTTGCCCGCGCATAGAAGAAGGCTGGCACCCCGTCATGTGAGCGACTCTCTTCCACCCCCGTGATCCAGCACCTCTCCGTTCAACTGAGCTACTAAGCCTGGCGAAAGCGCTTTATTGAATTGGCAAACCGTGGTACGGACGCCTTCTTATCATCTTTGCCTGAATTTGCACCGTACTTTTCCCCTTCACGCCTGGAAAATCAAAAGGCTGCTTGTCGCTGATGGCCCACCTAGATTCCGTCACCTGATATCGCGGGAGCACTGAGAGCGAAGGAACCTTGGAACATCAAGCTTGGTAAGTCGTAGCAACCTTCATTTTGTCTCGCGTCTTGTCTTGTCTTCGGAGTCGTCCAGTTTGGATCGCGTAGGGCCCTGGCAAAGCATTCACCGCATGCGATCCGCTTGCGACAGTCGCGGCTGCCGTCCGGCGGTCGTGGTTGCCTCGAGCAAGCTCGCTGGCTGTTCTGTTGCTCCACATCCACATCCCGCACCTCTTGGACGCGCGCACCCACGACGAAACGACGCACGACGGCCTTGTGCGCTGCCTGCGACCCGCTCCTTGACACGATACGACGGCTCTCTTTTCAGCAGTGACAGCTCGGTCCCACGGCAACAGGCAATTAATGCGCCCAATCGAGCGCTTGCTGGCCCTCTGTCGCACCGCCTTCCCCTACTCACCTGCGCGCGCCCGTGCTAACGTTTGCCGTTTCCCAGGCTTGATGCCCTCGATCAGCGCATAATTGCTAGAGCAATACCATACTCCATACTCGGCTTGCGCGTGAACCGGTGGGCAAAGCGCCACTTCTTCCCCACCTACGACTTGAAGCTCGAGCGCGTCCTGCCCTGTCCGCCAACCTTACCTCCACGGTTGCTTCCCGGCTACCTACATAACGTCGCGCTTCTACCTTCACTACAGCGGGCGCGCCTGTCATTGGCGCTCGGGGTTCACAGACGGAGCATTACCTGAATAAAGTGCTCTGTCCCCTACACCAAGGCACCATCTTCTCGACAGCTCTCTGTCACCCCGCCACTTCACCAACACTTTCCGAGGGACTATGGCGGACACTGCTGGCTATCATCCCGACACCAAGTTGGACCCTCGCCACATCGTCCACACGAACAAGCGAAAGCGCGATACTCGCGATCAAGGCCTTAATCGACCTGCACCCCACTCCTCGAACAACGATTTGACGGATCAAGCGACTGCCTCTTTCTTAGCTGCGCACAACGCCGCCGACGACGACATGCAGCAACATTTCGACGTGCACCAGAACGGTGGTGCCAACACGGCTAGTGTTGGCGATACGGCTGCCGCAGCTCTCGCCTACCACCAGATGACAGTACCTCAAGCAACGGAACTACAATTCCAGACGCAAGGCTCCGGCGACGGCTCTTTCAGCATGGGAGATCAACACCAGCAACAGACTGGCATGCAGGACTTCAGCCTCGAAGCTTTGAAGGCTGCCACACAGACAGGCCGTCCAGGTCAAGCAGCGGCCAGCGACTCGCCACCACAGAGCGCCTCTCATAAACCCCCGGTCGGCTCAGATGAATGGCATAAGGTCCGGAGAGACAATCACAAAGAAGGTAAGCATGTGACTTCGTGTTCAAAGCCGACATGGCTAATGTGAACCTAGTTGAGCGCCGCCGCCGTGAAACTATCAACGAGGGCATCAATGAACTAGCCAAGATTGTTCCAGGCTGCGAAAAGAACAAGGGCTCAATTCTCCAACGCGCTGTTCAATTCATCACCCAGTTAAAGGAAAACGAACAGCAAAACATTGAGAAATGGACGCTCGAGAAGCTACTGACGGAGCAGGCTATTACCGAACTCAGCGCTAGCTGCGATAAGTTCAAAGCCGAATGCCAAAGAGCCTGGGACGAGTGCCAGATCTACAAACGCGCATGCGAAAACAACGGCATTCTACCAGACGAGATCAAAGAACGTCAAGAGAATGGCGAGCCATCTGGTCCAAATCAGATAGCGTGATGGATTAGGGAGAATTGTTCTTATTTTCGACTCTGATGCAGTCGGAATATGTCGTATCACCAAGTGCTGTTGGTCATCTAAGGCGAACATGTTTTCTGTCTGCTTCTTGCGGACCGGTCGTCGGTCCTTACGCCTATAACTCAATGTTTTTTTATCTATTCAGATGAGATTATTCTGTCCTCTATCAGCGTGTGAACGGAGGCATCACTCATTCTGTGGGACTCAGTCTTTGGTCTCGGTGTTTGCATTAGGCGGTAGCACTGGCGATGTAGGTATCAGAGCCTCGCGCACGTAGAGGTAACGGCGGCTTCTTTCATATCTGTAGTAGTTTGAGCTCTTTTTTTTTTGGAGCAGCCGAGGATCTCTTCGATGACGAATGACACTGCGATGAACTCTAGCCAGTTTCAGTCCTGTACGTGATGTGATGCAATCTCAGCAACGACGTGTTGAACGCTTAGGTACAGAACGGCCTGCGCCGCGCTAATGATTGCTCGTGCTCATTGGCCTACGTTGCAACCCACTTTCACACCTGCATGCCGCACTGCAGCTTTCCTTCCCGATCGCACATCTCTACGCTTTCCCCAAACTTTTCGGTGTGAATGCTACTTGAAAAAGCAGTCATGACTCGAACCTGAGACCTATACCTGATGTGGTGGCCACGACAATCATCACCACCACCAGCACATCATCCAGGTCCACCCAGCTTGCGCGAGCTACAATGGAGTCCCACCACTACTCAGAGGAGCAGCTCGTGCCTCCCGTGCTCGACGAGGCCGAGCTGATCGGTAACTCTAGCGCTGACTTCCCCGTCATCGAGGCAGAGCCTGAAGAAGAACTCAATCTTCCCTTCGACACGGCCGAACATCAGCGCCTTTTGAACGACGAGAGCAATGGCCGGCCGCAACCTCCTCTTACACTGCCAGGACGGCCAGGCCTTCAGCGAGGCAACTCGGTTCCTACACCCGCGCCGCTGCACCTTCCTCCCCCCGCACCGCCTGGGCCTGCTCCAGATGCCCCACCAACCGATTCGCTCTCGCTATCTCAACTACAGAACCTGGTGAGGGGCATGCCCAAAGTCGAGCCTGCGCCGTACGCTTTCACATACGATGACGCGTCGTCCTTTGAGGAGGAGCTGGAGGAGTGGTTCTCATACGCTGTCGAGGAGCAGGCTATGCTTCTGAAGACGCAAGCATCCTTTGCTCTAGAATGGAGCGCGTGGAACGGGGTGAACGACACATCATATCAGGAGGGAGGACTAGACTGGGCCAAGGCGACCGCCTCACAGCACAAAGATTTTGTCCAGCACCTGCTTGATGGCATCACGCAGCTGGATCCTGCCTCTAGGTTGAAAAGCTTAGAAGCGCTGGTTTATGTTGTCCTTGGATGCTGGCACGAGACTGCAGGCCTTCTCGCGTCAAGTACTGATGGCGAGACAACATCGGGACAAGGCTCGAGCGCGGAGCAAGCACAGAATACCGTTTATGAAAAGTCCGGCAAGCAAGCGTTTTTGATCAAGCAGAACGTACAACTATTAGCCGACATCAATGGTTTTCAGGTTGTCGTCGATGTGTTGCGCTCATCCTTCTTCAGGGCATGTGGAGTCGATGTCACGCCTGATGCTCCGCGTGATTCGAAAGAGGCAGAGCGACGTGAGATCTGGTGTGCCATGACCGCTGTCTACATCATCCTGGAAGTAGCACGCAGCAACGAGAAGACGCAGAAGGACCTGAAACTCAGAAACGCTATTCTCGATCTCAACAAACCTGGTCTGCTCATGCTACTTGTTGATCTAATCTCGAAATTGAGGTGGGACGAGTCGATCAGCCTTCCGCTCAGCAAAGTCTCCCTGCTACTTTGGAAGACAATGCTAGTCACCTTTGGTGGCCTTGCTGAAGTTGAAGAAGCAAAGGACTCTTTCAGGGACAAAAGTCGCGAAACTGCAGATGCCAAAGGACAGCCGCTCATCACTGCCTCGCCTCTCGACTATCACCTCTTTCGACAGGAGATCAGCTCGAAGTACCCAGCGTACAACCCTCCACCCACGCTTTTCCCTCTTGAGCCAGAAAATAACTCCATCCTTCCGCCACTAAAGAACCATCCGAATAAAGTTGCCGGTAACCACGTCTTTGGGTCTGGACTGGGAGATGCGAATGGCAACAGCACCTCCATTCTACATCAACCTGTTCATATTGCGACCCCAGCACCTTCACCTCCTCCATCTCCAGCTGGGCCAGGGGGCAAAGGCGGGAAGAAGCAGAACTACCAAACGAATCAAATGTTTCCCTTCTTATATCCACCACTTGACGAGTCGAGCAACAAGCTTGGAGGAAAGGGTTCGACTGATCTACAGGATCTCCTCGTTGGACGCAAGTGGGAAGGCTCTGACATCCCTGCTTCAATTTTGGAGGCTGCCGAGTTGTTTGCTAAGCGCATGAAAGCTACGCGTGCCATGAAGCAACTGTGGGAAGAACGTGTTGCTTTCATGAAATACGAGCGAGGCTGGACAGGCCTAGATGATCATCTCGATATCGAAGAGCTCTCACTTGAACCCAAGGAGAACGAAGTGAACACGAGGTCTTATCCATCGGGAAGCATTGAAGAGAGAATGAACCTGGTGGAGGAGTTCTACGTGAGCTGCCTATATCAAATCTGCCATGTAACATACTAACAAACATTCTAGCGCAATGCATTGCCGAACCTCCAGTCTTTGATCATCGTTTTGATCAAAGCGATCCTGGCGCATGTCACCGCGCTCGTCACGCAATCCAGCGGTGCGAACGGCCTCCAGAGCGGTTTCCAGTTCCAGGACAATCAGCACGGCACCACAGCCGGGAGGCCTGACATGAACGGAGTTAATGGCCACAGCAACACTGTGGCCACAAATGAAGAGCTTGATACAATGCGCACCCAAGAAGTCTTGGACAAGGCCGTTACGGGCACCTTGATTCTACTACTAAAGTGGTTAAAAGTCTCCCGTACGTCGCGTGATTCCGGTATTGGAATACCAATCCACTGACTGTTAGATCACAGACATCCTGAAGTTCGAATACATCACACAATTGCTCGTTGATTCGAGCTATGTGCCTTTGATTCTGAAGCTTCTACAATTGCAGGAGATCGAGAAAATTGTCAACGTCAAGAGTGAGCAAGAAGAGCTAAAGTAAGTTCACGCACTTCGGACTTGATACATTTCGTTAACCCAACTAGCTTCTTCAACTTCTGTAGAGCTCACTCTAGGAATGCGCCCGAGGATGATGCCAACGAAGATAGGGAGGCTGAAAAGCACGACTGTGATTCCGACGAAGATGATGCAGTCCCACCCCCGATACGCATGTCGAGAGACGACTCGAATGATTGTGGAGTTCAACTAACGGCGCCATCCGCGACACTTGAACCGCCTGAAGTAGATGAACTCGGCTTTCCGACCAATGAGCTGCCGGCAGAGCCCATTACAAACTTCTCCTGGCGGGCATTTTTCACGTCGATCAACTATCTTCGCATTATGCAGAAGATCTGCAAAAACAAAGCGCACCGCAACCTCATGCTTGTCTCATATAAATCTTCACAGTTTCTCCGCAAAAGCTTGAAGGTACCACAGCCGGAACTCCGCCTCTATACCCTGAAGCTCTTCAAAAATCAGGTCCCATACTGCGGGAGAAAGTGGCGACAGTCAAACATGCGCGTCATCACCGCTGTATATCTACACTGCAGACCAGAGCTGCGAGATGATTGGTTAGCAGGTAGTGACGTCGATGCCGAAGTTGACGAAAGCGTGCCCCTTGAACAAGCCTTGCGGTCGCTGACCCACTGGCATAACTTAAAACGATACCCAGAGAGCCTAGGGGCCAAACCCGGTATTCTTGAAGAAGAACAGGATTTCTTTCGGAAGGAGCTTGAGAAAATGGACTGGGGCGATGAAGCTGCACACGATGTTGACGTCGAGCAGACGTGGCCAGATTTTCAGGTTGAGGGTTGGTGAGAGCTACTTGCACACGGCGTCCTAAACCATTACTCCCTGCATCCCATCACCGATGTCTAGGTCTGGGCCGCACATTAACAATTCTTCTCAGATGACACCGATCGCGGCCGATTCCTTAATCGTCCGAAACTCGAGCTCCAACTCGATCGACGACGAGAAGCGGCTGAAGGAGGAAAACTAGCAAGGCCATCTCTGCGACGATGCATCTCCGAGCCTAGCGCAATACAACTGAAGCCGAAACGCGCCAGACATCCGGACTTACCTGGGTTGCTTAATGACCTTGTAAAAGCAGCGTGCATTATAGAGGATAGTGGCGAGGATGGGGACGGAGACGAGGATGAGGACGTCAAGGATTTATCGTTTCCGTTCACTGACTGGGCAAGGAAAGGAAGTAGGATGCTGGCACGTGAGCGAAGGGCGAAGAGCATGGCAAGCGTCCAGAAGTCGGATACTACGTGATGCGCTACAATGACCTGCTATAGACGACATCAATGTAGCTTATACCTTTAAGCTCCTGGCCATATAGATGGCTAGACAGTCGGTCTGATTATACAGAAATCAATAGACAGTTGAGAATGGTTTATTATACATTCTATGATTTCTTCGCACGGACCAACGCTTCAGATGCCGCGGCGATTGAGACGCTCAGCTCCAACTTCATCACTCTCAACAACGCAAGCACCAAAGCTACCAAATAAAGTGGTATATAAGATCTCTACGTCGTGAAGATTATGTGAATGATGATGAGGAAACAGTTGCACAGAAATCACTGAAACAAGATGTAGAAAAACATGCACCAATCAGCACCGCCGCCATCCGGATGACGGCCGGCAAGCTGGTAGTGCGGGCCGTCTTGCCCAGTTCGGTACTCTGATTAACCCGAACTCTCTACCTCCGCAAGGCGTTGTGGCTGTAGTTGCTGGACATGTCGGCGTCTGCTCTTCTGCCGCTGTCACTGCTGCGCGACTCTATTCCTTTCCTTTCTGCAAGCAGACTATAGCCTTGCTGCATCTTCTAGTGTTTCCTACATCGTCTATATAGCATTGAGCGATTTCTTGTACATTAGCACCCACCAGAATGGCGAAGGTCTTCGACTACGCCGAAGGTATGTCACCGCTCAAATCTCAAGGCTCATGGTTAACACCATCCAGTCGCACAACACAACACAGCAGAGAGCTGCTGGGTGGTTCTCTACGGCGCCGTCTACGACGTGACTCGCTTCATTCCCGAACACCCCGGCGGTTCCAAGGTCATCCTTCAGCTCGCGGGCACCGACGCAACAGAAGAGTACGACCCTATCCACCCACCCGGCATCCTCGAAGAGAACCTCAAACCCGAAGACAAGCTCGGCACAATAAACCTAGAGTCCTTGCCGAAGGAGGAAAAGAGCCCAATGGAGCTGGGAGAGGCGAAGGACGAGGGACCAGTCGATCTGGAGTCGATCTTGAATACAGACGAGATTGAGGAGGTGGCTACGAAGCAGATACCGTACAAGGCGTGGGCATACTACTTCTCGGCGAGCGATGATCTAAAGAGCAAGTCGTTCAACAACGCCGTATACCGTCAAATCCTACTACGGCCGCGAGTTTTTGTCGACTGCGTACGCTGCGATACCTCTACGTCATTTCTAGGCCACGATGTCAAACTGCCCATATATGTCTCTCCTGCAGCAATGGCTCGCCTTGCACATCCAGACGGCGAATGGGGCATTGCTCAAGCGTGCGAGAAGTACGGCGCAATGCACCTTATTTCGCAAAATGCTTCCATGACACCTGAGCAGATTGTCAAAGACGCGAAGCCAGGACAAGTATTCGGTTGGCAGTTATACGTCCAAAATGAGCGGGCAAAGAGCGAAGCCATGCTAGACCGAATGAACCAGCTCGACTGCATAAAGTACATCTGCCTTACGCTTGACGCGCCCGTGCCCGGCAAGAGAGAACACGACGAACGCAGCAAGAACGTTGGATCGAATCTGCCCGTACGCGCAGCTGTACAGGAGGACCAGAGTGTTAGCAAAACGAGCGCTGATGCGAAAACGCCGAGTCAAGAGAAGGAGAAGCCGAAGAGTATGGGCATGGGACAGTCTCTATTCTGGGGTACGGCGGCTGATTTGAATTGGAAGACGACATTGCCTTGGCTTGCGAAGCACACGAAGAAACCAATTGTGCTGAAGGGTATTCAGACGCATGAAGATGCGTACTTGGCTTCATTGCACGCCCCGCATGTGAAGGCCATCATTTTGTCGAATCACGGTGGTCGCGCGCTAGACACAGCACCGCCTGCTGTGCACACCTTACTTGAAATCCGGAAATACTGTCCCGAGGTGTTTGATCGAATCGAAGTCTGGGTTGACGGTGGTATTAAGCGCGGTACAGATGTAGTGAAAGCGTTGTGTCTGGGCGCAAGGGGTGTTGGCATTGGCCGCGCTGCGCTTTTCGGATTAGGTGCGGGTGGCAAGGAGGGTGTTGAACGAGTCTTGGAAAGTATGTCAACTCTCCATTCCTTGGCGTATCTGATGCCATCCGGATCTCCTGAGTTTAGCTAACATATCTGGCAGTTCTCAAAGCTGAGACGGAGACGTGCATGCGGCTTCTCGGGGTGGAGAAGGTGGAGCAGCTGGGGATGCAGTATATCAATACGAGGGCTGTGGAGAGGGATATCTGGGATGGACCAATGCTCCAGAGGGGCAGTTTGAAACCAAAGCTATAGATCGTACAGAGTTGCAATAAGTCTGGGGCAGGCGGGTTTGGCGCAAGAGAGTGGCAGAGACAGTGACGTGGACAGTCACGCTGCCGAACTCCTCGAAGATTTCGAAACCACGGCGCCTGCAGAGGCATGTTGTGCGCCCCAAGCTGCGTAACGTCAGCCTTGCCTAATTTGCATGGCGGTATGCATACGACCTGTACAAGGAATTCCTAGGTTCGATAGCGTCGTATTCGCTTACATGCAGGTCCATTGGAAGTTGGTTTCCTTTGTGGAGTGTACTACGGGGCATTTCTTAGCGAGTGGGTGATGTATGTTGTGATTCTAGTAATTTGTATACCAGTTACCTGGTGAGACAACGAGGTAGATTCGAGGTCGAAAGACTCAGCCGCATATTCTCTGTTCTGGTTTCGTGCCTACTTTATAACACCAACAGCAATGTAAGCAGTACGTGTCCGAGACCCGAGTAGGAGGATGTTTCGGCAAAGTCAGGCAGCAATGATTAGCATCTAGCTCCGTTCTTAGATCAGACATGGCAAAAGTAGGCCAGTTGACAAGTGATGCAAAGAAGTCTTATCATTCTTGTCCTTCCCCATGAGCTAACGAATGGCCCAATTATATCTCAGCCCTACCCACCCCTTCGGCTCGCTCCCCAACGCTCCTGCAGCTAGCCACGTGTGTCTCTACTACATCAGGCAGAAACGCTTTCGCCTGGAAACAACCATCTTTGCTGGCAACCAGTCCTACCGCCACGTGCCTACAAATCCATCTTGTCGCTTTTCTGGTCTCTGCTCAGCCAATCCGTCATCAGCTGCGGAAATTTACTAGGCTCAGAGAAGCCACGGGGCGCTCAATGACGTTGCCTGAATGATTCAGCAACCGGTGACGCCTAGGGATGAAACAACCTTGGAAGGAATCGCGCTAGAAGATTGGACGCTTCGTGATTTCTCCAAGGGATCGTGCCGTACATGCGTCGGGCGGGTGCTCCGTTTGTGGCGCTGTCTTGTCTATCGCTATACGAATTCGGGCACCATCGCCATCTTTTGCACATGCTGTTCAAGCCATGCATGATTGTGCCCCGCCGCGGGCTCTGAAGAAGCAGGATACCGCTACTTGGAGTTCAGAAGATTCCTCAGCAAAGTACCCTACAAGTGCGTTACCTTATTGATCCTGCTGCGCGACCCCCTCAGGCAAGGTGAAGGGCCTACTTTTGGTGTGGCTGTGCACGCTTCATTATTCGCGGCCGCAAGATTGCAAGACTGGGAGGTACGGGTCTACGCGGGGGCCCTAGTTGGGGAGATCGTATAAAATCCTTGGAATATCCAAGGTTGAGGTCGTGCCTATCAGACAGCATACTACCAGGCAACTCCCGAGCTTCACCACCTCCGCTCCTTCCCTCCTTTTCTTTTCTGCTCAAAAACACTGTTGATCAGCGACAAAAAAAACATCTTGCTCACTTACAACTACACGACCGACTTTTTACACCCTCTCTTTTCGGCGTCTAGCCTCACTCCTGCGCTCGCTCCGCTTACACTCGGCTGCCGCTACCGCCCGCCGGAACCGAATATCAACCTAACAACCATGAAGGAGTGCCCAACTTGCAAGGGAAATGGAACTACCAGGTGTGATGATTGCAACGGCAAAGGCACCGGCTGCAGTAGTTGCAAGCGGTCAGGCACCCAGAAATGTCATGTATGCGAAGGCGCAGGCGCTATCCAAACCGAAAATTGAGTCCGCGCTGCTTCCGCCGACTTCCTCGCTCCAACATCTGTGACAGCAATCTGGGGAGCTGGCTTCTCCGGGCTTCATAGGTACGTTCCCACCGTATTGTGCGAAGGGCAAGCGGATACGAGCGAGCACTGCCACGCGCCCCTCTCCATGGGCTGTGTGCATACATTTACAATTTACGCCTTTTTTCGACCCGGCGCGATTCTACTGGCCGGCATGTGTTTTCCAGGCAGTAAACTAGAAAACATGCCTTGATGGTTCCCAGATCAAAACCTAATAAACACTAACAAGGGCGCAGATTGCCATCGTCATCATCGTCTCATTTCATCAAAGCAAATCTCAATTTCCTTATCGAAACCCGCCATCAGTGCGCAGGCGCGAATGAATTATATTGTGTGGGTCGTTTCAAGGTGGTCAGTGTGTGGGGGATGCGTCGCAGGAGTGTTGATGCTGTGCAGGCGACGCACGTACGCAATCAAAAGCATGCAATTATCACGTGCATGAGGTTATACCCAGGGAGGCAATTTCCGAGCTTTCCGGCGTTGTGGCCGTTACTCCGTTTACTTTTTATTGGTGCAATGTTTTAGAACTGTTCGGGATGTACTGGATTCCGTGGGTTTGATGGTATTGCGAGGACGGGGGTTGTGTGCCAATTGCTTGTTCCTTTCCCATCTGGAGAGATGACGTGATCATTCTGGACCTGAGTTCGGAAGACAATATTTCATCTTAGTTCTGCTGCTAATTATCGTGCCGAGTCTCATTGCCAACCACGAACAACCTTCGGTCACGTCAAGCCCCAAACTTCCAGAAAACGGCGTCTTCGCGGCATGATAGCAAGGTGAGATGCGCTGACTTGTAGGGCGCAGCATATGACTATCACGTATCAAAAATCTCTCTCTTCAAGCTACTATCCGACTCCCCCTTTTAGGGAGCAAAAAAGTCGCAAAAAAGAATGAAACTTGATTTGTTCCGGTACCGGGAATCTATGATAAATGTTAGAACGCGGAATCGAACTGACAAGCTCGACGGTTTAACTTACCGAACCCGGGTCTTTCCGGTACATCACAACCAAAGGAGGTTTGAAAGCGGAATATCCTAGCCTCTGGACTATACCGGATAAATTACTTGATGCGGAAATTCTGGATTTTATAATATCTATATGCCATGATTAAGATGCTATCCGTCTAGTAAAGTTGGGCCTGGTGCTCTGGTGGCTGTGCGCGGTAGGCAGAAACAAAGTGGAGTGGTTGGACCAAGCGAGGGGTACTGGCGGGGTACTACTAGGTACTAGTCTTGTCTCAATCTTAGACCAGCCGTGTTGACCGAGGGAATCATTCAACCATGTGTTACAATTCTCAAAGAGCTTCCTTGACATATGATTACCTTAAAGACGAGTGTCCAGTGATATGGATCTAACTTGATACTATCTGCAATGGCCTACCTCAAGAGACTCCTCGTTTACACACAACACAATATATTATAATTGTATAGGCGTCAAGGTGAGCTCTCGTATGACTGATTGTGCTGCTCTCCGATCGTCTCAAAGAACTTCGTTGTTGATTTCGACTATAGCCTGCGCCACTGCCTGGACCATTGTCTTTGCCTCTTTCTTTCCCGGATCCAATTGCAGATACGCCTAGAGATGGATTGGCTTCTCTCTAGGCCGCGACAACTACCATAGTCAGTGTAGCCAGTGGTGCGCTGCTCAGACTTTTCTACTCCCTCTCTCCTTAATGCGGCTTACCACCTTCATCTTAGGAATGATCACTGTTCATTGCCTTTCGCGCCGCGCAGATGAACTCTCTGAAAGGCCTCATCCATCACAAATATTATAGCAGGTGTGACAATGGGTTTGATACCCGAGACTATGATTGCTTCTGCCAATGTGAAGAGGGGTTTCAGGCTCTCAACACTTGGTCAATTTGCTGTATCAGTGCAACGAACAATAATTTAAAGATGAGTGAAACAAATTTCACTCAACATGAATGCCCCAGCAACACTACAGTGTTACAAGACAAAGACCGCCCAAACCGTACCCTGTCTACATAAATTTCTTTCCTGAATTGCCCTGAGTTTCCCCTTCTCACCACAGAACAGAGCACAACTTCAACTGGAGGCACTTCTACTCAACTCCACCGCGAAAACCTTGAGCGTAAATTCATTCCCGGTAACCCCTTCGACTCCCTAACATTCAGTCTCGAGTATCCACTCGCTTTATCAACAGTAACCCCCAAACCACCCTCAGCTCTTGATACATCCTTCAACCATGCCAGCCCGTTTCAAGGCCATGACTCGCCGTCTCTCCAGCTTCCTCAGCCGCAAGTCCACCAATTCATCCTCGTCCTCCGCCCATCCTTCCGAACACCTCGTCCTCGGCGGCGGTGACACCGACAACGCACCCAACAATCGCAACTACCAGCTCCTCAATATGCACAAGCTAGGTATCAAGGACCAAGATCGCACCGTGTTCCAGGTCGTGAATGAGGCAGTGGTCGAGTACATGTACGGCCCCGCCTTCGACGCTTCCCATGACTATGAACACATCCAGCGCGTCGTTGCGCTCGCTCATCGCATCTACACGGCGCATGAGAAGGATGATTGGACACGCGGAATCGACAAGACAGTTCTCTATGTCGCATGCATGGTGCATGATGTGGGCGATAGCAAGTACCACGTGCGTTCCGAAGGCGATGAGCGGGATCAAGAGGATATCATCCGCGACTTCTTGAAGGAGATTGGCTGTGCTCCGAAGATTTGGGGGCCTGCTGCTTTCATTGCGGCCCGTGTGCCGTTCTCTCGTGAGCTCGAGGAGCCGGTGCAGATCAAGAAGAACGCTGATAGCTTCCCGGAGTTGCGCATAGTTCAGGATGCGGACCGACTTGATGGACTTGGTGCCATTGGCATTGGTCGCTGCTTTGTCTTCGGAGGCATCAACGAGGAGCGTCGTAAGGGCAGCATTCAGGCCGGCGTTGAACTCCACTATGACCGTTTTGAGAAGTACCTCGAGCTTATGAAGACGGATACGGGCAAGCGTATGGCCATGGAGCGCTTGGGTTTCATGGCCACGTTCCGCGAGCAGTGGTTCGAAGACACAGACTGTGGAGCGGTCTTGTAATCTGTCTCTTGGAGCGCCGAATGGGTCGCAAGAAGCGTAGGGCGCCAGATTATTGGGCTCTAGCAGCATGAATATGGGGTAAATGCATGCATGCATACGGTGGCGAATCGTTGCTGTCGTGACAACAGTCTAGCAAGAGACTTGGCTTGTAACATAGTCAGCACAATGTAATCATATTGCACGGAAAGAGAATCCTGTCGCTTTGCATGTGAGTCTAACGGGTGTATTCTGTAACGTATCCTGCAATGTCTCCTTTATATTTCGAGAGTATATCGTGAAAGAGTGAAGGCCAGGAATAAAAATAAAATAGGCTAAACCTTTGAAGGCTACAATTTTAGGGCCTGATCGCTGTGTCCAGTTACTGTTGAAAAGGGCACTTCTGACTTAGCTAATCCTACGGCGCGTAATCCTCATTTCCGTCCTTGTCATATCTGACATACTTCACTCTATCCATACCGTGAGTACCGCGAAGATGACAGTGGTCTGGGTACTGGCAGTATCCCTGATCACGTTCAAGAGCGCACTGATGGCCCAGATCTGCCGATTGTTAGTCAAAACCGAAAACCATCACCAAGCTTTTGCTTTTTTGTAATATATATACTTTAAAAGCTGCTACAGGTATCCATGCAAGGGTAGATGACGCAAGGAGATTCACTTACAGCAGTCAATGTTCTCGCAAAACTTGTTCTTGCAGGCCAAACTACGCGTCTTGTAGCGTAAAGCGTTAAGTTCAGCCGGGGTAAGTTTAGGCTCGTGTTGGAAGTTGCAAAAACTTCCGTTCTCGCAGTGGCCTCCAAGATGCCAATGATTGCACATCTTTTTACCGCCCTTCTTCATACGTGCCTCGAGCGAAGCTGCAGCAGCGGGATCTTTTGGAGGTAGTGGCTCATCAAGCCTTTGACCATCTTTGTTGTAATAAGCGTATTTCTTCCTTGCATTCATCTTGGTGTTGCTAGGTGCGATCGAAATGCTCCCGTTCGTAGGTGCACCATTTTTCCCAACGGTAGCTAGAGAGCGTTAATAAAGGTAAAATATCAAGAAAAGACATGAAAGCAAGCGTCAATCATGACACTGGGAGTACTTTGCAGTCATTTCCAACCCGCCAATATCTGAAAAGTGAGGGGAGGTCCTTTAGAACCAAGTAAAGTCTTTACATACCCCAAGAAGAGTCGCTGTTAGATTCGGTGACTGCGGTGGACACAGGGGTCGTGCTGGGCGAAGGGCTGGTGATCGATGACTTTGGAGTTACTGTGGGCGAGCCATTTTTGGTCATCGTGCGGAAGCCGGGAGGAGGCTGGGTAGGACCTTGCATCGACGGCTGTGCAAAAGTAGTAGTAGGTGATGCATAGTCGGCTAAAGGCTCAGACCTGAATACAGCATCAAAGCGAGTGTGCTTGAAATTCGACAGCTCAGTGAAGCCTCGATACGCAGGTGTCGTTTCTAGCAACGTGATGCGAGCCGCTTTGGATATATCATGCTTGAACTGCTCAAGATTTAGAAGATAGCCGGCGTCATGGCAGCCGCCAAAGATGATGTGTCGACAGGTGGGATTGTCACTGAATGTACGAAGCATTTCTGTAAAGGCTATGTCAGCGCAACAGGTGAGCTTGATTGAAAAATGAATACCTTTGATCTTGTAGTCGGCTCGCTCTTTGCCTTGACCGACATCAATAATACTAAACAGCGGCTGGTTGACGTTGAATCGCTGCACAAACGCTCGAAGCTCTGGCGGGGAGCGGAGGAGTCCGACCTGCGCTAATTTACTCGCGAGCTTATCGAGACTTAGATATATCTGGACCATGATAGGCCAGTTATCAGATTTACTGTATAGAGTGGCAACATGATTGCGGATCATGTACTGGAGGCGTGAAGCAGCCTCAGACCCGCCATCGCCAACAGCAGCCTGCAGTAGGGCATCTTGGAACTATAGAAATATTAGCAGAGGCCCCCGACTCGTCATCAAAGCATATAGATATGTTGAGAGACCAGAACGCCCTCCTGGCGTACCCGTGGTATGATGCACAAGTCAACCCGTCTTTTCGGTAGGTAAACAATGTGCCAGAATCAGATTACGCCGCCTGGGAAGACTCACAATAGCTCCGTCGCCATCAATCAGTGCTAAAACGAACGAGCTAGACTCCTAGGTAGTTGTCAGTATCCATGAACTCTTGCACGCGGCTGGATGTTGAGAGCAGCTGACCAGCTGGCGTTCGTACTCGCCGACCAAATTCTGCTTCTCTTCTACGGTTCTCTGGTAGTTTCGCCTAATATCTCGCTCGCTCAAATAATCGTTCTTGAGATGGGTATGCTCCTCAGATAAACTCTTGTATCTTGCAAGAATTTCCTATGATCCTTTTAGTGATAGTACATGCCAGAAATCGTCATGGAACGCACGCTAACGAGGTGCTCCCTAGCCTCGTCAGATGCTCGAAAGCGTTGCATTTCGTGCAAGAAGGCATCGAGATCCGCCATGATGAACACGGCAAGGATTTCTGGTAGTTGGATAAATGGTTGATATACCAGGCGACTGGGGTTGGGAACGCTTTAAGTGAGCAGAGCTGAGGCAACAGCTGGATCTCCGCAATGGCTAGCGTGTTTCGTGGGTGAGAGGCCCAAGCGCGTAAAAGTCAACCGAACAAAACTTTCGGGCAGGCAATCAATAGCAAACTTTGCTCTGCACAAGCACGAAAGATTGTTGACAAAGTCGTCGCAAATAAGGGATCCGGAGAGGAGAGCAGCGATCTAGAAGGGCGACCATGAGACAAGAGAGTGTCTCGACATGGCGCAGAGCTTTCTGCATGAACTCTGCTGCTGCGGCAGGCTATGAGGGGCAGACGCTTAGCAGTAGCACAAGAGTGGTGAAAGTGCCAGCTCATAGCCTATAGTGCATCAAGTCGCGAGACCTTTCTTTCAACAGCTGAAAGCCTCTAGGTTTGCTTTTTACATGGACAGACAGCCATCTGCCTGATACAATTAAAACTTTGGAGTGCCTAGTCACGCGGCCGAAATGGCTGTTGGCTTCAGAACATGCATCAAATGGAAGGATATTAGAAAAGCTCTGCCGCGAGATTATTAACCATGTGCAACATGCTACAAGACGCAAAGACTTGGAGATGAACAGAATAAGATGAAAGGAACCCGTGTGAGGGAGGCGGAACTGGAGACGACTCAGGTTTGCCATGGCCTGGTTTAGCTTTTGTATCATGCTGCCCTAGGATGTGAAATAAACAGAACATGACATCTCGGAATCATGCCAGCGGTCATCAAGCCGTTGCTTTTTGCTTGATCTTCGGCTCCATCCACCGTTAGGGTATTATAAGCAACATCACCATCTTCCGAACCCGCCCAAGCTCCCGCAGACCACGACGATCACTCTTACCCCACATTGACGCCAGGAACAGATAAAGTAGCAACGCCACTTGAATCCTCCCCGACGCCCTGCTTCCGGTGATCCCGTTGCTTCACTACGATCGCAATTGAACGCTCCGCTTCACCTGAGACCTCTACACCTCCCCAACAAAGCATTGCACAGTTTCCAGTCTCCTCAATCCTGCCGTGTCGTGTCCGAACGATCGCTATCATGGCTGCGAACAAGAAAGTACGCACCCAACCACCATATGAGCTGCTCTACTGGCCGGGCATACCGGGTCGCGGCGAGTTCATCCGCCTTGCTTTTGAGGCGGCTGGCGTGTCTTACAAAGACGTTGCCAACGAGTCGGAAGATGGTACAACATATCCCCACGCCCCCCTGGCAAACTATTCACTAAGAAATGTATGTAGGAGTCAAGCATATACTTGAACTCATCTCGCAAGACTCGACCGGCGATAGCGACGGCAATCCACCCACCTTCGCTCCTCCGGCCCTACGCATTCCCGGCGAAGGGAAGGATGGGAAGGCGCTCGTTATATACCAGACACCCAGCATTCTGTCCTATCTGGGTGACAAAATTGGCCTAGCAGGCGACGGCGAGGCGGAGAAAGCCTGGATCCTCTCCCACACCCTCACAGCGCTCGATCTCAACAATGAAGCACACGACACGCACCATCCCATCGCTAGCTCAAAGTACTACGAGGACCAGAAGGAAGAATCGCTGAAGAAAGCGAAGGATTTTCGGGAGAGCAGGATCCCAAAGTTCCTCGGATTCTTCGAGCGTGTGCTGAAAGGAAACCAGGAGCAGGGAAATGGCAAGTATCTCGTGGGTAGCAAGTTGAGTTATGCGGACACGACGGTGTGGCACGTGCTGAGTGGGCTGGAGTTCGCGTTCCCGCAGGAGCTGAAGGCTAGGAAAGGGGACTATGAGTTGTTATTTGGCACGTTCTATGAGAGTGTGAAGGAGCAGAGTGGGCTGAAAGAATATCTAGCCAGCGACAGAAGGAAGCCCTTCAGTATGGGCGTCTTCAGGCATTACCCCGAGCTTGATAGGCAGTCAACATCGTGAGAGCATCAATGGCAAGTTCAAGACATGAGCATCACAAATAAGAAAAGTCAATTGCAGTGGTATCTTGGGTGCCCAATGCGGGCTCATATCATCTCATTCCGCTTTTGATGCCAGTACATGATGCATTTCATATCCGAAGCCGAACTCCTGAACCATGTCGGACCGTAACCAAACAGCCGTCTAGTAATCGGTAGCAGCGCTCTGGGGGAACTCGAAGTTGACGCCCTTGCCAGTGAGGCGCTTGTAGACCTCGGTGTAGGTGTCGAGCCTGTAGTCAACACCACCGCGCTCCTTCTCGTCGAGAACGACCTTGAGGATTTTGCTGCCGTCCTCGCGGGTACGGAGGCGCTTGCCGACAATCTCGACGGGGTAGACGAGGTCGGACAGGATGGCGTCGTGGACAGCGGTGAGGGTTCGCGACTGGGGACGCTTCTGTGTTTGCGAGCTGCGGGATCGGTTGGAGCGCTTGGGGCGGGGTAGGATGCGGCGGGAAGCGACAATCAGGACGTGACGGTCAGAGAACTTCTTCTCGAGCTCACGGGTGAGACTGCAAAGTCATCAGTAATGGCCATGTGCGATAGGACGAAGAATACTTACCGCTGCTGGGCCTTGTGCCAGCCCTGGAGAAGGGGAACCGGGACGAAGATGACGATGGCCTTGCGGCCGTGTCCAACCTCGATCTAAAGAATCCTGGTGTCAGCATGCTGTAGCTGCCCAGTGCCCACCGCCTCTTCAATTGTGTAGCGTGTATGGGGGTAGTGGTGTGTGCGATCGCTTCGAGGCTCGAGAGCGCATCGTATTGGGTGTCTATCATACCTCGCGAGCAGAGACGAACTGCAGAGGGCGCAGGGAGCTCTTCAGATCGGGCACATTGTTCTCGAGGTCAGTCAACGCCTATGCAATGTCAGTACTGTCTTCAATATGCGCGACGGGCCGGTGGACTTGCGTTGGCGATACTGGTCTCGATCTCAGAAGGGTTCGCCTTCGAGGGGCTGTTGGGCGCGATCTTGTTCAACGAGCTGGACATGTTGGCGGCTGATTGTCGTACTGGTCGGAGTCGTTGAAAGTTCACGAAGCCGAGATCGATTTTGGCAGCCAGCGTCAAGCGTGGGCATAAGCGAGGCGCTAAGCATTTTGTGTTTCTAGCGCCAATACCAAGGAGAGCGACCCAGCGCAAAACGAGCCCTGCACTCACACGCCATCATCATATTGTCAAACTCACATATTGACATTCGTTTCAATGGTCAAGCTTGATGCTACTTGAGGCCGCGCATGGAAATTGTCTATTTGCACCGCGCCCTGATAAAGTTACAACACAACAGCAAGCAGGCCCTACTGACTTCGCCATGCCGTAGAATCGGACAGCTTTTGGTAGTCAATCTTCGATACTGCTATCTATTCCTTGTATATTGGTATAGCCCAGTATAGTATCCCATTGAGCACTGCTGTCGTCATGGGACCTAACCAATGGATATAGTGATAATCGAACTGGTCTAGCTAGCTATCAGGAATTGGCACACCATCAAAAGGCATGTTACTCACTAGATGCAGTCATGAGTCCTAAGCACCGAGCTGGATTATACGCTTGTAACAGTCAGAATCGAAACCACAAACAGAACTAGCAACCTACAGGCGCCTGAATAACCAGCCCTGGCTACACCAGAGGCGAAAGTGCAGATTGCAAGCGCGAGGCCGACCTAGATGGTATGAACTCAGGGTCTTCCATCATTCAGAAGGTGTTCTCACCAATATCGGCGACAATGCCGGTCCGAATACCTCCCGCTGTCGTGGATCGAGGCCAACCCCGAATGCAATAAATACCAAAGCAAAAGAGGTCATGGTCTCCAGCGCATAACTTCAACAATTAGCGCCTGCCTCGTACCCAAAGGTCCTTCAACTTACGCTTCACCAGGAGTGACCAGACTCGCATCAACATAGCACCCAGGCACGGGTGGAAATTCCTCTGGCGCCAACCCCAAACTCGCTCTAATCAAAAACCCTGCGATTACAGCTCCCAGACTCTGGAAGACTACATACAGCAATGTCCTTGGGAAAATTGACAGTCGCGCTGTGAACGTCGCCATCGTAATTAGCGGGTTGAAATGCGCTCCTGAGACTGGTCCTGCACCGAAGATGAATAGTGCAATCAAAATTCCGTTGAAAATGCTTCCAAACGCCGCCGGCGCAACAGGTCCTAGACTGGTCGCTAAAACGAGCGGCCCAAGGCCAACAGATACCAGCCCAGAGAGGTAGACTTGCAGACATGTGCCCACGCCTTCGATGATAGATTCTTTCCACAGTTCAACATCAGCGAACGCGCTAGGAGAGAACGACTGTGCCCATGAAAATGACGATGCAGCATCTGGAATCTTAGTGAACGACGCATCGTCAGCAGAGACTGTAAATTCTTGGTTGCCTCCGATTCGGCCTGCGAACGGGCGCGATGCTACGATTGGGCTTTCATGGGGGGTTCCCCTGTTCCTGTGACGGAGTTCGTGCTGTTTTGGATGCCCAAATTCGAGGTCTTTCGATGTTGAGGTAGCTGCCATGTTGATGGCGTTGGAGGGTATGGTAACTTCCATCGGGAGCAGAGGGTGGTTACAGCCCTATGTCTTGGGAACGTGGAGGCCGGTGGACCTTAGGACCTTGGACTTTGCAATGCATGCATGAATGAAGCGGAAGAAGAACCAACCCGTCCACTATCCTACTATAGGTAATTCATAACTCCAATAAATGACTAAGCATCCAGGCCGCTCCCTTAAGCGGACAGTGTTCCATGAGTGGCTAGCTAGAATTAGTCTTTAGCCGTAAGGGGCTGATAATAGCAGGATGCTTTGATAGCAACTCATCATGCAGTGGCTTATTAGTTGAGTATTGATCTTCCATAAGCTGAAAAGTTTATGGTATGCTGATGTGTAAGCTGTTGGATATGCATGCTAAAAGCGGACCACGAGTCCGTGCCTCAAGAGTTTGCTTCAACCTAATTGGAATGGTACAAACATAACATCTCTAAAGTCGACTGCTTTAAGATCCACAGTTTACGTCTCTAAATGAACACTTCATGTTCTACCGACCGTTTTTTAGGGAGTAAGAAGCTAGTAGGCTGGCCAGGGATGGTTCCTGAGTGCACACTCGGCTATTTCTGTTTTATTTCCGGGAGATTTGGTTCCGACATCCTGGCCAAAGCCATGGCCCCACTAAATCGAACACATTTAACGCAAGAACAGTGCGCAAGAAAGTATATCCAGTCCGTCGAACTGCTCACATCGAAGCTAACTCCAATTTCACCATCCAGTCCCGCTTTAGAGGTCGACATTACGGCGTACTAGGTCCTCTGGGTCCCAACGTGGATTGCTAATCATTCATGCCACGGCTTGGCAAATTTTACAACAAGAACCGGTAGATGATCACATAACATGCTCAGTCTTGCCGCAATTCGGCCCGTCTTGTGTACCTGAAGTCAATGAGGCGATGAATCTGGGTGCGGGCTGCGGTGCTGGAGTGACGTTGTGGCTGTGAGCGCCATGGCCGGTTCGGCGACTTGGTTCTTAGCATCAAGTTGCGTGAGAGGGGTGGAGGTATGTTCTGATTGCAAGTATACATTATACTTTAGCCGAGAAAACACTACATGCTTCGCTATTGAATGATGAATTTATACAAAAATGCTCAGTAGCCACTAAATCCGGGGTACACCTGGGCAAAACTACAAGGCTACTCCAACCCCCTTCGACTCATCGCCCTTAACTTCGCCCCATAGAACCAGAGCAAGACAGGACTCACCAAGGCCAAGAACAACGTCAAGAAAGCCAATAAACTATTGCCCCACCCCAAACCCATTACCTTGTACATCTGCGGCGCGAAAAGTGGGAAGCTGAATCCACACATGGTGCGCATGAATGCTCCCACACTTGCAGCAGACGCAGCGTATCTCGCTTCATATGCATCCGTTGTGTATGCTTGACTGCACTGAAATGCAATGATGAGGCCGATTGCAACTATGACGCAGCCGATGTTTGGAGCGATCCAGTGTACGCCATAGTGCGCAGTCCAACCATAGATGAAGAGGCCAATAGGACAGAGGATGCCGGCGATGAGCATAGGTGGAACGCGGAACTCGGGCAGGCCTTCTTCGAGATCGTAGTAGGTTTTCATACGGGCGTAGAGCTACGAGGATATCAGTTAGGCTGGTGATGGGATGGCTGGGAGAGAACTAACACCGTCCATGAGCGGATGCGAAACTTGCAATCCGATCATAAATCCCAGACATAGCGAGAGATAATTGAGCGATGCAACGCCAGTATCCATATTATAAACCTCCTCGAAAACAAGCGGAAATGTCGACAGCATGAGGTACATAACGCCGTACAAATAGGCGCGATAGATCGAAGGAGCTTGTGTAGCGGGATGCGTAAACATCATGATGAACGGCAAAATCAACCTCTTCCTCAGAATCTTGCTCAACCGATCACCTGTATCATACTCTGTCCGAATAACAATATCCGGGCGTATGCCTTTCATCGCTTTACGGACAATGTCCGCTTTTTTCGCGAGGATGGCAGGCGCGAATGTTTCGGAGAGGAAGAAGAACGCTGTGACCTGAACAAAGACGGTAAAGATGGATGTAGAGAAGAATATCCAGCGCCAATTTGCGCCAGTCGAGATATAGGCGCCGCAAATAGGAGCTACGCAAGGGGCGATCCAGGTCAGCATACCGTATATTGCTTGTCCTTTGCCGCGTTCCTCTTTGTGCCATGTGTCAGCTAGGACGCCACTGCAAAGCTGGATCAATGTCAGTTGTTGAAGTGCAGTAACAATTAGTCCTTGAACATGGGTTAGAGGAGACGTACTGCTTGTGGTGCTGCTCCACCAAGACCGCTGAGGAACCGGAAGGCTAGCATTTGCTGCTTCGTCTGTGCAAATCCACAAAGCGTGTTGAAGAGTAGATAAATAAGATTAGCGTATTGTAGTACAGTCACTCGACCAAAGATTTCGGATAGCGGCGCCAGCACGAATGGTCCCTGAGCGTAGCCGAGTAGAAATATGGTCATAACAAGTTGGCGCATAAAACCTTCCGGGATATCGAAGTCAACTGAGATCGCAGGCAGAGCGGGTGTGACCATCGTCGACGAGAACGGTGATATAAAAGTAAAGAGCGAGACTAGTATAGTAACAACCCATTTCCGTTTCTGGGACCAATTGAGAGGGTTCATTGGATCGTGTAGGCCGTCCCATGTGATCTACAACAACACATTAGCAACACATTAGTAGTAGCTATAGGCCTTCGAAAAGGCACGTACTTACGATTATACGTTGCTGCTGTCCTAGAGCTTCCTCGAGATTCAACGGGTCGCAATTGTTGTTGTCGTCTTGCCATTGCCGGAAGAGCCGTTCAGTGCTAACGAGCGGTCTGTCGTCGCTTTCGAAGGAGAAGCGCGGTAGCGCTAAAGAGTTGCGTGCACTTTCTCCGTCAGATGGCAGTTTCTTAAGAAGCTTGTTTTTCATATTCATAAACATCGTGTATGCAAGTGTAATAATGTGGATGGTTGAGATCGGTCGTAGTATTGGCCGTCATTAGGTTTGTGTGGGATGAAGATCATGTCCATATAGTTGTTGAAACGTTTCGCCAAACCGACAGCAATGAGGCAGTGCTTTTTGTAAGAAGCTACAAGCGTGAGGCTGTTCCCACTGCGTTGGAGGAAGGTATGCTACATGATGATACACAGGTTAGAACAAACCGTGCAGCCAGTGTGGCGCAGTGGTGCTAGCGACGAAGAGCCGCACATCAATCCCCTACTATTCGGGCCCCGAGGCTGTAAGCCACGAGCTTGATGTCAGAAATAGAAACATGTCGTGTGAGTTCATGGTAGATAGCTTGCCAACCAGCACTGCAGCCAATAGCAAAGCCAGCGAAGACCAATCAAGTAAAGTTAGGTAGAGATCATACCCTCGTACCAGCCTTCTGTGAGACGTCACCGGCCTGGCTGTGCTTAGATTTGCTGCCAAGAAGGTTTCATGACGCTGCTCGACTTGGTCATCCGCTAGAGTGCTTGGTGAACGCACGTGATTGGCCGTGACTGGTTGAGACTGACTGTCTCAAGACTCTTGGAAAATGCAGCGCAATCGTCCGTCAAGTTGCAAGGAAAGGCAAGAGGTATCTTGTAGCTGAGCGATAGTGATTCAAGACTCTTGGTGGTATGGCTATGTTGTGGTAGTCGTAACCTCCGGCTGTGCTGGCCATGTCCTTGAGGTTAGCAGTTGTGGCGTTAGCGGCATATGGAGATATTATTGATGCCCTTTTGAGTTAACTTCTCTCGTCAACCTAAGGCTTCAAGCGACTTTTTCAGGCGCTGCATGTTAGTAGTCCATGAATAGAGCCGCCGCTTCGCTAGGCTGTGTTTCGAAAGTGCTTCTTGGGAGGCGACAATATCCTGAAAATAGAGAAACTGAAGCTGCGTATAAGTAGAGTCGCGTGCTCATGGTTTCCAGGCATCAAACATCGATTCTGTGTCAACGCTCGCTCTTGCCTCACTGCACTCTTACCTTCGCTTTAACATCCCATAATCGACGCATTCGTTCATCAGCACAGACTGTGGAGAGAAGCTTTAGGAAGCTTCAAATTGCCACTTGTTAATTCAGTCCCACGGTTGCTCCAAGCTGCGAAATTTGGTCGAGTACCAGTACCGCTCTTCGCTGCAAATACAGCTTCTACGATTTGCCGAGAGCTCTGGGTGAGCTTTGCAACTTCCAATCTCCTCATCAGCAGATTACACACACTTCAGTATCTGTGCGTCCACTCAAACATGGAACTTTGTGCACCAACCGCTGTACCGGTCCTTCCGGCCAATCGCCCTAAGCTACCAAGACTCCGCACGTTGAAAACATCCAACCTACCACCCCAGCAGGTGGAAGAGGCCCTATTGTCCGAGTCTTACATTGTTTCATCACCAACATCCGAGATTCTTCATGGACATCCTCTCAGGATCTTAATCGCACCCTCGGGGTTCAAAGAAAGCCTGGGCCCAGAGCATGTAGCAGATGCTATCGAAGCTGGCATCTGGAAGGTACTAGACCACTCCTCTGTCGTATTGCGCAAGCTTCCTTTACATGATGGTGGAGAAGGGTTCGCCCGTGCCTTGGTGGCGGCCCATGGCGGGATAAGTGCGGAAGAAACTGTTACTGGCCCCGTCGGTCTGCCGGTCGAGTCACACCTAGGCTTTGTCGGCGAGGATAAGAAAACGGCAGTCCTGGATATGGCTGCGGCCGCAGGTCTCCGCCTTGTGCCGAAAGACGCGCGCGACCCAACTGTAACGACAACGTATGGAGTTGGCCAACTACTCAGAAAGGCACTGGACGCAGGGTGCACCAAAATCATCATCGGCTGCGGAGATTCAGGGACGTCGGATGGAGGTGCCGGTATGCTCCAAGCGCTCGGTGTCCGTCTTCTCGACACGAAGGGAAGAGAGTTACCGAAAGCAGATGGTGGGCGCTGCTTGCCTTGTTTAGACAAGATTTGTTGGTGTGGCGTACACCCACGTCTGCGCAAGGATGCTGGTAAGTCGATCAACGTCACCTTGCGTACTCAAGCTGACCAGTGCAAGTCGAGAAAGTTGAAATTGAAGCAGTGTGCAACATCAAGAATGTTCTCTGCGGTCCTAATGGCGTAGCACGAGTTTATGGTCCGCAGAAAGGGGCTACGCCCTCGCAATTAGACCTACTTGCTGCAGCATTAGAGCGTTTAGCGGAGGTCGCACAGAAAACTCTAGGGAAAGATATCTCGCGTGCTCCAGGCAGCGGAGCAAGTGGAGGTCTCGGAACGGGATTGATGATGCTAGGCGCTAAGTTGCGCCCACGGTGCGAAGCTATCAACGAGTATTTCGAATTCGATCGCGTTTTCGAGCAGCAGTGGGACTTCGTGATCACTGCAGAAGGTAGTCTTGATGGAAACAGTATTCAGGGAAAGTTGACTGGGGAGGTCGCTCGACGAGCGAAGCGCAACGGAGCACAAGTCGTCGCATTGGCTGGAACTATCGGTCCAGGAGCAGATAGCTGCTATGGGGCTGGAATCAAAGCCTTCACGAGCATTCTGCGAGGGCCACTTACACTGGAAGAAGCAATTGTGCAGACTGGGAATCTTGTCGAAGACGGTACCGAGAAGGTGCTCAGAATGATCATGGTTGGACTGGCTCTTGGCCGGAGGCAGTCTCTGGTAATACCAGGTTGACGTATGCGCTATGGAACGGGATATATCGAGACCTACCTGGGTACGTTTCTTGTTTAGTCTTAATGTATGACGATATGACACCATTCTCGATAGGTGGAAGTGATGTGGTAGTGTGCGAGATGTCTCTTTTCGCCAAGCTTGGAAGGCTCCCCCGCGCTAGCTCAGAAAGCAAATGAGCGCTAGCTTCATTGAACCTGTCGAGTGAACTCTCTCCTCTCACATCTCACACAGATCCATATATCTACATACCTTCAGCATGCGCCCAGAAGATATGGAAGTATATATTCCAGATACACACGTGTCTTTAGGGTAGGATATAGTAGTCACGACCGGTCAAAGGGTTACGGAAGTCAAAGAGCTGTGGTGAAAGTCGTTTCGTATAAGCCTTCAACAGGCCGGGTATCGTTCCCATATTCTATTAAACTCCAAATCATCCCAGAGAAAGAAGTAGAACATAGCTGCGCTAGCAAGCCCTCAGGCCACCGCCACCTTATTTCGTACCCTACTCCATACCCTCAGACTACACCAACTCAACACCAGACTTCTCGCTATCTGCAGAGATGTCTGAAGCCTTCCAAACCTTACTATTAGACACCAGTGTCGACGAGCTTCCGACGGCTGCACACCACTCCTTCACCGCTAACTCCTTCTGTGCGACCGCAGCAGTCTGCAACTGTGCTCGAAGGTACTCGATTGTATCCGCGCCATCGCGCCAGGCATTGTTCGCCATGGTAACAGCGTGATTGGCGTATTCCCGCATCTCGTCGAGCTCGGTCTTGTAGATGATGAGTACGTTCTCAGTCTCCGCAAGGCGCGACTCCAAAGCTTTGAGCTTAGTTTGCGCGGCTTTAGAGATCTTTTGCGCATTATCGTGGTCGAACTCGAGGTTGCGTTGCTTGGAGCTCAGGATCTGCCCTTCATCGTGATGAGCTTTGACCTCTTCTTGTAGGGCCTTAAGTTCCTTCTGGTGGACCTCTTGGGCAGCCTGTAGGTGAGGGTCAGAGCACGCACGGCTGGTGAGGGCGGTGTACTTACATCAAACTGGCGTTGGAGAGCATCACGCTGCTTTGTTACAACTACATGGGCTTCCTCGAGCTCAGTAGTGTATGCTTCGTTTACCGCATGTCGCTTGATATACCCTTCTTCAGACGCCTTCTGGTAGGACTCGATGTCTTCCTTCAGCTCCATCATCTGTTTGTCGTGCTTCTTCGTAGATTCTTTGTAGATCTTGATCTCTTCTGTCATGTTCAGAATTTGCTCGTCTTTCTTCTTGCTCTCTTCCGTCTTGATGGCTAGCTGATTTCTCAGCAAAGCAAGTTCCTCCATCATCGTCCTCGTCTTGTCCGTCTCCTTAGCCTTCACCTCACCGGTGAGCTCAGCAGTCAACTCATCAAAAGACTGCTTAAGCTCCTTGTTCTCTTTCTTCGTGCGACGCTCAAGCACGTTTGCATCGTGACACTTGACTTTGAGCCTCTCCTTCTCCTTCGTCTCCTCAGCAAGCTTGTAACGAACGCAACTGAGCTGAAACTCGGCTTCGGGCAGCTTCTTGGCGGCTGCGTACATAGAGGGACATAGATGCATTGCCTTATACTCGGCAAGGTGGGCTTCGGTTTTTTCGAGACTGGCATCCATCTTCTTGAGCTTCTTCTCGACACTCTCAGCCTTCGCCTCGCACTTCTTGATCGCGGCGTCAGATGATGCAATGAGAGCTGCAGACTGCTTCTCTGCTTCGTCGATGAAAAGATCCTCGATGTAAGTAGACATTTCGTTGTAGGTTGTTGTTGTTGTGAGAGTGCTGAGAGTGCTGAGAATGTACCTGAGGCTGGAGAACTTCGATGCGGGGCGCAGAGATGAAGCGGTAGCTCACAAGGTTGCTTAGAATGACCTAAGTCAATGGGAATGAAATTTACTCCTCAAATATAGGACTGCGCTGTATGCTGAAGTGTGTGTTGTGAGGTTGGTGGGAGCTGCTCGGTGGGCGAGATAAAGAGGTCGCTGGGCAACTGACGTCACGTATAGCGGTAGCGATCTGTTGATAGGCAAATTTTTGCGACTGCCTAGCCTAAGCTCCGCACAATAGGAAGGAGCGATATTGTGTGGCTGGGAAAAGTTGTTGGGTGAGGTGAAAGTAAGTGGGAGAGAACAGCGTGAATGGAAAGGCGGTAACGAAGCGCACGCACGGAGAACACAGCATATTATTTCGAGTCCTCCAGAAGTATCTCAAACTATTCTACAGTGATGTTTTCATTCTGCGGTACTTGAACTACTCTGCAATTCCTTATATGCGTTGAGTCAGGATACAGCATCTCACGTGTCTTGTTATGAAGTAGTCAGCCACATCTTTACAGCCGCTTATTATACAATCCCACAATTCTCCCAATTACTCATGTGTGCTGTCAATCTAGGAAGAAAGGCTGCTAAAATAGATATACTTGCGATAACTTATAGAACTACAAAGAAGCAACGCATCCAACTGGTACTGTCCGCGAAAGAAACAAACTTTACAGTTGTCGTGGCATCGCCTTATCACTGTGGATTCCCATTGTGCATACTGACTGTCATTTATTATCCCTCGAATTAATCCCATACATAGTATACCTCAAACACTCTGAATTCGTCCGTGTACTTGATGCGTATGCCCTTCACGTAAAATTGGCAATATATTACGAACACATACATAATTGATATGTTGTATAAATTGATTAGGTTATTTTCCGCAGTCTTGGCCTGTAGTTGATGTCGACTAGCACCACGCTTTTGTCATGTATTCACACGACATAACGGAATAAACCCTGATGCATGATGACCGCTGAGTCTCAAACATTTGAGCCCCTTATACGGCTGGTGGAGATAGCTACTCAATTGGCGCGCATGGCCAAATGGTATGTTAGTATCTTTTCCTAAAGTCAATATATCCGAGAACAAGCATTTCATCAGTCGACCGCACCAAGAATGCGTGACTTACACGCTTGAGAGTTTTTCCAAATCCCTACTGGAATTATGTCAGACTGCTAACCATAAAAAATTATCATCTTCCATCTCGAGTAGGGGGGTTGATACTTCTCCGTGGGAAGAAGTCTCCCCTAACAATAGTAGTTACATATCCCCGTTTTGTGCATACTAAGGTTTATCTCAATGAGATCACGGCTGTGTTGGCTACTATTCTGACAGAATGTAGTCTCTAACTTAAAATTTGTCTATATGTATTTCTGCATAAGAGGACTTCGACATGGCACTGAATTGGCATCAACAACGCCCTTGCCAACCCTAACTCAAAGCGGAGAACAAGCAGCTCTTTAAGTAGCAGAACCAAAGACACTCGGGAATGGAGTCTCAATGTTCGTCAGTTACACTCCCTTCTAGGCCTTACTAAGATTGATAATATGCCATTAGCATAGCCTTCGTTGATGCACAACACCCAGGTCCCATCCTTTACACGCATTGGCGGTGGGGCATGGGCCGGAAACCACATTTCCACATCCGACCTTAAAGAGCACTATGCCTAGATAGCTAGCGCAACCAACGGCATCGGAAACATCAGTAGCCGGCACATCACCCCACTCGGTGGTGGTGTGCCCAGCTTCTCCTCCGCCGGCGACATTCTCGGTGCGACTGCAGGATCCACCAGTACCTTAATGCATGACAGAGTTACCGCGAATTTTCAGGCCATGACGTCGTTAGCACTTATTCAAGAGGAAAGTAAAAATGTGGGATGCGAATTCATGAGGAGAGAACTGCTGTGCTGAACTGTGGAGAGGGACGGAAGAAGAGGTGGATATTTTGGACGGGAGCGGAGCAATAGAAGGATTCGGCTTGATGGAGGGAGGAATGTCAGTGGAAGTGTGCCGTGGACAAGGGGGTATAGTGCTGGATACACCACTAGAAGAGGGTGAGATGTACGCGAGTCCTGCTGGGGGGCGGCTGTGGGGAGGTGCTTAATAGCAATAGTGTTGAAACAACATTGGTGACATGGCATGGCAGAAAAAATAAACAAGGCTTTATAGCTTCATATTTCATTCTAAGGAAGCAATACTAATGAAAAAAAGGAGTGAATATTGCCAGTTAACAAAAGTTCAATGAATAGTGTCCACCACATTGGCACCAGAGTCCTTCCTGGAATGCTTCCCAAGCAAGCTCTCAACCTCGTTCTTCTGATGTGAGACGAGATCATTTAGCTCCGCTTGATGCTTCGCTTGGAGGTCAGAGTACTGCTCAACAAGCGATCTCTCCTCATCCTGAGTGTATGTTTCCGGCTCAGAGCTTGCTTCTGGCCGATGATTGGTTTCCACTTGCGTAATATTTTCCGGTGGCGCTTTGCTTTCAGTGCCATTCGTACTCTGGCTTACAGACTGCTCACCATGTTTCGGGAAGTACTTGACATCTAATCCAGCGAGGTCGTCCGCAGCCCTCCAGTCAGTGAGGATCTTGATGAACGCTGGACTACTAATTGCATTCATCGCATTCCTGGCTGTAGTCTTTGAGGGCTTCCCTTCGTTATTATAGTAGCCAGGCGTACATTCTTTCGAGTAGTCCCCTTTAAGCGCGAACCCCTTTACGATGATATCGGTCCAGTCTTCCTCGGCTTCTTGTGTCGGTTCAATAGTTTTAATATTTCGCTTACGACACTCGGAGACAACGTAGGCGAGGTGTATTGCCTGTTCATTCGTGATGTGCATGAAGTTTGGTGTCACCTAATGTGGAGGTATGAAGTTAGTGTATGTTTTATATGCATTTCGTACATAGGGGGGCATTGCTCACGGCTGCTTGAGTAACTTGGACCCAGAAGCAATTCGGGAATTGGCGACTTCCCCATCCGTGTAAAGTCATGGCTCCCTCTTTCCACTTCTCGGTAGTACGGAGGCCATTGCGCCCGTAGATTTCCATGCCCGCCCTATGAGCCCAGTCATTTGCTAGCTCGAAGCCAGTGGCGTAGATGAGGCAGTCAATCTCGTACTCCTCGCCGTTAGCAACAACTCCCTTCTCAGTAATTCGATCTATGCCCAGTCCTTTCGTGTCAACAAGCTTGACATTAGGTCGATTGAATGTTTGGAGGTACTCATCATGGAAGCAAGGGCGCTTGCAGAACTGATTATACCATGGCTTCAATGCATCAGCAGTCTCCTTGTCTTTCACTATCTCGTCGGTTCTCGCACGAATCTGCTCCATCTTCTTGAAGTCAGCTAGCTGTCGATTGGCAGCTACTTCGACTGGGTTGTTAGGGTCGAATCTGGCGGAATATAGTTCCCGGATGATATCTAAAGGTAGAGAGAGGTACGAAGTCAGTGTCTATCTCATACAGTCTGTACATAGATTCGCGTACCTGTCCAACTATCGGCAACCATGTCGTGTTTCTCGAAGCCTCCATTGACTATGTTGTCGAAATTATCCATGCGCTTCTTCTGCCAGCCTTTCTCGAGGGACTTTGCCCACTCCCTGTCAGTTGGTCGATTTCTTCGAACATCGACAGATGATGGTGTCCGCTGGAAAACGTAGAGTTCCTTTGTCCATTCACCGAGATGAGGAACGATCTGTACAGCTGTTGCCCCAGTTCCAATGATGCCAACTCTCTTATCCTTTAGTCTGTGCAGATGACCAGTTGAATCACCGCCGGTATATCCATAATCCCATCGTGACGAATGGAAGGAATGGCCTCTGAACTCTTCAATACCATTCAGGCCAGGAAGTTTCGGGCGGTGAAGCGGCCCTGCGACTGGAATCACGAAGCGTGACTTGATCTTGTCGCCTCGCGAGGTTTGCGCTGTCCACTTACCCTCTTCTTCGTTCCATCGCAAATCCTTGACTTCTGTCTGGAATAGAGCCCGGGAGTAGAGGTCAAACTTCTCGCCAATCGCGCGCGAATGCGCGAGTAGTTCCTTCGCGTGAGCGTACTTCTCGGTAGGCATATACCCGACTTCTTCAAGAAGAGGCATGTAAATATAGGACTCGACATCGCATTGCGCACCGGGATATTTGTTCCAGTACCTGGGCGATAAACTTCAGTGTCCGTTTGCTCACAATTGCAAAGGTTACGTACCACGTACCCCCAAAATCACCAGCCTTTTCAATGATCTTGAAGTTGTCTACTCCTTGCTCCATCAATCGAACAGCAACGACCTGAGCTCCGTATCCTCCACCAACAATTATAACTTCTGTCTCTTCCTCGATCGGGTCGCGCTTGAAGCCTGGCTCAACCCACGGGTCTGTAAGATATTTCGAAAAACGACCGTCTAGTTCGATGTACTGCTCTACTCCTTGGTCACGAGCCAGACGCTTGTCGCGCTCCGCGAGATACTTCTCCTTGAGCGCTGCAGGATCGAAGGGAAGAGGTTCTTCTTGTGATATCTCTCCGGTCTTGATGTCCACTGGGGACTTTTCGACAACTGGAATATGTACTTCAGCAATTGGAGCTGGTGCGACTTGGCCTTCTGTAGCCATAATTGCTAGATGCGAATAATATACGATACGACTAGAACAAAGTTTCGATGGTAATGTATCTCAAGAGAAATCTATACCAACGAGATGAATATATACCCTTAGACTTACAGCTCGCCATATATACCTGAGCAGGCACGAAGGGGCCTTAACTACGATGAGCTATCAGTCCTAGCCACTCTGCAAGCTTCCCCACTTCCTCTGCTTCATGATGGAGAAGTTAATATCAGCGCACACCAATCGCAAGTCTGTGCGAGTAACGCCGTGCATGTCGGTATCCGGGAAAAAAGCTATCCGGACAGGTGGTCTACCTTTTGCGAACGAGTGTTGTGACTCGAATATGAGGGTATTGGATGCTGCACCTCGCACGAGAATCCGAAGTGGACAACGTGGTGGGGTAGCTTGGGTAGGTGCGTATAGCCGAGGGCCCACGAAATTAAACGACTCGTTTAGAATCGCAACGGCGTTGGGGTGCTATCAAACAAGAGATGTAATCAGCGCCTACGTCCTGGTTGAGCTATCGCCATTCTGTAGAGTTGTACTTTGAGTGCGGTGTTATCAACACCGAATGAAGAGAGTGGGAACGAGCATTTTCGCGTCTACCTACCGAGATTGGACAAGTGCAGCTCCAGTTATTCGTCGGGTAGAGGCACGCGCAGTTATGAGACTCTTAGTTGCGACTACATGCTTTACCAGAAGCGAAGCCAGCCGGTGTACACGAGCAGCAGTGGCTGTCATGTCATGACTGGTGTCAACATCGTTTGGTAACATGGCGAGTTGGACCGATAGGAGGATTTCCAGAGCGCCTACGCCCTGGTTGAGCTATCGCTGGTCCTGTCAAAGTACTTTGAGTGCGGAGATGTTTGTGATTGCATTGATTCTCTCAGGATAGGCTGCATTCGAGACGGTCGCCGAGTTGGGATGATGTAGCTGGACATATCGAACATGGCGCAAGGGCCTAATTCGCGAGTCACTGCATCCATACGGATTTTTAACTGAGGCTTTCGAAAGACTATTTTCAAGATTTTCAAAGCTGGTATACCCCTCTAGTACATCTATCAACAACGGAAAAAGATAAAGTCTATCTACAAGAAAGAAACCTCGACGGCGAAGACACTCAACCATCGGTAATCGCCAAGCGGCCTGCAATGCTCCTTTTCAGCGGTGCCTCATCCGAGCAAACTTTCATATAAAGGTCCATACCCGTCCCCTTACCAGGACAAGTGAACACTGGCTCCTGGAGACCCAACTTCTGCATCGGATAATCAACATAGTACGCCTGTGTCGGGCAATAACTTCCACCCGTGCAGCTGGCCTTGCCACAAGCCTGCTCAGGACTATCCATCGTCAACCCCTTGTCATGGCCGGGGCAGGCACTCGCGCTCTCGCCCTTTGCGCAATCAACAAACGAGATGTCGTACCATATCTGGTTATTTACAATGCTGTATTCGAATTGGGTATGCGCTCCACCGACTAGCTGGTTCGATTTGCTGATTTTCATTGAGGTCCCGCACCCGTTACAAGAGCTGCGGAAGGGCTCAGAGTATTGTGTGCGTGCAGGAATATGGATGGGTGCGGACCAGTGGGATTGGTCGACGCTCCAGAGCCAGATGTCGTAGGGACAGCGGTTGCTAACGATTGCGTTGCCGGCTGCTGCAAGGCCAGCTTGCAGGGCGACGACGCCGAGGACGAATTTGGACAGCATTGTATTGAGAGAATTGTATGATTGGAAGAAGAGAACTGTGTGGTTGTGTGGTTGTTTTTATATAGGTAGGTCGAAATGAATTTGTTAAAAGAGAATGTAAGAGTCTTAAATTCAGCAAGACTCGAAAACAACTGAATGAATGTCGTGAAGTTGAAGCTTCAATGAAGAAAGAGTGTGTATAGCGAAGAGGTCTATTTGAATCTGACAACCCTCCGCCGAACTCAAAGGCAGTCAGCACTCTTTATCAATTCCAAACGGACAAAGCAAATGGCCCAGATCTCCTTAGCACCCACACCTCACGTAAGAAACATATTCCGAAACAAGTTCGGACAACATCTGCATTCCAAGGTATGCTTTGTACTGCGGCGGCTGATGCAGCATTTTCGGTCTGCGTTAGTGTTTGGAAGTAGTATGCCACATGAGCGCTGCGTACTCTGGTTGGTTGATATCCTAATTTGGGGGCTTTACAGCTGAACCAGCGAATAAGCAAGGAGACGACGCCTTTGAGTTTACAACGCCTAGGAATTCGTCTGAGCAGCGGGTTCTATATTTTGCAGCGTGAAACGGATTTGGCTAATAAAGAAGTGTTTGTTCCTTTCTCCGTTGCGTGTGTGCTGATACATAGTGAAGCAAGGCTGAGCTCTATGAAAGAAGACAGGACTAACCAGACAATGAGACAATGCTGAGTGCATTATGCCATTATTTTCTGTCTCAGAGTAATCGGTCACTATACTTCTTTTTGTCAGTAAGCAGACGTTGTGGGAGTCCAGAGTGGACGCAAGTATGCAGGGGTTCCCAAGTCTGCGAACATGTGGGCATGAAACCATGCATCGGTCGATCATTTTGATCCAAGGAGGCGAATGAGAAAGATGTTTCTAGACTATGCTACATTCAAGTACTCTGGCTCGGATGCACTGTCTCTGCTAGGGAAATCTTCTGGGCATGATTATGCGAATTTGGATGATTGTGAATGAGAAGCCCCGGGAGTGTCATCAAGGAAGCTTGTGTTTCTGGATGGCAATGAGGTGAATTCGATGCCTGTGAAGCAGCAGTGCTACTCTATCAGTGACTCCAACTCCATGAATACAGTTCAAAGACTAGCCTGTTGAACATATTTCACGGTAACGACCGCCGCCCCAGATCTGATCTAGGCATGTTGTGGCATGTATATTTCGTGATATTCGCTGCTCACTTGTACTATCCACGTCGTTTAGTGATGGTGATAGTCTATTTGATGTCTTTGGCATCGGCATCTCCTGGATGAATTGAGCTCGCAACTGTTCCTATTAAGGGACGTAGGACGTTGACCTGTATGTAATCTTTCGTGAAAGACAGCCAGACAAGTTATTGTTCCGGCTGACATGACTGCCCTCTTTTAGTAACCTTGGCTTACATATTGGGCAGCTACTGGAACTTTAGCACGTGTTGAGGGAGACTGTCGCACTGCCCCTCAGGTCTAGCCTCTCTAAAATCGGGCCACTCTGATCGTGATCAAGTTCGACGTTCCCACGGCAAGTCGGAACGGATTTTAGCTACAGCAGCCACGCATCAAGATCAGCAAAACTGTGGAGCAGGCGAAAGAAATCGAAATGTAGCGCCGAGCCCACATCTAATCGATGGGAGCTTGTTGCCTTCATGGTTCTTGAAGATGGTCCTGGAGTAGTAGTCTGTTGGTGAGACTGAGACTAAGCATGTGGGCGCGTACTTGTTGAGCGAATACGGCAGGAAAGCATGCAGCAAAAGGAGACGATGATAAAAGACGCATAAGAAATAGTGAATCAATGTAGAGGAACTTGATAGGTCGAATGATAGGCCGAGAACTAGAAAATACGGCAGTGGGGCCTCGTAGCATGTTACGAAGAAGAAAGTGTCCCGACACCGCAGTTCTACCCGGTGGGACGCGCAACACATCGCCCACACGACTCAACATGCCGACGATCAAGCGAATCGAGACCACAGTCTTGCGCTTCGACTTCAACTTTCGCAGCCTGAGGTACGGCAGCGACTCGGTGCTTCATCTCCTATCAAATGAATCAGAATCAACGACTTCGTATGGCAACGGGTAGAAGATTAAGGAGTGGAGGGACTCCTTGCTACACTCCTCATCATCACCACTCTCCCCGGGCCGCTCCCCAGGCCTGCCGCCGGTCGAGAGATGACGTATCTCCGTAGGGCTTCTCGGCCCATGGAGGTTTCCCTGGATCTGTGCCTCGTGTGGGTCCACGTCGAAGACGAGTTTTCGGTCGCGACAGCTGCATGCCACGCAGCGAATGTGGGCGTACCACTCTAAGGGTGACACGACGGAGGAAGTAGCGGGTATCATGAGGCGCTCTCTAGATAGGTTTTTCGCTGTCCAGTCCAGTAGATCGACTGGCGTGGCGGAAGTATGTCACGACGGCGAGATCACGCTCCATTTCCCCCGTTCCACGTTACAGGCGGATCTTCGATTTTGACGCCTCGTTGTTTCATAAAGACGCTCTCCCGCCTTGAATCGTCCCGGCCCTGCTTCCGAGAGTGCCGAGAAGCCACGACGTCGAAGTCTCGACCCTGCCCTGCCTCAACATTTCTACGCAGACCCGGGGATCATCTCCGCTGCCTGCAGTCTTGATCGCCCGGATCAGCAGCTGTTGCAGTACCGTGGCTGAAACTGCGGCGGGCTGGAGTCGCTTGTTGTGCAAGTTGCACAATGCGGGAGAGCCGGGCAGAAACGAAATAAAGTCGCACGCTAAGAGACCATCTGAAACGTGGGCCTGTCAGAAAGCACAGGGGCATATTGGATGGCAATAGGAAGAAAGCGAGCGCCATCCGAGATATTTTTACGTCTTGCCTTGTTGGACATAGTCGTGTTGTCTGGCCTTCCCGAAGCGGGCGTTTTGTGAAGGTAGCCCCTGCGCAAGCCCCATGATCGGCCTCTGTTACCCCTGTTTACCCCTGACACCCCGTCACGTCTTGCCCTGGTCAACCAAAAACAAATCGAAGCGCCAGTAGGCGCTCAACAGGAAACAAAGCGATCTTTGTACCGCATCTCACACCGTTCAAAGTTTCAAAGAAACAAACCCATGAACGGAACACTGTGTTGGAGGGGTCCAGCAGTCCGGGTGCGCGGCCCATTGGACTCTAAATCGGTAAAACGTCAGGCTGGAACTAACAATCAACGTCAAGCTGCATTAATTGAAATGAAAGGATTAGACCCGATTACGAGAACTTGGCTAGAACTAATACTTGGCCCAAGGCGAACTAGCTCAACCTAGGCAGGCACAGGCACATCTGTGGAGGATAGGCCCGTGGCAGGCGCTATGGCACTCGCGTTCATTTCGCTGGCTGCACGGCGCCTATCTAGCGTGTGACCTGTATAAATGTAGTCTGTTCCCTCCTTCTCCGTTGTTTCTCTCTGATCCTACAAGTCTGCGACTCCCGGTTTCGACGCTATCCAGTCATTCTCTACACACAGTCATTCTCTGACACCACGTTCACTACCGCCCTACGGCATCAACCATTCTTTAACAGCACGCTACAAACCTAGAAAATCGACCCCCCGTCAAACCTAACCAGCCAACCACTCGCAAACTTCACATCCTCAAATATCAATATGCGTACCTCTTTCGCTCTCGCTGCCCTTGCTGGCTCTGCGCTCGCCGCTCCCCACGTCCACCGTCACCAGAAGAAGGCGGCTGAGTACGTCAACGACGTCCACGTTGTCGTCGAGACCCAGCTCGCCACCGTCTACGTTACCGAGGGATACGAGGAGGCCGAACCTACCCCTGCCCCTGAGCCCGTCTATGACGCTCCTGTTGTGACCACCATTGTCTACGAGGAGCCAGCACCGGAGCCCACCACCTACGAGGCTGCCCCCCCGGCTCCCCCTGCGCCCACCAGCGTCAAGTACGAGGCTCCCTCCTCCAAGGCTCCTCCCCCAGCTCCTCCCGCTCCTACCACAACCCAGGCTCCTGCTCCCACCTACGAGGCTCCTGCTCCTGCTCCCACCCCCACCAAGCCCGCCACCCCCGTCGGTGATGATCAAGGCTGCAAGGGCGTTATCGACAGCTGGCGCGCCAAGTTGGGCCTGAAGCCCCTTGAATACGATGAGAAGCTCCGGGCCAACGCCCGTGACGTCGTCAAGTCTGGCAACGGCCAGATGGTCCACAAGCTCAACCCCGGCACTTTCGGCCAGGTTCTCGCTCCCGGTAAAGCCGACGAATTCGAGCACGTCTTCGTTGGAGGATGGCTTTGCGAAATCCCCACCCTCCCCGGCCTAGACGGTGTCTGCGCTAAGCAGTCCCAAGGCTGGTCGTACGAGGGCCAGACTGGCCACGCCGATATCCTGACCTCCACCAACTACTCCAAGATCGGCTGCGAGATCGATGCTGGTATCTGGTGCTGCGATCTTGCATAAAGGACAAACGTATGGACGGGACTTTTTGGGGCTTTTGATGTCGGTGGCTTGGGGAAAAACGCATAGCGTGCGCTTGTTTCAGTTTCACTTCTTCTCTGTATCGTACGTTGCTTGTACGCTTCTACTCTTCGCTGTTCACTCTAGGGGCAGCATTGTCCTGTTGCAATTAACGCATCCACGAATTATGATCCCAAACTGCCTTGTCCTAGCTCCGTGTGATGACTACCTACCTACCTACCAGGATTTTACCCATCCTGTTTCCGAGAATTAACACAGCCGCTTTGAGCGGTTGCCATTGGCGATTACGGACACTACACAAATTTCTTACTTTTCTGACGAGAGACGTGAGGTAACTGTTGCGCTTAGTAGAGATGGTGTGTCATACACCCCTGAGCGAAGTGGCGGCTGCGGAGATTGGGTTGTCAACAACTACGGCCCAGGGCCGTTCAATTTGCGGGGCCAAGTGTGCCGCGTCGCTTCTTCCGACACCCATAGCTTCCAGCGCACATTTGCAGCTTGGGTGATGGCTGCGAGCGATCGAGTCGAAATAAGGTTATGGCGCCCATGTGAGGGAGGAATGCGGAGGTCGCACAAGGCCACGCTCGTTGAGTCGCGCAAACCCGTCATGATGGAACATCCAAGGTGTCAAATGTGCGCCTTACTGGGTCTGGGGTAGGGCTTGGGCAGGGATGAATGAAATCGATATCGAAACCCTGCCTGTCAACGCTCATCTCAATTTCAACGTCCCGCGGGAGGAGCATGAGGTCGGGTCTCCAAAGCGATGATCAAAGCTTCTGGACCTTGTTGTGTGGGTTTGAAGTCTTCTTGATCAGACGGTGATTTCCGGCGCCTCCATCTCCCCAAGATGATCAATTTCATCGCAATACAGCGAATTACGGTCACCGGCGACACTCTACTCATGCCTTTTATTCATATCTGCGCTTCGTAAGAACCGGAGAACATTTCCCGCATCAAGATCCGCTTTCCTGCATTCGCGCCCTAAATAAGTAGGGAAGTCTGCTTGAGCTGTTTCACAGGCCAAATCGATGCGTTGCGTGAAGGGTGAGATGGTAGACTAAAAACGCGTTTGTATAATAAGTATCTCGTACTATAAATAAAAAAGCTCGTTGGATTATTATTACACTGGCAGTCCATGGGCACATCTACACATGTATCTCAATGCGTGCTCACCAGCACCCAAATATCTCTTCGAGCTATACCCGTGGGGAAAACTACACTCCACGTCATGGGAGAGCGCTCGTGCATAGCAAATAAAGAGGAACTGTAAATCAATACCACGCTATGCGATGACTCCAAAGTTCAAGATACTGGTCTTCTGCCTAGATGCCCTGCACCTTCCGATAACTCGGCGGTTTCAATGTCCTGCCGATGAGCTTCACTGCATACGGCGGCACCAAACTGACCGCCGCAACCACGGCAAACTTCCACCAAAACGCCAGACTGCTCACGTACGCCAACTCGAAATACCAGCCAAGGAGCGGTATACTGCCAAAGTAGAAGCCCGCGGTACTAAAAATACAGGCGGCTATGATCCAATGCCAAGTTGTGACCTCCATAGCCACCATGATAAGCTCGTTGACGATGAGAACTGAGAAGGATATTGAGACCATTTTCTTGAAAACGACGTCGTGGAGCGACGAGGAGCCAATGCCGACGAGCATTTGGCAGAGACCTTGGATCACGGAGCCTTGATAGACGGATACCGCAACCCAGATGAAGAAAGTCTTGTAACTCAAGCTTCGCCCCGTCTTGAGCTCGGCGTAGAGTTCCGGGTAGAGATTTGCAACCGACTCATCCACGTCGCGGTCCAAGACGAGGGAGAAGACGGGCATCATGGTGTAGATGGTAGCATAGCCAACGACTAGGAAGTCTTTGTAGAGGACGTTTGGCTCAAAGGATGAGCCGATGCTGTACACCGTTTGGCAAATTGAGAAAATAAGACCGCGGTGGATGACAAATTGCGACAACTTGGCAGATCGCTTGTACGAATTCCGCCCATGCCAAACAAGGAGCTTGGTTAGGTAGCAGAATTGCTCAATGGAGAAATCGGCTGCAAGACTTGCTTGTCGTCCCTCTTTGCCAACAATACCAACACCAACGTCGGCGGCCTGGATCATGGAGACATCGTTGCCGCCGTCGCCGATACAGCAAATACGCTTTTTGGTGTACTCGCGGATTAGGCGAGCAACGTCTGCTTTTTGGGTTGGTGAGCAGCGACATGCGACGACGGTGGGCAGTTGCACGGCGATGGAGACGAATTCTTGGCGGTAGTGTGTCAGCATGAGTGCGAGGGATTCGCCATCGATGAGGAGACAGGCGTCTGTTTTGCCGCGCAGAAAATCAAGGGAGGAGTGGGCGAGTTCTTTTCGCTTCACTACTTGGTGTCAGTATAATTACGAGAGTCTGAGAGGGTAGGCGATAAGGCTTACTCTTTGCGATGGTGTGGACATATTGACCTCGCGCAACTAGCTTCGAGCTAACAGCTACACATCGAGCTGTTTCAACCTTGTCGCCAGTCAACATCCAGATCTTGATTCCAGCGTTGCGAAGAAGCTCGAGTGATGGCTTTACGTCCTTCTGCAACTTGTCCTCGACACCAGTGACACCAAGCAGTTCCAGGTCATGCTCGAGATACTCCTTGACCACACTAGCTACGATAGTATCGCGATTGTTAAGCACCAGCGAGGCTTGGGCGTGTTTGATTGAAAACTCGTGGTACTTCTGCGCGGAGAGCTTCTTACGACCAACAACTAACGTTCGGAGGCCTTCTCGTGCCATGTTCGCGGTTTCCTCGTCCAACCAATCATTAGCGGCGACAATGGACGTCATGACAGTATCAGCACCCTTTTGGTAGAACCAAATCTCGCCCTCCTCATCAGAAGGCGATGACGATGGTCCAGAGTAGAACTTGACGACAATACCCATACGTTTTCCTTCAGAGGTGAAGGGAAACACATTCAATATGCGTACTTTCACTACCGTGTTGCCGCTGTCGCACGACCGAAGGGTCATAGACTCCCGATCGCGGGACAGGAGCTTGAGTCCAACAGCCTCAGTCCATTGTACAATAGCGATTTCGTCTGGAGACGATGCTTGATACGTGGTCACCATGTTTCCATTTTCTTCCTCGATGGTGGGTGTTACATTGTGACAGAGTGCTAGGGCTAGCACAACATCGCGAACCCTAGATCCAATTTCTCTTCGTGTACGCGTTGTGGAGGTGAGAGATGCCATGTAGGTGGATGATGGGGTGACAAGGGATGGAGCCTCGCCCGCGGGAGGCGTGAAGCATTGGCGAACATATGATGATACCTCATCCATAGCTTCGTTTGCGTAGGATACTGTACCGACATGGATCTTCTTCATTACCATTTCTAACCGATATTAGCCATGTACAACTCAGCCAGGGGAAAAACATACCGTTTTGAGTAAGAGTTCCCGTCTTATCACTCAACAGATACTCAATCCGACCTAGATCTTCTGGAATGGTGCTTGTCCGAACTACTGTTCCAGGTATACTCTTATCATGCTCAATGAACCACGCATAGACCGACTTGCCCAGGTCGAGATTGACACGCAGACCCACTGGGACGATTGAGGAGAATAGGATCAAGAATCGCATCATCGACACATACCATGGGCGGCCTTCAATCTCTCGGAACCGTGCGAGCGCCACAAGGATGAGTGATAGCGATAGCGTAAAGATGCATAGAAATTTGGTTAGAGAGTTGATCTCTAGTTCCAACAGGCCGGTTTTAGATCGCGAGGGAGATGTGGATAGGGCTTGGCGGGTTTGAGGGCCAGTGTATACGACAACAGCAAGGAGACTACCGCTTGAGGCGACCACTGTGTTTGCCCAAATAGTGTTGTCGATACTAAGAGGTGCCGACTGGTCTGGTTCTGCTAAAGACGGCTCACCTTGATCATGTGGATCGTATTGTCGTTGACTCTTTGGTAGCAGTTGGACGGTACCATAGAATTCGTTGACTTTTCTGTCCGGCTTGCCTGCGACGATACGAAGCCTGGTATACTCTCCAACATCCAAGTTCTGCGTGAGAGGCGAAGTCAGCCGCAACTTCCAGTCCGTTTCGCCGTCTAGTTGATCAGTCCGAATGAAGGCTTCGCCCGAGGAGCTAGTTGTTGCGGCACTATCCACCTTGGCTGCCTCTCCAGAACTGAGGAGCCCGTTCGTCTCTTCATCGATGAGCATGGGCGTGGAATCTGAGATTTCCGGTTTCGGGGCTGTAGGAGCAATGTGGTCGCTAGGATAGCTCTTTAGGAGCACCATGTCCGCAGGGACGCGCTGATCTTTGGCGAGCTTAACAACATCTCCCACCTTCAAGCTCTTGGAAGGCTTCACGACTTCCCAGTAGGTGCATGTGGCCAAACCTTTGGTTGATAGATGCTGCTCCTCGTCCTCGATGTCCGTCAGGCGGCCCCCGTCTCTTTTTTGTTTTCTCGACTTCTTTTTCCTCTGCGAGTTCTTTCCTGGCGCCACGCCATTTCCCATGCTGTTCTCCTCAAATTTCAGCACTGTATATCCCTCCGAGTTTGCCTCTGCATCTCTCCTGCGGCGCGCAATATCGTCTATGGCCTCCTTGCTCAAGGTGATCGTTAGAACGAAGCTTAGCGGCACTGTGTAAGTTGAGAGGTAGCCGAGGCGTAAGGCGGGTATTAACTGCGATAGTGCGACAAGCAGGAAATACATGTTGATGAAGAACGAGAACTCATTATACAAAGTGCGCGGAAGGAAGCTCCAGGGGGTATATTTGGCATTAGAAACGGCATTTTTGGGAAATCGTGAGGTTTGAAGCTGGCCGACAGAGATGGTGCGCTGTGTGGTAGGATCGTGCTCTTCCTCCGCATCTGACTCCCCAGTCTCAGCAGCTAGCTGTATGCCTGCATTGTCGGAAAGAAAGCTCGGGAGGCGAATATTTGCTCCTAACCGCGATAATGCACTCGGCTGGCGCTGGCGTCTTGGTCGGGCCATGTGAGGGGATAACAAGGGCGCATCGTCATCTCCAGACTGGCCGTAGCTGCCAGCAGAGTCTCTCTTTTGCCCATTGTCTTGATCATCGTCTAGCAGTCCTCGCAAGTCTTCCTCCTCTGGTTCTGCCTTGGCTCTGTTCCTTCGTAACCTTCCCACTCTCAGATTCCTCAGCGGTATCCTTGCACCGAGTTGTTGATAGGGTCTCGTCTGTTCTTGCGAGGCAATAGGGTCGAGCTCGTCGAGGTCCAGCTCAAGATCCGAGTCGTCGTCCGGCGCATTCGGTTGGTGGTATTGATGGGGGGCAGCCATGGCTCGAGTGAGAGAGGGAGAGAGAGAGCGGGAGAAGCGCCGAGGGGCTGCGGAGGGGCTGCGGACAACTCCTGGCTATGACTACTTCATAGGTGGCCAAATCAGACGTGATTCTGGCTATGGAGGTTGCCTTCGGGAGTCCGCGGCGACTCGGGGGTGCTGGAGGGGAGAGCTCTAGGTGGCCAGGTATCCTGTCTGGGCGCGTGCTGAGCTTGTCGATGACGGTGACGGCTCAGGTACTTGGTAGGAAGTTATCGATGTAGATGGCGAGAAGTGTTTCTTTGTGCTTTGCAAGTACAGATCAGAGTGCCAGGCGTCTTCATCAAGGCTGCGCGTCACTCGAGTTAGGATGATGTGGCGTCGTGGCTGACCCGACAGGGTTGCCGGTCGGCGGTTTCAATCTCCCATGGCCAGAACAGCTGTCCATAACTCCAAACCACTCCGCATTTATTGCACCGCCATGCACACACCGATAGCGCGTTGCCTTCTTGATTTTTGAATCTCTCTTTCCCCCGCGAAAGAGCCTTGACTTGTGCGACGTCCAGCGCAGGCCATTCTGCTTCTCTGTAGAGGTACGTCTCTCGAGGGAGCTATTGGAAAGGGATGACGGCTACTCCTATCCACCATTCACTTCTGAAGCTCCATCACGGCTCTCCTTTGCGGGCACCCCGTCTGCAATTTGCCAGCCAACGCTCTTGTCTTCAGCACCTGTCTGACATGCACGGTGGGTGAGCATGTCGGATCACCGAGGCTCATTATAATCGCTGCATGCCCAATTCAGTGCTGATCGCGCGCCTAGTACTTATAGATACCCTTTTTATGACCTTTTAATTGCCATAATGGATAACGAAGACGGACCCAACTTCTCATACGCGTATGGCGGTGCTCCTGCGACTACGGCAGCCGCCTCATGGAATCCCGCATTGCGCCACGAAAAGGAGGGGGGCCCACCAGCCCGCGCACAGCCCCCCGCAAAGGCACCTGAATCATCGGAGGACGAAGATGACGAAGATGACGATGAGGAAGACGAGGAAGACGATGAGGACGATGAGGACGAGGACGAAGAGGACGAAGATGAGGATGACGAGGACGAAGACGAGGAAGAGAGCGAAGAAGAAGAGTCCCAGCCATCATCTGCAGTACCCGCGGCACCCACACCTACAAAAGGGGGCACATATTTCGAAGGACACAAAGCTGGCAGCAATTCACTTGCTCGCATCGATACTGCCAAAGATCCGCAAAGCGCACAAGGACCTGTACCAGCCCAAACAGGTACACGCGGAGTTGGCGGTACCAATGAAGACGCTTTGGCAAGCGCTACCCAGGCGCTCAATATCAAGGATCAGACAGAACCACAAGCGAAACCCGAGTCGAGTGAAGACGAATCTGACGAGGCGAGCGACGAGGAAAGTTCGGAAGACGAGGAAGAGGCGGAGGCAGCATCTGAGGAGCGGCCCGCGGAGAACTATGAACATCAAGGGGAGACAACAGCTCTGGAAGAGGCTATGGGCGAGAGCGTCAAGGTGCCCTTGGTAGCTGATACCGAGGCCGCGACCCATGATTGGGGACCTTCGGATGAGAACTTTGTTCTCGGTGGCCAGTCACAAGAAACGCCACTGGAGACACCTAATGCTGACGCTGGCGGAACAACTGTTGGAGACAATGTCATTGGAAACACCAATGTTGGCGGACATGTCGGGGACGATATCGACTGGGGCAATGGAGAGCAACAAGAAGACTTCTTCGGAGGCATCGCAAGCCAGACACCCGAATCTGCACAGCCTACAGGTGAGAGTCCGGGGGCGCATGCGGTGGTTTCAGAAACTCCGTCTATCACGAAGAACGAATGGGATCTTGACCTTGATCTGGACGATGAATTCTTGCCCGATGCAGAAGATGCCCCAGTCTTCGAATTGAGCGACGATGACGGCTTTCTGGAGGAGGAGTCTGCCCCTCCTGTGCAGCAGATACAGCCCACTTCAGGATCAACATCTGCGGGTCTTTATGCACCTCAGACTGCGCAAGGCGCGCCTGCATTTACACCGGCTACGAATCAATATACCCCTCAAAACCCGCAGTTGGCCAATCTGCCTCAGGATACTCTACAGCGGCCGGCAGCTACCCCGATCTATAACGGCTTTGGTCAAAACTTGTCGTATCAACAACAACAGTCGAGTCGACCTGCCATGCCAAGCTCGGCACAGAGCTTTGCGGACAAGTCTAAAGGCGGATATCATTCACCCTACGATCTTCCCGACGATATTGTAACAACACGAAAGCGCACAGCCCCTCGAGCGTCAATCCCAGCTGTACAACCAACCCTGCCTCCGCCACGGAGTAGCAGCATCTCCTCGAATGCTGGGCCTCCACGCCCCATCCCAATGTCGAGCATGTCAACAACGAGTTTGTCCCCGCCGTCTTCGGGACATTCCATGCAGGCGCAGATGACAGGACTAACACCAAATGTCCCATCGAAACCCGCACCGCTAACGAAGACAAGTTCGAGCGACTTCTTTGCTGAATTACCAGTGACCTCGAAGCCGAGGCCTTCCGGCCGCTACTCTCCCCAGCCGAACGCACCCACTCACCTATCAGGCTTGCATGCTCCTCCACAATTTCCCCTTAAAGAGCGCACAGCATCCTGGTCGTCTCTCAGGAACGAGATTCTTCCCGATTCTACCACCGGTCCGCCCCCGCTTAGACAGCCAGAGCAACTGCCTATGTTTCCCAATCAGCCATCTGTACCCACACGAACAAATAGTCTCCCTGTGCCTCAGCCTGCACCGTTACCTCCTTCAAACAGATACTCTCCTGCGCCACCGCCTTCCGCCCCATCTGCTGATGCACGATATTCTCCTGCGCCACCAAGCGCTCCAACAGCGAATGCGAGATATTCGCCAGCACCTCCATCGGGTTCTCCAGGACAGACACATACTCGCTATGCGTCTGAACCGCCTGCTACGCTGAACCGGACACCCTCTCAACCATTTGCACCTCGTACTTCAAGTCCCCTAGCGTTTCACAGCGTTCCACTTCAGCAAGAACCGCCTCCGGGTCACTATATCTCCCAGTCGGTCGATGGCGTGCTTCGTCCCCCGTTCAGAAGTCCATTAGAGGGTGTCAGCGAAACCGAGGAACAGGGGACAAATTTGAGCTCAAGGCCGCCTACGGCTGGGAGATCCGAAACTCCGCCTCTACGAAGTTCTCCATCATCGATGGTTGGCTCACCAAGAAAGATGGGATCTTACACCCCGCAGTATCACCCGTCAAATGCGGTACCGCCTCCGCGATCTCAGTCACAATCTCCATCAGCGATCATGAAACAGCCTGTGCGAAGCCTCTCAACCAATGAGCAGCTTGGATCTGCCTACGGTATCATGTCGCCTCCATCAGCTTATTACGGTGTACAAGCCAGTGCCTCTAGCCCAGCGAATAGGATTCCTCACCGGCGACAAGCGTCACTCAACTACCAAGCTATTGTCCCAGAAGATGAGCGTGCAGCAGATCCACTTCAGCGATGGCAAGGTTATCCAATCTTCACATGGGGCATAGGTGGCACTATGGTGACTAGTTTTCCGAAGCAGATCCCTCGATATGGTGGTGGTGCTTCAGCGCCAATGATGAAGTGCAGCCCTGGCGAGATCCGTATCCAAAACGTCAAACAAGCTTTCCCTCTGCCAGAAGACATTGTCACGTTCCCGGGTCCACTCAAGACTAAAAGCAAAAAGAAGGACGTGACCGCATGGCTAGGCCGCAAGATTGACGCTCTGGAAATCCAAGCAAAGGAACCTGGGTTGGAGCATTTGATGGCTCAGGATGACCTTAAGCGTCTTGAAGATAGGACACTTCTCTGGAAGCTTTTGCAGATCTTAGTAGAGCACGACGGCAAACTTGAAGAGGATGCTGCCGGGGTTGCGGTTCGGAAGCTACTGGCACCCGATGGCACAAACGCATCAGATGCAGACAACTCGTTCTCCACTGCAGCAGACATTGTTGGACGGTCAAGGTCTAATACGTCGAATTTCCACGCTGAACCTGTCGATCCGCGAGCTGTCGAGGACCTACAGAGCATGCTCACGAAAGGCGATCGAGAGAAAGCAGTTTGGCATGCTGTCGACCAGCGACTTTGGGGCCACGCTATGCTTCTATCTTCCACCTTAAGCAAGGATATCTGGAAGCAAGTCGTACAGGAGTTTGTGCGCAAGGAAGTCAAGAAGGTTGGACGCAATAATCAAGCGTTGGCAGTGCTGTACGAAGTCTTTGCAGGTAACCATGAGGATTGTATTGATGAGCTCGTTCCAGTATCAGCTCGCGCTGGCTTCCAGATGGTAAGCGCCGATGGTGTTGGAGCAACCCAAGACGCTCTGCAAGGCTTAGACAAGTGGCGCGAGACAGTTGCCTTGATCTTGAGCAATCGTAGTGAAGGCGACGTGTCGGCATTGCTATCGCTCGGAAGGCTCCTATCGCAGTACGGCCGAGTTGAAGCTGCGCACACCTGCTTCATATTTGCTCGCTCCGTGCTACTCGTAAGCGGAGTCGACGACTCTCAAGCCGACCTTGTTCTTATTAGTGCCGACCATCGCAAAAACCCGTTGGAGCTTGGCATCGACCTTGAACCGATCTTGCTGACTGAGATTTACGAGTTTGCATTGTCGCTCTCTACGCCAGGCACCTCACATGTCATTCCTCACCTTCAAAATTATAAGCTTACGCATGCGTATCAGCTGGCTGAATACGGACACCGGACAGAGGCACAGGCATATTGCCATGCCATCGCAGCGGTTATGAAAAGCACCACCAGACCCTCGCCTTACTACAACGCAAGCTTCCTTGCTAGCTTAGACGATCTAACCAGTCGCCTCTCGCAGTCCCCCAAGGATGGTTCATCATGGATCTCGAAGCCCAGCATGGACAAAGTCAGCAGCTCGCTGCTGTCGAAGTTCAATAGCTTCATCGCAGGAGACGATGACGATGCAGCTTCAAAACCGTCTGCAAACGGGGAGGTTGGACCTTTCGCTAATATCGCTGGCAACAGTCCGTCCCTTACGCCCTCACAGTCAAGCACGGATCTTTTTGGCACGTACCCTGCTTATGGCGCACCGGTTCAACCGCCTGCTTCTGCAAACTCAAGATATGCCCCGTCGAACGTATACTCACCGAGGACATCATCGGAGCAGCAACGGCCACGCTACGAGCCTCAAGGTCGGCCTTCTCTAGACTCTGCCGATGGCTCGGCCATGCGGGCCGTGTCTGAGAGCTACATGCCTATGACCCCAACCACAGGGCTATATAGCCCGTCACAAGCTCAATTTAGCCCGTCACAAACTCAGTTGAGCCCGCCGAGACAGATCAAATCGCAGTCATATTCTCCACTTCGAGCAGAGCAAACCGCCTCTCAGCCTTCTCATCGCAGCCCTTACTTACCAACCCCACCTGTGGAAGAGTCAAGTTCTGCTCCAACGTTCGGCGGTTATCAGCCTCCTCAAGCGAGCTTCGACGAGCCGCCACCGCTTGCAAATAATGAGCAGTCATACGGAGGATATGAAGCACCATCAAGCACTTTTGACACTCCATCATACCAGCCGTACAATCCCGATGAGGAGGACAAACAAGAAGATCAACCTCGAAAGAAGTCATTCATGGATGATGACGATGATGATGACCTCGCTACCCGCGCTGCGGCCCTCAAAATCAGCGGCGGTGGCAAATCAGAATCAGACAAAAAGGCCGACGAAGCTTTCCGTAAGGCCGCCGAAGCAGATGCAGAGCGTGACAAAGACACAAAGAAAGCTGGTTGGTTCGGCGGCTGGTTCAAGAAAGACCAAAATGCTGCTCCGGGGCCTATCCGGGCGAAGCTAGGAGAGGAAAACAGCTTTGTGTATGATCCTGAGCTAAAGAAGTGGGTCAATAAGAAGGGAGGAAGTACAGATACCGGGAAATCTGCTGCTACGCCGCCACCACCACGAGGCGGGCCACCTGCTGGGAGGAGCACGAGTGGAGGTGTGGCGCCGCCCATGGGGCCCCCTCAGGGAGGACTGGTGAGACCACCGACGAGTAATCCTGGGCCTCAAAGAAGTTCGTCGATGCCACCGCCTATGGCTATCCCGGGATCACGAGCCTCAACACCTGGCATTCCAACAGAAATTCCGTCCGACAATGAGGGCCCCAAGGCACCCACGCTAGCGCGACCTTCATTTGGTGCTGCGTCTGGGCCGCCAAGTAGACCGGGGACGGGTATGAGCACTGCGAGTAGTATTGATGATTTGCTGGGTGCGCCTCAGGCGAGGAAGGGGCCGGCGGGTGCAAAGAGAAAGAAGAGTTCACGGTATATCGATGTTATGGCGAAGTAAGGCTGAACTTCGCCGCTGGAGGAAGTTGTTGTGCATGGCAATGGCGTTTATATGGGTGGTGGTGGCCTGCAAAAGAAACAGTTTACGCGGCTGTCCTAGAATTAGATACGCATAAGCGAGTGTTGACGCTCATGATCTTGTGTAATACAAGTTCTGGTTTTAATTATCATCATATTTTACTTTATCAACATGTCTCTGGAGGTTAGCTATTCTTTCTAGACGAAGTAATTTCATCGTCATCTTCATCTTCATATTTTCTGTCCCTGTTTTTCCATTTCTCATCCTTCACGTAAATCAAAAGCTTGATCGTCTGATTTGCTAAGCCAACATAGGCCTTGCGCGAAGGCGGGGAATAAGAGCATGGCTTGTGAAGGGGGGATAAGTCCACCCTGGCGCAACGACTAGTCGTTTCCTGATAGCAAGTGAGTAGATTCACAGCCTCAGCTTTGTGACTCGTCTTACGAACAGTCATAGAAGTGAAGAAACTGGCGTACCACAGCCGTGGCGAAGCAACACCAACGCATCTCGTACACCTCTTCACTCAGGATGAGTCGAACTCACTGCCAAGAGGCTAGGTCGAATTGGGGTTGGAGGGGTGATGATGTCGCTTTGTACAAAATAGTCCCCGCTGCTCACAGTTTTCTGCAACAGCGACTACTACGACTAGCCTCTACCGCACGCGACTACTGTCTCATACCTGACTTACTTTTTCGCCCACTTCTAAACAACCAACCTTCGAATCACTACAAAAGCCGAGAAATCTACCACTATGGCTGTACGCGCTCAATTCGAGAACTCGAACGAGTAGGTGGACCGCACATGCCGAAGGAGTGCCATAGGTGAACAGTTACTAACTAGTGCCGCAGAGTTGGTGTCTTTTCCACCCTTACGAATGCGTATGCAATTGTCGCAGTCGGAGCTTCAGAGAACTTCTACAGGTGCGAACCCCTCTTGGCGCAGGCGCCACTCTCCCCGACCGCTTCATGGCGGCTTTTGCAAATGCGCGCGCGAGATGTAGATTTGAGGCAGTACTGACGGCCGCGTAACAGTGTCTTCGAAGCTGAACTCCAGGACGTCATACCAATCTGCCATGCTACCATCGCAGGCACTAGGATAGTCGGCAGACTTACTGCTGGGTAGGTTTTCACCGCCCTGAGGCCTCTTCGCGCAAAGCGCAATAGCGATTTGAAGCTAATCGAGAAAACATAGCAACAAGAGAGGGCTCCTCGTTCCGACCACCACTACAGACCAAGAACTTCAGCACCTACGAAATTCGATACCAGACAGCGTCAAGATTCAGCGGATAGAAGAGCGACTCTCAGCCCTCGGCAACGTAATATGTTGCAACGACCATGTCGCCCTCGTACATCCGGACATTGAGCGAGAAACGGAGGAGATAATAGCAGATGTGCTCGGTGTTGAGGTGTTCAGGCAAACCATCGCCGACAACGTGCTTACGGGCTCGTATATGGCGCTGAGCAATCAGGGCGGAATCGTGCATCCAAAGACGTCTATTCAAGATCAGGATGAGTTGTCGAGTTTGCTACAGGTACCGCTCGTGGCTGGTAGTGTGAATCGCGGAAGTGCAGTTGTGGGTGCGGGCATGGTTGTCAATGACTGGATGGCTGTCACTGGTAGGTCAAAACGTACACCTACATATAAAGACTAGTTAGCTAACACAAACGCAGGTCTTGATACAACAGCCACAGAACTTTCGGTCGTCGAGTCTGTCTTTAGGCTAGGCGAGGGCAATGGTCCCAGCAACATCAACACCACGCACAAGGACGCCATGGTCGAATCTTTCTACTAAACCATATCTTTAGCACGTCGGCCATGGCCTCTCTCCACTATATTTAATTAGTAGTGGACTAGGAGCATTCGGCGCACGGCGTCTGGAAAACAAGAGCAAGAAAATAGAGACTTGTCTTAGCCCTTTACTCTTCTACTGTAATAAATGAATGATACCATGATGATCGCCACTCTGCTGAATTTGTCTTGTTGAACTCGCCTCGTGTAAGCTAAGTTATTCTCCCGATCGTACGTCCATCCATTGTGTCAAGCTGCCCGTGTGACTTGTAGCGGCTCTTGACGTGTGCAGCATTTCTCATATCGATTGGGCTAAAGGCGGTGAGCACGATCTATGGATCTGCCGGAACTAGGCAACACCGTCCAGGAAAGTCACCTTGCGCCAGCAGTCAACCACAGGCCGTCTCGAACGCAAATCTAATGTCGACGCGACTATATCACCCTCGAAGGGTTTCTTAACCTAACGCTTTTCTTGAAGCTGCCCTCTTTCGTACTACGGAAATCCTACACATCATTCGACAACGCCTCAACCCCACACCTCACCAGCCCGCTATGAGTACTATCAACTCTACGGCGCTCACCAAGCGCAGCGCCTCGAGTGCGCTTATGCCTCCGCCTCCCGCGCCAAAGCGAATAAAACGCCCATCTGTAGTACTCGACGAAGATACGTACACTTCGGCCGTGTCGCACATCATACGCCGCGACTTCTTCCCCGGTCTTGCCGAAGCAGACGCACAGCGCGAATACCTCAACGCTGTAGAAAGCAAGGATAGGTCATGGATACGGGATGCTGGGAAGAAACTCACGGTCGTCATGACGCCTGTACCGCACGGGCGTAGGAAGGTTGCAGATCGAACGAGGTTTGACAGAGCAGGGGGAAATGGGGAGAAAACGCCAAGTGTGTGGGGAGCAGATACACCGGTAACAGTAGCTGAGACTGAAGCTGGGGAAGAGGAAGAGGGCCTGGGAAAGTTGGACAACATAGATCTGGACTTGAGCCTCGGCGCCTTCCAGGCAAAGTACACTAGCGAAGATCAAGAGAGCTTCAGCCAGATTGTCGACAAGCAGAACAAGGCAAGATTTGAAAAGAACACATGGCTACGAGAGGGAAATATGTATGCAAGCAAACAGCGCATAGCACAGCAAAAGGTTATCGAAGCAAGGGCTGCACGTTCAGAATCGCAGCAGTTAGTGCTGAATACACGACCAAGCCAGAACCTCGACGATCGACCCGCAGCGCCCAATTCGAATAAGCACACTGCTTTCAACAGACTCATGTTTGGTCCAGACTCCGTGGAGCAGTGGGCACCTACACGCGCTCAAGAAGCTGAGAAAGCCTCGCTCGCGCCCCCGAAACAGGTACTATACAACAACACGCGTCTCCCAGCCGCAGACTCGGAACTAGTGCGCCCGCCTAGCCCGACACTCTCAGCAGTCCGCGATGCCGTCGCAGGTCGTCCAAGGTTAAACCCCAGTGAAGGCGGATACACAGGCAGTGAGACACCTCGAGTAAAAGGCTACGCGTTTGTCGATGCCAACCCTCCAGAGCCAGAAGACGACGACGACGCACCCACCGATCTTCTACAACGATTCGGCGTGGATAGTGCGAGTAAGGTGACGCCATTTACCATCAACGAGTCCTCTGCTAGAGAGAAGATGCATCACAAGATGGTCGAGCAGATTGGTGCCAAACGCTCCCATCCTCACTCCAATGCTGTTGGCAAGCCCCTTGGTTCGGGCCTGGGTATATTTACGTCAGAGACGCCGCGTTTCTTATCAGCGCCCACGCCGGCTGGCCGGCTCCAGGGTGGACAGACGCCAGGCAGGAAGGTCAATGGTGACTTGACGCCAGCGGCACAACGGTTGTTTGAGAGAATGGGAGGTGGAACCCCCAAGCGAGTGGGCAAGAGAGGGTTTGGCGGGACTCGATTAGGAAGCGAATGGACGCCTACGTCGAGCAAGGCGATGAGGAAGGCTTGATTTGGTTGATTAAGGGGCCCTGCGCGAAGTGCTCGAGCAGGCGAACATATTCCGAATGAGTCAAATGACAATTCTTATCATTAGATTTTAAACTTCACCTTGGTATCCAAGCAGGTGTACTGCAAGCATGTATAGAAATTGATTGATTAGGTTGAAAAACGTATTGTATTATACAAATGCAAAGCTGAGCTATAGGAGACCCAGTCATCCGACCCGTACGTGGTATCGAAAGCAAGAACATAAACTACCAAAGGGGAAAATAGCAATAAGTGATCAAATAGCCCAAAGGCTGTACAGTAAGCAAGTAACCCCGTGAGGCATCATCCACGCTATGCAAACGCCAATGCTCAAAATGTACAAGGAACACCACCTAACCACCGGCGGTCCCTTTGTTACGCATCCGATGCGATGCACCCGTCCGTCACTCCAATGATGTACAAAACACAAAACAAGCAGAAAGGGACTACGGAAACGATGGGCAAGAGGGACCGCATATAGAGTACAGTACAGTAAGTAAAGAAAGAAAGCTGGACGTATTAGCTCCAGCATAACACCAACTCGAAAAGATGGCAGTTGTGCGAGTCGCCAAACGGTCTCGCAACAACAGGACAAGGGTTAACCCCCTCTCCGCCCAGGACCTTGATAACTCCTAAACTGAGTACCAGGTGCATGGTAGCTTCTATACTGTCTTCGCGGTCGAGTCTGAGGTTCGGGTGGCCGTTCAGGACCTTCTCGCTGCTCGTAGTGCGGCCCTGGAGGTGGCTGAGCGTGTGATGGGGAGAAAGCTGGGGGTTGCGCAGGTTGGCCAGCGTACGTCATTGGTGGTCCAGACTGCGGGGGCGGCGGCGCCATATTTGCTGGAAGAATAGGTTGGCCACCGTACTGGTGTATCTTTAAAGGTGGGTAAGGTGGCATACTTGATTGTGGAGGAGGTGGTGCTTGGAAAGAGCCTGGAGGTGGAATGTAGCCACCCTGATAAGCTGGTGTACCACCACCACCGTAGGGGGTACTGTACTGCGGTGGCGGAGGGCCGAGAGGTGCATGGGAGCCTGCTGGGTAGCTCGATGATGGCGGTGGATACGATTGCCTAGGTGGGGCAGGATCGTAATGCGCAAAGCGAAAATTGATGGGTCCAGAAGGAGGGGGTCCAGGCGGCTTGGGTGGGAGTGGCAGTGACCCCGATTGTGCGTACGGGCTTTGATGCGTAGGTGGAGTCGGGGCTGGATTGTTGTGCTCCCCTTGGTAGGGTTGGGGGGCATTCTCTTGATATGGAGAGGCTGTTGGTTGCTGAGGTGCTTGCGACCCGCTCATGCGCCTATCATGTTCCCATCGCGGAGCCCCTTGATCCAGGGATCCACGACGAGCGGCCTCCGGATACGCTGGGGTAGTGCTAGGAGATGCACTATACAACCCGGCAGATGGTCTGTTTGGATCGTATCCGGTTGTATCCTTTCGTTGCTGAGTACCAGGTATAGAGCTCAAATAACGGCCATACTCTGGGCGCTGGTAATAGTCGGGTTGAGAGCGGTCTGGAGGTTCTCTACCATGCTCACGTGCTTTTCTATCCAACAGTTCCCTAAGTTTCCGTAGAGGATCTCGCCGACGCAGCGCATCCTCAGATTCAGTTGAGGGACCAATACTCGACCTTGGCCAAGATCGAGTGTTTGGTGGTGGTGGTGGTGATGGCGGAGGATTACTAGGTGCTTGCGATGGTTCGCCGAGGGCGTCCATTAGTGCTTGGTCAACAGGTGGCTCTTGTCTGTCAACCATAGCATCCAGCCGATGGGCGCCGCTTTGGGACGGCGTGTTGTGCTGATTGACAGCTTCTCGCCTCGATGGAGTAGAAGGCTCCTGCGCCGCGGGTTGAGACTCTCTCAATCTTGAAACAGGTACCTCTTGATCGTCATTCAGAATATCCATAATTCTGTGCGTGGACACCCGCACTGGAGCCACGTTCTTCGGAGCTTCGGCCTCTTTTGTAGAGTTGATCCCGTTAGATTCTGTGAGAGGTATTTCCTGGGTACCGCCGACAGCTGGTTGAGACGCCGTGATGGGGCTGCTACGAGCAACTTGAAATGGCATAATCGATGAGCTTTCTGGCGGAGGCAATACCGGCGACATTTGTCTACCAAGCTCTTGCTTGATGACAGGTGTAATGTCTCGTCCAGGCAGATGTTGGCTCTGGTAGTTGTGGTCTTGCTGTCCCAGCATGCGATTTGTACGGGGTTGTAGTGCAGACATGTCTGCAAGGGCCATGAGGAAGGAGGCATGCTCATTCGGAATGATCTGGATTGTTGGTGGTTCTGGTCGAGGCGGCGACGGCGTCCTCTCGACCTCGAGCGCAGCATCAACAAGGCTACCGATGTTGTGATGTGCAATAGCTTCCGCACGGTTTGGTCCAGTGAAATTGGCAAAGCCACCCGAGGCTTCTTCGATCGAGTCGTCTGCATCATCGTCTTTCTCAACGAAAGCAGCCCTTGCTTGATCGAATCGTCTTCTTCTGGAATCGTTCTCGAGTTCCTTGACGGCCTCAACGTAAGCTCTACTACGAGAAGCGAATTTCGAGCCAACGCGATCATCCACATCATGATTTAACTCATCGCCATAAGTAGGAGGAATGACATTGTCCTAAAGATGGTTAGTGTGGAACGTTCAATGATAATTAATGGGTCCTACCTCATCATCTGTAGCATCTGCTTCGCGTGCTTTTCTCTCTCGCTCAATCTGCTTCATACGGAAGTAACATTGCAGCAAGAAATCATCTTGCAATTCTTGGAATCGATTCTACTTCTGGTAAGCCCGGGATATGAGTGACAATGGGGGATAGGACATACAATATACTGCTCCCTTTGAATACGTTCTTCAGCAACGCGCACTCGATCCAATTGTTCAAGTCTATAGGTGCGCATCGCGTTGACCTCATCAAGGCGACTGTCGCGACGCTGGTCCAATGCGGCCATGAGTGGTTTGTACTCTGGACATTGTGCATGGTAGTTTGAACTTGCCTCCAAGTTGTTGGTAGTGCGATTTGACAATTCTTCCAGTAAAGTTTTTTGAACTTTTGCAAGACTGCGATAGCTCATCTTGAGATTGAGTTGTCGGCGCAGATCCGTCTCAATGTTGATGTCCGGATGTGGTTGGCGTCGACGGCCGGGCAGTCGCCTGCCGGACTTTGCAGGGGCGTCGCCATTGGTTGGCAGCACGTTTTGAAGGCTTTGACTGCCATCGACATCTGGAATCTGTTCAGGGGAATTGGGGGCGGTGCTAGCATCAGTCAATTCTGGAGGCTGGTCGGCGGTGTCCGGGGGGATTTCTGTTGTTTTGCGCCTTTTCTTGCGCGGTTGTTGTTCGGAGATGTCGCTTTGGGTACGGGTTAAAAGACCGTTTTGGCGAGGCCCGGATGTTTTGCTCGACTGCGTGGAGTCGTCTGATGCGCGCCTCTTCCTTCCGGCAGTCTTTGGCGCCGTCAAAGTAGCACCAGGTGCGGGTCTCTGCAGCTCTGGGGTTTGCGTTCCATTCATGGGAGTGTTGTTGTCGAACGAGCCGTTAGATATTTGCGGCGAACCAGAATCGGTCGATGTTCGGCTGCGCTTGGCTGGCCGCTCATCCTCAAGGTCGGAAGGCGCATTCTCGTACTGCGCAATGTCATCCAAAGAGCTGCGACGACTGCCCGAGCTTGCGCTAGATGGACCAGCGGGGCTCGTAAGGTTAGACGTCGTCTTTGCACCGCGGCGTGTTGTCATTTGGAATGGTACTGAAGGTGTCAAGCGCGACATCTTCGATCCTTGAAGACTATGCGAAGCCCTTCGCTTATTAGAGACGGCGCTAACTCTGTTCCCGGCTGTGCCAAGCAAACAACATATTAGCATAATCTGGAGGCAAAAGACAGCGTGTGAGCTGAGGTCCAAGGAGAGGTAGACGTACGTGGTGTCTTGAGAGGCAGGATAGATACCGTCTTGGCCGCTTTATTCTTGCGCTTGGGTGGCATTGTTATTGATGGGTAGAATCTATACTGTGAAAAGGATCAGGCGTTAGCTCAGGGTTGGCCTTTTGAGAATGCAGCACAAGACATGGCGGCTGGTAGACGCAGGCAGGGCAATGATGCTTACACGTGAGTGTTGCCTTGTATGCGGGCTACTTGTAGTGTTGTATTCCGAGAAGTGATTCGCAGGTAGCGGAAGCTATAAGCACGGGGGTGTCAGCTGGTGGACGCAAGTGTATCAGGAGCAAGAATTGCTTGAACGGGTACCTCGCTTCTCATGCTGATTGATATTTGTAGTAGAAAGGGCTTGTAGGGTGAACCTCGGACCATGGATGATGATTGTGAAGCTTGCTGACTTACAGTGACCAGTGTCTGTAGGGTAGTACAATGACTTGCTCGACAACGTGACGCAAAACCAAAGTCACCGGTTTATATAATCATCGCTCGCCCTGTAGTCAAGATACAAGAGTCGAATGGACCGCAGGAGCGATATGCTCGCTGGATCCGAAGTGGTAGTCCTTCGCAATAGGGCAACCAACCCTGCACAAGAAATGCTCCGCGTGGCACGGATGGGTAGAGGCGATGCTGTGCCTAGGCGACAACAGATGTGAAGATCCGAAGAGGATAAAGGAGAGGCACTCGAAGAGCAAGTCTCGAGAATTGTAGAAGGTGTGGCAAGTCGTGTTGGCCGGGCGCAAATGGATGAAGCTATGCTGAGATCCTCTCAGCCTGTTGGCGCTAATTCCCGATCTGACTAGTCGGCAGGATCGACCTTGTCATTGGCTACGAACAACCCTGGAAACAGCGCTCACTTCCACCACACAGTTGCAGAGAATAAGACTCAATAGATGGTCGAGCGTTTGAAATAGTATTGTCAGCGAACTCTGGGATCTTGCATTCATGTAAACTGCAGTGACTGCACGAGCGCCGTTTGTTTCCAAGGCGTCGTTGATCTGTGCCCTGGGCCTCGCAGAAGCATTACTACCCCAATTTGCGCATCATCCGATCGGCACTGCCATCCATAAGCAGCCCGTGAGACATTGAAGCATCATGGTTCTCCTCATTCTGCCCTCTCTCCTCCTTTCAAAGCAAGAAGGTCCTTCTTAGCATTTCGCTACAGCTTCTTGAAGACCTTCTAGTTGCTTCATTCAAGTTTCAAGTCGCACGTCATTAGCCGTAACGCTAGGTGGGACGATCCTCCGACACGAATATACCCCTTTCGTACGAGCTTATAACAATGAGGGCGCAACCGCACTTGATAGTGTAACTAAACCCATCTTTAAAGGCTTCTCCTCTGTTGCATTACAATTCACTATGCCGTAGCGCTACTGTTCACAGCGAGGTGCACGATCCCGTAATGGTTTGTAGTCGCTGTGATAGGTCTACTTTTAGATGTCATACGGTATTGCGCGGCATCTGAGGGCCGAATTCACAAAGCTTCAAGGAAAGACTGTATCCGCTCAGTTCCTTTTCCGGTTTCCATGTGTAAAAGCAAAGAGTATATATTAACTAACTAGTACTACCCAACCCCATGCATCCAATCCACGTTCATCCATTCTCAAGTTGACGCAGCCACATCACCACTGATGATGTCTCTGTGTTCCGCCATCTATTTCCTGAAAAACTCTGGCACCCGCGCCTTCCATCCCATGGTCGAACGGCTTCCACGTTGCGACATTGAAATGCTCGTCCTATTGGTCGCAGGCATCATGCACGTCAACAAGTGGGTCTCCAAGTCCTTCCCCTGGCATTGGCGTCTCGCGCCAAGTGAACATCACGATACGGAAAAAAAGCAAACGGAAAATACCGGTTGCGGGATAAGAGCAGTCTTGAGCTGCAATTGATATCATCACACCCCCTTGAGGACTAACTTCGAGTCACGATAACTCCGCGTCACAATGAGGGAAGTGGAGATTCAATCTTGCAATAATGGGCTCATCTTGGAACATTGACCTGAGTCACTTGATACCTACATACACATCCCTCTGATTCGTGAGCATCAAGTTGAACCCAATTTCAGCGCACAACTTCAGTCATATAGAACGTTGAGCAAAAGATAATATTGCTAAGACGAATACCTTTTGAATAATCATTATAACCCGAAGCTACGCTTCGTCCACGAACGCTGAACCAGAACGCTCGAATGCTCGATCAAACCTGGGTAGGCGAGAGCTTGGTGACGAAGGAAAAATCTAATACAAAATAATAGCGACCCTGTTTTAATGACAAGGAAATCGTATCGCATCAAGTGCGCAAGACATTAGGTCCAGACCATTTTATGTAGGCTAATGAGGAACCACCCAACCGTATGCACAGGACGCCTCAAACCCAACAAAAGAAATAATATATCATCGATCAGGGGAGTATTGGAGATTGACTCTTCGCGAGCCGCTCATACTACTTCGCGGGGAAGAATTGAGAACAAAGTCGGGAATGGGAGGGGTCATTTCCCGGCTAGGAGGCGTAGGGCTTCGTGATAGCGACTTCGCGCTCGCCGCCCGGTCGCGAGTGAAACTCCGCGCGGTAACCAGAGGGCCCGGACTCGCCGCGCTACTGCTTGATCTCATTCGACTAAAAGGGCGTGCCGGGCATGCTATAGCCTGGTTCGCCAGCGGGCTAGCGATGATGCTAGTGCCAGGTGTGGCTGCAGGAGGTGGTGTAGGACTTTCCGTCCTGAAAAGAGGGTGGATATGTGCCTCGCTGACTGTGGGACTTGGTGGTCGTGACATATCGGGCATCATTCTGGGTGGACGAGGTAGTTCCTCGTCATCTTCTTCTGGGAGTTCGGAAAGGAAGGGGCCGTCCAGGGCACGGGCAGGCGAGTTTGGGCGACTGCCGGGAATGGGATCCAAGGTCGTGCCTTTGGAGGGTGCTGTTTGCACCAGGGCGTCTCTCGTGTCCCAGCTGTCGAAGCCGTCAGAATGGGAGACATTGTCTACGGAGTGGGAGTCGGAGTGAAGACTGCGAGCATCCCGGTTGAAAGAAGGTCGGCTGATCAAGGTCGTGCGCGACGTGACGGGGCGAACAGCGTGTTGAAGTGATTCTCGGAATGATCGAAGAGATTGCGATGACCGAGAGGAGAAGGTGGGAGAGGGAAGTGCTGCTGCTACTGGCGGTGATGTGACTTGGGTCGAGTTTGCCAGGTATAAGTTCCTTGGGGGAGAACTTCGCGTCTCCGACATGACTGAATCTCTAGGGCCGGAAACAGCAACTTCTAGGACCTTGGGCGCCTTTCGATACCAGAGAGGCGACGAGTACAGTATGATCTGGCTTGTACAGGAAATAGACCACATGACTATTTGGCCAGACACAAGGCCATTCCAATTTGAGATCAGCGCCTTCGGGGAAGCAGCGGTGACTACGCTCCATCTCGACTTGATCAGAATGATCAGAACAAGGGAGACAACTAAGGCTATTACGGATAATAGTATGCTGATGCTCTTCAGGACTATCTTTGCTTGTGCTAAGCGCTCTAGGAATCCACCTCTTTGTACATCTTGAACTGTGTAGAAGGCAATACAGCAGAGTGACACGACGTCAAAAGTACTGGCCGCGGCGGCGACGTGTACAAGGGACACGTGGGTGGCGGAGAAGGAGGCAGCCTCCAGGATGGACAGGACTGTATCGGCAGCTGTGCTTGACCATGCAAGAACGCCAACGAGAGAAACGTAGAATTTGCGAGACTGAAACATGCTGTTGCCAGCAAGAGCAATTGGATCGGTCCAGTGGAGAAGAGAGGAGCGGGGCACTTCAATGCCTTGATGAAGGACCGGCTTGTGAAATATTAGTCGTGGAGGGGTTTCGATGGTTTGGGTGAGGGTGCAGCAAAGGTCGTGTGAGTGGGACTACGAATGAAAAGATGGAATGGTTGACGACGTTGCTGTGGCAGTGGCAAAGCTTAATGCACGCGAGACAGAACGCGTTCGAGGAGGGAAATAAAATGATGGCGGGCTGTATAGCGGCAGCTACTATAGTCAACAACGCGATTGAGGCGACGCGGAGGCCCAATCTGGAAGTGAGCCGTTATGGGATGTGGCTAATGCGGGCGTCTGGGCCGGGTGATTGACGGACGTGGATGGGTGAATTGCCCGACACCCTGGTGATGGGGTTATAAGATAGTGTGAGAAGCGAATGCTTGGTTGGCGAACGGAGGAGAGCGAGCAAAGGGTTGCAAGGTGGTGGGCAGAAAGGAACCATAAAAGAAGCAGAGTATGCGGGGACACGAGATGAGGAGGAGGAGGAGGAGGAGGAGGAGGAGGAGGAGGAGGAACGATGTAAATGATAATAATGATTCGAGAAGAGGGCAGAGGGCTTGATTTGTGCCATTGTTTTGTGGACTGGGTGGCCTGCAAGACGCGTTGGACGACATGTCGCGCGACTGGGGACCCCCAGGCTAGCATCCCGGATGCACGCAAGCATCTACCGCGAAGCCCATGGAGAATCGCCCGTTGCACGACCCCAAGATGCAAGCTTACTAGCGAGTCTGAGGCACCAAGTCGTCCAAAGCTGAAGGCTGTCCCGAGGGCCACCGTGCGGCTTCTGCATGCGAGGTGAAGCAGTAGTAGAGGGAAAAGCATGTGTGGAACAAAAGTGCCCGAAACACCAGAGAAGCAAGCCAATGATGCGACAAGCTGATTGAACAGGCCGCCCGAGCGTGCATGACCATGACCAGTGAGATAGACATCGGAGCCTGGGCAGGCAAGCATCTTCTGGTGGTGCAGCGCGTCAAAGTTTGTCGTGGTGGAGCTGCGCCGACTCTGGGCCCTTCATTTCCCCCCTACGCGTTGTTTTGTATTGCTTCTGGCAAAACAGCACAACACAACAAACAAAGTCGCGGCCAGTCGGGGTTAGCAGGTAGTCTAGCTTCACCAATGGATAGCAAGCGCAGAAAAAAAGCGAGGTACTGAGGTGGGACCGACGATAGTCCATTACCTCGCTCTCCCCACCCACCACCTGCGGTGCGGAGATGACAGCATATCAATAGAGTACTATCAATAGGCGACGGTTGCACCGTCTGCGTGTGCTGAGCTAGCGTTTGGCATGGCACTGAAACACGCCCTCAGCGCAAGCCCGCAGCAGAGAGGCCCATGAGGCGACAGCATCGATAGTGCGGCTGGAGGAGAATGAGAAGACCAGGAACAGGGCTTCGGATCTAAAGTTTGTTGACCGTCGTCGGCACTGTCTAATAACCTTCGAATGAAGCACACGCTAGGCTGCGTCGGAAATGAAGCCACTGCGGCAGGGCTGACCGGGTCTGGGTTGCGTCACTGTCATGGATGCAGCATGGAAGCACGACGGTCCTTGTCATGTGCCTCTATACTACTGTACGGGCACAAACGCACCGTCGTGGGCTGAGCGCCGTCTGATATCTATATTCCTTTTCGTAGAGGGTGATACACCAGGCTGGAGGAGGCCGTAGGTGCGCCAGCCATGGCATTTCAAGTTTGGCAATTGACCTGTTGAAGAATACAAAACCCTATACCATTTTACTCCTGTGTCCTGTACAACTCAATGCTCAGAGGGCCCTCTCGACATGTCAGGAATCTTGCGCCCCATGTGGTGCTATCCCAATGAAGGTACGCCACTCCACCGCGCCACTCCCGCCACTGCTGCCCGCTGCAACGTAACGCCGCTCCGTGAAGCCTTGCCGTGCAGTCACTGTAGACGCTTGACGACGCGGGCAGTGAGTCTGCCTAACGCCGTTTCCATTGCCTTCTACGAGCAAACACTCGACACGCTCCAAACACAGAGCCTGCTGCCTGCTGTATCCCTCCAGCCTGCTCTCACCTTATTCATATAGCTCCTCGCTTGAGAGCTTCATAGCCCCCCCGCCTTGCACCCACCACCCCGCCCAAGTCACCCTCCTCTTCCTCCTCCTCCTCCTCCTCCACGTCCACCACACTTGTAACCGCCAAGATGAAGATCACTTTCAAGGACCTGAAGCAGAACAAGTTCGTCATTGAGGCCGAGCCATCGGAAACAGTACGCCCACACTTCCATCTCCACCCCACGCAGCTGGCTAACCGCCCGCGATAGATTGGCCAACTCAAGTCGAAGATTCAGGCAGACAAGGGCTGGGAAGTGCCCCAGCAGAAGCTGATATACTCTGGTGAGCTCGCTTCTCCGGCTCTATGCGATATGAGACCCTCGCGGCTACAGCTGCTGACGCCATGACATAGGCAAGATCCTCCAAGATGCGAACACGGTCGAGTCGTATAATATCGAAGAGAAGGGCTTCATTGTCTGCATGGTCTCCAAGGTTGGTCAGCCGCTCGCCACTCCCAGCAAGCTCTCTAACAGCTACTACAGCCTAAGCCTTCTGCCGCCTCGTCAAGTAAAGCAGTGCCCTCCACACCTGCCCCAGCGGCAGCCCAGACGCCCGCAGCGCCCGCAGCACCGGCTCCCTCATCGACCAACACCCAGAATGCCCCCGCCACACCTTCTCCCGCTCCGGCACAGCAAGCGTCCGATCCCTCGCGTCAATTCAACGACCCTTCGGCCCTCACTATGGGTGGCGAGCGCGAGGCCGCCGTTGCCGATATGGAGAACATGGGATTTGAGAGGGCAGATATTGACCGGGCAATGCGCGCGGCCTTTTTCAACCCGGACCGTGCTGTCGAGTACCTCCTGAATGTGAGATGAGCAGCCCCTTCCGAATTAAGCCATGTGCTAACAAGCATCTAGGGTATTCCAGAGGGCGCACTCCAAGAGCAGCAACAGGCTGCTCAAGCCCGTGCACCCACCTCTCCCCCACCCGCTACCGGCGGAAACACAGGTGCAACCGCTGCGCCTTCTGGGGGTGACGAGCCGATAAATCTCTTCGAGGCCGCTGCCCAAGCTGGTCAGAATCGCGGAGGGTCTGGTGGTGCTCGCCCGGGTGGGACGGGAGGTGGTGCCGCTGCCACCGGTGCTCTTAATGCCAACAGCCTCGACTTCTTGCGTAACAACCCGCAGTTCCAGCAGCTACGACAGGTCGTACAACAGCAGCCGCAAATGCTTGAACCCATTCTACAGCAAGTCGGAGCAGGCAACCCTCAGTTGGCACAGATGATAGCTTCAAACCCAGAACAGTTCCTGCAGTTACTTGCTGAGGATGCAGACGAGGATGCGCCGCTGCCCCCCGGTGCTCAGGCCATTTCTGTCACCGAGGAGGAGCGAGAGGCTATTGAGCGCCTGTGTCGCCTTGGCTTTGAGCGCGACCTTGTCATCCAGGCCTACTTTGCGTGTGACAAAAACGAGGAGCTAGCCGCCAACTTCCTCTTTGATCAGCCCGAGGATCCAGAGGACCAGTAGTGGCTGTTGAGTTATCTGTGTGACCGTTGTGCGACTTCACCATACCCGACTCCGTCATATGTCCGTCTGATAGCATCGTTACAATGGCACAATGACTACCTCCAAAATTGGACGGCCACCTCTTGAACCCACTCCCGTGGCTCAGTCTGGTGCTTCCAGGCGCTTAGCGCGGAGGCACGATATTACCCTCTCATTGCTTCATGATACCTTCCCGGTTTTAAGGAGCGGGGATTGCTCAGGATTCGGGATGTAGATAACCCGGCTGCGATTCGTCTAGTGGCAAACGCAGGATAGCCCCCAACAATTGAAAAAGCTCCATTTCCATACTCGTATGCTGTGCGTGAGTCGTCGTCGTATAGCTGACTCATTTGCGCTTCACAGTCGAATGAAAGACAGGCGATGAGAAAGGCATTCACTGTATTAGCGTCCCATCATATCGTGACGTAGAGCGCATGGACTACAATTACAAAGGTCATATACTTGTTCAACGCGACATTAACAAGGAGCGTGCACGTTTGTGCCGTTCTTACCCTTGTCCGTCCTTAATCTCCTTTCCTGCCCAAGCTTCAAATACAGACAAAAAAACAAAATGTTCTGTTGGGGGACCCTGGGCTGTACAAAGCAAATGGGTAATCAATAAGCAAAAGAAGAAGAAGAAAAAGAACGCCCGCTAAGATATGCCATGCAAGCAGACAACTGCAAAACGATATGCGACGATTGCGTCTGGAAAAAAAATGTAGGAGGAAAAATGTTTGTGTGGCAGCGACGGCTGGGTACAGATGCGACAAATTTCTCCCCAGGACGTTCGTCCTGGGGAGAGAAATCGGATAGGAGCGTCGTGTCGTGAGACGTAGCCGGAAAAGATACATTAACGTGCGTAAATGGCATGATTATATCGTGAGCTTGTTCATGATCAAAAGAAAACACGACTGAGCGCTTTTCAAGTTATGTGGAGAGATGATGGCAGAGGAGATTGTGAGAGAGATCGGAGTTTTTTGGTAATTGATGGTTGTACGATAGTGCTGTGTAGTACGTGGTGAGCTGAGGCGGTCAGCATCACATCCTCGATGCAAGGATTGATAATGCAATCTGGATGACATTAGCATTATAATCACCAGCAAAGCACTCGGACGAAAAACTCACAATTAAACCGATGAGGAGGGTACCGATGCCAGACATGATACGATTTAAATTGCGCCACCAAGTCGCCTTTTGGAAAGCCTTGTCGTCAGTCGGCCCAAATTGCTGGGCGAACTGCTGTTCTATATCGGCTTGGCTGGGGGTGCTTGCAAGGTTCGGATCGAGAGGTAAGGGTAGGAAGGATGCAATAATCCATGCTAATGACCCAATTAGTACATTTATTCATGCGCAAGGTATCCGAGTCGGGACCAAGCACTTACCGAGAGGAAAGATGAAGCCTAGGCAGAAAAGCAGGATTTGTCTATTTTGGCGACCGAAGAGCGTTCTGTTCAGATCGGAATCCAGGGACGGCGCTTTCCATGCGCTGTAGCGTGTTTGCCCTCTCCGGTCTGTTCGAAGGTGTGGAGTTGAGTAACCACTCAAGGGATGCATATTAGGTCCGAGTACGTAGACGTCACCGTCAATGTGTTGTATTTCGTCGGATAAGGATAGCGTGTCTGGTTGTGAAACTCGGTTTCGTGGGCGATTGCGCGGCCGATAGATACTCAGTGGAAAGTTGGCCTCCGAAGGCGTGTTGGAACGTCCACTATGCGACGTGCCCAATCGTATACTGCCAGTGGACTCTGACTCTGGAGCACCCCCCGATATTCGTTCGCCTCGTTGGTAGTATACTCTTGCCCATGCTGGAATGGCATTGTGGATGAAAGTGGAGATATCAGAATGAGCAGAACCAGGCCGTGAGTCGGTCGCTGATCCTGCATCGCTGTTTTGTCTCCTCAGGTAGCCTGAGTTCTTCATCCGTAGCGGGACAGAGGTGGGTAACGGAGAGATTGTGTCCAGATGCTCGCTATGGTAGTCCAACTCTTCGGTCGATGAGGATCTTGAGACGGGGGAGAACAAAGGCCGGGGTACTGCTGAAAACTCCGTTTGTCCTTCTGAAGAGACATTGTCCGAGGATGACTGTGCGCTCCCGACTGTCTGTCCTCTCCTCCGTGGCACATGGGTTCGCCCGTTCCCCGTATAGCTATCTTGCGACTGCGATCTTGCGCCAAATGATCGTGAGCCTCGGGGAAGCGATCGCGAGTCGCGCTCGGACATGGACGGGATTGTGGATAGTTGGGAGCTCCATTGGTGGACGAGCGAGCGGTCTTGCATTCGGGATGCAATATTAGGTGCGTTCTGGGATTCAGCGCGCAAGCCGCTGGCGGACGGTGCGCGTACAATAGGATAACTGATTCGGATTCCGCTCGCGAGAGTGGCTGTGCGTGCTTCATGAAGAGTAGGCGAAGGAGGCTGGGTAAATGTTGGTTCGATGCTGGTGTAGGATATATCAGAATATGCAAAAGATTCTGTAGATGGCTGTGGATTTAGTACAGGGTGTTGATAATCAGAGTCACCAGCGAACGCAACCCGCCGTTTTTCGGATTCGGAAGACAGGGTGTGCTTGTGCCCTCTCGGTAATGGGCGGCTGACACTGACACTTGACGGGTTTCCGGCATTACTAATTGAAGGGGGTGAAGTTGCAGGAACGGTCGGTGCAAATGATGCAGCAGAGGCCTTGGGCGTTAATGCGCGCGTACGACTTTCCAACGATTCCCCACCAGAAGAGGAAGGGGGAACAGCCCGGATCGTCGGTCTCTGAGAAGGGAAGTGAAAGATGGGTGCCTCTTCCTGGAGTACCTCCAGTCCCTTGTCGAATTCGGTTAACTCGGGTGGGGGAGATGAGGCGGGCGTGGTTCCTTGAGAAAATCTCGTGGAGGATGGCGAGAAGGACGATGCTACGAGGGTATCGGCATCTGAGGTGCTAGTCGAGACCGAGTGGTGTCTGGAACTGAAGGGTTTCTTTCGCTGTAAGGCTGGCTGTGGCACCACGGACCTGGAGGCCTCGAACTTTGCGATGGTACTGGCGACCTGGCTTCCACTTGAAACGCGAGACCCCGGCCTCTCAAACCCGTAACCCGGCGCATGACGAGGCGGAGGCAGTATTTGCGAGGGCTCACTGGGTGTTGGGAATTTGCTATAGATCTTGTCGTCGGAATCCTCGACTATGCGGATCGTGGAGCCGGCGTACTGATTGGTCTGCGAATTGGAACGTTCATGCAGCGGCCGTCGGATAGGAGAGGCGTTTCTCGAGGTGGACGACGGTGGTGAGAGCTTTGGAGCTTGCGCAAGCAGCGACGGTGCCGAGGTTTGCGATGTGGTGTGTGGTGTGGAGCCTGGATACATGCTGGTAGGCAGTGGGACGTTGTACCGTGTGACCGGGGTGTGAGGGTTTGAACGGGTGCGGAAAAGCTGAAACCGAGGATTATGTATAGAGACATGTAAATAATTGAAATGAAGAGAGAAAAAGAAGGCGTATGAACAACGTTGGTCAAAAGAGTGACGAGAAGATGCTATGCAAACATGCCAAAAAGAGTGACTGGACAGGGCCCGAAGGCATCAAAAGGTTTGAGGTTTGGAAGGAAAGAGGACGGGGAGTGGAGGGAGGAGGGCGTGCGTGCGAGCAGTACGGGCCCCAAATGGGGTTTGACGGGCGCAGCTGCAAGACGCAGGTGCAAGCAGGTGGCAGGTTTGCGCTGCTGCAGGTGCGCTCCAATGGGTAGCTCCGTGGTGGGCTGCCGTCATGCACGAGCTGCGACCACGGCCTTTTATTTTTATTTTTGTGCAGAGATATGCGTAGATTATTATTCGGTATTCTTCAGGCGCTCTCTGTCGCTTGATTGATTGCTTGCTTGCTTGCTTGGACTCTGCGCTGGCAATGCGCTGATACGAGCCGCAGCAGGACCGCACCCCTGGGCTTTGGAGAGAACGATGGTTCAACCCCTTATCATTTATCGGTTCGCGACGCGTTGTGGACTATGGCGCGAAATGAAGCAATGAGTTTAGGAGCCGCCAGCGCGCCAGTGACGTGAGACCACGGGCCGTTGGACAGACCTCACTGGGTGCACTGGGTGTGCAGGCTGGCCAGTGGGCCGATGCGGTGAGGATGCTGCAGGGATGCGCGCGACGGGAGCCAGAGCTGGGGGGTGAATGGCGTCGAGCGAGTCGGATAGGACCGTGTGCACGTGATGTGATAGATGATAGCGGGCACGTGACGGGCGGTCTTTGGCGTTGTCGAGTGGGGATAGACGGTCGGGAGTGTGCTCGAGCAACAATGAGCGGGGAAGAGGTATAAAACAAGACCCATGCTTCAGTCCCGCCCGCCATAGCAGCCTGCCCTTCTCGACGTGTGCTACTGCACAGTTGCTACGTGCAAAAAATGTCCCCGCCTATGAAAGGCTGGCGAGATAGTTTCAGTGCTCTAGGGGACCTGTACCAAAGACATGTCAAAGGCAGTGAGTCGCCATCCGTTGGCCTGTGTGCTTCCCTTTCAGTCGTGACCGTCCTTACCGCCCGCACGACCCACACTGAACTGCTTCTGCTGCCTGCTACGACTTCAGAAATCTGTCGAGCGGTGGCCATGAAGACTAACGCTTGGCCAGTTCCCAAAGCGCCGGCCATCTCTCCCAGTGCCGCGGCCCTGTTGTCGGTATGTTTCAAGCCCACCACTGCTATTGTTGTCAGCCAATCACATAGAATGCCTCGAGAAATATTCCACGTTTGAAACTGACGACTCGTTCTTGTAGGCTGCCTATGTCTTCATCTACGTAATCCCCTTCTACCTGTCACCAGCGACACGGCCCTCACCTACTCTCACACGCGATGCACCCTCGTCGATACGCGCCCGAACGCGGGCCGTCACCTTCTCCACCATAGTCTGCTCTGCCATCACCGTACTGGTACTCTACCAACACGATGTATCGGCAACAGACATCTTGAGGCTGCTGGGCTTGTGGCCCGCATCGCCCTTCGATACCGCGAGATCTATGCTGCTCGTAGCCATCCTCTTCGCAGGCCCAATATTTGAGCAAGGTGTCGTAGATGGTGACTTGAAAGACTGGATACGGCTAAGAGGACTCCACGAGACTCTGAGCAGCTGGATTGGATACAGGAATCTTGTAGTGGTGAGTGGTCTGCTCGAGTGCAGTTGCGCCCTACTAACAATCCCAACAAGGGCCCCGTCAGTGAAGAGCTCGTCTGGCGGTCTTTCATCGTGCCACTGCATGTCTTGGCCCACTTCTCCGAAAAGCAAATCGTCTTTCTCACCCCACTCTACTTCGGCATTGCCCACCTCCACCATCTCTACGAGTTCCGTATAACACACCCAGAGGTTCCGCTCTTCGTGGCGGTCCTTCGGTCGCTCTTCCAGTTCACGTACACATCATTATTCGGATTCTTTGCCGCATTCGTATATATTCGCACGGGTAATGTCTATACATGCATGTTAGCTCATACATTCTGCAATTGGATGGGTCTTCCCCGCTTCTACGGCCGTGTCGGAGTCGAAGCAGGCATACCCATTGGCCCTCCAGATGTTGATAAGAAAGATGATGAGCAGAGAAATGTGCCGTCGTCCCAGGGAACGCGTGTTGTGTGGACCGCTGCGTACTATGTCATACTTGTAGCAGGTGCTGTGGGTTTCTACTACCAGTTGTTCCCATTGACGGAGAGCAGCTACGCCTTGCCCGTCGTCTTAACAGCGGCATAAACTTAGTGTATTGTTAGAGACGGACGTAGATGTCCGCAATGAACGTTACATATCCTCATCTCTAAAACAGTAGATTACTTTAGACTTGCAATCGCCCACCAATTATCTTTTTCGTACCCAGATTCCACTACCGCGCCACCCGCTTGCTCAATATCACTTTCCAACTCACCCTTCTTATACAAGTGATAGTACCTCAAGAAAGTCTGATCACCATCAGGTTTCTGCTCACCCTCTGCCGCCACCACCTCGTTCGAAGCACCATCCCTCTTTCTCTGCTTGGGCTCCTTCACTTTCTTCTGCTTCAAGACCCACGGAACCATGACATCCTGTTCATGACCCTCATCCCACCCTCTCCGGCTATCCTTTTGCTCCAACGCCCAGACATAAATAAATGCCTTGCCTCCATCCAGCGAGGCCGACCTCGATGCAGGCCTGAGAAGATCTAGAATGCATTTGACTGCTTCTACACGCCGGGAGGGCGTGGACAGGTGGTGGATGACTGCTATGGAGATGGCGAAGTCAAAGACTCCAGATGGATGTGGTAGCGAGAGGTTGTCTGCCACGACTGTTGAGTGCGGTTCATGTTCTCTTGCAATCTTGACTAGATTCGTTGATCTGATCCATTCTGTCAGTATATAGGTCCCGCATGTTTTTTTTTTGGGACTGGCGGTTGTACCGATCGGAGCCCACGATGAACACCCTTTTGTTGACGGCTAGGTACTTTCCATTCCCACACCCTACATCTGCACCCACGGTACCATCACGTTGCTCTTTTAGGAAGCGTTCGACTATCGGCCAGGGCTAGCATGGGTTAGTCATACGGTATGGGTCGTATAAGGATGGACGCACACCTTGTATCGCGTCGAGGAGAAGTGGGATGCGATTTCTTCGTAGACCGAGTGCACATGCTCGGCTTCATAGTCTGCGCCTTGAGCTTCGGATTCTGCCATTTTGTGGGTAATGGTATGTGTGGAAGATGTGAGTACAAACTGTAGGAGATTTCTGTGGCCAATGAGGGGTGCGATGCGTGCCAAGGCGTAATTCGTCTTCCTTCCTAGGGCATTTCCATCCACCACAAGTAGGGATCAACTAATGTTGTCTAGCTAGCGAATTTAATCCTAGAAAACTCGGATGACCAGGAAGAATGAATGGCGGTCACTACAGCTAGCAATGAGCCCTGCTGAGCTAGTCTTCACGACGTCACGCTGTTGCTACGCACTTTGCCCCTAGTTCAGAGTTGCTGGTATGTGATACGCTATCTACTTAAATCATTGCGTGTAATTGTGCCATGCTACGCTTGAATCAAACTGCGCTGTCAAACAACTTCGGTTGAAAACAATCTCCACACCAACTCCCACCTCAAGGATGCCATGATATGTTCGCTGCGCGAGATACACCAATCACTTCGAATTCAATTGCCTCTTAAAACAGCCCCTTTCTAACCTCCTTGATACTCTTCAAGCTCCTTTCACAATCCCCGCAATATCCCTTGACCCAAGCCTCCACTTGTTTCTCTTTTCCTTTGCCGCCAGCCTCCTCTAGCAGAGTGCCTACTTTACTACATTTTTGTGTTTCGTCAAGTAGCCAGTTCTCGTACTCGGCTTCAACTACTTCTTTCTCGATGCGATTCACGACTCGCAAGGCGACGAGCAAATCATGACGATGTGAGCCTAGATTTTGCCGAGTGCGATCAAGACGCCGTGTGCTTTGCGTGGACGGACTGAAGAACGAGTGCGAAGATGACGTCGAGGAAGGGTTTTGGAGGAGGTGTGTGAATGTTTGGTGGCTGCGAAACATTAGCAGGCGCAACAAAGGAGCACGGTGGAGATACGTACCATTTGTTGTCAGTATGGGTCGAAAGCGGTACAGACAGTACCATGCTTGTGTCATTCGGATGAAGGAATGACTCTTCTATATCGCGGAGATAGATTGAGCGTGTCATCGTGGTCGATGGGCCAACGCCTAGCTGGAACATGAACTTGGCAGCATTTCGTTCGTTCCACCATGCCCAGCTATCTTTCGAGGTGTGCAGGAAGTTCGCTCCGCCACTGACTAGTAGAAGAGTAAATAGTACCGTATGCGCTGAGACAACCTTGGCAAGTCCGGCAAAGACAGCCAGTATCCAACTCATAATAGTAGAGAGTATACTAATAATAATGTTCCCGATGAATTGCGCGATGAATGACCCAGTTGTTTGTGGGCGCAACTTGAACTTCCGTGGCCGGTTTGGTGGTGGGATATCATGTGCGGCAAGCTGTGTGGTTTGAGTTTGAATACCAATCTGCCCGAAAATGCTGGTGACCTTGCCCGTGCTCTTGTTGTGCCCAAGCCGTGCGACTTGATCATTGACAACATCAACAAGGTCTTGAGCCTCGAGCTCCATGTCTTGCAGCCCTTGTCGCTCAATGAGTTTCTTCGCAAACCGCGGGTTACGTTTCCAATCGACTTTGATATGGATAGCTAGCTTACACCGTGCTTTTGAAACGTGTGTGATGACGGTCTTGCTGAGAAGCACGAATCGCTCGTGACCAGGCAAGTACCAGGGTGTCTTCCTATCAGAAACAACATAGCAGAGGTGATCGTTGAGCACTTCGATGACTTGATAATCGTTGATAATTACGCCTCCGTTCTTACCGGGCTGTGCGACTTCGTACTCAAAATCGCGGCGCTGATGGCTCTTATCGGTCGATACCCATGGTCCCTGAACCACACGTGATGCCCATCGCTCACGATATAGCAGCTGAAACACTGCGCTCTTGTCGCCAAAGAGAATATGGAAGAGTCCTTTGGCGCTGATATCATATTCCTTCTCTACTGCGACTTGTGTCATCCCCGTTGGGGCGAACACAACAGGTTGTGGAGGCAACTTGAATTTGGTAGCCTGTTTGTTGACGCTGTTACCCGTTGGTCCAAACAGATTACCATCAATCCGGAGACTAGTCTTGATGTTCTTTCCGCCGTAGCCTGGATCGATTGGCGTATCCGGAGAAACTTCTTCCCAGCCCTCTTCACCCGATGGTTGGCCGTCGTCCGCCTCAAACCTGATCAGTCTTTTTATTGTTTCCTCGAGGTCGTGCTCGTTTGTTGCAGAATTTTGGACAAGGAAATTCAGGCGCCGCAGAAGCAGCTTCAGTGGCTCGAGGAAAGTTTTGACAGTAAGCCTAGTCGCGCCATCTTCTCTTGATCCAGCCTTGAAGTGGAGGAAGAGAAAGTCACAGTCCTTTCCAGGAGCCGCTGTTACCTCGTCAATGGATGCCATGCTGAGCCCAGTGACGAGCACAAGGCCGAGATGATTGCTGTAAAAGTAGACATCCTTTGCGGTAACATAAACACGACCAGGGAATTCTTGTTGCTCCGTCGGGTTCCATACAGCGCGAAATACTAGTACAAGTTTCTCCGACCGTGGAACTGTGGGAAACAGTATTCGGAATTGCGCATCCTGCATCCGAAGAGCAAGGGGATAGTAATTAGGGAAGTCGTCCCCGGTGGTCGAACTTTTACTAGGCGATGGTGTCGGACCACCCGTGCTCAATGACTTGCGGTGGCCGGGAGTAGCTAAGGCGACGACCCCAGCAGGTGATGCGCTTGTCCCAGCCTTATCATCGAATGGGTCAAGGTCTGGTGAGTGGCCCACTGGGCTTGGTGGGCCAGACAGGCTACGGTCGCGACTTTGCACTTCGTCGTCGCGAGCCGGACGATTGACATAGCCCCAGTTCACAGATCCCCAAAGATTGGCCATGAGTCCACCAGGCATGTCACCCGAACGACCGATACCGAGACCTCGCTCTCCACTCACAGCGACGGCAGCCTTGCTGAGATTCGTTGGCGCAGGTGGATTCGCAAGTGTGGAAGGAGCCAGGCTGGTATAAGGGAGCGTCTGTCCCATCACCAGACGCGTGTCAGGAAGTCCAGGCGCGGGAGCCGATATCTGTCCGACCTGCACAATGTTATGGCTGGCCGAAGCAAGACTTGCCGAAATAAGACTGGCAATACCACCGGCAGCGGAAGAGGGGTTGTTTCCACTTAGCTGAGGTCCAGCTGTAGATCTGCGTGACAAGTCAAGCTTCTCCATGATTCTGGTCGTGTGGTCACGTCGACTGCTCTCGCCCTCAAGTGCAGTGTTTCGTCGGACAACATCAACGCTACCTCGCACAGCCAAACCGTCAGCCCCTGGGACAGCGAGTGTTTCGGCGCGGTCACTGTTGCCAAGGTCATCGCTAGATTGGATGGCATGGCCTTCAGAGGTTTTTGCAGCGAACTCCGGGGCGACAGGGGGGCTGATGGAGAAGGCGGCATCCACAGAGCCATGGGATCCAGTTATGTCCCTGGAGGTATCTTCCAAGGCTTTGCGCTTCGCCACCTCGAATGAAGAGATCCATTCTGTAATGTCGTTTTGCGTTTCAGCCTGCAGAAGGACTGTGGTGTCTTTGGTCTTCACCTCGAAACAAAAGCGCCGCTCCTCCTGAAATGCAGCTCGTATACCGCACAACAGCACACCGATCTTCTCGGACTCTTCTACTGCGCCAGATCGCGTGCCCTGAGTAAGCCATCCAAAAATGCCGTTCTTGACGAAGAACCATCTCCTGACCCAGTACGTCCTGGCGGGCTTGCCCGTGATTGTACGCTGGAAGAGCCAGCCCTGCTTTTCAGCTTTCTCGCTTGCCATGTTTGGCTTTGCTGGGGACTGGATGTTGGCTGATGATGGCTGTGTGCCGAGATAGGGAACAGTTGAAGCTGCGTATGTATCCAAGTCGCGCGACGGTCGTGCACTCACTTCAGCAGCGCTCTCGACCTGTTGGCGCGCAAGCATCAGCTCTCGCTTGAAGACGCGCTCACCATTCTCCATCTCCTTGCTCCAGCCACGCACGCGGTCAACATCAGAAGTCCACTTAGCAAGGACGTTGGCCGATATATCTCGTGCTTGCTTCATATCGCGCCACTGCTCGTTGACGACCTTGACTAGGACCTTGTCCAGAGTCAACCGCACTTGCGGCGCCATGACACAGAAGTTCATGCTCGCCGTGAGGTAGGCTCGACGCGCCTCATGCAGCTGGAAAGCGTCTTCTCTCAGCGACGATGCTTCCTTGGTCTTGACTTGGCCCGCGTATCGCGCAATAGCCAAGTCGAAGATGCGCTGCGTGCTCTCGAGGTTTCTGCGCGCCTCCTTCAAAATGCGCAAATCATTGTTCACAAATGCTCTTAAAGGGTCGCACACGGTTGCCTCTGCCCGCTTCATGCTCCGTATCGTGCTGTTCCAAAACTCGCGTGCGCCCTCGCCAAATCGCTTCAGCGCCAGGACTGTGTAATCATGGTCGACGACGGCCTCGGACAGCTGCAATGGCGGATGTGCGGCTTGTATGTAAGCGTCTACGAGTGTCTGGACGTTGCTCAGTTCGGCGGTAAGCTTCGACGTAGCTAGGACGAACGAGTTGAGCCATCGTTCTATGAGCTCGATCTGGTCTCCGAAGTGGACGGCGGTTGCACGGAACGTGGGCGAGTCCAGAGCTGCCTCTTTGATCACAACGGGTCTGCGTGCATGTGTGAATATCCATCACAAAGTGTCCAGTGCTCTTGTCCACATACATCAGCGCCAGTGGCTGCTCTACCGGCTCGAGTACGAGCTGCGGCACCTTCTCTTCGGCCATAGAGTCGTTTTATCTATGGGGTATTTGCGCTAGGGAGAGGATAGACACCCAAAAAGGCCAAAGAAATTAGACATTGGAGCTACTGTGCATTATGGCGAAGGTGAGCATGGCGCGTCACTTAGTCTTGGTGTTGGGGTGCGGCGGTCGTCACTGCCCAAGCCGACGTCAGGGTCCACTAGCGCCTTCCCTGTCGAAATTTTGTAGAACTCACGCCTGTCTTTTCAGCAATCTGCCCACCACTCAACAGCACAATGGCCGGGGTAAAAGAGAAGAAGCACACCAAGGGTGTGAAGCGCGAACTGAATGGCGATTCTGATTCAAAGAAAAATGCCAGCCAACGGCCTGCGAAGAAGGCAAAGCTACTCGATAATACCGACGACGAAGATTCGGGTGCAGACGAGGGCGGCGTGTCACTCAAGATCAACGAGGACTACGCCCGCCGATTCGAGCACAACAAGAAGCGCGAGGAGCAGCACCGACGTACGTTCTGTCATCCATATCACAATGTCATATCGCTAACCCGTGAGCAGTCGAGGACAAGTACGGCAAGGGCAAAGCGCGGCAGCCCGGCGACGACGACTCAGAAGACTCGGAAGAAGGCATAGAGGAGGACGACGCAGCCGAACTACTTGATGAAGACCTCGACGACCAAGTCAATGCTACCCTACAAGCTCTCCGCTCCAAGGATCCCCGCATCTACAACAAGGAAGCCAAATTCTACCGCGAACTCGAAGCAGACGGCGATGGCAATGACACAAACGGGGCCGAGAAGGAGAAGTCGATGACACTAAAACAATATCACACCAAGAACTTGCTCGAGGGCAAGTTCACGGGTGAAGAGGACGAGGACGAGGATGCGCCGCCCAAGACCTACGCGCAGGAGCAAGAAGAGGTCCGGGCGAACCTCGTTAAAGAGTTACACGCTGCTGCAGATGAAGATGACGACGACTTTCTAGTTGCCAAAGAGAAGCCTGCTGCGTCGAAAACGGAACGAGTGAAGATTACAGTCGAGGACGTCGAGAAGGCCGCCCATGACCCCGAGACTTTCTTGTCCAACTTCATGGCCTCTCGCGCCTGGGTACCAACGGAAGCCGCCCGCTTCCAACCGCTGGAGTCTGACGATGACGAGCAAGACGCTGCTGCCGACGAATGGGAGCATTCATATAATCTCTACTTCGAAGATACAGCTGGCGCCAACGAGAAGATAATGACGTACGCTCGTGATGCTGTCGCTAGCACTACCGTCCGTCGCGATGATGCAAGCGGAAGGCGAAAGGCCCGCGAGATGGCTAGGGCGAAGCGAGAGGCGGAGAGGCGAGAGAAAGAGCAGGATCTGGCTCGTCTTCGGAAGCTCAAGGTCGACGATTTGGAGCAGAAGGTTATGCAGATCCGCAAGATAGGAGGCCTGAGTGGCAGAGACTTCAAGATAGAGGAGTGGAGAGACGTGCTGGAGGGCGACTGGTCAGATGAAAAGTGGGACGCCGAGATGCAAAAGCGCTTCGGTGATGCTTATTATGGCGAGGGCGATGCAGATTACCCAGACAGCGATGATGGTGGGAAAAAGAAAAGCAAGAAGCCGAAGAAGCCCAAATTCGACGACGACATTGACATCAAAGACCTTGTCCCCAATTTCAAGGATGATGAGGAAGAGAAGCCAGCAATCAGTATGTCATCCGATGAAGAGGATGCAGACGTGGAGGCAGGGGAGGAGACGAAAGCCTCCAAGTCGTCCAAGAAGCGCAAACAAGAACGAGCAGACGCCAAAAGCGCTGCTCGCCGTGACCGTCGTCTGATCGAGAATCTGGTCAACGAGAACCTCGAATACGAAGCAGCACTCGCCTCAAAAGCCAAAACGCCCACACGCTTCCGCTACCGCGAAACATCGCCCACTACCTTTGGACTTACAGCCCGCGATATTCTCCTCGCTGATGATAAGGCGTTGAATGAGTTTGCTGGTCTGAAGAAGCTTGCTGCGTTCCGAGATCCTATCAAGAAGAAGAAGGACAAGAAATACTTGAGCAAGAAGGCGAGGTTGAGGCAATGGAGACAGGAGACGTTTGGCGATCCCGAGGGGCCCAAAGGTGGCTTCGAAAGCATAGTGGGTGACGAGGGTGGTGTTGCGGCGACGGAGAATACTAGCAATGTTGTGGAAGGGGACGGCAAGAGGAAGAAGAAGCGGAGTAGGAAGAGGAAGGAGGGCGCTGCCGAGGTTTGAAAAGGCTGTGATGTTTGTTACAAGGTGTGGTGAAACGTAATTAGATACCAATGAAGTCTGTTATACTCTATTCTATTTGCATCATCAAGCATAAGACCGATTTCGTCCTGATGTCCAATGTGCACTACCTCTTACTATATATGAACAGCAGAAGGCTAGATACCTATCTTACAGCTTCCATCACAGTATATGCGAGATTGTCCCAACTATCCACAACGGTTGAGTCGTAAATGAACGCATCACGAGGTGGAAATCAACATACTATGCCCTTTCGTACATGCAGTGTATGGGAAATACCTACGATAGTCAGTACAAATGGTATCATGTCACGTAGTGATTTTTTTACCCGTAAGACTGGTTTTCGAAAAATTTAAACACGTTCTGTCTATTTCAAAATAAAAACATGCGGTACAAATATAAAAATTCATGTACCTCCCTTACTAATGAGTTGTGATGTCGCTATACAAGTTACGGAGAAACAGGTAATTTTCGAAACCACTATTCGATACATGGCAAGCATACAAAATCCAATGGAGAATCTCTCAAAGCCTGATTTCTTCTCTATTGCTGTGAATACCTGAAGACAAGCATATCAAGACTCCCAGGAAGAGAACGAAGTAGTAGTCATTTCTGTAGCAGTACGAGGTTCACACATATCTAAGAAGACTTGATCCCATCAAGGGCGTGTGTGCATCTTGTTGTCCATATAAAACTCTATAAAACATTGATCGAGTACTGGGTTTGGGAGAAAAAAGGTCGTCGCTGAATAGCTGGCTTCAATGATAAAAAATAATTATATTGTAATATAATAATAATAATAACAAAGTATTCAAGTGTGGACTGTCCGTATAGTACCGAGATTATATTCGAAGCCTTCTGAACCCTACCGACCATGTCACAGCTCATCGGATTGATATTTGATATCAAAGTTGAACGAGGTGGATATGAAGTTGTAGTTAACCCCTGGCTCGAATGCAGGGCATCTATTATAGAAGAATACATATAATCATGTGTTTTTGCAGTCAAAGTACACACAGAATATTTCATCTTTGACCTGACTGTATTAAAAGTCTCTACCAGACAGCTACCCCACTGCGTCTGATTTCAAGAGGAAGATCTGACAGCGCACGCGGCCAGATTACCTAAAGAGCCGCAGAGATGAAGCAGATTTGAATTAAATGAGGCTGCATGCTCCATCTAGATCGACATTTTGTAAGATTGACCTTATGATGTGTCGTGCTGCTATTGCTTGGATCGTCTCTTAGAGGACCTATCGGCACCAGATCTTCTCCCTTTCGGCATTTCCAGCGCATCAACGTTTGCAACAGTAGTAATATTTTTGCGGTGCTGCATCCTATGAGCGTAGCGTGACCAGGTTGGGGGCTCCACAACAAAATCGTACCGCGATCGACGATGCTGCAGCCGCCGGAAAAAAGGGGGCTCCAAGTGGTGCGCCATGGGATAACCTCGGAAATGACCATATTGCTGAGTAAAAAGGCTTGGCGGACAACAGACTGTCGGTAGCGAGACTTGGACTAAGGGATGCCATATCATACGTATATGCGCTGCTGTCTGCTATAGCCATGCTTTTGTTTTAAATGAATGGTAGTAACGGTTTGCGCAGAAATTGATGCACCCCGGGCTTGTACCCACTATAACTTCTCGGTAGCAATGAGCAATTAGTGGGTACGACTCTCGGAGTGGACCCGTAAGCCGATAATAATGGGGAGCGGACACGACACATGCGCGATAAGGCGTAAAACTTGGGCGTAAAGTTGCGTCGCCCGTGTGAGGTTATCGCACATCATTGAAAGGGCTGTAAAGATGGTCTCAAAGCCACGGACCATGCACAGGATTTCGTTTGATCTTTTCTTTGCGAAACTCGCTGATAGAGGAGACAGAAGGTCAATGGATGATGCGGAGTGCGTGTCCATGTTCTGGTTCCCCAGAGGTATAATAGGGTAGAGACACTAGGCGCAATATCTAGAAACTATGTAGAAACGAGGGCAGTATCGGGTCCGCAACTGGGCAATAGTATGCGGGAGGGAAAGGGTTGCATTGCCGCAAAGAGAAAGTGCACAGGCGGAGAAGATGGTGCAGTGGATTCGAGCGATCGTCGTTGCGTAATGCTCCTGCTCCAGTCCGGAGGAGATGGTGGGAGGCTCCTTAGCGCCAAGTAGATCTACGATAGTCCGTAACCCCAAAGCGAAGCCAAGGCGGTTGCAATTAAGGGTTGTTTCGCCCAAGACTCAAAGACCAAGAACCTAAGGAATTGGTTTCGAATCGGCATCTGAATTCGTCGTGTAGGAAGGCTTTGCAGAGCTGTCGCCAATCGAGGGAGATCTCCTGCGCATCAATATCAATCGTGAGCGACGGGATGCGAATACTCTTTAGCTGGTTGTTGAAGCGTACAAAATGCGGCTCATTGATTAGCCGGCCTCGTCGCACGTCTGCATTTGCCCCTGGCCTGAAGAAGTGGTGAGCCAGGCAATGGCTCGAGTGCGTTGTGGTTGTGGTGGTGGTTGCTTGTTCCTGGGACACGGGCACGAGCTCACTTTGAGTTGCCAAGTCAGACAATTTGAGGACCACCCTGGCCTTTGTATTTGCGGGGATGAAGGCAACAGGCTGGAAGCGAATGGTTGGAGACGAGTTTAGAGATGTGAATATGGCCCAGTACGTGTTAGAAGTGGCTGTTAATGACGATCCATTTCCATGAACGGGGTCGGGTGTTTGCAGTTCATAGGGACTGTGATGATGAGCGGTGCGTGCATAGGAGCGGAAGCTGAAACCAAGCTTACAGCAACTTTCTCAAGGTTTCCCCAGCGAAGCGCAAACTGCAGGTGCGGAGAATGTCTGACAGTGGAGGTGCAAAGTTAGTTGATCGAATGTAGTAGATGCGCACCGCACACGGACGATGCTTACAGCGGGCAAACACATCCTCGGTAACTGAGGTCAGGAAGGGTGAAACTTGTCGCAGGACGGACCAGACGAAACAATGGTCGTCTAAAAACATGATAATCAAATGCCATAGTTCTGGCGGCAGAGCCTCAAGCGGCATCGAAGCACGGTGCGTTCCGAAACGGGCACGAGGCTCCGACTCGGGGCTCAGTGCGGCCATGGGGGGGGGGAAAGGGTTACCGCGGCAGAAAGATAGGGTGAGGATTATTCCCGCGTCGCGTCACGATACGGTGAGGTTGAAAGCAAACTGCGTGGGAGCCGGCGAAGAATCGGCAGGCGGTGGCGGGCAATTTGGGAGGCAGGGCACGTGACTGGCCGTCGGTCGCAAGCACGACGGGCTACCGAGTTGGGCAACGCTTCCAGGGTGTGGAGAGTTTGGCGGCCAAGGGAACCAAGGCGCACCAGACGTTGAGACCCTGCGCAATACTTCTGGAGACGTAGTTTGTATGACAATAGTAGCCCATGTAATTGGAGACATGGGGACCATGTTGCCCAGGGCAACCCGGCAAGGCGCCCTATGATTCGGCCGATGTTGGGGGGGGGGGGCTCTCTCTCTAATCATCGGTCAGATTACAGACTAGTTGGTTTGAGCCTGTCTCCGAGGCCGTCGTGTACGGGGGGACGCCAGTCGCTTCATGGCGGCGTGTGCCTGATGTGATGGCTTAGGGAGCACGCATGGCAATGGAGGATGCTCGGACAATCATCACGGTGAGCAACGTTTCGTGGGTCCATCAGCGCCGCTAGACGAGGAGATTGCGAAAAAAGGCTCATATTGCGTGGGGACGGGGGGGCCGTCCGCAACCCTCCTCGTGCGAGGCAGGGCGCCCAGAAAATGCCTCGTCTCTCTCTCTCTCTCGCGCTCTCTCGGACTTGTTGAGCCAAGTCGCGAAGCTTTTGTGATTCTGTGAGCAAAGCTTGGTGGCAGCCAGAGGCAGTAAGGCGCGGGCGAGTAAAGGTGGAGAGCGCGGTGCAGCTCACCTGGGCATAGTAAACGTCATATGGGCCGTGATCCCTGTGGGCGCCATGCACGCTTGTCGCGCTATCCCACAGCTTAATCTCTTGCTGCCGCTCAGCGTTGCGCTATTAGACGCACCCAGATCTGGTCGCAAGGAAGCAAGCAAGCAGCAGAGCTAGGGGGGAGGGAGGTAGGGGAGAGAGCAGGTAGGGGGCGGTTGCGGCCAAATAGCCAATTTCTGTTCTGGGCCGTCGTCGTCGTGCTTGCTTGCTTTCTTCACTGGGAAGGAAGGAAGGAACTGGCGAAGGAAGGAAGCAACCACGGATGTCGGCAATGACAAGCTACTACGCTGTATGCATGAGGTGTGTGTGTCTGTGTGTGTGTCTGTGTGTGTGCTCGTACAGTAAGAGTAAGAGAGCCAGCGCGAGAGCGTCATATGGCAAAATCCATAATCACGCCCGAACCACGGCCGGTCAATGGCGAGCCAGCCAGAGGTGCCAATGCCAATCTTCGCTCGCTTTGTTGCGCCGATGATGTCGCCTGGCCCAAGCGCATGCCAGCCTTCAACAACACTAAACAGAGAGCTCCCGGGTTGCTCGGCATGCCCCATCCCAAGGCCAGCCTAGTTTGCTGAAAATCCCTCAAAACGAAGCGAAAGCGTCCGTTTCTCAGATTTTTCCCTGGTCGCCCTGCCGCTACTTAACCAGAGCCTCGCGCCTTTCCGAAGCCTTTTTCACAGAGGAGGCCTTGCTCATCGCTACATTCCTGAGCTTGCTCGACCCTCGAACCTGCAAACACGCCTTCCGGCTGCTGGGAGCCCCTCTGTGCATGAGTTTACCGACCATATAATACCCGCGACCACTACAGCTTTCTTTTAATATCTCTCCCTCTCTGTCCACCATGGCGCCCAACGATGATGTTGAGCGGCCTCGCGCCAGCTCTGCCGCCGAGCGGCAGAAGTCCATTGTCAGCATGACCGAGTTTGAGGGCATGGACGAGTACACGGCCCTGCAGAAGTACATTCTCTTCTACCGCGACAACAGGACGAACCCGCACGCCGAAAAGGCCACCAAGAAGAAGGCCTGGTGGCAGTTTTGGAAGTCTGGCTCTGCGACGGCTGCCGCGCCCATCGAGGACCCCGGTGCGGTTCCCGACGAGCGTACGTATTTCCCCCCTACTGCTCTATTCCTCATTGTTGCCTCGCTCTACCCACTCAATGGCTGGCGCCTGTGCTCATGGCATCCTCCCCGCCCATTTGCGACGCCAGCCCATCCTTTGTTGAGCTCCTACGGCCGACATTGGGTGGCTGGTCGAGTTGGACGACCAAGCTCCATCGCCTCTCGGCAGGCCTGGTGGAGCTAATCATGCGCGCGCGAACGCCCCCAGCCTTCGATCGAACCACCCGCAATCGCATATTGCAAACACGAACCACTTTTACTGACTACAAAATGCAGTCCTCAACACCCAGCTCCGCAACGGTCTCACTGCGCACGATGTCGACACGCGCAGGAAGCGCTATGGTCTCAACGAAATCTCGAGCGAGAAGACCAATCTCCTCAAGCAGTTCCTCGGTTACTTCACTGGTCCCATTCTTTACGGTAGGCACCCCCTGCACAATTCTGCCGTGGCGCACAACTAATGCACAAGACAGTCATGGAGCTTGCTGCCCTGCTCGCTGCCGGTCTCCAGGATTGGGTTGATTTCGGTGTCATTTGCGGTATCCTGCTCCTCAACGCCATCGTCGGTTGGTACCAGGAGAAGCAGGCTGCCGATGTCGTCGCCAGTCTCAAGGGTGACATCGCCATGAAGGCGACTGTCGTCCGTGACAACCAGCAACAAACCATCCTCGCCCGCGAGCTTGTTCCCGGTGATATCGTCGTTGTCGAGGAAGGTCTGACCGTCCCCGGTGATGTCCGTCTCATCTGCGGCTATGACCACCCGGAAGATTTCGAACTCTACATGAAGCTCAAGGAAGAGGACAAGTTCCATGACGGTGACCCAGAGGACGAGAAGGATGATGATGCCGATGAGGAGAAGTTCGACGAGGAGAACCCCATTACCCAGGGCCACCCTCTCGTTGCTTGCGATCAGTCGTCCATCACCGGAGAGTCTCTCGCCGTCGACAAGTACATGGGCGAGATTGCCTACTACACCACTGGCTGCAAGCGCGGCAAGGCTTACGGTATTGTCATCACCACGGCTAAGCACTCCTTCGTCGGTCGCACTGCCTCCCTTGTGCAGGGTGCCCAGGATCAGGGTCATTTCAAGGCCATCATGAACTCCATCGGTACGGCGCTTCTCGTCTTGGTCATGTTCTTCATCCTCCTCGCCTGGGTTGGTGGTTTCTTCCGCAACTTGCCCATCGCCACTCATCGCGAGGGAACTGACAAGTCCGTCACCCTTCTGCACTACGCCTTGATCCTGCTCATTGTCGGTGTCCCCGTCGGTCTTCCCGTCGTCACCACCACCACGCTCGCCGTCGGTGCTGCCTACCTCGCTGAGCAAAAGGCTATCGTCCAGAAGCTCACTGCCATCGAGTCCCTCGCTGGTGTCGACGTTCTCTGCTCTGATAAGACTGGTACCCTCACCGCCAACCAACTGTCCCTCCGTGAGCCCTACGTCGCTGAGGGCCAGGATGTCAACTGGATGATGGCTGTCGCTGCTCTTGCCTCCTCGCATAACCTCAAGTCGCTCGATCCCATTGACAAGGTCACCATTCTGACGATCCGCCGTTACCCCAAGGCCCGAGAGATCCTTAACATGGGCTGGAGGACTGAGAAGTTCACCCCCTTCGACCCCGTCTCCAAGCGCATTACCGCCGTCTGCCACATGGGTGGTGACAAGTACGTCTGTGCCAAGGGTGCCCCCAAGGCCATTGTCAACCTTGCCAACTGCGATGAGATCACCGCTACCCTCTACAAGGAGAAGGCCGCCGAGTTCGCTCGCCGTGGTTTCCGTTCCCTTGGTGTCGCTTACCAGAAGAATGACGGTGATTGGATCCTTCTCGGTCTCCTCTCCATGTTCGACCCCCCTCGTGAGGATACCGCCCAGACCATCGTCGAGGCCCAGCAGCTCGGTGTTCCCGTCAAGATGTTGACGTAAGTTGTCTCCGCTCACCCTCTCTCTCTACATTGCTAACGAATGAACAGTGGTGACGCTATCGCCATTGCCAAGGAGACTTGCAAGATGCTTGCCCTCGGAACCAAGGTCTACAACTCTACCAAGCTCATCCACGGCGGCCTTACCGGTACCACCCAGCACGACCTCGTCGAGCGCGCGGACGGTTTCGCCGAAGTCTTCCCCGAACACAAATACCAGGTCGTCGAGATGCTGCAACAGCGTGGTCATTTGACTGCTATGACTGGAGACGGTGTCAACGACGCCCCTTCGCTCAAGAAGTCTGACTGTGGTATCGCTGTCGAGGGCTCCACTGAGGCTGCCCAGGCTGCCGCTGATATTGTCTTCCTCGCCCCTGGTCTGTCCACGATCGTCTTGGCCATCAAGACTGCTCGCCAGATTTTCCAGCGTATGAAGGCCTATATCCAGTACCGTATCGCTCTCTGCTTGCATTTGGAGGTCTACCTCGTCACATCCATGATCATCCTCAACGAGACCATCCGTGCCGAGCTCATTGTCTTCCTTGCCCTCTTTGCCGATCTGGCCACCGTCGCTGTTGCCTACGATAACGCCCACTCTGAGCAGCGCCCTGTCGAGTGGCAACTGCCCAAGATCTGGTTCATCTCCGTCATCCTCGGATTGCTCCTTGCTCTCGGTACCTGGGTCATTCGTGGCACTCTCTTCCTCCCCAACGGTGGTGTCATCCAGAACTTTGGTGCTATCCAGCCCATTCTGTTCCTCGAGGTTGCGCTCACTGAGAACTGGCTCATCTTCGTCACCCGTGGCGGCAAGACGTTCCCGTCCTTCCAGCTCATCGTTGCTATTCTCGGTGTTGACGCTCTTGCCACCATCTTCACCCTCTTCGGATGGATGTCCGGCGAGCCATACCAGACCAACCCCCCTACCCATGGTAACTTCCGTGATGACGGATGGGTTGACATTGTCACTGTTGTCGTCATCTGGGCCTACTCGATTGGTGTGACTATCATCATCGCCATTGTCTACTTCCTGCTCAACCGCATCTCGTGGCTCGACCAGCTCGGCCGCAAGGATCGTAACCGCAAGAACCCTGCGATTGAGAACATGATCGCAGCTCTCAGCAAGCTCTCCCTCGAGCACGGCACGGACAAGACTGGCACTACCCGCTATGTCCTTGCACCGCGCGCGATTGAGGAGGAGGATGACGATTAAATGTCGAATGCATAAGAGAGTTATGATAGCGATGTGTAGTTGGATATGTATGGGTGTGATTAACCCACCTTCTGCGAAAGGATAATTCCTAATCACCTGTCTTGCTAGTCTTCTCATGTATACCATGCAGCATAAATTTCCTAGTCTTGTAATTGATATCCGTTGAGATGAACAATTTCTCTTCTGTGCCCTGAATGCTTCAATTTGCTATGTGCCTATCTATCGCCAATGCTCAAGTCCTTCTGCTTGCGCTTCCCCCTCGGCGGTTGCTCAATTGAATTTTCTCATTACAGCTAACAGCTATCTCTCTAGCGTCGCCGCGAGGCCCCCCCACCTAGCCAGCCGTAGCTTCGCAGCCTAATTGAATGAACTGTCGCAAGATTGGCACTAGTATATAGCGTTCTTCTCGGGGAGATTCACGGTCTGCTGCTAGATGCCGTCGCACATGGACCCAGGGCCTCTGATTGGCAATGTGACGAAAGAATTAGTTAGCCCTGGGGGGGAGGGTTTTACGGAGAAAGGGCTGCAGCTACTCCCCCCAGCCTGGCGTGCTGCAGCTTCGAACAACGCAAGCGGGGTGTGCATATGCCAATTGTCCAATCCAACCGCCAGCCCACAAGCTACCTAGCTAGCTAGCCCCAGCCCTTTTTCGCAAGATGCAGTAACCCGGGGCCGGTCAGACTTGGCGAATTAAAAGCGCCTTGCGATCGTATAATCGCTCGGCGGCCTTGTCTCCTTCTCTCTGCGGGTACGTCGTTTCTGCTTAGCGCCATGCAATGCAGCCGGGCGTTGTTTCGTCCCGTGGGGGATGAGGAAAAAGGATGGAACGCAGTTTGTGCTGGTTGCATATGGGGCCACATTTATTATGCATGTCCAGGCGCAGTGACGTTTAAACGAACGTTCATAGATGAGGAGTCGATAGATGGCTTTTTTCCCTTCTTCCTTTATTGCCCTAAGCCTAGACAGGGCTGGGTACACGTCCGTATCGCATTGGGAGTGTCATGTCAGTCTTGTCTTGGAACGACAGTGACGCCGAGGGAACTGGGCTAAAACCACGTGCGAATCCTGAGTCGTCTCATACGGCTGACCTACGTAACAAGCCAAGCCTCCCCTAACCCGCTGAGACTGAGTGCCTATCAAGTTACATTGACAAGTCACCTTTTTGTCTCTCACTCACGCAATTGCCATCGCCATGGTTATGCAACTTCAATTCGTGTGATACCACCTCCTGCTTCAGCTTCGTTTTGCCTCACGCACCCCCAGTCCAAACAAAAGACGAACCCAGTCCACGGAGTAAACAGATGACGTTTGGCAATCTTCATCCACTTACATGACATAGCTGCATGCATATGTACCTGTACAGTACGTGACATATTTTAGCAGCCGAGACTGGGATATCCAGCGTTAAGCGACGGGCGAATCACACATTCCTGCTCCGCGGTAACTGTTTCGCTCGACCGCCCCCGACATCATCGAGGCGCGTCGCATGCACAGTGTAGAGGCAAGATAAGCGATGTAAAGTACCGACCGGGACTACTTGCCTTGCTTATCGCACGTCTCATGATGAACTTGTCGTTGCTTGACACACGTGATGGGCACCGGCTGGATAGAACAGCCTGTTGCGGTCCAGTGGCTTGGTGTGAGGTCGTGCGGGAATCAAGTTGTGATTGTACTTTGTTTATTGAGCTTTTGTACACAATACCATTCCAGTTTCGCCAGTTATGTATCGACTGTGTTGTTAGTCGCCCGAAATAGGCTAGACAAAGGTCAACGGGCGACAGGTAGAGCCAAGTCTAACACATCGATTGTTTAGATCCTTAGTTCCTATCCGAATAATGTTACGTAGTCAGGATCAATTGAAGAAGTGTAGGAACGCGGATTCAGACTGCAAGAGCTAGGAAATCATAACGCACTCTTGGATCGTAGAGTCATACCCAGGACTGACAATGTATTAAGATGGCCATGTTTTCAGCTACATGGAAAGTCGCTAGGCGCCCAAGTGTATCTTGATAGACTTTGCCTGCAAGTAGGCCAGCAACCCTTCTTTGCCCAATTCTCGTCCGGTCCCGCTCTGCTTGAAGCCACCAAATGGCAGGTTGTTATCCGGGGCATAGGCGGCGTTTATGCCAATGGTGCCAGCCTTGATTTTAGACGCGACTCGAAGAGCGCGAGCAAGATTCTCCGATTCCAGCGGACAGCCCGTACGCAGTGTCGTTTGCCGGCTTGATTGCCTCCTCCTCAGTCTCGAAAGTAAGCACTGATAGCACTGGGCCGAATATCTCCTCTTTGTAGATGGTGCTATCTTTCCCGGGATTCAGGAAGATGGTAGGAGTGACAAACGCGCCCTTGTCTCCTTTGCGTTCACCGCCGACTAGCAGCTTCGCCTCCGTCTTACCTGCCTCAATGAAGCCTAGAACGCGCTCAAGCTGCTTGCTGTCGGCAAGTGGGCCGAGCATAGTAGAGGCTTCACTCGGGTCGCCCATCATGCCTACAGCACCTTGGAAATGGGTTTTGAGTGTTTCGATGAACTTGCCCGCAATGCTGGATTGGACGAATAAGCGGGAGGCGGCGATGCACGCTTGACTGGAATTGAACAAAAAGCCTTGCGAATTCCTGAGAGAAGTCAGCGGATTTTACATGAGGCAGAAGCTAAGATGCCTACGCTTGTATCGCGGTTTCGAAATTGGCGTCGTCAAATACGAGGGAAGGGGACTTTCCACCCAGCTCTAACGTCACTCTCTTCATGTTGCTCTTGTTCGCGGCATCGGCAACCTTTCGTCCCGTGAGGCCAGAGCCAGTGAAGCTTATCTTGTCAACGTCCATATGTGAGGCCAGGAGAGCCCCAGTTTGGCCAGCACCAGTCAGAATATTAACGACACCGGGTGGGAAACCGGCCTCCTTGAACAGGCGAGCGACCACGAGAATGCTATAAGGCGATTTCTCAGAGCCCTTATAGACATATGTGTTGCCAGCTGCTAGAGCAGGTGCCAGCTTCCACGCCATCGTCCTGGTACGTTAGCAATGCGGCAGACCAAGACCCAATGCCCGCGCACACTCCGTAAGGCTCATACTGGGTCATTCTGAAAGAGCTATCCTCAGCAGGAAACGTCTGTCCCTCAACTTTGTCGGCCCAGCCAGCATAGTATCTGTAGCACTGGGCAACAGCAGGAACGATCCAACCGCTTGTGATAGTGGTGGGTTGGCCCATGGCATCGACTTCGGCCTTGGCAATCTCAGCTATGTTCGCCTCCAAAAGGTCTGCGACCTTGTTTAACAGCGCAGCGCGCTGGGCACCGGTGAACTTGCTCCATGGTCCGCTCTCGTAGGCAGCACGGGCGGCAGCAACAGCAGCATCGACCTCATTGGGCCTTGCAAGATTGATTGCTCCGATCAGCTCGTCCGTCGCAGGGTTATGGACAGAATATTGCTCCGACGAAGAACCCTCAACGAACTGTAGATGTTAGTATGTGGTACCATTGTAATCATCTGGCAGGACGTGCCTCATTATTGATCAGGTGGAAGTAGGATGACATGGTTAATATGGACTGTTTAGATATAGACTGGTTGTGTTGATTCTAGTCAGAGCCGTGATCCAACATCAGTCTTATACCACAGGCCTTCTCTTTTTTGAGACCACATCCACATTCGGCCGCCTCATGAAGAAACATGTTGCAGAATACAGGAGTATGCGCATCGGGTATACCTCGCCCTTCCTATGCCCGGCGCCTAACAGGATAGGGCTTAGTCGATCCAAGCATCAAAAGGCCGCTCGGTATCTCAGCGAAATCGGTCACTAGAGTGAAGTTGGGGGCATCGCTGACGATAGTCACAACCGTATCGTTAGCCATCGCCAGTGCGCACTGTCAACGTGGAGAACAGTCTTTGGTAAATATAAATCTGTTGACAGAAACCATCTCAGGGCACCATGCGATGATCCAGATGCGTATGATATGTGGGTCGAATGAGCTTCATTGGTACCATCAGGGGCTGACATGGCCGATGCGGATGTGTGAGACCGAAAATGAGCAGATATACGTGGCGAGCTTATGTAAACCACAACGACCCTTAGAGGGGAGTTTGAGCAAGAATATCATCGGACGGGGAAAGAGATACAGAAGGAGCAACTTATCTTTGAGAGAGGTTCGGTCGACGCTAGTGACTAAGCGTGTATTGCAACTAGCAAGCTTGCGATGTCCCCAGGCCACACCTCCCGTCATGTACACATCGCTTGACTCTGTTGGCAATTCCTTTCCACGTTAGGGGGCTATCAGTCCGATTAAGGCTATCGACTACCACAAAAACCTCTTTATAACTGGTCTTCAAGAAGAGTTCGATAAGTCTGAAAGGTTGAAATATATTATTACACTGACATTCTATCATACACTGCTATGGTACATTCTATATGTCGATTAAAGAGTTGGGTCTCACATGCTATCAACTCAGCCACATTAGATCAGCTCTACTTGGAAAAGCTTACTCCTCCAAGCTGGATCGTTCTCTTCATTGATCTCTCACAAGTGAGAAGGACGAAGGAAAACAAGCCACGACTTGGGATTCAGAATTCCACATTGAAGAGCTTGGTTTCGCGAAGGTGCTGGCCGTAAAGGAAGAAGATGATAGGAAGCGGGATGAAAGCGATGGAGATGAATCCAAGGAGCGAGTTTCCCCAGCCTAATCCCAGGGTTTTGTACATGGACGGCCCAGCTAAGGGCAACAGGGCTCCTAGCAGGCAACGGAGGATGGTGCTTGCAGCTGTCACCGAGGCTGCATAGACGGTGTATGCATCGACAAGGTACATGGCGCTGGCCATCTGAGGATCGTTGTTAGTCAGAATAACTTCATCATGTGTAGGAGGCATAGAAAAAGAGAACTCACGTATGTGGAGATCATGCCTATTGCGATGAAGACTAAAGGTTGAGGTAAAAGTCAGTCTATGCCTCATTTGCAATTTACATCAACATTACTTACCAGTTCCGAGAATAGGTACGATCCAGTGTGTCTTCGCATGGGCTGACCACCCGTACCAGAACAGTCCGATGGGCGTGACGAATGCACCAACAATCATTGGGGGTAGCCGGTATTCAGGCTTCGGACCACCGCCGTTCTTGTCGGTCAAATGCTTGTTAATCTTCTCTGCCGCAACACCGCAGGCGATAACGCCCAGGACGGACCCAACGCCAAGGCCTAGGGCCGCCAGGCCAGATTGACCGCTGTTGAAACCGTACTGCTCGCCAAAGACTGTCTCGAAGGTGGTGAAGCACAGGTATAGGTAGCTGTAGACGATGGCGGCGTAGAGCGATAGCGAGAAGATGATTGGAGAAAGGAGCATCTTCAGCGGGCGGAAGATGGAAAAAGCGAATAGCTGGTGTGCCGCCTTGCCCGTATGTAGAGCTGACCGCAGACTCGGATTGCCCGTCTGCTTACGCAACTCTTTTGTTTTGCGTTCGAGAAGTACATAGGGGTACGTCTCGTGAACAAACAAGACCGCGACCAACAACATAACTCCAGAGGCTATGGCCATTAACCAGAAGGTCCAGCGCCATCCCACTGCTGGAGCCAAATATCCGCCGACTATGGGGCCAATTGACGGCCCCAAAGCAGCGCCAATCACGTATGCTCCCATAGCAGCTGCTCGCTTCTCGGCAGGGACCAGATCAGCAATTGAGCCGGTACCGAGTGTGACGGGACAGGATCCCATGATGCCAGCGAGGAAGCGGAATGCGATCAGGGAACCCAAACTGTTGGCGAGTGCGCAGGCCACGTTGAAGACCACGAACAGGAACAGGCAGATCTTATACAGGATTGATCTTCCATATAGCTCGGACAAGGGGGCAATTACGATAGGTCCGAAGGTGTAGCCCAGTAAGAAGACCGTGGTAATGAAGGACCCAAGCGTCTTGTTGGTCGAGTTGAAATGGGTTAAAATGTCCAACGTTGCGGAGGAGCAGATGGTTGAGCCGAGGGGCCTGCATTGAAGACAAGTCAGTCTTCTGTTCAAACAGGAGTCATGTATAGGTATGCATGGGTTACATACGAGAGTAGCGTCATGCAGGTTACAATGACAATGTTTGTCGTCTTCTTTGCTGAGGACCAGTGCATCGGACTCCATGGATCATTGGGCCCGTCAAAGTTGACTACGTTGGGATCCTTTTCCGCACCAACGGAAACGGATGATCTCTCGACATCAGTCTCAGCCGTAGTGTTGGTCATCAAGCCTCCGGTTCTTGTTTCCGTGCCATGTGATATGATGCTCAGGGCATCTGTTTTCTCCGTGGTAGCCATGCCGACGTTGTAGTCGCGGTCGTCCTGTCGCCTGTCGTTGCGAGCCGATTTTGATATTATCGCAGGTTGGAGGTTTCCTGTAGCTTGAACAGTAAGTAACAAACAAAAAAACATTTTATATCTTTACATTTGGGGTGGATTTTTACAAACGCTGTACCCGCGGGATTGCCGCGGGAATACCGCGCGCCGCGGAGCTTTTGGCGTCTCTGAAGAGACCCAAGGCCCATCCTCGACGCAATACTCACAGTTTCCTCCCAGCTCACATTTCCATTCCGCTCCGTTCCACGAAATATATCATGCCAGCATCGGGCGAACACGAGCGGTCAAGTCGCAAGGGACAATACTCGTGTGACTTCTGCCGAGCACGCAAGCTTCGTTGCGATCGACCACTACCCTGCACGAGCTGCAAATCGCGCGGCAAGACATGTCATTTTGGCAACGCATCTGCAGCTTCAAAAGCACGCGGAAGCACGCCCATCTCTACTGTTCCCACTCTTCAGCAACAGCAGCACGTTGTTGCCCTTCCAACACCACAGTCACCACAGCATTCTGGTCCGAATCTACTGGCTGAAATACAGGCGTTACGGAAGCTAACACAAGATTTGGAGAAACGTGTCATCGAAAACACCAACGACCAGCAGCAGCATGGCCATGATGGCGGCGGCGGCGTCTTCCTCCCGCCTTCTACTTCGAGCCCTGAGTCTGTTTCCAGCCCTGACGGAGTTGGACAAACTCCGCTCTCCAACCTTGGGGAGGTAGGCGAAGTAATGGCTCACCTCGAGCGCGTGTCTATGAGCCAGCACTCCCCCGAATCCGTATATGTCGACGATCTGGTGTTCAAGATTGAGCGTATTCGGGACATCCCGCAGGCACCCGCTTACACCGCGCGACTGGGCAAGCCAACGCCGTGTATATGGCTACCACATCATGCCGAAGCCAGGGTACTTGTCGACAACTATATCACCCAAATCAGCTACATTCAGCATATCGTGCATCATCCTTCCCTCCCGGCTACCATTGACGACGTCTACCGACAGATCCATGGCCAACAGCCTGTCAAGCCTAGCAGCCTAATCCTTCTGCTAAGCATTATTGCCAGTGCGACGCACGTGTGGGCACCACGGGACGACATTGACAGCGAGAGCTCTCTGTTCGTGTCGTCGGCTCAGGCTCATGCGCAGACGCCCTTGTGGATCAAGGCAACGTATGCTGTGCTCAATGCTACACAAAATAGTGCGGGACTTGCGCTGCAAACGATCCAGGGTATCAGCATTCTTTCCTTGGTCCTCTGCAATGTAGAAGGCGTCTCATTGCGGTACCGGTCATTGATCTCCACTGGGTTGTTTCTAGGTCGTGAGCTAGGTCTTCATCGGATTGATCATGAGTCTAACGCCGCTACCTCTAACACCCTTCAGGCCGAGATGGGTCGCCGTGTTTGGTGGTACTTGGTAGCCACTGACTGGTTCGTTTTCTCTTGACTATTTCCACCATGGCTAATAATACGTTTTTCTAATACATATCTAGGATATTGGCATCGAAATTCGGTGGTCCGGGCCAGGGCGTTTACCAAGTCCATTTGCTTCACATGATGGTTAACAAACCACGCAACATCAACTACGTAGATCTGCTTCCTAGTGGGCCCCAGCCAGAACTGCCCATATCTCAGCCGACTGACATGTCGTACTTCCTCCAACGAATTCGCCTGGCCGAGATATCACGAAGCATGGTCGACCTCGCCGCTACTAGCTCCGGCCGGCCGAGTTACTATGCCCACATCACTGCTATGGACTTTGAACTCGACCGAATGATCCAAGACATCCCACCTTTCCTTCAGCTAGAAAGATACGAGGGCAGCCCGGACTCCAACAAAACAAGTAGTGTCTTCATCCAGGCGTACATGCTGAACTCGATGTTGCACGCACAGCGATGTAAGCTACATCTCGTCTACCTCACATCTAAGCCCAATCACAACCTAGCATACGCGACTTCGCGGGATACATGTCTCAAGTCAGCACGACAGATTATCCGCGGTGAGGTCCAGCTGCTACGGTCGCAGCATTCCTTCGTGCGGGTCCGGCTGCGCCTGGCAGCTATCCTACACAGTACCTTCATGGCCAGCATTGTGTTACTGATGGATGCGTGCGTCAACCGGCGTACCTCGTTGGAAGAGGAGGTCCTTGTTGGTGATTTGGCTGAGGGGCTGCGCATCATTCAAGATGCAAGAGGCTACTCGCTAGCAGCGGCGAGCCTGCATGAGTCGTTGATGCAGATTCTGGCTAACCATCGTGCCCAGCAGCAGCAACAGGGGGGCACGTTTCCTGCTGCTTCTGCTGCCACTGCTGCTCCAGTCCTATATGCTGAATCGCGTATGTCAAGTCCTACTCAGGCTGCTCGGGATCAGCCGTTCCAGAATCTAGACGGTTCAATGTTCCTCGATAACATCCAGTGGGATGACTTGTTTTCCGGCGTTGCCTCGTCTTCCTTCTTCTGAGGTCCTTGGAAAATATATGTCCGTTTTCAAGGTTCGAAATCATGACAATGAGTCACGGCATGGGGAATGATTGCAATAGATAAAATTGGGTGTGATGGATTCACACGCCAACTGTATTGATACCTTTGTAACAACTATATACGATGTTCTAGAGTAAACACCTACTATGTAATGGCCCGAGATACGTACAGAAAAAGTCCAGGGGTATATATATGCAACCTAGCCGAATAAGGCGGGTATCAGATATTGTACAACAACGCCTGCCCATGCAATTAATCCCGGCAATCAATCGTGAAATCATCAAAGGGTTCTGAGACCAAAAATTCCGCTGAACATGACGCAGAAAAGACGAAGATGTAGATCGAAGGGTCAGTTTCGCGTAGTTCGGCGAGGAGAATGGCTGGTTCGACGATTCGAGGATGCGCTGTCGCGCTGCACTTCTCTCATTGCCTCAGCGTAGTCGATTTCGGCAATCATGTCTTCTGAATCGCCACTTTCTACATCGTCAACGTAGTGGCGCTGATGCTTTTTTTGTATAGGTTTTGTAGGATGCTCCGTAGTTGTTGTGGGCTTGTTGTCTTCCAACGCACTGGGCACAATGTCTTCGGGCGCGAGGCCAGCATTCGAATCGCGCCAGTGAACGTGATCCGGGGAGACTACCGAATCCTTGTGGGGTCTTCGTGCCCGTTTTGGCTTGGAAACGAAGTTGCTGGGGTGGATGTAGTCGCCGTCCGGGCTGCGAACTTCTTGCAGGACGTTTGCCTCCCGCTCCATTTCTTCCCATGTAGCGACAAGGTTGTTGTCGTTGCGACTGCGACTGTCGCTCAAGTCTCCAGAGAAACTGCCTAGACGGCTGATCTTGAACGCCCGTAACCGATCCAATGCCATCTTGAAGTCATCCAGCACGACCGAGTCGGTCAAGCATTTGAACACGAAAGCTAACTTCCAGAACGGATTGATGCCAGTACGACCCGAGAGTTGTATCACTTTCGTGACGGATAATATATCCAATACAATGAAGATGATGCTCAGAATCATGGCAAGCAGCATGACAGCAAAGCGTGGCGAAATGCGAACGATCTCCTTGACGGTCATCTCATATTGGGTCTTGATGACCCAGAAGAGGTAGAGGGTAGTTAGTATCCACCATGGATCACGGCATAGTGCCTCCCAAGGCCGTGTCCTGAGGAAGAGGTCATTAACGCCGTGGAAGTAGGCGAAGTTTGCGTATATTTCCAAGACCCAGTATGGTTGTGCAAGAATGACGGTGCCGATAAATATGTAGCTGACAGGTTTGGAAAGGAAGGGCTTGATTTTCATCCAGGCAATGACATTGTGAAGCGACCAGGAAGCGTTTAATAAGATTGCGGCAACGGAAAGCCACCAAGCGTGGACGGGAGACTTGAAAAAAAGCCAGAATCCTTGCCAGAGGCCAAGAATTAGTTCGAGAAGAATTAACTAGAGCAAATAGTATTAGCGGTGACGGTTAGATAGCGGAGGCGGTCGTGTTACCTTATGCAACAACACTCCTCGTCTCATGTTTGCCAGCGTAATGAATGACATAATCACCAGCGACCCAACCAGATAGCCTTGGGCCCAGGCTTCCAGTATGAGCTCGTCCGGGTTACTGGGCTTCTCCACTACCTTACCACGCGCCATGATGCTGGGAAGGGGGCTCATAATTTTGGCAAAAATTCAGATGTTCCGAAGGTGGTCCCGGGAAGTTGGGTGCCGAGCAAGCGTGATTCGTGATGGTCAGTCGAGAAAAACCTCGGGATCCGGCCTCGAGACTGGTACCATGGCAGGCGCAGGAAAAGGAGCGACAGGGAGGGTTATGAGGAAGGGAAGGGAAGGAAGTAAGAACAATGACAAACGGGAACGAGCTGGGTTGTGCTCTCGTGAGCTGCCGTTACTCCGCATTTTCGCCATGACAGTTGCACGTTGTGGACTTGGGGCCATGGCTTGAGCTTGGGCTTGAAAAGAGGAACGACTCACAGGGGCGCGCGCACTGGCACTTTTCCCAAGAAAGACATAGTGTCATCGTATACAGGTGGTGGCGCTGCGGTAGTTGGACGAAATCACGGGGCTAGGATCGGGGGTTTGTTCAGCTTCGGGTCGCTGACCGTCCGACAGTTGAAGAGTAGGATCCAGCCCTTGAAGAGGCCAGCAGCAAAGGAAGGATTGCGCCGGCCCGACATAGGTTTGACAACCGCGTCACCGCTCAGCTAGGCAAAAGGTTGTAAGCAAGCTGCGTTTCCCATTTGCGACAATTGGAGACGGGTCGGTATTGGCAAGCTGTGCAGAAAATTGCCAGCCCAGCTCATTTGGTGGAGGCATTACCGGTACCAGGACGTGTGACGGGGCGCAGTGGGTCTTGATGGCCTGACGGCGAGCAGAAAATCTCCACCGCGCGCGACTCGGGACTCGGGAGATGTCGTCGATGGCAACGGCTTGGCCGCTCACCTGAGAGTCTGGGGAGACATGATGCATCTTTTCTTTCACGGAGAGTTAGAGGTTGTTAAGCGAAAGGAACAGCTGCTACATCGCTTCGTAGACGGCGAGCAACAAGGTGTGTAAGCGTCGCCAAGCTCAGGAGTTAGCTGCTTCAGATTGCACAAGGACGGCGACATATTCCTTTGTTTGCTTTGATATGCCCTTCGCTTTCACAAGACAGCATCTGGTGTTTGGAGTTTTCACGACCGCGCTGTTGGGCCACTGGATCGTTGCTGAATTGCTCCATCGTGAGCGAGGCGGCCGTAGCAGGTGGCCATGACTAAAAGAGGGTACTGGACTGTAGACTCGTATCTGTTGGAATAGGACGACCTGCTGGCTGGCTAGTAGACTGTACTGTTGGTAGAGAGTGTTGTATGAGTGGAGATGAGTGTGAAGATGCTAGCGCGCGACGCGACTGCCCCGCTGAAGTCATTCGTAGCCCCGCGCCAGCAAACAATCTATGTAGAAAGGTGAGCGAGCTTGAAGGCCGCAGATAATACCACACTACAGTACGCATCCAACATGTTCAAGAAGAAGCCAAATGTCCGCCATCCCTATTCTTCGTGCCTGGCAAAAGCTAACGCGCCCCAGATCAAGCCTCTCTCGCCGCTCAAGTCTAGCGACCGCCGCCGGACCGCCGACCAGATCATCGCAGACTTTGGCATTGACGTGCCCATAGACTCGACCCTCAGCCCCGAAGACAAGACAGCTTCCACGGCCGGCCTCACTACTCTACGCAAATCGCTCCTCCCCGAAAATGCCCTCTCTGCGCGCTTCACAACTACCACCGGGCCCGATCTCAAGCAGGTCTCGGGCACCGTCTACGTAGGCAGTCATGAAGGCACAGGCGGCCACCAGAGAGTGCTATGGGTCAAGGTTGCCGACAAGATGTATCCGACAGTCTACACCCTCTGGCACAACCCGCGCATCGTGCCCCTCCTCTACACGCCCCTCTTCGTCGTCGAGAAGTTGCAGGGCGGCGCCGACCTCATGACGCCTGGCCTGCAGCGAGGTCCGCCGTTTCCCAAGAAAGCCACAAAAGGTGCCATTGTCGCCATCGCAAGCCTCGAGTCCCCCACCGTCCCCATGGCCGTCGGCACCTGCGACATCGACGTCAGCGCTCTAGACAAAGTACAGGGTGTTAAAGGGCAAGCCGTGTCGACCTTTCACTGGGCAGGGGATGAGCTATGGTCGTGGACTTCCACAAGTCAACCGGGCAGTGAACCTCCAAATAACATCGAGGGATGGGATGACGACAAGGAAGACGATGAGACAGGCCTCGCTGAGCGCACAGCTGCTGTAGATTTGAACAATAAAGAGGGTGCAGCAGTCCCCGACGCTGACCCCGCGGAAAGGTCAGAAGCAGAACAGGCACAGGGCGTCCAAGGGGAAGATGCGCCAGCGAACAATGAATTTGTCGACTTTATCGACGACAAGGAGCTGACCACCAAGGGTATGCCCTTATGAATTCCACCGTGCATGCAAGTGCTGACCGTCCCTAGAAATCGACGATGCCTTCAAGGACGCATTCTTGTTTGGTGTACGCCATCACATGGACCACAACAAAGGCCAACCCGCCTACGGCCTTGACTTCCCCCTCTCCCAATCACGCGTCATGTCTCAGCTCGTCCAGCCCTTCCTTCCCACCTATACCCCTGCCCGAACTGCCTCGCTTCAGATCAAAAAGACAAGTTGGAAGAACATCAGAAAGTTTATCAAACACTTGGACAAGCAGTCGATAGTCAAGTCTAAAGACCGTGACGCTCACGAAACCGTCATCCTAGAAATCGACTTCACGGACCGGCAGATCGGAGCATTTGTACCCTACCGGCTGCCAAAGAAGGATGCCCCAACCGCTGCGAGCGCAAATGGCCAGCTATCAGCGCCTCTAGCCTCCGAGTCCTCGGTCGGTCAAAAGCTCAAATTGGTCTCGTTATTACGGCCAAAAGAAAAGCTAGCGCCCATCTTCCACGCCTCCAAGGCAGACCCGCGCGGCCTTTATACACCGGCGGAGCTTAAGCAGGTCCTAATCGCGTACGTTGAGGCGGAGAACTTGGTCGACCCCAGAAACAAGCGTCTCATCCGCATCAACCCTCAGATCGCAGACGCTCTCCTTGGATCCTCGGCGGCAGACCATGCTGCACTATCATCCGGCACCATGGCTCGAGACGCATTGGCTGAACGCATGGTCGCAGCTTCCTCGCCATTCCACGCCATCCTCCGCAACGACGCCGACATTGCCGACACCAAGCCAAAGGCTGGGGCACCACCGAGGATTCAGATCACACTCGAGACGCGTAGTGGCAATAAGACGGTGTCCAAAGTCCACGGCTTGGAGGCCTATTACATCGCGCCACAGCCGCTTGCTGATGAGTTGAGGAAGACATGTGCTGGCAGTACTAGCGTTGACAAATTGCAAGGCTCGAGTCCAAAGGCGCCCGTCATGGAAGTCATGGTTCAAGGACCGCAGAAGGATGCTATACTAAAGGCGCTCGAGAAGCGAGGTGTGAACAAGAATTGGGTGGAGTTTGTGGACAAGACCAAAGGCAAGAAGAAATAAAAGACGAGAATTAGGAACGAGCAGAATCGATACCCAGCTTCTCAAGCAAAAAGCATATGGTTGAACTTTGAGTAGGGCTATAAAGGGAGAATACGCGAAGTCGCCGGAACAGGAAACTCCATTGTCATCCTAGCTCATAGGCTGTTCGGACTCCGGCATGGTCGCGTCCGAGCCTCGGCCTGCGATAAAGATAGCGACATCTGACGGATGAAGGACAAAATTAACCCACCTTGAACACAACATTGCACACCTGTCGTTCCTTCTTCTATCGTCTTCTGTAACTTGTCATATCCCAGTCTTTCTTTTAGCGCGCACCGCCCTGGTATGGTCTCCATGGCACAAGCAGCTAGTATCGTTGTCGCGGGCGCTTCGATGGCAGCGCTCGCGTCGCAACCCGCCTTGAGAAGCACCCTGATGACCGCGCTCGCAAGATGGACAGGATACAATGCGCCTGGTGGTCTGTGGAGAATAGCTGCGATACTACTAGCACTAGCAAACCTCAAGAACCTGCCGTTTGTCTGGCATGTATGTATCCCGCCTTGCACTTCTAAAGACTGTAGTGAAGTACAACAGACTAATGACGTGCAATAGTTACGCTTCTTCCGCGCATTCTTCTACCAACTCTACCTCCAACCCACCCCCATTCCTCCGCGCGCCCTCTTCCAACCCATCATCACATCGACCCGTACCCCGATCCTCGAGATGGACTACAACCTCCACAAATCCAATAGCACCTACTTCTCCGACATGGACATCTCACGCACGCACCTATTCACTGCTCTTATTCGAAACGGCATTAAGAAGAACAGTCGTTTATACGGTGCCAAGAAGAGCGCGGTTCAGGGCGCTATAGGAGCAACAGAGGGCACTCGAGGGAAACACATGATCGCTCTGGGTGGAATAAGTTGTCTCTTCAAGAAGGAAATCCTGCCCTACAAAAAGTACGAGATGTGGACACGCCTATTATGCTGGGACAGGAAATGGTTTTATCTAGTTACCCATCTAGTGAAGCCGGGGGCAGGCCAACCCTCATCCTGGACACTACAGCCATGGAAGAAGAATAAACGAGTGGGTGCTGAAGATGCTGTTGACCCGCAGAAGCTGCTGGGCGCCGTATATGCCACTGCCATCGCGAAATACGTCATCAAGCGCGGTAGACTTACCGTCCCGCCCGAACAGGCCCTCTTGGATGCGGATATGGTTCCCGCCAAGCCGGAGGGGTGGGTGTATCAGTCTGGAGAGACACCAAGCAACAACGAGGACGAGCCTACCAATGTAGATGTAGACGTAAATGGTATCCTGCCCCAGGCTGCCAATGGACAGGCCGACGAGTGGAACTGGGATATCATTGAGGCGGAAAGGTTGAGGGGGTTGAAAGTCGCACAGAAGTTTGCCGAGATGGATGGGATGCATGAGTTCTTTGACGGTGGGAAAGAGGGTGTTTTAGGCGAGTTTGCAGACTTGTTGTTTTAGGTCGTTGTGCGGTAGGAAGGCATCGGTGTTGTTGTTGATACCCTAGATATTCGTTGTAGATCTGTTGTGTAGGAGATTGGAAGATAGATGGTTGTGAATGCTATGCTGACTTTGCAGGCTTGAGTTTACGGTCTATTTGACTTTCTGGCCGCGGTTCCACCAAGGCCCATTTTTCTCGCACTTCATCACTCCCACTTTTCAATTACAGGAAGAATGCTTGCTACTTTGATTCCCAAACTCTTCTTGCCGACTTATACCTGGCCCCACCGTATCCTTCGTCCGACCGCTCTAGTTTCCTCGATGCCACCAACACCACCACTGACCCATCGCGTTGTCCGTCGACTGGTCGGATACTTCCACTCGCTTTTGCGTCAATTCTCCGTGTACTATTGCGCATGGTGCGGTATCGCATACGACCACTGGATCGTGCAGCTCCCCTTCGGACTAATACTAAAATGGTCCGATGGCACGCGACTTGAGGAGGTCACCACTATGAAGGTCGCACGATCCGCCGGCTTTCCAATACCATTAGTGATCTCCTACGGGGAGCACCCAAATGTGCCCAACGCTCCCGTATCAATCCTCATGACGCGATTGCCGGGAAACCCCCTAGGGACCATATACGAACAGCTACACGAAGAAGAACGACAAAGCATCTTTAATGAGATGCAGACAATTCTCGGGGCAATGCGTAGATGGCGTCACCCTTGGGGATCAGAGCGTATATGCTCCATCGTGGGAACGACTATCAGGAGCGTGCGTGTGCCAAATCATTCGGTTGGGCCTTAAGAGGATTTTCAAAGCGCCTACGCCCTAGTTGAGCTATCACTGGTTCTGTGAAAGTACTTTGAGTGCGGAGATGTTTGTGATTACATTGATTCTTACAGGATAGGTCGAGATGGGCCTTGCGAGTCGGAATCAGACTTCAACGGGCAATTGATCTCCGCTGCTTCAGATCACTCTTTTCCATCGAGAGATGCATACGAGCAGAAGCTTGCCTGCGCTAGGAAGATGCACTCCATGCACCATTCCATTGTGTTCACACATGGCGACTTGAAGCATCACAATATCATGATCCACGATGGCCACGTGTCAGGGTTCATCGATTGGGAGTATACCACGGCTCTCGGATTTTGCCCAAAGAACTTTTGGTGGCATGGGTTTATCTCGAGGCTGGGAGGGGCGCAGTACATGGATGAGATGGAGTGTGAAAGAGCGCTTACCTCGCTAACGGCAGACTCTTATTCTTGGTGACCGGCAGTGGCGGCTAGGAAAGAAGGCTTAGATGTTTTTATGATACAATGCCGGCCTAAAGTGTGGATACTTTCATTATACCCTTGAGCTCTAGTACCGCAGTTGTATCGCGGTGCAATAGCATAAGAGGTAGACAAACGCAGGTTACTGCCTCTTATCTGCTGTGAGAGAAGGGAAAGCAATAAGAGAGCTCAAAAAGAAACAAAGTATATTCAGCGGGGAACTGCTATCAACCGTGACTAGTTTGTTACTCCGCCACTTTCCGTCGTGACTAACAACCCACGGGTTAAGCCCCTCAAGTTTCTAGCTTACCTGCACCGCCACCACCTCGCTTCACTCCGCAGCAAACCTCAATTGTGCATTTCGTACTTCGTTTCCTTTGGCCTAGTAAATCAGCCCAGCTGTGTTGGTGGGCAGTGAACTCTGCAGCTTTACCTGTCATGCGTGAAAACGTGTTCCAATAACATCTTCTATGCAAACTGCTAGTACGAGGCTGAAACTCTGTACAACCGAGTTGCATGCAGATGTGTGCAGATGTATGTAGCTGATGTGCTGATGATTGCATGATAGCGTGGGGGGTTATGATTGTATTTCTCTACCAGAAACAGTCATGATCATCCAGCATTCACGCACCTCCAGAGCGTAGTACCGATAACCCGAACAACCTCAATATCGTCGGAGGGTAGTGTATCAGTCCCGTAGACACTAGAGAACTAGCGGGCCATACCTTGGACTTAGAAATGTTGCTACCTTTTGGCGCTCCTACTTGATTGTTGAAAGCATTACATGACTACACACTTATCTGGATCCGGCGCCACGCCTTGGTTCTGGCGTAGATGTGTGGCTGCTTGCTTGATGAAGTCGCCTGCTTTGTGGAAGCAGACGCGGTTGCCCTTGGCGTCGCGTACACTTTCTCCGATGCTGAAGTCGTACGACTGCCCTGTGTGGCTGTCTTTCGCGGGGCATTTGAGGCCATCAATGGCCTTCTGTTCGAGCTCCGGTACTGTTCCACGGTTAGCTGGGCTCTATTCAAGTACAATAAGAATCGATAAGTTATACATACAGGTCGCTATGTAGGCCAGAAACTCATCGACTGCTTTGCGACTTGGGATCGTGTCGGCTGAATTGTCTTCCAGGAGGATCTGGGATAGCTTTTCCATCTGTTCAATCGTCGCAGTACGAACCCCTTTGGACATTTCATGCTGCTCGACAGCAAGTGCAGCTAATGGTTTCCCGAGCGGATGGATCAAGATTCCTTTGACGTCTTTCGGCGTAAACATCTCTCTACTTAGAGGGTTACGGAGCACACCGCTGTTAGCTTTGATGGCCTGTACGAGCTCGTCCATGTCCCATGCATAGTTGTCTTCAGTCACGTAGAAATTTGCTCTTGGGATATCCTTGACCTCATCGCCGAGCATTGTCTCGGTGTTGGCATAGTTTCTCTCGAGATTCTCATGCTCGATGTGCATCAGGGCAAGATCACAATGCTTTTTCAAGTCGTCCGGCAAGGCAGACTCGAGGGCAGAGTTGCGCTTTACGAGAGCATCTCGGATGACATCGTTGTTTACGCCCGAGGGTTTCCCGTGTGGCGTTCGTAACCATGCCATCGTGTTCTCGAGGTCTGTGATGAGTAGGCTGGTTGCTTCCATGGGGTTGTCTCGGACGGTGCGCGCCACCGACCGGGCACTGCCTGGCGGCCCCGCTCGGCTACTTGTACCTCCTCCTTTACGTCCTTGTACGAGAACCTCAAGCTTGACCACGTTCTTCGATTGAGGCACGCCAGCCTTCTTCTGAAGCGCTTGCAGATGCAGTAGATCGGCAAGGATGTATTTCGCCTTCGCTCGAAGTGTCTGGTAGCCTTGCGTGAGCTCTTGACGCGCAGGTTCCAGGTCCCCATTCAACTCGATCGACGGAGCGTCCAGTTTGGAAGAAGCCTTTGGTACGGTCTTCTTCCTGTAACGGCTTGTTTTGGGATCCCACTCGCGCGTCTCAACCACAGGAATAGATGCTACGGATGCCGGTTTCTTCTCAGGTGCTGGCGGCTGAGGTTTCTTCTCGAGGAGTTGTAGAAATCTGGCGACGTCGGAATCCCTGGGAGCCAGAGCCTTGAGTTCCTTTGCGTTATCCATGGCGGCATCTAGCCAGCCGACTGAGATGTAATGCTCCACGAGAAGCTTTCTTGCTCCAACGGCCGGAGGATTGCGCGATATCTCTTCCAAGAGCTCACTGATTAGGACCATATCAGGATCTCCAGATCCAGTAGTGCCTGATGGCGCGGCCATGTTTGTCTGGCTTGGGGGGTTTGCTCGCATACTCATACGCATTGCGTTCGACGGTATAGTCGTTGATCCAATCTTCGAAACATGCAGAACGGTCTATGCGATTAGGGTTGAAAGGCACGAGGCTGAGCTAGCGCACACGGAGGCGACAAGTTGCGCGTATACAAGTGATGAAGTGAAGAACAGGAAAGCCCAACCAAATTGCAGTGGAAGCTGTCGTGAGGTGAGACCTAAGCCCCGCCCGTCAGTCGACATGTGTTAATTGAGAATCAAGATACTGATGGATAGGAGGCAGCAAGGCTCTGCCATGGCGGCTCAGCAGCCGTGAGTGGTGACCTGTCGTTGCTCAGGTCAAATGCAGCCTGCGGTCTGTGATACAGCCTTCCATGGAACAAGGCGGCCTAGGTCAAGGGTCTAGCCACTTTGGGGACCGGTGACCAAACTCAGCCTTGTGCGCAGCCAATGCAGCTCTAAACTAATGATTGCTTACCTAGGTTTCTCACTGAAGGTTCGATGCCGTGGATCTCAGGCAATTGTTGCTGCGCTCAAGGCCTGGGCATTATCCCGGCCTGCCCTTCGTCCGCACCTTGATGAACCTTGTTGTATCTTTTCGAGTGAGTGTTTCCAAGACGACGCCATACTCCTACTCAATAACTAAGAGAAAATTCTTAAGGTCAAATCGTTCCTGTCTTTCAGCAACCTGGTTGAGCATTCTCGTTCGATAACGTTCAGTATGGATTGGTACTGAACCATTGGCGAGCGGCATTGCATTTCTAATCAGCCCTTTATTATATTTCGCCTGTACATATACCACAACGATACACAAGACGAATTCCAAAGGTGGCTTTGTAATGGACGCCCTTTTCCACACTTCGACCGTCGAACCAACGGTGGACAAGCGACTCCGCATATCATGGATGAAAAAGTCGATCCCTCTGAAGAACTCTTCGCTATTCAACAAAGCCAAGCACAGCGAAGAATGGCATCTGAGCGTGGACGCTACCGCGGGCGTCCTCCATCCCTCCGACTCAAAATTCCCCTACGGTTTCTTGCGAAATCACACGGACGCCTACCTCCGGAAGAAGGGCAAGATCAACCAAGCAGATGTGGATATTCGATTAGCAATATTGATTGATGCCCACCAAGCGAGAGAAGTTGGGGTGGCTGCAATTGCTCATGCAATGACGGCGAAGAGCCTGAGAGCACTGCTTCTCGCTGAACTAAACATCGCTCAAGGAAGCTACTGGGGCTTAGAAACTTGGTTGCAATGCTTGATTGCTGCAAACTATGGCAACCCAGCATCTGTGACAGATTTGGAATCGTCATGGGCACACTTGCTCTTACCTTACGCGACTCACGGCGCTCATGCTGCGGGTTGGTATCTAAAAGGTGTGAGTAGAGCTCTGAGGAAATCTTGCCCTGCGAACTTAAACGTCCTTCCTGAGTTCTTGATCCTTCTACGAAGAGCAATAGCAGACTACTCGGCACAGCTAGAAGGCTTCAGGCTGAGGGGTCAGTGGGTCGCAGCTCACGAAGCAGTATTCTGGATGATGGAACTTGAGAGCTCTTCACCGGCTGAAACACCACCAGGGTACTTGCTCCTGGAACGTATATTCGATTCGCAATTCCCTACTTGGAGGTTATGGGCGGCATGGAAACCGGAGATAAATCGCATCACCCGTCTTGCCAGCAGCGATACTGCTAGACTAGCTACCATCCCAGACCTTGTGGCTCTCGAGGGCCCAGACGTCCTAACAGAGACGCAAAAGACCTTGAAGGAAGGGTTAATTGCACAATATGGGTCAGAAAGACCTTGGGTACGGTTCGGAGGTTTAGTGATTGAAGTCCCCGATCACACAAGAGGTGGGTTAAGAAACAAGTTAGAAAGAATTGCAAAAGGCTTGGATACTATCTCGACAGGAAAGAGTTGCGATCCTGGGAGCGAGAGTATGTTTAGACTCTTCAGAGACCTCACCGTCAACCAGCCTATCACAGAAACGTGTTTGGACATATTCGAGGCCGCTGTCAAAATCGGTTATAAACCTGAAAATGACATTTATAATACTGTAGGGTATATCCACACCGAGCGCGATAGCCTCGGTGGACAGCACATCCTGGCACTTCAAAATCTCGTTCGTGTCCTCGGCGAGCCTCAAGCGGATGAATTACACAGACTTCTCTTCCACCCCTGGCTTCTCCAAGGAATTGAGAGCTGCCTACGAGATTGCCAGGCAGCGATACGGTCACATATAGACACGTCTCTACCCTGGATACATCTTGCTTCCGAGCTCCATGCTTTTTGTACAACACTGAAAGATTCGAGGCTCGATCTGTCACCAGCAGTCTACATTACGACACAGTTGGAAGCACTACCACCAGTAGTGCAGATGGAGATGATCTTAGATATATTAGCTGCAACACAGACTCTGAAACCATCTCAGCAGGATACACATGCAAGGACAGGCGAGACGATCAAGCACGTTCCAGTGCCTTCCTACCTACTTGGACAACCAGAGAAGACACGGCACCCATTAGAAGACGTTATCGAGGAGTTTTGTATACTACGACTACTTGAGCCGGGCAAAGTCAGTCAAACCACCCAGCGCACCATCAGCGCAATTTTAAACGTTTGGGAAAGCACTGCTAGACCACACATCGACTACGATCGTCGCTCTTTAGCGATACTCGTTTCGAGAAGCACCGGTGATGATCACCAACTACGTTGCAGGTGTCTCATGGAGATTGCCCAGGGAAATACACTACTAGAACCACCTACTTTCGTCAAGGATCTCCTTACTATCATGCTCCAGGCGGATATCCACCCAGAGCGAGCCTTCATAGAATTTACGCATTTATTGGCCGACAGGAAATCCTGGACACTGTGCTGGAGGGACCTGCTCTACATGTGGCTGGAGCAGATAAGTGAGCCGGGATGCTTTCAGAGCACTACCATTCTCGACTATACACTACAAACAATGAAAGCTGCAGAGTGGCTGTCTTTCATGCATTCGCTCGAGACTCTCTTCGCTGATCTCAATTTCTCGACTTCGGAAGAGCGCAAGATTCCGTCTATACTCCAGCCGCAACTTTTGGCCTGGAAAACGCAAGTGGCAACATACACTGGTACGCTTACAAGACTGGAAGACACTCTCGGGGATCTCGAAGCTGTGCGATGTATTTTGGTTTGTCGCGAAGGCTTTTGGACCAAAAACCTGCTAAGTATTCTTCGTTTTCTAGAAAGAGCCGAAGGGCAGCCGGCTGAGACATTGATGCAAAAGGTTGTTGGAAAATTGTCTGCCAGAACGAAGAATGCGTGGGAGGTTAAGGCTTGTTTGTTCGATTTGCTGAACGCTCCACCGGACGCTATTCAAACATGTGAGAAGATATGGGACGCGAAACATGGCTTCTTAGATATTCCTTGTCTTCCAACACGAACCCAAGCAACAGAGCGTGCGGTTCCATCGAGGCGAAGTCTCATTGGAAAAGCAATATCGATACGAACAACGACCTCTTCTCAGCCCCTGCAATTAGGACCAGCATCCAATCCGGTGCCAAAATTTGAGGTTCCACTTTCAGTTGCTGAGGTCATGGTTGCGGGCTGGGTTCAGGATGATGGTGTGGACGCCAGGAAGAAGGTTGTGATCGAAAACGTTGCTTTGCTCCTAGAGCTAGAGGTGTACAAAAATACCATACCGATGGAAAAGTTACTGGAGGCCACACTGTTTTGGGAGAATATAGAGAAGGAAATCACCAGAGAAGCCGAGCGCTTAGAAGCGCTACAGAAGGCGCTCAAAGCCAAAGACCCCAAGGGCACATCTCTCCTCTTGGAAGAACTCGGCATTCAAGACAACAGTCTTCTAGACGAAGAAATTATGCGTCTACCGGCGGGTGTTATTGATGTAGTCGAGAAAGTTGGCAATAACGAGATCGAGATCAGCTTTCCCCTAAACGCATTCACGGAGCTACAACGCGGTGCAATGGGTATACCAACAACAGCGAAGACCCTTATATTACGACTCTCCATCGACCATTTGGGAGACATGCCATCGTCTTTCTGTGTACACTTCAACAGCGATGTCAACCTTGACAGTCTCGAACATTCACCATGGAATTGCTCGCCAAGTTCGAGATCACCGCAAGAAAAAATCTGTAAATCTGTGCAAACGGCATTCACTTGGCAGCTCAATCGCATCTTGTATACTCAGCTCAGGATTGGTAACATCGGTATTGCAGACTTACACAAACTTGTAAAGAAGAGGATGGAAGAATTGGGTCAATCTTGCATTGCCTGCGGAACATCGCACAACGCAAAGAATGCACAGCTAAGACGCTCGACACCATGTGATGTCATATCGTGTGCACGGCTATGGTGAGAATCTGTGCACGACCTACATGTGAGACATACACTGACTTCGTACCTCCATCTTAGGTACCAACTTCCGCTAGATGTGCGCATCCCAGAGATTCGGACGGATGTATTTGCGGTTGACATGATGCTAACCTCGGTGTACGCGGCCGCAATGTCAAACAAGCCAGAACTTCTACCAAGCTGTCCTATATACGGCAACGAGGTCGTCAAGGCGATCCTGAACTCTCTCCCCAACCTCACCGTGCTCAGTCACGCAGTGAACTTGTCCACCGTATTGAGGTCGTATCACAAAGATGCCGAGAGGCTAATCTCATGGGCTTGTGTCCATTTCCGCGGTTATCTCGCAACCGCGACGGGTCTATGCAAGATACCTAACCTACCAGCCGGCACACACCAATTCGTCCTCGTGAACGCTAATCCGAGGCTGGAAAGCGATTTCGTCTCCAGATTACCCAAGTACAATCCCAAAACAACGGTTCTTTTCCATGGCACGTCACTCGACCGCCTTCCCGCCATTCTTGCTCAAGGTCTAAAAATCTGCTCGGGGACTTCCCTCCAGCGTACTGGTGCAGCGCATGGAAAGGGCATTTATATGGCCGAAGATCCTACGACCTCGTTCACGTACTCACCGGCATCTCTGAGTTGGCGCAACAGCGGACTGCCAAACATGCGTCTGATGCTGGGGTGTGAGGTCATAGGGAACGGGAGAAGTGTTAGTTCTGGGATACACGTGATTACGGATGAGAAGAGTGTGATGGTGCGGTATGTGTTTTTGTTTACGAATTACGCGAGTTCACCGGTTGCAAATCACATTATTCCTGCGATGGCAAGTGGAATGAGTGCACTAAGGACCGGAGCTGTATAGATTATCGATCCGCTCAATATAATACGCAACTTAGCGACCTTTCCATTCAAAATCCATAGCATCACACACTTCATTTACAGTGACACAGTTCCGCTCATCTCCCTCACGCTACTTTCTCAACAGGCATAACCTCACACCCAGACTCTCACAACTTCCACTGCCACACAAGTTGGATTCTGCGGCTCACCTGTGACACCAAATTTGTAAACTAGCGTGGTATACAGATACGAGAACCTCGTCAAGCAGATGTACCAATTTTTGAGCTTCAAAGTCGGGTTATAGTAGCTTGGGGGAGACACTGTGTCGTCCTGGTAGATAGGAATATATGCGCTGCCGCACTCCTCATCGAAGGCAATGGGCGTGAAATCGTCCCAACCGGGAGAGAATATAGGATCTGCGATGTTGGACCCCGGAGACTGGGAAAATTTCATTGCAGAAGGCACGTTGATGCCACCTCCGATGGTAAGGATGTAGTTGAGTACGCCAAGAGTGTCGTTGGCGTTGACGGTTGCGTTCTCCGAAGAGCTGACGTTGTGGTAGAAAGTAGTGTACGAGACTGCTGGGTCATCAATGGTATCGCCGGTAAGACAGAGACCTTCAACGGCGGCGCCCTGGTGACAAGCTCCGAGTGCATGTCTAGAGTTGTTAGTATAAGGGACATTAACGACGTGAGGTTGTGATTTACCCGTCATATGTGTCGTTGTCAGACTTGAGGATGAGGCGGAAGGCACTAGACTGCACATCATACCATGGTGGCGATGACTGCGCAGCCACTGTGGCAGCGAGGCAAGTAAGAGCTACAATAATTGGCTTCATTATGTTCAAGGGTTGCCGGAGAATTAGGTTTGATGCAGATGAGCCCGTCGATCGGTGGTGGTGATGGTGTGCAGGAAAGAAAGTTGACGGAAGACGGTTGGAAACATGTTCAATTTATAAACGGAGCAGGTGATACGCATCATCGTGGAAGGTGCTGCGTGCGTAGAGAAGGTGAGGGGTCGAACTCTGGAAATGACTCTAAAGCCTTGCATCTCTCACAAACGTAGTCACAAGCGTTACTAGCCGCTATATATACGGCCCTTTCCCTCTAGGCAAGGTATAATTCTGAGGCCCACCTGGAGGATCAACTCGCGAATCCACTCTATAATGTCGCGGACTGGTCCTTGGGTGGCTCGATTCCGCTACAATCTCAAGAGGAGTGAGCTACGCGCGAACGAAGCTACTTCAACTGACACTTCCAGCTTGCTGCATAATGCGCTTGAGCTCATCGAAGGAGCATTAACCAAATGTGTACCCGATGTGGTGCCGAGTTCGCGACGTCGTTGCCCAAGGGCTACAAGAGTTCGGGTGCAAGAGCACCTGACCTTTCCGTTAGAAGACTTGTGTAGTCTGGGAAAAGATGCTGGTACCCTTATATTGTGTCACTAGGGGCTCATCGAGTCCTTGCGCTACGTGTGGGCCCACTAGTGATGGCTACATAGTACCTAGCGTTTGGTGTGACGTTGCCGCGGCTCAAGACCGCTTTCTGTCCCAGTTGAAGGGAGGACGACAATCGCATCTTGATGTTTCAGACAATGCGCTGGAATATTCGAACCGTCACCATACTCAACGTTGATTTGATATATCGTAGAAACCCAGTGAAACTCGTTCGAGTTTTTTTTTACTTTCTCTAAAGTTATGATTTCTCAAAGTTCTTAAAGTCTCCTCAACGTACGCGTTCAATTTCTTCCGCCTAAAGTAGTCTACAGCTCTCAACTATAGTTTCCTAACCAGCCTATTTTAATAAAAATAATATTTTAGTTACCTAATCTCTGCTCCTGTATCTAACTAAATACTAATTTTAAAATTTCTTTACTCTTTTAAGCGCTTATAGCCTATATAGCCTATACAACTGTACTTTTAGCGTCTTTTTAAAGTTTTTAAAAAAGTTTATATAATTATAGTTTTTTATAGTTTTAGTTTTAGTAACTAGTTTTTAAAGTAGCTAGTAAAAAGTAGCTACTTTAACTACTTTAGTAGGCTTAATACTTAGCATAGCTTTTAGTATATTATTAATAAATAAGTATAAAAAAATAAAGGCTTTTTACTTATTGTATAATCTTAATAAAAAAAAGCAAGCTATACTAAAGCTATATTTTTTTTTATTTTTTTAAGCTATTAGGCTTTTTTTATAATAAAATTATTAAAAAAAAGTTTTTAAAGTTCTAGCCAAAGCAGGTCTAAAAAATTAATACTAAAGTAAGTAAAAAAAAAAAAAAATTATTTTGCTATTATATATAGACAAAAGCTAGAAACTATAAAGTAGAGAAGCTTTATACAGGCCTAAAAAGCAAGTAACTCTTTATACAACCAAATCTTGCATTAGACTTATTAGTTATAGAAAACAGAAAATTGATATTTAGTAACGTATTACACGGGCAAGTTAGTTGCCTAGTTAAATTAGTTATAATACTAAAATTTTACTAAAATTAGTAGTCTTTTACTATTAAACGCGATGCCTTAATACAATAATATACAATTTTTTTAAAAAAAAAATTAAATATAGCTTATAGTTTAAGTTTTAAAATATAATATAAATTTTTTTTAATAAAAAGCTGCGCGGATTTATAGCATTTCTTAAATAATATTTAATAATTAATTAAAAAAAAAGCTTTTATAATACAATACTAAGCCTAATAAAATAAAGCTTTTTTTAATAAAAAAAAAGTAATTGCCTAGCATATATTCTACTTTAAAAACTAAGGATTTCCGCCTTAACTAGCTGCTGTAAATAATATAGCTAATACTTTGCTAGCTAAATATAAGCAACTACTTATTAATAAAAATTAGGCTAGTATATTTATTAAATAATATTTATAGCTTAGTACTAGAACTTTTTAAAAGTATAACTACTAAAAAACTTTATATAAAAATCCTAAGCTTATACAAAGCTAGTTCTAACTTATAAAGAATATAAAAGCTAAGTATAGTATTTAAAATAAAAATATATATAATTTTAATAAAATAGGCTTTATAATAGGCTAGATATTATATAAAACTATTATCTTAAGTGCTAACTATTAAAAACAGCTAAAGATAGTGCAGTAGGGTAATTAAGAGTAAGTAATAATAATTTAAAGCATTAATATAATAAAGTAAACTATTTTACTTTTTATTATTTTTATAGGCAAGAACTACTTCTTAGCCTAGTATAAAAAAAATAGCCTACTTTATAATTAAATTATTATAGTTTTTAAAAATAGCTAGATAATAAATAAGCTTACTTTTAAGTAGTTAAAGCACTTTAACAAGCATACTAAAAAAAAAATTATTAGTACTTATTATTTACTTATTATTAACAGTTATAAAAGCTACGTATTAGTTTAATTCTAGCAGTACTATAAAAAATAAAAAATTATTACTTTTTATATACCCCTGTATTTGTTGCACCTGCTATAGCTATTTAATATAAATTATTTTGCGCTTTTAAAAAAAGTATATAAGTACTAAGCTAAAAAGCTAATGCGCAATAGCATTAACTATATTACTAAAATTAAATTTTTACTATGTTTTAAACTAACTTTTAATGCTACTATTATAAAAAGCAATATTTTAAGTAGCTTTAAAAGCGCTAGTCTAGTTTTTTTTAACTTTAAAGCTATAATATTAAAGCTTAATATTTAATTATATATTTTATTACTACTTATTATTAAAAACAGTCCTTAAAAGTTAAAAACACTAAGTAATATTTTAAAATTTAGGTTTTAGTTAACACTAGTTAAAATAAAAATTTAAAAGTATTTAAATAGTTTTTTTACTTTAATAATTAAAGCTTTTAAAAAAATTTTAAAAAGTGCAGCTATAGTTGCGCATAAATTTATATTAGCGCAGAAAAAAATTACTAAGCTTTAAGCAGCTAATAAAACTACTATATAATAAAAATTATATAAAAAAAAATAAATATAAAAAAAAAAAACTTTTATAATAAAAAACAGTTTTTAACTAATAATTTTAAAAAAGTTTAAAGCGCGTAGTAATAAAAAAAAAGTAAAAAAATAAATATATACTAAAGCAGGTAAGCCTTTTTAAAAGCGCTATAAATATTATAGTAAAGCTAAATATAACGCGCAAATATATAAGTAAAAAATAAAAATAATTTTTAAATAAATTAGCTTATTATAATTTACTATTATAATTTTTTATAGTGCTGTACTATTGTATATAGTACTAATTTTAGTAAAATTTTAGTATTGTAACTAACTTAACTAGGCAACTGACTCGCCCGTATAATACGTTACTATAAAAAAATAATAATAAAGTTTAAAACTATAATTAGCAACTATTTTAACTTATCCTAAAAAAATTAATATAATTACAAATATTTCCGCATTTAAAGTACTTTTACAGAACCAGCGATAGCTCAACTAGGGCATAGGCGCTTTGAAAATCCTCTTAGAGTTATGATTGAATATTGTTCACGTGTCCCGCGTGAACTCCGAACACTGCCGCCACTGCTCACCATATCTCAAAAGCAGAATAGGAATGATCGCGAGACACAGACTCATCGCTCCTAAACAGCTAAAACCCCAGCCGTAGCCAAGATGCTCGGCCAAGGGCCCAGTAGTCAGTGGCAGGAACGTGCCCATAAGACATCTTGTAACAATTACTCCAGTCATGGCAGATGCAGAGTATATGCCACAAGCGTCGACAACGTACGCAGACAAAGGTATTGTCGTAAGAAGGAGCGAGAAGCCGAGGAGGGCAACAGACGCGAGAAGTAGGGGCACAGGGAGCTGGGCCTGTGCTATCCAGCCGTAGGCCGTGACGGAGAAAGGGAGCATCAGCGCTCCAATAATGGAGAGCGGAAGACGGTATTCAGGGGTTCCTTTGGCGTCCGGGGAACCACGGAGGCGGATGTAGATACTATCGAGGTAGAAATGGCAGACGAAGACGCTGAGGAAAGAGCCAACACCTGATTATTCGTTAGTATTGCATATCCCGTTGCGACGTGACACAGCTAAGGTGCAAGAGAGCTACTTACTAAACGACATGAACGCAGAGCCGATCTGTGCAGGTGTGAGTCCATACACGTCCTGCAAAATACCCGGTAGCGAAACTGATATGACGTAGAAGAAGCTAAAAGCCGCTGAACCGAAAAGCGAGAGGAGCATGAGAACGCTCGATCCAAATAGGACAGCGAAGGGTCGGGTAATCGAATGCCACAGCTTCAGCACATGCTCATGCTTTCCCTTTCCCTTTGGCGAATCCTGGAACTCTCCACTCTCCTCCTGCAGCCTCACAATTCTTAGTCGCAAAATCCTCATCTTATACGTCTCCCTAAAGCACGTGAGAAACAGTACCTCACAGAGCACAGCCAGACCAATAGCAATGATCAGAATCTCTCTCCATCCCATCGTCTGCGCGATTGCACCACTAATCGCAGGTCCAATCGCGCCTCCAATAAGTGGCGCGAGCATTATGAGACTCATCGCCGAGCCTCGATTGTCAGACTCGAACATGTCGCCAATAATCGCCGGGTTAAGGACGTTTGATGCAACAGCGACGCCTGTGAGCATCCTCGCTGTGATGAAGAGACTGCTGCTTTGACTACTGACTGCAAGGATAGACGCAGAGATGAACGCGATGTTGCAACCGTTCATGACTGGGTAGCGACCAAAGACTTCAGAAAGAGGTGCAATGAGTAGAGGACCGGCGGCTTCGCCGAGCTCCCAAATGGTGACAAGTAGGGCACTAGTCGATGAGCTGGCTTCTTTTCCATCGAGGTCCTCGACGATTTTGTTAGCTACTGGAACGACCCCAATGCATGTGAACGTGCTGTAGACACCATTAGCATGATATGAGGTGGACTGGGAGGGTGAGGCAACAAACACGGTGAACGCCATGAGTGCGAGGAGCAACACAATGAACCACTTGAACGACGACGTCCAATTCCTAGGGTCCTCAGGGTCCAATGGCTCGAAGTCGAGAATGACCTCGTCATGCTTTACGCTGTATTCAGAGCCCGCGGTTCTGGATATCACCCTCAGCAAAGGCTGCTCTTCATCCGCGAGAACCATCGTGATGTTCGTACGCCTCAAGCCCGAGGTTATAAGAAATTGATAGAGTTGGAGTTCAGACGATGACTGAACTTTTTTTTCCGGGGTTAATGATCATAGGTGGGGGCATCGACTACTTTTGACTAATCGCGCCCTAGGGCACGGCAGTGGATTGCATTAGCGTGTGATACTGAATTTGCTAATTTACAACCCGCTAACTCCCCAAGGTGCTGTGCTTTCGGCGCTTTATCCAAGGAGAGAGATGATTAGCACTTTCAACACATTGTAGCCTGCACAGCCCAGAGTGTGTTCCGTCTAGATCCGTAAGATGGACACCTACCTAAGCCCCTCCAACCTATGGTGATCCATTGACATTACTTAAATCAAGCGAACTAAAGGTGGGCGACCGTTGAAGAAGCGCTCTAGAGACTGTAGATCCATTAAGGAGGCCGAAGAGTTTATGATTCAAAAGCCCTAGCAGCAGCGGAGTCACCTGCATCGTCGCAGAACTAATTAAGGGAGAATCTCGAACTTGTCTTGATAAAGCGACTCGGCGGAACAAATCCTGACAGAAGCCAAACATTGGAGGAAGTGTAAGCCCATTGGGGAGTATCGCAAATAGACTGCTACTTCTTGAACCTGAGACTAGGTTGGTTGCTCTTCCGAGGTCTGAACGAAAAGAAGGCTGTCCCTAGAGAAAACATGAATTAGCAGTAGAGCCCAGGCGCATGTGAATGGTAGAGTAGATCTGCTAGAGTGATTGCCCGGGGTGTAGTCGAAAGTAGGGATTGGCGGCGGATAGTTTCTCCGCGCCTCGAGGAAGTCGCGATGCAGCTAGCAAGCAGGCGGCGAGCATTCTACTCGAGCTACCATCAGCGCTCCAACATTAAAGCGATAGAATCATGAAAGCCTCACTTACTGCAATGGCTACTCTAGCCTCCCTTACATCCGCCGCCCGCCTCCTCCTCCAGATACCCAACACGGCTCTCGTAAACCCCTCCACCCTCCCCTCCACAACTCACGCAACACTCCAATCCTCTGGGCCGCCTCTAGACGCCTACCTCACGCGCTCCAACACGTTCAACTTCAACAATGTCAGCTCAGGCAGCTATCTTGCCACTATTCATTGCCGAGACTACGCCTTCGAGCCACTGCGCATCGATATCGCCGTCGAAGAGGCTGTTGAGGGAAGCGGGGATAAGAAAGAGGTGATTAGGGCGTGGCAGACGTTCCTAGGGAATGAGTGGGATAATAAAGGGGAGAGTAGAGGCGAGGGCGGGAATGGGCTTGTGGTCGAGGCTAGGCCCGTATTGCTGAAGGACTATTATCAGGAAAGACAGGGCTGTGAGTGCAATCTGTCGGACACTGATCGAAGTAGAAGCTAACATGTTTTAGTCTCGCCACTATCGTTCTTGAAGAACCCTATGATACTCATGGCGCTCTTCTCCATGGTGCTCATCTTCGGAATGCCCAAGTTGATGGAGAATAGTGAGTTCCTACGCGATTCCACGTCCTGGCATGTCAGATTGCTAACGTGTGCACAGTGGACCCCGAGACGAAGCAAGAATTTGAGGAAATGCAGAAAACCGGGGTCCTGGGATCGGGCAATACCAACACCGCACAGCAGTTACAGAATTTTGATCTCGCCTCTTGGATGGCTGGCAAGAAGACGGATTCAGGCAGTGTGAGTGAACGCACTCAGAGCCCAGCTGGACAGGCGAAGAAGCGATAAGACAAGGGTCCTCGTAGGAGAGATTCTGAGCAAACGTTGCTTGTCGATTTTATGGGGTTATTCAGGAGGACATGCTTTAGACGTGAGTAGCATCATGAGCGAGCAATATATCAAGACGAAGACTCAATCTCATTGTTCAATCTTTGGAGTAAAACAGGCCGTTGCTGACAGCTTATGCTTACACAGTCGCGACACCGCCCTTTTCTCCACCCTCCCGTCTAGCAATCTCCTCAACATTCAACACAGTCCCGTCCTTCACACTCTTGTCTATTTCTTCCCTCCTAACCCTACAGTTAGCTTCATAGCTAGGTCTATCCCGTGTGCATTTCTCCTCCCAGAAAATGTTCTCGCCCCAGCACGACATGCCCACCAACTCGACTATCAGTACACAAACCATCAGCCCCGTTGTCGAGGCCACTAGTTGCAAACTATTGAAGTCTGCCCTGGCAAGGGAAACTATGACGATGGATACGGCAACACGGAACAACAAGCGCGTCACCTTGCGAAGTCGTTGGTTGGGTATATTGCGGTGCGTGTGCGTGAACGAGATGACGGAGAGGCAGAAGAGCGAGATGCCCAGGCCGCCGCAGTAGAACCATCTCAAACCTTGTGTGATATGATCTTCCGAACGGGGAATGAAGGTCTCGAAAAGAGATTCAAGAGGTGCATCCGGGCAGTCGTGGGCGCGGACGAGGACTGCAAGGGCGGAGGCAGAGAGGACAAAGGACATAACGAAGGGGAGGTGTATGGAAAACCACGTCAGCGCTGTATTGTCGTGTTAGCATCTGCTTTCGTGTGGTATGAACTAAGGGAATGGAAAGTGCTGCTTACCAGAGAAAACATGCCTTCTGATGGCATGAGTGTGCAGATTAAACGAGTCGATTTCGAAGTAGATCCAGTTGAACACGAACGCCTGGATCAAACCCAGCACCGCTTTACCAAAGAAGGCATTGATGCCCATCTCCACATGGCTCTGATACAGTAAGCCCAAGACGCAAGATCCGAATACCAGCGTGACGAAAGCGTTCGTACGCTCAATCCTATGCTCGATATTCGTTCCGGGAAAGAATTCCAGGCTCTCTTTCATCTTGTTTGGAATGAGCTTCGCCCTAGTGGGACCCGCACGTTGAAAGAAGATCATGATAGAGTTGCCAAACAGGTCGAACAGAATGGCTACCCAAATGAGTCCCTGATTCGCGGGAGCCTCGATGTGTATACTCCCGATCCACAATGCGGCCGGGATCAGCGATATAACACCATTGCCGATCATGCTACCGCGTACCATGGGAATGCTCCAGGCGTACCAAAACATACTTGTCGTCATGAAGAGACGCGCGGCGAGATAGAAAGCAACAAGAGGTGTATACGTCTGTTCGAATGCCGAGGCCATGTTCGTCGTGAAGCCAAGAAGACAAGTCAGTATGAAGAGCACCGAGCAGCGCCGTAGAACGTCGTCTGAGTCAAACCTAAAGGTCGAGGTGCGAAGTTAGTATATGTTTCACATGTAATTAGTATACACCAATGTTACTAACCATGACATCAGTAAGCCAATATCGCCCCAGAATTTCCAGCCCATGATAAAGGTAATGGCGAAACGTAGTAGACTCTCTCCAGTCGGATGCTCGGCGGCCGTGTCGCCCGCGATGGCTATGATGCCGACGTAAAAGAGATCAATGAAGAGCTCGTACGAAGCGACTTCCTGTGCCTCCTTTGCGCGCCAAAGCAGGCCCTTATGGAAATACTGCCTTACAATCGGCTTTTGGTAGAAACGCATCGTCGAGCCGTGTTTGCGCTCTGCGTCCCATGCCTCGTTCTCAAAGGCAGGTTCGTCTGATGAGACTGGGTCGTCTGGTTCCTCCTTGGTACGCAGATGAGCCGAATAGCCGTATTTGGAGAAGTTGGCGTCGAGTTGAACTGCGTGTGCGCTGACCATGTGCAACTCGGCGGACATTACGTCTAGCTCACGGATTACGCGCTCAAATTCTTGAGCTAAATCCCCGTTCTCTGCTTTCAGCTTCTTGTAGCGTTCCTCGTGGTATGCGTGTGTACCGCGAAGCGCTTCAATCTGTAGACGTTGGTATTTGTTCCGTTATAGGAAGTAACATCACCGTCAAGGCTCACATGTTCAGGGCTCCCAAGAATAACCAGATCAAAGTCATCTTGACTCATAGAGCTCCGCGCCTTGTTGAATAGATCTGCCTCGTCGGGTGAGCTTGCAATATGCACCTTTCTCCCATCAGGCTTCAAAAAGTGACGGAGTCTTTTCCCCGTATGGCGTATGTGCGGATGGCGATGCTGATGCTGATGATGCCCACGTGGTGTCATTATAGCGCTGTTTGGTGTCGTTATTGGGCTTGCCGTTGCATCGCTACCGCCGAATGGCGTCTGCGGAATATCAATCATTTCCATCATACTTTTTTTTATTTTTACAAAACAACAGTTGTAAGAATGACGAAAATTTCTCCTGTAGGATTTCCCAATATATATCCGAGCTACAACGTGCTGCATCTGGACCGTGAACTCAAAGAAATCGTGTCTTGGCTGCATCGAACCTAGCTGATGCATAATTGGCTACATCATATCGGAGCAGTGAATAAGCAAACAAGGTGCATAGTAAGCTGCGGGGGAAAAAGCTTCAGCTGGGCGCTAAGCCTTGAGGCCTCTACAGCACAGTAACGAGCTATTCCACGAAGTCTTCTGTTTGTAGGTGCCTATGATGATCTTGTTCTAGTGTAGGACTCTCGCCTGTGTTATCCCAGCCTTGAGGCTGGACGCGAATAGAGGAAAGACGAGCGAAAGTTGAAGCTGCACAGGTGGTCAATCCTTCGGCGTTATTAGTCATGGATTATGAAACCGGGGTGGCTTTTGCCCAGAAGTCTTAGGACAGAAACGGTCAGTGATAATGGAAACATGTCTTAGCACCACTATTCACCGAGTACATATTGTCGTGCTGTTCCTCTCCCAGACAATCGGAGACCGTGTCCTCAGAGACATCTGGTTTAATAAACGCCTTGTTCTGATCGAAGATTACCTTCATCATTGGCCACCTCAGATTACTCGCCCGTGAAGCGTATAGCTCGCTGAGCACTTTGCACGGGTGGAGCGCCGTCTCCAGTATTTGAAGCCGAGCTCGCAGCACCTGTCTCTCGTACAGTCGGCGCAATAGCGGACAGCGGATTAGGTGTTTGAGAAGATACCTTAGAGTGACTTTCCGAATTTTCCCCATTCTGGATGATCGACCTTCCAATGCGCACAACTCTCCGAGGAAGACTGTCGCCGCCACTGCGAGCGAACCCAGGCCGCCGTCGGAGTCTCTGTTCGGCATCTGTGAGTGTTTCCACGCCGGTGTTCTGTATGTGGAAAGGCTCGTCTTCAACTCTAGCGGCAGACAGCGCGTTGGAAAGCGTCCGTGGGATGAAGAAGCCAAGCTTTGCCAGGGGGATGCTGAGACCGTGAACGACCTGTAGTGATCAATATAGGACGTGAACAAGTAATGACGTTGTAGAGAACTTACAACAGAGCAAATGGTGAGGAACCAAATGACGACGTTCATGACCTCCATCAGATACCTTGCATCTTCTCTGATCTCACCATCGACCTCGATCTTCCTTAGAAACTCTAGGCTGACGTAGAGGTAAAATATAGCACTGACGCCTATTGGACCGAAAAAACCCACAAACAAGGCTTGTCTCTTCTCCTCGATTTGGTGAATATGCTTGTGCATTGCGAAAATGATAGGAGGACGACGAAGTAGTAAGACTAGGATGCCGAGGAAGACCAGGCGGTAGATGGGTATGACGTTGTTGTGGTAAAACTCAGCCCATGGACACACGGCTCCGAACCAGATGAAGATCGATACGTTGAGGAGCATATCGATAGTGGGTTGAAAGGAGTCGTCTAGTGTTTCGAGCCGGAACCAGTCACTATACGTGAGTTAGCCCTCAATCTCTGCGAAGGGGGAGGATCGGTACACTTACTCCCAGGTAAAGGTGTTTCCAGCAATGAAGCATGCCAGCACATCATCGCTTCCTATCATGCCACATGTGCCAACAATGAAGAGCTGTCAAACTAGTCAGCTTGTGAGAAACCTTCGAGGACTCATGAACACTTACAGCTAGAGTGATTGCAAAGACCAAAAATGACTCTCGGTCAACGTAATTCTTCTCCTCAGCCCAATGCAACAGTTCTTTCGCTATCCATCCCACAGTCGCCCCATACAGCACGCTTAGCAAGATCGTGTAGCCCCATGTCTCTCCAAACCACAAACCAATGGCAGTCTTAACGCTATTGTCTTGGCCTAGCCCACTGTGTCCAATATGCTGTATTAAATAAAGTGGCAGGAACAAGAATGGGTAGCCCAAGCCGTCATTCGCACCAGACTCGGCCACGATGATCTTCTGCAACTCCTTCGGTATATTCTTATCCGCAAACTTGCCTTTCACAATCGAGTTAGACAAAATGGGATCTGTTGGCGTGACGCATGCGCCTACGGCTAGTGCTTGCAGAAAGTTGATATGCGGAACGAACGCGAAAACAAGAAGGCTGGTGACGAGCCACATGACCGTCATCCCAGGGCCAAGAAGGAGAGCTAGGCTTTTCCATTCTGTTTTCAAGTACTTGGAGGGTAGCTGGACGCCAGCTAGAACAAGTTGGACACCGAGGACGAGACGCGTGAAGTACAGGGTGATGGTCTCCAGCGTCTCAACATCGTGCAGTGCGTATTCCTCCGGCCGCAGAAAGTTGGTGGCGTGAGGTGAGAATATGAGACCCGCCACAAGAGATATGACTAGAAGAGACGTCAGCGTTAGGTCAAGGGTGTGCAAAAGTGGTCTGGAGAACGTACGTGCTTCTGAGAGATAGAACTTTTCCTTGACTAAAAGTAGCGGCGCGATTAGCACTTTACTAAGTAGAGAGTGCGAATCTTATATGTGACGCTCCTAAAGAGTGCGCAAGTATCACTTACTACCCGTATGTTAGCAAAAACATTCAAATAGTGTTTCTAGTAGGACTTTCGCACCAGAGGTATGACACCAGCCCAAAAACAGTGATGAAGCCTCCCAACGTAGCACACACGATATTGAAATTTGTGATTGCCAAGGTAGGCATGGCGGACTTGTGCAGCCAGCGGCTTCGGATTGAGCGATTCGGTAGGTATGAGATCACTTGACGCTAGAGACAAATATAAATGGCTGTTCCCAGAAAGTTGTGGCGCTCATTGGGCAGGTACTGAATTGACGAGAAGTCGTCTCTAGATTTGGTCTGAAACGCGAAAGTTTATTATAGAAGTTAGAGATGTCGTTCAACAATCGGGGTGTGAGTAGGAGCTTCGCTTCAGCGTAGATCCAACTTCTTATTCATGACAAGTGTCTTGGCATATCGGCTTGTCCTCTTAGAGAGCAACCTAAGTGGAACCAAGGCAGCTTGTCAAAAACCGAAAAATGCCTCAGTCAATGCTTATCACGCTTTAACAGACGATATTTTTTAACATTTGCACTGGTATTCTCATACACTCTCTACATCTTGCAAGTCGCATCAGATGCTAAAACTAAAAGAAATATGTACAATCGAGCCCGGTTTTCTAATTCCTTATGCTAAATCCCAGAATCCATAGTTATATGGTTGCAGCCGCTGCTGTCGGGTCCGGGCCGTAATGCACTTGCGCATGCGGGTAACCGGGTGCCATGAAGTTGGTTTTTGAGTTCTTCTGTGCCTTTGCTGCTGAGCAACGGGCCATCGTCGGTGAACTGAACGGTCGTTAGCATAACTTCTCTTCAATGGATCAATATTGGTGACTTACTTTCTCGAAATCGAGTCTGTGAAGTAGAAGTTCTCAATCGGCTTCTTGAGTGGCTGGCCAGACGCCTGTGATCCCTTGTTCTGATCTACCAGCTGCATCTTACTCAGGGCAGGCAACGAAACTGATTCGACGAGATCGTATCTCCTTAAAGCGGGCGAAATCTCCTCCATGCGGTCTCGTAGCTGCTCAACATCGTCATAAGGCAGCTCAGCACCAAAGTACTCTGAAGCTGCGCGGACAATCTTCCAGTCTTCTCTTGAAGCGCCGGGGAGACCAACAGCAGCGCGAGTCATTTGTACGCGACCCTCGGTGTTGACATATGTGACCGACTTCTCGGTGTAGGCCGCACCAGGCAACACCACATCAGCTAGCTGTGCGCCTCGGTCGCCGTGGTGGCCCTGATAAACGACAAAAGCATCCTTGGGGATCTCTGCCTCGTTGATCTCGTCGGCTCCGATTAGCCAGACGAACTTGGGCTTGGTCTGCGCAACTTCAGGCGAAGGAACTGTGAAGCCAACCTCAAATGCACCTGTCCGGGAAGCCGTTCGCTGGAGGATGTTGTAGCCGTTCCATTCTGGTGTCTGGAAGTTGGCTTTGTGCTTCTCGACAAACGCGCCGACTTGCTCATAGATGTGCTTAGCATCGGCATGTTCGGTAACGGCACTACCGACAATGATCATGGGCTTCTTCGCAGATTGCAATTTCTTTCCGAATTCGCCAGAGAAAGCGCTCTTTAGGTCAGTAGCGCTGTCGCCGAGCTTCTCATACTCGAAAGTGCTCTCAAAGTCCTCGCCGACAAGACCAATCTGTAGATCTGACCTCAACCATTGCTTTCTGATGCGAGCATTGAGGACGGCGGCCTCGTGCCGTGGGTTGGTGCCAATGAGGAGGATAGCATCGGCCTCTTCCACACCGTAGATCCTGGAGTTGAAAGCATAGTTGGAGCGAACGTCGACACCGTGTGCAATGGGCTCGCTGCCACCAGGCTGATCGAGAGCCAAGTTGTCCGAACCAAGCTTGTTCGCAAGGTCCTTCATGGCCACTAGAGCCTCCGTCTCCACAAGGTGACCAGCAACCGCTTTGAACTCATTTCCCTTGGGGGCAATCTTCTTGTAGGCGTTGCCGATCTCGACGAGCGCTTGCTCCCAGGTGGCAGGCTGGAACTGGTTATCGACACGGATAAGCGGGTTGACTAGGCGCTGTGTGCTGAGGGCATCGCAGGCGAAGCGGGACTTGTCGTTGATCCACTCCTCGTTGATGTCATCATTCAAACGCGGGATAACCCTCATAACCTGAATGCCTCGAGAATCGACGCGGATGTTGGAACCTAAACCATCGAGCACGTCAATGGTCTCGGTCTTGTATAGCTCCCACGGTCGTGCCTTGAAAGCATAGGGCTTCGAGACGAGAGCACCAACGGGGCAGAGGTCGATGACGTTTCCGGACAGCTCGGTGTCAAGGGCAGTCTCGAGGTAAGTACCAATCTCCAGGTCGTTACCACGGCCCGTTGAGCCCATTTCCGGAGCACCGGCGACGTCGTTGGAGAAGCGGACGCATCGTGTGCAATGAATGCACCTGTTCATCGAAGTCTACCGCACGTAAGCATCGCCCTGAAGGCCAATATTGGACGTCTCCCACCTTGATTAGGGGCCCAATGTTTTTGTCCTCGACGGCACGCTTGCCGCCCATCTCGTGGAACCGGCCGCGGTCTGCGCCGTATCTCATCGACTGATCCTGGAGATCACACTCGCCTCCTTGGTCGCAAATAGGGCAGTCCAGCGGGTGGTTGGCCAGCAAGAACTCCATGACACCCTCTCGCGCCTTGTGGACGAGCGGCGAGTTGGTTTTGACCACCATGCCAGGCTGTACAGGCCAGGCGCAGGAGGCCACGGGCTTGGGCGCCCGCTCCACCTCGACCAGACACATTCGACAACTTCCAGCAATCATCAACTTCTCGTGGTAGCAGTATCGCGGCACCGTGCTTCCGACCTTTTCGCACGCCTGGATGAGGGCGGAACCGGCTGTGAAGGGGGGCGTTAGGATCGTGTGTGTAGCCTGGAGAGGAAAGGGATAGCTGGCATACCTTCGATTGATACCTTCTTTCCATCTGCAAAGGGCGTTAGCAACCGTCGCCGCCCGCAATGGGCGAGTGGCACAAACCTATCGTGAGCTCGACTTCTGCTGGCCGGGGCGCCGAGGCAGTAAAGGCCCGGCTGCCATTGAGGGCTGCGCGGTGGGCAGGCCTCTTCAGCGACCGGATCAATTGTTGCCGCAGCATCTTGAGGCACTAGACAATGGCGATGGGCTTGCTGCTGGAGAGGTCGACCTTGATCTTCCAGGATGGGATGCGCTTTCCCTTGGCGTCGTGTTATCTCGTAATCCGCGCCCTGATTGGTTAGACGTCTGTCCGCCCCTACCCAAAATCTTTTCGCCGGCGGCCCTCTCTCCTCTTCTTCTTCAACTCATTCTGGGCACATTTTATTGTAGGAAGGTCTTGCATTCCACTTGATCCTCCTCTATTACGTGCCCTATAGCACGACTCACCGTGCGAGGTAGCTGGAGCAGAGGAGGTTTTCTGATGATATCTCGTTCCTTACCAACGTCGCTACATTCTATGCCACTCCTTTCTTTTCGTGTCGACAACAATGTGCTTGTTGCTGGAGCACCTGGCTCTGACGCCTGACTATGTTTACATTCGAGGGCCAGAGTCCTAATGTTGAACGAGAAAACTGATTTGACGCAATTTTCCGAGTTTGCGACCCCCCTCGCATAACCGCGTTGTGGTACTCGATGCGAACTTTGTCGCTTACCTCGACTCAGGTCGGGCGGCTGCTCATCACGAGGAACGCGTATGCACTGCGGGGAAGCCGTACACGATACATGCATCTCACGCTTCCTACCTAGTCACCCAAGCTTGCCACGTATAATAAAACAACACTTCATGTCAACTCTTGATCTTCTATATTGCCTCACACATCGTACTACAGCCGACCAATCTACACACCTTTTTTTACTTATGGCTCAAGTGACTATCGAGCCTATTAGATGAAAAGAGGCCTTGGTGATCTATGTCTAATGCTCGACACCAAGAAGAGAAACTGGCCAAATTGGCCATCAAAACGCCGTTCCAAGCAAAGACAGGTTAACCTGCTCTAGGTCGTGATATCATGTCGTCGCTTACTCAATGTCGCTCTCCGGTCCAACCTCCATCTTCGCGCCCTTGCCAGCAGTCGCCTTCGCAACTGGGGCCTCCATCTTCTTGGGCGCGGTACCAAGACCGTTGTGGTTGCGGAAGAAGAGGACTCCCTTGCCCTCACCCTCAGCACCCTCGCTCGGCTCGACCCATTGGCACCATCTGGCATTATTCCAGAGAGACTTCAGGAAGCCAATAGAGCCACCCCTGGTGTCCGCGCGATAGTGCTTACCCATGACGGGCTTGATGGCCTCTGAAGCCTCATCGGCGTTGTAGAAGGGGATCGTGGAGATGTAATGGTGGAGAACGTGCGTCTCGACAATGCCGTGGAGAAGGGTACGTCCGATGAAGCCAAATTCGCGATCAATCGTCGCAGCAGCTCCGCGAGTATAGGTCCAGGTATTGGCATCGTAATGGGGTAGGGTAGGATCGGTATGTTGTAGGAAGGTGATGGCGACGAGCCAGTGGTTAACCCACAGATACGGGGCGAGATACCAGACAAACAGGTTCGCGAAGCCGAAAGTCTTGCCAATCCAGACGAGGGCACCAAAGGTGATGGCGATGCCGAGATCGCTGAGCAGGATCAGTTGCTCATCCTTCCTCTCATAGAGGGGGCTAGCGGGGTTGAAGTGGTTGACACCACCGAAAAAGCCGTTCTTCTTTCCCTTGCCCTTGCCCTCGGCCTGGCGCTCGTGGAAATTATGGCCGGTAACATTGGCAATCAGATACAGAGGCCATCCAGCAAGCTGCTGTCCCAGGCTGTGAAGAAGCGTGGCAATTGGCGTCTCCTCGGTCAGCTCGTCGAGCTGGTGAGCCAACTTGCCGATACGGGTGGCGAAGACCTCTCGGGTCTTGGGCACGAAGACCATGTCACGCTCCATGTGGCCAGTGGCCTTGTGGTGCTTGCCGTGCGAGATCTTCCATGAGAAGTAGGGGACAAGAAGAGCAGAGTGGCAAATCCATCCGACAGTGTCATTGAGCGTCTTGGAAGGCGAAAAGGCTTGGTGTCCGCACTCGTGGGCAAGGACCCAGAGACCAGTGCCGAACAGACCCTGAATGACAGTGTAGCCGGCCCACAGAAGAGCGCGAGCGGCAGTGGATGGGACCGTCTCGGGGGTGACGTAGTTGTGGAACAGGTAGAAGGTGGCAGCGAGCGAAGCAATATCACGAGCGACGTAGCCCAGTCCCTTGAGGCCAGAGCGCTCAAAGCAGTGCTTGGGGATGGCATCGCGGATCTGCTTGATGGTGTAGTCTGGGATCTCGAACTCGTTGCCGTAGGTATCGAGAAGAACACCGCGGGAGTTCTTGACCGGCTCTGGTGACTCGTCCAGCGAGGAAAGCGAGGTGTTGGAGGCCGACTGAGCTGGAGAGTCGATAGGCGAGCCGGAGACCGAGTTGGCAACCGTCGACGGCGAGGACTCGGCCGTCATGTTCCTCTTCATGCCCTGGCGCTGGGCGCGGGCGGTTGTGGTGGCCATGTTGCTTTGAAATTGACGGGGAATAGCAATGGCAGCGAAAGGTGGCGAGCGGGGAGCAGAGGGCGTTGAGCGCTTTTGTAGCACAAAGAGTGACTGGTTGTTGAGATGCAGGCTGCTGGTTGTTGAGCTTGCCAATCGAGCAGGATACGTGCAGTCAAGCAGCGCTCAGAGAGGTCCAATGGCCGCAACAGACGTAGGAGATAGGTAGAGCGGTGGAAGGACAGGTGTGGGTGTGTGTGCCGGATGCTGCAGATTTTAATAGCAAACCCCCAAGGCGGTGGATGATTGGGATCTGAGTGGAACCCTGGTAGCGTCCACGGTCGCCTTCGGAATGGTTAGAGCGTCCAGGGAGGCGTTCGAGAAGGAGCGGCCCAGCTTCGCAGCTCGCAACACTAAACACATTCACCAAGTGTCTCTCTCCACCCGGCAATACTGCCAGTTGAAATCACAATTCCTTGCCACCGCATTGGACACCCGGAGCGCTGCCCTCGAAGCCTGAAACTGCGTGCGATATCCACCGAGGCGCACAAAATCCACAGCCGTGCGCATCTAGCATGCCTTCTCTAGCCTCAACTCGACAGGCCACACGTTGCTTCGTCTGGGGCACTGAATTTTCAGCAGATCCCTTCTATCCGTTGCCTTGGCGCATTTACTAGGGCATGTGTACGGCATCAGACCGCCAGTTTGCGCCCATTCTCGCGCGCCTTTTACCTCTCCCGCTCCACAGCCTCGCCTAGAGTCGGGGGGCGCAAGTACTAGACAGTATGGTCCCGTCCCGCTTTCTGAGCGCAACAAGTTGCCGAGACAGGACCAACCACGTGAAATTGGCATACCTGACGCTGATTAGATTCCTTTGTATCAGTAGCAGAGCATAGCAGCATCGTGGGGCACGCAATTGCACGACAAAGGTTAGTGGTGCTGGTCGCAAAAAATCGGGATGTTTCTGCAGGGCCTGTGGCTAGCCGACAAGGGGGCGTCCAGGGCACTGTTCAACCATATTGATTCGTCCAATCTCTTCGCCGAGGCTCCATCAATTGATTAGTTGAACGATATGCCACCACCACACTGCCGTTGAGCTTCCGCACGTGGAAGGTCCTGGATGACGTTTGCAGGTATCATAGGGTATCATCAGATCGTTATCAGATGTTTTTACCGTGGCACGTCATGTGAAGATTGCGTCTTTAATCATGGTTGGTCTTGCAGCAATTCAACCAATAAGTCGCAGCAGGTCCTATGCGATATCCCAGCCATGAACCCCCCTCCGTCATGTGCATTCTGAGATGGCTTCTGGCGATTATCAAGTGTCATGTCTCAACAAACACGCTCCATTACAGCTTATCGACTATCACACCTTTCCCAATAGGAATACAGACATCTTCCGCTCGATTGGACGCATAGTGCCTAGGCGTCCATTGGCATGCTACATCCATGAAACAGCATTTGACCTTACCCTACACACCAGATAAGCTTCGAGACACCCGTACGCAGTATGCCCATAGTCATTACCACTACATACCAGTCTACGTCGACGGTGGTCGTCGAGAAAGTGGGTCCGCACTTTTACTCCAGACTTTCACATGTTAAAGCCCACCCATGCCATCACCCTCACAAAGTGGATCTCTCACCTCGAGGATCGCCCCTAACATGCGTTCAATGGGTCTTCCGATGCACTGAAATTAAGCTAGGAAGCAATAAGCTCATTCTTAGCGTCGGAGGAATGTCTGACTATGATGAGGCCATTCGCTTTGTAGAAGATGTGGAGGCTGGAAGGATACAGAAAGTTTTTTCGGCAGACTGGATTGCGTTTGTGACAGTGCAAAGGCCTTCAGCTATCGTTATAACACGTCCGTTATTACCTGCTCTTCTTGAAACTCCTCCACGCCCAAAACACTAACAGAGCAGCAACACCTATTCTGCCTGCTAGTGCCGTAGCCACTGCTTTTCTTACAATAGGATAGTACCCTTCTAGCATCGAGTTTACGGCTGCTCCCCTTGCAGTCATCTTCGCTCTCCCAGTCTGTCCCCAACCCCGTCCTACTCCCAAGCCCGCTATGCCCACCTCTCCTGGCTTCTCCGACCCTTCACTCAAGCCGCCCAGTGCTTCGGCCCCCGCGCCGGCTAGGTTTTGGACAGGAGTCTCCCTCGAATCCCCTGTAATGCTTGACGAGGTGGTTGTCGTCGAAAGCTCCAGCGCTTTTTGCTTTCGAAACCTATAGGACAGAGCCCACATAACGAACCGCACGTCCCAGTTCGTGAACGTTGGATACGTCCACAGCTCCAGCGCATTGTGAGGTGGTATGTGCTCCAGGAAATCACTCACAACACCCAGTGTCAGTCCCCAGAGGAGTAGTGGTGGCTTCCGATCCGTGTGTCCAGCCTTTGAACCTCCTAGCACCTCTTTAACCTTGCCAATCACGCCCCTTGCTGAAGCATCGCCAGCTGGGATGAAGTCTGGTATCGTCGCACAGTGCGTTGAACTCGCAGGCACAAGTTGAATAGCCGCGAACATCATTTTCGAGAGCATAGCTTGCAGGAACCAGCGCTTGATGCCGAGTTCAGATTTCGCGAGGCGTGCGCTGACGTCGGCGTATTCGTGGGTGCGGAGATCGGGAGATAGTAAGGCGCGTAGCGGCACCCAGTGTGAGGAGGCTACTTCGGTCGGTTGGAGTCGTTGCGCAGGGTAGGAAGGCGATGTTAGGAGGTAAACGTAGGGACATAGGACCATCAACCTGGATATGATGTGTCAGCTTTGCGGAGAGATGAGTAGGGGGTGTAGGCGTGGTTTACGGTACTTTTCCCCAGCTCGTCGTGACGATCCTCTGAGGCAAGTTGCCCACGGCGATCGCATTGCGGTACCCCAGATCGATTCCAACTTCCTCCAATGCCTCCCTCACTGCCGTGACAGCATCATCATCGTCTTCAGGATCCCGCTTCCCTCCCGGCAGTGCAACGTGTCCGTTCCACTTGTCGCCAACCCTCGTCGCTCTCTTGATGAATAAGATCTCAGGATCGCCATGCTTCACCCAATCTTGTTCGAAGAACGCATTGAGTATAGCCTCAAAGTTGAATTTGTGACTCGATGTTGACGCGACGGAGGACCGGCGGCGTCGTGTTGGCGATCGGGGTAGATTTGGTAGAGGGTCGTCTGAGAGGGTGGGCCAATGCGCGTAGTTGGGTTGTATGCGCAAGATGAGGGCAACGGAGGCGCGCTTTGGTAAGCTAGGTGGACATTCTACCTCGGGATAGGGATGCGCGTTGAGCTCGAGGAGGACAGACTTCAAATGGTTAACGAAATCTTCGGTATCTGTTTGTGTGGTCATATTGTCGAGGGTGTCCCAGAATATGTTGTGTCTATCAAAAGGGAGTGATGATGTTTGATACAGGAGGCCGTCAATAAGCGCTGGTGAGACTTGACCTGAACTTATGACAGTCGTCAAACAAGTTTGACGTTACTGATTAACGGTCGTTGCGAACATGAAGGGTTTCTAGTCGAAGGACATTAGTATGACACTGCCGTTGTATTGAAGAAGAGATGGAGAGAGGGAGAGCCGAGGCCAGCATTTGCCATGGCGGAGATGACTGGGTATAGAGCTATCATTGAATGACCGGTGAGCTGGGGAACGTTCAGATACATCAACTTCATGCTACAGTCTATGCGATTAGGGACTCGAGCCATGTTTCACGAAATACCAGCGTGCGCGCAAGCTATTTGATGTTTGCTGCTCGGTGGAGGTGGCTGTCCCATCCGAGAATGAAGCTCTGGCCAATCGCGCCGTCCGAAGTCGGAATTACGTCGGGAGAGGGGCAGCAAAAAGCTTCAGAGGAATTTGGCGGGGCACTAGATTTTGGTCCACCCAGGCAGTGATACCCCAGATACTCCTTTCTCTTCGTTCTCTCCTTGAATTGGTATTTGTGTATCCCCAAAGCACGTTAGTCAAAATGCCAGGCCAAAAGACTGGTATGAAACTCAGCCTTACAGCAATGTATGAATACTAACAGCCACAGCCATCCTGTCCGTTTACGACAAGACAGGTCTCCTTGACCTCGCCAAAGGCCTTCACGAATGTGGTGTCCGACTTCTCGCCTCTGGCGGCACGGCTAAAATGATCCGTCAAGCCAACTTCCCCGTCGAAGATGTCTCCGCCATCACTAAGCAACCTGAGATGCTAGGCGGACGCGTCAAGACACTCCATCCCGCAGTACACGGCGGAATTCTTGCGCGAAACCTAGACGAGGACGATTCAGACCTCTCCGCCAACAGCATCGAGAAGATTGATTTCGTCGTCTGCAACCTATATCCCTTCTCTGAGACAGTTGCCAGGATCAATGTCACTATCCCAGAGGCGGTCGAGGAAATTGATATTGGAGGTGTCACTCTGCTTAGGGCTGCGGCGAAGAACCATGCGCGTGTCACCATCATCAGCGACCCGAATGACTACCATGATCTCCTCACAGAGCTAAAGAAGGATGGCTCGGTCTCGGAAAAGAGCAGGCAGCGATACGCCCTCAAGGCTTTCGAGCAGACAGCGTCCTATGATCAAGCTATCTCAGACTTCTTCCGGAAGAAGTATGCGGGCGAAGGCGACCAGTTCCTCCCTCTGCGCTACGGCGCGAACCCACACCAGAAGCCTGCGACCGTGTCGATGCCAGACAAGCCTTTGCCGTTCAAAGTGCTTGGCGGTGCGCCGGGATACATCAATCTCCTAGATGCGCTCAATGCATGGCCATTGGTACAGGAGTTGAGCAAGGCGCTGAACTATCCAGCTGCGGCCAGCTTCAAGCATGTTTCTCCTGCTGGAGCGGCCATTGGTGTTCCGCTCAGTGAGGGAGAGAGGAAGGTCTACATGGTTGACGACATCGAGGGTATTGAAAACTCAGGGCTCGCGCAAGCTTATGCTAGGGCACGCGGTGCAGACCGCATGTCCAGCTTCGGCGATATGGTTGCTCTATCACATGAGGTGGATGTAGGTGTTGTATCTTTGCGGGCAGTGTTATAGTATGCTAATGTTCTATAGGTTCCAACGGCAAAGATTATCAGCCGCGAAGTCTCCGACGGTGTCATCGCGCCTGGCTACACTGCCGAAGCTCTGGAGATTCTTAAGAAGAAGAAGGGTGGCAAATACCTTGTGCTCCAGATCGACCCGGAGTACGTCCCATCTGTGGACGAGGCCAGGACGGTATTCGGCATCACCCTGAAGCAACACCGTAACGATGCCAAGATTGTTCCTACCGACACATTCAACACCGTTATTGTACCCAAGAACTCTGGAACTCTTCCAGAATCAGCTCAGCGTGATTTGGCAGTAGCGACTATCGCGCTCAAGTACACCCAATCGAACAGTGTCTGCTATGCACTCAATGGCCAGATCATTGGCCTTGGTGCTGGTCAACAATGTAAGTCTCAGCTGCACGAAATGCGTGCTACCACTGACTGAAACCTAGCCCGCATCCACTGCACACGTCTGGCAGGTGACAAGGCTGATAACTGGTGGATGCGCTTCCACTCGCGCACTCTCGGTCTCAAGTTCAAGAAGGGCACTAAGCGTCCCGCAAAATCCAACGCTATCGACCTTCTCTGCTCCGGCCTTGTCCCCGAATCAGGCATTGAGCGTGACGATTTTGAGGCCAACTTCGACGAAGGTCAGGTGCCGCAGTCGTTCACCACCGAGGAGCGCAAGGAGTGGCTATCAAAACTGGAGGGTGTTGCTGTCAGCTCAGATGCCTTCTTCCCTTTCATTGACAATGTCTTTAGGGCGCACAGGAGTGGTGCCAAGTACATTGCTGCACCTACAGGAAGCCAGAACGACGGTGCAGTATTCGAGACGAGCGAGAAGCTGGGTATCACGTTTGTTGAGCAGCACATTAGGCTGTTCCACCACTGAGAGGTCACTGCCTAGCAGCTGATGGAAACGTGATTACGACATTCACGTGGGACACCATGACTGACTAGATAGAGATCGGTAGGCACAAATCGGAAAAACGGTGATCCCTTTGGAATGTGGTTAGCCTAAGAGGGTATCTTGATCACGATGACCTTTTCCGTGATCAAATTATATTATTTTGTTCGTTACGACGTTGTCGCAGTGCTCATACGTGTCAGCAGTTCTTACAAAAAATTCCCAGTATTGTATTCAATGATGCCTATACAAACCTTTTCATCTTTCAATGCGCGGATGTGGTCCTGAAGGCGGCTCATTAATTCTCAAGCAAACTTGCTCTGTCACTCGGATCCAACAAGCGCTGCCATCAATGCTTGTAAGCCAATTAACTTCGTGTTTGGCATTTGCCACACGAGAAAAGCGTTACCGGGGTGATCACCGCAGACCATCCCTGTTATGCCCTAGCGCTTGAGCCGCAATAGACGGAAGAAATGGAGGCGCTTCACCTTCACCTCTTTCTTCCTGTCGCCCAACAACAAACAGCCTGTCAGCCCTTCAATCGCATCTGGTCTCGACCAATCTAGTCACTGCGACTTCGAACAACTCTCCACACAGCAAAACCGCCACAATCATGTCCGCTCAGTCAGAGAATCAGCACATGGAGGGCGTCCAGGACCCCGCCACCGACAACAAGGGAAAGGGCAAGGCACCCGAGGCCGAGGAGTCTATGGATGACGACTCCAGCGATGAGTCCGGTGTCGAAGATCAGGTACGTGTTTCGCGCTCCAGGCGGAAAATAGGCGCAAAACAGCTAACATGATGGCACTAGGCTGGCGAAGGTATGTGTTCCCTAGCGACATGAGCGAATCCACTGCGACACTAACAGACCAAGTAGTCGAGGAGCCAGACGAGGACAACATGGAGGAGATTGAGACGGCCAACATCATCGGAAGTCGCACGCGCGGCAAGAACATTGACTTCGCCAAGGCTAACCAGGAGCTCGGCGAAGACGAGGACGAGGATGACGATGAGGATTTCGTGGATCCTGATGATGAGATGAAGGATTAGAGGTCGCGCACTCAAAATCTCTCCATCTTCAGGTATGGATGCTCTCACCGCTAGTTGGCACCACTGTGTACGCGGACGCCTAACCAGCCTAGGGCCTCGTCAATGCGATCATGACTTTTCGACGTCCATATTACGGTCAGTCGGGTTGATACAAAAGCTTTTGGGCATTGGGTAGCGGGGAAGGCTCATAACAATCGGAGTCTTGGCGCGATTGCTCGATGGATAACGCGGGGGGAGTGAGCTATCTGTTGTGTGCGCATTGAGCGTGGCACGTTTTGCAGATTGGATACCTCGCACTCGCGCGTGCATACAAACATCGTACACATGAATGAAAAGAACAATATCAAAATTTATTAACCATCGACATGTTCATGGCTCGGGACTGGAAACGGCATGCGTGTCACCACTTAGCGGGTATGGACAAGATAAATTGCATGTTCCTTGTTCCTACTACAGTAACAGTGGAGACGTCTGTATTTGCCCTTGGGAAGTCCCATGCTATAGTAGACACAGTCCTCAACAGCCTCACGTGTGACTTATCTCAGAACCGAATCAGTGAAGCTCAACATGACTCCATGTCCTTCCCTAGTCCAGATCTCCAAGATTCCTTGAGCGAGGCATCAACAGCTGTCAGCAATGCGGAAACTAGTTTGTTTACGATGTGGGACCAGGGTCTTTCAACGGGCAGCGTACACTAACGCCTACGATCTACCTGTACCTAGACTTCTTGAGCAGGGATGTCAGGTAACTTATCAACTAGTATCTTGCTAGACATTAGGAGGTGGACCTCGCTTTCAAGGGGAGAAGAATATGTTACACTCGAGCGATGAAGTAATTGCAATTACAAACGCTCGAGTATTGGTGTAGCTGCATGCGGACGCCGGAGGGAGCGTCGAGTAGCAGCCTTGCTTTGGGATAGTGTAACGCGGGATAGAGAGGTGCGTCTCATTCGCCTGTCTATTCAAACTGATAGTGTCTGTCGGATTGGTAAAGAGATGCGCGTCGATGCTTTTCCCTACATCTTCATAAACGCTTTGATGCTATGGTTCGGCAAGTGTGTGTCCATGCGGTACGCTCTGCGCAACCGAGTAGAGCATCAAGAATCGATTTTGTCGTCCAGGCCATGATTCGACGCGCAATCATTTGGTCGGCGGCAAAGGGCCGTGAAAGTACCATGGTACACCGACTCGATATGCAAGCTGCAGCGAGCAAGCCATTTGGATACGTGTCATAGCTGCTGATAGTCACAAGCCACCCGACGTGCAAACCAACAGATCTCTACCTTCTTCATTAGGTGAGACTCGACTGTGACAAAGCATTCTCACGCATCAGGCAGTTCCCGGGAAACTCCCCCTCTCTTGCCATTCTGTTACCCAAAGCGGAAGTGCATTGGCTACGTGGACTACGTCAGACATCAGGTCGCTCGCTGGGACGCGAGCGCAGATGCCTACCGTATCCGCTGGTCAATTTCCACCGACAGCAAAGGAGGCGACATCGGCGTGTTCAACAAGTTTCGAATGGGGTTGGATGCGCTGGTGGAGGAATTAAGTCCGGTTGTTCTCGTGACTCATGGAAATAGCAGACGAGTCGATAGGTACTGCCGTGTGAGCATTCCGGTCTCTTCCGACATGATGGAGACGCTGCCTCCTCGCCTGCCGTGGGGATTGCGGCCCAGGGTGTGCCAATTTGCGAGATGGTGGTTACTACAACTAGTGGCGAGTGTGCCCCTGGGAGCTTGGTGTTCAAGTAGCGAAGAAAAGTCGCGGTACTCTTCAACATATAATAATAAGTAATAAGTGATGACGATGAGCACACACCCAGACGCTGCAACGAGGGCTCCGCTGGAGAAATGGCGGGGATTTCCATCTCCCGTCCAACGAGGCTTGAGCATTCAAGCCGCATAGCGCAACGTCCGCCCTTGGCTGCCGTCTGGGGGGGGCCGGGCAGATAAGGAGGGAGATGACGTTGGTGAATTACCACAAGATGGGAGGCCGCCGGGCCAATTGGTGTGTTTGGGATTCAGATGATGCGGCGTGGGCAAGCCGCGGCAATCTGGCCGGTGGAGCTTAGAGCGCGGAAACGCACATGCAAGCTGCACCACCCAGTCATGGACCCAATGTCAAAGCGACTTTCGGAGCCCAGGATTGGGCGCACCGAGGAGCGAACCGCTGACCGCCTGCACTGCCAGCCTATCTCGTCCTGCTTACAGTAATGGGGCGGCAGAAAACCGTGGGGTACAGGCAGTTTTGCATGCGCAACACGCTGCAGAGTGCAGTGCCTCCAGCCAGACACACACAAGCATTGCTAACAAGATGGCCGCTAGCAACTCAAAGCGAGCCATGCTAGCTAGCGAAACGGCCAATTGGGCCATGCTGTTGCTTTTGCGGCACCAGCGAGCGGAAGGCGATTTCATTCTTGCCCTGGAGCGGCTCGAGACAAAGGTTCTCCCAGGTTGCCATATTTCCGCTTTGAGACCTTGTATCCATGTACACGAGATGAAATAGATGCAATTCATAAAGTCCCAAGACCACTTCCAAGCCCGCAAATTCCAGCGCACCCAGCCAGACGAGCGGAGAAGACGCTCCCCAGAGTCACTGACCAGGCCTCGATTGACGCCCTTGTAGCCCGGTAATTGGACGACGTCGGAGTGAAGGTGTCTAGCGCACTTGGGAAAAATCCACCCCACCAGCAGCCCTCCTCCGCTCTCTTCTCTCTTATTCATAAGCATTCCCACCAACGCTCCCGCGCCCATCTTCTCTCCCTCATCTCTCTTATCCCCCCCTCCAAGTCGCTTCTCGGAACACCGCGAGCCCACACCAAAGGCCTGTTCCACCTGGCTCCTACCACAAGTAAGTCTAGCCGCGCCATGTCTGGTAATTTCTGTTGCACCTGTCACGCCTCTCCCGGCATACATACAAGCTGCTGCGTCGCTACGTCCACCACCACCACCTGGCCATGTACGACCAACATTAGCGAGCGCCCGACCTCCTACTGAGCACAACCCCGCGCCACCCCATTCGCCCACCTTCTTATCAGCATGTGCTGGTGCTGGGAACAGCTATCAGGCGCCTCTGAAGCTAGGGACAGCGTCATAGGCTCCAATTGTTAATTATCTTCGAGAGGCATGCTGGCGACGGTGCTGGCGCATCACCTCGCTACTTCCGGGGCATGATTGACGCCTGCGAATCTGATTCCACCGCAATTGTTCCCCACTCACCTTGTTTACTTTGGAGCTAAGCTTGGAGCCGGTCTCAAACCACAACCAACTATACCTCGCGACTGTACAACTAACTTTCTACTCAGACTTCAGCAGACAATACCAGAGCAGCAGCTCACCGTCAAAGCCTCGAGCAACCCCGCCACCGCCTACTTCGACACCCCACCCCCAATACCAGACACCAACGAACCCAGAAATTCGGCCTTTTGCCGATATAATGGGTCGGGTCGCTTTTACCGAAGATACAAAACTGCCCCAGGATACCCAGATCGAAGAGGAGCAAACCTCGGTGTTTGCTTATCAAGATGGCCCAGAGAACAAGTCCTGGGCGGGCGCGCTTCCCTTGAAGCAGGGTCTGTATGACCCGGAACTAGAGAAAGATGCTTGCGGTGTCGGTTTCGCTGCGTGAGTGATACCCACAATTGGGAGTGTGTAGTAATTGTGACGACTAACAATTTGGCAGCCATATCAAGGGAAAGGCCAGCCACAAGATTGTCTCAGATGGTAAGAGCCAACAGCAGTGCTGAACATGCGTATAGAAGACTGACAAAGTGTATAGCACGATCATTGCTATGCAACATGACGCATCGCGGTGCCGTGGGATCAGACGCCCGAGATGGCGACGGTGCAGGTGTAATGACCTCCATCCCCCACAAATTTTTCCTCAAGGAGTTTGAGCGCGAGCAGGGCTACAAGCTGCCAGCGCTTGGCCAGTATGCCACCGGTAACCTGTTCTTCAAGCCGGACGCTACAATCTTGGATGAGACCAAGGCCATGTTCGAGGACGTTGCCGATCAAATGGACCTGAGAGTACTCGGGTGGCGAGTGGTACCACGCGACTCTACACTTCTTGGACCTGCCGCACTGTCACGAGAGCCCATCATTCTACAGCCATTCGTAGTCTTGAAGACCGCATATGGCGAGGGCAGGGAGCCGAAGCCCGACTTCCAACAGACGTACGATAACGGGTACTTTGAGCGACAGCTGTATATCATGCGAAAGCGCGCAACACACGTTATCGGTCTCCACAACTGGTTCTACATTTGCTCCCTGAGCAACAAGAACATTGTTTACAAAGGTCAATTGGCCCCAGTGCAGGTTTACGAGTACTACCACGATCTTCTAAATGTCGATTATGAAGGCCACTTCGCATTGGTGCATTCTCGTTTCTCGACCAACACCTTCCCCAGTTGGGACCGCGCTCAGCCTCTACGATGGGCTGCTCACAACGGTGAGATCAACACACTGCGAGGAAATAAGAACTGGATGCGAGCACGCGAGGGTGTCATGAAGTCCAGTCTCTTTGGCGACGATCTTGACCTGCTCTATCCTATTGTTGAAGACGGTGGTTCAGATTCTGCGGCTTTCGACAACGTTCTCGAGCTGCTAACCATCAACGGTGTTCTCTCCCTCCCAGAAGCAGTCATGCTCATGGTTCCCGAGGCATGGCAAGGAAACCACACCATGGACCCCGCCAAGCAGGCCTTCTACGAGTGGGCCGGTTGCATGATGGAGCCCTGGGACGGTCCGGCTCTGTTTACTTTCTCCGATGGCCGATACTGTGGTGCCAACCTTGATCGGAACGGTCTTCGTCCTTGCCGCTACTATGTAACCGACGACGACCGTATCATCTGCGCTTCCGAAGTCGGTACCATCTCTATCGAGCCCGAGCGCGTTGTACAGAAAGGCCGTCTGCAGCCTGGTAGGATGTTGCTGGTCGATACTGTCGCTGGGCGAATCGTCGATGACGCCGAGTTGAAGAAGACTGTCGCAGAGCGAAATGACTTCCGCGCGTGGGTCGAGAAGAACCTCCTGACTCTCCCCAAGATCCTAAAGGCAGTCGCTGAGAAGGGTGTCGATCTCTCACACACCCTTACTGAGAGCAAGCTCCACGAAGATCCCAGCCTACGAGCATTTGGGTACTCGCTTGAGCAGGTCAGCTTGATCCTGGGTCCCATGGCTGCCGACTCCAAGGAAGCTCTTGGGTCCATGGGTAACGATGCTCCTCTTGCATGCTTGGCCACCCAACCTCGTCTACTCCCCGAGTACTTCCGCCAGCTCTTCGCTCAGGTCACCAACCCTCCAATCGATCCCATCCGCGAGGCGATCGTCATGTCTCTGGAGGCTTACGTTGGACCCCAGGGTAACCTTTTGGAGATGGATGAGTCGCAGTGCGGCCGTATGCTACTGCCATCGCCTGTTCTGTCTCTCGAAGAGTTCAAGGCCATGACCAAAACCTACAAGCTGCACCCTCAGTGGACGGTCAAGACTATTGACATCACCTTCGCCAAGAGTGAAGGTATCGATGGCTACACGAACGCTCTCGATCGCATCTGCGAGGCCGCTACCGAGGGTATCAACGCTGGCGACAGCATCATTGTCTTAACCGATCGTGCTGCCAATGCTGATCGCGTAGCTGTCTCTGCCAGCTTGGCCACTGGTATGGTGCATCACCACCTCGTCCGCAACAAGTGGCGCTCGAACGTCGCCCTTGTCGCTGAGACCGCCGAGGCCCGCGAGGTTCACCACATGTGTGTCCTCGTCGGGTATGGTGCTGATGCCATTTGCCCGTACCTCGCTATTGAGTGCATCCTCAAGATGCACCGCGAGGGCCTCATCCGCAAGAAGCTCAGCCCCGAGCAGCTTATCGACAACTACAAGCATTCTTGTGATGGTGGCATCTTGAAGGTCATGAGTAAGATGGGTATTTCTACCATTCAGTCATACAAGGGTGCCCAGATTTTCGAAGCTCTCGGTCTCGATGACTCTGTTGTCGACCGCTGCTTCACCGGAACTGCGTCTCGTATCAAGGGTATGACCTTTGAACTGATTGCCAAGGACGCTTTCGCATTCCACGAGAGGGGTTATCCTTCCCGACCCATCGTCGAGATCCCCGGTCTTGCTGAGACTGGTGAATACCACTGGCGTGACGGAGGCGAGCCTCACGTTAACGACCCAACTGCTATGGCCAATATTCAGGATGCTGTTCGCACAAAGAACGACAAGTCGTACGAAGCTTACTCCATTGCTGAGTACGAACGCATCAAGGACTGCACGCTCCGTGGTTTGCTTGACTTCAGCTTTGATGACCGCAGCCCTATTCCCATCGATCAAGTGGAGCCCTGGACCGACATTGTGCGTCGCTTCGTAACTGGTGCTATGTCTTACGGCTCCATCTCCATGGAGTCTCACTCTACCCTTGCTGTCGCCATGAACCGACTTGGCGGCAAGTCCAACACTGGTGAGGGTGGTGAGGACCCCGAGCGTAGCTTGCGCATGGAGAACGGTGACACGATGCGCTCTGCCATCAAGCAGATCGCATCTGGACGCTTCGGTGTCACCTCCAACTACCTTGCCGATGCCGACGAGCTTCAGATCAAGATGGCCCAGGGTGCTAAGCCTGGTGAGGGTGGCGAGCTTCCTGGACACAAGGTGTCAGGTTCCATCGCGAAAACCCGTCACTCCACTCCTGGTGTCGGTCTCATTAGCCCGCCACCACATCACGACATCTACTCGATCGAGGATCTCAAGCAATTGATTTACGATCTGAAGTGCTCCAACCCACGTGCCCGCGTGTCTGTCAAGCTCGTCTCCGAGACTGGTGTTGGTATTGTCGCTTCTGGTGTCGCCAAGGCCAAGGCTGACCACATCTTGATCTCCGGTCACGATGGTGGTACCGGTGCTTCTAGATGGACTGGTATCAAGTATGCTGGTCTTCCTTGGGAGTTGGGTCTTGCAGAGACTCATCAGACGCTCGTCCTGAATGATCTTCGTGGTCGTGTCATCGTCCAGACTGACGGTCAACTTCGCACTGGACGTGATGTCGCCATTGCCTGTCTACTTGGAGCCGAGGAGTGGGGCTTTGCTACAACGCCACTGATCGCTATGGGCTGTATCATGATGCGCAAGTGTCATTTGAACACTTGCCCCGTAGGTATCGCCACCCAGGACCCCGAGCTCAGGAAGAAGTTCTCTGGTACGCCAGAGCACGTTATCAACTTCTTCTACTACATTGCCAATGAGCTCCGAGCCATCATGGCTAAGCTTGGGTTCCGTACCATCAACGACATGGTTGGTCATTGCGAGGTGCTCCGCATCCGTGACGATCTTCGTACCGAGAAGACTGAGAACATTGATTTGTCTTTGATCCTGACCCCTGCGCACACCCTTCGACCTGGCGTTGCCACATTCAACGTCCGCAAGCAAGACCACCGACTTCACGTTCGCCTTGACAACAAGTTGATCTCCGAATCCGAACTTTCTCTTGAGAAGGGCCTGCCCGCGCGCATTGAATGCGATGTTGTCAACACCGACCGTGCTCTTGGTGCTACTCTCTCCTATCACATTAGCAAGCGCTATGGAGAGGCTGGTCTACCGCAGGATACCATCCACGTCAACATCCGTGGTTCCGCTGGTCAATCCTTTGGTGCTTTCCTGGCCCCTGGTGTCACTCTTGAGCTCGAGGGTGATGCTAACGACTACGTTGGCAAGGGTCTCTCTGGAGGTCGTCTGATTGTCTACCCTCCTCGCAATGCAGTCTATCGCGCCGAGGAGAATATTTTGATTGGCAACGTCTGCTTGTACGGTGCTACTCGCGGTACTTGCTACTTCCGCGGTATTGCTGCTGAGCGTTTCTGTGTCCGCAACTCTGGCGCCACAGCTGTCGTTGAGGGTGTTGGCGACCACGGTTGCGAGTACATGACTGGTGGTCGTGTCCTTGTTCTTGGTTCCACTGGACGTAACTTCGCTGCTGGCATGTCCGGCGGTATTGCTTACGTCCTTGACATCCACCACGACTTCGAGCAGAAAGTCAACCAGGAGATGGTTGAGCTTTCCGGTATCGATGAGCCCGAGGAGATCGCCTTTGTTCGTGGTCTCATTGAAGATCATCATCATTACACCGGATCCGAGCTCGCCGCCCGCATTCTCCTCGACTTCACGCGTGCTTTGCCCCGCTTCGTCAAGGTCATGCCCGTGGATTACAAGCGTGTGCTTCTCGAGGAGAAGGCCAAGGCAGCTGAGAAGAGGAAGTCGGAATATCCTCTCCCGCTCCTCGCCGGCAACCCGGTGCGAACAGCCCACGAAGTAACCCGGAAGACGGAGCACGAAGCGGAGGCTAAGGAGAAGAAGAAGAGCGATCTTCTCGATATCGAGGAGAGCGTTACCGATGCTAAAGCGGAGAAGAAGAAGGCGCTTGTTCTTGACAAGACGCGCGGTTTCATGAAGTACCAGCGTCGCTCTGAGAAGTATCGCAACCCCAAGACACGTACCCGTGACTGGGCCGAACTCTCCCAGCGCTTGAACGAGGACGAGCTCAAGTATCAGTCCGCCCGCTGCATGGACTGCGGTGTCCCCTTCTGCCAGTCCGACACTGGTTGCCCGATTTCAAACATTATTCCCAAGTGGAATGAGTTGGTGTTCCAGGTAAGCTCCCTTGCCCCCTCCCCTGTGTTTTCTAAACACGGGCGCATCACCGTAATGCTAATTATGCCTAGGGTCAATGGCGTGACGCGTTGAATCGTCTCCTCCAAACTAACAACTTCCCTGAATTCACTGGTCGTGTTTGCCCCGCTCCTTGCGAGGGTGCTTGCGTGCTTGGCATCAACGAGGACCCTGTCGGCATCAAGTCCATCGAATGCGCAATCATCGATCGTGGTTTCGAGAAGGGCTGGATGATCCCATCGCCGCCCCAGCACCGCTCTGACAAGACCGTTGCCATCATCGGCTCCGGCCCTGCTGGTCTTGCTGCCGCTGACCAGCTCAACAAAGCGGGTCACACTGTGACTGTGTTCGAGCGCGCCGACCGTGTAGGTGGTCTCTTGATGTACGGAATCCCGAACATGAAGCTCGACAAGAAGGTGGTTCAGCGTCGCGTCGACTTCATGGCCGCCGAGGGCATCACTTTCAAGACTGGCGTCACTGTTGGCGAAGAGGGTTCGCCCAACCTTGACTCTCTTCGTGCCCAGTACGATGCAGTTATCTTTGCTACTGGTGCCACTGTTGCCCGTGACCTCCCAATTCCCAACCGCAACCTTGAGGGCATCCATTACGCCATGCAGTTCCTACACAAGAACACCAAGTCTCTCCTCGACTCTGACCTGGCCGACGATGCGTACATCTCTGCCAAGGACAAGCACGTCATTGTCATCGGAGGTGGTGATACTGGTAACGACTGCATCGGTACCTCTGTCCGTCACGGTGCGAAATCCGTTGTCAATTTCGAGCTACTACCTCAGCCTCCACCAGAGCGTTCTCGCGACAACCCCTGGCCGCAATGGCCCCGTATCTTCCGAACGGACTATGGCCACAACGAAGTCAAGACTCACATGGGCAAGGATCCGCGTGAGTATTGTGTCATGTCCAAGGACTTTGTCGACGACGGCAGCGGCAAAGTCAAGGGTATCAACACTGTTCGTGTTGAGTGGACCAAGTCCGCTTCTGGCGGTTGGGACATGAAGAACGTCGAGGGCAGCGAGCAGTTCTTCCCCGCCGATATCGTCCTGCTCTCTATGGGTTTCTTGGGTCCTGAGCAGCGCGTCATGAGCGACGTAGTCGAACTTGATGGGCGCAAAAACATCAAGACGCCTCCCGGTCACTACAACACCAACCTGCCTGGTGTCTTTGCTGCTGGTGACTGTCGTCGCGGTCAGTCTCTCATCGTATGGGGCATCAACGAGGGTCGCCAGTGCGCTCGTGACGTCGATTCATTCCTCACCGGTTACGGAACTTCACTACCTGTTACTGGTGGTATCGTCAAGCGCCCACCTTATGAGGTCATATGCAAGGCAAATGGTTCTCCTAAAGGACTCATCACCGCTGCCGCTTGAACGTGTTTGGATATAACGAACGCATACGAAAGAGAGGGCATGAAAAGACGGCTTGGATAAAAGACTGATGTGGGATATGTTTTGGGATAAGAGTCATGATGTTTAGATATTAGGCGTTTGGGGCTGTTGCACGCATTTTGTATCGTTTACCTGCAAGATACCTTTTTCAGTGGGCGGAGTCATCTGGGCGGCATTTGCAGTGTATAGCATGCTTTACTTATCAATTTGTGTATATATGCAAATCAATTATTTTACATTGCAAATTTTGAACTACTTCGTGGTGATTTTGAGGATGTAAACGTTCTTTGACCCATGCTGCAAGTTTCTGCCAAGAAAAGGCACATGACGTCACGCGCGCCTGGGCCATCCTCTAGACTCGCTCACGATCACCTTACGACAGTCAACAAATGATTTGCGATTCTAGCCGTATTACGTTCGATATGCGCCGGTAGCACTTCGACAAATAAATATGTTACCCCGTCCAGGCTGGCATCATGCTGGAAGACGCCCTCTGCAGGAATTGACTAGGTACGTCGAAGAAGCTTTGCGACGGCTGCAAGTCATCGCAAGGATGCTAACAGCTTATCAGAACCACATACCCAACACTCCATCCGCTTTTCAGAGCCTCAAATTCAGGTTCTCTTAAACCATGGATTGTCTCGGGCCGATATACTTCAACCCTCCAAGCGGGTGAAGACAAGACTGGTCATATTAGTGCTGGACCTAACGAGGGCATTTTGTTCTTCAACAATGTCTTTCCTATTCAAATACGCAAGATCCTAGGACTGCCAATGCCAAGAATTCTGGACAAACTTGTCAGTCCTGCTATTTCTGGCACAGATCCGACCAGCGTGATCGAAAGGGCGAAAGCCAAACGCAACCTGCAAATTACGGGCACCGAAGTCCTTCCTCGCATGAGAGAAGGTGGTGCTTTTGTCAAATTTTCATATGACAGTAGCACCTCAGCCTCCGAGATCGAAAAAGTACTACAACAGTACTTGAGAGATGAGCCTGTGAAGCCATGGTGGAGCCCGTGGCGTCGCATGCGCGCCAAAGTCGTCAAGGGACGGCCATGGGTCGAGGACTTGATGCGCTTGCCTGCCCCGCGGTTGAGGGTAGAGTTTGTTTCAGGCGAAGCAGGAGCCCCAGCTACGGACGCTGTGGAGTTGAGTCAAGAGCAGCTCTTCCAGTACTTCAGACCATACGGAAAGCTAGGAGACATCGTCATGCAGCCTCCGGACTCCAAAGTACTGCCAAAGTTTGCTTATCTGGACTACTCGAGCATAGGAAAGGCCATCATGGCAAAGAACTGCATGCATGGTTATCTAGTATCGGAAGCCGAGGGGGGTGGTCTGAAAGGGACGATCTTGAGGCTCAAATACGAGCAGAAGATCAAACCTCGTTATATCAGGGATTGGATTTTCGGTCATCCGAGGATTATCATTCCGATCGTGGCAGCTCTCATAGCTGGCACGGTAGCTATTGTGTTTGATCCGTAAGTTTTTGTGCTCTTTCTCGACATCTCAGTCTAACAAACCACAGGATCCGGACGTTCTTTGTCAAAGCCCATATCACAAGAAATTTCCACATCGAAGACAACAGGTTCTACAAGTGGATCAAAGGCTACGCCACAGATATCATTCATGGCGGCAAACACGACGATGATGATGCTGGTATGGATGCAATCTGGGATGACCGTAAAGGAAACATTGAGCAAATACAAACGTGGCTAATGGAGACGGCCGAGACGTTCATCATTGTGCAGGGTCCTCGTGGGTCCGGCAAACGCGAGTTGGTCGTCGAGCAAGCTCTGCAGGACAAAAAACTCAAGCTCGTACTTGATTGCAAGCCCATCCAAGAAGCCCGAGGCGACAGCGCTACCATTAATGCTGCTGCAATGTCGGTTGGGTATAGGCCGGTATTCAGCTGGATGAACAGCATCAGCGGTATGATCGATATGGCTGCTCAGGGTGCAACAGGCGTCAAAACTGGCTTCTCTGAGACTCTTGACTCTCAGCTAAACAAGATCTGGAACACGACAACGTTAGCTCTGAGGCAGATCGCCTTGGACACTCGACACAAGAGTGACAAAGATGCGAATCTTGGCGATGATGAGTGGCTTGAAGCGCACCCAGAGCGCAGGCCCATTGTCATTATTGACAACTTTCTACATAAGAGCCAGGAAGGTGGTATCGTTTACGACAAGATCGCAGAATGGTAAGACACAAGCTCTGACAACAGTCCCAAACCCGCTGACAGTACGCAGGGCCGCCCGCCTCACCACCACAAACGTCGCTCATGTGATCTTCTTGACAAACGAAGTCGCATTTAGCAAATCACTTTCAAAAGCTATGCCCGACCGCGTATTCCGCCAGATTTCCCTATCAGACTGTAGTCCTGATGTCGCCAAACGCTTCGTTGTAACACATCTAGATGCCGATGTCGAAGATGACCCATCGCCCAAGGATGGCTCCCCCAAGAAATTGCCGTCAGAGCATCGGACTGATCTCGGCGAGTTAGACACTTGTATCGATTTACTCGGCGGTCGACTCACTGACCTTGAGTTCCTGGCAAGGAGAATCAAAACGGGCGAAACACCAACAAAGGCTGTGCACGAGATCATCGATCAGTCGGCTTCTGAGATCCTCAAAATGTACATCTTCGGTATGGAAGACGAAGGTGGCAACAGACAATGGAACGCTGAACAGGCGTGGATGTTGATTAAGACACTCGCTCAGAGAGAAAGCCTACGATACAACGAAGTGCTGCTTGACGACATGTTCAAGACAGGCGGCGAATCTGTCCTCCGAGCACTCGAACAAGCGGAGCTCATCTCTATCGTCTCAGGCCCGAACGGCAGACCATCGACTATCAAGCCCGGCAAGCCTGTCTACCATTCTGCGTTCAAACGCTTGACGGACGACAAGGTGCTGAAGAGTCACTTGGATCTCGCCATCCTTACCAACCTGTCGAAGATTGAAAATGCGACGATTGACAAGTGTGAGAATGAGTTGCTGCTGCTGAGCAAGCTCAGAAGCCAGCCTGCGCAGACGACGGGGAGAGTAAACTACCTGCTTACGAAGATGATGACTAGCCAGAACAAGGTGGAGAATTATGAGCTGGAGATGAAGGGGTTGAAGAAGGTTTTGGCTGATGAGAATTGATGAGTAGGCGAAAGTAAGAGGTCTCTATGATGAGGCACTTTTGGCTTGGAGCGCAAACGTACATATATAGCGATACTATCTCCCTTCAATTGCAACGATAGTCTTTCTATCGTGAATGTCCATACTTTGAATGCTCAGACTATCTCCGATGAGTAACTGCACCGCACCGAGGTCGGTCGGTCGGGAGCAGGGTGCTTTTTCCCGTCCGTCCAACCGAGCTTGGGCTAGACTGGCCGCCAACCACGGCAACGTCAGCCAGCTCCTCCATCTTGATCGCTTGTCCCTCTCAACAAACTGCCATTGCGCACCCACCCCGCCTTCATCACTTCGGTCGTATACGTCGCCTGGCGCTTCTCCAATTTCTCCTTCACATTCCGGCACAATGGCTCCCATATCGGATACGGTCGTCGATGACCTGAAGAGCACCGTCTCGCGGCTCGAGAAGCGCATCGCGGAACTTGAGAACCGCTTGTCTGGACATGGCGGGAGCGCGCAGTCGTCGCAAGAGAGCGTCAGGATGATCTTGATGGGACCTCCGGGTGCTGGTGAGTTCATGTGCTGAATGAAGGCTGGGCCCATGACGAACTTCTACTTACCTGCAACACAGGCAAGGGCACCCAAGCACCGCGCATCAAGGAGAAGTTCTGCGCCTGCCATCTCGTACGTTATCATGGGCATGAGGCGTTCAGCGCCATTAGGCAACTCGATACTAACGGGCACAGGCTACTGGAGACATGCTACGCGCACAAGTCGCGGCAAAGACGCCGCTCGGCCGAGAAGCCAAGAAGATCATGGACGCTGGAGGTCTCGTCAGCGACGAGATCATGGTCAACATGATCAAGACTGAGCTGGAGAGCAACGAGGAGTGCAAGAACGGCTTCATTCTCGACGGTTTCCCGCGAACCGTAACCCAGGCCGAGAAGCTGGACGGTATGCTCACCGCAACCCAAAAGCCCCTCCAACACGCCGTTGAGCTCCAAATCGACGATGCCCTCCTCGTCTCGCGCATTACTGGTCGCCTGATCCACCCCGCCTCCGGCCGCTCGTACCACAAGATCTTCAACCCACCCAAGGCCCCTATGACCGACGATGCCACGGGCGAGCCGCTGATCCAGCGCTCAGACGATAACGAGGATACGCTTAAGAAGCGCCTCGCAACGTACCACGCTCAGACTAGCCCCGTGGTGGCCTACTATCAAAAGACGGGTATCTGGAAGCCCATTGATGCGAGCCAAGAGCCTGGCCAGGTCTGGAAGAGCTTGCTCAAGGTCTTCGATGACAAGGCGAAGATTGCTGGCCGGACGGGCAGCTTGCTCAACAAGATCGGCCTCAAGAACTAGACCGAGTTCACCTCGGTACTAGATGTAGAGTAGAGAGCTGGAGAAGATGAGCTGTGGATGATACGAACGGTATCGACGTTACGGCCCATGAATCTTGGTGAATGGTCATGTTTGGAATCACGTAAAAGTCGGCCTCGGGACTCTGCCGCGGGGAATGCACATATGTAACAGAAGGTTCCTTGTACTTGTACAGAAGCATCAGGATCGGGTGGCAGGAGTACTTGGAGGGGTCCTGTGTTTCTATTGTATGTTCAGACACTTTTGTAGCCTGCTTTTGGAGAATGTCCAAGGTTGACTTGTCGGAGAGCTTCTTGGAAATGCATTTGTAGCTGCAGACAGGCGTCTTGACACTGCGTGCGTGAGAGTGAACACCCCTTGAGGACAACCGTGAGTTTGACTTCAGGCGTACCATTATATGTACCTATTGCCAATGATTCGCAACCACAAGGCAGCCCTACAACACTGACTCGACTACACACGTGCCATGAGTTCTTTATACAACGTGTTCTAGACACCAGACTCATCGGCGTTTAGCCCAACCCTAAGCTCCGACGCCTCACTCTTCACTCGCAAAAAAGTGTACCCCCATTCGACAAGTGTCCTCCGCATGTCCACAATTGCTCTCCGCACCGCGCGCATACCCCGGCAAACCCACTGACAAGCCTGCGAACCACTAAAACCCCTATCGTGTGCCGCGCAATAGCGAGAAACATCATAGCATCAGCGTGCGAAGATTAAAGTAATAGACCATGTCTAGCAGGTAAACAGCCGCCCAAGCCCACCATGATCCCTTGGAGAAGAGAAGGCCAAGTCAACTAACGAGACCCTAGGTTCGGAAGACAAGACGCCCGCGACGACCTCTTCAGCTCCTACAACCGCAGCGCCTCGCCCTCGAAATCAAAGAACAAGGCCCGGTCCTCGCCCTACAACGCCAGCTACGGCTACACACCTCCTTCCTCAGCCGATGCACACACGCCGTCTTTTGGCGCATACGGGGCCGCGTCGTCGTCGAGTAACGGAAGCCTATTTCCTTCAAGTAGTGGGAGCGGGTACGGTGTAGGGGGAGGCGGAGGTGGAGGCGCCAGGAATATAGACGGGAGTTTCAGGAGTGCCACGCCGAATTCGAGAGGGCAGTATTCTGCGGCTGTCATGGACGAGTTGGAGAGCCAGAATGATGAGCATGTGGGTGTTTTGACGTCAAAGGTTAAGATGCTTAAAGATGTACGTACGGTATCTCCTCTATCTTTGTTCTTTACCTCCTTGTCCTACCTGTGAATTGATACTAACTGGCCGTTTTGTTCAGTTAACACACCTCATCGGCGACGAGATCCGCGACTCCACCACGCTCACTGAGAAAATGAATGACCAGTTCGAGAACTCGCGGAACAAGATTAAGGGGACTATGACTCGCATGTTGAGGATGGCACAGACGACAGGCGTAGGCTGGAAAGCCTGGCTAGGCTTCTTTGCCGCTGTTATTTTGCTGTTTTTGTGGGTGCGGCTTAGGTAATATAGTATGGGATGGAAGGAGGCAGGGTCGGGTGAGGAGGAATGAGATTAGGAGAGGATGAGGAAATCTTGCATTTGGCGCGGCGTTGGGGTTTTATTTTTGTCGATGTCGGGGTTCTTGAGTTCGAGAAGCGGGCGCGGTTTGCATTGCAACTACTACTGATTCATGTGTATATGTACGCATTATGCTAAACAAGGCAGTCACAGTCACTTTTCAAAGGTCAGAGAAAGACCCGTAGTGCACCTTTCGATACGTGAGCACGGGTATTATTACTAACTGCCCAATCTATCGGCTTGACTCCACGCCGGTGTCATTCCATGACTGGTTCCTCGCATATCCAGTCCGGAGCATAGGAAGAGGCATTATATGCTTTACTCGACCAGTTACCCAAACATAATCGTAACAACGTATAATCTCACACCCCAAACTTCCTAGGATCCAAACTACCAATCCCCGCACTCCTCACGCTTCCCTCGAAAACCAGTTCGCTCAAACACTTACCCGTCGCCGGCGCATTCTGAATGCCCCAGCACGTATGTCCAGCACCCATCAACAAGCCCTTTACGCTCGTCTCTCCAATCAAGGGCCCACCACCTCGACTCACGTTCGGCAAATAACACGCCTGCCTCGCCGTAACCTCTCCGTCGCGTAGCTCCTCGGACACAGACGAAACCTGGTCGATGATATCTTGACACCTCGATTGGTCGATCTGTACTAGGTCGGTACTGGTGGGCAACGGAATGAGCTGGTCGCCTTCGCCGCAGGCGTAAACTTCGTTGTTGGGCCTCGCGTAGATCTCAGGAGTGACGGTTTCCGCTCGCCGGCCGTTGCCGCGGGGGAGGTCGATGGAAGTGAAGAGGGCGTAGGCGGAGACAGGCCGTGAAGGACGGATGGTGACGGAGTGAGCGCGCAGAGCGGAAATAGGTGCAGATTTCCAGATTGTTTTTGTCCAGGGGCCAGCAGTCAGGACCACGGTGTCTGCTGCTAGCTTCTTCTCTTCGCCCGTCTCTTTGCTCTTATACGTAACTGACGTGACTGCGCCGTCGCTTTGGTCAATTAATGTAGCAGAACCATAGACGATCTTCACCCCCTTTTCTTCTGCGAGCTTTGCCATCGAGGTGGTGAACTGGTATGGGTGGACTTGTGCGGTTGTGCTCGGGTCGCCCATCTCATCGTAACTTTTGAGGCTCTCCGGGGCTACCCAATCTAGTTCTTTCGGTATACCCGCCGCTTTCAGCAGTCCTTTCGCCTTTTGCGTCCTCTTCTGCAAGGACACAGAGTCCCCCTTTACATCACTCTTGTCATTACTCTGTGACAAAACACCTTGACAATCAACCTGCCCGCAATGCACCGCTCTGTAACCCCATCGTTCCGCACCGCCATGCTTCTCAGCTAACTCTTGGTGCAACTTGTAACTCAAAGGGACTATGCAGCTTGGGTAGGCCCATAGTGCTAGAAGACCACCTGCTTTCCCTGAGGCGCCGCTTGCGATTGTAGTCGCTTCTAGAAGAGTAATGGTATGTTTTTCCTTATTGAAATTTGGGTGCTGAGAGAGGAAGTAGGCGGTTGTTGAGCCAATTATGCCGCCACCTAGACGTGTCAGTTTGCATTTCGTGAATAAATGTGGAATCAACTCATACCAATAATAACAATGTTACGTGTCTGCTGTTCGGCCGCCATGATGTTTGCCAGGCGGTAAGTGACTTTTTGCATCAAGTTGTGTTGAGATGGAAGTGTGGCGCTGAACTTGGTGTTGCAGATTGGGCGGTGGAATTTAGGCCCACTACCGGTACGTCATAGGTGGAAAGGTGGGATGTTTGCTAGAGGATTTCCGAAGCGCCTACCGCCCTAGTTGAGTTATCACTGGTTCTATAAAGGTGTTTTTAAGTGCGGAGATGTTTGTGATTATATTGAGTCTTCCTTGCCTTGAGAGGGAGTGACTCCTTACGGATCGCATCAGACTCATCAGAAGGTTGATAGTGGGTACCAATTGGGAGAACGATAATGACGTTTAAACCCATAGTTAACAACCATCTCAACATATGCAGCCTATCCTAGAAGACTAAATGTACTTACAACATGTCCGCACCGAACGTATCTTCACAAAACTAGAGATAGCCCGACTAGGGCGTAGGGGATGTCTGCTAGAACATTTTTGGCATTTGAAAGGCGCGTTTGAACGCCAGTATCGTTTACAGATGGCCACCAGTGTCGTTGTACATGAAAAAAAGAAACCAAGGAATGATATCCCACTCTGACTGCACCAGACTAGAAATCCCCGCCGCCACCAAAGTCGCCTCCTCCATCTCCTCCACCAAAATCTCCTCCTCCGTCTCCGCCACCATAGTCCCCGCCCCCATCACCACCCCCATAACCGCCGTCGCCTCCGCCATCTCCCGCGTCAGCCATTGCAGAGCCTAATAACGCGCCACCTAGGAGACCTCCACCGGCACCTAGAGCTAGCGCTCCACCGGCACCCATGCCACCACCAGGACGTCTTCCTCCTTGTTGCATGCCATAACCCATAGGTTGTTGTTGATATCCTCCGCCGTAGTATCCTCCAGGTGCTTGCTGGCCATGTTGTTGAGGGTATGCATTTGACGAGCTCGAGCTGTGGCCGCTTGCCTTTCCTAACAACTTGCCCAAAAGTCCTCCCTTGCTTTTGCCCTTGTCTTGCATAGAGTTGTCTTGATACGGTGTCTGCGTTTGTTGCGGGTAGGGACTTGCGCTCTGCTGCGGGTAGCCGCCATACTGTCCCGCCTGTGACTGGCCTGGCTGATTGTAAAAGTCGTTCGCAGCTCCGCGATGTTCGCCTGGTCTTCCTGCGCGCGCTTCTTCCTCTTCTTGTAACCTTCTCGCTAGCTTCTCGTCTTCAGTGATATTCGCGCCAGTGCCCGCATATGGGTTGTTGCTGCCGAAACCCGACTTCTCGCTTGTTCCTGTCGAATGACCGCCTATGCCTCCCGACCCTGGCTGCCCATATCCTGGAGGTGGGCCATGGGGCGGACCTTCGCCGGGCGGGTAAGCGGGTTCATTTGGCTTATCCCACTGTGACTGCTTCGTGTAGATGTTCACAAAGAACCACTCGCTGTATTGCGCATTCCATATCGCTTTCCAGCCTTCAGGAACCTTTGGCGGAGGCGGGCCCTGCGCATATCGTCAGCTTCAAGTTCCATTTGTTACGAAAGGGCGGAACGAGGCGCATACAGAGGGAGGAGCGAATTCTGCCATGTCGTGTCGCGAGAGGAGATTTGAGGTATCGCCTTGATCTGGGGGCGATTGCGATTCAGAGTGACTAATATCCGGGTATTGTCGCAGGTAAGCTGACTTCTTTGTAGAGGGGCTATGGTGAGCTCATGAGCTAGTTTCCTAGGCGCAACCGGTGCGCGTCATGGTGGCGACGTCATAGAGCGTCACGTTGAGCCACACTTCCTAAACCACATGTAAGTTCTACAAACGGCCGTAGTAATTACAATTGTGTGAGCCTAGAATTTGAGTAAAGAAATGGACGTGTAGGCATGAGGACATTATATGTAGAGGTAACGGTATTGGCTAAGTTTTCGACCATTTGGCATGGATGCTATGTACGCTAGCACGATCCTTTCCACGCTCACAATCTCCCAACTCTTGTATGCCAAAATCTCCGTAATCATTTAGTAAATTAGCTTTTCGATACGAGCGTAATCGTGAAGCTGAGCTAGGACGTCGACGCTGCATTCGACTTTTATAGCCAGATCAAACTGAAAGATGAAACAGCAGCCTGAAGTATCTCAGCACCGTATCGCAAGAAAAATACCAATCCCGGTACCAAGTCCCATGAAATGCCCAATCCGTGTCGATTAGGCGTTTCCCAAGCATCAAGCCCCAAATGAATAGTCCTTAGCTTCACAGAGTCTCCGGTGTGCCACCTTCATAATGACGAACAGGTCTTGCGCCCTCAGTCGGCCTGAAATACCAACACATCAAGTCCTGCCTCGCGATAGATCTTGCCAAGGTCGTGGCGAACCTGGTGTTCTGGATCAGGCAGTGGCGGCCAGCCGAACGCGTAGAATGGCATGGACCGGAGAAAGCTCAGGCGAACGAGTCTGAGGTCCGGAAACTCGCCTTGGGTCTTGAGCCGAGCCAGTTGCTTCAGGATTCCTTTAGCCTGTGCATCGTAAATAACGTAACGAAGAGATAGCGTGACCACGGTGCTCGGGATTTCTGCACAAAGAGCAGACGCTAATACCTCTTCGTCCGCTTCAGCGGGAGAGACGTTCAGCAATCCTGGTTGAGGCGTCTCTAAGTCGGTGAGATGGCTGAACGTCTTTAGCGATGATGGCTCGTTGGGAGATCCGATTGGGAAAAACGCTAATTGCTTGAGGGTCGTCTTTGAAGAAGCGAGTCGTGTTAGAATATCCTCTGCTGAAAAGGCCGCTAATTTGGTAGTATGAACCTGCCGACAGCCAGGCAAGTATGTGAAGTGGGTAAGTTGCTGCCCATCTAATAGCTTACGAAGTAGTCGAAGGCTAACCGCGGAAACGGAGAGGACCACGGAGCTTAGCTTCTTTGATGGAAGGATATTGACGGTGAACTGATGCCCTCCAATAGCGATGTCAAACAGCTGCAAATCTTGAAGGTTCGGAAGAATATCCAATACCTGCAAACTAGTCTTTACAACTGGTTCGGCGGCTTTCGTAATCGATCCGCGGACTTGCAGACATCGGAGGGCTCGAGGCGCAGTGGTAGAGCGGGAGAGGAAATGATGCCAGTCGAGGACTAAAGGTTGAAGTACTAAGTCAGTATATGTCTCACATGCAATTGGTATACCGGCGTTACTTACCAGGATACGGGCTAATTCCGTCGACTCGAAGAGCTTCAAGTTTTGGTAGGAGCGATAACATAAGAACGACTTGGGCGTCCTCCACCCCGCGTCCCAGGAGTCGCAAGAAGTCCTTATCCTCTTTCATCGACGTATACCACACCACACTTGACTTCAGTGCTGGCACAGCATACGACTCGATTTTTGCGATCACTCCGGCCTTGACAGCAGCTTCGGTGAAGATCTTGAACCTATCCGCATTCGACACGCGTACGACCTTGTCTACATTTAGATAGTATGGGCCGGTCCGCACTTTCTGGATGTTATCCTTCTTGCTCTCGACCGTTAAACCCCTCCATGCAGCTCCTGTCGCCACCTCATACTCCGATCGCCAACCTCGAATGTCGACCTCTCTCACCTTGTCTGCGAGCTCAGGGCGCTCGCAGATCGTTCGCAGAAAGAGGTGGAAGGGTGCCTTGGAAGGTGGTTCGTGGTTGACGTAAGTCCGGTATAGCTTCTCAGTCGAGGAAATTTTGGTTTGCTTGCAGGTCAAGGCGAGTGCGAGAAGGGACGGCCGGTCCAGGTGGCTCACAACCTCGTCAAGTAACTCGTTTGGTAAAGTCGCGAGGCTGGTAGGGCCAGAAGGGAGAGCTTTCGCCATGACAGTGTCTGCTCTGAATCAATCAGCCAAGCTAGGGATACATTGAGATCTTGTACTGACTCTATATCGCGGCTGTTGTTGAGTTAGGCAGATAAGGTTCTCACACTGCACGGAGTGTGTAGTGTCGACAAAAGCGAAATGTAGGTGAGCGTAAAAACTTTTTGCGTCAATTGTGTCGTTGTGTTGTTGATGTGCTGCGTCGCTAGATCATGGCGAAGGCATCTCGTTGACCAACCTTTGATAGTTCTCTGCCCTTTGATCTACCAGCAACGAAATGGCCCCCTAACCTGTCCACTTGGTGTTTTCAATGCTCGAAGCAGACGTAGTCTTTCCCGGAGTCTCGCGCGCAGTTGTGGAGTTCACCATGGTTTCGTCGTCACCTTTGATTCATCGCTTTTGCTTTTGCTTTTGCTTTCACTTTCACTTTCACTTTCACTTTCACTTTCACTTTCATCTCGCAGAATGTGTTTCCAAATCTTGTTTTTCTCCGTTTGATTAGTGCACACGAGACTCCTCGCCTTGGCACTTGCGTTGCTTCCTTTTTTCCACGCTCATCTATACCTTCCTCTTCCTCTTCTCCTTCCACTTCACCACCGCGACCGCGACCGTCAACTCAACGCTGTCTGCATTCTTCCCCTCGTTGTCCTTGCCTCTTCTTCTCCAGCTTTGCTGGTGGCACCTTTCTATCAGCCACGGAACAGGACCTCGTGTTGTCCAGGTACTAACGGGCGTTGACATGAGACCTCTCCAGTCTCGGGCCACCCTGCCACCACTGATGAGAAACAGTGAACCTTAGCCGGCTCTTTGCAACGTGGGGAGGCCATTGCTCGTTCCTGCGGGAGTGCTCTGTCTCCTCTCAGTGTGGAGGTCACAGATATGGGGCAACCTTCGGGCCCCCGACAGACCAAGTGGTCCTGACATTGACTGCAGAGGCACTCATGTATGACCCCAGTGATCTAGCTTTGTGGACTTCCGTCAACTTACTTGGGAGAAGTGTAAGCCATCCCGCCCTCAACTCTGAATACTTCTTACTCACTTTACTTAGATGGAAGGGTCACACGGGCGTACCAGGGAGAAAGGGATATAAACTAAAGGGCGTCGCTAAGACCTAGCATACTGTGATGGTGCAAAGCTGCCTGCAGTCCCTGGCCCGCCACTACCTTTTTTAGTTGAGCTTCGTCCTTGTGCCGTTGCTTCAAGGTAAAGAGATCAGAACTTTGGGCGTTACTGAGACCTAGCATATTGTGAGGGTGCAAGTCTGCCCGCAGTCACTGCCCCACCAATACCTTTTTCGTTGAGTTTCGCCCTGGAGGCGTTGCTCGAAGAACAGGGATATACTATGAGCGAGAGAGGTACGAGACATTTAGTCAGAGAAAGGATCTAGGATGAATGAGACCGTTGAGAATGTACTGAGGCAAATACTGGCGGCTAGATAAGCTGATACCGGTACCGGTACCTACCCTTGCCGAACAACGAAGACCAAACGAGGATAGCAAAGGACACGTTTTCCAGACTTGATGAAAGAGAAGTACAACCTCTGTGGAGATGGCGGATAGTCGAAGTCGCGATGAAGGTGCGAGATAGCGTGACGAGTCGTGGTGCATGCCATTCCGGTGGCAACCAGCCCCGCGTCCGACCATTTACGGCATCCCGAGGCCTTCGCTCCACCACCTCCTTGTGCACGCGACCATATCCTTCCCATCTCCGACAGAGTAAAGCGTCAACTCGTTTAACAAAGTGGATCGCACGGGCACCGTGCGCTGAACGCATTCCTGGCATTTTGTCCCCGTGGCCACTTCAGCTCAGATACACACAGAGGGCAGAGTAGACGACAACCCCTAACAACAAACACGTATCATGCAGCAACATAACGGCCTGCTCCAGTTGCCCCGAGAACTCCGCGATGAAATCTTTGCCCTCGTATTCAACTCTACAAGACTTACGTTTGGTTTTCGATATACCTCCCGTCATGGCGAACGGTTCATGAAACCTGCCCCACATTCATTGGCCCTACTGCGTGTATGTCGACAAATTCACAACGAGACGCACGATATTTGGATTAAGCGTGTTTTGTTCAACTTCGAAGATCCTCAGACAATGCTCAACAGGCTTTCCGAGCTCCCAGACTCTACCGTAGCTAAGATCCGGCACCTGCGCCTTTCCGGCTTCCTAATGATGCGTTACCTCAAAGGCTTCGACGATTTGATGTATCGACATGACTCAGTGTTCCAGCTACTCCCTGCGCTTCGTCTCGATTGCTTGACCATCTTGGCAGTTCCACCAGCTGCGCCAGAATATGACGCCATCACAAACCTGATCAATCGCGGCAACGGCTGGAAGGAGCTTCGTTACATCACCCGGAGTTCGCGCATGCTCGGTTTTAGTCCGTCAAGAAGTCATGGGTCTCGTGATACTGGCGATATCTGCCGTCAGCCTCAACCCAAAGCTTGGAACGAGACCATCATGAAACGGGACAGTGAAGGATCAGGGGCATTTGTACAGATTTATCGGTCAAAGGAAGAAGATGATTGTGCATCTGTTCTCTGCCCGCATAGGTGGGAGGTTTTTAAGCAGAACTATGAGGAGGATAAGATCAAGGAGTTTGGATTGTCAGACGACAAGGAAATGACGAGAGGAGCAGGCGCACGGAAGGGTCTGCTTGTGCTAGTGAAGCGCGGCAGCAACGCAGACATTACGCAACGCACTGGCTTCAGTAAGGAGAGAGATATGAAAGCAAGATTCAACAAGAGGACCTGGAGACACCGCAAGAAGATTATCATGTGGACCCCCTTGGATCAGGATAAAGAGGATGAAGATGACGTAGGGAATGGATGGGCGCGCCCTTTAATTCGCCCTCCTCCACAAGTGGTCGACAATTATTACGACGTTGATGAGATGTGAACACTGAAACCCAGCCGATTGGATCATGTAGCGAATTCCCTTTTAAGTAACCTTGAAGGAGTTTGTAGGTTATCACGCGCTACAACTTTCTCAAAGCTTCGCGAAGTATTTCAGTAGAATCTCAATAATCATGAAGGTTTTGCCCGCTCAGCTCACGTTCACCTGTGCCTATCCTTCAATTTGATGTGTTAGAATGACCTCGAATGGTAATGCCGATGATTAACCCATCCACGCTTTCTGATACAGCTATCTTTTATTTGCGTACCTGTGAGAACTAGGCAGTCTAGCGATTGAGAGCGAAGGAAGAACTGTGCGGTAGGTCATGGAGCGATAAATAGGATACATTAGACTGGAATAGGCATCATACAAGATCGTCACTGATAGGGAGGTTTAATCGCACGTTAGACAGTCTATGAGGCATTCAACACCTTATTCAAGATTGCACGTTAAAATAGTCCATGTGGTATTCAACGCCTTGTAATACCCTAATAATGTTCTAGCCTGGCCGGACATATGGTCGTAACTAGTGTTCCGCATCTCTATTATAAACAAATATGCGCAGATGGGCGAATTCCAATGCTATGATGTCTTTTCGTGTTGTGTCGATACACGTTGTAGTGAAACCACTAAGAAAATGTTAGTGATATTTTCCATGAGAGTAGCCATGAGAGGTACTTACCAAAGTCTTCGAGGGACCTTTGCTTCTGGTCCTTCTTGGGTGACTTGCCGTGCATTAGGTTATCAAAGCCCTGGCTACCCTGAAGGAGGTAGTACACGCCACCCATGACACAAAAGACACCAAAGGAGAAAATCCAGACTCGGACAACAGTAACAATGCTAGTTGGTCCGCCGACGAACCATCCAAAAATGGTGAACAGGGTGGCAAGAACGTCTACGATCAAAATCGCGCTCGTGAGCTGCCATGATGGAATGGATGACCAGAATGGGCCGTTTGCCCGAGTAATGAAGATTAGCCAATTTTCAGTGAGCGAGATCTCGAGGAAGAGGATCGGGTCGCGGCGGCCAAAGTTCTGCACGACACCTCCGTGCACGCCTTGGTGCTCACCCGTTGGGTATGGGAACATGGTGGTCAGGGTGATCCAAGTACCAGCAGCAAGTATGATGCCGAGGAGGACGGACATACCCCAAAGCTTTGGCAGGCACAGGTTCCACTTGACTGGAGTCTTGCTGTAGGGTGCATTGTCGTAGGCAATAGCCAGCGTCGCAATATCAGCAAAGATGGCAATAAATACGACCAACTGAAGGTTCAGAGACTCGTTTAAAATAGCAATCCATAACCCTAAGAAGATCTCGAGATGGAGTGATAAGGCGATGCGGTAGACAACATAGGCATACATGCGGTGGAAAATCTGTCGGGAGGTCTTAATGGCGTCGATGATGGCCGAGAGACCAGGTGCAAGGAACACGATATCCGCCGCTGAACGAGCGGCGTCAGAGGCTCCTTCTACGGCAATCCCAGTATCGGCTTTCTTCAGTGATGGTGCATCATTGACTCCATCGCCCGTCATAGCGACCAGGTAGCCACGTTGCTGGAGTATCTCCACGACATTGTACTTGTGCTGAGGGAAGACCTCAGCAAACCCATCAGCAGCTTCGACAAAGTCATAGACTTCTGAGCCTGGCATCTCGCCGCCTCCTCCAAGGCCAAGACGTTCAGCGTCGAAGATGTTGTTAGTCCCGAGGCCGAGCTGACGAGAGGTCTCTCTGGCTATACCAACGGCATCGCCTGTCAACATCTTGATGGAGAGACCAAGAGTCTTCGCCTCGTTGATTGTACGGTACGTGTCGTGGCGAGGCGGATCGGAGCAAGGCATAATACCAAGAATCTCCCAGGAGTTGTTGCCTCGCTTTCGAGCGACACCGAGCGAACGGAAGCCACGAGTGGCGAACTCTGCAACCTTGTTCTTGTATGCCTCGTCTATAGTCTCAGGAATAGGATGATCTTCTTCAACAGTCCGGAGGACGAAGAGAGGAGCACCTTTGACGCAGATGATACGCTCACCCTGAGGTGACTCAACGACGGCCTGCACCTTCTTGGACACAGGGTCGAACGGGTGGAAACTGATAACTTTGTACTTGCTGAGGGCGTTTTTGGCGCGCGGGTAGTATTTCAAAGACTTAAGGAATGCTTTGTCGATAGCGTCGATGCCCTTCTTCTTCCGCGAAGCGGCCAAACAGGCAGTTAGCATGAGGTCATCAGGTTCAACACCAGCTACAGTGTAGGGTTCAGCTAAAGAAAGCTTGTTCTTGGTCAGAGTTCCAGTCTTGTCCGAGCAAAGGATCTCCACGCCAGCTAGTGACTCGATAGCGGAAAGCTTTTGAACAATGGCTTGTTTCTTGGCAAGATAAGCGGCGCCAACAGCCATGGTGGTCGTTACAACAGCGGGAAGACCGACGGGAACTCCGACGATAGTAATGGCAAGAGTAAACTCAAGGATGTGAACAATGCCGTTGGATCGGTAGAACGAGCTGATCCATACGACCAGAAGCGTGACGATAACCAGGACTAAGAGAATGGTACCAATACCGTGCAGGACTTGGGTAAAGTGGCCGGCCCCACCTGAAGCGGTAGCAACGAGAGAGGCTGCGCGTCCAACAAAAGTGCCGTCACCGGTGGCCGTGATCACGACGAAAGCCTCGCCGCGCTTGACCGCGGATGAAGCATAACATGTGTCGCCCCTATGCTTGTCGACCACAAGTGACTCACCGGTAATAGCCGACTGATCGACCTGGAGAAAAGCGGCTTCTGTAACAATGCGACCGTCGGCTGGAACGATAGTACCCTCCTCGACCTGTAGGATGTCGCCAGGAACGACCTCAGTAGCCTCGATCTCGATAAGCGCGCCGTCACGGAGAACCGTCGCCTTGAGAGCCAACGTCTTCTTGAGCTCTTCGACGATGGAGCCAGCTTGATACTCCTGGATAAAGCCAACACAAGCATTGAGTAAGAGCAAGGCGCAAATGACACCAAAGTCCACCCAGGCTCGAAGACCAGCGGCAAGCACAGCAGCAGCCTCCATTACGAACTGGATGGGCCCGACGAAGAACATCAGGAACTTTAGAAAAAGATTCTGCTTCTCCTCTGCGCACTGTCAGTCATTGCATGCTGTAGGGGTTCTACATAATACGTACCTTTCATTTGGTTGAGACCAAACTTTTTGCGGCGTAATTGAACCTCCAGCGACGTAAGACCAGTACGTGTGTTGGTCTGAAGAAGCTCTTCGGGGATAAGTCGCGCGCTACCGGCCACATGTGCTTCTTCTTCTTCGTAGTCGGCATTTCCGTCCTGTGATTCCAGCTCCTCGATAAGGGCATCAATGTCCTCGTCATCCTGCTCTTCATCTTCTTCAATGTCGCGTATCTGCTCAGTTTCCTCATCGTAATTGAACTTTTCGTAAGATGGACCATTTGCCCCATTTGTGTCGATGTGATTCGACGGCATCGCGCCCGTGTACTATTCAGATCAGTGCTTGAAGCTCAAGCTTGGGCGCCAACCTACCTCAGACATTACGAATACAGCACTTGTGGAACAATGTATTAACACTGCGAAAAGTTGCTAAATCCTATGATTCGAGAGGATTTACTGCTTTCAGGCAGGCGAGGAGCTCTTCGCCCTTTTGTGTACAGCCCGTTTTGGTCTGGCTTGTCGTTCCACAATCGTCAACTACTTGGAGAACATGGGGATGTCAATGAAACATACCTCGGATTAAGTCTAACCGCATGCCGCATTCATTGCTGTCGCGAAAGAGAGGAAGAGAGAGAGCGCGCGTGACTAAGGGGGTGTAATAGCGAACCCTGCCTGCTGGGTAATAAGCTTGGGGTTATTGTATCTGGCAATATGCGCACATACGTCGCAACACGGTTGCCTGAGCGGAAGGCCCAAAATGTGTCGAACTCGAGTGCACCTCGCAACCCCAAATCGCGTTCTTTTCAAGGTCTTGGTGGTTGCAGCCGTTGTATGTGTTCGGTTCTGTTCTATTACTGGGCATCTTGGTTGGTGGCTTGCGCTTGGACCGTCCCATCTCCGTGATACCGAACGCACCCTTTCTACTCCCGCGGCAAGATTAGTCGTGCACGACATCACTATCACATGAAGAGGGTCTCAAAGGATTTCCTCTGCTGAGAGCCCCACGGTTTGGCGTGATATATATACACATTTTCCATGTGCTCACCTGGAGCAGCTCACGCGCGGGAAGCGCTCCCTGGTGCTGATTCGTTGATACATTAATGACAAGAGGAGAGGTGTCTGCTCTCCATTTCGCTGGTCTTGGCCAGTACCAGGTTGGTCACTCTGTGAAGAGCATCCAACCGGGCGTCCCGGGAGCTCTGCTTCGATTCGATCACGTCGTCACCCTCGCATCGCCATGGTTCGTGATAGTCACAGCGAAGGACAGACACACACACACGCCAAGGGATCAATGACGACAACTTTGGATGTACTCCTCAACGTACCATCTTATCGAGACAGATCTATGCCCCAACATGAGCATATCGGCTATCTTTCTTGTGAAGCTGAAATCCTGCATTCGTCATCCTTAGATTTGATGCAGCGAAACTTGGAATTGTCCGCATATATTGACTTGGCGCCAAACAAGGCCAAGCCATCCGCGGAATCGGTTTAAACATCCTGTAGACCTTCACACACGGTCTGATAATCGTAAGTCTTATAAAATAGACTTCCAAAGTCGCGTGTCCTTTCATATAACTCCACACTTCTCTGGAGCAGAGTAGATAGATACTGCTTTATTGGAACATAGGGGAAAAGCGTTATTGTGACAAAGATGAGAAGCATGTTGAGAATGTATTTACCTGACCAAATGAGCTTGAATGTCTCAGCTGTTCCGAACCTGGTCTTCTGGGGAATAGTAACTGTCTTGGGTCGTTTGCTGGGGCGGAGGATGAGGTGTGGATGAAGCTGAGGCGCTTTGACCATCAATTAACGCGTCGCGTCTTCTCTCAAACACGCGCAGCGAACTTTCCAACAGCAACTAGCACTCCTCACAGCCATGGCCTTTCAACAGCGACTGCGCGGCCGACAGGCACGTAAGTATTCCAGAACCCGTAATTGATATGTCTGGGACTGATTGAATCCTCAGATGCCCCCGGCCCCACCTTTCTTACATACACACCGAACGGGAAGAAGCTGGTAACAGCCGGGGTTGACAACTACTGCCGTGTCTTCACTACAGGATCCGACGATGAACCCGTTACCGTGGATGACTGTCAAGAGAATAATACGGCCGTGGTTGCTGGCGTACGTCTAGTCGCATCAAGCGCCGAGAACGGGAGTGCTGATTGACCACATAGGACGGCTTCTTCATAACGGGTTCCGAAGACGGCACAGTGAGCAAGTACTCACTTGAGAATGGCAAATTCGAGGAGATACTGGTCAGGTCTACCTTACCTGTCCGAGATGTAGCACTCAGTCCGAATGGAAACTGGATTGCGGTCGCAAGCGAGTATGTATCAGGGCCTAGACCTAGATTAGGATGCAGGAGAGGCTGACTAGGACAGTGAACTTGTCGTAAGCGTAGTAAATACCAAAGACATGACCCAGATACGAACGCTGCGCGATCAGCCTCGAGCCGTAAAACACGTTTCCTTCGACAAGACTGGAGACCAATTAGCCGTATCCTGCACCGATGGCAATATCTACATGTATACACTGGATGGGGATGAGCCTGAGATGGTCAAGAAGGTAGATGGGATGATTAAGAGCCTGGAAGCAGACGCAGAGGCGAGCTCGAAAGTCCTGTGGCATCCTGACGGGCGAGCATTCGCTTCACCGACTGCGCTCCGTGAGGTGCAAGTCATGTCGACCAGTGACTGGGAGCGCCAGAGGAAAGTCAAAACCGAGCATTCTGCAGACATTACCGCGGCAGCGTGGTCGCCCAATGGTGCTCTTCTTGCAACAACGTCTAGCGATCTCAGCCTCTGCCTTTGGGATGCTAAGACCCAGAAACTGTTGAAGAAGTATGACGACATGAAAGCAACTATCCTGGCTATGACATGGCATCCATCGGAGAACATTCTTTCCTACACCAACAACGAGGGCGAACTGTTCATCCATACCGACTTTGTACCCGAGGAGCATTTTTCAATACTCCAAAAGTCAACTGTATCTGCCCCTTTCTTCCACGACCCATCAGAGGGTCGGGCTGGTGTACCTGCACCACAAACACTCGCAAATGGGACGAAACAAATCCTCCCTGGGCGACCACGGCAAAGGGACGGCACTCCGGATTCTTTGGACGACCTGCTTGGCCCTGAGTTTGAAGATAATGAGGTAGAGAACGATGGAGACGAGGAGATGCAAGACTTTGTCATCGACGACGACGGTGCCGGCTACGCTCCTACCAACATCAATGGCTACAAAAAACGCACCAATGGCCACCTCACCAACGGAGTTGAGCCTGCTTCAAAACGACGTGCCTACAGCTCTGCTCCCTTCAAGCCGCAAGTCCACGAACCCTTTCAACCTGGCAGTACACCTTGGCGAGGAGAGCGTCGGTTGCTTTGCTGCTCGCTGACTGGATACGTCGAGACGGTTTCGCAAGAGGGCAGGCACCATACCGTGAGCGTCAAGTTTTACGACGAGCACACATTCCGCAACTTCCACTTTACCGATATCTTCCTCTACGACAAAGCATGCCTCAACGAAAACGGTACGTTATTTGCGTGTCAACCAAACAGCATCGGCGATGGGGGCCCAGCGATGATATACTACCGTCCGCACGAAACTTGGACTACAAGGACGGATTGGCGAACGAATCTTCCCGCCGGAGAATCTGTTACTGCTATTGCGCTGTCGGATTCTTACATTTGCGTCACGACGTCGGCAAACTATGTGAGGGTTTACTCCCTTTTCGGCCTGCCCGTCCGGGTGTACCGCCAGAAGAGCTCGCCAGCAGTGACTTGTGCGGCATGGCGCGACTACATCCTTACCATTGGCAACGGGCCTATGCAATCTGACCTGTCGACGCAATTGCTCTACACAATCGAGAATATCAAACACGACATCGTGTACCAGGACTCGGACATCCTCGCTTTACCACCTAATACTACGCTGATGTCGGTGTTCTTCAGCTCGGAGGGCGACCCATATATTTATGACTCCTCAGGCGTTCTGTTGACACTGCTTGGGTGGAGGAGTAGTGGGCAAGCACGCTGGGTCCCCATGCTAGATACCAAGTGCCTCAGCCGTCTCGCAAGCGGCGGCAAAGAAGAATCGTACTGGCCTGTTGGCGTTGCAGCTTCCGATGAGTCGAGCGTAAAATTCCACTGCATGATCATCAAAGGCAAGGAGATTTACCCCAGTGCGCCCGTGCCACACTTGAGCGAGTTTGGCTTCGAAATACCGCTGTCTAGTGCTGTGGATAAAAAGAAAAACGTTCGAGTACGCGATGGGGAGGATTTGGACGACGACGACGAGGATGATGATGAGAGTGGAAAAAAGAAGAAGAAGAAGGAAGAGACCAAACAGCAAGAGCATGAACAGGCATTCATTCTGTCGTCGACACTATATTCTCAACTCCAGTCTACGCTATCGCATACACGCCCTACCTCTGGTCAAAAACAAGCTCTAACAACACTCGAAGTCGCCATCGATCGCGCCTTGCTCCAGTTGCTAGGCCTCGAGTGTCTGGCCGGCGAAGATCATGGCATGAAGGCCTTGGAAATTGTGTCTCTGATGCGAGATGGAAATGGAAAGATGCTCGATTTGGCGGGTAAGGTTGCATCTAGATACGGACGTGAGATCTTGGGCGACAAGATACGAGATCTGGCTGAGCGTAAAGCTATTGCGAGGGATAGTAATGAAATGGACGACGAGTATGCATGAAACCGAACAGATGTAGTATAGGCTCAGAAAGTGGGGCCCAAGGACTTGGATACAATGATGCTTTTGTTGTTTAGTAGCATGGCGAATCGATTTTCTGGCTTCGTTCTTCACCTTCACAACATTCACATGAGTTGATTCACACAAATATCTTAAAAGCCGTGAACAATCTGTTGGCCATTACTAAAAGAGTAGTAACATAAGAAGAGGACAATGCATCCCAAATCGCTTTCATGTATGGGTAAGTACGCTTGCTAGCAGTTCGCTCAAAACTCCGCGGCTCCTAATCGCCAAAAGGCCGGTGTCCTCATCAAAAGCGTAGCTTCGAACAAGGGCATGCCAATCAACAACACAGAACCGAACTGCTCTTCACCGCGCCCCAGTGCACAGCACCAAGCCGTCGTCTAGTACTCGGCCTCAACACCCTCGTCGTCGCCGATGGTGTCGGCAGCAACCTCCTCGTAATCGCGCTCCAGGGCAGCAAGGTCCTCACGAGCTTCAGAGAATTCACCCTCCTCCATACCCTCTCCTACGTACCAGTGGACGAAAGCACGCTTGCTGTACATGAGGTCGAACTTGTGTGAAAGAGCGCCCCAGGCCTCGCTGATAGCCGTGGTGTTGGACAACATGCAGACGGCGCGGTTAACGCCAGCAAGATCGCCGTTAGGAACGACCTCAGGTGGCTGGTAGCAGATACCAATCTTGAAACCGGTTGGGCACCAGTCGACAAACTGCACAGTGCGCTTGGTCTTGAGGTGGGCAATGGCAGCGTGGGGGTCCTTGGGGACGACGTCACCACGGTACAACAGGCAGGTGGCCATGTACTTGCCGTTGCGAGGATCGCACTTGACCATCTGGTTGTTGGGCTCGAAGCAGGCATTGGTGATCTCCATGACCGAGTTGGCCTCGTGGGCGGCCTTGGCAGCAGAGATGACGGGAGCATAAGCGACGAGAGGGAAATGGATACGCGGGTAGGGGACCAAGTTGGTCTGGAACTCGTTCAAGTCGACGTTGAGGGAGCCGTCGAATCGGAGCGAGGCCGTGATGGAGGAGACGACTAGAGTTTGTCAGCATCTATATGACGAGGAGATTAGCGGCTTGCTTACCCTGGGCGATGAGGCGGTTCAGGTTCTCGTAGTTGGGGCGCTCAATGCCAAGGTTTTTACGGCAGATGTCGTAGATGGCCTCGTTGTCGACCATGAAACTGCAGTCGGAGTGCTCGAGGGTCGTGTGCGTAGTAAGAATCGAGTTGTAGGGCTCGACGACTGAAGTGGCAACCTGGGGCGCTGGGTAGACGCAGAACTCGAGCTTGCACTTCTTACCATAGTCGACCGACAGACGCTCCATCAACAGGGCTCCGAATCCAGAACCGGTACCGCCACCGAAGGAATGGAAGACGAGGAAACCTTGCAGACCAGCGCAGTTGTCAGCAACACGGCGGACCTTGTCCAAGACCTGGTCGATGAGCTCCTTTCCGACAGTGTAATGGCCACGGGCGTAGTTGTTCGACGCATCCTCCTTGCCGGTGATCATTTGCTCCGGGTGGAAGAGAGAGCGGTAAGGGCCAGTGCGGACCTCGTCGACGACGTTTGGCTCCAAATCGGCGTAGATGGTACGGGGGACATACTTGCCCTGGCCTGCGAATGGGTTAGAGGAGGTCTCTTTTTTTCTTGGTGAGGAATGGGGGTGGCGCGGTGAAGGACATACCCGTCTCGGAGAAGAAGGTGCTGAAACCGTGGTCGTCGTTCTTGGCCTTGCGCTCCTCAGTCAGATAACCATCGGGCTGGATGCCGTGCTCGAGGCAGTAGAGCTGTGGCGGTCTGTTAGCATGATAATCGCGCACTGGCGGTCAGGCACCCGTTATTGCCCCCTTCCCCTCCTTTTCGCTTTTTTTTGGAGGCGATGCGGACGAGAGCATAACGTGTCATGGAAGCTCGACTCACCTCCCAGCACGAATTCGCGATCTGGCAACCGGCCTGGCCGACTAGACGCGTACAAAGTCAGCGTCAACAAAAACATCCGAGGTGGGTCCCACGCCTCCAGGCGGTCAGGAACGCGTGCACGTGAGGACAAACATACCGTTGAGGGAAATGACTTCTCTCATGGTGAGTAGCTAGCAAAGTAGTAATTGGGGTCGTCTAATGCTGTCGGTGTGGATGGCTCGCAGCGTTGAAGGAGGCAGGACTGCGGATGGTGGTGGAGCAGCGGGGAGAGGTCGTGGTCTGTTGTGTTGACGGGAGAAGTTTTAGTGCGTCGACTACCTGAGGGCGTGGCCCAATCACCGTCACGGGCCTCGGCGCTAACCGGGCTCCAAAGGCCGCTGCCTGGGCGCTCCACCTCCAAGGGCCTCTCTCTCTACTATCTATCCATCCATGAAAAGAAAACGATGAATGCTACCCGCGACCATTGAGCAACAAGCGATATCACACAATCTCAATCAACCTCATCAATCAATCATGGCTCGCGCAATGCAATTCCTCTCGCCCGCCTGAGGCAAACCATGTGCTCGCTGCCCCCGCTGCCACCCGCCGAAAATGATGCGCGTCGTCCTGGCTGGCCTGCTCTGCATCGTCACACAAGTCTGGACGGTGAATGCCAACGTCGAGAAGACAGTCTTCCTCGCCCCCGGTCCTGTGACGCTCCCCAATGTCCCGCCCAGCCTAGACGACCTCCGTCTACCCGTCCTGTCGCCCTCCCACTCCATTCTGCCCACGCAGCTGCCCGTCCACTTTCCCTCCGCGTCGCTGCCCCGCGGTCTGGAGTCCTGGTACCTTCTTCGTGCACTGGACGAGGGGCGAAGGTACGAAGTGCGCATCTGCTGGCCTGCCACGGTGAGTAGGGTCCTATGTGTATCAACCTTGCTCCTTGTCCTTACTGACTTATGTTTAGCAACCCACCGACTTCTGGCTTGACACTTATCCTATTACCCAAGTATACGATACCCCGGATCTCATATCATCTTTGGCGCAATACAGTGAGCAGCTTCAGCACCCGACTCTCCCAGCCCAACGGTACAACAAAGACACGACCCCTCAGTCTGTCCTGTTCTTGCGCATCCAGGCTGCAGCGTCATACTATTCGACGAACCGCACGTTGATGGAAAACCCTCCGCCAGTACATGTAGACATCAGTATGTCACTACATGGACCTACCTCCTCCGCTCGCCTGCTAACTTTCCTAGTTCTTGATCCCTTTGTCCTGAACATACTGCCGCAGTCGTTGGGCCCGTTCGCCTTGTACGTCAGTGCAGTAGCTGTGGGAGCTTGGTTTCTCTCGGGGTACATTTATCGCTGGCTGCTCTCCATTTCAGCTGAGCTGCCTAGCAAACCGCATACCGATTGAGCAGACCTCTTCGCATATCGACCTGATCTTCAGGATATACCATCTGCGCGAACATGTCCACGGCAGCTGGAGCGCCTCCACCTCCGCCTCCACCGCCACCCCCCAGAGCCCCAAACTTTGATGACCTCCCAGCGGAGCTCCTCCTCATGATTTACGAATACATAGGTCTCTCAAACTACATGAACCTTGCCCTAGCAATCTATCCAAGCCTGCAGCGCCACGGATTAGTCCCGGTTCTTACAGTCGAGACGCTCATTCGCATAATAAACGAGTGGCAATACGCTGGCCTCATACCAAGCGACGCCCAAAACGCTGCGTCGAGGATGCCAACCGAGCTGTGGCTGCAGATCGCGGGCTACCTAGAACCGGCCGACACGTTTACCTTGGTCTTCGGAATTGGGAACCATTTCTACCGCTTCTGGCAACGACCCACTAAGGAAACTATCTCAAGGTTGCGTATCTGGAGTCGCCGATCTAGGAAAAAGTGATCAGAGAGATGCGCAAAGACGTTTCTTAGGACCGGGGCTGAAATAGGTAATGCAAGTCATGGAGAATGCGGTAGTCTCGGGACAACGTTTCTTGGGAATAGCTTGTGTCAAAGGGCTTGAGCAAGCTAGCTTTCGTCGTATGATGAACGCATTAGAATGGCAATAAGTTGTTCAGACGTGACCCACTATGAATACCAAAGAATTACACTATTCCATACAAACGCCACGCTATGCATTGGAATTCCAACGCCAAAAATGCATACCCTCTTAAACTTCCTCCCCAACCCACCTGCCAACTCCACTCGCTACGCATCCCTGGGAAACTCATCGTCCAACCCAATTGTGACCTTGACATTCATACTGCCCAACTCCTGGATGAGCAGCTTCGCCGCATAGGGCATCGTGATGCGTCGAACCGCCTTTTCGCTCTCGCAGAGCTTGCAGTAGCCACTGTATCCCATTTGACCGCCTATAACAACAAATTAGCCACTACTACAACCCAATATACTCCAGGGGAAAAAAAAATCATGCGCGCAAAACTTACACTTTTCGCACACATCGACATCATGTGCGTCAGAGGAAATCATGAGACGCTCCAGTAAGAGCTGGGAAGCACCGTACGCGATCAAGCAATCACGCTCCATTTCTCCCAGGCGTAGACCTCCGTCCCTCGCACGACCTTCGGTGGGTTGTCGCGTGAGGATAGCGCGTGGTCCACGAGCTCTCGAATGCATCTTATCCTGCACCATATGCTTCAACTTCTGGTAGTAGATTGGGCCGAAGAAGGTGTAGAATTGGTGCGCTTCGCCCGTGATGCCCGACGTTAGATAATCTTTGCCCGTGTACGAGAAGCCGTTCTCCACGAGAATCTGCGACATGTCTTCGACGCGACTGCCGCCGAATGCAGTGCCGTATTCCAGTGTACCGTTGAGTACGCCTGCTTTCCCACTGAGGAGTTCCATCATTTTGCCCACCGTCATACGACTGGGGAAACCGTGTGGGTTCATGATAATGTCCGGGCAAATACCTTGGTCATTGAAGGGCATGTCTTCTTGTTGCACGATAAGACCAGTCGTACCCTTCTGTCCATGTCTGGAACTAAATTTGTCGCCCAGTTCTGGACGCCGGGTTTGCCGCATCAGCAGCTTGATGAGCGTAGTTCCCGCTTCGTTCTCTGTGATGCACGCTTTATCCACATAACTGCAATCAGGCAGCTTGTACCTTTCAGGCTTGTCTTTGTACACGTTCGACGCTGGGCCTGCGGTATCCTGTGGTATGCTCTTCAGCAGGAACGCATCGGTGGCATTGATACGCGCGCCCACTTGCGCAATACCATCGAGCCCGATTGCTTGATGCTGGGGATTATCCACATCAAGCGCCCCGGCATTGATCCGATCCGATGTGCCGTTCGCATACGTCTTGAGCGGAGTGACATGCTTCTTCAGGACCTGGCAACGGCCGAAGCCACGGTCACATGACGCTTTGTTGAGAATAAGGGCATCTTCGATATCGTAGCCCGAGTAGGACATGACGGCCACGGTAGCATTTTGGCCTGCGGGCAGCTTGTCATAATGTGTGAGCTCGATGGTTCGGGTTTTGACCATGGGTTCCTGAGGGTAGACCATGAGGTAGAGAATTGTGTCTATCCTGTTGAACTGGTTGTAGGCGATGGCACCAATGGCTTGTTTACCCATAGCGCATTGGTAGGTATTACGGGGTGACTGGTTGTGATGTGGATACGGGATGAGACCGGCGACAGCGCCAAGGATGGTAAAGGGTTCGATTTCGAGATGGGTAGTGTGTTGATTGATGTCCTTTTCTCCAAGCGCGATATTGGTGTCGTTCTCTTCGTTGGTATCCAGGTACTCCACTAGACCTCTTGACAGGAAGTCCTCGAATTCCATTGTTCCCTTGCGTAGTGCCTTCAAATACCGCGCCGTGACCTTGGAACGCTGGTTCTCAACCACGATCATTGGTCGACAGATTCGGCCTTCGTCCGTAGCGACGTGTACTTCGCAGAAGTCATGGTTGATATGGATACTGGTGAACTCGGAAATGCGTCCCATCCGCCTCAGTTTCCGGAAGCTGTTCAAAAACCGCTTCGGTGTATCTGTGATAGCAATCGGTGTACCATTCAAACATACGCTATACACACCCTCGGCATGTATTTCTTCGCCTGTCTGCGAGCAAATATCCTCTGCACCGAGCAGGAATACAATCTTGCGCACCGGATCTTCATCGTCTTCGGTCGTGATATGTGTCATAAGAGCCAAATTCTTGACGAGACCACAAGCTTCACCTTCAGGTGTGTCGGACGTACAAAGCATACCAAACTGCGATGGTTGTAGTGCACGAGGGCCAGACACTTTTCGTGTCTTTTCAAACTGGGAGCTGATCCTCGTCATCATACCGAGCGCAGCAATGTAGCTAAGTCGGCTCAGAACGTGCGTAACACCAGCCCTGTCCATCTTGAAACGCTTTAGGCTCCAATTTCCCGTAGCAATCGCACGTTCAATACCCATCGTGATGTGGTTCTTATGTACGCTGAAGTGCGAGAATGCATCGAACTCTTGTGCGCGATTCTGCTTCTTAAGCACTTTGTCGATGCTCAGCTTGAAGTCGTGGTTAAAGCGCTTAAAGTGGTCTTCGAAGAGGAGCGACAACATCTGGCCGGACAATTCTAGTCGTTTGTTACCGACATAGTCGCGATCGTCAACCAGCTTTGGATCTTGCATGGCCATTAGTACCCTACGTGCCATGAGAGCAACGTAGAGTGCCTTCGGTCGGTAATGCGTACCAACGACGGGCACGTGAGGTAGGACAACATTAGACAAGCATTCGATAGCTTCAAGGTGGTAGTTCCGCATTCGCGAGGTCCCAAGTGGCTTCTTTACCAAGCGTACGCGGTGGCCAATATACTCGAGTGCCTTCTCTTGCGTGTGTATCCCTTCTCTTGCGCATGCCTCAAAGTTGATAGCGAAGTTGTCCTGGTATGCACTATCATCGCCAGCTACCATAAGCAATATCTCCTTGTCAGAATGTACCCCCAAGGCCTTCAGCACGAAGACGATCGGAACCTCCTCAGACAAGGTGTTATGCCGCAGAAACATTAGCCCCTTCTTCTGGATCACGTACGTCTTGGTTCTTCTTTCGTGCGTGGAACTCGTGACGCTCGCTTGCATGATACCCTTCGCGCTTTCGACAATGACTCGGTTCTTGTTTAATTGCTCCTGAACCAAGATGACCTTCTCTTGTCCCCGCGTAATGAAGTACCCTCCCGGATCCAGGGGACACTCCTCCATGACGGCCATCTCGCGATCATTCTTGCCGGCCAGTACACACTTGCTGCTCTTCAGCATAATGGGCATCCTGCCAATCTTGATGCCCGTCCGCTTGACCTTGGCGTTGCCCCTCGTGTACACAATGTCGACGACAATCGGGGCGGCATATGTCATATCGCGCAAGCGGCACTCGTTCGGGGTGATGGTACTGCGGTGGTTGTCGAGGTCATCTTCTTCCTGCCGATTCGGCGACAAGACGCGGATATCGGTGTACTCGAGGAGGAACTTGGGATCAAAGTCGCTGCGCACGAAGCGGTTGGCCTTGATGATCTTCTTGAGCTCCACGTCGGTAAAGTGGTTGTACGAGTCGACATGCTGCTTGACTAGACCCTTGGTCTTGAGGAATGCAGGCAGCAGGTTCCACTTGTCGCGCGCCGTATTGATGGGGTCGGTAAGGCTCTTGCCGTAGTAAAAAGGCTCGAGGAGGGCGGCGAACTCGTCTGTGGCGTGCTTAAGTGGTGCTTTTCGTTTTCGTGTTGCTTCTGGCGATGTCGACGCCTGCGCATTTATGCCCTGGGCAGACGCTGATGAGTTCTGAGGGTGCGCAGCGACGCCATCTACCTCCATATGTTCCTCACTATCCACATTCTGTACTTCAGGCGCGACGACTGCAGCACCTTTCGCTTTCGCCGCCCCGCGCGGGGCAGCTTTGGGTTTAGGTTTTGGAGCTTCCTGGCTGCGTGTTAGCTTTGCATGGTCGCTACTACAAGCATAGCATAAGACATCATCATCATACCTTCTTGCCTGCCATGTCTGCGCCGGTTTGAATGGAACAGAGACAAGATGTCGAAAGCGTTGTGCAAGTGAGTGAGGTCTAGGGTAGCTGGCTAGAATAATTTAGTCTTTGGCGAGTCAGACGCAACCTTGGGTGGAGAACGAATTGCGGCCAATCGGTAATCCGCAGCAACTAGTTCGCGGGTGAGTGACCATCAACGGACGACCATGAGAATAGCTTCAAGAGCAATGACTTGAGATTTCTACAAATGCACATTGCTAGATCACGCACTATCCACGCCCGCTATGCTATCAACTAAGCCATCTTTCAAAATCCAAGTAAACCTAGTAGATCCTCATCGGCTCTACAGCACTTTAGTGTTACATAAAAAAAAATCCATTCGTCTTCCGGGCAATTCGGTGCAGCAATCTTCCATATTACACGGAATTGGTCGAATGCAGCCCCCCTATTCCAAGTCGAATACAATGTTCTCTTAGAATGCCCCGCTGACATCACCCTCCCCATTCAAGCTTCTCAGCGACCCTTCTGCAAGATCTACCCTTAATTGAGCCGTTTCCGCATCTCGCTCCAAACTACCCCATTCCCTCAATTTTTGTCTCTTCGCGTCCTCCTTCTTATCAATCATCTCCCTCAATTTCCTTGCCTCTTCCTCCAACTTCAATATCTTGCTCTTATCGTACAGCTCAGGAGCTTTCTGCCCACCGGGAATCTCTTTTGGCAAGTCGGAAAGATGATCGCGGAAGCGCATAGTACGTGGATAGGTTGTGGCCGTAGAGTTACTAGAGCCACGGAACGTCGCCGCAAATGGTGCTGGGCCACTGCCAGAGCCGCGAGGGCCGGATGGTGCACCACCAAAGTAGCCACCTCCTCGAGGTGCTGCACCCCAGGATCCGCGTCGTGCTGGGCCGGATAAGTCACGCGGTGAGTCGTACGAGCCAAAACCTCGACCACCACCTCGTGGTCGCGTAGGCGCTGCTAAGACAGGGTTGCTTCCCCGCGGATAAGTGGGCGGCGCAGTCGAACTGGGGCCTGCTGGAGGCGAAACGGCAGGGGAGGGATAGCTGCGACTCGAGGGACCTGTTGGGGGAGCCCTAGAGAAGTTGCTGTCACCATTGCGGTAGGAAGATGCCGGTCCAGTTGGGGGAGCAAAGTCGCGCTCTCTGTCTCCACGCGGTCCAGTTGGAGGGCTATCACGGCGACGTGGGGGTGATCGCTCCCGTTCACGATTGAAGTCTCGGCCTCTGTCCTGGTCACGTTCACGGACTGGGGATCTAGGTGCTAATGCAGGTTCTCTGGTTGGCCGTTCCACTACAAGGGCCGCCCTACTAGGATGGATGGGTGGTGGAGATGAACGACGCGAGGTGGCAGCAGATTCCCTGCCCGAGGCATCATTGGATGCATATGTAGGTCTAGCTGGGGATGGAGATCTACGCCTCCAGGTGTCTGCGGTCTGAGGGTCTGGACGGTCGCGTCGCGGAGAGGGGGAACGGCGTCGGTAATCGCGTGTGTCTCGTGCGGGTGAGTAGCGGCGGGGAGGGCTTTTGGAAGTTAGCAGGCAGACTCCTCGTTAGATAGAATAGTAGTGTACCTAGTGACCCGCGAGCGCGGTTCCTCATACCGACTAGCCCGTACAGGCGAGCGAACTCCGCGGCTCTTAGCTGGCGAAGGTTCGCGCTCTCTAGGCGGCGGAGACCTGTCGCGTGGGCGAGGAGATCGGGCATACGAATCATATCCATCCCGTCGCGGCGACCTTGCTCTATCGCCTCTATACGTATCGTCTCGTCGAGGCTCATCACGTCTCGGTGAATATATGCGACGGGGCGGCGAGCGTGGACGTGCCCTCCAGTTATCGTCACGACGCGGGCTTCGCGACCTTCTCCGGAAGGCAGGTGATCGACTTCGCGGACGGGACGAGCGACTTCCAGGAGTATAAGTATCAGCAGAAGCCAGACCGCGGCGTGGAGGGGAGCGGCCAGCACGGTAGCTGTCACCGCGCGGAGAGCGAGGACGAGGGCCAGGCGAACGAGGACGATACGTATTTGAGAACCTGTCGTCCCTATTTACAAGTTAGATTTCCCTCAACTCTATGTTGCATGTCGGAGGAAGTTTATTTGCTCCCTTGCGCTCATGCGCCGCTTTTGCTTTGACGAACCTTCGCTCTCCTCGATCTCGGTCCCTTTCGTGGTCCCTGTTCATTTTCGGCGTGAAGACGGTTTACTGTATCTAGCTAAAGGCGTGAATAATGGCAGTTAAATAGATAGAAGACAGTGCAAGCTAGGTAGCTCGTACGCGAGAATGGCGGCGTGGTGGGTTACTGACGTGTCGTGCGTTTGGAGTGTGCAAAAAGTGAAGTTCCAGGCCAGTCACGTGGTGTCACTTATAGCCCGGCAACGTGTGAGCTTAGGCCCATTGTCGACCATGAGACGTGAGATGGAAGCCTGCGATTCATCGACATCGCTTCTCAATTTTGACACAAGGTGAGTCTAGAGGCGAGTGTGTCGAGGATGGATGGGTGCCGCCGAGATTGTTCATTTCATAGGCTGCATCGTTAGACTGCATCTTGTTGCCCTTCAAAAGTCAGTCCCTTCTGTGTGACCCTCGCAGTGCCAACGTCAATGAGTCCATCTCCGTCATCTTGCCAAGTTCCGAATCTTATCTTCAGTGCCTCGAGTCTCGGAAGTCAGGTGTGAGCATCGCCAGCTCTCTTCTATATTCGGTCTGTACATTCCTGTGACCCGTCTGTTACTGAAAATGTCTTGAGATGTCAGTGCTCAAGTCTTGTCCATGGATCTAAACTTGCTTCCGAATTTGAAAGTGTCTCGTTCTTAAATATGTTCAATTGTGATCCATCGTTCACCACCACATGCAACGCCGTGTCCCAATGATGAAGCTTTGGGTTCCCAAAGCATCCGTGGATATCCCTAACGCCAGCCTGCTGCCAAAGCTCTTTTCATCCATCAATTGGAATCTTTTGTACAGTATAAACTTCCTCACTCTTAATCGTACTCAAGCTCACCGCTTGGACCTCCCCTCTGTCTCTCTTTTAACCCTCTTCCTGCTCTCTGCAGCAATCATATCTGCCAAATCGTCTTGATCAATGCTCTGCCACTGACCCTGTGCTTCCGCCTTCTGCCTTGACTCATACTCTTTCTTCAATGCATCTTTATCCAGCCTGTCACTATCCGCCAACTGGTCCACATCCACAGAGATGTCAACATCGCCAGCCTTGCGCTTCTTCTGCGCCTGTCCGAGAGTATCGCGTCGGGCGGCATCGAGATCATAGGCGTGCTCGCCACCAAAAAAGCCCGTAGCCGAAATATCCTTCTCGGGCAACACGGTGAAGGCGCTGCGGGGTGCGCCGGGCTCTTCGGTCTCGATTCCTTTGCGCTGTTTTCGAAGGGTAAACTCTCCACCAATACTCTCTGCACCCCCGATCTCGGATGGCATGGCCGATGCTGTGGTCATGGAAGTCTGGATGCCAGTCGCATCGTCTTCGCCCTCGTCCTCATCTTCCTCGTCCTCTTCCTCTTCGTCGCTCTCCTCGTCTTCACTTTCGCCCTCAGCTCGTAAAGCACCCCATATACCGCGCTCGACAGGCTCGCCGACGTGTGTTGGCTGTTGTTGCTCTTCAAGGATGCTCGTGCCATACAAGTCTCCACCAAACAGCGGCTTTCCTGAGTCATCAGTTGGAGGCTTACCCCACTGACCAGGCTGAAACCCCCAGGATGCACCGGGAGGAATGGGAGCATTCACACCAGGTATCCGCATATTCGGGTATGATGTGGGAGGGCCAAAGCGCTGCATGTTGATGAGCCAGGGTGGTGGATGGCCGGGTGCCATGCCGAGAGCTTCTCTGAGCTCCTCGCTCAACTCTCCCGGCTTGAGGTTCACGAGGTTTGTCTCGAACTCCTTCCCCTCATAATAGACCTCACCGTATCGTGTCAACTCTGGCTTCGTCTGCCGCCGAAAGAAGGCATCATAGAGCTTTGAGTAGTCGATGTCGAGTTTGCCGACCTTCCCCTGGACGCGCTCACGTTGCTTCTGCCTCATTGTCATCTCTGCCTGCTTCTCAAGTACAGCATCTCGCATCTCAGCGATACCAGTCTCCTGGATGAACTTCGGAAGCGCAAAGGGCGGCTTCTCAATACCGCGCTTCGACGACAGGTATTCACGTTTGAGTGACCAATGAGTCGGTACGGGTATGACGTTCTTGGCTCCCTTAATAGCGATCAACAGCGTCGGATTCGAGGATGACACGTCTGTCCATTCGACCAATTCGGGTCTTTGAACCAGCGACTTTAGCTGAGCGACTGAAAGTGTGTTCATTGCCTTCCTCTGCTTTCTGGATATCTTTGGCTTGTCGTCGTCCTCCTCATCTGGGATATCATCGTCATCATAAAAGATCTCTGGCTTCTCCTCATCTTTTGTCGCGGCCTCTTCTTCGGTCGGCTCTCGGAATTTCTCGAAGACGCTCCTGTATTGTTCGAAAACTGGGTCGTCAAGGTTGTATTGGTTCGCGATGTCATCGATGCTGAGGAGATCCGCTGGCTTTACCGCCTGTGCATCGTTATTTGTGTCGGCTTCTGGTGCAGGAGATTCGCTCTCACGCGCAGAGTCACCAGCTTCGGATGGGGTCTCCTGCTGAGCTATTAGTGACACTCCTCTAGGGTGTATAGTATGACTTGAGGTCACTTACGGAGCGCTTTTCCTTTTTCTTCGACCGGCGATAGGCGTTCTTATTCGCCTGCTTCTTCACTTTCGTAGTCGCGCCGGACATGATGACGGTTGTCGCGCGTTGCGGTGCCGCAAGTTTTGAGTGTCGCAACTACGGAATTAGTGTGGCCGTAGAGCTGTGAAACCAGCGCGACTCGTGGAAGGTGGCTTTTGCAAGAGATATAGGCGCGCGTAGTCCCTCTATCAATAAGATGATAGCGCGTTGTGCGAATTCTCCTAAGTGGGTGAGCGAAGAGGTGGAGAAGTTGCAGAATGATATCTGTCTAGGTTTAAGGCCCGGGCGCCTTGGCGATCATTCTTGATCACGTGATCCCATATTGATTCACGTTGAATCTCAACGTATCAAACTTGAATTCGAAAGTTCAGAACAAGATGACTTTTAACATCATTGACCAGTCCCAGGCTTAGATCAAGAGACGCAGAAATGAGCAGCTCGTAACACGCTGCAGTAACGTTGTGGAAGTATAGAAGCTTGATACAGTAAACTGGCATGGTCATATGAATTTGATTGTATATAGTATTGCAGTATTATCATCGAATAGCCGCCTGAGCGGTTCCATTATTCCTTCAAGAGACACAGGGATTTGCGGACGTATTGCCTACTCTTCACCCTCCAATGCATGTTCCCCTCTCGCCTTGCGAAGGCTTTATCTATGACCGATCCTTCTCGTCGAAAAGCTTCTGCCAGAAGCCTCTAAAGTGTTTTTGCTGCCCAATCTCATTGATCTCCTTAATCTCCGCAGGAGTCAACTTGAACGTCGCCGCTCTCAGATAATCACTCAGCCTTTGCTCTTTTGAGCTCGTGGTGATGGGCACAATGTCTTGATCGATACACCATCTCAAATAGATCTCGTTCTCACTGACTGCATACTTCTTCGTCAGTCGGCCCACGTAGTCATCCAAAGGTCCAGGCTTTGCCTTGGTAGCCGCAGTGAGAGGTGCGAACGCTGTGGTAGCTATACCATGCTGTTTGTGGAAGTCCAGGAGCTCGACGCGTTGTAGGTAGGGATGGAATTCGATTTGGTTTACAGATGGAACCACTTTCGCGGTTTTGAGAAGTGCGGTAAGATGGCTGGGGAGATAGTTGGAGACTCCGATACTCTTTGCGAGGCCGGATTTCTGTACTGCCTCCATGTCCGCCCAGGCCTTTTGAATGTCGGCATCTGAGCCGAACCACGGTTGATGTATGAGATACCTTCATCTAGTCAGCCACACAATGCCACTAATGTCGTATGGGAACAATCATACAAGTCAACATAGTCCAGCTGCAATTTCTTCAGACTCGTCTTGATCGCACCCTGAATGTCGTGGATGTTCGGCTTATCCACTTTCGTAGTCACAAACAACGTCTCCCGTGGGACGCCGCTCTCTTTGATGGCTGTTCCAAGCTCGGACTCGGTTTTGTACACTGCACCACACATAAGTTACAGTTTGATTAATAGTAGTCAGGGAAAGTTTTGGAGGCGTACTCTCTGCACCGTCTAGGTGGGTATAACCTAGCTTAATCGCTGTCTTCACAGCGTCGATAATGGCTTGATCGATCTTGCTCTCCTCGCCAGTCTTATACCAGGCAGTGCCCGTTCCATAGCCTAACATTGGAATGGAGGTACCATCGTTGAGCTTTAGCTTCGGGATTGTGAGATCCAACTTTGCCATTGTTGCAATGCTTTGTAGCCGCGTGGAGAGTAGGAGAATAGCTGGTAGTAGGAACTGGAAGTAAGGCTTGGAGTAAAACTGTAGTTGTGCAGATTGTATGCTTTTTAGGACCTTGGGTAGACTATAAGGGTAGGTAGAGAATCGAGAAAGGTGCAGGTTCGGAGAAGAGTGAAGCAAGTAGTCGACATGGCTTGTTGCGCCATCGGAAAGGTGGGGTGCACTGCAACCCTGACTGCAACGCGATTTACGTCATCGCAACTCAGAAGGCCCTAATCTGCCACCATAGAGTGTTTCATCGTGGTGAACATCCGACAAAATATTGCGTGGTGCGTGGTGTTGCTTCTTGGAAACCTAATCCCATATTCCAAGTCGGGGTGCAGACTAGCTACCTAGGTGTCAGGTTCTCGTCGTCGGGCGTATCTAGTCGCTAGCTAGAAACAGCATGGTTAAGATACAACAATAGTGTAGATAAGGGCAACTAGCAAGAACACTGAAGCATTCATGCTACAGTGCTGTTGATGGAAACGGGGTTTAATAGACGATGAATGCCTCGCAGTCATAAGTTCGAGCCTGTACAGGCGCATTGATGACGGTAATGCTATTTGGAAGAGCGAAGATACGCCAAAAAATGAACTTCAAGGGCGCTCCAAGCGATCGCGACGTTGCGTCCTTGTGCATGACATTGCTATAACATTGCTAGCCTTTGATGGGATGAGCCTGTACACAGAGATCAAGGCTTTCGGCGGAGCACCTCAGTCGAGTAGCCGCATATGGGATGCTCTTGGACAAGAGGAGGTCACAAGAAAACGGATCTCGTTGGACTCGTGCGCCGCGAATGTAGAATACCCAAATCCAGACTTATCACAACATCTATACGGGAGGTGTTCTAGCGAGCATTCTGTATCAATAGTTTAACGCACCAAGTAAGAGATATATTAGTGATTGCATCTTCACCCTCTTCATCTTATGATGCTGACAGGTGGATGCGAAGAGGGGAGATAGCGAGACTAGAAGTAGATGCAGGTACTAATGCTACATTTAGGAGAACCAGCATGCAAGACAGTAAGAAAAAGTCAGCTTGCGTAGGTGCTGGAAGGATCATGTATCGAGGTCGTCGCACCAGCATCCACACGATGGATGATATGATTCGGCACTGCCTTGTGGAACATGCCCAGTCTTGGAGAAGCTGGGGCATCAATAGCATGCAGTAGCGTGGGGTTTAAAGTTGCCGACATCGTCGTTGAGAAGACCGAATGCTTGGGATATTATCAATTGAATTGTGTAGACTGTAGATATCAATCTGGTAGCGCGTAACATTTGTTCGCTCCAACTCTTTGGTCACCTAGCGTCCTCCGACCAAATATCCGTAGAACACTCAAAACAGATCGCAACAACGACATCATGAATCTTGCTTCCACATGTCGACAAGGCCCAGAAGGCTTCAGGCTCCTTCCAATCACGGACGAGGCGATGGAAAATTCGTAGTTCCGGGGCCTCCGCTAGATTGTTGGCCCGAGCAGGCCTCCACCCCGAGATTACCCGGCCAAAAAAGGCGCTCCGACCAGTGTCTCCGAAAAGGAGAGCCATTGGAACTTGCACCGCTGCAGGCTGGAAATGGCATCTGGACACTTGTACAGACCCACAGTGATCTTTGGTGTTGAATTAAACGCTATGGCGCCTACCAGAGAGCAGTGCGTGCAGTACGCCAAAGGATATCCGATGTTTTGCTGCTACGGCAACGCCCATGGTCCCCTGCTTGAGATTGAAGAACCGGGAGCTGGGCCGTCGTGGGCTACTACTATGTCCAGAAAGACGTTTTGGCACAGCGGTTGCTCTGCGGTATGGTAGGATTTGGGGCACAGAGCAATCTATGTTCCTACCTAGGTACAGATGCTTTGCTAAAAAAAAACTCTACACTTTGCCTAGCCCGCATTTCCGAGGCTTGATGAGGGAGCTTTCGGGACAGCGGACAACGATGCTAGCACGTGACAGGACTAGTGCGCTTTGACCAACTCCCGCAGATTTTGTCGCAACTTCCCGTACAAATACCTTTCAAACCTTCAACCCCATCCACCTGCATCTACTTCTAATCTCCCTATCTCCCCTCTTCGCGTCAATTCGTCGAGATGTCGGGCCAACAAGATAAATCCGCCTTCGGCATGCCCGTAAGTCACTCACCTTCAGCGCCGCCCGCCAGTCCACTTCCAGCGACCATCAAGCCAGCAACGGGCACCTATCCATCTCAATGGCATCAAGCGAGCTTCCAAGCGAGCCTACGATACGACGAGATGGATCTGACGCCTCTGGCAATGTGCGCGTTAGTTGGCGGTTCCGCTGGCAGCTGTTACATTATTTACAGGCGACATGTGCTAACGACGATGACAGGGTTTCGTGGTGGACTTCTTGAGTACGTCCCATCCTCAATGGCAATCACCATCAGCCGCGAGTGCCCTTGGCCGCCGGATGTGATGCGAAGACCATCTGTAAAATTTTCTCGCATGTTGCGGCTGCTAACCTCTTATCTACAGTGGGTGGTGTTTCCGCCGCCGTCTCGAAGACCGCTGCCGCCCCCATCGAGCGTGTCAAGCTCCTCATCCAGAACCAGGTAAGATTTGTCTTCACACCGCATCCTCGCCACGAGAGCATTACTGACACAGCCCGATAGGATGAGATGCTCAAGTCCGGTCGTCTCGACCGCAAGTACGACGGTATTGGCGAGTGCTTCAGCCGAACTGCCAAGAACGAGGGTGTCCTCTCCCTCTGGCGTGGTAACACGGCCAACGTCATCCGTTACTTCCCTACCCAGGCCCTGAACTTCGCTTTCCGCGATACCTACAAGGCGATGTTCGCCTACAAGAAGGAGCGTGATGGTTACGCGAAGTGGATGGCTGGTAACTTGGCCTCCGGTGGTGTAAGTAGCCATGTTGAATTGGAAATGATTCTAGAACTGACAACATCAGGCTGCTGGTGCCACCTCCCTCCTCTTCGTCTACTCCCTCGATTACGCTCGTACTCGTCTTGCCAACGACGCCAAGTCCGCCAAGAAGGGTGGTGAGCGTCAGTTCAACGGCCTCGTAGATGTCTACAAGAAGACCCTCGCCTCTGACGGTATTGGCGGTCTCTACCGTGGTTTCATGCCCTCTGTTGCTGGTATCGTCGTCTACCGTGGTCTGTACTTCGGTATGTACGACTCGATCAAGCCTGTCCTCCTTACCGGTACCCTCGAGGGTAACTTCTTGGCTTCGTTCGCTCTCGGTTGGGCTGTCACCACTGGTGCCGGTATCGCTTCCTACCCTCTCGACACCATCCGTCGTCGTATGATGATGACCTCCGGTGAGGCCGTCAAGTACAAGGGTACCATGGATGCCGCCCGCCAGATCGTTGCCGCTGAGGGTGTCCGCTCGCTCTTCAAGGGTGCTGGTGCCAACATCCTCCGTGGTGTTGCCGGTGCCGGTGTCCTGTCCATCTACGACCAGGCCCAGCTCATCGTGTTCGGCAAGAAGTTCAAGGGTGGATCTGGTTAAGCGCCTTTCTACCTCTTCGATACCCCAACAACTTGAGTTCATGTGGTGGAAGAAGATAATTGCGGCGTGAGAGGGGATGAGGTGCGTGTGGTGGTATGCTAAGATTGTTCTTGGTAACGAAAAGCACGACCCGGTGGTAACACACCTTGTACTTTACATTGCCGGCAACTGTTTTTCCCTCACAGCATTCTGTATTACACACGACATATCCGGCTTGCATTGCTTGTCTGTTTACCACTTTCTTAACTGTGTTTCCATCGCTTGGTGCCCTGGGGAAAATAGTGGTTTATAGAGAGTCATTGGGTTTCTTTGTATACTGCTATCTTGTTGATACATATGTGATGTCCGTGACGCCTTATGACCGCATGTCGATCAACACCAGTGGATATTTTGCTTGTGCCAGAATCCTGAAGCCTACCAACCCTAGCTAAGTGTGACTGGACACATACCCGGGTTCTAATCACTTGTTTCGAACAGCCCTCCATGCGGCTTCCTCGCCCTTCTTCAGTGCCTCTCCCGCTTTACTCAACACGTTCCACGCAGCTGCTCCAACGCCCCCTTCCTCAGTCCCTTGCCCTTGGCCTCCACTCCCGCCAATGCCTCCCCCAGCCGTATACGGCGCATTATCAGGCACTTGCGTATACCCTGGCGGATGCTCAAGGCTTGTTCGTGTGGGCGCCGCTGCTGCTGAGTCTGCAGCTTGAAACGAAGACGCAGCGGGCCCATAGTTCAGCGTAGTAGGCCCGGGCTTAGACGCTGTGGTTGACGTTGTTGTGCTCCGGCCTGCGAGCGCTGAATCGGTGGGTGGTGGGGCTGTAAACTGTGGTGGTGGACCGCCTAGTCTTGTCTCCGTTGTTACCACAGTTGCTGTAGGACCGGGCTGTGGAGGCGCTGGCGACGCATTGTTGTTGCCCTGTGTCGAGCCTGTTGGTGCAGCTGGACGAGCGCCGGGTTGTGGAGGAGGAGGGCTTGAGGAGGCTTGTGTTGTAGTGGCGGGCGTGTATGCGGGTGTAGTGCGTGTTGGTGGTGGGTTGTTCGTCGCGGTTTGAGGGGTGATACCGTCGGCTTTGGTTGGAGCGATTGGAGCATCCTTGTGAAGGGTGATTGGCGGCATCGTGGACCGGTACGCGGCGTGTAGGCAAGTGATTGAAAGTTTCCGATTTGCAGCTGTGGTACTCTTGATGCGGTCGAAGAGTTGGCTCGTATGGACTAGTACTTATACGATTGACAGTAAACTTTCAAGTGCTGGGGAAGACGAGAAGGATGTCTCTACTTTAGTGGCTTGTAAATATAGTAGTACGTTTGTTGTTGCCTTGTGCACTCGCGCCTCGCTGGCCTCTTTACTGTTCCTCGGAAAGATGATTACCGTTTCAGGCGATGATGTCACTTGGCACGTGAAGCATACATTCATCTTGTCCCCGTCGAACCTCTCCTGCACATCCTCTCGAAATCTCCGATGCACACCTCTACTCGATATTCAAGCGCTTATAGAGCCCAGGGGTGCCCCTTGCCTTCGGGTGGCTCTATAGCATATACATTATTCGACACCTTCCATAACAGGACGATTCTACGAGACCGTAGTACTTCGTCCGTACATGCGCATGCACGGTCTTGAATTAAATTTTTCAGTCTACGTGCATATGCCGCCACGAGAGAATGTCACACTTAGTTCCAATAAGGATTGCCATCGATTGGATTGCATGCAACCCTCCCTCCCTCTCCAACCAGCGTTGTTATGATACCAGGGGCACTTTCAACCGACGATATTATCCCACATCTCTCAGAGGCGATGCTGGAGGGAGGTCTTATAGTATTCTGCCGTGCACCAAGTGCATCATGTTAGCCAGTCCGGTTAATTGTTTCAATTACATTACTTCCACATCACTACCATGCAGAGCTTAACATACCAGAGGTTTGCTTGCTTCCCGTTCTGGACTAAAGAGGGGAAATGCTCTAGGATCAAAAGTATCGGTTTGTTACCCTGCCCAATCTAGGACGAGGCCCATTGGTGCGAAAAGGCTTGAAACAACGTGCTCACAGTAGTTATGCTTGTACGGCTTGAAGGGAAAGGTGCGATGATAATGGTAGAATCATCTGTTAGATTGAAGCGAAGCTATATAAGAGCCCGCGTAACCTCACACAATCTTTTTCTTCAGTCCGTCAATTCATACAAGCTTCCCGATAATCATCAGGGTCTCCATAATGAAGTGCTCAATCGTTTCTCTCAGCCTCATGGCTATTTCCACTTTAGCAGCACCTACCATGACCAGCTTTAACCATGTCAGTCTTCCCAAGCGTGCTGCTCTGCTCGAAGATGTTGCGTCGACTGGTTATGCTACTCTAAATGGTGGTACCAAGGGTGGCAAGGGTGGCAAGACCATTGAGGTTGCTTCACTCAGCGAATTAGCTACAGCGGTCAAGGGAGATGCTGCTACTATTGTCCTCGTTACTGGCCCAATCCTGGGGAATGGTGAGAACGTAAAGATTGGATCAAACAAGAGTGTTATTGGCAAGGATTCCTCAGTCAGTATGTGTACCTACCATCGGTTATAGCATCAGATATATATGGCTAATACCATGACCTCCAGTTCTCACCGGATTCACCCTCACAGTCAAGAACGTCAAAAACGTTATCATTCGCAACCTGGCTATCACCAAAGTCGTTGGCGGCGACGCCATCGCTATTCAGGTTGCTCAAAATGTATTCACTGAGCATCTACTCGCTCGTGACACATATTGACTCTTCAATCAGGTCTGGATCGACCACGTCAATCTCTCCTCCGACCGCGATCACGACAAGGATCACTACGATGGCCTTCTCGATATCACCCACGCCGGAGACTACGTAACAGTTTCCAACACCGTGTTCCATGACCACTGGAAGTGCTCGCTTGTCGGCCACTCCGACAACAACGGCTCCGAGGATAAGGGCCATCTGCGTGTCACGTACCACAACAACTACTGGTACAATATCAACTCCCGTGGCCCGTCTTTCCGCTTTGGCACAGGCCATCTATACAACAACTACTACGAAAACGTGTCTGATGGTGTTAATACCCGCCAGGGCGCTCAGCTCCTTGTCCAGAACAATGTTTTCTCTGGGTCGAAGAAGCCGCTGTACTCTACCGACTCGGGTTACGCCGTTGCGTCTGGCAATGATCTTGGTGGCGGCCAGAATACGGCGTCTGTAGGTACGCTTACAAAGGTACCGTATGATGTTTCGGGGCTCCTTGCTGCTTCAGCGGTTAAGGCGACAGTTGTTCGTACGGCTGGTGCTACGCTCGTCTTCTAATAATAGTGCTCAATTATGCAGTGGTATGTGGGTAGAGTTAGGGAATATCGAAACGTGTTGAAGGAAGATTGTTTCTCGGGTGCAAAGGTAGACGCGGTCAGACTGTGATGACATGGAGCTGACAGGGACGAAGTGCCTTTGCTGAATATATATAGCTTGAAATACAGTGGATTATCTAGAAGCATGGATAACACACGGCTCCTTTATATGCCAACTTCGTAGCTTCCGCTCACCCAGAATATTTCCTTGCATCAGGGCCTGCGTTTCATTCCAGGCTCTTTTGCCATCCTCTTCACCTTCAGGATTTACCAGCTCGACTTCACCTACCGTTGCGCCGATTTCAAAAGTACCACTGCATAACGCGACTATGCCGAGCTCAGACTCTACAGACTGACCAGGATGTATAATAGGCAGCTTCTTCTGGAGAAGGCCAGTCCAAGAGAATCGCTTATCTAGGTCGAGGGCAATGTTATGCGGTAGGCCAGCGAGGTGAGGTTGTAGCCTAAGGATGGGTGAGATAGGATGCGGGCTACGGTTGCGTATTGTCGTCTTCATAGTCAAGAACTCGTTGACCGGGACCTCGAACTTGGCGCGACTAAGCTGCCGCACAGAACCTTCGCCACCTGATGCTTGGTAGTCAGAAGTGATGCTCGTCTCGATCATAATATCCTCAAGCTTGATCGCTTCCACCATGCGCGGTGAAAACCGGATACCGCGCAGTTCTAGGTCGCCATGACGCCCATTGCTCTCTTCTTTCCACATCCCACGTACGAGCTTCAAAAGCTCATGGCGATACCAAAACGCTTCCCTGCTTGCGCGCTCTGTCTCTGGTGATATCTTGCTTGTGCTGACAACGAATTGGCGCTGGTTTGCAGGATTAAGATATGGGATAGCGGCATGCGGGTTCTTTAGATAGATTTTCGGTAAAACCATGACGATTCTGTTGACATGGCCAGGTTGAATGACCTCGTTGACGGCGTATGCTTTGTCTCTAGATTGTTCTTGGCCCTCGTCTTCTGTACCTGGGCGCTGAAATTCCAAGGAGACGGATAGTGGATTGGGCCAGGAGTTGCGAAGATCTAGAATGAGCATACAGTACTCGTCATCGTTTCGTTGGCTCTGTATGTGACTCCGGAAAGGCTGCCAATGGGTATTGGCTTCGTCGGACGGGATAATTGTAGATAGCCCAGGCTCGGCTGCGGTGGCTGGTAGGGATGTGGAGGGGCTCTGCTGATGAGACCAACCGAAGCTTCTAGAAAGAGGAACAATGTCTGGACGCTGAAGCTGTACACTTGCATTCACGGTGATCGATATTGGAGCAGAGACTTGCCGAGTGAAGAATTGTTCCTCAACCTCCGATCGCCGTTTCCCTAAATTCGCATAGTCGATTTGGATGACAGCGTCTGTTAGGCGTGTCCGGCCAACGATCTCGATAGTGAAGCCCATCTCTTGCCCAGGCTGTATGCGGAGAGACTCTTCATCTATCGTCCTACACCAGCGGAAAGATGGGTGATACGCAAGCTGGACTTCCAGCTCGTGCAACTCAGCAGGAGGTAAATCCTTATTCGAAGTGGCTGCTTGAATTGCTGTCGTTGCAGAGTCGTGGAATGAAATGTGTACAAAATCGACAGCCGTGGTTTCAGAGGTATTCTTCACAGTGACAGTGAATTGTTTCTTCTCCCCTTCTAGCACCATCAATGCCGACTGAGGCAGGGATACATCAGTGATGACAACGACCGGTTGTTCGGGTATGACAGTGAAGGTCAGTGACTTGGGTCTTGGCTCAGTAGTCGTTTTCTGCTCAGTGGAAGGAGCAATGACCGTCGACAGAGGTCGTGACATTGGCGCTCCTAGACATGCTTTGAGACCTATTTTCTTCATTTTAGGTTCTCCTTTTGGCTTCCATGGTTCTGGAAATATGGAGAAAAGACGCTCTCGACAGCCGATGAGCTTGACGTAGCAGCCAATAATTCTCAGTGTTCCGGATGATCGCGCCCTTCCTACTATTTGAAATTTTTGGGTTCTGTAGGGACCGAGCAAGAAGTGTTCTTCTAGCGCAGTGAATTCAACACCTTCCGCAGCAATTTTCAGTGACTCTACCCCTAGTTCAAAGTCGTATGGATTCTGCAGAGATATGAGGAAGCGGTACTCCTTATTAGCAACCAGGATCGTATCAGCTACACTTGTTTGTGGCTTCTTGAGCCAAGAATTATGGAGAAATGGCCCCTCCTTATCTGTAGCTGTCGACTTCAGTTCCACCGGGCGATGGAGAGTCAAGTGCAAGGGTGCCGATTCTTCCAGTATGAACAGCCCACGAACCAGGAAGTCGTCCCAATACTCAGTCTCCACAAGATGCAGACCGAGCTTCTTCGATGCAGTTACTGTTCGAGTGATATTTGAGTAAAGCCGCGCTTGTTCTTCTCGTGGGAGAGATACGAAAACATCAGTGCTGTTGGGCCTTGGCGCGGTTCCAGGGCCTGCTACACGCAACAGCGAGGCGGTGAAGTGAAGAACACCGTTAAAGTCTGGTAAGGCTTCACAGAAGTTGAGGCACATGCGAAGGACCTCGAGCTTAAGACCGAGACTTCCGAACGCCCGCAAAGACGATATCCTGAGAATGGCATCTACAACACCCTGACTCGCACCGTCCAATACACTATCTGCACTGTGCTCTCCAGGATTTGATAGGGCCACACCCGGTATGGTGTCTCTCGAGTGCGGAATTCCGTATATCTTTCCAAATAGGCCTAAGAACTCATCGATGCCGTTCTCAACCTCACTCTCGCCAAGGCTGAGAGCGCCCACACCCGGGTTGATGCCCCCTGCTACGTTCAGGGCAGCTAGGCCAGCGGCTGGATGGACGCCCATTTCTGCAGCCCCAACTTTCCGAGCCTGAACAAGACCTGGGATAAGGGAAGTGATGAATTCTTTCATGACAATAGCTTTCTTTCTTTGCAGCCCCAAGGAAGCTAAAACGGATGCGACGCCGGCAAGCACCACCACTCGGTCTGTGGGTTTCATACCAGAAGCATCCACAGGACCAGGTAACGCACGGAAGAGCATCGACGCTATGTCATTTCTCGTAGGGTGAACGCTGAGTCTCGGGGCAGAAAGTCTCGGTTTCTGTTTATATGGTGTGTTTCGGACAAGACTTTGCAATGCATCCTCATCAAGATATCCAGCTGCTAGGTTCACCGCAGTCAAAAGTTTTGAAAATCGTATGATGCACTGAGAAAAGGCTAATGGCGGTAAAGATTCGCCAGCGAAGTTTGCCGCACGGGAATACAGGTTTAGTATCATGTTGACAAGGTCGGGAAGAAGAGAGTTGAGCCTCTCAAGTGCAGCATCATTACTGGAAGATCTTGCAGGCGCAGAAACGTCTGCAGTACTGCTCGACGGTGTATGTTGAGGTGTGTGTTGAGGTGATTTGCTGTTCGTTGTCTTATCTGATATTGGTTGGCATATTTGGGGTATCTGAGGGCGTCAGTAAGCCTGCTGAGGGCATGGATAGTGATACTAACCTGAAAATCCATGCCTGACCACGCAAACAACAGCATACAAACCATGATGTGCTCGAGAGCCTTGGCGTGCCACAAGTGGTCGCTGAAAGCACGAGCTCTTGTCCCACCTTCCGTGAGCTCTCTTATTGCCTCATGCCATTGTCCTGCACACATATACAGTGCGCCAATCACAATGCTAATGCGACCGCGGCCCTTGTTCCGCGCCCGTTCACCCACTCCTCCAGAGCCAAACCCGTGGATTGAAACTCGATCAGCTGCTAGATCTTTAGTTGCCGTAGGAGGCCTGGATGTGTTGCTGTTTGTTCGATGCAGAGTGCTTGCCGCGTTGATGCCAGATATATCATCAAACGTCGTCGGCGGCGTTCGTGTGCCTTGAGTGTTTGGTGAAGCAGCCCTCGAGTCCTCCGGAGTTAACGGCCCTCCTGAGCTTGACGGTAGTACAGGCATAGACATGCGATAATTATCCTTCTGGGTGTTTGGTATAGGTGACTCTGGCCTGCTAGTGCTTGGCGCTTGCGAATTACGTCGTGTAAATGGCGATGCGGTGAAATCCGAATTTGCCCAACTCGGTGTATTTTCTGCCGTGCCATTTTGTGAAGCAGGTGAGACCACGGTTGGTAAAGCTTGTATTGATTTTGCTAGCGTGGTCATCTCTGCCAGGAGAGTGGCAGTGAGATCGCACATGAATGTCTTCATCGTCGTAGTCTTCAGCCGAGACTTCGGAGGAATCAACAATGTCTCTTGGGGCAGAAGAGGATGTCGGGCTTGGGGTGATTCGAACATCATGAGACTATGGAGGTACGCCCTTGGAAACTGCTCCCGGAGGTCATCAATAGAGGACTGTATTGTAGTCGCTTCCTCGTCCTCAGGAGATGGCTCGCCAAACATGCCGTTTGGGACTCCATCTGACCCACGTGACGGCTCTAGCCATGCATATTCTGATGCATCTCCAATACCGATCACAAGAAGAGGCTCCCTGAACTGTTCAAAGGGCGACAATGACAAGTGAGATGCCGAAGGTAAAGATGTCGACAAGTCATATAGGAGCGTTCCACGTGGAAATGCTAAGGGAGAAAACATATCTAATCAATGCCAAGATCAGCAAACTTCGGACTAGACGCGCTCGTGGAGGATTCATACTCCTGTCAGGCCGAGGATCGGGGCTGACGTCTCCCAGTCGAACAAGTGATTGTTGCTGTAGGAGGTCGACATAGACTAAAAAGCTCGAACGCTTGATGCGACCCACGGGGAGGAGAAGGGCCCTAATGCGCGCAGGCGCGATCGGGGATAAAGGGTCGACTGCCATCGCCACATCGGAGACATGTAGAACCAGGCGGCCGCGAGTGATATGGTCTATCGAGAGGGTAAAGCTGTGTCGGGGGATGAATGCATAATGTATCGAATATTGAACGGTGAACGGTCGATCCCTCGAGCTTCGACCTTCTGGCGGTGGCCCGAACTAGCCACTAAACCCGTTTTGTGCACGGACGGGCCCCTGCGCAGCTGCGACATCTTCCGACCACGCTGCGACGACAACCCGCGATTCGTTATCACTTTCATACATTAGCTACGCTTTTGCTGTTTATTGTTTCCCTTCTCTTCTTGCATAGCGTAAGCATAAGACAGGAGTTCGTACAGTGCTGTCCTTCTAAGTTCTGGTTGTCCCCCAGCCTCGCCACCCACAGTTTCACACAATCTTGGAGACCGTCTCATTTCGAATCACTTTAATACCCTCTCAAGCGGCTGCAATCACGCAACACATTGCCTCAACACTGTGAATCAAAAGCCGGATGTCCTTGGCACGCCCTGTAACTTGTGGGGTTTAAGCGTAACAGTCACCGACAATATCCAGGCTGCAGCTAGAAACCTAGAAACTCGCCACTTGGGCTCTCAAACACAACATAAAGCGGACCCACGATGTCTGCAATAGATTTTGCGCGACTGCGCAACCAGACGATGGCTGATGGCTTCGACAGTGAGGTCACAGTAAACACACGAGCGTTGATAGACAAGGTCTTGGCACGATATTCCAGCGAGCATACGACACTGCGGGAGTTGATACAGAACGCTGCCGACGCCAAAGCGAACAAAGTCACCATTAGGCTTGAAACGGATCCCTCTCTGAATGTGCCCACTCCCCAGGGTGCCGATGACCCTGTTCTATTGAAGCACATTATTCAGCATCATACCTTGAAGCGACTAGTCGTCACCAACAATGGGCAGCCCTTCACAACCGCTGACTGGAGTCGTTTAAAGAGCATAGCAGATGGCAATCCCGATGAGACGAAGATCGGTGCATTTGGCGTGGGTTTTTACAGCGTTTTTGCCGACTGTGACGAGCCTTTTGTCGTTTCAGGCGACAAAACAATGGCCTTCTATTGGAAGGGCAACACGTTATCCACGAAGATCTCTACCGTGCCGGCTGGGCACAACACATCAGATACGATATTCTCACTCGACTATCGGCAAGCTAATCCAGCATCGCCATCGTACAATCCATCCAAGCTACCGAACCTGCCGACATTGTGTCAATTTCTTGCGACTAGTCTGACCTTTGTGGGGCTTGAAAGCATCGAGGTACACGTGGATGACTATGTAATTGCCTCTTTTTCGAAGAAGACCTCCCCTCCTGAGGACATCCGAGTACCACAAGGGTTGAAGGTAGAGACTGAGGGAGGGCTCATGCGGGTTACCCATGTCACACGGCACCACTCTCAGATAGATGTAGAGTGGCTAAATGTCATTGCGTCTGCTCAGAACCCACCGAAACGAGCTGCCGATCTTGTACAGCAAGAAGTTCGCAATGCCGGCACGACCTTACGGAGCTTCTTTTCTAAGTTCTCAACGCCGCCTCCTCAGGCGCCTTCAAAGGCCGCCAAGCCTCGACCCACTGAGAAGATCAACACTAGTGAAGAAATAGCGGGTGAATCGAAGGGAACAATCTTTCTCCAAGTATGTACCGTGGAGGTCGCCACACGTGTCTCGCGTAGTTTTGCAGCCGAGATCGAGCGAGCTACGAAGAAGGCGCCTCCAAAGACGACCAAGATCGCTCTTCTCACGTCGCCTTATCAAGACCCCTCGGCTACCTTATCAACAGGTTCCGGAAACACAGCTGAGCTAGCAACAAAGATCTTTGCTGAGGTGCTTCCGACCAAGTCTGGTCGCATCTTCATTGGCTTCCCTACTGCACAAACGACTGGATACCTCGCTCACATCTCTGCTCCGTCACTCATTCCAACAGTCGAGCGAGAGAACGTCGACATGAACGCGCGATATATCTCCACTTGGAACATCGAACTGCTGCGCGTAGCTGGGTTGGCGTGTCGTATTACCTACGTGTCAGAAATGGCAGCAATCCAAGCACGATTTGGAAAAGAATCAATAGAGTCCCTGGTACCAAGAGCAATCTATACATTTCAGCAATATACTGCGAATGCGTCACACCCTTCTACATCGCTAGGAGAAAAGATTGATGAAGCTTTCTGGATCTGCTCCAAGGAACGCTCGATTGATATCTTATCTACGAAGGGTGTCATGGCGAGCAAGAATGTGCGCATGCCCGCGGAGACCTTAAGTTTCTTAGGAGAAGTGCCGATGGTTCCACAAGAGCTGGCCAATGGTGCCGTTACGTTTATGCTCAACCTGCATAATCGTGGTTTCATCACAGAGCTCACGATGCATGACATTCGCCAAGGTTTAGAATCACGCGCTTTGAATGAAGACGAGCTCAGCGAGTTCCTTAAGTGGTGTGGGTCTAAGCTTGAGAGCGGCGAAATTGATATTCCTGGCTCGCGTAGCCTCTTCGAGAACACCATAGCCAACATCGATGTGCAGCCCGAAAAGACTTCAGGAAGAATTCTCGCTCTGGGAGACATAAGTACATTTGTCAATCCGGCTAGAATCACTCCAAGTTTGCCCCTCCCTCCCGACACTATACCTTTCACTTTTACCAAAGGCATGTCAGTCAAGCAGCTGCAGCTATTCGGCTGGATAGAGCTATCAATGGTTCGATGGCTCCGACACATGACTGCACAACCACAGCTAAACGATCTCGTCAAGGACGAGATTCTCACATCATCTGTGCTTAGTTTGACCTCGAAATGCTGGGAGCAGCTCGACGCCGGCGCCAAAGAGACTGTAGTCAAGATCTTGACTCCCCACCCTATTATGCCGACTAAGATGGGTATGCGGTTGCCAGCAGAATCGTACTTTCCGACCGTCAAGCTTTTCGACGATCTACCTACCATGAAGGTATTCGCTGGCTCAAAAGAGAAGTTTCTACTCGCTCTAGGTGTACGAAAAACGATCGATTTGCCTGTGGTCTTCGATAGAATGCGCAATCGCGACGCGCAGTCGGAGAAAGCCGCTTGGAATCACGTCGATCTTATTCGCTATTTTGCATCTGTCATAGACGAGATCCCGAAAAAGGATTTGGACCGCTTACGAGAAACGCCGTTCTTACCTGGCGAAGGTGCGTCCGTACAGCAGAGCCAGATGTTCAAGGCTTCAGATCTTTACGCTCCAGATCAGGCCATTCTGTCTTTAGGCCTGAATCAAATTAAGCTACCCTTCGAGTTCAAATCGAACCTGCGCGAAGGTGCGCTGCTGCTACGCTTGGGCCTAAAGCAGTGGCCAGACTCTTTCACGATCGCAAATATTCTTCATCGTGCCGGTCAAGCAAAGGATCCACAGCTCTACAAACTAGCTATGGAGTACTTCATACAGAACTACTACAAGAACAATTACCCTCTCGAAGCGGCCAAGTTCGCGGCTCTCACGCTTCCGATTCTTCCTACAGAGCAAGCGCCCTTTCCAGCGTTGGTGGGACCGTTCCAGTGCTATACCAATGAAAGTGCCGCTTGTCTAGGTTTCGCAATCCTCAGGAGCGACCTCCGCCCTCATGCTGAGAAGTTCGGAGTTCAGAAAGACCCTAGCATAGGCCCATGCGTGCAATATCTGATGAAGACACCACCAAAGAGCAAGCTCGACGCTGAGATGCAGTTTGCTTACTTTGCTTCTCGTGCGTCCGATCTAGACCAGTACAAAGGTATCATTGGAAGTCTTTCGACAGCCAACATTGTCCCAATCTTCCGTAGGTACTACCTTGATCCGAGTTGCAGTGGGTTTGAGGACAGGACGAAGCCCCAAGAGGGTAAGACGGAAATGCGCATCCACCACTATGATCCGCCCGAACACGTTTTCGTTGGCCGCGATCAGGAATACCGCGGCATACTTGATTACGTTCAATATAGCGCCGAAGCAACTGCCTTCCTTCTCAAAGTGGGAGCGAAGCACGAGCCAAGTACACATGACTTGGCGACTTTGCTCGCGAAGAATCCCGCTCGATTCCTCAACACCATCGGCCAGGAAAAGTACCTCGACTTGCTAAGAAAGTTGGCCGAGCATACATCAGACTTATGGAAGGATAAGGAGCTAGTAAAAACCCTTGTCGCCTCTAGAATACTCCTTGGTTACCGGGATATCAAGGATATAGCGAAGAAGGTTGACCCTGATGACGAGGACTTAGATGACCTTGACGAGCCTAATATGCAACGCGAATGGTCGCTCAATCAGGCTAAGGAGATCGTAATAATCGACAATGTCAACTACCTGATCAGGTTTCGCGACTTCATCATCGCCGCACCCCAAGAGGAGCTGCTTGAGGAGTTCTACGCGCGCTTTGGTGTTCAGAAAGTATCCGAATTAGTTAAATCAGATCAGCGCATTGGAACAGTGGTCCGCGATCAGACTCCTGCTCAGGATTTACGAAGAGATATACTGGAGCGTGTGCGGCTTTTTATTCACGAGTATGAGCGTGATGCATCTCCTAAAGCAATTAGGCATGATGCGAAGTGGCTCGGATCCAATTTGACTGTCCAATGCGTGTCGGACATCTCAATACGGTACTCACTTGCAGAACGCAATGTTGCAACTTCTTCGAGGAAATCAGCTGCTATCATCAAGGTACGCGGTACCGGTTATGTACTGAGTGTCACACCGAAGTATGATCTTTATGAGGTCTCGAGCGAACTCGTGAGATTGTTGATTACGCGACCAAAGCGTAATGACACGATTGCCCTGGAACGAATTTTGACTGAACCGCTGCGTCGACTGCAACAGAAGGGTATCAATGTGGAGCGTATCTTACGCAGAAAAGAACACGAAGCCCGTATAGCGAAACAGCATGAGCAGGAGCGCGAAGAAGAGGAGCAACAACGTTTAGTCGAGCAAGCCAGGTCAGGGCTTGTGAAAGCAGAAGAGAGGGAGAACATCCCGCCTGCGACACCTGAGAAGCCCACTCAGATGCCTGGCTCTTTCGGGAGTCCAGATACAGGCATGGAAGTCGCTGAAAATAATCATCGTTCAGCAGAGAAGGGACTGATCAACAATTGGGCCAAGAAACTGGGCTTCAAGAACTCGCCCAACCCTCCTTCTGGTGGCACTGACGGACCTCAAATTAGTCGTGATATTCAAGCCACGAAGTCGAACATCCAGAATGCGATCAAAGAGTGTCGACCTACAGGCATGTCGAACATCAACGCGAAGCAGCACCAAGATCCGACAGAGCTCGACCGAGGTGGCTACTGTAACGGCGAACAGTGGGAAAACTTGCACAAAGCCTTCTCCATCCCCTTCGCCGGCCGCCACGTCGACATCTACTACGGTCGCGATGAATTCGCACCGCTCACAGACCTCGAGATCCACTTACAGGCGTTTCTGCCTCTCATCTTCGGCCTCACCACGATCTTCAGTGTCAACCCCGCTGCCGTCAGCATATTTCTCGACAGGAAGTCTAACACGGTCGCCTTCAACCTTAACGGCAGTTTGTTCTTCAACCTTGCGTGGTTCATGACGTTGCATAGTGATGGGTGGGGAAATCGGGAGGGTAGGCTGAGGGCACTGGACAGCTGGTTCTTCACGTATTGTCATGAGCTGGCGCATAATCTTGTGGGTGATCATAATGCAAGACATAGTTGGTACCAGCAGCAGATTGCTATTGAGTACAGTCAGCAGTATAGGGCTGCTTTAGAAAACTTCACGCAGAAGCTTTTGATATGAGCATGGTGAATACGAACTGAGTATGGGAGTTGTGCGTGGGCATCAGTAGAGCTTGGTAGATGTATGGAGTTTGGCTGCATTGCGGGGCGTGTCGGTTTTCGACAATTTATAGAATATAGAAGTATTTTCTCAATCATCCTCATTTTCCTTTGCCGTATTCTTTGTTCACTACGCTCGTGTTCCCCCGACGGCTTGAGATCGGAGTGGCATATCGAGCAAGTATACTCGCTTGAATTCATCAAGCTTCATTGCTTGTGCTCTTTCCATTTCGCATATTTGTCCATATAAACGGGCGTCATTGCATTCAACCTCCATGTGTTAGGTAGGCACAACCACGGAACCGCATCATGTCGAGACTGCCTACCATGGTCAACTATTACTTATGGCGCACTTGCCTTAGTTAGAGGGATTACAAATAAATCGACTCTAATACACTTCGATAGACTAGCGATAGCTTAATAGATAATCCTCAGGGTAGCAGTACTTGAACCCTTCTTTCTTATTCCCTAGCCGGTGAAGGGCTTCACCTGTGCCCTCTCACCACGCTTCGATTTCTGGCAACCTTGGAAGCATAGGTGAAGGTCCTTTTGATATGTTTAGCGTACTTTTCCTGCGCAACCCGTGCGTATAAAAAGACTTCGCTGCCCGCGACAATCATTTCTCTTCTTTCTACTCACACCTTCGGCTTTCCACTATTTAAACTTTCAACTACGATCCTCCTCTCAACATAACGTCAAGATGAAGTCCGTCGCACTTGCTGCAGGAGTCCTCGGCCTCACTGGCCTGGCCTTCGGAGAGAAAACTACGACAATCTACGGAACACGCACGCGCCGCGGCGAGCAGCCTGCCCCTACAATGACTCTTTCTGCTGTTCCCTACACAACCGTGACGGATTGCTGGTCGACTACAGGTACATCAGCTTGTAGGACCGAGACCCAAGTCTGCCCGTTCGGATCAACCACCACGCTTCAGACGTGGATGTCCAAGGACTGCAACTGGTCCGACATGATACGCACTCCAAAGCCGAGCTTGACTTGCTCTACAACTTCCTCGACATACATGGCTTGCTTGACCACTGGTTCGGACCGGCCTCTCCCCATGCCGAGCCGTAGTCAGCGCTTGGTCGCGAACCATGCTCAGGCTGTCCCTACAACTACGGAGGGATCAGTCGTTTCCACTAGCTCGACGCTTCCGCCTCCTGTACCTACGAGGACGAGCAGCAATATGGGCGGTGGTCGGAGTCAGCGCGGGTTTACACATCACACTACCACCGACAGTGGAGGCCGCAGCCAGCGCTGGGTGGCAGATGAGGCTCAAGCCCTTCCTACCACCAACCTTGGTAGGCGTCATAACCGCTACGTCAAGCGTGTTGTTGAGGCTGAGCCTACGCCTGCGGCTGAGATGCTAGAAAAAGATATGGTAGCTTAGTTGGTATGTAACTTCCTCGACTATTTACTCAGTACGGTTGCTAAGGAGTTTGACAGAATTGACATATATGTCCAGCCTGAGACATATCCTGCAGAATATGGAGGACGGGTATATCTGGAGGAAGTAAGTGGTACATGGCTTCACAAAAATTGCGTGCGTGGTGGACGAGGGTTATATATCTTCCCAAAAGTGCTTTGATGATATATAGGAGGACAGGAAAGGTTGTCTTCCGCAGTATACTCTCAGTCAGCAATCGAGAAAATGAAGCGGTCATAACATCTGCAACGTGCCTTCTGCTACTAAGAAGTGTGATTTGAATTCGCTTCTTTGATCTTTCAGTGTCATCTATAACCGCCCGTCTACCTATCTTCCTATCCCCGACATCACAACCCAAACCCCTCAAGCGGATACTCCAAATTTTCAATGCTCTCCGGATAAGCCAGATCAGCCTGCCTCCTCACCTCATCCATAACCTTCATCAACGCTTCCGTTTCTTCGAGCGGAATCACGTCGCTTTCAAGCCGCCCGTCTCGAACACAACGCGCACACTCGTCCGCCTCCCAGAACATGCCATGCCCACCACCAGGAATTTCGAAACTTTTCGTTTCGTGTTTGAAAGAAGCTAGTGTACCTCGGGCCTGGCTCGCCGCCGGCGTCAAAGTATAACTCCTTGGTCTCGGCGCATAGTTGACCGTCAAGTCCCCAAACGTACCTTGTATACGGATCGCATCAGGGGCAGGAAGATCGGGGTTGGGAGTAGTTGCGACCTTGAAATGGGTCAGTTTTAGCTCTTGACTGTGCGTGCACTATGTTTTCGCAGCAGCTGTGGTAGGCCTATTTGTCTTTACTTACCTGTATGCTGGTTGTAGCTATACCTTGTGCCCCCGTTCCCGGGAACAACAACAACACCGTAGTCGTTTCGTCCGCGCCTGTGGGCTTGTACTTTGTCACCGCCGAGCTCACGTGCGGCGCGACCTGCGTCTCCTTCGGCTGGACATGATACAAGGCCATGAAAAGCCAAGTTAGAGAGTATATGCCCACTGTAACAACTGATTAGCATACTGCTTCTCGCCCTTACCCGTCCTGACATACAATCTAGTAGCGCACCCCCCGCCAAATCCAAATTGACCATGCGATGCTGATTCCCAAACTCCTTCTCGACATCATTCCAGAAACTGAAATCTGCAAATACCCTCTTGACATGACCCAACTGCCCGCTACGCACAAACTCGACCACCTCCCGCGACAAAGGGAAGAAACGCGTCCACACAGCCTCCATCAGGAACCGCCCTCTCTCCTTGGCCAGATCGCGGAGAATCCTGCATTGCTGGGCATTGACGGCGATGGGCTTCTCTAGTAGTACGTGTTTGCCTGCCTCTAGTGCCAGGCGGGCGTGTTGGTAGTGGTGGCTGTGCGGTGTCGCTATGTAGATGATATCTACACCTTTGGCCTCAACAAGCTCGCGGTAGGAACCGTACGCTTTTGCGGAACCAGGGGCGCCAACCTCGTTGAGGAAGTCCTGTGCACGTGCTGCCGATGTTGAGGATGCGGCTGCTGCGACTTCGTGGCGGATATCGCCGGCATCTCGGGTTGTGGGGTCGATGAGGAGGTCCTTTGTGAATGCTGGTCGATGTTGTAGTTAGACGGGAACATGTGTGTAGGAAGGGAGGTGGTGGGATGGTGTACTATTAGCTATGCCTCCTGTGGCTGCAGATCTATTAGCATGTAATGTGCAGGTTAAGAAGCAGTGCGTACCTAGAATGCCCCACCGCAGAGTAAACAGATTTGAAGTCATCATGGAGTGTCAATTGAATGTACGATTGAAGTTGAGGAAAGCGTTGAAGGGCGCATGCACGCCATCTGTACATTAGTTTCCCTCGGAGGGTACGCCTGCAAGTATCTAGTTGCAGGTACACGTGTAACCCCAAGTGGTACGTTTACGCAGCCCAATACCCCGCAGCGGCATGGCGAAGCATGATGTCTGCATACTGAGGTCCTAGCTAGCGGAGATGCGGGAGCGTTTCCGCCCCCAAAATCCTGGGGCAGCGGAGCCGCTTGTTGTGATATAATGTCGAGGTCGAAAGGGAGCCCAACCTTTTGTAAATCATGTCCATATATTTTCATGGTATATACAACGTGTTTTAGATGACTGCGACATGCACGTTTCCCACCTCTCATGCGTGGATCTACACGCACAATAATATAACCCCCCAAAATTGCAATTACTCCATGTGGTATCTGCTTCCGCTCTACTCCGCCCGATTCCTTGCTTGACTTGACGACAATCTTTTTAGATAGCTCGTAGTGTGTTGCCTTTATGTGCATCACCATCGTGGCCTACCTGCCGGCAAGCTTCTTACGTGCCTGAATGGTGTAGGCGTACAGTGCGTCCTTGAAAGCGAACAAGAATGCAGCTGTGATGACACTTTGAGTGACCTTGGGCCCAATGCCTACCAACTCATTAGCACAAATACCTCACTTTGGCACAACATGTAGCACGCTTACCTCCATACAACCCAGTATACCCCTCTTCCCGGATAATCCTCCTGAATGTGGTCAACATATCCTCCCTCGGCCCGTCCCTCCCCGCGACATGCATCCTGCTCTTGACCGTAATATACGGGTACGTAATACTCGTGGCCAGCAACTTGCCCAATGCTCCTAGGTAGAATGCATCCTTGGGCGTAACGCGCCTCTTCTTCTCCAAAAACTGCTTGAGCTGCTCAAACACGGTATATTGCAAGATCGGGTTGATCACCAAGACCAAAGCCGGCATGACGCCAGCAAACAGGCGAGCGGGGCCTTCGTCGCGGATGAGGGCGAGCACCGTGGCTAGGGTGGAGGGGGCCTTGGAGGGCTTTGGTGCGCCGGGGAGGGCGTCTTCTGAGGCTTCGGATTTACGCGTCGTCATGCGTGTGTTGACTACCCAGATGGGATTGGTCATGAGGACGGTTGCGCTGCCGGCGAGGGCGCCTGCGAGCATGGATTCAACAGTGGTGAGTTTCGACGAGGCGCGACCGGCTTTGAGCGCGGCTTTTTCAAAGAATGAGCGCGTCCATTCGTACCCTTGACGCTATCAGTACTTGATCATGGCTGGTGTGTATATGGGCTCCATACAGTAGTAGTAGACGAAGTTCGTGACGCCAATGCCAAACAGCGCAGAGTCTAGGCCTGCGTAGAGTCCTGCAATGCCCTCTCGCTTTATGATGCGTCGCGCCGCGTTGAGGGTCGAGGACTGCGCGCGTTTCGATTCGACCTGAGCGCGTGTAGATAGCGTAATGAGAGGATAGCTAGTTGCCATTAGCAAGCAACCTCGCTGTTTTTATCATATACATACGTCAAAGCCATGGAAAGCAGCCCTCCTCCAGCGCCAGCTAGCGCATGCGCAACATTATCGCTCTGCTGAGCTGCGGTGCTTTGCGGCACTGATGCCGTCGAGTCGGCGAGCTTCTCCTGCGCTTTTTCTTGAGCTTGAGACATGTTGTTGTTATCGAGTCGAGTCGCGACGAGGTCAAAGGAGGGGAGGCGCGGGGCTACTGCGGCGGCGGCGGGAGGAGATAGCGATGCAGGGACTGCAGGTGCAGGTGGTGGTAAGAAAGAGCTAAGATAGAGAATTAATAAGAGACAGATGTTCAAAAAGGAGTGCGTGGTCAAGTCAGCGTCCCTGGACAGTATCTCCGCACTTTGAGGTGCGGCTCCGTTGGCTTGTGAACGTCACTTCACATTCCCGGGGTACGTTTACAACCGAGGTAAGCAGCTAGTCGGATACGGTAGTCCACCATCAAGACGTGCACATGTGCAATTTCCCCGTGTTCATGTGCTAACTTGGCACCATGGGGTCGCAAAGCCATACAGAGCTTATCGTGATGCGCGATGCGCGATTGGGTGGTGTTGGGGGAACAGTGCAGTGCTCGATCACGTGGGCTGCTGAGCGCAGGAATTTGTGCGGCCCTTTTCGCGGAGGAGTTGATTTTTGTTGCACTAGTCTATGACAATGACTAGGAAACCCGGCGTAATCACTGATAGTGAGCTGAAAATGTCTCCTTGTGTCCAGCTTGCTCTCACCTACCGCATGTCTTCTTCTCCAAAGCTCTCAAGGGCACATACAACAGCGCTGAGAGCACGATAGCAACCTCAAAGCCGATATTGCCCGTAGTCTCTGCAATCGGACCAGTGTACCACGTCTGCCCCATAGTCGGAATAACCAGGCCAGAGCACAGCACTGCAGCGCCAATAGCAGCGAGGCCTGGCGGAAGCTTCTTGGCATCATCCCATGCCGTCTCGTCCTCAGTATACGACGCGAAACTTGCCCGCCGGAATAGCAAATGCTCTGTAAGAACAATGCCGATGAACGCCGAGGACCAGTATCCGATAACTGCAACAAAGTTCTCTAGGTTCACGAAGAAGCTCTTTGCTGCTTCGACGGCAACGCCAATGACGATGCCCGTGATGAGGATGCTGAAAAACACTCGTGGAACGCGGAACAGCCATGGGATGAACATCTGCAGGTTCAGGGTGACGCTGTACATGGTGGCTGCAAGGTTTCCAAGCAGCGAAAAAGCCAGAATGACGGTGACGAAGCGGCCGAAACCACCTGCGGGATGTAGCATGGCTGCAAGAACACCACTAGCTGCGTTGGAGTCGTAGCCAGCCTGCCATTCGGGGATATTGGGTGTTGCGCCGCCCATGGCTGCGCCGAGTGTCATGAGCAGGATCGTTGGGAGAGCAAGGCCGATGTACGTGTACATTGCGATCCGCAAACTGGATGCTTTGGGATGCATGTATGTCGAAAAGTCGCTTGCGAGTGCGGCCCAAGGTAACATGAAACTTGCCACGAGGCCACCAAATGACAGGACTTGCGCTGCGGTAGCGAGAGGGGCTTCCACCTGCTGGCTCAGCAGCTTCCCACCGCATCCCGCAGCTACGATGAGAGCAATCAGGGCGGGAATCCATGCCCACTGCTCGTACATGTGTAGCACTCGGAAGCCGCAGAAGGAGATGATCAGTGCGAGGAGGCAGATGATGACGATACCAACCGTCGCGCTGATAGTCTCCCCATCTCTGACAGCAGACAGTGCAAACCCGCCAATGATGCTATCGACGACGCAGAACCCGGTGAGCGTGGCAAGATTCAGCAAGATAAGTACAGAGACGAGGTACTTTCCAAAAGAGAAACGGGCCTGAACCAGTTGTCGCATACCAGTCTTTGGGCCCCACGTGCAGAGATAGGCCACTGGTGCAGTCGAGATCAGAGTGAAGAACAGAATGACGAGTGAGGCATCTCGGAGGCTGAGACCCAAGTTCATGGTTCCCACCATGCCAAAGGTGACCCTGTGGATATATTAGCATCTGCACGTACTGTTACGGTGAGTGGCGGTTGCTTCGACTGTGCACGTACGGTAAAGGATTGCAGCTGAGGCAGAACCACAGCGTGAATATGTTGAAGTACTTCGTCTCATTCCGTTGATCATACGGCACCGGTGTGCAGCCTCTGAGCTCGACATCTCCACGCTTCTCCAGAAAATTGAGCATGCCTCTCCAGCCCCCGACTCTTGCCTGCTTGCCAGGGCCTACTTCCATATTGCCCTCGTCTATGTTGGGTCCTTTCGTCTCATCTTTTACCGGCATTCTACTGCTCTCGACATCGTCCAATCTCGCCATGTCTCCCAGCTCTTGATGGCTACAACCTTGTGCAACTTCGTGATTCGAAGGTGCTGTTAGGTAGCAGCTCGGGGATCCGAGACCGTGGTACAAAAGGCCACTCGTAAATACTTAGTGTATAGTGTCTTACTCCCTGAAAGCCATCATCATGGATATGTGCTGGAGTCATCACGGCTCTGTTCCCGTAATAGCTCCACCGAAATATGACTCCACGGTGGCGTACGCAAATTTCTGCCCCTACGGGTTACATCCTGGACTAACCGACGGCGGCAGAGAAAAAGTTATTGCCGGGCTTTTCACGATCTGGCCGACCTCCAAGCCCACTAGACCAACCATAGAAAACTAACCGCGATCTCATCTCATCAAAGTTGTGATTGGTACCGCTCAGCTGCAAGAGGAAAAGCGCAGCGAGATGCAGACATCGGACAACCTTTGCCGAGTCTCGCCGGGAAGTGACCGACCGCGTCCATATCGTGTAGTACTACGGTGCTCGTTACTCCGAGATCGTTCGTCGGCAGAGGCCAGCCGTTAGTGATGAAAGGGCTGTCGAGTGTCGTGTGCAGCATGGCTACACCTCCTTCACAAAATCCTCCCTCCAGGTTTTGTGAGTTGCAGTTTGTGAGTGCAGATGGCAGTCACGGGTGACAAGCAAGAACCTCCACCTGTAGACGAGGGTGTCTTGCGTCCGCAGCCAACGTCTGAAGGCGAAGTCGAAGTGCCATATAGCATTTACACAAGCAAGGAGAAATGGCTGATTGTTGCCATGGTCGCTTTGGCGGGATTCTACAGGTACGTCGTGAATCTATCCATCTTTACGATCTACTCAGTCACTATACTAATTGTAATAGCCCTCTACCAGCGAATATCTACTTCCCAGCCATACCGACCATTGCCCGCGCTTTTCACAAATCAAACGATGCTATCAACCAGACTGTCACTATTTACTTGGTCTTCCAAGGCATCTCACCGATGCTTTGGGGTCCCATCAGCGATCGCTACGGGCGCCGACTGGTCTATCTTGTTTGCCTTAGCATCCTAGTCGCCTCCAGTATCGGCATGGCGCTTTGTCCGACTGATCGCTTTTGGCTGTTGCTGTTCTTGAGATGTTTCCAATCTGGAGGTAGCGCGAGCACCATTGCCCTGGGTGCAGGCGTGATAGGCGACATCTCCACGAGCAGAGAAAGAGGAGGCTACTTTGGCATGTTCAATCTCGGACCCATGTTGGCACCCTGCATTGCTCCAGCTATGGGCGGAGCATTGTCGCAGGGACTTGGATGGCGCTCCATCTTCTGGTGTATCGTCATCATGGTCGCTGCCTGTCTGCTTTGTATCGCACTGTTTCTCCCAGAAACTCTCCGGTCGATTGCGGGCAATGGCAGTATCCCCGTACCTCGCCGCCTTCGTGCCATTGTCCCACTCGTTGGATGTAAAGCTACCCAGGAGGCCTTTGATCCCGAATCGCGTACAAAACCCAAGCACTCAGTCAACCCATTCGTCCTGTTCACGTATCCGGATGTCATCGTCCTCTTATCCTTCACTGGCATCGTATATGCCGTAAATTACACCATCACAGCTACCATCTCGTCCGCCTTCGCGAAAAACTACCCACACCTCTCGGAGACCGTGTTGGGCCTTTGCTATCTGCCTGTTGGTGCTGGCATGATTATAGGAAGCACGATGACGGGCAAGATGCTGGACTGGGAGTACGCACGCATCAAGGCCAACGCAGACGACAAATTCACCATTGAGTACGCACGGCTGCGCATCATGCCTTTCTATCTAATCCTTTTCGTCATCTGCGTCGTCGCATGGGGGTGGACCATACAAGCAAAGGCGCACATGGCCGTGCCCCTGATCCTCGGCGTCTTTTTGGGTTGGACCTCGATGGGCATTCTCAACTCGACAATGACGCTCAACATCGACATTCTACAATCACGTAGTTCCGGAGCGACGGCATGTACAAACCTGGTCCGCTGTTCGCTCGGTGCCATATTGATCTCTGTCATCGATCGCATGGTCAATGCGTGGGGTGATGGCTGGACATATACCTTCTGGGGTGGTATATGCGCTTTATTGCTTCCACTGATGTTTTTAGAGATCAAGATGGGACCAAAGTGGCGGATGAAGCGAGAGGCAGCAGAGAAAGAGCAGACGTGAGCGATTTTGAGTTTTCGAGAGCGGCCGAAGCCAAAGCATGATACCCCTAGAGATATATACTATATATGTTTATGAATTGACACGTACCTTTCAGTCCGCACTCAAGAGGCATGCGTGAATCTCTTGATGATTATATGCAAACACATTTAGCCTGTCAAAGTAATCTTACAAGGAAAGGAAGCATCGACAGTAAAGCACTCTTCAAACTGACAAAGGCAGAGCAAATATAAACTTGATAACCTCTTCGTTTTCTTCATTGGATATCGTATCTCTCAAGCCCGGATCTTTTCGATCCCTGAAAGACGACCCCAGTTCCAAGCCTTTTCTCTTGACATTTTTTCAGCCATATTGCTGGGATATACAAATACATGTGGGGAGCATAGCTGCAAGCTCCTACGCCACTCCAAAGATCAACGCAAGACCGGACACACTGGGCAGTGCCTGCAATGAGAAGACGCCGACCATACTGGTACAGATCGCTCAAGTAGACGCAAGCAAGACTAAAGATGACTTGTAAGGAAAAGGGGTCGGCGATGCCACCTGACCCGCCTTTGAAACGCCGTCGTGATTCTCCTGATATCATGCGCGCATTATAGGCATAACCGGGGAAGAAGACCTGCCTGCTCACTAAGTAGTAGGCTGTGCTCCAAACTCTGCACCACCACGCCCTCTCGGTGCACCGCGACCCCGGAAGCCAAAGCCCCGACCGCGTCCACGACCACGGCCGCGACCTCTGAAGCCACCGCGGTAGCCATCAACACTACCTTGGCCAAATGTCTCCATGTTCTTCCTACGTTCCTCAGTGCGGAACTCCTGGCCGCGCCTGCTTGCGGCTTCATCTCGGTCCTTGAGCTCGCTTGAGATGTTGTCGAAAAAGCTGGACCCCTTGTTATATGCAGAGGCGCCAGGGATGACAACCTCGTCTTGGTCGTCATGCTCATTTGACTGGCCGTTCGATTGGGCCTCTTCGGTTGGAGCTACGGCTACATCCCCTGCAATAGCTTCTTTGACCAGATCCTGCTTGTTGAACTTGGCATTCGCTGACTGAAAGTCGTAATCGGTTGTCGGTACTTCCATCCTTGGGTGTGGTGGGTGACCGCCTCTTCCACCTCTTCCGCCTCGACCACCGCGGAACTCACCAGCACTAGTTCCTCGTTGGCGATGCTGGCGATTCTGGTGTTCTCGCATACCCTCAACCTTCTGTGCCAAGTTGTTCATAGGGTCCGAAACGGGTGCCTGCCCCTGGGCCTGACCTTGGCTCTTATTCTGAAGGTTGAGCTTGGCCATAGCTTCGGCAACGGCAGCAGTAGCTAATTGCGTCGCATTTTGTTGTTGCGCAGCGGATGCCGCGGGCTGCTGAGCCTGTGCTACAGCTTGTTGCGCATGTGGTGCGGTCTTGGTCACCTTCGGGCTGGCAATGGGAACGGCAGGGACGATGCGGCCACCCTTTGGCCCAATGGGTGCTTTTGATGCTGCAGCAGGCTTCTGACCAGGCTGCGGCTGTGGGGGTGCAAGCGCAGATGCTACATCTGGCTTCGAGTCAACTGGTGGCGGCGGAGGTTGCTTTCCGGTGGCAGCAGGTGTCGACGTTGCTCCAGCTGGCTTCGCGCCCGCCTTCGGCTCTGATTGTTTAGCGGCGCCGTCAGCTTCAGCGACCTTTGGCTGCGATGTAGCAGACTTGTCATCCTTGGCTGCTGGGGGTCCTGATGGCGCAGGGCCTCTCGGACCTTGCGGGGCCTGATTTGGGCCTTGGTGTTGTAGGCCAGGTGGGCCAATCGGCATGTTAGGCGAGAAGGGACCAGGAGGCCCATTGAAGCCTTGCCCGGGCGGGAACCAGCCCGGAGGAGGAGCGCCAAAGGGAGGCATGCCAAACGCGCCAGGCGGACCTCCTGGGAAAGGTCCAGGGCCACCAGGAAATGGACCTGGTGGGCCGAAGCGGTTTGGGTATGGGCCCGGGCCACCAGGGCCACCGAAGGGAGGATAGCCGCCAGGCGGGAAGTGGCCATGTTGCGGGAAATTGGGCGGTGGTGGCTGCCGTTGCTGGTCTTGTGGAGTGCTGTCTTGACGGGGCTGGGACTGTTGTACCTGTCGCACATAGGTCGCGTCAGCAATGGAGCTATGCAGAAGCTTGAGGAAAGAATAGCTTAAAATGCGAGTGTCTCAGAAGGAAGGCAACGGAAAATATCCACATGGTTTTGCGCTCTCGGTGGGTTAAATGATTTACATCCGAAAATTTTTACATCATCGAAATAGAGGTAGAGAAGAAGTTTGGGGTTGACTTACTCCTATGATGGCTGGATCTTGGGGCATCGCAGGGGGAGCTTTCTCTTTCGCTGGCTCCTCAATGCGCAGATCTTTCACGTCACTGCCCCGGAAGACGATTTGCTCGTAGACGACATCTGACGGCGGGTACTCGTCCTTGCCGTTTTTGCGACCTTCAGTGCCGAAGGAGCGCACATTGTCTAAAGAGACTGTGGAGTCCTCTGAATTGATCTCGACGAGAGTGCCGACATAGCTACGCAAAGTCAACTGACGTGGCCAATGGGCCTTCAATCGAGTGAGCGGTACCGAATGTCACTCTTGGAGATGAGCGATATGCGAGATCTACGGCCTGGACGTCAGCGGGAGCTCAAGCTCGATGGACGAGGCTGCGACTGACCCGATGAACTCGGACATGGCTGTGGAGTGGGTATCAAAACGGGGGTAGGGGAGAGAGTAGAAGCTAAATGGAGAGTTGGCGGATGAAGGAGAGAGGGTGTGTGTGGAGTGGAGGGGAGAGGAGGAAGGCGTGGGATGGTTGTGAGGAAGGAGCGATGGTGGTGGGCTGAAGAGAGAAAGAACTTGGCAGCTTCAGCAGCTTAGCGAGGGCGAGGCGGCGGCGGCGGCGGGCTCGGAGCTAATGGTACGCCTCGTAGCCTCACGGTCGGCCTAACGAACAAACTGCCCTCCCTGCCTTTACCCCACACCTCACCCTCAACCTCAACCTCGCTCACCTCATGTACCTCTCTTGCTGCTCGCCATGAGCGTCGCCACGGATGGGCCAGAAGACGTCTACGAGGCTCTTGAGCGCTACAATTGGGACGACGATGTCGAGTTCCAGTCGGGCCTGAGTGCCATTCTCGGCAGCAACAGCTCGCCCGAGCAAGCCGCAGAGCTGGGGCTACGGGCACGATGCTTCTACTTTGCACGGTAGGCAGCCTGATGGCTTCGTTTGGTGACGACGACACAGCGTGCTGAACCCCTGCAGCAAGTTCAGCAAGAACATCGACTTCGATGCCTACAAAGCCTACCGCCACGCTCGCAACCGCCCGCCACCAACACCGCCTACCACGAATGGCGCACTGGCTGCTCCCATGCTAGACCCCTTGGTCCAGGCAAGCTGCGACACAGCTGGCGGCCTCCTGCCAGCGCTTGCGAGCCCGAGCGAACCGCCAGCACCCTACCCAACCTCGTTCGCCCAAATCGTCGAACTCATCACCAGTGGCCAACCAGTACCGGGAATCAAAGAGGTACCGCCCACGGTTTTGACGGGACAGGGCACACAACCCGCTCAGGCGAGGCGGAAGAAGCCATGGGAGAAGGATGAGCCTGCGCCAACCACCCAACAAGCGCATCAGACGGTATCCTAGGACCTGCTGTATATGAGGGAAGCCATGGAGAGGAGCAGAAACATCTGTTAATCATAGATACCCATATATGAGTACATATCGCTGCATCTAGCGGAGCATTGCATTAGAGAGGAATCATGAAGCCATATACCTATACCCCTTGTTTCAGTGCTTCACGTAGTGCCCTAAGGTGTTTGTTGACTGTCGACAATGATACGCTCGGCACCACTCTTCCAATCTTCAATCCGACTTCACTACATGCACAGGAAGATTACTCAGTATCATAGGCACCACAGAACACATATAGACTATAGACTTTACTAGTCCGGGATTCAATACTGCCTGTGCTACAATACCTACTGCGGACGTCGTATCCAACCCCTCAAATACCGCCTCGTAAACGTCCACAGCAATGGACTATGGTAAGACAAGGAAATGAACGATGCTGCGCCATAGAGTCCTGAGAGCAAATTATGCTGGGTATAGTGTGAAAGTAAACGCCGCTAGTGGGAAACACCAGTACAGCTTGCAGAGAGTGACCCCATATGCTACGCCGAAGTTCGCCAGCACATGTCTCCATCAGATCAACCAGTCCTAGGAGCATCTAACAATGCCAAAGCTCCTGCTGTCCATTCCAAAAACCCTAGAATGGCTTATCGATGCCATAGATGTTGTGTCAAAGTGAGAAATGCGTCGTGTCAGCCGTAGGTCACGGAGTTCATATCTTCACGTTCCCTCGTCCATGTCGTCGCCGCTAAAGGGCGTAGGCAAGCTTCGCGAGTCGCCATCATGCGTACCAGCATCCTTGTCCGTGCTCTTCTGGGGTGTCGGTTCGGTTAGCATAGTGTCGTTGTTGCCGTCCACGAAACTGTCCTCGTTTGCATCGACGTCAGTAGTCTCCATGGCAGATTCAAACACGCCATCGTGCTCGTCTTCGATAATAGTTGGTTCCTGCGTATCCATGACAAGTCCTTCACTCTGCACGCCACCCAGCACGTCCAGTTGCCCATTCGCAATAGGTTCGAACTCAGCTTCAATCCCGCGCAGAATCTCTCTGACATCCGACCGCAAATTCGTCTCTTCTGTGGTCTGGATCATAAGAGGTTGGTGGTGAACCACGCCGCCAAGGACTTGCATGTAATCCCTATTCATCTGCAGGAAGATGTCATCGGCTTTGGTTTCCATCGAGTTCTGTAGGGCCTTGCACATCTGGCCAAGATGCTTCTCCACAGTCCTAGTGGCTTTGTAAAACATCTCATGTCTCTCGTGTTCTACATGATTCTTCATGTGCTCCTTCATGCGCTTGTAACTTCCTTGCCCATGCTCAAAAGCGCAGACATCGTAAACCGAATGCATGATGTTTGCGATGGTTGGAGTAAAGTCGCGATTAGCTTCACGTTGCAGTGCAGTCATCTGCTCTATGAGGACAGCCCCGAGGTCTTTGTAGAGTTGCTCGTACGTCTGGATTTGCGTCTTGAGAATAGAGAGGTTGGCTAAGCTGACGCCATTTTCATGGGCTCGCTCCTCAATGGCTTTATGGAAGGCATGAAGAATCTTGCCAGAATTCGCGATGTAGGTATCAAAAGCCCTGGGCAGGCGGCGGGTGAAGGTACGCTCCCAGCCTGTAGCTAATTTCTTGAGTATTGGGTTGACACTGTCACGTAGTTAGTACTAGAACGGAAAGAGAATGACAGCGCATAAAATAATGTGAAAAGGCAACCAAGCGAATCTTGCCGAGCAAAGAATAGGAAGTCTATACTCACAGGTCAGCGTTGAAATCACGGTGGCCGGCGGTCGAAGAATGGTAGGCACCATTTCGCCTAACGACAGCTTTATATGTCGCCCAAGCCAAGCCACCCATATCTTTATAGCCCCATGCGGAAGCTGTATTGGGCGCAGCTTCGATAGCGTCGTTTATGAGCTCCGGGTACTTATCGAAGATTTGGTTTTTCATTTCTGCCCACAGCTCCTGGATGCAGGCTCGGACAGCCTCCCGCAGACCGGTGTCCAATTCTTTCAACCTTCGCTTTAGGTACTCAACCTGCTTGCGCTTATCGTCATCTGTCATCTTCGCGTCCGTACCATCGGCCGATACCCACAAATTGAAGGTCGTCAGTAGCTGGCAAAGACTAAGCAGGAAGGTTCGGCAGGTCTGAATCCTTCCACCTTCGGTAAGCTTCCTACAGTGGGCTTGGAGCTGTGGAATCTCAGTCTCTTCCGGTGTTAAGAAACCAGGGACATTGTCATCCTTTTGTAAGCGTCCACACATCTTCTGATATGCTCGACCACTGACGCAGAAGACGGGCAAAGACCTCGCGACTTTGTCATAATCTCGCAATTCTTCGTCAGGATTGAAATTATCTTCGTCTTCTTCAGCGGCGTTCTCTTGGTCTATCTCCTTGATGCCGGCGGCGAAGTCTTGCTGAATGGCGGTCTTTGAATACTCATTGCGTCCGGCAATGCAAATGCGGCTGACTTGACCCTTGATGTCAGCAATCTTCATCTGTATGTCACGAATAGACGGTCTCAGCTCCTCGATTGAGGCCTTTATCTGCGAGCCTTCGCGTCTGGCGCTCTTCTTCGTTTCCCTCAACTCTTTCAATTTATTTTTGATGTCCGCCTCTGTGAGCCGTGTCCGGGTCTCTTCAAACATCACCTCATCGTCGAAATCACTGCCATCCCCGGATCTGTCGTCATCGGAGGCAAGAAAATCGTCATCATCATCATCATCATCATCATAAGTCTGCCTTTTCTTTCGAGACTGCTTGCTCAAGCTACCCTTCCTGCGCTTGTTGGTCTTGGGTAATGGCGCAAAGACCACATTTCCCTCATTCAAATTTTCCTGAAGCCCCTCCCAGACTTCAATCTCGTCGGCCGTGTTCCTAAGACCAAATTGGTGAGCAGCTTGCGACTCTCTTAGCTCTGTGATCTTGTCCTGAATGGTCTCAATCTGCTGCTTGTACTGATCTTCTTGTTCTTCAAACTCCGCGACCTCATCTCCCAGCTCCAGACTGTCCATCGCCTCTGTGATGGAGATATCATCTGTCTTCGAGCAGATGAAGGTTACGCCTGAGAACCCGCCATCATACTTGAGTTGTCGCTTGAACGAGTCTCCGAGAAGGGTCTTGGCAGCCTTGTCGTCGACTGCTCGATTAATCGGAGCGACGATCCAGAGACCTGTGCATTGTTTCATGTAACCTTGGGCAACAGCAGATCGGGCTGCGTTTGAATCGTGAATACCTGGAAGATCTACGATGACAGCGCCTGTCGACAACGCGGAGCTCTTAGTGTAAATCTTGACGACTTTAATCAAGGGCCAGTACTCCATCTCGAAAGTCTTCTTCTCTCTTTGTTTGCTCTTGTCCTTCTCTTTGTCTCTTTTGGTAATCTTCTCTCTGCTGTCGACATATTTCTGTAGCTCTCGGTAGAACGGGCCAGGCATAGCCGTACAGATTTCCTTAGTGGTTCCGAGGATGTTGACAACGCCTCTCTCGGACATGAGACCGGGAACAGTAAGCTCACCTAAGGAGTCCTTAGGTAATTTGGGGTAGACAGAGTGAAACTTGGCCCAAGCAATGCCTGCGTCTGAGTTTGGATCAGACGCTTCTCGCGAAAGAGAGCCATTCTCAGTAAGAAACTCTTGTGTTAAGACGTTAAGTTCCTTCTCCCAGTCTTTCGGGCTAATGAACTCAATTTCTGCTCGGTATTTGGAGGAGGTATCCGTGCTGTTGTTCCAGGAAATTTCCGTAACAACCGCAGTACATGCGCGCATACAGTTCGTTGGAACGAGTCGTTCTTCGTCGAGCATAGCGTTGATGACACTACTCTTACCAGCTCCGGTATTGCCCACAACTCCAACAACTGTGCGTTTTCGCTCGGCTAAAGGTACCAGCTTTTCGATTGCTAATACCCACGACTGCGCGTCTACATGAAACAAGGCATACTGAAGGAACTTTTGTCTCAGCTTCTCCAGAACCACCATCGATCTGGCCACCCCTGCATCGAGAATATCAGGATTTTGCTGGTCGATGATTGTCCTGATATGACGATCTGTGAGCGGCGATTCGTCCTGGCTCAGAGGGGACGGTTCGCGATTGAAGAGGCTGTCCGGATCGAATAGATGGGCCGACTCCTTAACAGGGGTCTGGTATGGCGGCGGAGAGTGCCTCTCCTCTTTAACACCATTCCATTTGGGGCCAATTGCAGGCTCATCGATGACGGTTTTCAGCTCGCTATAAGGTGACTGGTATGGAGCAGGTTGAGCAGCGCCCTTGGAGGCATTTTGTGCATGTTGGGTTGACAAGGGCTCAGGTACCGTGTTCGATGAACTCTCTACTCGACCAGAAGTCGGCACATGTGACTCTCTGTTAGATGGGAATTGAGGCGAACCAATTGTGCCGTTCTCTTGATATTTCGCGATGGGTGTCATAGGAGGGACCATGCTTTGCGCCCTGGTGGAGGAGGATGATTCTGCACCTGCTGTAGCAGATCCGTCCTTCGCACGGGAGGCAAGGGGGGTATGAGTAGTCCCTTGTGTACGGCTTGCGATATCAGCTTGCAGGTAGGTGCTGCCTTGGAACAACTGCGGATCCGAGGACTGCACGCGTGTATAGGTCGTATCAAGATCTGTCGCCAGAAACAAAACCAGGTCGTCGCCAGGTCGCAGGAATGATCTGACGTTGTCGCTCTTGTCCACTTTTACGTCTTTGAATCTAAGCTGGAAGCCGCGGTTACCATGTCGTTTCTCGTAGACTCCAATGATCATCTGGATGGGTATTTTCTATAGGTGTCAGTGTTCTACTAACATGTTCTAGATATGCCAATGCATAACAGTGTTTGCTCGAGGCAAGCGGTGTCAAGGCTCTTAGTGACAACTGCGGGTGTCAGATACTTACACTGTGACCAATCATCCAGACGAAATCATCTCCTTCCAGCTCCTCCTCTAGACCTTTCTCATGGTTGAGCACGCCGATCCAGCATCGCTTTGGTTTCAGCTCCTGCGAAGGAACAACTGCCCTCGCCCGCTGCTGGAAGCCGTCCCAATCCATCATCGCAATTTGATGACCTAATCGCTGTCGTACAAAGGGTCACTCTTGCGGTGAGATGTGCACAGTCGCATGCGACAAGTCTTGATACGCAAAGCAAGAGCGCGTCTTGCAATTGCGAGTGAGATAAGGTAGTAGAACAGAGGCAAGTCTGTAGAGGAGGACGCGAGGAACGAGCGAGCTATGACCGGCTCCACAGATTGGTATAAGTGACAGTGACTAGGGAAACACGGAATGATTTAGGTAGCGAACCGCGGGGAAACGCGACGCGTGCCTTAGCGCCCATCGCGCCAAGTCACGTGAGAAGTCTGTGCGTCAACAGCGATTTCTCGCGATCTCGCGGTGAGGCACAATTTCAGCCATCTGGTCCACGAATGCAATATCAGGACAGTGTGATTATCGTGCTCTATACGACGTATATGCGATTACGTTCCTTGAATACAGATGGGAACACCACAGAGCGACGGATGGCAATTTCCGCATGGTACCCTCTGGAATAGCGTGTGGCACTATAGCGCTGCTGGTTCTATACCAATCTCGACTAGCCCTTGTAGAATGCTCAATTTCCTTATTTATGTTTCAGCTATTCATGAGGTACTGACTCCACGCAGGGCCCTCCATCGCGATTCAGCTCTTGCATAAATCATTGAAACCCTCTAGGTGTCTACGTGCTACACTTCAGTACGTAGGTAGATGCCGTCTCACTAGGCGATATAGAATAGCAAGTAGGTAGACGACGAGATTCCTCATCAGAGATAAGGCATGGGCCAGAGGCTCACCGAACTTCCACTACATCAAAAGGTTGTGCCAGCTTGCACAATGTACAAACTTCCCTTCTAGTTACCTGTGGATGGTTCAAACGTTTGTGCATGAAGCTAAAAAGACAATGCCTCTGTTTCCCCCTTCTTCTAGACTCTCCCTTAGCCTTTGGCGACTAAAGACGTTGTGTGTTATATATGTCTCGGTTCTTTGTTCCATTGTCTTATATCGCAATATCCACAATGGCATTGTCTGCGTTATGTATACTAAGACGAATCATCTCGAATACAGTTCAACCACTTCAGACTTCATACTTACAAACGATGACCGATCAAACACCACCACAAAAGAAGCCTACTACTCCCAAGACGGGCTCCGGCATCAATAGTCTCATCGCAGCATGCAATACTAATGACCGCTTCAAACTTCTTGAAGACGACAACGTACTCCCATCGGACCTAGATAATTCCATCCATCCCATATTCTCATGGTTCCCTTGCAACGGACGAATGAAGCAAATGCTCCAGCTCGCTTCGCAATTCATCACACACGACTCTCTTCTTGTTTTCTTCGTACCACTATTATATGGACGCGAGTTGACCGGTGCCATTAATGCCACAAGCAAAACATACCTTTCAGATCCCCTAGCCAACGTTCCTGAGGCGAAAATTACGGAATACATAGCTGGAGTCCGTGAGGCTCTACATTGTCTTGGTCACAGCATAGTATTTGAGTTTACACCACCAGCGAAACGGGTATATGCTCGCACGATACGAAGCAATGACAAGCCGACGCACACTTCGACTTGCTGCCCCGCATTTCAGAGAAGGTATTCCGCTAAAATCGAGATTGCAGATTACTTCAGGACTTATTACGACGATGAACGTGGCTACGCGGCAGCCTCCCGCTGCGCTCAATTCCGACATGATTTCCTGTTCGCCTCAACCCTTGTACACGAGCTTGTGCATGCTATCGGAGTTCTGCGTCGAGGTAATCTAAACGAGCCACACATTCGAGCTGACTGTCCAGATACCGAATGGGGCTATGGTTGGGAGCATTTCATGTTTGGTAGCATCATTAACCCTCAAGATAGGACGGGACATGGCACGCATCTACTCATGCGAAAGATTTGGTCTGACCCGAAGGTTGCAGATAAAGCTGGAGGAAAAGAGTACTGCGACGTACCTATGTCTTATATTGCACAATGGTTCCGCAACAAGACATGGGGCACCATCGACGAACATGGCCCGACCGCTATCCCACCACCGACCGCTCACTTCAAAATCCAGTCTTCAAAGAAGCACTGCGCTTGGGTTGTCGCAACCGACTGCCCAGAAGTCAAGTCCGATCTCATAGCCCTTCACAACGGTTGGAAAGAGTACACTCAAAAACTCCAGCTTAGTGCTCGATCAGCTCGAGGCTCTTCATCGCCACCAGCTGGCGTATCTGTGGCTACTAAGATCTTGTGGCGTCTTCAGACAACAGAAGAACTGCAAAAAACAAACGTACCGTTCATTGTGCGTATACCGAAAAGGATGCAACAGTGCCTGACTTGCGGGCAAGAACTGGTAGACACCAAGCGTACCACCTGTGCGCCAGCTCCCCAGCAGGCACATGTCATGACTGAGTGCCTGTCCTCATCTCCAAGCTGCTCATCCAGCCCATCCAGCTCATCCAGCTCAGATCTCTCCCGAAAGCGACGAGCAGAGTCACCAAGTGAGTGTGACCGAGCCAGGAAACTGATCAAACGATGAGTATACCCAGCCACACCACCAATAGTGGAGTCGACTCTTAACATGAACTCAAATCTAGAACATTTCGAGTAACACGGTATTAATCGTAATAAGGTGACAGAGCACTCTGGCCCGACCGACGGATCTTCAGCATGTCTACAAGGTAATTATTGCATAAGGGAATATTTTTCGGGGTTTGCATTATAGACATTTAGCATTCGCATTAGCATTAGCATCGATTACATTTTGATTCCACTCAGTAAATCAAACATTGAATCCACCAGCTCAACTTATGGATACATCCTCCATCCCAATACACCAGGCATTACTAAGGGCGCACTAACGGCTATCATGACTTTCTAGAAACCTCTAGCTCATTCTAATATATCGATTTTCGCCCCAATTTGTAGCAAACAAGTATAGTCACATGCATATCATCACACAGTCTATCCTAAAAAATCACAATATAAGATCAGCAAGACTACTCCCGACCCTGGCGTTCAGAGAGCACATTGCCTACACAGCCGGTGACTCCCACATGCCACCTGATAAACACCTTGCACATCGCGAGGACTAGATCAGCTCGCTCGTGCCGGTTCAGATCTGCTCAGCTGCAAGCCCATGCCCAATCTGTCAGGAAGCGTATGGAGCGAAACACTCACCGGTTCTCCTCCCACACTGTGGACATATTTTCGGCCGGCCATGCATCCTGAAGTGGCTCAAAGAAGGCGCGAATACCTGTCCGATGGATCCAAAGCAACTCTTCACACCATCGAATCACGTTACATTGGAAGATGAGATTGACCTTGAGAACTGGTCTTTAGTTCCGGTTCATGTACCCAGTGTTCTGACCGAGAATAGGAGAACAGCAACAAGGCAAACAAACGAGAGCGCCTACTATATTTTCTTCGGGGTGAAATCATTGGCGTGAACGGGCGACTTATTCTCGAAGGATGTAGCCGCTTTGTTCGACATTTATGGCACACCACATGCTTTCTTTTCCAGCAGATATGGCAAAACGCAGACGAGCTGGGTATCTTCTCCATCGATAATGACTACTACGCGGTCCGATAAATACCGTTAGGTGTTATTGTTCCAAACAGCGCATAGCCAGTGCTGGTGGGGAAGGTGAGGATTATGCTGGTGCGGCAGCTCCAAGCATTGGAAGATAGCTGGGTAGAGGTACTGATGCCGCGAGAGGTATTGGAGAGATGCGCCAACGAACTTTGGAGAGTTTGTAAGCGGAACGATACGATTGATTTTAGGATAGGTCCTCAGCACTGATCAAATCGAATTCATGAATAGTTGCCTTGGAACCATTGAACGATGTAGCCTCTGTGGCTTCAAAGCATTCTACGACTGTTGAGTGTACTTACAAAGTTATGCGAAACCATCTAGCCCTATATTTGGTGTCAACTAATAGAATGTTTAGGGGTTTGTCGTGCACTAAATAGTGCAGCACCTGGTGGATCTTTGTTGCCGATGGCGTATAAATCCCGTGCACGAACGGACGATATCTAATGCACTTGGTAAAGAATATGTTTTTTTCAGTGCATGCCGTAACGCTCTAATATACATTTTATCACCCGTGCCCTTCCTGTCGCATAGATAGGAATGACTTAACCCCTCTTCGCGAAACCAAAGATCGAGCGGAATTGCTTGAAGGAGATATCCATCCCACCTTCTTGCCCCATCCACTCAGCATACTTCCTGATCAGCTCATTTTCGCCATTGTCGACCTTTTCAGCCACAATTGGAATTTCTATCACACCCCCATTAAATGTATGAACACGTGCAAAATACTCGACATGGCCCGGGGTGTGCGTGGGGTCGGGTACATTAGCGGGAGTATCATCTGTGGTGCCATTCATGGGTTGGACAATGACTGTGGGCTGCCTCGGCTCTGATCGTTGAACCGGAGAGCTCGTTTTGCTAAGTCCGATAGCAAGTAGGTCGTTGGCTGAAGGGCCCTCGTGGCCAGCATTTGTATCCTCTCCAGTCATTAAATCGACCCTGGGTGATGTATCGACACTGGATTTGGGTTTAGTATCGACTCTGGGTGTTATATCTTGTCTAGGAGTCCGTATATCCTCTCTAGGAATGTCGATTCCACCCATATCTACATCTTCCTCAGCTGGTTTCTCTCCTTCCTTCGGGGCATTTGAAATGGTCGCTGCAGAGTGGCGTGTTGTTCGTCGGGTCGTCATTCGGGGTGTCTGCTTCTCTGTTGCATCCTGTGACGATGACTGCTGCGTATTCTCCTCGGTTCCTTTGTCCGCCTTCTGGTCGGAACACATGATCTGCTCTGATTTACGAGGTCGGCCACGTTTACGCGGTCCCTGCTGTGACAGAGGTTCACTCTTTCGCTTATTGGGACCTCGAGCAAGACCTGGTGGAAGTCTATCGAGGTTCGATGCCACCGCTTCAGCTTCGGCGGCGAGGATTCGTGATGGAGTAGAGCCTGCGGCGAATTAGCTACAGTTATGAAGAAGCCATGGTGGGGTAAGTGAAGAAAAGGAATCGTGTTGGAAAAGTAGGAATATCGATATAGATAAGGGATTCATAGAGCAGCTTACTGTTTGATGTGCCGTTGTGGAAGTGAGTATGGTTGTTAGGATCACTATTAGCTGCCCGGTCGGTGGGCCTGTCATTACCGCTAGCGATAATAGAGGTAGGCGTGTCGGCCTTCAAGGTAGGTGCAGCCTGGGCACTCAGACTATTCTCGAGCTCATTGTCTTGAGATGACGGAGAAGGTGATTGAACATAAACAAGAACATCGTCGTCGGTAGAGGCTCGTGACATATGTCTAGCCTCTGTAAGAGTAGTTCTCATGGGCGCGAGAGATTTCACTGGAAATCGTTAGCAAGAATGAATCTGAGATGAGCTGCATAACGATCACCGTGTTAGCGCGCTCGCCATTGAGCATAAACTTACTATTTTTGACGTCCTTCACCCGTGCGCTGCCTGACTTTCCCCGGGGCTTCGCTGAAGCAGGCGAGGACTTATCCTTTGGTAGATAGCGTCCATTCGGGCCACGGACCTTACCGCCGCCCGCATCTCGCAATCCTTCTGCTTCTGACTCAATGCTGAGTTCGGGCTGATCGCTCATCGTGATAACATCCAATGGCTCTGAAGATGAGACTTCTGATACGGCTCGGACCATTTCAGGTTCGTCGTTTGGCGCTGGCTTTGATAGAGGCATCGCTTGGATCTTTGACCCGGAAAAGATATCTTAATGTCGTGGTTAGTAAGATTGGCTTAGAGAGGGCAAGGCAAACGCGGTGAAAGCGAAAGCGACAAAATGATTTGAGGCTACGATAGCCTGTAGTGGGGCAAATCTAGTACTGATTTGGTGGTCAACGTACCTGTAGATGTGGGAAGTTCTTGTGGAGAATTGGCCTCAGACTGTTCCTCGTGCTCTTGCTCTGCTTCCAGTTCCTTCAGTGGAGTCGGCTGATTTATCGAGTCCGATTGATCTTCAGGCTTTGCTTGCTTCTTGGAGTTGGCAGGAAGTGGAATAGGTGTCTGTTGAGAAGGCCGAGGACAGTACCTGCTTGGTTGCTTTCTGCCGAAGGGAACTTGAAGTTGTGGCGCCGGAGAATCTCCATCTAATAGAAATTAGTTGCATGAGATTACACGTGTCCAAAACGAATAAAATACTCACGTTTTGTTGTATCAAAGCCATTGGTGACGCGCGAAGCACGCGGCTCACAGTTCATGCCTAGCAGACTGACACCCGGAGCAGCCTCGCCACGCGCATTGTTCCTAACAGTAGCCGAAGGCATGGATTTCCAACTTCTGTCGAAGAAAGGCCATTTGTCTTGGGCTTTGTTGGTGAGCGATCGCACCCGACGATAAGCCTTGTCCAGATTTTGGAAGCCTTCTGTTGTACGAATCGTCCTGCCTCCTTGATCGATGGGCTCATACAAATAATTATCCTTGACCCAATTGGCTAGAATGATGTCCTCTTCCGCTTCACTCTCCCTAAGATACTGGTGTATGTCCGCCAACGTTTTCAGGTCAACAAAGCCGAACACATGTTCAGGAAGCACCATAAAAGGTGCGCTATTGTCGGACGGGTTATATGGAGTGTTTGAGCTAGGAACCATAGCTGTGCGAGTGGTTGGTGGCTGTAGATGGCTAGGAGCGGGGGTTGAAAATCGGTATTGGATGGAAATAAGCTTGGGCTCGCCTTGGTTAAGATGTGCCAGTTTATAGCTGAGGTTTACAAACTGCTATCTGGGTTATTAGAATGTGGTTGTGGAGAGACAATAACAAGTTCCGTATTGTCGCGCGCACAGGTCCTGGCGGCGAGAAATTCTCGATTTGCGGCGACCGAAGATTAGTAGCTTGCGCAATACAGACCGCTCATGGATCAGATGCTCAAAGCGCTTTCTATGTTAGCCTGGTTGTTTCTCGTGGTTGCAATCGTTTCGGGCTTGTGGTGATGGGTAATTCGAAGCTATTAAGAAAGTGAGGTTCGTAGCACGGTCAGGTGATGCAGCACGATCATGTGATTTTCATTGGCACAAGCATTTCGCCACGAACATTCTCCTTAATCGAGAGTGCGGAAAGGTCCAATGATTCAGGCTTCATACTTGGTAAATTTTGAGACCGTTCCGAGCGCAAAGGCCATCTTGGGGTCCTGCAGGACATCTAGATTGACGACAGCTTCGGGTTGCGCTGTGATGGTCAGAGAACTTTACACGAACTGCTCTGACGCCAAAGACATGTAGCGGGGTGATATCCATATACCCAAGGAAAGAAGTTATTGACAGTTTCCAGGCTTCCTATTGACCTGAACGCACTCCAGCAAAGGCGCACGCCTGACGCGACGCCCCCTGATCTCTCGATCCCCGCAGCTTGAGGATGCGGTTTGCTATTAAGATCCCCTCAATGTCGGCCTACCAAGCTACATCCCATCTCTCAAAATGACCCTATCCGTGTCGGGATCGCGATTTACATACTTTCAATGCGTACCGAAGAACAGTATAACCTATACGATATAACAAGCTACTCTACAGATGTCCATCAGAATCCCATGAACCTAGCTGGATGAGTAGGTGCCTATATTCATGTATAAGTCCATTCTACAGAAATTCTGCATACTGATCATGAAAGTGTGGGATGTAGGATCTAGCTCACGATTTCTCGGGATATAGACAAGCCCAGAATAAGACATTACTGATCAATTCACTGCCTCATTATGGTAGCAGAAGCAGCGGATGAATATCTTCGAGCTATATGCGGGGGGAAATCTTAGATTGTATAAAACGGAGGAATCTGTGAGCAGAGCTGATAGAGGTGGCTTGGTGATTGCCACGTTCGAGTACATGCATCACCGCGTGAACTCCCTTGACCTTTCAATTCTTCGTTGCTACGACGATAGTAATGTTTCTATTTGGCCGGGGTGTTCTTATGGTTTATGGGTCGACAACAGAATAGTTATTCGAATGTAGGCACAATGGTAGTGACCAGGTAGTCGTATCGCATTGCAGTATTCATTTGGTGTCAAAATTTGTGTGAATTATGCTACTAAAGGATACAGGACAATGTGATTTGGCCAATTCACCACTCTCCTTCTGCCGTCCATTTCCCTACCATTTGCTCTGCCCGCCTTCCTCCGACTCGTCTCTATTTTCTACCCCCGCCTAAGCCGCCGCATGCTCTGCGGACCAACCCGATGATACGGCTCAAACCGCCCGTAACGCCCATTATCAGTATAACTCCAATTGCCAGACGAGGTCCCGTAAACTTGGTTGTACCGCGTCTCGCCAGCCCGAGTGCCCGGCGTATGCGAGTACATGCGGTCAGGGTAGTAGCCACCACCGTAGTTGGGGTCTTGCAAGCTGGTACGGTAAGGGTAGTTGTGGCGGCCGCCTGGAAACATTGTAATAGATTTGGTTTGGGATTTGTTGGTGGAGATTAGTTGTGTGGCTCTCTGTTAGAAATCGCTATTAGTAGATATGTTTATAGAATTCGATATTGTTGTATTTGTGCAGAAGAAGAAGAGAATACGGTTGGGCTTTGGCCTTTATACAAATAAGTGCCGGTGGACGATGAATGCTGGGAAGGTGACGAGGCATGAATTGAAGTGGTTCAGATTTCAAAGGGTTGACAACACAATATACACAGTATGACAGCAGGATTGAAGGTCTTAATCCAAAGTTCGTGACAGCTGGCCGCGAGCTCTTCAACACATTCGGATCAATCTGGCGCACTTTTCTTCACAGAACATACTAACAACCTCATCGAATGTATTTTGATACTCCGCGCTATTCGAGTGTGTGAAAGAAATTGGCTGTGCGAGAAGATCACCTGTTGTCTTTATAATTTTGGGTTGCATCTTTGTGATGCTAGTTCTGACGCATAACGATACGCGTGGTCCACAAAGGTAGGGATCAAAGCTGTCAAGGTCTTGTAATGACATGATATCGGACGGAACATGTTTACAAGCGTGGAGAGGACCGGATAGCGATTGAAGGATGCTGGCTCTCGCGTGTGGTTGATGACAGGCAAAATCTTGACTTACTCCTACAAATCCGTATGACAAACGCCAACTTGCCAGACTAGTCCCGTAGCTGACTGAAACTGTTTTGAAACTGTCTCCGCATATGGTGGAGGCCAAGCTGCCAGTATAGTGCGACACTTGCCCAGTGAGCGCGATGGGTGTAGAGGAACTACGTTTCGGGTGAAGAATGGGACATGTGTGCTTGTGATCTTGATAGCTGAGGTTAGTAGTCCGAGCATGGCAAGTGCTTGCTGGCGAAATTTCGACAAGAATTGAAATTACTGGTGCTAGCATGCTCAGTGTTAATGCTGCAGCGGCGTTATCCTTGGCGAATATAAGCTGTACGGAAGTTAGTTTGGTACTTGGTGCGACTAGCAGTAGACGGTCTGTTCATGAGAGTCGACCTGGGGACTAAGGTTAACTATGCTGTTACGTCCCATTTTGATGGTCTCGCCTTATCTTGTCTTTCCCCAAGCCCGGTCAACGGCTGGGTCAACGGCTGGGTCAATGGCTGTGACACAGGAGTCACCCTGTGCCGTAGCATTGCATTGTAGGAAGTTAGAACAAGCCTCTGAATTTGCCCTATCAAACTTGCCTACGAATGCAAGGGAAGTAGCAGTAGAGGTGGGGCAGGGTGCATGCAAGTGGGACCGTGGGTAAGTAGGTGTATACATGCCGAACTATCCGCGAACTGGTTACTAGGATGCAATCTTTTCCATCTCAGCCAGATAATTGAGCTGAAGAGGTGGGTTTGGTTGACGTAATCTATGGTTGAAGAGCTGGGACAAGCTGGCTGGAATGTACTTTCCTTGCGCAGCAATCTCAACGTCTGCATCTGCGAGCTGTTGTCACCAAACCTGGGACGCTCGAGCTGACACGGCAAACGCTGTGCTCCACGTGTACCTATCAGATGGCCCCAACGTTGTCTGGCAGCTGCACTACCGGAGAATTGATGGCGCTGTGGCTCTGAGTCTTGTGTAAGGATCTCAGCGTCTCCTCTAGCGCGCTTCGTCGACTCTCCTGCATGTAACCTCTCTCCTCGTCACCTCGACGTTCGACGTGGACAAAAGATCTCCTAGCGATGTGCTGTACATGCAGACAAGGGGTTCGGATTATCGCACGCCTTCGAGTCAGCACTTGCATACTGTTTTTACCGGATCAGACAAGGCTGAGCGAGGCACCTGCATGAACTTCATTACACGGAGATGAACCACGACATCGACCCACGTGCCCGGCCACTGGGAACATCTACACATGGCAGTGAGAATGCCCCCTTAACATAGCGACTCTCCCCAGGCTTTACGATGGATTACAGCTTTCGCTGTTCTGCAAGCGTCGGGCTACGCACGTCGGTGCAGCTGGCAGCGGCCCAACAGCCATGGCTTAGTCGACGCAGGAACATGTTGATAGAAGAGGCGTAATTATACTTTTCGATAGCGTTGGCATTCGAGGGCAACGAGCGGCCTGGCCTGGGCAGCAGTCCACAGTGCGTAAAAGCCGCCAAACTTGAGCTCACGACCCAATCACTGGCACCGGGCATGTTTTAGCCGTCCCGCCCGGTAAGGAGTCTATCGGTTGCTTCCCCAAGATGTCCTGTCCACCCGCTAGCTCTCGTCGGCTGCAGCTTTCGCGAATGCTGCTGCTTCAAGCTCGCCGCGTGCAGCACATCTCGTGGCGGTCCAGAAGAACGCCATCGAGGTTGGCGGGCTCGTACGGCGAGACTCACATGTGCCCGAGCCGAGCACGAGCAGGCGATTTCGTGAATGGTATCCCCTGAGATTTATTATCCTGTCGATATGCACGCTTGTTTTATATAACGGGGGATACTGGCCGAAGATTAGATTAGGTTGCGCAGCCCGTTTCTTCGTTCCCACGGTCCTGGGTCTTTTCATCTCACCTGCTTGCACAGCGCACAGCAACATCGCCTCTCCTGGCTTCTGGGTTTGACATTCTCTTCACGTTGTGTCACGCGCCAGAGCTGGAATAATTGGACAAGATGAAGGTGCTCGGGAGTGCAATTGCGACTGCGCTTCTCGCCGCAGGAGCTTGCGCGGAGCCGGTCCCGTTGGCTGCGAAGGCGCCGATTGTTGATCTGGGCTATGCCGTCTACGAGGGAAATTACGATAGTAACAACAGCATCAATGTTTTCAAAGGGTATGTATCTATCCAATTAGCAGCAATTGAGTTTAGAGACTGACGTGGCTATGCAGAATCCGTTATGCCGCTCCACCTCTTGGGAAGCTCAGGTTTGCCGCTCCGCAGGCCCCGGTAAAGAACAGGACTACAACAGCAGCACTTGCCAATCCACCGATTTGCCCACAGACTGGCGCCTCAATACTAACGGCTCCTGAGTATGGCTTCACGTCGGCACTTGGAAATGAGGACTGTCTATTTCTGAATGTGTATGCCCCTGCCAATGCGAAGAACTTGCCCGTGTTCTTCTGGATCCGTAAGTGTCCCAAACCTTGATATAGGATTGAACGAAAGCTGACAGCTCAAAGATGGTGGAGGTTACGGTCTATTCAGTGCTACCGGTCTTAACCCAACCGAATTCATGACTACCAACAATAACGGCTTCATCAGCGTTATCATCCAATACCGCCTCGGTGCCTTCGGGTTCCTCGCAGGCGATGACGTCAAGGAAGACGGCACACTCAATGCCGGCCTGCTAGACATGAACTTTGCCCTGAAGTGGGTACAGAGCAACATTGGCAAATTCGGCGGTGACCCAAGCAAAGTCACCCTTGCTGGAGAGAGCGCTGGAGCGGCCGCAACTCTCTACCAAGCCCTGGCATACGGCGGCAAGCAGAGGGAGAATCTGTTTCAGAACGTTATCACTGCCAGCCCTTGGATTCCTGTTCAGCACAATTATAATGACGAGGAGCCCACTGAGTCTTATAATAGCTTTGCTGAGTATGCCGGGTGCTCCAAGGCAAACGACACGCTGAAATGCCTCCGCGACGCAGACACCGTCGTCCTGCAAAACGCCAGCGCCAAAGTCTCGGAAGCGGGACCCTTTGGTACATTCGCTTTCCTCCCTGTCACGGACGGTTCTTTCGTCAAAGACCGCGTGAGCAAGCAACTTCTCTCCAAAGCGCTCAAGGGAAAGCGCGTCCTATCCGGCAATATGGCGAACGAAGGCGTGCCACTCGCACCCCCAAGCACCCGCACGCTTCAGGACTTCAGAGACTACATCTCGACCACTTTCCCCGAATTTTCGCAGGCCGAAAAAGCCGCCATCGAAAAGCAATATAGCTATGCAGGCGATGACCAAGATGTAGATCCTAACGCGCCGAAATTCGCTACGACTGGGACCGGCATTCCTACCGCGGTCAATGTATCGCAGTTCGGCTCGGGACAACAGCAACGTGTCTTCAACGTCTTCGCTGAGTATGCCTTCGTCTGCCCTTCCTACTGGGCTGCTTCTGCCTTCCCCCAGGGCTGGAAGTACCAGTTCAGCGTCCCTCCCTCGTACCACGGGTACGATCTGCAGGCGCTCTGGTCTGGCACAGCTACCCCAGGAGCATCATTCAAGCACGCCTTCCGCAAGATATGGGGCAGCTTTATCATCACGAACTCGCCCGTCATTAGCGTCGAGGATGCAAAGGGCGGTGTTGCGAGCAGCATTGTCCCACCTGGAGATGGGTATGGAGGCGGCGGCAAGATTCAGTGGCCGCAGTGGGACGACAAGAAGCCTGTACTTCTGAACTTGAATGCTACCGGTGGCGTGGCGACGTTTCTCAATGTGACGCAGTACTTGCAGTACAATATTTACCGCGACCCGGGCGTTTCAAATCGCATCAACCTGGCCGATGCGAACGCGTGGGAGGGAGGCCGAGGAAAGCGCTGCGATTTCTGGAAGAGCGTTGCAGCGAGGATTCCTTATTAGATGCACTTGAGAGATGTAAACGTATACTAGTGGTGTAATGTAGCAATGTTAATGTGTATTTCAGTGCGTTGTACAAGAGTACGTCTTTTTGGTTCTTTACCATACCCATCTGTCCAAAGATCTACCCATCCATCTCGACTCGCCAATATCCTTGTTTAGCGCCTGTTCTGGGGTCTTCATGTGGGTAATCCACAGATCAGCAAAGAAACGTCAACTCGCTTATCCTAGGTCTATATCTGGCAGTTATATGGCTATCAACCCCACGTGGAAATTATATTATCCAGGCGAGTTATCTTCTAGGGTCTAGACCGGAGTTGAGGTCGACCGTGTACAGCGTGGAAGAGGGAGGCCAATAAGAGACCAGGTAGAAGAAGTTTTCCGGAGTGACGGAGTCGCTGAGGTGGAAAATTGTGTAACCTGGTGGTGGTGTGATTTGGTTTCCTTGATAAGGCCATGGCCGAAGACGAGTAAGAGGCTATATATATAGTACAGAAAGAACATGTGGATATCGTAGAAAGTATGACAACGCTATGCCTGAAAACGCTAGTTCCGCCTCTTTGCCGACCATTGGTACATCGTAGCCTAGATCGGACATATTCAGAACCTCATATATATCCAGAACCTGTGATTGTACCCTTTTCCAGTCAACGTCCTCCCATGCCGTGTTGTGAAAAGAAAAGATACCAAATACACCGTATTCGCCTTTCATAATGTCGTAAAGAGGACGATGCCTCGTCGTTCTCAGTGGTCCCTGTTGTTGCTGATAATGCGAAGTTGAAGCAGAGCGTGCCCTACTCATTTCCGAACATTCCACACAGTCTTCTTCATTCCCGGTTTGAGTGGTGCTTCGGACGGCCCCTCGTCCAATCCGCCGGTGTCAACCCGCTCCACTGTTGTCCAAATAGTAGGATCTGGCTTTTGACTCTCCATGCTCTCCAGGCGCTGCCAATCGCCCACCCCTCCTGCCACGCTGTCCCCTCCTAGGCCCGTTCCATTCCCACTACCATTCTGCGTCCTGTCTCTTGTCGTTATGCCGAGTGCGATGGCGAAGCGCGAGCGCCGTGAGCCGATCGTGGGCGTCGAGTTGCTGTTGGAGTGTGACTTGAAGGCGGAGGCGTTGATCAACGTGGCTTGTCGCTTGCGGAACATGTGCCAGATTATCGGGAGGTTGGTGCAGAGGATGCCGCCGAGGGGCTCGAAGACGGAGTATGCGCCAAGGGGGACGTAGTACCATGTAAAGTCTGGACGACCACGGCCAAGGATGATAGTGAGACGGATGGAGGATACTACGCAGGTTCTGTGGGGGACGTTAGTTTAGTGTTGTACATACTTGACTGCGTGGAGAGCGAGGACGGGTAAACGTACGCAAGACCTATGCAAAATATAAGGCTGAGAATCATCTTCTTTTTCGTTTGTAACTGCAAATGCCAGATCATGGGCATTGGCATTAAGAAAATCCAGATGTCCGTGATCAAATTCGAAATGTTGGTGAAATACGTAAAAGTAAGCATGACCAAACACTTTCCAGTCACGTTCCTATCCCAATATGCTGCAAGAGGTCGACAAGCCAGGAAGAGTGTTACTGTGATGCCAATGCCCCATGCGAGAACAAAGGCTGCGGTTGCAAGGACGACTCGACGGAAGACTGGGTGGACAAAGACGCGGTAGTAGAAGGCGAGGATACCGAGTTTGACAGAGACGAGGGCAATATCGTAAAAGTGACTGAAGACGTAGTCTCCTTTTCGTACCATCATCTGGTCATAGGCTGAGACGACGTTAACGTGTTTGCCCATGCCGTGGGGAGGCCCTGATGCCATTAGCTTTGGGCCAGGTGGTGATGTATAGCCTCTTTACCGAAACCCAGTCCACTCGCGCATTGTCCGATGAGACATGTCTACCAGCGGCTGTGAGTCTTTGTTTGAACTAACAAGGGTTGAGCAGACATACCGTGGCCAAGAGGATCAAGTAATCGTCGAGCGTGATTCCATTCCGACCGTACCGCTTTGCCCACAGTCGCATCACCGTACTGAGGGTGGCAGCGGCGATGGGCACACTGTATACCCAGCGTATTTGCGAAACTCTCGAGTCGTTTTTATGCGCCTCCAAGTATGCCAGTTCCTCTGGCGAAAACGGGGACGTCATTTCGCTAGTCACAGTCGAACGCAGCGTTCGCAGGTGGTGTATGTAGGTGGCGTAGGTCGAGGCTGGAGCGCAGACAGGACTTTATCACATGGCTTCCTCTAGGTGACGAACAGACGCTTGGGCTGAGGAGCTGAGGTCTGTCTGAAGTCTTATTGCAATAAACTAGCAGAGCCTGAGCATTATCGCGCACCGTAATCGTGTAATGACCGCAGGACCGCGGAGAGGCAGGGGATGTCGATTGGAGGCAGACTCCGATATTTCGACCCCGGCATAATCAAACCCGGACTGGAAAGATATAGCGCCACCATCTATTTGGAAGGACAGATGCGAGGGCAAGGTTCAGCTGGCGCTGGTTCATTTAGCCTGCGTCGCCCAGGCTGCGCTGAGGGACAGATCAGGCGGATTGCCTGTCGGTACTACGCGAAGATGAGTCTCCAGGGCGGCTAGACATGATCTGACATGGCAATTCGGGTTCGGAGTGCGATAACCACGGCAGAAAGCGTTGTTTTGGTGCGACTCTCGTCCAGAAGGGATCGAGAAGGGGATGCCATCGGGAGCAGCGGACAAATCCCCGTAAGGATCTTCCTCCGATGGGCTGCAACGGCGGGAACGGGCTGGCACGCAACCCCCCCTACCCCACTCGAATTCAAGAGTCATGGGCGCACAGCAGACGCCGAGGCCTTGATTAGCCGTCTATGCTCTCGCGGCGATTTCGTCCGCCCCTTGGTTCAAGTTGACAGGGAACATGTCGACATAGCGATATGTATTGGTACGTGGAGAACCAGAGCTTGAAGGTGGTGCGCCGATAGACTCTAAATCTGAATTCCTCCTTGCATGCTGTCTCGGTTCGGGCCGTCGAAAAGCCGTCGGAAATTCGTGTTATCGTGACATCTGCAAGGTATCTTCCAGAGTCAAAACGTCAACAGGCAGCTCGGAGAAGCGAGGCGCAACATGGTTTTCGCAACGTGACCAGGTCTTATTGCTTGCTTTTTTGGGGGGGCATAATGTTATAGAGTGGTAGAACCAGCAGAGAGAAGCGAGAAGCCGTCGTCTCCGTAAGGCAAAGAGTGGGAATGGCTGGTGTTGCACGTCAGGGCGTAAACCTGAGATGCGCCTTCCCATTGTACCGATTCGCACCCGCCTACGCCCTAAGACACGGCACCACTCAACACCAGATCATGGCTTTTTCAAAGCCCACAATCACACCCCATCATTGAACCTATAATCGTGGTCCCATCGCTACTTCAGTTAGTCTTGCATGCAAACCCTGCGTTCTTCACGTCTACCTACTTTGTCCCACGGCTTGCTTGCGTCAACAAATCTCAAATCGGTGCCTACCCGAATGACGTTGTTTTTGTCGAAATTCATCGTGGAAGCATGAATCTGTACACTGTCAACCACTATCCCCTTCCCGGGCATGTATTGTTACCGTATAAGGTGTGTGCAGAACGATATCGCCAGCTTCGTACGTTGTCACCAACCACCTTCTATTGAAACTATTAGAATACTCTCGCGGACCATCAGCCAGTAGCCCCGTAGAGAGCATGTTCTGGTTGAAGGCATTCTTCGTCTCTTCCTCGGTGAACCCGCTATCCTTGGATTTGCGGGTGAAGTGTGCCTCGATCTCTCGCCCAAGCGTATGGCCTGTTCATGTCAGTAGTCTGACGTTCACCTCAGTAAGCGGAGGAGCCCACCGTTCTCCAGGTAGATCAAGCCTCCACCGGTTAGTGAGATGTCTCCTATTGGAATCCACGCCGTTACGCTGGTCGGCTCTCCGTGGCGCAAAAAGATTTGATCATAATGCACGCCAATGGCCTTGTTACCTGGCGTGTTGTTGCGCAGTAAGCTTCTGCGAACACCCAAAGTACTATCGCCCCAGCCTGTCATTCGCGCAATAAAGTCTTTTAGCACTGCGTGTTTGCAAAACGTCTCTTTGTACCAGTCGGCATAATGAGCATCCAATGCAAGATCAACAAACCTCTCAGCAGTCTCGGCTCCAGGCTTCCCATTGCCACCAGCCGCACCTGCTCCAATGCCTGGGAAGTCGGCGGCATCGTTATCGGAATCGAAGATCCCCTCGACAGGTTGCGTTCCTGGCTTCAAAACTCCACTTGGAGCCAGCATTTTGAAGTACTCCTCCCGAGCTTTGAGAACATCCGCTCGGGGTAGCAGTCCTTTCAGGTACACATATCCATCTTCGTTGTACCGACGAAGCAGCTCATTCATTGGCATGTCCGGCGACGACTCTCTCAACTGCCCGACTTGGTCTGGCTGAAGCAGCCCATCGTTCACATACAGCTTCTCCCCATTGAATGTTGGTATATCTCGCTGCGCTGGCAGCGCGTGAGGCATCGTGTACGACAAATGTATGTGATTTCTAACGATAATGAAGGGATAAAAGATCCAGCACATGCACCTATAGTGCAATGAGTTCTTTCAATTTCTACAACAACTGAAACAAAGCTCCTCGTTGAAAAATAAATCGTCGCAAGGAGAGAATTGCCTCTTTTTGACGATGCAAGGCTGCACAAAGTGTGGGGTAGTAGCGGGGCATTGTCTCTTCAGGGTTTTCGCTACGACACACAGGCGATCATTGCCATCCCCTCTGACTAAAGTGTAGAACATGGTTGGACAATTTGTCATTCATTTCGGCAATAGGTTTCTAAACTTGATGAGGTCTCGCGTTCCCGTAACTCGTCCCATCTTCGTAAATCTGCCCGCACACCTGGAGCTGGCCGCGACAACGATTTTGCGCTATCTCCAAACGACTACGGAGAGAACCACCAAATGCCATGGTACGATAATAACGTGTCGCCTTTACGTGGCTGAGCGCCTTCTGATTCCTCTAGCGACCGTTGCCGCACGCGTCATTATCGATGTGAGATCAGATATCCGAGCTAGTGCGCCAGCAGACTAAAAATTTCGCTATAGGTGACAGCAAACAGCCGAAATGCGGGAGATGTGAACATGCCAAGAAGGAGTGCATCTACGAGACTGGCAGGCGCTTTCGACGATCATCGATCTCAGAGTCCTTCAGCGATAGCCAGCCATGGGTTTCGCTGCCTCCGCGAAGTACGATGCCAAGATCATGATCATCCATCTTCTGTCTCTGACATTTCTTGACAGTCCAATTCTTTGACGAGTCAAGCGACATACGTTCCCAATACACAACCGATAGCTCCTCTCCATTCACCGGTTCTCCTGTAGGCCATGTCCAGTTCCAAAACGCCAGTTCTTCTGGAAGTGGCAATGATCACGTTGAAACGCCCACCTCTACTTTGATCGCTCCAACAGAAGGTTTCACGGTTCTATCGCTACTAAACGCGGAGTCCCCTGTCCAACAACAGATGTCCACTCCTCCCCCGCCGCACAACCACCAAGTGGGCAGTGTCTCGTTCCAACACAACAACTCCAGCACCTTTGTCTACCAGCAGCCTCCAGGCGAACCCATTCTATGGCCACTAGAGCATGAACAAGAGGCGATGCTGCTGCAGCATTACATCGAAAATGTTGCACTATTCGTAAGTGTCACCATTGGAGCTAATTGCTACCGCTGATCCATGCTAGTTCGACATGATTGATCACGAGTGTCACTTTGGTGTGCACGTCGTCCAGAGGGCGAAACAGAATAGTACGCTGATGAACGCCATACTCGCACTGTCTGCTCGCCACCTTAGTCGGACTACCGACTTCGACCCCTACATCGCCGATGCATACTACCAACGCTGCTTCGATACGCTAATACCTGCGCTGAATGAAAACGTCGCCATCAAAGAGGAATCATTACTTGCAGCGACCATCATTCTGCGCCTGCTTGAAGAAATGAATATCTCAGTGATAGGGTCGGATCCTCAAGGCCACCTTTTTGGTACACAAGCTATCATTCGCGCGGCCGAGCAGTCGTACGCTGCGACAACGGGACCTAGCTTCCGGCAAGCCGTTTACTGGGCAGCCTTTCGCCAGGAATTATGGATCTCTTTGATGACACAGCGCGCCTTCCAACTACACATATTTCCTGCTGATCGCTCGCTCGAGCCGGCTAATGATTCTATCTGGGCCACACGGACAATCGCCCACCTAGGCGATGTAAGCAACTTCGTCTTTGGCGAAGGAAGACATAGCCTTGCCAAATACAACCAGCTGATGGACGAGAATAAATCCTGGAGGACATACAGACCGGACAGTTTTGACCCGTTCTTCTTCCGTCAGGATCCGGACGGTAGTAGCCGCAACTTCCCAGACATCCGCTTTCATGAGAAATCACATGTTATGGGCACGCAATACAACACACTAGCTCACATGTTACTAATTGTACATGACCCGGCCATACCGCAGCTTGGTCCAGCGCATAAGCAAGCACGTGCTGCTGTTGACCAAATGGTGCAAAGCGACGTCCGCACACTCTGCGGCGTTGCACAGTCCAATGCTAAATTTTTCCCGAGCAAGTTCGTGGCATGCTTCGCTATTGCTCTTGGTAAGCCAACATCTTTAAATTCCCCTCTGAATGGTGCACTACTATACATATAAATCTGCAGTACTGACAGATGTAGTTGGAGATCGCTTCACTGTTCGAGAAGACCAAGAAAAACTACGCGAACTATGGTATGCCTGTGAACGAGCTCATGGATTTCCTCCCACTACGGCCATAGTTCATTTGGAAGAATCCTGGGGTTGGCATAGTCGCTGAAGGTCAAATGGCTCTATCGTCAGCGGGAAGCCACATTTTACACGACATGCTCAGCGCAGTATCCTCACCAGTTTCTTCGGCCATACCGATCAAACGCCGGAGGAAACGGGGGAAAATACCCTTCATGAGGACGAAACCCTCCGGGCAACCTCGGATCTATTCCTCCTGAGAATCTTAGGTCATCATCGTTGTCTTCAAGCATGTTTTCCATGGCATTATGCGGTCGTCCTAAGCGATGACCACCCAGCATCAGGCCTTGTGGAGGTCGTCGACCGTTCACGAGATGTGCATAGTTATCCGGCATATGCCCAAACCTTCCAACTTCAGGGTTTGACAACACATGTCGTCGAGTTCCAGGGTGGTTTAGATGCTGTCCCGGAAATGGAGAGTGCATAGGTTGCGCCTCCCGGGGGGTTTGGCCTCCTGTTTGATCAAAAATCTCTAGTGGCTGCGTGTCTGGAAGCAACCGAGTATTGACCTCTTTGTATGTGTTCTTCAGTCTCTTCAGTGATTCCAACGCTCCAGGTCGTCTCGTTGCATCTTCAGTCAAGCACCATTTTAATACTGCATTCAGCTCCTTGGAATAACTCGGCCCCGCCGGACAGTCTTTATTCCACTGCCTTCCCTGAGGATTCCGCCTACTACGAGGGGCCCCGCGCAAACCGGAAACGCAAACGAAGACCATCGCCAATTGCCAAACATCACTACACCCTGAGAATCTTGGATATTCCGGCTGATCGAACCCTGGTGTAAGGGCTGAGGCACGCGATGCCGAAGCCTCTGGTTTCGTCTGGCTCGTCCATTCGTCAGATTGCCCGCATCCAAAATCCGCCAGTTTCGCGACAATCTGCATTTTCCCTTCGACTTCAGCGCGTTTAAGAAAGATATTAGCTGGTTTGATATCCCGGTGATAGATGCGAGCCCAATTCATCACTGCCCTCTCGTCGTCGGGTGCATGTCCGCGATGGCAGTACACCAGCGCTTCCATCGATTGGAGTAACCACTGCCACAACTTATGCTCGTTCACACGTTGTCCCTCACATACTTTCAAAACAACATCCATCAAGCTGCCCATATCACAAAACTCCATGTACACACTCGCCTTCTTCACCCTCTCATCCACGAAATGATCAATCATCCTCGTAATATATGGGTGATCACCAACTTGATGTAGCAACGCTATCTCTTTGTGGGCTATCTTGAAGAAAACATCAGTTTCGCTGAAGCGCTTTTCAATGAACACTCGGCCAAGCGGGTCGTCCTTAGTCCGCACCTTTGCGATTCCAGCGTTGAGACCGCCGCCCATGGATCCGAGGAATTTGATCATCTCCCACTGGTGTTTTGGCTGTTTTCGAAATGTGATTCCGTGTTGTAAGTTGTTCTTCACGATGGGCACTGGAGAGGCCATTGTAGGGGTATAAAATCTTCGGAGAGGGTCTGTGGAGAACTCAGAGGGGGCGTAAAAGATCGCGAGCTTTTCAGTACAAACTAAAGATTCACTTGAGGCATGGAAGGGCTCTAGCATGCGCATGTCACAGTCGTTGCGCACTAGCATCTCGGTACGTTCACGGTTTTACGGTTTAATTCACAGACGCTGCCAGCATGTGACTTGTCAACGACCTATCTTGTTGAATACTTCTGTTTCTCACTGGAGGTTTCCATCCAGAAAAGGTCTTCAATTGATGTTGAGTCCCTGAGCTCGACAAAGTCGTAACGGATAAGAGAGAGAGGATTGTTAACAAGCGCCTACGTCTAGGGTTGCCCAATAAGCTATCGCCAGTTTTCAGAAGTGTGGTTTGTGTGCGGATATCTTTTTGATTACGTTGCAATCTTCCAGGATATGTGAAGCTACGTTCTGAGTCAATGCTCAACCACGGGTCAAATCTCAAGTTATTTCATGGGTACGGCCACTTTCACGCCTTTTGCTTATTGCTAAACTAATCCGAATAATAAAGGCGTCTTGCTATTCGCGGTACCTCTACTAACATGATTTCATGTAGGCTCTTACCGTGCGCTCTACCGCCAGTCCCCATAACGTCATTACCTATTTTGTCGCAGATATTTTCACTATAACTCTACCCTCCACCACACATATTCAACATTGACAACGCCTTTATCTTCATCTCCATAGCCGCCAACTCACATATTATGTCCAATATTTCATCGTCGCCCGAGTTCGCCAACCCAAATCAACCACCCGACACCGCTGCTCTCACAACAACTCCCACTGCGACTTCCCCGGCCTCTTCTAGGGTTTTCGATACGAACTCTTCCCCACCCGATAACAAATCTGCTCGGGATCTTTCATTATCGCTCGTTCCCGAAGTGCCTCCGACTACAGAATCCACCTCTTCCCTCTGGCACGACGTTCAGCTGCCCAAAATGCACATCGCCAAACCCGGCCCTAAGATGCGCCAAAACGGCTCCACGAACTGGCCACACGGAGTTCTTGCAGGTGGCATCGTAATCGACATACTTGAACACCTTTCTGGAACGTCACGTCAAAGGGATTGGTCGATCGCGCTCTGGCTGCAAGAACACTATATCATACCCTTTGGCCGAGTCGAGCGCCTCGACGGGCTAATAGTTGGGAGCATGGATGATATGGATATGATCCATTTGGCGCACGAGCGATATGTTGAGCTCATAGGCCTTAGGGTGACGGTGCAAAGGCTTTGGGTGCCTGGCTTGGAACCTACGTACATAGAACCTGGGAGTAGAGGTCCAGTGCAAGTCCCTGCGTTGCCGACACGTTTCCAGCAGATCGTCTGGAGAGCGAGTGACATGTACTCCAGAAACGGCATCCAAGTTCCACGAAAGGGGCAGAGTGCTGGGGAGTGGACGGATGAGTTGGGTTGGGATCGGAAGATCTGGATGGTACCCGGTGCGAAAGAGGAGACGAATAGCTTGGGGAAAGCTAGCTCATGCTGACCATATAGATGATACGAATGGAGCTACGCCTGAAGAATCAAGGGACGCAATCGGGACTACAGCCGTTGACATAGTCATGCATGTTCCTATACCCGTCGCGACAAAGAGCGAGTCATCCTCTCCAAACGAATCTGAACCGAATGAGGGGTCACTATCGTCGTCAACGCATGCTTCTCGTGCGCCGCCGGTGGAATAGATGGGATTTCGCGGACTTTGTTTCCTGCGACAACGGGGTATGAGAACACCTTGCTTGCTCGGACGGACCTAGTATGAGACAAGAGACAAGCGATTAAAGACTGGAAAAGGAGCATAGGCAGGGATCGAGCGCATGCGATGCTTGGACCGGGCTTCATAGGTGTTCCAAAGCGCAGACTTGAATATTCAATTAGGAACACTCTCTCAGTCCAGTGATCTAGAAACACCTGTGCTACACTTTTGATAAGGATGTTGCTTTGTTGTCGCAGCTCGTTCTCGTGAATATTCTCGGGCAACCCGAGGTCTAGACCTTCCTTACCAAGGCTCGCTTCACTACGCACTGCAGCCTCATGAATCTTTGTATCGCAAACGCCATTTAGCTCTGCATTCTAGATCGTATGCATGTCCCCACATGGCATGCGGCTGAAAACTTTCAAGCCACATTCAGCCCCTGTTCACTAGCCTTACCAGAAGCGGTAATCCACCTTACTACAATCGGCAGCACGTTTTCCAACACCATTGGTCGGGCTTCAGATTAACCTACTTTGTCGAGCCGTCGAATAGAGAAGCGAGAAAACACTCATTCTGTTCACGCCCTCGCGTGCTCCGAACACACTATGGTTCGGCAAGGAAATATGTGCCGCGGAACGATCCTTTGGGGCAATCATGTCGCGTACAGTCTCCCTTCTGATCTATAGGGCTGGTGTGAGACTGGTGTACCTTGCATCGAGTACTGCTCGCTGATTAGATAGATTTTGTGAAGGTGGGTCACGATAGGGCAAGACATCAGTTGTACAAGCTTTGGCGTTCGACGGTCTCTGATGGCGTCGCTGAAGCAAATAATGGCGATGGACTTATTCATGTAAAGATGGAACCAGTGGCTTGAAGGGTAAAGATGAGTGCGTAACATCGAGCTATATTTGAACGAGTCATCTCTCAATTCATATATTACAACTCACCCTCTTTCCGCCTCCGAATGTGTCAGTAAGGCAGTCCTAGATATCGTTCTCTCATCCAAATCAAGACAGCAGCCGATCTGCATCCTGTCTCTATCGACATTTCCAGCATGAAGATCTTCTCTTACGCATCCTGGGGAGTCCCCCGAACTGGTTTCGACCCTTCGCACACGTTCGTCCGCTCACACTTCGTCTCGCCGCTCGTGCTCGCATGCATCCGCACACTACTCTGCATCTACTGCTTTACAGCAATTACTACCTGCTACACCTGGCTCGCCCACCGAACCGCTACCATATCGTTAAAAGACGTGAATATTGGTTCCTACACCATTCAACAGTCCGACGCCGCAATCGGACAGAGTTTCAGTTTCTTCACCTACCTGACCTTCTGGTCCCTCGGGTTTTACTTTCTGGTATCCAGTATTCATACATTCATGTACGCCTTCCGACAACGTACATGGCTACACAGCAGTTGGCCCAAGCCTCTACAAATGGCACACAGTCTTTACTATAGTAGCATCACATGTTTCCCGTTCCTCGTTACCATCGTCTTTTGGGGAACCATGAACTCCGGATGGCCGACTGGACGCTTTGAGCAATGGATAAACATCTCCGTGCATGCTCTAAACTCCTTGTTTGCGATCGTGGAGATTGTTCTCCCTGCCACCCAACCACCGCCATGGACACACCTCTCGGTCGTTCTATTGGTCTTATCAGCGTACCTTGGCCTCGCATACATTACTCGGGAGACGCAGGGCTTTTATGTGTACGAGTGGATGAATCCTGCTCATGGGAATTGGAGCATTGTGCTGCATATCATAGGGTACGCGGGTGGCATGGTCGCGTTGTTCGTATTGGCAAGATGTGCGATTGTGGCGCGACATTGGATTGCGAAGAAGACGGAGGGTGCGAGAAGGGAGAATGCGGAGATGGAAGAGAAGGGTATCAAATTGGATGATCGGTCGGATACATGGTCGAGCGAGATGGTCATTTCAAAGCCGTCGCAGGCGCGCCGCTCTTCGAATCATTTTGTCTGAGACTAGTGAAATTTGTCCGCAGATACAATATATCTCGTCATCTTTGCCCATCCATAAACTCTAATCATCTTGATTGAGCCATGATGAGCCTTCGGAAGATTCGTTATTCCATGATACAACATGCATTTCTAGTGTGGTATACTTCGGCTATGATTGCTCGATATTCCAATTTTGTCAAGAAGACTTCGGCCCTACAGAGCAGAATCTTTTCTCCTAGGAAACAAGATATATCGAATTTGAAGAAATGAACGAGGGAACGATAATAGAATCAGGCTGTCATTCAGTGTGCGCGACATTGGTGAAGATTTTCCGGCACTCTTAGAAGTGCCAGGGATCCTTGCTTCAATGGGTATGAACGTGATTAATATCTTCAATTGTACGATGGTGTTCCAAATTTGGCAGAGTGACCCAGGGGCGTAACAGTCAGCGGCTACTGGAATTTGCCATATCCGTGACAGGATTACTACCGGGCGCCTGACTCTTGAAACTTCGAAGCAGTAGCTTGGCGTATAACCATAATCGGCGAATAAACTCCATTGAATTAGGGCGATGATGCAGCTCACTGTGCAAATTCGCACTCGGAGGCTACATGGGCCGGAGGAGTTGGTCGCACGGACGAAGGATCAAACAGTCACTATTCGTGTAAAGGCAAAGCATTCGGCCAGGATCCAATCCAAACCCTGGCCGACGATCCTACATATTACACTCTAAATGTCCATCCTTGCGGGAAAAAATTACGACGAGGCTGCGACGGAAACTAAGAAGTATTGAGAAGTCTGCCTTGCGTCACGAGCACAACATGGCAGTGGGTGGCCACAACAAAGACGATAACAAACAACACATCGCTGTGAAGAGAACAGGCTATTTCTTTCTTTGGTCAACAACGCAATCCATTTTTGACCTTACAGGTGGCTCTTCATGTTTGTTCCCTTATGCTAGCAGAAAGGTGACCAGCCCAAGAATGAAAGAAGATCCAAGAGAGGCTGGTACCGTCAGCAAGCTGTTTCGAGCCTTCACAGTGTCATGAGGCGCTGAAAGAAGTCCTCTTTCCGTGTCTTTGATCAGCCGTCGCAACGTCGCCCTTGAGTCTCAAAGGTTACCCACGGCTGGTGAAGTGCTAGGAGGTGGAGAACGATGACATGGGGTGGCTCGGTTACTATGTGCAGCTTGCCGCCTTCAGGACTAGCGGCTTCCATATCTAAAATTAGGCGGGGCAGTGCACGCGCGTGTCTTTCATCTCATCTTGGCCGATCGACTATCCCGCTACCCGACCATTGCCACCCGCTTGACTAGAGTTTACAAACAAAACGCCCAGGGTCAGAACAATCCCGCTTGCGCAGTCATTCAGCAGCATCAATCATGATGCACGGGCCGCTGCAGAGAGCTGGGCTGGCTCAAATGACTAGATACCAGCTCGAGCCTGACCGCTTGCATCAATACATTCAGGTCTCCTATATGCAGGATGTCCGAGTAGGTCACAGCTGTGCCGTACTTCGCTGAGTTGTGGCCTGCCTAATTCCGTGGGGCGAAGAATGCGCCTCAGATCCTCTTAATCCTCTTTCCTCTTAATCGAAACTTCGAAATATGGAGACAAAGAGACTGACTCGTTCCGCACCAGTTCCTGTTGGCGTAGCCATCCTCTCCGCCTCGCTGAAGACAGATGGAGCATGCCCCCACCACGAATCCTGCAACTAATCTTTCAAGGGGCGTCCTTTCCCACTTGATTTCCGCCCTGCCCCTGCGCCCGATTACCACTGCCACCCTCCGCTACGTCGCTCAGCTAATCCCGCCCATATACCCCCCTACTGTCCTACCTACGCATACCACATACTCGGGGTAATCGCCAGCCTCGGAGTAGAGTTTGTAGATCTTCGAATCGGCTCTTAGCATTTTTTATATTACCTGAAGACCGCGTTCGTGCAGTAGCGCAAGCCAACTGGCTGCATCTAACTTCCACACACGACCCATCAAAGCCCTTGGACCTGCCGGCTAGTTTAGCCCTGCGCGGTCGAGGGCCAGCTCCAGTCTTGAATCCGCTGCTGCATACCTTCTAGGATGCTACTCGACGCTCAGTTGCTGACCATCCTGACAACCTTTACCACCTATAGGCCAGAAGAATTGTCTTCAGCGCCAAATTCGTTACTCGCTTCAGATTTCCTACTACTGCAAGTCAGGCCCAGCTCACCGCAGGAGGGCTCAGAACCTATGGCACACCACCACCAGAGATTGAGTCGGACACAAAATGAGAATGAATTATGGTTCAACATGCCCAGCTCAGAAAGGGTAGAACAAGAGCGGGCTCGCACATCAGAACAGTCTGCGTACCGAGCAACGTCGAATCGAATCAGCATGCATTCGACTAATTCAAGATCAACACCAAGGATACCTACGATATTCACCAGCTCAGATGTAAACAAACCACTACCACCGTCCCCCTCGGATTCGGAAAGGAGGAAGCGCAAGCCAGCATCGCTGCGTGAGATAATCCGACGCCAAAAATCAGACTATCGAGACTCAAACCACCTCCGGCCTGAACCATACCCGCAACGATACTCTAGCTTAAGCGTTGATACGCATAGTCACCACCATCACCACTACTCTCGTAGTATGCCAAGTTCACCTTTCGAATATGATGAAGTACCGGCCTCACCAAATCCAGCAACAATACCCCGCGCCTCTTCGGCCGCTGCGAACTACCCTGACGAGACGCAGTATCAGCCTTACTTGCCACCACCACCACAGCAGCAGCAGCAAGAACAACAATATACACGTCCTATCCGCCAGCAGCGTGCTATCTCAATGAACACCTATTTCGATACAGCACCGCCTCGAGCGCGGACTTTCCCAGAACCAACAGCCCTAGGTCCTCCGGCAGCAACAGCACGCGAAAATGTGTCAAACAGACCTCGACCACACACATGGCTCTCACCCACCGAACCATTTACAGATATTTCGCAATTTCATCTCTTCGCAGAAGCAACGACCGGCCTCCCAGATGATCCCGAGCCCTTCTCACCAAACGCCCCGCCGCAACTCCAGGGCTCCCTCTTCGCTCGCAGAAGCCACAACGATATCATACCCCTCCCGCTCCAGTACTCAATGGCACCACCAGCCCAATCTTCCTCGCGGACTGATTGGCAGAACTTCGAGCCCCCAGAAATTACACCGCGATCAGCATCAGCAAGACCTTCTAGGCTACCAATACCACAGCCTTACCAGCAGTGGCAACCGCCGCCTCAAATGGATACAGTCACCATGGAGCTAGAGATGCTAGGCTTGAGTGATGAGCATGTGGCGGATGATGAGTTGCCAGATTATGCGCAAAGTCAAGCGGAGATGGATGCTAAGCGAAGGGAAGAGGCGGGCGCGAGAGCGAGGGACTTAGAGGCGAGGTGGAGGGGTGCTAGGGGTGCTAGGGGAAGGTAACCACATCGCTCACTTATGAGACTTTTTATTCGGATGACATACTATGAGACATTGCATTGGACGAGCTAAGAGTTGGATTTACTTCGCATTGATACCCTCGTTTGACACAGATCTAGCGCTGAATCGGAATCATAACTTCTGGCCGCACATTCTACTACTTAATTTATACACTGTAGATAGTTACAACACATAGCAACGACGGAGAAATGAATGTACATCTTGATGCTGCCAAAATGTACACTCTCAAAATATTCGAATACCTTCTGAAAATCAAGTTCAGCTAATCGCCAACCTACACAGGCAAAGTTAGCTAGGAAAACTTCCAATTCATTATCTAGCACTGCCCTGTCCATGGTTACCGAGCATATGCAGCTTAAAGTTTCGAGTAACGATCTACACAATATCGTGAACGTTAGCCGGATCACCGGCTATCTATCACACCTACTTTATTTAACCAACGATTTTGCCTCATCACAATTAGACCTTAAGCCGAGCAGTTGGTACGTAGTGCATCGCATTGACAAGTCACCACTATACCGTTGCATAGCCTTCGCCAATCTCCTCTCAGAAGTAGGTATCATATCAATATCTCACTCCCAGGGTCAACATGCACAAAACCGCAAACGGGTAGTATCACAGGCACGACGGCCGCATAGGGGTATCTTTGGCCCCCATCCCTACTACTTCTCTTGTACCAAGCATATGTCAATATCTATGCTGCGCTCAATATGTACAACGTGTGTACTTCTCGGCACATCCAATAATTGATGCCTGTGTCTTCCAACGCGCTTACAAAGGAAATTCTGGGGTAAGACGAGTTCTTCCGGCCCCCTTCGCTGTCAAAAGTTTCCGTTGTGCCGGACAAAACTACGACATGAACATCAAGCTCACGCAAATGCCGACACCATGCTACATGTGTTCGCCAAGGACAAAGATGTGGAGTACACAGATATCGTGTGACCTCGTGGAATGCGCCTCGCGGGGAGCCTGAAGCGGGTCGGAAGATTGCTGGCGTCTGTACCTACCCGTCTTTGCATAACTGGCTGGAAACAGTGAAATATTATGTGCCTGCTGCTGCAGGCTGCGCGGATTAAGATTTCAATATGCAAGGGTCAAAGGGAAATGGCAGTATGGAGGGGGATGTCATTTCCAGGGGCTTGGTGGGATGAGGAGGAGGAGGGGTCGCTGTTAGACGCTTGTGCTGGTGGTGGCTTGACGGGAAGGAAGTGGAGAGTTTGAACCGAGCTCGTGCTTTGCCTTCTTCATGCGTTATCTTTTGCACTGTCCCACTAATTCTTTTGAACAGAGCACTCGGAGAATAATTTGCGTGATATTTCTTACAAGTCTTACTGCCATTCACACCTACTATCGCGGCTTACAATGTGCAAATCGGCAAATTTCCTATTTAGCTTGACCATCGCTCAAGCCGTTTTTCGCACAACGGGACGCTAGAACACTAGAACGTAGCCCGGTAACGCATGTAAGACCTAAAGCAGCCAGGTCAAATGTGGGGGGTTTTGGGGGCAGAAAAGCTTAACCTGGCGAGATGATCACGACAACGACTCCTACGCTTGATTAATTTGAGCCAAGCGTCAGGTTGTCTTCAAGGTATGAAATAGGGGTCATGCATCCGGCCTTATCGATGTGTCCCTAATACAGATGTGTGGCTTTGCCACTCCGTGTATGTATGCGCAGCAGGCCGAAAGATGCGTGTAGCATTGCATAACCACAGATCGCCTGGAATCAGACTCAGAATAACCATGCATTCGCCATCCGAAACCTTCCCCCGTATGAGACTAAGTTTGATGATCAGCACCATGGAACGTTGCGCGGGATGGGAAGGTTGGAGATTGACAGCCGGTAATGAGGCTGTGCAAGCATGTCAGACGCACATGCGGGTCGGAACGATCGACCGCAGGACAACAAGTCAAGAATAGAAATCTGTGCAGATTTGCTGGGTTAAATCATCCTGTACGATGGGTTGTAAAGAAATTAGTTGCGTCTGGTGTTCTGTGATGAGGTGTCTGGGCGAAAAAGGAATTGAAATATGTAGTAGTTTGATTTTGAGCATGTATGAGTGGCACCATGTGTTGCCACAGCCTGCTCAATTTTCCTGATACTAGGTTCCTTCAGTATTAATCCTGATGGGGTCTTGCTCTGGCAAGACCGAATATTGGCTCAATGTGAACGCAATATAACCATGTGAAACAATAAGCGTTTACTCCCAATGCATGGAGAGCCAAACAAAGCGAATGCAGCAAATCCCTTCCCTTCCCACGCTTTGCTGCCCATCCTTGCTGGTGTATCGAAGCAGAATCAAGATGTATGACTTCTGTCCGCCAAGATAATCAACCGCCGAGAGGCAGTTACTTCTTCTTCGGGCTAGCAAGCGGTTTTGATATGCGATGCCCGTTGCTCTTAACTGGTGACGTCAATGCGTCCCTTTTCTTTTCGCCCTTCTTCGGTGACACTGATCGCGTCTGTCGGGCGGGAGGCTTTGAGTACTTTCGACCCATTGTCTGCAGTGCATCTTCTAGATCGTCTTTCGTTGGAGACGTCGAGCGGCTGGCCAGGTCTCGCTCATTGAGGCTTTGCACCTCCTTTGTAGCAGCTCGCGTACTTCTTCTTACTGGCGAACCAGTAGAAGCAATGGGCAGCCGAGACCTAGCACGCGATGGGCTCCTAGTTGTGTCGGCATTGGCGGGTGTCTCCGTGGTTTCCATGATGCTGTCGGCCATGGTGTTATCGATCACCAACCTCTCCGGCTTGATGGGGGCCGGTAGATGCCTAGATGGCTCGATTATGATGGATGGTTTGCCATCCAGGCCCCATAGACGCACGTCAGCGTTCACTTTCATCTTTTGCTTGCGCTTGCTCCTAAAGGATGCACCACCTGTTGGTGTTCCCTTCGGAGTATACGTCGCGTTGTCACTGCTCTCTGCTGGACTTGAGCGGTGTAGCTTGGCCGGTCTGGGTATCTCTTCCTCGCCATCATGTGTTCGTCGGCGCTTGCGCTGATTCAACGGCGTGTACTCGATACCAGCGGATCGGTGCAACATCCGTTCTACTGACTCGTAGGAGGAATAAACTGCTCCATAGTCCTGCTGAGGTGTGGCTCGGCGCTTAGATGAGCTTTCGTAATCGCTGCCCAACGGGTTCCACGGGGTTGGAGTTATTGCTCGTTCTCGCCTCGCAGACGTTTGATCGACGGATGATGGCATTGGTGAACTGGCGCTGATACTGAGAGGGGATCTGTTTGATGAATGTCGAGCAGGCGTAGCTAAATCACGGCTGATTAGTATGATGTTTCAGAATAGTAATTGAACAACTTACTACTAGCTTCTAGCTCTGGGGCCCTGGCGTGTGCCACTTCTTGTTCTAGTTGCTTCCGCCACGTGGTCTCCATAGTGAGATTATGCTGGAGTTCTTCCTCTCGTACTAGAGATGCTGCTATCTCCTCATCTTGCATCTTCTCTAGCTCCTCTGCGTGTTGGATGTGCTGTCGAAGATCAGCCACAGTAGCCCGCTCGTTTTGCAATTCTTGACGCAATTCAATGTTGTCCCTGACATCTTCCTGCTGAAGAGCACCATGAATTTCTGGTGCCATATCCGCTACATTGCGACGTGTACTTTGGAGCTCTAGTCGCGTATCATCCGCCTCCTGTTGTGCCCTCTGTAAATCCTGACGGAGTTTGGTGTTGTTTTTGAGTGCTCGTTGCAACCAACCCGTCATTGCTCTGGCTATCATTCGCCATTTTAGTCCATCCTGACCTAGCGGTATGGGAACTGGTGGTGTCTTTGTGCGGTACCGGCGAAGGACCTGCAAGCCTGCTCCTGCTCCTGCTCCAAGAACACCGAGAAGGACCCAGTTGAGCACGGGGAGCTCATCAGCGAGAGCATACTTCGCCGTACCAGCCCGAAGGGCTTGATGGTATACGGAAGTATAGGCGATGCGTGCGTTATTGAGCAATGTCAGCGGAAGACCTCTCTTGAGATTTGAGCTGTAGTTTGTGCTGGCGGCAGTGGCAGTGGCAGTGGCAGGGGCAGTAGCAATGGCAGTAGCAGTCGAGGTCAGTGTTGTGTAAGCGGTGCTACGGACAGTTTCGAAAAAAGTATCGGTAGCTGTAGTCGTAGTGGTCACAGTAGCGAAGCTTGTGCTCACAGCGCGAGCGGCGGCGAGTGTGTCGGGGACGATAGAAAAGCCGACGGTGGAACTCATGTTGCGTGCTGTTGTTTTGAACGCCAAAGAAGCTATCTAAATGATAACTCGGTATGACTGTTAGAATGTGTGTATATATGATGGCTGTAAATACCCAGTGACTGATATCGCTGTGCGTCGTTGCTGGACACGATGGTTGAGGCGGCCGGGATTATTGATGAGAAAACAAAAAGTCGGCTGACAGTAGAGCTTCTCGTTACGCGATAAACAAGACTAACTAGCTCCTTTAGTAAGCCGGTTGCGTAGTTGAATTTCGCATAGCAGCTTTCACTCGTGCAATAGTCCTAGCGAATGTTGTCGGGAAAAGTGGGGCTAATGACAATACGAATCTCTACATATGATCGAGGTCTAATTAAGGAAAACACGGCAGACAGGAGTGGTAGATAGAAAGTTTTGTAAAGAGATGGTACGCGGAGCGAGAGCCTACGTATATAGGGTACCCACAGGGTGTAATAGCTAAGACCATAGGTCGATACTGAATTCCGAATCAAGTACTTTCCATGTCCTAGGTGTAGAGTCTTTAGCCGAAGGAGAGCTTGTTGCTGGTGAAATGATGATTCCGAATATATAAAGTACTCCTTCACCTCATGTCGTTTCCCATGGTGTTGCGGTATGAACACGAAAAGAACTTCCGTTGATCAATCCCGATCATACTTCGCACGTTCAACTATGCCTACTCACTTGCTCTTCTGACCCCACCAAAGCTCGGCCTCTTCCGCCTTCCATTCATCAAACTCCCCCGCTGCACGCTCAACGACTGCTTGTTCGGCAGTCGCCTGCCACGTCTTGGCTAGATGTCCGTTCTTGAGATCCTCCTTAAACTTGGCGACGTCGGTGCGGAAGCAGTCGTTCGATATCGAGAATGCATGTGGTCGGGTGCCTTCCATTTCACCTGTTCTGAGCCTTTCAAGAATGGCCTGGTTGGTCGGATCACGTGGGAGCATTGAGATGAGAGTACTTTGCTGTTCGGCACTAAGGCTGGTCCAGGCCGGACCTTCGAGAAGCATATGCTGTAAGCATTAGCACTGGATCGAAGACTAACAACGAGGTTTTGGGGACGATGACTTACATATACGTCTGCTTTACTTAGTCGGCTAGTCGAGTTGGTCGTGATGAAGACTGGATCAAAAACCTTGCTGGAGCCTTTCTTGGAGGGGAGCGCCTTAGGTTTAGAATTCTCCTCAAAGGCTTCAAAACGTTCCGGTGCCTTGCGGTTGCGTGTTGGCCGGTTGCTAGGTGTCAAAGGAGTACAAGCGGCTTTTCTAGCTGTCGTCTTTTTAGTGACGGGAACGGCTTTCGGCTTCGGCTGTGCTTTTGGCTTAGTAGCAGGTTTCTTGGGCGGTGGAGTATCTTCTTCGTCATCTTCGTCTTGACGACCCCGCTTTGGGGTTTGTTCCAGCGCGCTATTCGTGACCATGCTGGGGGAGGGCATAGTAGATGCATCTAGTTCTAGCGCTGGCGCCAGTGCCGGCTGTGATGACACGGTAGGTTCGGAAGTTGAAGTCATTGCTGGTTTCTCCTCTGGATGAGTGGAAGGACTTTGGCCAGCACATCTAGATGACTTTGGATCAGGAGAGTCGACCTCAGGACTAGAGGGTGGAGAAGAGAGAGACGAAGAATCTAGTATGGGTTGCGACATGTTTGCTTTCTTATTTGGTGTCTGCAAAGGCGAGTGGGGCGTTTGTTTTCGTGGCAGCTTAAGCTTGCTTTCTGCGGGCGACGAGAGATTCGACCGACTATAATTCGAAGGGTCGGCTTTTGGAACAGATGAGGGCCTGTCTTACTTAATCAGAGCTAAACAAGAGGAAGTACGAGCAGCCGTCGCGGAAATGCCACCTCGTATTGTTGGAGATGATGTAGGCTGACAATATAACACAATATGAGAGAATGGAGACAGCACATGAATGAAGTAGAATAGCACCGAGTGATGCATGCGCTAGGTGAAAGGCGCCAGCTCAACAGACGCGAATTCGGGGCACGATGGCAGTTGTGCACTCGGTACGGTAGAAATTTATTCCGTGAGAAGATGTAGATAGGACGAGGATGAGGAGTTGGTATTATGGGGAGGAGCCAAAACATACCGCACGGGTAAAGACATTATACCGCCAACAGCTACAGGCACTTCTGGCTCTCTTCGTTTGAATCACCGCTTTTACACCGCCAAGATCAAGACGATGAGAAGTAAGTGATCTGCAGATAGACAATGATGCTTGGACGACGCGAGGTCGAAGGCAGCAGCTTGCAGCGGCCCTGGGCAACCACGAAGGCTGATGCGTCATGTAAAAACGATCAGTCAAAGCTGAACAATGACCAAGGCTAGCTTTGGGGCTTGACCAGTGAATGCCACTTGAAGATGCAGGAAGGGTGTGACAGAATGGAGAAAGCTCGACTCCACATGTTGTCCGCTGTCACGACTTTGTGCACTTAGAGCTCCTGGCGTCGTGATTCTGACGAATGGCTGTGTAGAGGATCAGGTGAGCAACACAACATAGTATTGAAAGAGGTTTACCTGACGCAGTGCCTTTGTAACGCGTCACGTCAAGGGTTTGTGAATGGGTAAACGTCCGTGCGCTGCTCTGTGAGCTTTCCGCATCGACACCTTTGGCGATTTGGTAGCTTCAACACCGACCGACACGTAGCCTCAAGTACTGCACTTTGCCACACCACAGCGACCTGCTTCAGGCTATTGAGACATCATTCTTCCGATCCCCTAGCAGGAATAAACTCCACAAACTTCGGCCACCACCATGATCAAGCACACTATCATAACGCGGCTTGACGGTCAGTAGTTTTTGAAATAGCGTCATTGGAAGACCAAGAAGACTGACAGACATTTAGGCCTAATCTTGACGGCTTCAGTAGACGACGAAGAGGTTCGATTATCCCTCTACACCGCGCGCCGCTGCTGCACCAGGCTCACATTCCCTAGACAAGTGCCGAGTTCAACGAAGTCAAGGGCAAAGTCAAGCTCGTTCAGCGCCGCCTAAATCGCAACTCTGAACAACAAGCAAGCATAGAAAGCGGAAACTACTCATACCAGTACGTGTCCTCAAGCCCTCCATCCTTTGCGTCCTACTTCTCTATCAGTCGACGTCCGAGTAACAGCGCTGACCTATGGCCACTAGCTACATAATTGATGGCGAGCTGTGTTTCCTTTGCATATGCGATCGCTCCTACCCACGCAAACTCGCCTTCACATACCTCTCCGATCTCTCCTCCGAGTTTAAGACGACCTATCAACCACAGCAATACCTCGCGCCCTCGTGCCGGCCTTATGCTTTCGTTGAATTCGATACCTTCATCCAGCGCACCAAGAAGACATACCAAGATTCGAGGGCTACACAAAACCTGGATAAGCTAAACGACGAGCTGAAAGACGTGACAAAGGTTATGACAAAGAACATTGAGGACCTACTCTACCGAGGGGATAGCCTAGAAAGGATGGGTGACATCTCGAGTCGGTTACGGGAAGACAGTAGGAAGTACAAGAAGGCAGCAATACGGATCAACTGGGAGCTACTCTTGAAGCAGGTAAGTGCAACGCATAAGCATAGCTATCTAATAGGAGACATCACAGAACGCTGACCTAACGTAGTACGGACCCATCGGCGCCTTGGCTTTCATCATCATTGTCTTCATATGGTGGCGCTTCTTCTGAGGACGTTCTGGCAGCTAGTCGGCATAGTGGTGCATTTTCAGCGACACCGGGATGAATCCCGTCGAGAATACATTGACACCGTCGGCGTTCGAGGTGTATAATAACTGTGATTCCGAGCTTTGGCGGACATGCAACAATACCCAAACATTTTCTTTGTTCATGACTCTACGACTAGTCAGTTTCCTTCGTCCAACAGTTGGTGCTGCTGACATGAGTTGCGATCAATCGGTTCCTCAACTCGTGATTAGGCTTATGTTGAAAGTAGATAATGCGACAATTGCCCATATAGTATGCTACCTAGGCACAGATCTGCCGAGAACGAGTTTCCACTAGCGGGAGCAGTGGCACGTGAGCGGCAGAGAACCCTAGTTGGTCTTGGCGATTATTGGCCGCCTATGGGCCTATAGCTGAGGCTGACCATAAGCATTCGCCCCAGTCAACCGTGTGGATATCTGATCTCAGCCTACGAAGGGCCGACTTGCAGTAAGCCTCTCTAGTGTACCGAGGTGTTTCATTCAGTCCAAATACCCGCCTCAGTCCCGAGAACATCATGTTCTGCTTCCCACTCCAGCCGTACGATTTTAATTGTATTTTATAGCTTTCTAAGAGAATCTGGGCACTATCTAGAAGCTTCAGACGCGCTAGTAAACATTTTAGAAAGACCAACATGTCCAAACCTCAACTCGTCCTCATCCCAGGTGCATGGCACGCACCACCCTGCTTCGCAACCATAACTTCCAAGCTCCAAGACGCCGGCTACACAGTCCACAGTCGCCAACTCCCTGCTGTTGGCAATCCTAAACCATGTTCTGACCTGTCAGAAGACATTGCAGCTGTTCGCTCTCTAGTTGAGGAAGCAATCAGCGAGGGCAATGACGTTGTTGTAGTGCCACATAGCTGGGCTGGTGTCGTCGCTGGGAGTGCTTTGGAAGGACTGGGGAAGAAGGAGAGGGAGGCTGCAGGGAAGAAAGGTGGTGTAGTGAGGGCGGCGTGTAAGTAACGTCAATGTACGAATTGGGTGGGAGACTTACTGACTGTGCGCCTCAACATTTAGATATCGCTGCGTTTATACTGCCTGAAGGGGTCAGTTTAAAGGATACTTTACCTGGCATCCCCGATTGGTGGGACATTGATGTAAGCCTTTGAATATTTCAACTCTTATCCCTCTTCTCTCCTTTCTGGCTATTCTGGCTCTTCTGTCTTTTATAACAAAAAGGTTTCCAAGCGGCGGGAATCAGCATACTGACTTGACGCGCTTGTTAGGGACCGCACATTCGCGCTACTGATCCTCGTATCTTCTACAACGACCTGGACGAGTTCGAGCAAAAGAAATGGCTCTCTCAGCTTCAGACGCAAAACTTGGCCACCATTTACGCGCCTACTACCGCGGCGTCTTGGAAAGAGATACCTACCTCGTATCTTTTATGCGAGGATGACCAGGCGGTTCCGGCGTCTGGTCAAGAGGCTATGACTAGTAGCGTCAAGGAGATGGGCGGTGAGATTGAGGTTACGCGGCTCCAGGCTGGCCATAGTCCGTTTCTAAGTAAGCCTAATGAGACGGTTGCGTGGATCAGGAAGGTCGCTGGGGAGGAGTTCTGATCAGTGTATCTAAGGAGGACTTGGAATCTGGGTGACCTGGTCGTACTCGAATCATTGATCTATGAACTTATAAACGCCTACTTGGTTATTCCCTCAATCGGAACTGTTTGTGTCTCCATTCCGTTTCCGATGGGTAACACCGGCTCCCCTCGAAACTCCGCCTTCCCATAACTACAAATACAGTGCGGATCATGTCAGCAGCTATTTCTAATCCTCTCCTTCCGCTTCATACATTACCGTATCTAAGAGTCTTCGCTTAAACTCTAACATATCTATTATCCCTGTTCTCGACACTAATCCATCGGTACACATTGTCCACACTGGCTCTTACTCCAGCAACGACCATCCAAGATGACAGATGCACTACATACACCAGTCTGGCAGGACCTAGCGCGCTCGAAACGCGAATCCGTAGCAGCAAAAATACCAGAAGCGTGGCGCTTACCCTCCCACATCACGGCGAGCTTCCACGAGAACGCCACGCTGAGTGTCCTCGATGTACCGCACACAAGCGGTATTCTCACTCAGCAAGAGATAGAGATTACGGAGAACTATAATGCAACAGAGCTAGTTCAGCTCATGCGTGATAGGAAGCTCAAAAGCATCGAGCTAGTAACTGCGTTCTGCAAACGCGCGGCTGTTGCTCAGCAGTGCGTAAACTGCTTGACGGAGATTATGTTCGAGGAAGCGATGGATAGAGCGAGGGAGTGTGATGATTATTTGGAAAAAGAAGGGAGGCCAATTGGGCCGTTACATGGTTTGCCCATCTCGCTCAAGGACAGCTGCAATGTGAAAGGTGTACACGCTACTATAGGATATGTTTCATTCATTTCGCATCCACCAGCAGCGATGAACGGTATGTTGGTGGGTATCCTACAAGCTGCCGGTGCGGTGTTCCACTGCAAGACGAATCTACCACAGACGATGATGACGGCTGATAGTCACAACAATGTATTTGGCCGGACGCTCAACCCAAACAATCTGTCATTAACCGCAGGCGGTTCAACGGGCGGAGAAGCCGCTTTGATCGCGATGAAAGGAAGCGTGTTGGGTGTAGCTACGGACATTGCTGGCTCAGGCAGGATACCTCCTCTCTGCTGCGGCATCTCCTCTATAAAGCCGACCGCATCTCGGATCCCCTTTGCAGGCAACGTGCCACCCGGCCGCCTTGGTTCCCCTTCTGGTATCATCCCGGTGATAGGACCATGTGGCCGCTCGGTGCAAGACTACGAGCTTTTCCTCAAGACGGTAATAACTGCCCGGCCCTGGGAGGTGGATGGGAACGTCTTAAACGTGCCCTGGCGCATGGTCCAGCCTTGCACACAGCCACTACGCTTCGGCCTGGTACGAGGTTGTAAAGAAAGACCGCTGCATCCACCGATTGCGAGGGCTTTGCACACCGCAGCTACTCTGCTCAAATCGCACGGGCACACAATCGTACTGCTAGATGAAAAGGTCCCAGATTTATATCAGGCCGCGATACTGAGTGCGAAAAACTTCCTTCTCGATCCTGAAATGACGCCCCTGAAGTATATTCAGGCGTCAGGTGAGCCAATGATACCCAGTCTGCCGACGGCGGCGGTCAAAGAGCTGGAGGGGTGGAAGCCGAGTTTAGAGGAGCTTTGGGATATGAATATAGAGCGGATGAGCATCTGCCGTAAATGGCACGACATACTAGTTGGCGAGAAGCTCGATGCCGTGATAAGCTGTGGGTACCAAGCCACGGCGGTGCCGCATGATACATACGGCCTACCCATCTACACGGTGCTGCAGAATTTGTTGAATGTAAGTCCCATGCGGCACAACTGTTGGCAGGTACTGAGTGCGCGTCATTAGAATCCAGCGGGTATCTTACCGCTTGGAAAAGCGAGCAGAGAATTGGATGCGTCCTTTTTCAGGAGCGACGTTGTGTACGAGCCACCATGTAAGTGTCTTCTGATAAGGCAGCCGGATAGAGATTCCACTGACGATCTTCCAAGATGACCCAGACACGTTCGAGGGTGCACCAGCACACGTGCAGATTACAGGTAAGCCCATGATGGACGAAGAGCTGATAGAGATCATGAAGGTGGTAGAGGGTATATTGAAGGAGAACGCATAGGCCAGGGCTGTCAGGGCGGGTCAACGAGAGATTATTATGATATTGATTCATGGTGTAATACCTCTGCACCGTTCTTCGTAGCGTCCGGCAGGCAGTGATAAAGGCGCCACTTGATCAATAGTTCACTCCCTTCTCCTCTCAGTCGTTTCATAAGGCGACCTGCTCCTCGTGTCTCGTCGCCTACGTCGGTCTCTTGAATGCGACCTTGGGCGCTTCTCATCTGTATCTCGCTCTCGCTGACGCTCTGTACGCTCTGGGCGATCATGTCTTCGCTTATGTTCACGGCTTCTTGAACGGTGTCTGCGCCTGTCTTCCCTATCGGCGTCTCTCCGCTTGTCGCGCGATCGTGAACGGTCCCGGTGTCTGTGACGGCGCTCACGATTGTTCGAACGGCTTCGTGATCTGTGTCTCCTCCTTCGGTCGCCGTCGTCGTCTCTATGCCGCCTTGACCTCTCCTTCTTGTCCTTCGTTCGAGACTTGTCCTCGTCCTCGCCCTCCTTTACTTTCTCCTCCATTGCATCTTTGACATCTGCTTCATGTGCTTTATTCCCCAGTGGGGTCATGTTGGCATTGCCTTCTCCGCGCACCGGCACCGGCAGGCCCATGGCAGCCAGCATAGCATCTTCCTCTGCCTCCTTCAGCTTGCGCTTCTCTTCCTTGATCCGCGCAGCTTCGGCCTCTTTGGAGTCGGCATCGCCTTTTGCGTACCAGTTCAAGTCACGACCTTGTTGCCAGCGGCCCACTGGGGCCATGAGCGAGTGGCCTAGGTAGTTTTCGCGCTGCGCATCGTTTTTCACATCTTCCCATTTGAAGTCGGCGCGACCGCCGCTGTGCGAAGTCAGCTGGTGTTTTTTGTGGAGGGCGAGCAGCATAGAACTTACCGGCTGCCTTCTTTGCGTATTGTCTGTACAAGATCCATCGTGTCGTGTTGTGCGAATGGTTGTAGTGATGACCCAGTGAGCGTGTTGTAAAGGCAGGCAAGTTGCGGGCAAGTGACGGAGGTGCCATGGTTCCGCGCTGTAGGCCCTAGCGCCTTCCCCACGAAAGCTCCCTCAAGCCTTGGAAGGAAACAACGAACTACACACCCTCAAACTATTCCACCGCAGCTGCCCCAGCCATGCCTCCCCAGATTCCCCTCCTCGACGAGCAGGAGTTTGACCAACCTCCTCTCCTCGGCGGCGTCCCAAACCACGACCTCAACTTTGGCAATAACCCGTTCTATTACTTCACCTCGTCGCCATGGTTCGAGCCAATGTGCATCAACGTCTCCGTCTTGAACAACCTAGCCCTCGACCCCGATGGCCAGAAGACAATGAACGATCGGAAACTATGGGACGAGAGGCTACGCCGAGAAAGGGACGGAGTGCAGTTTATGATTGCGGGGGAGCCGCAGGGCCCAGGACAGCCGTGGGTGCTGCAGCGCCAGAATAAAGTGCCGAATGCCGAAGACAACAAGAAGATTGACACCCATGTCGAGGGGAACTGGTATTTCCAGGGAACGCGGGTCCTCATGGCGCCAAGTCTGCTGGATGTGGTGCAGAGCCGACTGGTAAACCGCCCTATGTCATAAATGTGGGAAGCAGACTAACAGCTTACGCAGCTCTCCGTCTCAACACGCATGCAACAAATGGCCGAGATATCCAAGAATATGACGCACTGGAGCCCCGCAACAGGCTATTCGTACTTCCCTCCCTCGTACGAAGCTGCAAAAGCAGCAACGACGACGGCGAGTCGCATTGGCAGTCCGACGCTGGCGCCCACAGATCCCGATGCTGAGCCAAGTCAGTCACAAGGTGTAGGAACCACAGCACAAGCAGCAGATCCAACTGCGTCGACGACTGAGTTCTCAGATGCACTATTCATGCAGTCGTTACAGTTGACAAATGCGTATGGCGATGAATTCATGGACGAGAACGCATTGAAGGGCGAGCCTGGCGCTTTCGTCTTCGAGAACACAAGGACAGCTGTCGATGCAAGGAATAAAGCCCAAGAGCAAGCTGCTGCTCAAGCGTCACAACCCGCACCGTCCGCTGCGCATGTGAAGACAGATACGCAGCCTGTGAGTGTAGCGCCCTCAGCAGGAGGGACGCCAAAGGGAGCCGCAACACCAGCTGCGCTCGAAGCGCGGAGTAGAAAGGGCAGCATTGCGCCTGGGCCAAAGAAGAGCAAGAAGGAAAGGGGAAAGAGTCAAGGAGGGCTGGTAAGCCCGACTACGCCAAGTGTGCCATGAGCTGGTTAAGAGCGTTGGTGTATGTTTGCTTCCGATTTCCTTCAATGATACCCAATGTCTACATAGCCAGCATTCATTCTTATTCTTAGACTTTACAGTTGCAACCATTTTTTTTATCGAAACCCTCCAATGCTCTCTATATCACTTCCTCTCCAGCATCTCCTACCTCTCGCCATGCTTCTTCAACCTCTCTCCACCCGTCTTGAACCCTCTCAGTAATCCAAACTCGCCTTCCACATCATCAAAGTCCTTATCCTCAAGCACCATTTTGGCAACTGCTTTAGCAGCAGTACCAATCAGTGCCATACCTCCCCCATTGAACCCAGCCAACACCCATTGTGAACCACCCACACCACGATGCTGTGGCACACGGCCCACATGCGGCAGCCCATCCGGCGTAACACCCATTATACCCACCCATATGTGATCTGTTTCCGCTTTACTCTCCTCCCAACCGAGAAAGGTAGACTGCATGTAGTCGCTCCAATGCCCCTCGACGCGCTCACTGAAGCGTTTTGAGTCGTCGAAGTTGTCGTACCAGACTGCTCGATCAGTTTTATACAGCCAATTCCCGCCGCCAACGACGATGCCTCCGTCGGGTCGGGGGTTGAGGTAATCTACGCCTGTGGCGCCTGGAGGGGAACTGTTAGAAATTCTTTCTTCTTCTCTCTCGTATTATGTTAGAGCACTGGGTGTGGAAAGATTTCTTACCTTGAGAATCGGGTGCAAAATGGATATTGTATGTCTGATTGAGGTGCGGATGTACCTGCTTCCCTGATGGTACGTGGTGGTGACTTGCCATACCTTTAATGGGCACAATTACCTCCTTGAACAAAGGCAGCAGACCAGCCGTATAAGCATTTGTCGCGAAGACAACTTTCTTCGCGCGAAGCACGCCTCGAGACGTTGTGAGAAGATTCACCCCGCCGTCATTGCTACTCCCACCCTCCTCTGGCTCAACCTTCTGCACCGCCGTATTCGTCTGGACATTTACACTGTCTGGATACCGTTCCACCAGGCGTTCGACGAGTTGCGTGACGAATTTATACGGCCACAGGGACGCTGCTGGGACGCTGAAGGCGACTTTTGCCCCCTTGATGGACGTGACTTGCTCAGCGCGCCGCTCATCCAAGCATGTAACATGCTTAGTCCAACCTTCGCCTTGCCTAACTGCGTCATCGTACACGCGCTTCATCTCGCGCGCCTCGCCGCCATCGCAGAACACGTCGAAGCTGCGCCGTAGCTCAAACTCGCAGTCCAAATCTTCCTCGTCAACGATGCGTTTGAGCGCGTCGATAACATCGAGCACGTATTTTTGAAACTCGGTTCTGAAGCCAGGATCGAGATTGGCTAGTGTTGCTGTCTTCACCTTCGTGTGTCCGCCGTTTCGCGCCGTGGCTCCGGAACATAGCTCCCGTGCTTCCAAGATGACGACGTTGGGTATTTTATCTCGAGGTGAGCCTTTGAGGATATGATAGGCTGTTACAATGCCTGATATGGAAGAGAAGTAATAGTCAGTCAGTGGGTATATATCTTGTGGGCGAGGCTTTGAGAAGTTGGAGGTTTATGATACATACCTGCCATGCCCGAGCCAATGATTGCTATATCGCATGATGCAGGGAGAGACGAGGTCGAGCGTACATTACTATACTTGTGTGGTTGGGAAAGCCAGTATGATAGTACAGGATCTGGTACGGGAAGAATGCGGTCTTCCTTTCCTGGCTGTCCTGCCTTCATGGTGTCACTTTCTCGCAGGCGTAAGACCATGTTTAGAGAGGTAGAAATGGAGCTGTTCTTGTCTTCCAACGAGCTACTTATATACTATTGAACGTCTTATTTGAGTTGCGGCCATGGAGTTGTTATTGTTAGTCCGGTCGGCATTCGGGATAAGTGAGAGCTCCAAGGTCGAGTAGGTGCTGTATTGCTAACGTGAGGCACCCAACGCCTAGGCACCTTCCTCTCTTGACTGATTCGCCCATGTCTTATCTGGCTGCATTAGCAATTAATGATGAGCAGACATGGAATAATCAGGGAAAAGTGTGGCAGTGATCACAATAGGAGCAGAAGACAGGGTTTTGAGTGGGTAAATCCCGGATCCTCGCGTACCACTCTTTTGCGAGAAGTACGGGTAGGATCCTGACGGATACGAGTCTTGACTAACTAATCATCCCTATAGAAGCGAATTGCGATATCCCATCGATAAAAACCAAATAACTCCATCCCAGATGCCGCTCGCTTCCATCATATATCAATCAGTTTCGGTTGTGATGAACTCCTTCATCAGAACAGTTTGTTTCATCCGCCCAAACACCACAATGCAAGAAGTCTCTTATGGTAGTGTCCCAATGCTCCCGTTGTCCAAGACACATGAACCAAGACACCCGTGGAGTAACAGAGGAGAGATACCAAGCGACAAGGTAGAAGCGAAAGGATAGATGCAGTGGCGTTGAGGTATGCGGTCGTAAAGTGGAGATGTACAGGTATAGAGTAGAGTGGAGGAACAAAGGAAAATGGTATCTCTAAAGCTACAATTTGACTCAGAAAGGGTATTGTTGATGTTGGTTCAGTGGAGGAGCGTAGGACTCTTGCTTCGCACAAAGGTACTCCTAGAAAACAAAGAAAAAAAAGGAAATTAAAGGATGAAAGAGTTGTCAAGACTACAAGTGGTAGATGTCTACCACACCCACTCAAAATCGCCGAGGTCATCGCTCATGTGAGCGTGACCGGATTGTTGGCGCCAATCTTTGGACTTGTACCAATTGATACCGTCCAGCTTTTGCTCGAAGCTGCCATGGTTGTTGTTCTCGTTTTGGCTAGGGCCCCAGTAGGTCGGGCGTCGTCCAATCCCAGTCCTGCTCCGCTTCCGGGCGGAGGTCGGAAGAGACTGGGCTTGCTTGGGTGACTTCATGGGCTTCTGCATAGGTTTCGTCGGAGTTTGATGCTGAGCCTGCACAGCGGGACTACGTCTGCGGTCACCAAGGGCAGCCCACTTGTCTGCAACGCTACGCTTCGGGGAGGGAGAGAAGCGTGGAGGAGGTGGCGAATGATGCTCCTCAAAGACAAAGCCGGTGCTCGCACTGATGTGGTCAGCAGCGTGACGGTTCTTGGGTGAACGGCTCCTGCTGTTGTTGACGATGGCAGGATTCTTCATCTCTGACAAGCCACCGCGAGGAGTGGAGACACCCGAGCCGGCCTCGGAAACAACTAGCTTCGGCTGCTTTTCAGCAGCGGAAGGAGTGTAGCTGTTTTCGATCTCAGCAAGGAATTGCGCATCGTCTTCCTCATCCCACAAGTCACTCCAGCTTTTCGAGAAGGCATCACGCTTCTTGCCAAAAACAGAAGCCATGCTACCGAAAGCCTTCGCCGGAAGAGAACCGGAGATTGGAACAGGCCTGGATCGCGTGATGTCCATCGACTTGGCTTGGGTGACGTCAGTCGACTTGAAAGACAGGCCCAAACCAGAATCGACAAAAGACACGCCAGAGGCGGTCTCTGGCTTGACATCGTAAGGGGGGCCAGGGAACATATCCTCGTCGTACAACTCCGTGTCCGGAATCGCAGACAGTTGACGGATCGCCTGCGGTGGAGACATGGCAAGAGCTTTGGCCCATGGGAAGGAGCCATTGTTCTCGAGCTGCGGCGTCGAGATGGAGGGAGTCCGGAGAGGCTCACGGTTGGCTCCAACAGCGACAACGTCGCGCTCCTCAATGCAGAATTCATCGAGGCTCTCGTCGTCGGTGGTGAAGATGACAGCACGAGCAAGAGCCGCCTTGACGGCAGCGAGGCTACGCCTCTCAGGGTCAATAGCCAGACAATGTCGAATGACTTCAAACGTGTCCTGAGACATGTTTGGGAAGACATCAAAGAGAGTCTGACGGTCAAGAGCGAAATCGGCGTAGAGAGGATCCGAGGCGGATGGGACAGCAAAAGGGTTGCGTTGGAAAAGGACGTTGAGGAGGACGATGCCGATCGCCCAGATGTCTGCCTTGGCGGTGTCGTAACCAGCGTTGGACGGATCGTACTGCTCGGGAGCCATATATCGGTCGCTGCCTACAGCAATCTCCCAAGACCAGGTGTCGGAAGTGGCGAGACCAAAGTCACCCAGCTTCATCGAACCAGACTGGGTAAGGAAGATGTTCTCGGGCTTAATGTCGCGATGGTAAATGCCCTTGGAGTGGATGAACTCGACGGCACCGACCAGCTGCATCATGAAGTCACGGACGTGCTCAGTTTCCAATGGGCCCTTGTCCTCACGAATGGCCTCGTACAAATCGCCATTGGAGCAGAATTCCAGCACCAGGTAGACGTGGTTCTGGGTCTCGAAGGACTGAACGAGGTTGACGACATTGGGGTGATCGCCGAGGCGGAGGTGGACACCAAGCTCTTCGGATCGCTCGTCAACTGCAAAGGCGGAAGGGCAGTTGGCAGCGGCCGCCGTCTTGGTGATGACCTTGATGGCAACATGGTCGCCAGTTACCAAGTCCTTGGCCTGGAAGACCATGCCGAAAGAGCCATGGTTGAGTGGGGATATGGTCTCGTAGCGTCCATTGAGTACAACGCCCTCGTGAAGCTGATCGCGCATGCACTCCATTAGGAACAACGGTGGACAAGAACAGGTGGCGGGCCGAAGGGAAACTCGAAGGATTCACCGGAGGGCTTGTCGCTGAAGGTGAACAGATGTAACCGTGGATGTGAGGCTCGAAGGTGAAATCAAACTATGGGCCGGCAGCCGTCGTCCCAAAAGCGATGCTCTATTTGACTTTTAGGTGACCACGGAATTTGAAGAAGATAGCAATAAAATGGTTATGATGTCGTCCGATCCGGAATGGAATAAAAGCACGGACCGTGGAATATGTCGTCAAGTAACAGGCTACAGGGTGTAGTAGGCCGCTCCAGGGAATTGGAAAGCAAAACAGAGGTGTCGGTACTATGCACAGGTGTCGGTCGACCGGGAAAAGCAAGGAAAGGTCAAGAGAGTGTGGTTCTCATTTGTTGGTATTAATTGCGTATGGGATGGCTCGAGTCAACGAGCAATCAGGAGGGCGGGCTTTCGGGCGGAGTGCTAGACGTCCGGGACGGAAAGCAAGTGGTATCGCTGCGTAAGAGAGAAGAGATTCGTAAACACGTGGAGGTTCGTCGGTAGGGCAGACAGAAGGTGGCTGTGGCAGTCTGTATGACGCGATTGGCAGATGAGTCAAGGTGCACGGACTCGTCGAAGGCTAGCAGGGCGCTCGGAGTTGCGTGGAGGTGATGCTATAGTTGGCGGCTTTCGCTGGGTAAGAGGCTGATCGACAGAAGCATCAAGCGTCGTATCCAAGAAGCTGGGTTGCAGCGTAGGTCGTCGGGTTGGAGGTGATGTGTGTTGGAGAGAGTATACGACGAGGCCGTCAGGGAGGGAGGGATCGGTGATGGCCAGCAGCTCTCTTTTCTCTCTTTATCACATCAAATCAATGCCCGACGTTGGCAGCTAGATGGTCCTTGTAGATGGGCGTGGAGCGGGTTGTGGTAGTGGTGGTAGTGGAGAGTCGGAAGGGAGGGATGTTGTTGTTGTGGTGGTGGTGGTGGTGATGGTGGTTGTTGTCGTCTGAGCAGGATAGCGGTTGCGGAAGGAACGAGTGGAATGCGGCAATTATTAGGGGAGCAGCGGCGGAGAAGGTAGGGTGGGAGAGGGAGAGGGAGCAACGCTGAGCTTGCGAGCAACGACGAGAGAGGAACAGAAGTACGGTACGGGTTATGGAGGCATCGGAGAATCGTGGGTGAGGTGGTAGCGGGTAAAGGACGAGGACGTGGGTATTAGAAGGCGAGCGAGCTGAGCCCACCCTCGGCCGCTTTCAGCCTAGCGAGCCGTGCCAGGCGGTGACACTGAGCAGGGGTCCCAGAGCGGCCTAGCGCCCATGTCGTGGCTTGCATCACCAGATGCTAAAGCAGCGCCATCCAGAGGCCAACCGGATCCGCCCTCTGAGCCTGCCAACTTTCCACTCTCTTCTGCGCCTTTCGACCCTTCGTCACCTTTCGTGCCCATACCGGCTCGCTCGGAGTCGTGGCCAGCATGCGGTCACGTCTTCCGTCCCATTTATTTTCATCTCGCTGACGAACAATGACCGGGCCTGCGAGCGTTATGACGCCTTTCCACGGACGAGCAGCAGCAGCGCCCGCTGAAACATCGACCCTGCTTCATAACAATGGGCGAGGGGGGGCACACCCAGGCCACCAGCGACCAAGGCCTGGCATAGCATAGCAGGATGGCGATGGCGATGCAGTTGTCGTGTGCCAACGCGTTGCCGGCCTAGCCCCCCAAGCGCCGGCTAACGTCTGTTCTCAGGGCGCTGCTGATCTCGTCGCGTCGCAATGTAGGACAAAGCTGCCACCTGGCCTCTAATTGGTGTCGACCTGCAACCGCTCCCACCCTCCACGCCGTGCTCCAACCAGGCCGTTATCATCCCTCTGTCGACATGCCTGCCATTCCACTGCACACCCTGCTGCTGCTCTCCCACCGTTGTCGTCAGTGCCGCGAGCGGAACATTCAAGGTGCTGCTGTAGGATTCAGGGGTTCTACGCCCCAATACGGCATGGCAAGTGTTTCGCGTGTTAGCGCTCCGAGTCTCCCTCTGGTACTCTTGTGTCCGCTCGAATGCTGCGCCAAAGCTCCGTCGCGCGGGCAGCGGCTAGACGGCCCAGGAATCTGGGGAAAGCTCATGCTATGGAGCTCTCGACGCGCGCAAAAACTGCTGCATTCTCGTGTCCTCTGTACACTGGCCGCTATAGCATGCGGTGGAGATGGAAAATAGTCGGTGTACACGGCCTGGTCGAATCCGGTTACCTCTCTTATTCCTGCTCCCAATTCTTCTGTTTGTTGTCCAGCCTCGGGTCCATCGACCAGTCTGGGTGCGCTGTACGGGCTGCCCAGACCCCGTAGTAAGCTCGCAACACACTCTAACTAGGGACTTGCAGTAGACTGCAGCAACGTGCATAACAAGAGGCCACTTTGCCACCACAACAGGCGTGCTGTACAGGGCACTCGACGGCTTCCAGCGCGACTACTGCAGGTAACATTGCGACGGGCCATTTCTTGTATCCACATCTTGTACCTGTCCCTGAGCAGCTCCATAGCGGTGTGGAGCGATAACAGACTTGTGTAGACAGCGCATACTATTTCCACGTCCCGCAGCCTATGGGATTTCAGATATTGTTGTTTTGATTTTGGAGAGCGGGTCGCGCTCCCATGGGAGTGGGATATCTGTGGGACTGCGGATAGCTTCCGTTGACCTGCGGCAGTAGTTGTATGATGAACTGTACACATAATCAAGGTACTCCTGTTTACATTTCTTCGCTCTCCTTGACAACGCATGCTTCATGGGCCGAGGCACCTGCTACTTCGCATCGCAGCGACCAGAAGCGCGTCTGGCTCCCGTACATGAGGAAAATTTCTACTCGACATAGACCACCACGAATTGCTAGACCTGATTCGGCCGACTTTTCTTGGTGTTGTTACTGATCCATGTGCACTAAACTCCCGTTGTCTACTACTGTACACCGCTGGCTTTTGGTGTTCGTGTGTTGCCCATTTGCACCAACCAGCGCTGAGCCTCGACACACAACAACGCGAGAGGGCAGCATAGGGCTCTATATCAGAAAATTTTCGCTTCACCGCTACTCACCGCCCTACACTCAACAAGAAAACAACGCCATGTCTGCCGCATCCCTTGATGGCGAGCGCTGGAGAGAGTCGGACGTGGTGCTGCTCGACATTGGTAAGTTCTCGCGTATTGCTCTTGGAGAGAGTCCTCGAGTCTTCGAGTCCTGGATTGTGCTGGGAGAGCGAACGACTGCACGCAGCCTCCCAGCCTCCACCAACCTTTGCGCTGCACGCAGCCTTGCTGTGCTGCTTCGTCGGTCCAGCCAACAGGCTTCGGGCCACTGCAGACGCAGCATGCTGTCTGTCTTGCTGCCCTTACCCCAGCGCCTCCCACCCCGGATGCTCGTTGTGCCACTGGCAAACCACAGCCCTCGAATGTTTCAATTGCGCGTGCAACCTTCCGAGCTATACTCGAGCCATGCTGACTAGGCCGTCTCACGACTCCAGAGGGCACCATATCGAGCATCTCCTTTGTCAAAGATGTCATGGTAAGCTTCTCTCTCTCTCTTTCTCTTTCTCTCTCTCCATTTCCGCTGCTAGTCTCGCGCTGTCACCATTTCGTCGTCTCGAGCATGGCGTCTTCCCCGCATGCGGAAGTAGGCTCGGCGTGATCAACACCACCAACGATGAGTTGAGCCTTAGGGGGCCACAACTCTAATCCTTCCTACTGGTGTCACTCCGGCAGTCTCCAAGCCAGCCACTCGGCTCCTCTTCCTGGGTTCTAGATGCATTTCCTCTCCAGCACCTGCCCTTGCGATAACGATCGTCACGCTTGTAAACTTCCGTCATCTGTCACGCGACGCCCCATAGCGTGTTCCCCTTGCTACTGCTACTGCACACTTACCATAGCCGCAGTATCCGTACGCGCTCGACAGTCTCACCAGACTTGCACGCGATCAATGGGCCGACGCTGGCTTTCAAGCCCTCATCGCGGGGTTCCCAGAAGAGACCAGAAGGTCGGCCGACACCTTGGTGGCTCATGTCGAGGACCTTACCCGTCGAGACATCAAGGCTGTCTACCTAAAGCAGCTCCAAGGTGGGTGCTAAGCTTCCTCAGCCCATTTCATCGCATGCTGGCATATCCCTTCTGTCCTCTGCCGTATCACGGCCTTGCTCCAGGATCACTGCCATCACCAAGCGCCGACATCGCGCTGCCCTAAGTTGATAGCCAGCATCGAAGATAGATCATCGCTCCGCTTATCACCACCGCAACCACCATTGCGATAGTCGCCATAGCTATGGTAGGGACCCATCACGGTGCCGAACTATGCTTCGTTAGCTCCACATGGCCACCGCAAGCGGATTCGTTATCGCTGCCAGGCGATGATATACACATCATGTCGCGTTCCATGCCCATTACTCTTGGGCAATTAATGCACATCTGCCTGGATGCGTTTGCTCTTCATTCTGGCATATGCCGCTCAACTAACGCTCATCGCAGGCCACCTTTGGACCACGGGGTTTAGTAACGGTGACCTCAAGACCCCACTCTTCGAAGATGTTGTGCCTACCTTGGAAGCTTGGAAAGCTGCTGGTAAGAAGCTAGCCATCTTCTCCTCCGGCAGTGTGCAAGCGCAGCTCCAATTCTTCTCTTATGTTCGAGACGGTCACACGACCAAGGACATCAAGCCCCTCTTCTCGGCGCACTACGATACTGTCAATGCGGGTCCAAAGCTGGAGAAGAGTTCGTATGAGAAGATATGCTTTGAGCTAGGTCAAGATACCTCCAAGGTCGCATTCTTAACAGACAACGTGAAAGGTAGGTCTGCTACTCCTTCCCATGTAAACCAGCACATCATCGCCTCGTGATCCCCCACACGTCATCGCGCTTGCCGCTATTAATATGGTGCAATACCACACCATATATTGACTGCGACTACTCCACATAACCATCCTCCAAAATGTCTCATTTTCATCTAATAACCTGCGCTAAAATCCACATGTTGTCATTGACATGCTTGCTAACAAATTGACTTTGTAGAGGCCGAAGCTGCGACCCAAGCGAACGTGTATACCATCGTCGTTGATCGCCCGGGCAACGCTCCCCTATCGAACGAATCAAAGCAGCGCTTCCCAGTCATACAGAAATTGACCGATCTGCCTTCGATATAGATGAACTCCCCGGTAATATGATAGGTGGTTGGACATGAGCGTACGACCGCGCATTTCAAAAGCAGCGAAAAGGTACATGGCCACACAAAGCAAGGATAGCAGATAAGCAAATACCCATTCAAACGTCTCAGCATCCGCCGTGATTACCCCCACCATCTATGACGGGAGCACGGGTAGCACGAACAGAACATTCCAACCCCTAAAACCATTCCGTCTTCGTTACCTGTCCTGTTACATCAGCAGTTGAACATTCGAGCCTCACGTGTCTTCCCTGGAATGCGGCATTTTCGTCCCATTGTAGCACGGGGTTTGTTTTCAGCCTGTCTCGCGCGCAACTTCATGCCCATATATGCCCACCTTACATTTCGAATTAGCGGCGCACTTACAAACCCGGTAGCGCGGCCTGGGGCTACGCATGGTTCGACAAGGTGCTGTTTCAGTTGGTGGGGCTGCCAGTCTGGGGTGATGCGAGAGAATGGTGTTCAATTCGCAGTGGTAGCTATGGTGATTATAGGCACGTTACGTGAATGGAGTCTTTTGTGATGTGCCGTTGAGTCGTGGAGATGACAGTGATACACACGTCTTTGTTTAACAAACAGCAACATTATACGATGTATATTGATCGGGCCACATGCTACCACGTACATGTGATGCGCTAGACATATTTTGAATGCTTTGTATACCTGCAGCTCTAGCTCTAGCTTTACCATAGTTGAGGTTCAGATCCGATAGCATGGTGTATACAAACCCTGAATACTACCCTTACATCCATTCTCAATCAGAACCCTTCTTCTCCTCTTTGTCGTTGAGCAAAGACTCATGCGAGGACCCCATAAAAACAGTAGTCTAGATTCTAATCATGTCTCGCCCATCTCGCTGCGTCCGTCAATCAACTGATTAATGAATTAGTCAAGCCTCCCAACCTCAAAGATAATCACAAATAACATGCAAGGACGTAATCAATCGTAATTGAACATCCATTCACTTCAGAAGAGTAAGATGAACAAGTTCACATAATTAGTAGGCTTGCAACTTCATCATCTCGCACAGTACACAAGGACACATATACCTAGACGTCACTATAGCTCATTGAAAACAACCATAGCGCGCCGAAAAAGAGAAGAGGGTGTGTATGTATTGTTTTTTTTGATTAATTATACAGGGCACCATTCGTTTGAGAAACGCTCAATAGGGTATATGCAGGTATCCAGCGCTTTTCCTTATTTCCAAACGCCCCTAGCCAGAGTTTTCCTTTCCTATGTGAAGGTGGTGGAATGCTACCCATGGATATGCAAATGCTCGCCTTTCTCGACTGACTCTTTTACATCGCCTGTCCGGACCGACCAACGCTCATAGCGGCGGACTCTCGGGCCTGTCAATAGCGAGGGAATGATAGTAGTCCGTGAGCGCGTTCATGTCATCGCCAAACGACGTGTCCACATCCGCCAGTCTTTCCAAATACGCTTCCCGCCCGAACGTCCTCAACGAGGGCGCGCCGGTGGATGTACCAACGGTCTTGGGCTGTTGAACGCATTCGTAGCCTAATGCCCCGATATCCCAGACGCCAGCACAGGAGTGGCAGATGAGCGTCGTTGTGACGGCAGCAACGGGATTAGTAGCTCCACAACGGAAGCAGGCGAAAGAGCACCGCTCGCATAGAATTGGGGCGTCTGGATCGGTGGTAGAGAGTCGTGCGGGTCGACTGCAGTAGGTGCACTTTGATTTACCAGGAATAATGCCGTGATTGATCTCGATTGCTTTCCGCTGCTGACGCAATTCGTCCGAGATGCGATCTGCGCTACGTCCTGAATCACCAATTTCCTCGCTGGTGACCTTGACTATGCTAGCCTTGCAAGCGGCGATGTTGCACTGGGGACCTGGTTTCGCTGCCAGACTGAATTGGAACTCGAGAGCCTGTTGGCGCAGAAAAGGAGCGTCGACGCTTGAATCGAATGGCCCTGCATATCTGGGTCCTTGTACTACCTGTCGAATTGGTAGACCGCCGAGTGGTGCAAGCTGTACCTGGCTACTTTGGAGCAAGTAGTTTCCTTCTACGATTCCGGAGTCGGCTCCAGCAGGGGCCTGAGGTTCACCAGTGACCGAGTCCTGGTCCGGCTCTTCATCATAGTAGGGCACAAATCGCAATTTCGCCACATCTTTGATGGAGCAGTCATCTCTTCCGACCTCGAGGACATTGACCGAGCCGTTGATTTCACCAATGATGAGCTTGCTCTTATCGGGACTAAAGGCGCCAGACATGATTCCAGAGTCGGCTGTTATCAGGTCTTTGATGAAAGTGTTTTCCTCTGAACGGGTAACATCCCAGACCTTGACAACACCGTCCGTAGAGCCGGAGTACAGCCTTGTCGCGTTTTCGCCCCAGGATAAGAAGCGCATACCAGTATCCGTGACTTCGTGTGGAACACCGCCTTGCAGGGGCATCAAAGACCGTCCATGCGAAAGGGTTCGTATGGGATCGGTTGGCCACCGGAGATCCCAGACGTAGGCACGTCCATCCGTGCAGCCGGCAGCGATAAGATGCTCATCATACGGGCACCAAACAACATCGTTTATGTCTAAGGCCTTGCACTCTATTTCAAGTGGACACCAGAGCTTATCCACCTTTTCGTTGTAAAGTCGGAGTACTGAGCGCGTGCCGCGGTTGACATTGGCTCCAGCAACACATCCAACTGCAAACAATGGCATGTATGACCGGTTTGGATTGAACTCGACGTCAAAGACATTCCTATTAGACCCGTAAATAGGTAGTTGAGTCTGTGTTTCAACGTCCCAGAGGCACAAATCGCCAGTCGTGTCAAAGCCGTGATCGCGAACATTGGCACCGAAGCCAGCAAGTAGTAGGCCACCAAAAGCTGGCTCGAATTGGAGAGACGTTGGGAGAATCTTGAGATCGGAACGCGACACGGCCTTTGACGAATGGAAGCTGTGCTTTCCACATATTGATAGGTCTTCCTCGTTGAGGGTGAGCAGTCTAACGGCCTTACTTTCTGTTGACTTCGCTGCGGTGGCCAGGACGCCCCCGTGATTACGATTAACCGTCATGATGTCTATTTGAGCCCTGCATCTAAACTTGGCACCTAGGACTGGCTGTTCTGAATCGGTTTTTGTATACCATGCGCATATTGTCTCGTCGTAGCCGGCCGAGTACATGACTCTACCGCTAGGTGCGAATGCCACGGAGCTGACGGTGGTGTATAGTTTCGGGTCTTGAGACACGAACATAGCGTGCGTTGAGTTAGCACCAGTTTCCGTCTTCTCTCGTTTTCTGTTATGTTCACCCAGTTCGTGGATAAGCCCATCGGAAGTATTGCCATAGAGGAGATTGTTCGGCCTGTTATACTGCATGGAATCGGGGTCATCCACAGCGACAGCCCCAGCTGCAAAACACTCACCGTCGGGGGCCCAGACTACGGTATGGACGTCACTCGATGCGCCTGTCCAAGAGAACGCAGGCCCTAATGAATCCATGTATTTGTTCTTGATCTGATACGTCACAGGTCTAGATGCCGCAGTCCAGCCCCTCTTCGCATGCTGGCCTAGTTCCCGTTGACGCATTATGGTGTAAGTCGACAGTTTTTGAGTTGTACTCATCTTGTCTTGCGGTCTGGCAGCGGCAAGCCTCTGAACCTGCGGGGCATCTGGAATACGGCCCGCCTTCGCATCTTGCAAGAAGGCTGTAATACTGCTTGTATCACGAGAGGGAAGACGTCGTCTAATATCATCGATAAGCTGAAGTAACTTCGACTCCGGCAGATTTGCTAAGGTAGCTCGCGCATGTCCTTGTCTAGCCGTGTGCTTTGATTCCTGAGCAAGTCGTATCATCTTCGCAACGGCCTTCTCAACTACTCCTAGCTCCTTCGGAGTGAAGTCAACGTGAAGCACAGCGCCTTGCCAATACCGGCTAGACAACTGGTCCCAATTCCAATCTGTGTGCGTATCTTGGATAGCTATACGTTGTGAGCTGCTGAGATAAGGAAGCTTCTGCGTCAAACCAGCTGGACCTTTCTGGGCGTTCAGAGCAAGCTTGGCGTCGTCACAATCATAGCTCATACTCATAGGCTCATTTTCCACTGGCACAGCTGTATCGGGAACAGAGATAACCTCTTCAGTTGGTGTTTCGGACCGCGAAGGGGCATCGGTATCTGCCAGACTCTCGAAAACCTCCTCATCTTCATCTGCATCCTCTCCAGTCCTAGCGACCCTTAGATGGCTTCTTGGCCATGTATAATTCACACGTTTGGCCCGATGCGACCGTTCTCGACGAGGCGCAGAGTCGGCTCCGGAGGAATAATCTTGCTCCGTGGTCTGATATATCGGAAGAGGTTGTGTTGCTGCTATATCTTGACGCGGACTGGCGGGCTCCAAACGTGCTCTAGGTCCAGGATGATTGCCATGCACAGTTGCCCAATCGACGGCTGCTTCAGCAGCAAACCGAGAAGGTAGACGCAATACTGCGGGATCCTGAGACCGGTCTCTCTTATTAAGGTTGGTGGCGTAGCGCGACTGAAGGGTAGAGTACTGGCGACCGGGGAACTCGGCGTTGAACTCCGCCGTGATCTGCTTCCACGAATAGAGCCTGACTTCCTTCAAGAATATCAGGTAGTGGTCTTGCTCGGTCGTAAATTGATTGGCTAACTTCGGACGTCCCGAACTTGGTTTGGAGGGCTGTGCTGTTGGCGTGGGACCTGGGGTAGATTGCTGAAAACCTAGCTCTGGCTTGGGCGGTCTATCCGACATAACGCTGTCCTTTTTTTTATCGCCCAACGCAATAGAGCTGGAAAAGTAACTTGATTTTGATAGAAATAACTCTCTCGCTATGTCGGACCTGTTCATCGTGGATCTAGCAGGGCGCTCTAGGGGCGGTCCTTGCGTCATGGCTTCCTTTGCCTCTGTGCTCCTCGAGCTGTTAAGAGAAATAGGGTGGTATGTACGTCGCTCCATCTTGCTGTGGGCATGCGGATGTTCTTGTGCTCTTGGGTCCACTACTGATTGTCCGTTTGTAGCGTTCGCTCTCGTTGTGGTAGCTTGAGCAGGGTGCTGCACACCTCGTAGCGGTGACGCCGGTCCGTTAGGTGCTGAAACCCTCATTCTTTTAGGTGTCCTCTCAGCGCTGCTTAGTCCGGGGTGTGTACTGTGTTGTGTGCTTCCAGGCATTGGAACGTAGTTCGTTGCGACCGCCGCGCCATTGCGCCCGATGCTCGCAGGTGTATGTCGGCTCGAGCTTGTTGGTGGAGTTACACTATTATTAGGCAACTGTTTGCCCACCATGGAGACACTTGTATGTATAGAGGGGGTTTGTGGGGTGCTTCCTGGTATGGGTACGTGGTTTACGGTCGGTCGGATCGCAGGAGTCGAGGTGTATGAAGACGTAACGCTTATAGGTAGAGGGACGGAGGCTCTCGTCGGCGCCATTGTTGCGACGGGCAACGAGGACAATAGCCCGTCGTCATCGTCGTCGTCGGAATCATTCGTCAAATCAATGAACGATTGTCTCCAGTCGCTGCGCATGTTTAGCGTTGTGTCCTTGTGGTCGCTTTGCAGCGCGTGTTGAAAGAGGAAGAGACTAAAGTACGAGATGTTTGCATATGTAGAGTTCACTCACCTCAGCGACATGGTTTCCAGACCCAAGCGACGCGTCCATGTAAGTGAAGGTGACTGTCGCGTAGAGTGGGTTGCGATCGCGCCGGGCATCCCTGTAGCTCTAGCGCCATGTACTTCGTAACGCCTCCCGCCGCAGTGTCTTTCAGTTAGTCAATGTGCGATATTTTGCTTAATTACACAAGTAATTGCAATAATATCCATCTCATAGACACAATAATTGTGTTGCGCGAGGGACGACGACTTTTGCGTCCATACTAATAACATTTCAAATACTATCTGTAAGATCGACTTTATAGAAGACTTCAAATTGTACAATCTGCTTGCTAGCATTCTAGCTGCTTAACACAAAGTCTACTATAACACATACATGATTAGGGGTATACGGGCCAATGTGCAGTTGGGAGTAGTCCATCAGGAGTTGTACGGCGACCTTACCCTGCTCCGTTCGCTCTCACGAGATGACCTAGTGATCAGCTTCTCCCCTTTACCCTCAACGTCTCCCATCCTATCCTGCCGACTCTCCTCAACAGCTAGACCTGCAACAGGCACTTGCTCTCCAGGGGCAACATCCTGCGGTACCGGTGGCCCGGTAAAAGTCTTTCTACCCCGGATGAAATACCAAGCTACTGATATGCTAGCAAAGCCCGCGAAGACCACGCTGGCATAGTTCATAGTAGCTGAAGTGACAGGTAGGCTGACCGGCATACAGAACAGCACAACGGCCAAGCCGATCCAGACTACCATGGCAATGTTGATGGCGTACCCAAATCTCCCCAGGCTGAAGGTAGAGTTCTTGACGGCCTTGCGCCCGCGGAGGACGGAGATTAGGATGGGCATGCCATATGATGTCGATAGGCAGATTGTGGCTACGCCCGTGAAAGAGGTGAAAGCCGCGCTGGAGCCAAAGAATATAAGCCCGAGGAGGCAGTCGACGGTTGTTGAGAGAACGAGCGCCATGAGAGGGATATCGAAACGCTTGTCTACTTTCATCCAAAATCGCGAGCCGGGGATTGCGCCGTCGCGCGCAAAGGCATAGGTGCAGCGGGACGCTGCTGTGAGGGCGCCTACGCCGGCGAAGAATAGGATGCCGAGGATAAGGAAAAGAAGGCCGAAACCACCGGCAGCAGATCCCGTTACCGTCTTGAATAACAACCCAATGGGTTGTCCGTTCGCTACACCGAGCAGAAACTCCACGTCGGGGAGCACGAAGAGGATCGGGATCAGGTAAACAACGCCGGTAATACCAGCTGCCAGCACAGAGAGCACAATGGCTTTGGGCACTTCGCGTTCTGGATAGGCCACCTCTTCGCACATGGATGCAACCATTCCATATCCTGTGAGCGTATAAGCAGCTTGGAGCAGGCCAACGAAGAAGGCCCAGCCGGATGGCCTATAGCGCAGTCAGTTTACATTATCTCAATTTATAAGACCGCGCGGCGAGGAGAACGTACCATCCACTCCGACTGGCATCGTAATGTGTAAAAACAAAATCGGCATCCCGCTTGGTGTCCGCCATTGTCAAGAGGGTGATTAGAATAATGATGACGCTGCTTGCGGTCCAGTAGATGCAGATCTTGTTGATCAGATCAAGGTACTTTGCGCCAAAGATATTGACGCTCATGCAGATCAACATGACGGCCCAGAAAGCCAAGACGGTCTGCCATTGATTCGGCACGAAATTTACGTCCCACAGCGTAATGGCAGACAAGATGAGCTGAGCCCCCGAGAAGTTAATAGAGAGTGTAACAGTCCAGTTCCCGACCAAGGTCAGCCACCCCGTAACCCAAGAAGCGATAGGAGCCCATTCGCGCGTCGAGAGCATGGCGGACCAATAATATACACCCCCAGCCGTCGGATACACGGCGCAAATCTCAGCCAGAGAAGCCGCGATGCACAGCGAGATCAAGGACACTAAGATCCATCCGTACAGAATCGTGACGCTCTGTCCGTCTGTCAAAGTGATAGACATGGTTGTCGATAATCCGAATGGAACGGCCATGATGGCAAAGGACCTAAGTCATTAGCGACCGTTTTGCGCATTGGTTCCCAATGATCCCTATCATCTTCCTGAAGGGCGGTATAGTTGGGAGTCTGGTGGACTAGAAGTAACGGCACACTCACATTCCCAGCACACTGAGCATACTCAGATTCCGCGGCAACTCGGACTGGTAGCCCATCTTCGCGAGGGCTGCATCCGCACTCGGATCTGTTATTGACTCCCTCCTCCTACCTCCTCCGCTCCCCGCGAGGGAAAGACTTCTCTTGACCATCTTCTTGCCGATATCCCGCCGCTTCTAGCGATCCAAATCTAGCTCTTTTCAGACGGCCGCCGTTCGCGCATGCGACCTTTGTAGAACGAGAAAACAGGAGGAGGACAAGCAACGTGGAAGGACGGAAGGATGGAAGGAGTGCAGACCACAGTAGACGTCACAAAGGGTCCTTGGGGAAAAAATACGAGACTGGCTTGTCGCGTGCAAAACGCCGGCGCGGACCCAAGCTGCGGGGAAACCCCAAGGGCTAGATTTCAAGCTTTACGTAGCGCGATGGCAAATGCGATAGCGAAGAAAGACGCTCCCTCCCGCCTCCCGAGCTTCATATCTGGGCGCCATTATTATGTACGAACATAACAAACCACATACGCGCACACGCATTGTTTTGCAGGGGTGGTGGGACAAGGGAACATCAAGCCTTGGAGATACCCAAGATAAGAGTTTGGTCAAGAAAGCTTCCGTCCCACCAACCAGCTGCAACAACAGATAATAGAAAGCGTGTGGGTTTATCAGATTGGCCAAGGGTAATCCGCCCACGCGGGCGTTTTTTGTCACCTCGGCATGTCACCGACGAAGCCATGCGCGTCATCTAATGTGTCGCGTGTACATGCTCCTTTTGTGGGGTAATGTCGGCGAACGGGCTGACTTCGTATCTTCTGCGGACACATAAATAAACGTGACTTCGAGATGGAGAATCCTAGGAGTGTTTTGAGAATCATGACTCGTTAAATTGCACGTGGGTATACTAGCAGTCACCTATACTCCAGATCGCCATCATAAGTCATACCGCAGAAAACGGCATAGAGTGTACTCATCCTCCCGTAGACGCCTCAGGAGCGGACTGTTGTCTGCAAGAACCGTACCGACTCCTAGCCCGCAATGTTTTGCACACCCTCGACGGCGGCTACCTCGAGCGCCTTCCAATCCTTGACCTGATACTCCGCCATATATTTCTCATAGAAATCAACCAATCCTGCTCCATCTTCTTTGTCGAGCACCTCGACGCACATTTCCGGCGTGATGACCTCGGCCACAGTCTGTATCTCCTGCTTCCACTGCTGTGCACACCTTGCCGCAGGCTCAGTATGCACGACAAAGAAGTGGCGGTAATCGCGGCGCATATCCACTTGCAAGCCAGCATAGTAGCGGATCATGTGTAAGTTTGCGTCTTCTTGGCTGCGCGCGAGGGTGTTGAAGTAGTCGACGGGTTGTTCTTCTGCAATGACGCGGCGCTCGGAGAGTATGGGATACCCATCTGGTATAAGGCTGAGGGGAGCGCTGGGGTCGTCCTGCTCGATGTAGTTTGTTTCAGAAAGGATCTTGTAAAGCTCGGCGCGACTGTATCATAAATTAGCAAACATTTACAATCAAGTCCCCGGGTGAAAATACGAACCTCTGCATACATGCATCACCCTCTTCTAGCTCCTTCACGTGGTCCTCACAATATTGTAGCAGATACTCCATCAACTCCGGACGCACGCAGAGACGCCAAAGTAGGCCGACATCATCCAACTCATGCCACGGAGATACAGGACCTGCCACTTGCCGAAGCTTGTCGATTTTCGCGAAGAAAGACTTTACAATCTTCAAAGCCACTTGGGGCTTCTTCTCAAAAACATCGTCCGTGATGTAGATAAAACCACCCAGCGGAAAGATCTCGATACAGTCATATCGGATTGCGGGTGGTAAATCTGACAAAGCAGCGTCATACTCGATGCCTTCTTGCAAGCCAATAGACCAAAGGCGCACTTGCTTTCGAAGAACTTGACCAAACTCTGGTAATTCTGTAAAGTACTCGAAATCAGGGTGTGCCTACTTAGAGTCAGTATTAACATGCAATGAAGGGTGGAAAACATACGATGATAACGCCCGATCCTCCTTCCAAGATCTGCTGCTTGAAGTTGTCCCAGGACCCATCATACCAGGCATTGCCAACCTCGACGTGATGCATTAGCAGCCATCGCGTAATAAGATCAAGTTCTTCTGAATGCTCCTTGGGATGGTATACAAGGAAGGCTCTCCGGTCTACCAAGACTCCGTCGCCATCATTACTCGCGAACATGTCGGCGAAATCAAGTTTGCAAGCTTGTTCAATCTTCTCTTTCATCTGTAAGCATATCATTCGCGCCGGTGGCTGTTCAACCAGTGGTGGTGGCGACTGCTCGTTGAGGGTTTGTGGGGATTGGCATATCTCATTGTGTTCAACGTTCGGCTGTCCGACATCTTCCATCTCGGCGTCAGCTACTAAAACAGGCTCTAGACGGGGTTTGGTTCCCAACTGAGGGTTTGAGAACCTTGAATGCGGTGGGGAGGTAGCAGATTCTAGATTTTCATCAGTATGTGAGCCCAGTATTCATGTCTTGGAGACGTACTAGGTTCATTGTCGAGCTGATCCGAATTGATTCCAGGATAGTGATGATTGAATGCGCTCTCATCTGCAGTTGAAGGACAATTGTCGCCATTGGCCCACAATCGACGGGGCCCAGAACCTGGCGCAACGGAAAGGACACCAGTGTGGCAATGCTGATAAGCACATTCATCTGAAGAGTTACGACACTGGCCTTTGGCCCAAAAATAACAGGTGAGTTCAGATGGCTTCTTTCGTCTCTTATCATTCGTGACGGTCTCAGATTCAAAAGGGCGCCGCGCGTCTTTCTCTTTTTCATGAATCTCGTTAGGGTCAATCTGAAGAGGTTCGTCACGACCCTGAATCCATCCTGTGTTCTTATGGGCAAATATGCACTCCCAATCTTGTTTCTTACAACCTACCTTATTTCTAAGCCAGAAAATGCACGTGAGTGGTGGTTTGCGGTGCTTAGGAGGTATCACGCCGCTTACGTCGCCCACAGGATAGTCGCGGCCAAGTGCATCCTGGTTTCGATGCAGGAAATGGCATTTCCGAGGACCATGTAGACAATTGTTGCTGAGTCTCCAATGAGGGCAGACCAAGGGAACTTTTTCAGCTTCCCAACTCTCTAAAGGCCTGATAGCGTCGAGTGACCCTCGCCTTACAGTGTCGTCCGATTCATCATCCTGGATGCGGCGAGTGCCGGTCTCGCGACGGCTATAGGGGCTGTCGTTTAGCGGCTGGGGTTTCGGGTTGACGAAACCTATTGGAGGATTGACGATGTCAAGGGCTCCAGGGTCGGGAGTACCCTCTGTGCGGGCCCTTCTCTCAGCAATGCCTCGAAACTTAATCTTATTGTACAGGTTTTTGCCATTTTGCCATGGAGCGCGTTGGTGAGTCTTGGGCTCATTTACAATTCTTATTCCACCTGACGGTTTGCTTCCCGACACTGTCCTCTTAGCAATGGCTTGAGTAGTCGAAGACGAGGCACGCGTAGCCAAAGGAGATTGTCGCAAGTCCTTTTGCCCAAGATCAGTACCTTTCTGCACTGTTGATGAACCTCCTTGGTCTCGATTAGCCGAAAGGGTAGAGCCTTGTGAACTCCTCCGTTGTTCGTCATTACGTTTTACTTTGAGCGCAATCTGCCTCGTTGTTATTTTTGAACTCGGAGCGGATGTAGTGGTCTGAACCGGACTCTTGGGTGACCGAGCTATATTTTGCGGTGTCCGACGCTCACTGCGTCGCAAGGCTCCGCCAGTCGTCTTGCGTTTTTCCTCTTTTGCTTTCTTTCTTCTTAGCTCCCTCATGAGAGAATCATCTGAAATCTCCCCGTCTTCATATATTTTCTCTTCTGATGAAGAAGATTCTGATTGTTCCAAAGGAGCCTTTCGACCGCCTGGTGGCTGCCTAACGGGCAGGTTTCCCTCGGGTTGTCCTGGAGGAGGCGTTGCGCCCGCAGAGTGTAGGTTCAGGCTATCCACGAACAGGCTATTGAGCTGACTGTTGTCAACGGCTTCTCTGGTGGCGAGGGCGGTTCTGGGAGACGCTGATTGCTGTTCGCGGACCCACTCTCGTAATCTAGGTGAGACATCTTCGGTAGTCCCAGCATCATTTACGACAGCAAGAGGCTTTCCTTGCTTGTTCAAATTCTCTATGTGCCTTTTTTTCTTGTCACGTTTCGCTTCCCTGCGTGCCTTGGCTGCGTCAGCACGGTCTTTCGCCTTGTAGTACTCCTTTTCGTTTTTGTTCATATGCCGTTCGGCTTCACTGTCACCCATCTCTCGCTTTTTCTGCTCCCACAGTGAAATAGAGTCAGTCCCTGCGAGATGTTCTGTGGGCTCCCATGTACCTGAATGACGTTAGCGCAATACCCTGAGAGTGACCGTCGCAACAACCATCGTCAAGGTCTAGGCTGAAAGGAATTTCTTACATCTGCACCAGTGGTTAGAAGAAGTTCTTTTTGTATGTATATAATGTCAGATATACTCATCCATGGTATAACCTTCCCAGCGGACCAAGTACTCTATTTTCTCGCTCCCATCCTCTTCCTTGGTCCAACCTTCGGACAGGATTTCATCGACGGGGTAAGACACCGCCAGTGTACTCTTCACGGTCGGGGTGAGGGAGACCTCATCAGTATCGTAATCTTCACCATGGTCGCCATCATAGCCCGCCATCTGTTTAGAGGCGGCTTCAACGCTAGCTAATGATATCTGAAGTGGGCTAACGTTGGGTTCGAGGATTTGATTGGTCTAGCGTAGAGCATGCGTGTGCTGGCGGACACGCTGGCGGCTTTGCGCGCAGAGGCGCCTGATACTCGATGTGAATTACACACGTCTTGGCAATTTGAATTTCTAGTTGTAGTTGTAGTTGTGGTCGTGTTAGTAGTAGTTGTGTGAAGAAGCAAACAATGAACTAGAGGTAACTAAGCCGTAAGGCACGTGCGTTGGCGCTAGTGCTTCGCCGTGAGCTGGAGAGAGGTCTCCTCAAGCTCCGTCGAGGCAGCGACATCCAATACCCACTCCCAGCAACCACAAAGCTAATCTACAAGCTTTTGCCTACCCCCAAGAGACCGACTCTGCACCGCTACTTCCCCCTCGGGCCTCTCGCTCCCTCTCAAGCGTCTTCCCCGACGAGTGCGCACCCTCTTTCCCCCCGCCCACCGCAACCATGGCCAACGATGAATATGACGTGAGTCTTGCGTACGACAGCGGCGTGCTTTGCAACGTATACTAACCAGCTACCTACCTGTATAGTTTCTCTTCAAGGGTATATTCACCCCGCATAGCTCCCTACGCCCTCCCGCTAACCCCCCGCAGTCGTCCTAATCGGAGACTCAGGCGTCGGTAAATCCAACCTCTTGAGCCGATTCACCCGCAACGAGTTCAACCTCGACTCCAAGTCGACCATTGGCGTCGAATTCGCTACCCGCTCCATCCAAGTCGACGCCAAGACCATCAAGGCCCAGATCTGGGATACCGCAGGCCAGGAGCGATACCGCGCCATCACCTCTGCATACTACCGCGGCGCCGTGGGCGCGCTGCTTGTCTACGACATCAGCAAGCACCAGACATATGAGAACGTGACGAGGTGGCTGAAGGAGCTTCGCGACCATGCCGACTCGAACATTGTTATCATGCTTGTGGGTAACAAGAGCGATTTGAGGCATCTGCGGGCAGTGCCAACAGAGGAAGCTAAGCAGTTTGCAAGTGCGTGCTCCAACCGTGCCCAAGCACACTCCATGCGCATCTACTGGTCCACTTGCTAATACCACTCTTGCGCAGGCGAGAACAACTTATCCTTCATCGAGACGTCTGCCCTAGACGCCAGCAACGTAGAACTCGCCTTCCAGAACATCCTAACAGGTACGTTCGATCTTCATACAGAATACGTGGCACTCGGAAAAGTGGCTCGCGCAATGGCTGGGGTGGCACTGTGCTGTTTTGCCTCGCCATGTGCTCACACCGCCACTTCCGCACCCACCGTCATCGCTCTCGCCACTTGAGGACTCAGCCTTTGAAACATGCTAACTTTAATTCGAGAAATCTACCGCATTGTCTCAAGCAAAGCGCTAGACCAAGGCGAGGGTAGCCAAAACGTACTCGGCGGCGAGCGTAAGGTGCTAGAGATCAGCAAGTCGGCCGATGCGGAACAGAAGAAGGGATGCTGCTAAACAATCGAACCGCTCACTCTATTCACGATATGTTGTTCGCGCACATGGATCAAGCTCAAGAGAAGTAGGTAGCTCCGGTTATGAGCGGATAGTCCTGCAATGTGCTACGCTCAATAATCGGATACACGAGTCATGCGACAGTCTACGGCGTCCAGGAAGTCCCATTCGGTCTCTTTGCCTTCACTTCACGTCTCCTTCATGTTTCTGCTTCTACAATGCTCGCAGGCGCATGGCTGAGCTGGGCTGGACGGAGCTGGCCTAGGTGTCTATCTTTTCTTCTTTTGCATGCTAGGAGGGGTTTCGTTTCTTATACACTAGGTTGATGGCGGTAATGCGACATGCTGCTGTATGAACTACAATGACAGCCTATATTTACTGATATAGCATTTTTTGAGATCTTTGCCAAAGTTTGCCACGACACCCGGCGCATATCCCAAGGAGGATTCCTCGCGGACATTCTTTTTTCACATGTTCTCGAAGCCTCATAGTATTGTCCAAAATCCGTACAATTATTACACTATCATCTCCACCTCCTACCCTGCCATTCTACATGGCCTTATTATCGCCCCTTGCAACCCCTTCAGAATTTCCTCCATCCCATATCCCCACTGACCATAGCATTCGACATACTAGTTATGTCGTCACTATTCTTGACCCACGCAGACCTCGCATCAAGCACCTCTCCATCTCCAAATTTACTCCCAGACCACTCCATCACGCGGCTCAACTCCATCCGAATCCTCTCTTCAATCTGCTCCTCCTCGCCATGCAGTCTCTCCCTCCCTTTCTTCCCTCGAAAAACTTCAACATCACGAATAAGCTTCATACCTTCCTCCTCCTCGTCGCTATACACGAAAGAAATGAGCGATGTTTGTGCATTTGCACCTTCCCCACTACCTATCCTCTCATAAACCTCACTCTCCAATCTCTCGCTCTGACCCCTTCTCTTCGGCACAAACCCCGCACACGCATCCCCCACATCGCCGATCCACGCCCGTGCGTTATCAAAGTCGCCCTCAGCACGGTGCAGTATACCGTGTAGAAGCATGCCTTCGACTGCAGGAGGGGCTTGCATGTGGCGGACCAAGAAGTGCGCGGAGGGTAGGTCGTGGTTGAGGATGTGGAGTGTTGCTTCGAGTGTGGGGTGGAGATGTAGGTCTGCGATTACCGCGGTGGTGACTGGGTTGATTTGTGCTTTTTGGGGGGGATGGACTAATTTTGTTTTGGAGAGGAGCGTTTGGGATATTGCGTGTAGGTTTTGCGGGCTTGTTGCTAATGAGGAGGATTCTGGCATGTTGCTGGTTGCGGAGGAAGGGAGGTGTTGGGTTCTTGCTCTTGCTCTTGCTCTTGCGGCTTGGGATATAGTATGTTGATTTGGTGTGCTACTGTGTGACTGGCGTTTAGGTACCGCGCGTTTTGAAACGAAGGGAATATATATCTGAAACTGTTGTGATCGGGAGCGGTCGAAACGTTCGAATAAACTCAATGTACAAAGAGGGATTTACCCTAGGAACGTTAGACAGAAAAACAGGTACATTTATTGGAATGTTGTTGCGGCAGATTAGAAACTACTCGTAGCGTAACATTAATCGTCTACGAGTGCATACGTCATGTCATAATGGACCCTGAAGAACTGTTCAAAGCAATCGATACTGGAAGAATGAGAAGTTATTCAACCGTTGGTGAGTATTGCAAAAATGTGCAATCTTGATCGAACTATGAATTGAAACGCTCTTTTCCAGCGCGGTCATGTCTACCATGCTGGCGCTACATTTATGTCCATTGGAAATCCGAGAGTAATGATACAAATTTCGGAGGTACTTTAAAAGAATTGTATCGCAAGATACCACCAAACGCCGGGAAACGACAATACTTTTCAACAAAAGCAGGCTATGGGATGCTCTCGGGTTGAAACTCTGTGGGGGTCGGGGAATAGGGTTGTAGATGTTCATGACTTTTCAGACTTTGTCTCCTTCTTCGTCGCCTGCTGTTCCTGGTCTTTGGCCTTTGCAGCGGCAGCCTTGCGCTCGTTTATGCGCTCTTCTTCAGCCTCAATCATTTCTACAAAGAGCAAGTCAGCGTTTTTTTCTCCACTAGAAAGTCGTGAGAGAGAAATGGGCACATACCTCTCCATTGGTCCTCCCCAGAATACCTCTCATGATGAATCCTCTTTTCAATAATATGCTTGTGCTCGGGATCATTAGGATCCAACACCTTGATCGTCTCCCACCGACCCTTGCCCTTGGCCGCGTCATTCCCCTCAAGCGCAAAGCTAGTTAACAGCGCTGCCAGTGTGCCGCCCTGCGCGTACATCCTAGCCTGCACCAACTTCTGACTTCCGCTCAAATAAGGATTGCGGTTGACCAATGCCCAGGAGCCGGCCATGGAGGCGACCCAGAAGCCGAAGAGGAGCGGGTATCGGTTGTCGGTTGTCCATTCTTTCGCGCGTTCATAGACGGATTTGTTGGCTTCGAGGAGGGCTTCGCGTTCGCGTTCGCGCTCGACTTGGCGCTTCTTTTCGGGGGTGTGCTCAATGTCGTAGGCAGCGGAAGCGCGGTCGGCGGCAATAACGGCTGTAGGATAAAGATGTTAGCCTCTAGTGGTCTCTCGAAAGGTCTGTACTATTTGAACGTACAGATAAATGTTCCTGTTGAGGCGACGAGGAAAGCTCGGAACGGGACGGTAAGAGCTCTAAAACTCGCATATCGTCTGCTCGCACCCACGACACCTGCGGCACCAATCGTGAGGCCAATAACACCTCCTATTGTTCCGCCCTTGATGGTAGCACTATCATAGTGTAAGCCGATTTTGCTAACGCCTGCGATTGGAAGCATAACTTACTTGTAATGCGCCTGTTCTTCTTCCTTTGTGAGGACCTTCATCTTGGTCTGTGTTAAAAACTATGCGGAAGTCAAGTCCTGGATCGCAGCGTGAAGTAAAACTCGAGAATGAGGACGAGAGTGCGAGTATAACGTGTGGGTATGGGCCGGTGTGGATTTACTGAGGGTCCTCGGAGGTAGCTCGACTCTTAATAAAAGATAACGCGGCGTTGCATGCGACACCATGGTGACGTCGCCGAAATCCCGGCACCGCTAAGAAGCATCTGCGGGTGATGAGGTAAGGGTTTCGGCAGACGCTGCCTAGACGAATCTCAATCTCAGCCCAAGATTTACACACGCCTGAGATATCAGTCCACCAAGGCATGATCATGCGAGCAAGCGTGTTATTGACATTTCGACACCTCTAGGGGTTGATTTTCATATCGTTGTAGATTGCGGTTCTCTTCACCACGTGAGTCTCAACTCTCGCCAGCACCAACAGACACAAATACAAAAGTCCAAGAAGTGATGTACGACCCTGTGGCATCTCCTAGGAAATGCTCAACTGCAAGGATGATTCCTCATCCCCAGATTCAGCGAGAGACGCCGCTAGGTCAGCCGAATTGTAAGCAACGCCCCCGGTTTCTTCCTTACTCGGCTGTGCATCGCATGTTGCTCGGAATCCAACTGGGAAGCCGAAGCGGCATCGAACGTTTGCCGCTTGCCGATGGAAACCCCATTGTGGGCCAAAGTCTCTATGAAAGTTATGGATGGTGTTCTGGAGGCCTAGCGGGTTGAAAAATAGTATTTCTGTTATTCCCTAGTTATCCCTCTCGTTGCAAAGTCCGTACAACTTTGTTGTTGAAGCTGGTCCCGAACGTTTCCGAGTTGCCACCGAACGCCGCATCATCTCCAAGCTACTCCGACCTTGCCGCGAGACTGTTCTCCAACATGACGACTGGTTGCGACGTCCATGTTCGGCTTTACTCTCTATAACTTCACATAGTATACTGATGCTGCACTTGTCATACATTCTATCACGTACGAGGAGAATGTCTGAGAGACTGTTCACGGCCGCCAGAGAGTAAGTAGGGTAATCCAGCATGGGATGGATTTCATCGAAAACTATTTACATCATAACGATGCATCTCATCGTAGCCATATTTCCCTTTTGAACAGCGTGTTTGGTAAGAAGGATAACTATGTAGTTCCAGCCCAGTTCCATCATCACCATATCATCTCCACCTGGTTGCCATCCAAGCGGTTAGGGACCCACGGAAATGTCGCCATAAACAAAAGAGGACATACTAGACGTAACTGTGTCCAGGAAATGATGTTGTCCCAATCGAAAGTAGGAGATGTATCATTTTCTGTCTTAAGCCAAGGGGTTCAATCTTTTCGACATGAATCTTATTTTGGGGCATATCCACGGTACCTTCTTCGAGATTGAAAGCGAGCGGTTCACTGGCTGTTGATAACCAACCGTGTATGTGGACGACATGTAGAACCGCAAATATGGCATTCAACGGAAGGCGCCAAAACTGGTGCGCGGAACGGGGTTATTGTTGTTGTTGTAGCGAGGAACCATGCCGGCGGGAGGTCCTGGGCGCGTAGCAAGAGCGGGGTTGCAGCACAGCATCGCAACGCGGGAGCCATACTTTGAACCGCGGAGAGAGACCATGTGCTTGCGGATGTGGCTGCCAACTAGCTCACGGTGATGCGCACTGCTGTGAGTCAAGATATGCTGGATGAGATAGTTTCCAAATTGATCCCCAGCAACTGAGTGCATGTTAGTGGCGCCCGCACAACAACTTGGAGGTAAGCACTTACTGTCAATGAGAGGCATACGCGGACGGTCCGGGCGACCCTCGCAGACACGCTCCAAGTAATGGTCCAGAAAATCGCCGTTTCCAATCTTGAGGCACTTCTCGATGACCTTGGAAGCATATTGGTCCGTGCTATACTCCGTAGCGAAGCGGAGGATATGGTCAATTGCACGGCTACGATCAGCGGGAGCGCCGTGTTCGCAGATGTGCTGAATGCACCAGTTACCGAATTGACCGTGGGCGATAACATCGATGCTGGCAAGGACCTCGTTGATGCAGGGACGCTATCAACAGTCAGCACACGATAACCTACTTGAGCCATGGAAGCAACATACCTTGTCTTCTTCAAGGCAGTTCTCGAAGATGTTCTGCACTACCAGACTGCCAGTTTCACCCAAAGCGACCTCGTGCCACATGCCGCGGAGAGCTTCGTTGACGTAGCGCATAATTTGAGGTGGAGAGTCGCTCCAGCGAAGCTCAAACAGCTTCTGCCACACATGGCAAGCATATCGATGGATGACAGTCTCGGGGATACGTCGCAGCAGCTCGTGTACCATGGTCGCCTTGTACTCTTCAGGTACACAATCAAAAGCCTTCTGAATAACGTGGCAGCCAAAGGCGTCCATGCTGAGAGCAAGCGTGTTGCCACGAATTGCCTGAGCAATAGCAACGATCTGCTCATTGGTGCCATGCTCGAAGCAGCGCTGGACGAGGAAGTTGCCGAAGCGGTTGACCATCAGAGCATAAGCTTGTGAAATGATCGCTTCGACAATCTCATACTTCTGTTCAGGTGTGCCGACTTTCAGTTTCTGCTGAAGGAATATGGACGCTTGTTGATCATTGTTGCAGATGATCTTATCGACGATGTACTTCCAGTTGCAGCTCATGTTGCGGTCTAAGAGGCGACGGTAGTTCATAGGCTCGGCAGGAGGAACGTACTGGGAGATGCCAGCCTCGCTGGGAGTCTGTTGGTCGCATTAGTCAAAGTTTTAAACTTGGGGATAGAGCCACCTACCTGAGAGTTCCATGGCGATGGACCCATGCCGTTGGCAACATTGAACTCGGTTGCATCAGGTGATAGTCTGCTACCCATTGTACCGATTGGCGCCATTTGGCCGGTAGTATACATTGGCGGAACAACATACTGGCTGTAGAGGGGATCGAAGGCGGAGCCTGGACGGCTAGGTGGATTGTTCATACCGTTGCCCAAGCCGCTGCTCATACCGCTGGTGAAGCTGTTGCTCATACCATTCGTCAAGCCACTGCTCAGAGCACTACTGCGGAAACTCTGGTCGAGAGGGAAGTGTGTGGGCTCGTTGAGGAAGCCGTTGCGGCGATAGCCCAACTGTGTGGGTGGTGGACGAGGTTGAGCCTGATACGAGGAGCCAAAGCTGTTGCTGCCACCGTATGCTGGTCGAACAGGCTCATTGCCCCAGCCGTAGTTGGCCCGGGTCGAGGCGTTGAATTTGTTCTGCAGCTGGGTGAGCGTCTGCTCAGTAACGTCGCCCGTGTAGCTGTAATCGGCCTCAGACGACTGGCTGAGATGCTCCATCGTTGATCTGGCCACATGCTGGCTATGCATCTCTTGATTCATACGATCGACCTCGTTACGAGCTTGTTGTAGCTCAAGCTTTAGCTTTTGTAGCTCGCAAGCGTCGACAAGCAGGACAGAGTCAGTCATCTCGGTCGAGGGCGTAGACGCGAATTCGTCCGTGGCCGGCGTGATCGGAATGGAGCCGCTCGAGGAGGTAAAGTGATCTTGCGGTGACGAACGGCCGTTGAGGCGTTGCAGTAGCGAGTCCATGACGGCTGATTCCTCATGGGCCTCCATCTTGGACTTCTGCACCCGTCAGCATACTATAACGGATGATGACTGGATAGCTGACTGACCTTATAGCCGTCGAATGAGTTCTGCTGGGGCAGCATAGGCTGGTTGCCCAGAGTTGATGAACCTAGAGGCCGCTTCATACCCTGCGAGTTAGAGGTCAATGATGGGCCGAACGAGCGATGGAGCGTATATGGGTAGTGGTTCTGGCTCATGCCGCCTACCGCCTGACCCAATACCTCTGGAGAAGTGTCAATTTTCAAGTCTGCTGCCATGGAGAACCGAGTGGGACCCTTTCGGGGCGTAGGAGAACCGTCGGATGTTATATTGAAGCTCATTGTTGCTGACTTCGGACGCGTGCGTAGATGGAAAAGATCCGAGAGATGCGCGTAGTCTGACGTGACTGGGCAAATGCGTAGATAATATGCAAGACACAGTGGCTCGATGATGTTTGTTTGGCGACGTATATGGCCAAAGTAGATGGAGGAACGAAGAGGAACTAGCTCAGATCGAATTAAATCAGCAGCTCCCCATGAGCATTATGAAGGTGCGAAGGACTACGACTACCAAGTTGCAGTAACGGCGTTGGTTGTGGTGGTGGAAAGAAGAAATGGAGGCGGGTAGAAAGAAGTAGAAGAAGCGGGGTGACAAAGTAATTGAAGCTGCCGAAACAATAAGAGCAGGCGCGACCGGGAGGGGAAGTCGCGCTGAGACGCGTACCTGACAACTCGTCTTCACCTGGGAACCAAGGATACGCTGCAATTTTAGACAGCCAAGCAATAAGACAGAGATCAACACAAGAGTGAATTTGACTGTAATCGCCGTCATGGAGGCTGTCAATCGGGGCAGTAGTCCATTGAAGTCAAGAAGAAGACTGGGCGTTATGCTCTTGCCGACCTTCACTTCACCGAACGAAGCAGTCCAGAGGCAATTATCCTGTCTCAACCACACTCGATGCAGTGACCTCCCACCTCGAATCAAAGAAGCCCATCGCCAAAGCACCTTCGATTCCTCTCCATTTTGCGCTCTCCCCAAGTACCACAAAATCCGGTTGGCCGACACCTGTCAGCATGGGCACAACTCTCGTAGCCTGTCGCAAGCCCTCCTCATCAGCACCCCATAAGACTAAATCAAGCCGCCCGCCATCAAGTGGGCGCAAGAAGGCCGCCCCTCGGGCTTCTTCCTCATACTCTTGGTGCTGGCCCTGATGGTCTCGGATGGAGACGCCGGACTCGGATACACGTATGGAAAAGTCGGACTGAAGAGGTTCGAGGCTGGATCCGATCGCGAGCGTAATGACATTGCCGGTGACGTTGGTCGGGATTGTATACGCTGAGATAATGACAGCGTCGGCTTGGAAATACTGGTGCAGGTTCCGGGAGATTTGCAGGGCAAGATGAGAGGTATTGGCGGAACCTAGAGGTTGTCGGATGACGAACGGCCCTTGGGAGCGAAGGATTGCGGTCATGGAACCCAACTGTCGCTGATGCCTCTGAGGGCTGGTGGTCTCAACTTGCGGTGTTCCAATCGACCACGTGTTGCCAGATGCATATACACTAATCGGAGAGCCAGAGCTAGTTGCTGCTTCTGTAAGCTTCAACAGGTGCCCATTTACCGTTACCGCCTCATTCCATAGTACAGGATCAAACTCAAGACTCAGGACATTCGATGTCTTAATTGTACGCCCTTTGGCATCAGCCCTTCCATACTGTCCCGGGTCTTTCAGATACGTGACTTTAATCCCGCCCTTGCTACCCATGTCGCCTGGATCGCCAACCAAAATGCTGAAGTCTTCAAGGGATCTCGGCAGCACATCTTGGTTTCTCGTTGCTGTGTAGTAGAAGTCAACTAGCTCTGGCGTGGTCATGACAGTGTCCCACCAATGATTCTTAGACTTGACCTCATTGTAACTCGAATTGGTTCCCGCCAGGTATAGCTGCTGTGAAAGGAGGCGAGAGTTGTACGCTGGAACATTGTCATCGATCTCACCATGCTGTTGCTGAATTGGAATACCGCGAGCATTTGCCATCAACATTTCATGACGGTAGCTATTGAGTGATGCGCTGATGATGGCTGTTCGTCTCGGGTCTGCAGGTTGCCAAAGCACATACGGCACATAATTTTGAATGCTGGCGTAACCTGACACTGGAGCTGCAGCGAGTACCTTACTAGTTGGTGTACGAAGTCAATGTATGTCTCATCAAGTTCGTACGTGGAGTTTACGTACTCGGGCCTTTGGGTTAAGGCATGCCACGTCCCCTGTCCGCCGTTTGAGTGCCCTGATACGATCCATCGGTTGGTATCAACACTGTGACCCTTCCAACCGACATTCTGGATCCAGGTAGGTATCGCATCGATTGCAGTCTCGACATCAGCAAAGCCCCAGTTGTGCCAATCATCCCCCGACCATGGCGTGACGCCCGTGGGAAACAGAACCCACGCACAAAGGTCCGAGACTGGGTCCAAGGCGCCAGTAACCATGGGGCTGTCCGCCTCGAGGCCAGCACCATGGAGGGCTAGTAGTACAGGTAACTTCGTCTGGCCTGAGTGGCATGTCGCATTCTTGGCCGGAGGTCGAAGCATAGCATAAGAAACTATGCCGCCTGGATGGAAGTAGGTAATTTTGTGGGGTCGGTAAACGGAAATGTGGTTCAACATCTGAGAGACTGGCAGCGTGAAGTGCTGTGTGCTGTTGACGATCCTGTATGTGATGTTATATGCTACTGATGAAGCGTTGTGAGTAGGCAAGGAAACGTTGAACGTTAGCGGTCTCGTTTGACCCGCAGCGATTACGGTACTGGTACTGTTGTGGCCACCATGATCACTTGTCTGCTCCAAAGTCAATTGATCAGTGTCGCTTGTGATAAGTGATTGAGAACTGAGGTCCGACCCCACAAAAGAGAAGGAAGCGCCCACATTTGAAGGTTGAATACCAACAATCTCGATAGTTTCTTCACCGCTATTCCTCAGATACACCGACCCGACTGGTGTTGCAAGCGTGCCATCGACGACGTCTGACATGAGAATGCCAGGCTTTGCGAGTTCGAGTGTGCCAGATGCTCGCTGTAGATCAACGATAACATCGATGGTAGGCTCTAGGATGCCTCCGAATGCTCGAACATCTCGCACTAGACGGAGATCAATCTTGTGGGCACCGGGTTTGAGATGCAGAACAGATGGTGCCTTTCGGAAGCTATAGAAATCCCCTCCGAAGTAGTGCGTATCATCAATCCAATACTCTAGTATAGCATCCGTGTGGAGGATGACATGCTGTGTTGCGTTACCACCCACAATGATCTCTCCACGAGCCCAGGCCTGGTACTGGACAGCAGCCCAACCATACACGACCTTCAAGAAGTCCCAATCAACGTTGGAGTAGCTGACGCTCAAGGAAGCATTGGCAGCACCGGGGCTGCTCGACGTCTGTACAGCGTTTGTGATATTCCACGTGGCCGTTCCATTGGCTGGTAATGAGCTCCGGAATGTAGCCTTTGGATCATAGGAGAGATTCCTGAAGCCGCCGACATACTCGAGTGGATCTGCACCCCAAGTAGCTTCTACAATCAAGTAAGTATTTATCTAGGAGCGGTGTGCCATCGGGTGCAACTTCGACGTAACATACCTCTTGTTCCAATCTGAAACGGCCCGAGGACTTGCCATGTGCTATTGAAGGAGAATAAAGAGGAGTTGTCCTTCCGACTAACTAGTGGGGCCATGAGGGGCCCATACTCGGAGGCCTGACACAGCTGCAGGAACAGAAAACCGAGGAGGAGCGGTGGTGAGAGACTCCAAGAAGCGAGCATCGTGTGGCCACGGCAATACCTCGATGCATTGCAACAAGAGCAGATGCGTGCTATTTGAATGTAATAGGTACCTGTTCATGCAGGCATTGCTGATTCGAGCAGGTACTATGTATCGAGATGATCAGCGCGCCTTGGCCGATGCATGGTCCATGGGTGGTGAACGACCCCCAGTCAGCCCGAACCGCATCCGGACGCGTGTTCGATATCGCCAATTGCTCCACTAATTTCGGGCCTGTTGCTAAGCTTCACAGTCAACTTCACGTTTCGGTCTAATCCTGCGCGACGTTCATCCACTGTTCAGTAGCTCAGATACCTGTTCCTGTACGACTCTGAGGCCTTGATCCCACCAGGAGTGCGCCACGATCCGGCGAGACAGCTCAATCGAATACCTCATTACTCCCTTTCCCAAATGGCGTAACGAAACCCTCGACGAAGTCCCTGCAACCCTTTCACGGCAGTCGCAATGTCGTCCCTAACGGCGCGGGACTCGAGTCCGCATGCGACGTTCAAGTTCCCCGCCTTTGAGCCTGATCTCCTACCTATGCCCGAGGAAGATGATTACGGACTCAGTTCGTCGCGAGCTGGCAGCCCCAATCACGCAGCCCAAGGAAACGGCAGCGCAATACCCGCAGATAGGTGGCAACCGCGAAAAGAGGCGAGATTCGCGAATGGCTCAGCGCAGGTTCCGGCAACTAGGCACGGGAGGCAGAAGAGCTTATCTGAGGCTATAAGGACGATACGGACACGGAAGGGCAGTGTCAGCCAGAATGCGCACGAGATTGCGGACGCGCTGAAGGCGCCGCTCTCTCCGAAGCTCGTTGTATGTCACAATAAACACAGGAAACGATGCTTGAGAGCTGACACGCGCAGATGCTCTGCGGCGTTTGGTACATGACCTCCATCTTCACCAACATGTCCTCGAAAGCCATCCTCACCGCATTACCGAGACCGATTACCCTCACGACCGTACAGTTCGCCTTCGTCTCAGGCTGGTGTCTGCTGCTTGCGGCATTGGCCAGGAAATACCCTCGTTTGAAGCAGACCATGCCGTTTTTGAAGTACGGAATCCGATCACCATCGAAGGAGCTGATCATGACTACGCTACCCCTCACCTGCTTCCAGATTGGAGGACATATCCTGAGTGCGGATGCCACATCGAGGATACCAGTGTCATTGGTTCATACCATCAAGGGCCTATCACCGCTGCTAACCGTCACGGCGTATAGTGTCTTCTTCAAGATCCAATATTCACTCCCGACATACCTCTCACTCATACCTTTGACATTGGGCGTAATTCTGGCTTGCTCTGCGGACTTCAACGCAAACTTCATAGGCCTCATATCTGCATTCGCCAGCGCAATCCTGTTTGTAGTGCAGAACATTGTCTCCAAGCAGCTCTTTAACGATGCAGCAGCCGCTGAGAAGGACGGTATAGCGCCGACTCGCTTCACTAAGCCGGACAAGCTCAACCTGCTCTGCTACTCTTCTGGCCTGGCCTTCCTCTTTACGATCCCGCTTTGGCTCTGGTCGGAAGGTTTCACTCTGATATTTGACTTTTTGCACGATGCCTCTATTGAGCTGTCCGATCGACCCGGGCGGTACGATCACGGGCGCTTGTTTCTCGAATTCATCTTCAACGGCACTTTTCACTTCGGCCAGAACATCGTGGCTTTCGTCTTGTTGTCAATGGTCTCCCCGGTTACCTATTCGGTTGCAAGTCTAATCAAGCGCGTCTTCGTTATTGTTTTTGCGGTTGTTTGGTTTGGGAAGGCAATAACCAAAATCCAAGCGTTCGGTCTAGGTCTTACGTTCTTGGGTTTGTATTTGTACGATCGAAATTCGGATGCATCAAAGGCAGACAAGCGCGCGAAGGCACTCCAATCGAAGTCTCATGGCTCGTTGCTGCCTCTCGCGACAGACATCAAATCGCGGCCCATTTTCACAAACAGCCCGGCTACCATGTCCAGTGGCACTGGAGCGTACCCCTTGGCAGGCATCGCGGAGTCTAGAGATGAGAAGAGAGACGATGATGCAGGGTATAGAAGGACGCCTGAACACGGCCCAAGCTACCTGCCGCCTGGTACGAAGCAGGAAGAGACTTGGCGAACCAACGATGTCAACGGTAGAAGAGGTATTGGCGTTTCTTGATGCTTGAATGGATCTTGTTTCTCCTTTCGCCAGGCTTACGATGTCTTTTTGCTGTAACTTGGTTTTTTGAGTACATATACTGAATGTTGTTGATATGATAGATGCATAGATGATAGAGACAAGGACATATGGCGTAAGCTTTACAAACCAAATGGTGTGCAGGAGTTGGAAAAGCGTATACTCTGTTGGACGATGCAAATGCGGCCCTAGCCAACGGTGATGCATGCGTTGTTGCCAAGATATTCCCATCGATCGATCTGCCAACGTGCATATCCTCGATTCACACAGTCGTAGGATAGCTTCGCACGGGACATAGCCATGGGGCAGCTGTTCCCTGGTTCTTCTCCCATTTCAGAGCTGCAACCAGCAGAGTGAATGATGCGTGAGGCCGTCATCTGGACGGCAGCAACCCCTGCTCTGGTAAGCGAGGCTGCAGCAGCGAATGAAGTCGAGGCGCGCTCCCAACGTCAGTCGCCCTGTGACGACACCTTTCTCACAACCCCTAATACGCCATATTCTTCCCGCACCACGTGCAGTCCCGCCCAGGCTGTTCTACGCTATCATGGACGAAGAGCTTTTGAAAGTCAACGGGCAAAACCGTCCTGGCAATGTTAGACATCCTACCGCGCCCTCCCTCATGATGAATGCGCACTTCGCCGGGGTGGGCGAGAATGCCCCCAGAGAAGCCTACGAGCATGGCATTCAGGTCATTGACGAGGACAAGGTGTTCAAGTATGTATTTACTCGTTGTAGGCAGCCGCTTGGAGGTGTGTAGGCTAATGTGTACCCGCATTGCAGCCACAACCTATCTACCTATCTCAACATCGAGAAAGTTATCCCGGCCGGCTTCAACTACCACCTCATATCTGTCTTTGGTTCGCAGTCCACGGGCAAGTCTACACTTCTCAACTTCCTCTTTGGCACCCAATTCGGCGTCATGTCAGAGCAGGAGCGCCGCCAAACAACAAAGGGTATTTGGATGAGCAAGAACAAGCGCGAGGCAGGAGGCTCGGGCATGGCAGAGAATATACTAGTAATGGATGTGGAGGGCACGGACGGAAGAGAACGAGGAGAGGACCAGGATTTTGAGCGAAAGAGCGCGCTGTTTGCGCTTGCGACCAGCGAGGTCCTCATTGTCAATATCTGGGAACATCAGGTTGGGTTGTACCAGGGTGCAAATATGGGGCTGCTCAAGACGGTCTTCGAGGTCAACTTGCAGTTGTTCGTCAAAGACAACCAGTAAGTACATTTGCGATCTCGAGGCTCGAGTCTCTGCTGACGGCTGCACAGGACCATCCCTAAATCTCTCCTATTTTTTGTCATTCGCGACCACCTCGGAACTACGCCCCTCAAGAACCTACAAAACACCCTACTACAAGACCTATCGAAGCTGTGGTCAACAATCTCGAAACCTAACGGACTCGACAACTCGCGGATAGAGGACTACTTCGACTTTGCGTTCGTTGCATTACCGCACAAGATTCTACAGCCGGAGAAATTCGAAGAGGCTGTCACGAAGTTGAGCCTGCGGTTCAGGGAAGGATACAACGATCCCAGAAAGAGCGGTCTCCTCGACGAGTCAAATTCACCCATCTTCCTTCCACAATACCACCGACGGATACCTGCAGATGGCTTCCCGGTTTACGCCGAGGGCATCTGGGATCAGATTGTGAATAACAAGGACTTGGATCTGCCAACGCAACAGGAGCTATTAGCGCAGTTCAGATGTGACGAGATCTCAAGAGAGGTTTTGGTCGCGTTTGACGAGAAGATTACACCACTGGAAGACAAGCAAGCAGAAGACGCTAGGATAGGTCAAGTTTCGGTCATTGCAGATCTAGGTATCGCGATGAACGCTGCACGATCAAAGGTCTTCAAGGAGTTCGAGACCAACGCGAGCCGATACCACAAGGGCGTCTACAAGCGGAAACAGGCAGAGCTCGAGGCAAAGGTGGACACACGGCTCAAGGCACTGTACCAGAAGCAGCTCACTGCCGCCCACAAATCTGGTGTTGAGAACTTTAGCAATGCTGTCAGTGCAGCGGTAAAGAGCGGTCAGAAAAAGGGCGCTTCTTACGACTTTGCCCAGATCGTAGATTCGGAGAAGAAGAAGGCTCTTTCAAAGTTTGAACAGGACGCTGCATCTATTGCGATCGAGGGCGCCGACTGGAGCAGCCACATTCACGAGCTGAAGATCTACAAAAAAGAGCTAGACGATGTATCAGGCCGTCTCCGCAAAGACGAAATGAGGCGTTTAGCCACGAGAATAGAGCGATGGGTACGGTCACGATTAGACGAGTCTGTTGGTCTCGAGTTCAACAAGCTCGGATCTGGTCGAGGCGGCTCAGGCGCACCCGAGCATGGAGAGCGACCGCCCGCAGAGAAGGATCTCTGGGACCGGGTGTGGACCATCTTTACAGAGACTGTCTCGAGTGCAGAGAAGCGCTTCACTGACCGTGCGCAAAGCTTCGACGCTAGTCCCGAGGAAGTAGATGTCGGTCTGTGGAGGTTACGCCGCAAGTCCTGGGCTGTACTTCGTGCGAAGATTGACGAGGAGGTCATGGAAGGCAACATCCTCCTCAAACTGAGAGAAAACTTTGAAGACAAGTTTCGGTATGATGAACACGGTGTACCGCGCATCTGGCGACCCACCGACGATATTGAGGGAGTCTACACGAAGGCTCGCGAGTCAACAATCACCGTCATCCCACTTCTTGCGCGCTTCAAGCTCTCCAAAACATCAGCGCCTCCGCCACTCGATGCCTGGATTGGTGACGCACCTGCATCTGTATCGCCAGCCGATGAAGACGACCTAACCCCGATTGGCGGCGTAGACGACGACGAGGGCAAGAGCCTAGAAGAGGAAATGACCATTCTGTCCGATGCAAAGCAAGCTGACCTCCTTGTGCGCTTCAAGAAGACTGCAGATGGTGTCTACGTGGAAGCCAAGCGTAGCGCTATTGGTGGTATAACACAAGTTCCACTGTACTTCTATGGATTGTTGCTTGCATTGGGATGGAACGAAATAGTAGCTGGTAAGTGCCACGTTCCTCGATCATTAAAATGCATCTGCTAACGGCGATTTAGTTCTACGAAACCCAGTATACTTCATCTTCCTCATCCTCCTCGGTGTCGGCGCCTACGTCACGTACACTCTCAACTTATGGGGTCCCATGGCGCGTATGGCCAATGCTGCGTCTCACCAGGGTCTCGAAGTTGGCAAAGAGCGACTTCGCGCTTTCTTGGAGAATTCCGAGGCGGGGAGGCAGGCGGTAGCCATGAGTGGGCCGGATGGGCGAAGGATGGTGGAAGAGGTTAGGATGGATAGGCTAAATGGAGACGGAAAGAAGAGAGAGGAGGAAGAGGACTTGGATGATATCTGAGTATCGGTTCGCAAGGAGGTATAGGATGGGAAAAAGGGGGGGCATAACTGGCTTTTGGGTAGCTTGGGCTGGACTGTATATTATCATGGATGGGAATGATGGATGGTCTGTAAATCCCTAGAGGTTGGTTGGACTTCGGCTAGGAATTAATCGTACCCTATTGTCACGACATGTTGTCTTCACTCAAGTACGGGTTGACATATCCTACCCAGAGTGAACGACGACTAAGCAGCGGTCAAGGGTAACAAAATTTTCCCAAGCTACATCGCACTTCAACAATGACGCAGTTCCAAAATCAACTAAATTAAGTATTATATTAATCCTCTATCGCTACGTCCACTTCAAGTCAGTGGACCCAGTCCAATCATTTTCATGCACGTCTTTGATCGCCATGGCGATAGCGTTGCATGTTGCCTCCACCTTTTTTCTTTCCTAGATGTATGTCTTCGACCGTGCGGTAGCATGCCATCCATAGAACGCTCGAGTATAAATACAAACAAAAATGCAAAAAGATGCATGTCTTTGACCGGCTTGCAGTAGCATGGCATCTAGCGACTTTTCTTCCCTCTTGCTGATTATGATGCACGTCTTCGACTAGATCCGATTTTGACCGAATCTCGTAGCGTGGCATCCTGGTTTCCCTCTTACTCGCCTCTAGTCCATGGAGACAATCTGTCTAGTAAACACCTGGGATGATCCTCCAGGGTACCAACTCGACGTATCGATCCCAGTCCTTGCCGTATTTTCTCCTGCATTTTTCTTCGTCACGGCGCTCGCGATGGACGAGCAGGACCGCAAAGTACACCATGAAGAAGTAGGTGAAGATCATGCCCCAGCCCTTGGCGGCATCCGGGACAACGTATTTGCCATAGCTGTTTCGGAAGTGGTACGCATCGGCCTGGGTAGCAGTGATGGGGTGCTGGGCAACATTGCGGATGACATAACCGGATAATGCCGTGGGCAGGACGTAGGACCAGCTCATGAACCAGTCACCCAGGTAATTGATATGCCTCGCCGTTCCCCACCATCCAGAAACGAGGAGCTTAGATCCAGAAGCTGTCTCGATGTACTTGAGATGCTTGACACGCGGGTCTTCGGGGTTTGTGCGGAAGCGATTCTTCTCGTTGTTCACAGAGCGGAAGATGTAATAGCCTATACTCTGAACCGCGAGGACTGCTGCTACGCCTTTGAGACCGAGATCAACGGGGTAGACGGACAGATACCGAGCTTGAATGCTGTATGTGAATGGCACCCAGACCAGGTCGCCAAAGGAAAGCATCATGCCGAAGCCGTCAGCAATGATGTCGATGGTGGTGAGAATGGCGGGCTCCATGAAGAGGGCATCAAAGGTATACACCGTCTGCGCAATCGTTATCAGGATAATCGAGTCCGTGACCCGTCCGAAGTTGCGGTACTGTTTCATGATGAAGGCGAGATCCAAAATAATCCACCCCAGCATGCCTGGGCGCAGCTCACACCACGCTTTGATGTCGACTTCGCCGAAAATAGGAAAGACGACGCGCGGGTTTAGCTCCCGACCGATGAACCAGTCGTACAACATGTTGCCAGTGCGGCCACCGGCGGCTAGTTCACGCTTGCTAGGATCCTTAGGGTGGGTGACGCTGAAGGAGCGGACGTAACAGTATGTAGCGAGGAAGTAAGATATGAGCATGTTGCTAGTCAAGATGCCGATGTAGTTGTCGGTGATGAAGGTCCAGACAGGGAATTCAGCACCGTGAGAAAGGGTACCGGCGCCCAGGATAGCCACGATAAAGAGCGCGGAGTTCCAGGCTGTCATATGTTAGTATGAAGGGCCTGGTCTGGTAGACACGTGAGGCAGAGGACGTACAATTGAAACTATACTTGAGCCGTCCACCAGACCTGAGCTCAGTACCATGGTGCTCGTCACCCGGGAGGAACGAATACAAAGCCAGACTGAGGAAGTAGTAGCTCAGCGTACCCAGGAAAGCCTGGACATTAAGCAGGCCTGAGAAGCCGGTCCATCCCACCTCTTTCTTCAGCTGTTCGAGGGTGACGGTTGAAGGGCTAAGTAGTGAGGGTGCAGGGCATCCTGAGATATCATTGCAAAGGAAGGTGAACAGGTAGACCAGAAGTGGAAGACCGAATGAGATGACAAAGGCCCCGGGACTGAAGTCAGGTTAGCGCAACAATCTCCAGAAGGATTTAAAGATAGAACTTACGGCCCCAGAAACTCATAGCCATGAGGCTCCTCCGACGTGATCTTCACCGTCTGTTCGACCTTGGGTTTCGGCGCCATGTTGCTCGATATCAATCTTCTCTATTACGTTCGAAAAGGGGCTCTGGCGTGACTTGTCCTGCACCAATTCAACAGCTCTTTTTCAGAGTGATGGACGCGCCAAGTGACGAAGCAGATGTGGACGCTGTTGCTGTCTTATACTAGTTTGCTGGGGGTGAACAAAATCAGACGATATACAAGAGATGCGGATTCTCGTGATCCGACATGACGCGCACATGGAGCGGGCGCCAAGCGGCGACTAGCCACAAGGAGACGTGACTGCCACCCCCGGTTCCTGCAGGTAATGGATGGGGGCCGCGGCAAGGCGGCTCCGGGCAAACGTGTTGCGAAGGAAGGGCAACGCGCAACTGCGACAGGACAGGCATCACCAGCAGGACTCGGAACCTGCCTGCGTCTTGAATCCCCTTCCTTGTCTTCCTTTTTATACACTCTTTATCATCTCCGCCATGATTTCCCTACTCCCCTCCGTGCTGCTGTTGCTACTATCACAGTATGCGACAGCTGCCTCGGACAAACCGCTCAAGTCGTGTACTGTCGTCTCACCCACATCTGACCGTTTCTTCGACTTGAACCCGCTCCAGCGATTACCGCCCCCTGGAGACAAGAAGAAGAAAAAGGAGGGCGACGAGGGCAGCTGGCATGCAAAAGGATACGACTACGGCGCAAACTTTACTGTCAACTTCTGTGGACCCGTGGTGGAGGAACTCGATGCGGTGCAAGATCTGGACAAGCCTTTATGGAGGAACGTGAGCGCTTTCTATGAAAAGGGCGGGAAGCAGTGGGCTATTGGGTGAGTGTCTCTCCCCCCCATCCCGAAAAGACGGCGCAAGAAGCAGTGCGGCACAGCCCTGCCATGGAGATGCGAACAGAGTCATAAATGCTAACACCTATCCCCCCACGACAGCCTCGAGAACTCAGTGCCCATCTTCCGCGGCCGCAAGCTCATCCTAAACTACACGGGCGGCTCGCTCTGCCCCTCGTCCAGCAAATCGAAGCGCTCCCCGATCGCGCTGCCCCATGATGTCCGCGAGATCATCACCGATCCAGACAAGGACCATGATGACGATAAGAAGAAGCCGAAGAAGCCCTCGAAAGACAAAGAGGACAAGAACAGCCGCCGCAAAACCACCGTCATCTCCTTGCTCTGCGACTCGGACCCTCTCGCCAAGACTTCGATATCGTTTGTTGCGGCGGTGGATGATTGTTCCTACTTCTTCGAAGGCCGGTCCCCGTTTGCGTGTGGAGGTGTACATCAAGAAACCCAAGCCCTGGGGCCCGGTGGAGTATTCGGCGTCATAGCACTGATTGCCGTGCTCGTCTATTTTGTAGGTGGTTATGTGTATCAGAGGACGGTCATGCATCAGCGGGGGTGGAGACAATTGCCCAATTATGCCATGTGGGCTGGCATCTGGCGATTCTTTTCTGTAAGTTTTTTTGTGTTCCCCTGAAACCAGGGAGCGAGAGTAGTCACTAACACATTGGCAGGATATGTTTGTCATCCTTACGAGTTCTTGCGCGCGGTTCATGCCCTCGCGCCGCGGGTACAGCCGTGTCTCGCTGGGCCAGGAGAACGGACGGAGAGGACGGAGGAACGAAGATGAGAACAGGTTGATAGACAATCTGGATGAGGAGTGGGACGATTAGGTACAAACGAAACATGGATTTGGCTTCTCTGAATATGGCATAAATTGGCGTTTGTAAGCTTTGGGATACTGGCGACCGGACGCCTTCATACGCTCTTATCAAAGGCAGGAACATGAAAGAGCAATAGATACACCTTACACACACAGCACCTTGATGGTGATGCACATTGTTCTTTGACTTGTAAATTCTTCATTGCTTGGACCTCGCTAGATGATTCATCACGCGGTAACGCGATGCTATGCACACAGATTATATACGCTACACACGACGCTAATATGAACAACATACACGTCCAACCACTCTAAACAAACATAGGGGGTATATAGCGAAACTGACCATGCTTATCCCTTTGATCCAACGCACACCAAATGTCCATATACAAAAAACGCCCCATAGTCCATATTCTACAGCACAGCTTCGAGTATCTTATCCTTCAAGCTCTTAACCTCCTCTTGAGTCTCCCACAACTTCCTTTGGGCTTCGAGGAACTTTGACTTCCACGCAGCAGGCGTGTGCTGATCGGGATTCTGGCGCTCTAGTTCCGAGAGGCCGCCGCGGAGAGGATTCGCCAAGTCGAGGTCGTTATCGCTAGTGGTAGCCGTGAGACCCTTGGCTATCCACTCGCCCGTGAGCCCACCGAAGGATACAGCAAAGAAGACATCAAACGTCTCTTTGATGCTTCCGCTATTATGCATACCGTCTGCATCGTCGTCGTCTTCTTCTTCTATCGGGCTCTCGTAGCCGTCACCTCCAATGCGGAACCGAATACACTCCACTCGCCTGACCCCGCCACTGGGTCCTCCAGTGCCGATGCCAACAGCACTTGTCAGGCCTAGACAACTGCTGATTGCAATCCCCAGGGCCTGGTCGCTCATTTCTTTCGTCGGGGCCACGGCTCCCGTAGACTTGGTATATAGTGGTTGCAAGATCGCAGATGCCAAGGTCTTTGCTTCGGTACCTCGAAGTCGTTTTCGCCGACCTGTAAGAGGAGCGCGGATGAGCTCTGCCGCCAATGCACGATTGATCGTCTCAAGCGGTACTGGAGGCAAGGATGACGTCGAAGGAGTTGGTTGAGTTTGTGATCGCAGCGGTGGGGGAGGCCGGTGCTGTGCTGGTGTCTCAGACGGGGTTAGAGCACCATGATATGTCTGATGAGTCGGCCCACCATGTTGCTCATACTTGTGTGTAGGCGAGTTTCGTCCTTCGCCAGCGCTCATCACCGATAGTGTCAATCCAGTACCGGGGGATTGATTCACCTCTCCATTCACAAGCACAGTCGGAGTGACCAGTCGCACTGGGTTACCAACATTTTGCGGGACCTGGAGGCTGAGGCGTTGCTTCTGAAGCCCACCAGATAAGGAACCCTCCATTTTAGATGGCGAAACAGCAGACGATGGAGTCGGTGGAAAACGGAAGATTTGATCGGGAGCTGGAGGGTCAGACTGCGCCCTTTCTACAATGGGTGTCAGGCTGCCAGCATTTCTATCAATATGTGGCCCTTCTCTAGTCTTGGGGTTCGCGGGGAATGTGACGAAAGGACCATCCCGAACCGAGCGATTACTAGGCGGTCGACCTCGTAGCTTTCCAGTAGATGAGCTGTTATTACTCGACCAAGCTGATGATACAGCCGGTCCATGACGCCTCCTAACACGCGGCCTTGCACTAGAAGGTGTCACAGCGGATTGAGGTTCGTCGAAAAAAGGGTATGCAGACTGCGGCGTGACTGCTGAAAGTGGGTGGGGTGTCTGAGGAGTGTCTTGCGTGTTGAGTCGCCATCGTATATGTTGTCCTGACATTGGCGACGCTGAGTATGGCGTCAAGTTCTTCTGGCCCATACGGCCCGGCGCTGAGGCTACGGTCATGGCTGAAGAGGGCGTCATGCCTGATGACGCTGCCGTCCATGGATCTTGAGGGGTTAGGAATCCACTCATGTGATCTGGGTGGGCACTTGTAGGGTATGCTGATTGAGGCTGTAATGCGTTGCCAAAAGGGATTGATGTATCCAATTGAGGTCGTTTGCGTGCGGGTGTGCCGTCGTCGATGTCCATATCTTCGTCCCCTTCATCGGCTTTCCGACGCCCACGCTTTGGCTTCAAACTTGGATCAAGTGCTCTTATGGCTAGATCCTCCTCTAGTGGAACGCCATCTCGTCCTTCGTTCGGAAATGGATCATGTGGTGGTGGTATCTGAAGATAGTAGGGATGCTGCTTGCTAAGAAGGTACTCGAAGAAAGCATCGATATGCATTGCGCGCATCCATCGCTGGGCACTGTTAGCGAATGTGATCCTGAACCTTTTAAGGATAGATGCGATTGGTTTAAACAACTCATCTCACAGTTCCATTATCAACGGATGGCTGATAATGGCTCCGAACACAGGGAGACGTTCTGGAGAACGAGTAGAGTATGTCTTGACCGACAAGAACTGCATGATTATATTGCTAAGATGGGAGATGTACTGGGGAAATGGGGGTGCATTGGGAGACAGCATGCTAGAAAGGAAATATATTGAAGCTGGGCCAAGGCTAGAGATACTGGGGAAATGGGAAATGGGAAATGGTCTCACCTTTAATCTCACAGAGTACTGCTGCACCTTCTGCGTACTCTGTCCCTTGTCGGTATCTGGCGACTTTACGCCCAAGTCCAACGCGAGCTGTGTCCACGTCTTGATCTCTTTTGCGTCAAACTTTCGAATGAGCTCAAACAATGTCCATGTACTAAAAGCGTTCCCATCGCTTTTTGGCGGCATTCTGAATAGCTTTACCAGTTCAGACGTGCCGATGGACGTCGGGAAATTGGGATTACAATATAGTATGAAGCTCGCGTAAGCATCGTCAATCGTGTCGTCGGATACGTCGCGCGGCGGAGGAGAGCGATCGTCAGGCGCATAGCTCGACGCTACCTGCTTCGGCTGGCTCGTGGGAGATATGGCAGAGAAGCGTGGTGAGGCATTCGAGGACGCCGGGGGAGTCTGCGAGGTGCGCGCCATGTCGCCATAGAAGCCGTGAGAGAGGTGCCCGGCATTGTCAGGCTGAAGTAGGTGGTTTGGGGCAGACTGGTGGTGAGGGACAGACGACGACATGGGCACTTGTCCATTCCGGTTGGCACCTGTGCTCTGGTCCAGTCCCGGATCAATTGCTGGTACACCAGGGCCGCTTGCGTGCCGGAAGGGCGAGTAGGCTGGACTACCGCCGCTCCCCGCGTGCTCGTAGTGGGCGCTGGGTGTGAGGTGTAGATTGTGCTCAGACTCTACGTCTTCGCCAAAGTCGACTTGCATGGTTTTCGGAGACACAGAGGCTCTATGCTGATCTCTGGGCCCGTCAGCATGCCATGGACACTCTGATCTGAGTCGCGACCGCGCTAAAGCCAATAACAGGCCATGAATATAGCCAGTAGAGCCAGTAGAGCCTACGATTCCTCGTCCCCAGGTTCAGAGGTAGTTACGCAGCGGCTGCTGTAGCAACAGAGCTCCGCGAGTCCAGCGCGAGGTGCCCAAACGATAGGATGCGAAACGCCCAGCGCGTTCGCCGTGTTGCGCTCTCACCGCGAGCGGAGGACTGGTGTCGGCGAGACAAAGGCGCAACGGCGCGCTATCAAGACGCGTCGTTGGGGATCGGTTGGTGATAATTTGCGGTCCTTCAGAGAGGGTATGGCGGGACGTTCCTGCTGCTTCGGGGACATTTTGCACACTTATGGCAGCAGCAGCAGCTGAGCGGGCAGGAGCAGGAACCGGACGATCATCCCATCTATTTTTGGAACATCCGGCGCACCACCCATGTCGGCGCACCTCATCAGCCCGTCTACTTTATCCCTGATTCTCCCTGACTGGTTATCTATCTGCACCTACAATAGGTCTGCCACCTTGCCGGCCTGTTCCTCAGCTCCGTGTCACCAAACAAGTTCGAGAGTCCGAAGCCTCGTGCAGCCCCATGACCCTGTAACGCACCGCATTAGTGGCCGGCATATTAATGACCCCAATAGCCTTGTACTCACGTGCACCTATGCGGAGAACAGTTCTTAATCATTCAGAGGAGTGGCAAGGTAGCCAGTGGAGATCATCATTATACCAACCTATAAACAGTATCAAATTGGTCTTGGCCATTCGTACAACCCTTGGGCATTTTACTCGAGCCTTTTTCCTTTGTCACTTTCCTCTGTCAATCGATAACTTCTTTTTCTGGCATGTTACTATTCTAATCAGGTATTAAACGAGCCAATATATGTCCGTTCTTGTCCTCTCCATACAGTGCCCGTCTGGGTTATATCAGAAGCCAGCCCCAATACATCTTCAACCTTTAGTCTTTCCTCAGTTGTCTTAGCCGCTGAGGAGTGGGCTGCAAATATTTTGTCGTCAATTTGGACGGTTTTCAGAAATTCGATAGGTAGAGAAGTTGAGAATGCTTTGAAGAGGTTGGAAGAGTCCTAGCAACATTTGTGTGGGGACAATGGAGTCAGATTGGCTACTCTTATTCAATATCCAGAGCGTGGATCGACTGGTAATGGCAGGTAAAGCACCAGGCTCCAGGATCCTCTCAGTTTTGTATGACGGTGAATGGAAGCAGGCTGGAAGCCTAATCTTACGGTATTTTGAGGGGGCAAGTCAACGAGACGAATTCCCACTCCCCGGACTATCCCGCAACCATGTCTTCACGGTGAAAGCCATTAGCATAAAACTTACGATCTTCCCTTGTCTTGGCGCCGCCGTCCCTTTTCTTCTGAATCTGCACGTTATTTCCCGTCATCGCAATCCCGAATCAATCCCCTCAAACTTTACAACAATTCAACTCTCCCATAGCCCCGCACACTTACCTAGGTCGCATTCCATAAACGCAATGGAATCTCCCCAGCAGCACGATCACCTCTATCGTCTATCGACTGAGCTCAAATGTTCCGTTGCTCGCTATACTCCATCTCTCGCCGATAGAAAAGCGCTCTCACCCGTGAACAAGGCCCCCTCAAGTCGACGGGACGTGCTTGGTCTCGCTCCCCCCAGATCGAACATTGTCAAGCACGTCCGAAAGATCCACATACTAAGCTGGAGTGTTTACACCAATAGAAGAGACCACCACGCCATGCTGTTGACGGCTATTCCACGTAATCAACTCCGCGAACAGAGTTTTCTTCGACACGGAGAGGATTAAGCTGAGTGCTCTTGTGTGCATCGACCCTGACAAACTAGAGGGCGACGTTCTCGGGCCAAATCCTGGCATACCATTTGAACCTATCGAGTTCGAGAAGGCGCTTGATGCCATCACCTGTCTACAAACCTCCAGGCTCTCTGCTTTACGACCCCCCCAAATCACCGAAAAGCATATGATTAAAACAGAACCTATATGCGATATGTACCGCGCAGTCTCGAACGGGGCGAGCAGCGCTTTGCCTTCCAAGCAAGAGCTGATGGTATTATACGAGATTGAGGAGACCGTAACCCAAATATCCAACTGCTTGCGTTCTCACCTATCGAGGAACTGCAGGAGACCAAAGTAGACAAGCACGGGCATTGCTGGCCTGACTACTTCTACTACCGGGTACAACGACTGACCATAAGGGGAAGAATGTTGCGATCGCGAGGCCTGTGGCGGACTGGCAGGCGGACTTCCCTGGTGCGACAGTGCTGAAGGATATGTTAGGTCCCAGTCCGTACAGCCTTGGGAAGCATCGAGCTCAGGCTTGGGGCAAAGCGAGAGCCTAATCAGCCGGCAGGGTGGTGTTATTGAGGTATAAGCAACCCATGGAGAGAGGGTGGCGAACGTCAGGATGTCAGATAACCAAACACGACTGTTAGTGTTGGTCGTTCGTCTTGGAGAGCATACTTGAGGATCGCGGTAGAAGTCGGACAAGCTACACGGCTTAGTTACTTGGCGAAGGAATAGTCTTGTTGAGTGGGTCGGGTAACATGGTTTTACAAGCCCGATTGCCGATGACTTCTGCACTAAGTATCAAAGCCTGCCGTAGATTCAGAAATCTGGGTATAATCTTATAAAATTTCATTTTCTCCATCAAAAAACATCCGGTCGATTAGCTCAGTTGGTTTAGAGCGTGGTGCTAATAGCTTCAAGCCTGATACGCCAAGGTCGCGGGTTCGACCCCCGTATTGACCATTCTTTTTTGCCTTTTTATGCATCCTTTTTTTTGAAGCAGTCTTTTCAACTTTTAGATATTCTGTCATCTCTTTGCGTCTCTGAGCATACATGTCAGGACTCGTGTCTATCTTGTGATACCCATCTCATTGTCCATATAAAACTTTAAAAGTGCATGTCATGAAACGGAGGTGCCAGGCGACTAATCGCTCAGCACATGAGAGACATGTCGTTATGGACGCTTCATCAATAATTCATGCATAAAATCTCCTCTACGCTCACCTCCTCCAACGATATGCCTGCTCTCACGCCGTTGATTGCTTGGGCACCTGAGGCATAACCACTCCTACACCAAGCAGGAAGCCATCCTAGGGAACCTAGAGGGCATTGTACTGGCGCAAGCGGAAGACGTTCTACGACCCTCGGCCCTCCAAATCATTCACCCTTCAGAACGACTTCATTGTCCGCCTTGTATGCATTGATGTTTACTATGAACATGTGCAGCACACGTGTGTAAGAGATATTCGTTTACACGTTTCTTCCCCGCCCGGCTAGTCGCATCTGTAGTACCTATGACGTCACTGAGGCCAAACCAGTGGAAAGTGCTCCTGTTCACACGTATGGCCAAACCTCACGGAATCATAGTGCAAAGCCACGTCGAGTGGTCACGCATGCCTGCAGTTCCTACAGCCTGTACCACTTTCTCCCATTCTCTCATTCCAGCAGACTCCTCGCCTCGGCGCATACTTCCGGTAAGAATACAACGTCCCAGCTAGCTGCGTTGGGTCTAGATCCTAAGCGAACTAGCGGCCGGGGCAACACACGATATTTTCATCGACTTGCCCCTCGCTGCCCTCTCTTCCAACACTCCAATTACCCTCAGTTCCCGAAAGATCAATTGGTGGCCGGATTTGCTTGCTGTAGCTTGCTCGATAGTTGGATACCTTTCTCGAAGACTCGAACTTTTACGTCACTCTCTTACTTTACGACTTTAACGGTACACTTCCCCGCGACAGACGCGCCACCAACACACGAACGTTCTCTAACAAACATAAGGTCTCTTCCCCAAACCTTACAAACAATGGATTACCAAGCTCCTGCTGCAGGCGCCGGTGGCCGCGGATGCTACAACTGTAAGTAGATGCTACTCTTGCCGCTTGAAACTAGCACAATACACACTTTCAACCCCACACCCGTTGAAGGCGAACAGTCAGGAAGACAAGCATTCCTAGGCAAGCTAGTTCGACTTGCTAGGACTCATGGCTCTCTATCCTAGTCTTCTGACTACCACACTTCCTCGATTGGGTTCTTCCAATTCCGCACACGTGTTTCACACTCCCCTTCCACAACACTGATTGTCTACATTCCGACCCTCACTTAACCATATACTCTATGCGCCTTGGCTTACAAATTACTAGGCGGAGACTCGTCTCACCGCGCAGCCGAGTGCCCCACAAAGGGTACCCCAACCTGCTACAACTGCGGCGAGAAGGGCCACGTTAGCCGCGAGTGCACCTCTCCCCAGGCTGAGAAGACCTGCTACCGCTGCGGTGGCACTGGCCACATCTCCCGCGAGTGCACCAAGGACGGCGGTGCCGGTGTAGGCGGTGGCCGTGGCGCCGGTGGACAAGAGTGCTACAAGTGCGGCCAGCAGGGCCACATCGCTCGTAACTGCTCCCAGGGCGGCGGCTACGCCGGTGCTCAGGGTGGTGCTCAGGGTGGTTACGGCGGCGGTGGCCGTGGAGGATTCGGTGGCGGCCAGGGTGGTGGTTATGGCGGAGCTCGCCAGACTACTTGCTACTCATGCGGTGGCTTCGGCCACATGAGCCGTGACTGCACCCAGGGCCAGAAGTGCTACAACTGTAAGTGAAGCTGAACTTGGAGTCACTTGCCATGTCTAACTTTTGTCTAGGCGGTGAGGTCGGCCATCTGTCGCGAGACTGCCCCCAGGAGACATCGTCTGAGCGCGTGTGCTACCGCTGCAAGCAGCCCGGCCACGTCCAGAGCGCTTGCCCCAACTAGACTATGCTTCCGGATCCCGTCGATGTTATTGATCTGGAACGAGTTTCGATGCAACGGATCGCCTTCATTCAAAGTTTGCGGTAACGGCATGTTCGATTGTTAGAGAGATTGCGCCCACGATTTACGAATCATCGACACGATTACGATTTCCTTTCGTTTGTACATTTTCTCATTCTGCGGCTAGCTGCCGTTTTTCGACGCTTACACGAAAAGCATATCGTCGCCGGCATGATTGGACTTGGTTCTTTTCCAGAGTAGGCTGAACTGTCAAGAGAGTTGGTTATCGGAAAAGTCTTGATCCAGGAAGATTTTGCATTTGGTGGGAGATACAATGTGGGTGAAGAGGAGAGCGGATACCTCTACGCGAGCAATGAATGGGAGTAGTGCTTGGTCTGCACGTGGACTGCGACTGTAGGACCTGAAGGTTCCTTGTTCGACGGACGTCTGGTTCGCTCGGTTATGATTGAATAGCTGAGGAATCGGGTTGAAGGGAATACGTAGGAAGCCTGAAAAGTTCCCGCCATCTGGGCGGGCTCCTCAACTTATAATGCGCCATTTGCATGAACCGTGATGACCTGCGCTAAACCAGTTGAACACAAGTGGCATGTCGACATTTATGTACTCCCGGCTATAGAGATGGTCACATTTCCTAGTGAAGTAATGTTTTCGTCCGCTGGCTGGTCGAGTTACCTATGTAAGATCTGATTAACGTTGCACGCCTGAACAAGAGGCACTATATGGTTCCAAACCTTAGCTAGCTAGATCTTATTGTTCCCACTATGATGATGATGATGATGAATGGGGGATGCCAAGCCAAATGCGCTGCTGGCCCTTGTTCACAGCGCGCCATCCCACCCAAACAACACCAACAGGACTCGACAGTCGCAGTCGCACCACCACCGACGCGTCAATTATATATAGTCGCGCTCTGGGCTCCGATTTCTCGCGCCTCACGGTTATGGCCCCCCAAAGAAAACGCGAAAATCGCGAAAACAACTTTTACAACGTCGGTGTGCAGGGCAGGTACGCACAACACGCGCTTCATAGCTGCACGCGCAGACAACTAAACAAGTCTCAGGAAGACGGGCATCACACTCGCAGACAGAGGTATATACGATGAACATGGATTGGAACCCATCTCAGGCATCTTTTCGTCGCCGGAGAAGTCACCACCTAAGCGGGGAGGCACCGTAACCGCGTCCGAGTCGATGGAAATCCAGGAGAGTACGTGTGACAGCATTTACAAGTCGCTTCTTCTATGTAGGCTTGTGTGGATGCGCTAACATGTTTACAATTACAGGCTCCATTCCAGACCTTACAACATCCCACCAGATACTGCGCAATAGCCGCACACTTCTCCCTCCACCTCGATCGCGATCGCCTAAGAAAACGACACTTGGCTCGTCACCGCGCCGGCAATCTTCCATGGCCCCGCGAGCCAGCTCATTGAACGCCTCTAGTCCACCACGCTCTGCTTCACATCCTATTGCCCGCCGACTAGATTTTGAGCATGATGAATCGAGCTTGCAGGAGACACCTGCCTTAAGCGGATCGGGTGCGCGGCGTGGAAAGCGCACAAGTGTGTACGACATACCCGAAGGCAGTTCGCCCACCCGACAAACTAGCGCTGTGCTGGAGGAGAACTATGAGGAGGAGGGAGAGGAGGCGGAAGAGGAAGAGGATGATATGACAGCCAATGATGACTCGGTGAACATTAACGCTGTTGGCGAGGAGAGCTTTGTCGCGCAGGTTGCGGATGACGCAACCACAGGCGCTGAGGTGGATGCCATTGAGGATTTTCTAAATCTCGGGGACGTCGAAGAGTCGGAAATCGAACCTGAGCCCGTGAAACAGCCAGCAAAGAGGGGCAGGAAACGAAAGAGCGATGTACTTGGACCAGTGCAGGAAGCAGAGACCAATACACCAAAGTCACGCAAACGAGATGTTGCTTCAGCGCAAGCTACAGACTCGCAAAAGAAGGGCAAGAAGAGCGCGCCTGCACCGGCTGTTCAATCTCGGCGACCCCAGCGAGTCTCGGATGTTACTGAGCAGGAGCCGAGTAGACTGGAGTCGTCCATCGATGCTTCTGTAGACGCGTCTGAACAGGTTGAAGAAGCACCTATTGCACCAAAACGTCGAGGTCGGCCTCCGCGGATACAGCCAGATGCCGAGAAGGAGAACGCCGCATCCGCGAAAACCTCTAAGAATGCCACTAGGAAAGAGAAGACGGATGCGGTCTTCAAGAAACCTCCAAAGCCAGACGCAAAATCCAAAGACAAAGAGGCAAAGAGCAATCCAGAAGCAACGACGAAAGAAAAGACACCCCAAGCAGAAAGTGCAGAGACTGGTAAGCTCGTTGACGTGTATGGCAACCCTCTTACCAAGAAAGATCTCGAGCAAATGTCGACAACTTCGGCTGGATCACGATTCGGACGAGGACGCCACTTATCCGTCTTCCGTGAGATGGATCCTGAGGCTATCGCTCGTGTTGGGCGAACGGGCAGGCATCGTGTTGCTCCTATGGATTTTTGGAAGAACGACAGAATCTCATACGATGTTGACGGCAGCATGACATCGATTGTGAAAAACCAAGATCCAGAAGAGCCCGCGCGAAGACACAAAAGCTCAAGCACGAAGGGCAAGAAACGAACACTCACTGCAGTTGAAGAAGAAGATGTGGAGCTTGATCCCTGGGAGGAGGAGGAAGGTACATTAGTTGGCAACTACAGAGACTTCGATCCTGTCACCGACGTCACGTCAACTAATATTATCGAAGACAGTAAGTTCCATTCCGTGTAAGCTACATCACAGCTCGTTTTTTTAACGATCCTCCAGCGATCGCCTGGGCCGAGAAAGGCCTCCGGCCATTAGATGTCCCAGATGGCTCATTCAGGTATGCCAAGCTCTCATCCGTCGGAGCCTTCTTCAACTGGGGCCTCATCGAGCTTCGAGCCGATCAGATGAAGCGCACCAAAAACTCGCGTAAGATGCACATGGTCTTCAACGTGCAATCGGGCACAGTGGAAGTCAAGGTTCACGAGAATGAGTTTACGGTTCACAGATATGGTATATGGCAAGTTCCTCGAGGTAAGCTACTTCTCATCTCTTTTGCCCATGTTTTTGTTGTCCGGCTTTCACGTCTATTGCAAGCGAATATTCCCTCCACATCCTTATGGGATTTTGGCACCCGAGCGTCGGCAACACTCGGAGCACCACGCATTTTCCGCTTCCCGCGCTTCGTTTTGCTTTCTCTGTACGACGGCTGTCGCTTTACGCTCAACACCTGTCGGGATGTTGCATGCTGCGTTCGCTTCTCGCGCTGTAGTACGATCACACGTTGTACCGCTCGGGCCAGGGCAAGCGAAGCGAGCACTGCTCTTTCACCTGCAGATGGTGGCGTCGGGATCCATATGCATGCGGTGCATGCTGTGTAACACTCGACGCTGTGCGATCCTCCCATGGACGGTTCACCACGGTCGTTTGTGGGTGGCGGCTACGGCGCACGAACCGCGTTTTCCCCTCGATTCTCGTCAGCCACCTTGCTTTTTTCTGGGGCATAGCGCGTGTCTCTTCGTGCTTATGCAGCGCCCATCACGTGGTGTGCTGAACCTTCCTTTTTAGGTTGTGTCTCAAGCGCTCATTGGTCTATCATGGGCTAGCTATGGCTTGAGAGATCACACTGAACTAACGTTCTTTACAGGCAACATGTACAGCATTAGGAACGTCGGCAGCGGGACGGCTCGCGTTTTCTTTGCCTCGGCGAGAGAGATGAACGTCTCAGGTGAACATTAGAACCTAGTTTGCCTTCACGGACCATTGCCCTCTGCACACTACCTCGGATGGTCGCTTTTCCGCAATGGGCGGTGTGGAGCCACCATATGGCAGTGACATGGCAGTCACGGCCATAGTGTCATGATGCCATGAAGGATTTGTCTGCATTTTCGCGTTCGCGCCCTGTGGATCTGGTGTGTGTGGGGCTGTCAAGGCGTTTGGCTTGGCGTTCATGATGCTTGGTGTTGGTGAAACTTGGAGGTGCATGGTAGGAAGTGCGTGTGGAGACACTACTTCAATGCTGTTATTTTCTACGAAGCGCGCTATCCTTGGAGTATCGGGACGTGAGTGCAAAGATAGGGTGTTTGTGTAAGGCTACGGACTGAACGATACAGATGCACGGCGCTTGCATTTTCCAGCTGCGAACCAAATCATCCGATTTCTCAAGGTCTTGCTCATCTCCCACCTCAGTTTTCATGTCTCGCTCAACTGCCTGCCGCATCCCACCATCCTCTCTTTTCGCTCCACGGGTACCTATCCGCAAGACTAACTCACCGCTACTTGAACCCTACTCACCGCTCCAAGTTCTCCCCTCTTCGTTCCTCTCTACTATCTGCATCTTCCCGTAGACCCTCCGTAGCACAGCCAGGCCCCCTATCTTATCTCACCGGTTCCGCTCCTCCTAAAGACAGGAGCGCTAGCGAGTGTAGCACAGCAGCATGCAAACGAGAATACTAGTTGACGCAGGTAGATGCAGTAATAGAGCCGACGTCTAAAACTAGTCTTGTGCCACAAGTGACTGAGTGTGTTGACGCATGCGAACTACTGCCACCTGGTAAGTTATCACGCAGGAGCAGGAGCAGCAGCCGCACGTATTTTGTTCAGTTTGCTATAGATCCTAATACCCCTAAACAAGGAAAATACGTTGCTGTGTTCTCTTCCAGCCATCTTCTCGTCTCAAAAGAAAGGAGAGTAAGACTCGATAGCTCGCGTTCTACAGAAGTCGTCCCTCCCATCTACCACGCTGCTGTACCACAACAGATACTGCATCAACCTACCCTCCTCGCTGCACCATGCCGTGTGACACACGCCTGTGTATCGTCCCGTTAACCACCTCTACCCAGGCACCAACACCACTCGTCCCCCTATCAGACTGCCTGTCATCACCTCCTCGTTCGTCTTGCCCTTACCCTTACCTTGCAGTGGAATCTACCCGCATCCGCGCCCGCAGCTATAATTAATCAGACATGCCATTTCGGGAGTGTAATTCAGGACAGGCAATAGGATTGCAGCCCGCGCTCCCCAAGCGTTTGTGTAACTGTGATGGAGTGTGTGAGTGGGTAGGAAGGGAGTGTGGCGTTGTGATGATGACGGTGATGAGATAAGATCCTGGACGAACGTAGCGAGAGTTTCAGTTGAGTACCTGCTGAAGTTTTAGGCGTATATGAACTGGAATGAATAGTCCCGTTCCCGACTTGAGGATGTTAGAGTTTAGTCGGATGGAAGAGCGTGGATTGATTTGATGCTGCATATTGTGCAGAAGATGAAAATGTTGTAATACAGCGGTGTGAAGCGGTGTAGAGCGTGCATTGCTTGTGAATTTCAGACCGGTGAAGATGGGTAAAGATGTACAGAATATAAATGCAATGTGCGACTAATGTTGTCCGGTATGGAGATATGAAAAACGGGTGTGTGCGCTTATGGGACTTTGATCGCGAGTCGTGGGGGTGCCAGGTGTCCGAGCAATAGTTTTGTCTTGGATGATTGTCAATAAGCTCAAGGAGTCGATTCCATGCTACAATCATAAGACCGCGCACAAGGAAACATTGCGGAGAAACATCGAAGTAGTTCCCAAGCGTAGCTGCTTTTGCTGACATTTGCTCAATTTCCCATTTGCTCCACTGCTCCACTGCGCCCTTGTGCGAGAGTCGCAGATCGCCGACCGGAACCATTGTATTCAAAACAAACGCTCTTCTGAACCAAAACAGTATCCTTTCTTCATTTCCGATTCTCCGACAATACGAAAGTCTCTTCTTCCCCGATCAACCCATGATCCCTTCCACTCCCCACCACCCTAGTTTCAGTTTCCGAACAATTTCTGTCCCATCGTCATATTCGACCAGTTTTTCGCTTAGCAGAAGATCGACGGTGCCGGGAAATTTCTGGCGTTCGACCATTGGCGAGTCATGGGCGCCCAAACGACGGCGTAATTCCAATGAACTGCTGTGAACCAGTAGATCTGCGTCATCGCTGCGGAGCCGCTATCGTTAGCGTGGTTTCGGCACGCCTTACGAGTGTGGAAACAGCTGTTTTGGTGCGTGAGATATCCACACTGGGATAACGATGCAATGCGGCACAGTGAAGGATTCTCCGGGGAATGGAGAAATTAGAAGCGGGAAAAAGTGAGGCTGATACACGTAAACTTGTGCTTGGTAACTGCTGATAAGCAATATGTTATGGCCCTTGATGGTCTGTAATGCGAGTTTGACAGCTTACCATGACGACGATGCAACTCCTTCGAGTCGTGTCCGTCTGCAATTCATGCTGTTCCAGAATCGAATCGTGCACCAGCCCACAACTGACTTTCCAAACCGCGCTACATTCTATCCACCAAAAACCACGCGATCGTTCACAAATCTTCATCCCAGCAACGCCCGAATTGTGGGACGACGTTTTGGGGAAAGTTTGCCGTGCCGGCGAACATACGTTCCCATTGCTAATACTGCCGAAATGAAATTGGGCTGTAGAAGGTTCTTGACCCTCTTCTCCGTTGCTAGCTCCGTATCAACAAGACCGACTAACTAGGGTTGGGCAGCCAAACTAGCGGGCGGACCATCGTGATCCATGGTTCACGGTCCATTTCTCCCACTTGTCATGGAACAGGGCTTACATGTTTACGCCGCAGGGTAGCGATCCCGGCAGATCAGTACCATATTGGACCGAACTCTTCATTTAAGGGGTCGAAATGGTCTTGCTCGAAATAGGGACAAGGTTTCCACATACGGGAGGACATGGACAGCCTTGTATGAAAATTTGTGAGAGGGTTTGGTCGTGTGTCAAAGTGTAATGGGTGTCACGGTCCCTTGAGCTTCAAGTTTGGCGAATAGAACAGATGATGATGATAGAAGCCGCCCGCTCCGGGAAGTCTTCTCGAAGCAGATCTTCACCGAGGATTAATAGCATAGGCTTCTGCGCGACATCATCCCGCTTTGTTGCTGACCTATGCGCACGGGGCTAGGTATGCCCTAACGACTCATATTTGTGAACATCGCATGTTCAAACATGTTCGCAGGTCGGTCATGCAACCCCGCCACAAAAAGTATCTGCCTAGGTCGAAAAACAACGCAGGTCAAGGCGGGCAAATGGCTCCGAGGTAACTCGTTCGCCGTGCCGTTCGTGTCATGTCGCATGTCGAGTTCCATTCGCCAGGTTCTGCCTTTGGCTTTCTGGGTTATGCCGAACATCTGCCTGAAATGAAATGATCGTGTATTTTTTCCTGGCGCGAACAGCAGGAGCGCCCGGCATTTTCATGGGTATACCCCATAGCAATAAGTCTTCTGGAAAAGCAATCGAAGGGAAACAATTTAGATGAAGCGAGGGAGTTGCAGCTAAGATGGGGAGGAAGCTGGGGTGTGGTCGTGCTTTTTGGGCGTTTCATTGTGAAGCGAAGTGGTGTGGTTTTTCAGCCTTTTGCCCGAACGAACGGAAGTTGCCCGAATGAACGGAAGTTGCCCGAATGAACGGAAGGGGCAATAGAAAGAAGGTTTGAAGACGGTTTCGGCGGGAAAAAGTATTGATTGATTGTTGATGGAATGAGTGCATGTATTTTCGGTCTGTCGCAGCCATTATCGATAAGACGGACCAACTCCACTTCGAAACACACCCAGTCGTAGTATCGATACCTGCTGTTGCGGGGCTGAACGGCTTGTCATCGATTCCTGATGAGCGAACTGGGCGATGACATGCTTGTGCCAGCATTAAGCATGGCGAACGGTTGAGTCAAGTTCATGCAGCCGTCTGGCCGTTAGCTCGGGCCTTTTAGCTGCGAGTTAAGGTTAGTGAGGCTGTGCGGGTGGACAACGCACTCAACACCACCTTTTCAGCAACCTTGATTAAAAAAGAATTGAGCGGTGACAACGCAACGTTGCAGGCCCGCAAGCTCGCCACGTAGGCATGCTTTTTGACCGACTTTGACTGCAAGCCATGACATACGTCATCATACGATGATCTAGGGTAGACGGAGGCGGTGGGAAGTTGCTGTTCACCGCCACCAAGTCCAGCATGGGGTGTTTGACTGTCTGGTATCAAATTTTCCGAGCTTGCGACGGACTTGGGCGATTAGGGAGTAATAGGAATTCGAGGTGAACGATGTTGTATTCTATTGATGTGGTCGTCGTCATGCCATGCTTGCATGCTGTCTACAAGGGTATATGTGGCGCAGTGAAATTGGCGTAGGAAAGGAGTCGCAATGACACGAGAAATTACTTCTATACTGATGTTGAATGTATGGTCATGCTGATGCTGATGAAAGTACGATATGATATAATAGGTATCCTCGCCACGCTATGCCGTAGGTGCTTATGATGAGATGATTAAGGAAATGAAACGCTACTGAAAATGCACAATCGTGACCACACCAGATGCGACATATAATAACAAGCAAGAAAGGACGAACAATGACCAGCGAAACAAAACCCAACGCTATGATGTTGTGCGTGAAATAGAGATTCGAAGGAAAATGAAATCAAAGCAAGATGTATATCAAACCCACGCTAAATGCCACAATCATTGCCGCTCGAAATCGACTTGTGTCCGTCCCGCTATGCATGCCTGAGCTTGTTCCCAATCTAAGCGTCCCAATGTCTTGAGGACGCCATTCCAGCTCTTTTACGCCTTGCCCAAATCCAGGTTATATCCACACTCTTTCGGTTCCTGCCCGAACGCATATACTCACAACTCTTTCTCAGTCTATATCTAGTTGCGGATGCAACTCATCACCCGAATGTTCAAGAGGTCGCAGAAGGGGGAGAAGGCACGGCAGAGGTTCGCTCGACTTCTTCGGGCTCGCGCTTCATGCTCTTCACACTCCCAGTTCCACTGCGTTGCGATAGCCTGTCTGGACTCCTGCCTCCCTGACTTCGAGCCTCCAGCTCCGACCGTGGTGGGCCTACAGCCTCTTCTTCCCGTCTCTTCCTCTGATATGGTTCGATGTAGCTAGAACCCTCTCTTTTGATGCCCGAGTACATATCAGGCACAGGTGCTGTTCGTGCCCCGCTTACAAGATCTTCTTCAGACGCAGCGTGGATCTGGGGAAGTGGCTGACCAAGTTGAGGAGGAACGCTGGACCTAGATCGAGGATCTGCCCGTCTGCGACTGAAGGAGCTGTTTCTCCGTTCTGCACTCGAGCCACTGTCAGTACGACGGTGGTACCCATGTATTGGACCTTGGGGTAATGGCGGAGGCGGTTGGTGATGCTGTGTCGGCATTGGTGGTGGGTTGGGCATCAGTTGAGCTGTATTTGCCGGAGTGAAACCCTGCTGCGCTGGGGCGGGCACGGCGGACATTTGAGAGGGCGAGCTAATTCCTGTGCCGGTTGCAGACGGATGGAGCTGAAAGACTGGTGCATTGGCACGGGCGCTCATTTCTTGCTCTCCTAGCTGCCAGTGCATCGACTCAGCCGACCGCCAGGGAATCCCCATTTCAGTTGCGACCTTCTGCCACATTTGATCTTTGAATCTGTCCTCAAGATTAGCATAGACTCTGGACAAGAGAGCGTAAACAATGCATTGCATACAGGCAGCGTGCAAGGCTAGTGGGTAGATGTAGAAAACCAAAAATGTGCGAGGAGAGAGATGGCTCTCAGGGAAATAGACGTGTGACCAAGTTTCGGCAGCCGCATCCATATGTGCGACAGTCGACTGGCCGTCCAATAGTTTCGTGTTGTACGTACCGAGCGTAAAGTCTTGCTAGTTTGTTCTTCTTCTCCTCGTCCCAGATGGCTCGCTTCTCTAGATAGTTTTGATAGCGTAGTCGGCAGGAAATCGAGCTTCTCCCAGGTAGGCGCTTCGCAATGTCGTCCCATTTCATTCCCTGGCCCCTCAGCTCGATTGTTAGGTTATCCTCTTCTGGGGTCCATTTAGACTGCTTCTTAGCTGGGCTCTCCTCAGGCAGAGGCGTTTGAGAGGCTTGTCGTTTCAGTGCTGACGGAGGAGATCCATTGGTACCAGGTAGGCCTTGGTGAATGGTCGGAGGCCCAGGAGGGCCCGAGTACAGCGGCCGAAATTGAGGCTGGCCTGCGGGATCTGAGTGCCGCTGAAGCTCTGCGATTGCCGGTAAAACTGGTCCTCCTAGCATCGGTCCAGGTCCATGGGGGCCTGACGTTGGCGCCTGGGCGGGATAGGCGGAAATTGGGCCATAGGGTGGGAGTGCATACGCTGGTGATCCAGTAGCATATGCGGGTGATGTTCCATGCGCAGGAGACTGCGTATACGCTGAAGGGGCGATTGTATATGGTCTTGTTGCTGCAGTAGAATTGGATGCTACTGATCCTGAGCTCTTCTTGCTCGCGGGAGACTCGGAGCCCCGAGGCTCGAGCAGCAAGTTGATATCCACGATAGGCGAGGTGGACCGGCTCTAAGCCAGCCCATAAGGTGATGAGGGTTTCCTGGGTCTCCTAGCTCCACCAAAGGTAAGGGCTGTCGAACGAGTTATGTACCAGTTTGGTAGTGGGTGGTGGTGGTGGTGTTGAGGTCAACGCAGCTGTCGTTTCAGAACTGCGGTGCACTCTGGAGATGACGGACTACCACCTGCAAGAAGTTGACTATCTACCGGTGAGGTTGGGCGTTTCTTCGAGCACCTTGATGCCACAAGGAAGCCTGACCTGATGCAGAGATGGAGTACCACGAGGAGCAGCACAACGCTTGCAGCTCAGGCGTGGCGTTGGGCAGAGACAAGGCAGAAACAGATGCTCCGTGGATGGGCAGCAAAAGTTGGGTACTGGATGAGGACCGATTCGGTAGCTGTTGGTTCGATGGGCAATAACAGGAGGGCGATGCGAAGAATGGCAATGCGTTGCTGGGTATGAGACGGAGCAGAGGAGGACAGTCGCGAGGTGATGAGGTTCGGATAGAGCTAAATTGTGCCGATGTAGGCCAAAGTGACCAGTTGGGAGGTACTTTCGACGATACACGCTCTAAGTGGTTGCTTCGGCTCAAGCTACTTGGGGTGCAATGAGGGCAGGCCTGTCCGGGAAGGGGCGTGCGTGAAACAAGCCAACCAGGAGGTCTGTCAGTTGACAGGCGTGCTTAGCCACTGAATTTGCAGAAGAGGTAGAGGAAGAAGAAAACGTCGTGTTTGGGGAATAATGGACGCGGCCTGGATAGAGTGGAGAACAGGGTCTGAGGTACATAGGCTGGGAGCATGGATAGTATGTAAATAGAGAGAGTTAGGTGCGAGACTTGTAATACCAACAGCAGGCATCCCTTGAATACCGCCTCATCATCCGTCCGCGGTAGGGATCCGGGGGCTTGGGTTAGGATGTACCCTTTGCGTTTCTGACTTGACACTAATTGTCTACTTTTGCGCTTTACGCTTCCTCGACTCGTGCTGGCGGCGCGCCACATTAGACGACCCACAGACCACGTCGGAGACAGCACACCTGATCTGATCTAAGGAAAGCATCTCTGCCGGGGATTTAGCGAGCGGGCGAGCAGCATCAGCCAAAAGAAACTAATGCCCAGGAGCCCAAGTTCCGAACGAGGGCCTTGGTTGAGCAAAGAGCAAAGAGGTTGCTCCTCGATGACGTGGCCCCAGACGTGAAAGCATTACTTCACTTTCAAGATTTGCTTCACTCTCTTTTTTCTGGTTATTGCTTCAGATTGACTTACTCGCCAGCCTGGGCCTCATTTGCTGGCCTCGCTCTTGGTCAGGCCTCAATGCGCCCAAGATAGCGCTGCGGCGCCTGCGAAGCTCAGCAATGGCAGGGGAGCCGTCACGATCATCGCCAGGCCTGTCGAGAGCTGTCGGTTCCCAGCGAGTTGTTACTAGAAAAGGGCAGCGAATCAAGCGGTGAACCGGTTCAGGGATTCGCTGGAACGACCAGTGCAGAAGTGCGATGACATGGCGTCGCGGCGAACAAGATCTGCAACACATCCTTCGCCCTGCCTTACGGCTATCTGACGCCAGACGCGTCGGTACCGAACAAAGCCTTCCGAGCGAAGCCTTGCGAACGTTGCTGACTTCATTCTGGCGGTCATGGTGGTGATGTGTTCAAGCCAAAGAAAAAAGCTTGACTAGGTCGAGACATGGCCTCCACGCTTGCATTGTAGAAGTTGATGGTTTGATCGAGCCCCCCCACTGTGGGCGTCGCAGACAGGTCCATCATGGTCAACGCAGGCTTCGCTTTGTGGGCAGAGGAGCGGTGAACTGCGGTGAACTGCGGTGAACTGCCGGCCACGGCCGTGACGTTTAGCTCCAGGAGGTGCACCAAACATACGCTGCTGCCACACATGGGTTTTTGCGTTGGATGGATGGGGCCTCCAGGTGGTGCCTCCGGCTTGACCCGTTTGACAGACATGGACTGGTGCTACCTCGGCCACGTGAGACAGACATTGTTCTGCCGGACTGCGGCGGTGCTGCTGCTGTGTTGTCTCGTGTCCACAGACCACGTTGTCGTGGGCGTTCGACTCATGCTATGAGGCGTGCCTGTGCCAGGTCATACATAGTCCTGCGAGCGTTGTCCCTCGTCCATGGCATTGCATTGCATCACAGTCATGGACAGGTTCAGGGGTTCACCATGATGTGCATGAGGCGGCCAAATGCCGCCCAAGGCCGCTCGCATGGTCTCGTCGACGTGGAGTATTATATACAAGGTGAGGTTGATGAAGGTTGACGAGACGGACAGGGCTTTTTTCCATCGGACTTTTAGGACCGAGGTGCATGCTTAGGCGTGAACAGCGTCCCCGTGCGTTCTCTACGCTTTGCACAAGACATAAAAGGCCCTTCGTCGGCGACGTCAACGCGTGGGTGGTGATGAAGGACTCCCCACAGACTATTTTGCAATCAGTGTGCGACATGCGAACATGATTCTTCTTTCCCACGCGCTGGGCGGCCTTTAGGGTCCGACGAACCGCCCTGTTAGTATCGAGAGCCCCATTTTATTACTTGTGTGATCCTTTGCAGCGTGTCACAACCTTTACGCCTCTGCAACGGTTGGCTGGCTATGGATTCTCCGGCTACCCAGCCGAAGGTGGGTTTGTGATGCAGCTGGCTGTCATATCCATGGCTGTGCAGCCGAGCCGATCCATCATCCTACCTGTACACGAAGAAACTGCACCCTGGCGCTGCGCAGCACTCTATATTTGTAGAGGACTTGCATCGCATTGAACAGGCGGTGTGGCCGGCCCGTTGTTGTTGGAGGAAAAAATGGAGCAGAGCCTGGTGCAAGCGCGCTGGCTGCTTGCTTGCTTACTTGCGCGTGACGACTCGACTCAAGTCGACTTGATTCATGTTCACACGAAAGATCCAAGACGAGACGCGCCCGCGATCTGTGTGCTGAAAGGAGGAGGGAGCCATGTCATGTCATTTGGGCGCAAATTCACAATGTCTTGGCTGACGAGTGCCTGGTTTCGAACGCAGCCAAGGGCCATCTGTGGGATGGGCCTCGTGGGCAGGGCAGCACAGTTGAAACAAACCACAAAGTAAGCCCAGGTGCAATGTGTGGTGTGGGGTTGGTTTGGTTTCTGCCAGGCCTGCGGCGTCGATGCATATGAGGCGCGTGGGATGTGTGATGTGTTCTGAGACATTCACTGTGGTTCAAGAACGATGCACTTGGCGCCTCGCTTGAGTGGCCACGCAGATATTCTCCGCAGAGTCGACAGCTTTTCCACAGCCCTGGCCCTACACCATCTCGCCCAAACTGGCCGCATACAGAGCGGGTCAGCTGGCAAACGCCGACAAGTCATCATCTTTTCAGAGACGTGGGTTCAAGGTGCGCTAGTCCCACGATTGGCGCAACAACTCCCGCGCGTCCAACACAACACGACACGCCATCGTTCAACCCTTTCTACTTGCTCTAATTCTGGCTTCCCATACTATACTAGCTCTGCCGGATACTAGCCAAAGGCATTCAGCCTGCCTCCAGCCGTCATGTCTCTCCAGACCGCGGCAGACGTGCCTCTCATCATCAAGTCTCCCAACTCGTCCTCTGAGCGTCGCATATCTCCGTCCTGGACCATCGCTCAACTCAAGACACGTCTGGAGCCCATTACCGGCGTGCCAGCAAGCTGCCAGCAGTTGTCCATACGCGTAGGCTCCCAAGATGCCGTTCCCCTCACCGCGCCCGATGAAGAGCAGACTCGTCTTGCAGCGTTTCCGCTGCAGCCATACGCGGAGATAGGCGTAAGTGCTTCCTCTCCTCCTCCATGTCATGTCACGTCATTGCATAGCATTAGCAGCCCTGTCGTAGAAACCCATGATACCACCATCCTCTCACCAGCTGCCACATTTCTCTTGCTTCAACCCAACTCTACCCTTCCTTGAAACTGCTTCATGGTCACTTCTATGGCTCTCGTCGGGCTGGTTGCCATTTATCCTCATTCGCTGCCTTGGCTCGCAATTTGAGGCTGTCAGCCCCAGCTGCATCGCGCCTGCATTGCTATTGCTGCATGCCCCGCAGTGCCCCTCGCCAGCTCGTACAGTCTGTCATCTATGACTTGTCAGACTTGGCACGACACTGGAGATGCTGGGAAAGGGGCTCTTCGCTTCTTTCGCCGTTAGCAGAACGTGCTCGACCATTGAGCTTCATACCCTGACGGCGGCTCCGTTATCCCGAAGCGAGCTCCAGATCGTTCCCGTTCCTTCTTCCTTGCCTACTCCTCCTGTATTTTCTTCGGTCCTGGGCCTCATTTGCTATTATTATGCATTGCCTCTTTAGTCAGCCCCTGCATCCATCCACAAACCCAGCTGGATGAGCGCTCAACAACCTTCCGTGAACAAATGAAAGCTCGTAAACATGGTTCCGTCCTAACTCCCTGGTCCTAGGTCGTCGACACACGTCCACCTGCTGCGCGAGTTGACTTTACGGATCTCTCGGCTGTCGACAAGTATGAGATGCCACCTGCCGAGTACGAGTCTCTGACAGACAGTGTTCTCGCCTGGAAGAAATCTAAAAAGCTTGGTCGATTCGACCCCAACGCTGGCAGCATCGAACAACAGAAGATTCGAGCTTCGGAGCGAGAGGTTGAAGAAAGAGGTAAGTTGCCCTTTTTTTGTTCAGGCATTCGTACAGTCGCGGCAGAGTAAGACGAGACAAAGCAAAGACAGATCCATAGGATGAGGCTGGGGTTATTTGTGTTCGCCTTATCTGAACCGCAGCTGCTTCCCAAACTGGACAGCCACATGTCTACAACCCCCCGACTTGGTTGCACGTGTCTCGCCACAAGACTGAAAGATTCAATACGTCTCATCCTGCAATCCTTTGCGAACAGGGAAATTTCAACGGAACGAGCAATCTCCCCATGGCGAATGTCGTCTTACCAAACTCGTCATACAAACTTCCGTTTTGAGCGTCGTGCATACACGCCTTGACCAAGGTGATTCAGCCTTTGACGGCGACTTGGATGGCGGCCAATACTCCGATTTAGTCACATCCACCCTCGGGCGTGTACTGAGATCCTCATGCGTTCTCTTGTTCTCGCTTAAGATATTGCATCTCTGGAGATCGCTCCCGCCACCCAATCCAACCCGCTGGGTACATGCGCCGGTGCGGAACTCAATTCGACGATCACGTTTGCCACCAGCCTCACTTCACGCTTTATCTGCCATCGCACTCCGACATCGACATCTAAGAGTACGGAAGAAAACGTCGTTGGGCGCAGCACTCGTATTGCAGCCGTGGCGCATGACGCACGAGCTTGTTCTGCAGCCATCAAGTCTTGGAACGAGCCGCTCGCCTATGTGGGTTATTTACGACCAACGGCCCCTCCTGGCTTGATATTCCCGCATCACTGTTTCGCTAGGAACGCGACTGAGCATCTTCTGCAAGGTCAATCACCGCCCGCTTCCCCGAGCCGCATCTTCACAACGGGCGGCTACCACGTGTGATCGGTGTGCAGGATGCACGTTCAGTAACTCGGCTTACTCAACAGCTCCTGTCCACTTGCTATGCACACTTCTCGCGTCACAGACTGTTGCCTGTGTTTTGCCTTTGCCTTTGGCGCAGGAGCACGGCCATCCATTATATTGATCAGCCTGTTCATCGCTCACAAAATAGCTGCTGACAGTTTTCAATAGGATTGACGCTCTCGTCTCGTGTTCGTCTACTCCCCGATTCCGACGCCCGTCGAGGCACAGTATCCTACATTGGTCTTGTGCCCGAGATCCCAGGCATAGGCTCGTGGATTGGTGTCACACTTGACGAGCCAACAGGTAAAAACGATGGCACGGTCAAGGGTAAACGATACTTTGAGTGTGGCAATAACTGCGGCGTCTTCGTTCGGCCAGAGCGATGTGAGGCTGGAGACTTCCCGCCCCTCGATTTGGGCGACGAGGATATGGAGGAGCTCTAGGATGGTGTCATCGGAGAGGTTATAGTGGGCTAGGCGAAAATGAATGAGCAAAAATAGAATCTCGTGGGCAATCAGACTATCTTTTCTGGTATTGCTCGAGCCAAAAAAGTATGTGTGGCATCTGGGTCTTGCAGATTCACGGTTCAGGGCACTCATTATACTGTTCGTTGAGGAACATAAAAGTAGCTTATGCCTAGCAAAGCCCCATCATGGAAGCCACGAATGTAGAAAAGAATTCACGATATTACATGAACCATTGCTGCATTCTGAGCTTTCAATATCACCCCCAATCTCCTGCGAGACATCTTCCCACCTTACGAAGCCATGGCTACACTCTCAACACCCTCCTCGCATCTTTATCTACTTCCACATAGCCTTCTGAGACCCACGCCACGTGAATCCGTCCTCCAACGGCACCACTCTCTAGTTCTGTGCCTACAACTCAGACTATAATCATAATCTCCACCCTGAACTTCGAGAGAGAAAGATGGCGAAATGAAAAGCAGAGTGTATGAGGGAGACGACGAATGACACATGTTGACGCGTGGATAGACTGCTAGACGTGGGATGTTGTCAACGCTCATGTGTCTGCAAAAGCGATCACGGTGCGATACAGTTGCTTCGATTGCACTTGGCTATAGTCCTACGAGTAGATATGTACTGATCCATGCCTATACGAAATTCAAGCTAGCGCTCCATGCATTTATCCAAACTGAAAACATGCGGGTATAAGAGAGGTCAAAATGCGTTGCTGATAATACAAAGTAGAGAAATATGATGTCGTGAGGTTATGGGGCACACTAGCCCCTACTCCCGCTTGAAACAGATATCTTACTAACCTTCCTGTACTTCTCATCCTTGAGTGGCACAGGCGGTAGATCAGTATCCGAGTACGCGTGAGACGGCATGGCGGAGTCTTTGCGCTCATGCTTCGAAGCATTTGTCGTGCTCGGGGCTACCTGAGAAGGCTCGTACGTTGTCGCAGGTAATGTGTTGTATGTTGTCGATGGTAAAGTGTACATGAAGACTTCATCGATCGCGTCATCAATGTCATCCAGAAGATTTTGCTGCTCCAATGGTTTTGATGCCGATGTTGAGACTCTATCGAAAGGTGCCTTTGGATCGAATGGGAAGCTGAACGAAATAGGTCTTGCCTCTGGTGTGTACGAGATCCTCGGTGGATTGGAGGGGACGGGCTGTTCGTGCTTCTCATGCTCTGGAGTGCATGGAGTACGCGGCAGCGACGAAATCGCGCGCTCGGAAAATTGATGTGCTGGACTCCCAGGGTAGAGAGATATCGGTCGTTCGTGACGATGTGAAAATCCGCCGTCATATGTTGTCGCAGGCAAAAGAAACGAGCCTGGCTCAGGAGCTGATGATGATACTGGCTTCTCTTCAAGGATGAACCTAAGAGAGGGAGGTCGGTCATGATCTTTTGTCCGACTGAACAAGCCGTTACTTTGATTCGTAAGCGTTGAAGACTGCGAGAATCCGGGACTGAGTACAGGGTCGCTTTGACTTCTTGCATGAGACACATAGCGAAGTGATGGGGCCTGAGCTGTATAGCTAGGGGGTAGATAATCCGGGGGCGGAGCGATGAAAATATCGCCATGTCCCATCCGCTCGCCGGGATCGACATTTCGCAGTGCCTTCAACCTCTCGTTTGCAAAGTTGGATTCCAGAATATGCGCTCTTTCAACTAGCTTCTCGACAAGCCCTGCGTGTGAGTCTTTGAAAGTCCTCTTCACGAAGCGTAGTAGGAGTGACGAGCACGTCATCGTCACGTCTTCTCGAATATATAGTCCATGCCTAGGGGCAATGAGACCGGGTTCGACTGGAGGTCTTGGCTCGCCTGGGAGACGGCCACCTACACTCCATTTTGCTTGAATATTGAGTCCGAGTGGTGCGTAAACGTGTGTCTGGAGGCCGTCGGATAGGTCTTGAAAGTAGGCGTGATAGGACACGGAGCCTGTTGCGAGTCCGCCGGGCAGATATGATACTTTGTCTGCTCATGATTAGCGACAGATGTTGCATGTTTATAGAGTGGTTGGTAGTGTACCCTTAATTGTATACCACGTCCCGAATGATTCGTCTGCTGGCGCGTAGTTTGGTGATTTGCAGTTGAATCGTTCGACAACCAAAGGGTTCAAATCAATCATCGCGAGATGGTCATGGTACATATCCAGCACACTCTTCCTCGTAATGCCAGCTGGCAGCGGAGTAATCGTCGTGAAGACGGTTGTTTTCGGCATATTGGACCTCTTCAAGCCCTCAATTGAGTGAATTCAAATAGAAGTTTCAGGAACTTGCTCGTGACCGAAAAGACGACCGATGCTTGCCTTCGATTGAAGCTGGAGTGGAGGAATCGTTTGGAAAACGAAAATGCGAGAGAGACAGAGGTACTTGTTTCGCAGGCCAGGTCTGGCCGCTCATTGCATCACACATCGTACGCGTATCAGCTGTGCGCTCAAGCACAACCCCCAGTGCCCCTGCATCTATAGCCGTAGTCCGGGGACGACAAAACCCCACCAACACCCCACCAACCTCCAAGAATGGCAGTCTGGCCGTTCATGTCGGATTACGGGAGATTTATCTGCATTCATACTGACAAGTCGGCGCGTCGCCGTCCGCCCGTGGATCATGCACACGGCACAGAGAGGTGATACTGTGAGGGCATTGAAGACGACGATACCGTGCCGAAGCCCGAGAGATGGAAAAGAACGCCGAGGGCAGGCGAGAGGCGGAAGCTGACATTTTGCGGATGCAGGTGGTGGCGCGGTGGTGCAGATGTTAAGGTTTCAGAGACCCTGATGGAGATCTGCTACAAGTACGTTACAGGCTAACGGCTTGCGCTACGACCGGATAAGGAAAGCACGATGAATATTGTGGAAGGAACATCCTACTGCGGACCGCCTGATAGCGGCGGCACGAGACAATGGAGATGCTGCTTTGGAGGTATTCTCAGGAACAGGTCCAGTTTTTATTCATTCTCGAACGTGTGAAGGGAAGGTAACGAGTGATGGATGCGCACTAGACGGCAGGCGTGGGCCGTTTCAGGCACCGCACGTCTCTTCTTGGTTTCAGCAACAACAGCCTCAGGCAAACTTAGGAGGTCACTAGCTACTGGTGAATCAGGAAGATGCCGTTGCATCCCATGGATTAAAGACAACGAAACAAGTCCAAGGTCAGCAATTGAACATGCGAGCTCTTGGTATTAGATGCTGCTTTGCGAGAGCATTGACGATATTCTTCTTCGTTATATTCGACGGGTAAAATCATATACGAGGTATTTGCAAGAACAGATGCTATAAGACCGCTTTGTGCAAACTACGAGACAGGCGCCCCCAACTTTTCCCTCTAAATCCAGCCATGGACCCGACTACAGGTATCACATCACGAATCAACCGGGATAGTTATTGCATGTATAGTAATTTGGACTTCATAGACGAAGATTGAAAAATACGCTGCATTAAGGGTATGTACGAAAGTCCTCGTTAACAAGATAGAAGAGCATCATACTCCGAGGCCTACTCCAAACCAACACCGTACGCCGCAATCATGCCTGATGATCGCTATCCGTCCTCTTCTCATAATTCGCCTCATGGTCGTCGTGACACTCTCAGTCATATCTCCCTCGTATTTGATGTTGACCGTTCTTCTTCAAACACCCTGATGCATATCCACCTCCTTGGTGACAGTGTTCTTCTTTCCAAAGCTCATCGCACCTCCCTTGACCACGCCAATAACACCAAATACAAACGTAACCGTCCATGCAACCCAGTTCACCGCACTGACCGCTGTACCCGCGCGCGCAACATCGCACACCTGTCGTAGTCATTAGCCATCATCCCTCGTCTCATTTACAGCCCTTTCGTCCCGTCTTCTCTAGATTCTCCCCGCATTGCCACCTCCAGGACCAACAAGAGAGTTTGTACGTACCATGCCAAAGCAAATCCTATCTCTCAAAAACACTGCCAGCGCAATGAACCCCCCAAACCAAAACAGCATAGTCAATGCCTCAAGCCCTAGGAGCCCATACTTTGCTGCAGGCGATAGGAGCAAATGGGAAAAGCGGAGGGGAATAACGAGAAGTGGGACGAGGACCAAGACCGACCATGCGGGCGCGAAGAGCAGAAAGTTTACTTCCGAGGGGGAGGACTGGCGCCAGTGCGTCGACCACCATGATGACACTGGAAAGCGTGATTAGAGTGTGCTCTGGAAAAGAGATGGAAGAAGGAGGACGTGGGAGACGAACCATAGCCCATTAATCCAAGCACTGTGAGAGAGAGGATGGCTTGTACAGCGCGGACAGGGTGAATCCAGACAATTGCCATAGCTGCTCTTCTATATCTTTCTCGTCCTTTTAAACCTCTCAGTTCTCCTCCTAAATTTATTATTCGTCGTCTATGTTGTGCCGAAAACTCGTTCGTGCTTTCCACTGAAGCTATCGGAAATCCAGTATCCTAAGGAGCGTGTAGAAGAAAAGTCAAAGGAGCGGAAGAAAAAAAGGACCGGATGGTAGTAAGGTGGTTCAGGGAAAACAGAGGAGCATTCAGATTCGAAAGGTGTAAAGGCAGACCAAGGCATTCAAAAGTCTTTCAAATCACCCATATCAACCCATCTCAGACCTGCTCGCCCAAGTCTCCATCTGTGACTGCGCATGCCTCACGCTCCTCGTTTTCCACAATGCAATCTTCGGGAAGATCAATAGCCAGCCCTAACCCTAGTCCACCAGTGATTCAATGGCTGCAAAGTACTCAAAGTTTTATGTGGTGCATGATCAAAGTCTTGTGACTGGTCGTTGTCTTACATTTGCCTGAAGTCGCGTTTCAGGCACGTCGTGCGACCGGGATGCAGACCTGGAACGTTCATGCGACCTCCGGGTTTCGCATGGCGGCTGATTGGCTTGACTCGATTTTTGGAACGGGCAGAGGTACTGTAATACAATGGAAGCTAAAGATAGATCTAATGTGCAAACTCGGTTGCAGGTGTAGCATTGTAAAATCAGTCTGCCTTCACGGGTTAGTGCTGCAAGAGACTACTCAAACTACACCATTTCATTGACTCATCGGCTACCGCCATATCGATCGGAATGTATTATACACATGCGCAGACTTTTCAAGTCGTGTCCCAGATGGACATGCCCCGCAGAATCTGCAGTCCAATATTCGCCAGATCATGAAAAATCATGACCAAGTCCGGCCTTCACTCAAATGTCCAAGCAAGAGTCATTGACGTAGCGCGAAAGCCAGTGAGCATTCCAGCATCACTATACCCTCAGTCAACGCCGACAGCCCAATCCTGGATATCGATGAAAATGAGAATGCCGAGCGAATGGCTCTATGTGTACAATGGGAAGTCGCTATGGTAAACAAAAGAAAAAGGGAAGAAATTAGTTTTTGGCCGATGATTGTCCAATTTGCACACATCATTTGTCATTTTGACCTTCAGTAAACGCCCCGAAGAGACGAGAAGGTATGGCCGAGACGGTAGGGCTTTTGATTCGATGTTTGCGAATCCTTCGTGGTTGTAAAAGTCCAAGATGATCCTGAACCGCAACGGGAACAGTGAATGGGCAAGGCATTTTCAGCGCAAGACCAATCACATGTTGAACGCAGCGCGGATCCTAGGTACGGTGATCCCCTCAGCCACGAGGACCAAAGGGTGCTGCAGCGCGAGTCATTTCGTTACACTTGTTGACCAAACCCGAGATGCGACGGAGAAGTTGGCTACCAGGAGTGTTTTCGTTGAGCTGGATGTACGCAGTAGTCAGGCGCTGGCATACGACATCCATGATCTTAGGGACGATGTCTCGAATCTCGGCATCCTGAAGTGGCTGATTAGCGAGGAACGAAACCAGAACATCATCAAAGCTTACATTAGGGTTGACACTCCTGAGTACAGCATCAAGCCACACTAGACGCTCAGGCAGGTTGCGTTCCAAAGCATCCGAAACAACTGCGCCAGTCGACAAGGCGAGTAGTGGGCTTACCTGGCTGAGGTAGGCTGGGTTGCAATGGACGAAGACGCTGTCGAAAAGCTCGCTGGTACGACTGGATTGTAACCATTGCATGGTACCCTGTTCATAGTTGCCGTCGGCCATGAGCCGAGTGATGGCTTCCGTCTCGAGCTCCTCAGGTGACTTCTGCTTAGCAGGCGAACGTGTGACTTGAGGTGAGGAACGAGTGGGTAGCTGAGCTGGAGGCTGAGCAATTGATTGCTGAAGCTTCGTAACTTGGGATTGGAGCTCAGCCTGAGTCGCGACCATTGACTGAATGGTCTCTAAGCAAGTATGGACGGTGTCGGTAAGTTGTGCAATCTTAGCAGCATCTTCACGGCGCGCTGCATGCGCTTGACGAAGCTGTCCTCCAATTTGCTGCTCGATAATATTCGACAGATTCGAAATAGCAGGATTTACGACTGAGCCCACAGAGGCAACCACCATAGGCTCAAGGGATCCGGTGAGCTTCTTGGCGACTTGTTCAGAGAGTGACTGGAAGATCTGGGGACTCTTTAGAGCGCGTGAGACTGCATCGGGAATCTCCTTGGATAGCTGGGGACCCAGTGCAGACTTGAGGTTGCTGCTAATACTCTGCTCGAGCGTGGAGGAGGTCTGTGCCAGAACCTCGGGAAGCAGGACATTGCGAATGTTCTCATCAACCATTTTCCTAATCACGCCTTCGACATTCTCAGTCAATGTGCTGGAAACAAGTCGCAGGATGGCCTCTTGCTTAGCACCGTTGGCGGCGTTCATCACGCGTTTGTCTTCATCGAATCGCTTGTACATAACATCCAGCTCACGAGAAAAGCCCTTGGTGATCTCGGCTTGCACAACTTCTTCGAGCTGCTTGGCATCAATCGCGGCAGCCGGAACCGGCCCAGAAGGTGCATCTGCCTGTTGGAAATGCTTGCTAATGAAGGTCTTAGCCCACTCGGGGGCTTCGTTGTCCGACGATGACTTGGACGGTTTAGATGATTCTGGTACGACAGTCGGCTCCGGAGGAACGGGCGACTTTGACTGGGGAGTAGCTTGAGCAGCCTGCGCGTACGACGGAGGCGCACGAGTAGACGTAGATGCTGACGCTGACACCTGAGATGCTGTCTCCGCAGTCGAGCGCTTCTTCTTTTTCTTTTCCGACTTTTCGCCACCACCGTTGATCATTGCTACACGAGCAGCGTCTTGCTTACTCTCAACCTTAGCAAGCGTGGAAGCACGCATGGCAGCCTCTGGTGTCATGGACTGTTTCGAAACATGGCTGCTTTCCTTCTTCACGATTTCCCGAACAGATCGGTCAGAAACCGACTTTGGTGCAGGTGTATCGCCAGCAGTCGAAGACTCGTCTGTAACAGGCTGAGGCGGCTTAAGCTGTGTGATGGTAATGACACCTTCCTCTACAGCCTCCTTTGGATGGATTGGTTCGCCCTCCTTCTTCCAGCCCAGGTCGCTACGTCGGATTCGCAAAACGCAAACCCCCTTTGAGTGCATGACGTACAACTCAAATAGAGCCGCGTTGTCTGGGTCGTCAACATCAGACGGGCCAGCGGGCTCATTGAGCATGTAGAGGCTCCTGATTTGGCCCTTTGAAGCAAAAGAGTACTCGGTGATGCTTGTCATGATGGCGGTAGCATTGACTGGAGGCAACGGGTGCTGGTTCTTCTCGCTCTTGTTCGCAAGACGGGAAATGTATGTCGCTTGGCTCAAAACAGGCAAATTGTACCTGGGGCAGGAAACGTGAACAAAGAAGACTGAGTTCCTCGTAGGATGAGCAACGGCCATTATGCCAGTCCTAGGATGGAAGGAAACGCTGCAGATAGCGTCGGACTCGTTCTCATGTGGTAGGTGTATCTCCTGCACGGCCTTGCCGAGACCAAGATCCCAGAGCTGGAAGGCATGGTTTTGCTTCATGCCGACCATGACATATCGCAGCGCAATGCCCTTAGCATATGGCTTATCTTTGTCGAAAAAGAATACCGAAGTAGGCCAGGACTTGGCGTTCGGCGTGGTGGTGTGGAATTCAAGTAGAGTTTCAGAGACTTCGACCTGGCGGGGCGGGGCACGTGGGTTACCCAGCTCAGGCTCTGTCAGAGTGCGTATGTCCCAGAAGCGCATGCGTCCTGCTTTGTCCAGTGAGACGATGATAGTGTCGTCCTCACTGAATGTAAAGTCCTTGCCGGCCTTGCCAGTAAGGATCTTGAGAGAGCGCTCTTTGAGATACTTCTCCGTGTGGCAGATGCGGCTCTTTGAGCGAGCGTACTCTGCGGCAACTCTCGGGAAGATAATGTGGATAGATTTGCCTCTGCCGACGGCGAAGAACTCGGGATGGCGCGAAGATGGCTTAGCGCGTGTCTTCAGCTGGCCACCAGATGTGTTATCATCTTGAGAGGGCGATGGTGGAAGCATCAGACCTTGTGAGTCGAGGTTCTCGCCAAATTGATCCTCGCGGGCAGAGTCAAGGGAGGTCCAGAAGACGGTGCCATTAATTCCAATACCAAGGATGCTCTCCAGGGACTGCTGTGAGTCGTCTCCAGCGCTGCAGAGTGCAATGTTGAAAATACGTTCCTGATGGTTCTCGAACACCTGTCGATAGTGACCGTTCTCTTGGCGGATGATACGGAAACCACCCTTCTTGACGAGGGCATAGACGATGAAGTTCTTGCTGGCGGAAACAAGAGAGCGATCGATCTGATCGAAATCTTTCTTCAATCTGGCAATGTCCATGAACAGCTCAGATCGGAAGTAGAGACGTCGAGGAGGCATCTGATTGACAGCGATAGAAGCAAATGCACGCATGGGGAACCTGTAGACTGTTACCGTCTGGTCCTCGCCCTTTGCTTGGCTCTCCTCAGCCTCGGCCGTTTCCCAGTCCTCGGCGACATTGCCTTCAGCAACCTCAGTAGCGACCTCCTTCAAGGCGGCGGCGAGGGGCTTCGGCAGAGTCGCCTCTATCTCCTTAGCCTTGCTAGCATCAGCAAATTCTTCCTTGATCTCAGTGGCCATGTCCACCATGGCCTCTTGTATATCTGCGATGTCTTCCGCTGGCATGTTGTCAAGCTCCTCAGCCAACTGAGCAGTCGATTTGCCCTCGGCCTCAGCAAGCGCCACTTCGATCTGCTGACCGACCTGTTCTCCCAGGTCGCTCACAGCCTCGGCCACAGTTTCGGGTGGTGGAGTTGCGACGTACTCTCTGATGCTATTGGGAGCCGCTGGCGATGCCTCGAATGTATGCTTTGACTTGAGGATTTCCACCTTCGGGGCGGGAGATTTCAATGATTCCGGAGCTGGAGTACGGTTGCGCGGGCTAGCAGCTTCGAGCTGGTCGAAGGGGTTCACGTACGTGAATTTAGGAGGAAGAGTGGTCGTTGCTGGCTGGAAACCCGAAGAAGATCCTGAGCCATCCGAGCCGAAGACCCTCATGGGTGACGCAGAGGGTGCGGCTGCGCTGGCAGCTGGGTCGGACGAGACCTTCTCTAGTTCAGCGTCGGCAAGATCCTGCGCGAGGTCATCCACAGCCGTTTCAGGCTTGATGGAAGTGACTGGCGGAGAAAAGGCAGCTGCAGAAGCGCGAGATGAGCGACCGTCAGACTGAGCCGGCTTCGGGTGGTTCAGCAGGCGGAGAAGAAGGTCTTGGGGATTCACCGATGATACAGTGGGAAGCATAGGCTGCGCAGAGGCGGAAGCCGCTGAGCTAGGACCCTGTGAGGGAGTCCTATTGCCCGTGAGATTTGCCACAAGATCCGAGGCTGAGACGGTGCGACTGTGAGCTGAGGGACCCTCGGAGACCTGTGCGTTTTGTGACACACGTCTTGGCTGTCCAGCGCCAGACTGCGAATTGAAGCGCAAGAGATTGAGCAAGTTTGCAGACTGTTGCTGAGGCGTCTGTTGAGAGATGGAGCCGTGTTCGGGCGCTGGCGTATTCGCGACAGATGTGTTCGGCGACATGATGGCGCTCTGGTGATGAGGTTGTGCTCCACTCGGTGATGGGGAGAAGAGAGGTGAGGATACGGAGGGTTGCTGGTGGCCGTGCTGTTGCTGGTTGCCAGAACCGCCGTTGAGACGGGCAAAGAGCTCCTGCAGGTCGGCCATAGTGAGGTAGGGGAGGGCAGATCTGGGAGGTGACGTGTCAGTACAGGTGAGGGCGATGAGAGCAGGAGAGTGAGGGCTGTAGACGTCGACATGCGATATGGGGACGACTTACTTTACTCAAACCCAAAATTCGCGTGTGCCTGGCCGGCCCCAGCCACTCAATTTGCGCGTAGCTGGACTGGTGTAGCAGTGTTTTGACGAAGCGAGAGGCTGACGAGCAAATTGGTGATGGGGATGACACGCTGTGATAGTTTGCAGATATCAATGGACAGCGAGAGAACCGTGGATGGGAGCTGCAGGTGAGTTGCGCTGGCGGAAACAGACTAGGTCCAAAGGGGACAAGGCTAGGTGTTGCGGTGGAGATCCGGCAATCGCCCGTGGGGATCAACCCATCTCACCCACGACAAACAGCATGTATAGTCATGATGCTATCCTTCACTCATCTAGAAGTTCTGGAGAGTCTCGAAATCTCCGGGGTACTGGCACATAGCCAACGCAAGCAAGGCTAGTTACAAGTCTCAGGTGAGTCCATAACCATATACCGCCTGGACCTGGAGTCGCCAAAGACTACTATGACAGCGAGCATGGAGATAGAAGATACCATCTTGCCCTCACTAGACAGGTGACAATGTGAACACAAGGTACAGTATTTGCTCGATAGCAAGCATGGCAACAAGCACGACAACAAGCAACTATGACTCCTTTATAACTCACTACCATCCCCACGAGAACCAGACTGCTTATCCATAGAACATTGGATCCCTCATCCAATCTCCCGCAGTCTAATTTGCGCAAACCCCAACCAGGCCCACAGATCTATTCCGGTCCAGCAGAAGACTACCCCGACCCAGACGAGCACATGCTTCCCGCACCTAGGGAGCAGAAGATCGAAGAGCAGGAGGTTGCCAACGTCCCGAACTGTGCGATATTCATTATTAACAAAGAAGACGATACGATCGGAAATCTACTCACCCAACGCCTGCTCAAATGCGACTTTGTTGACTTTGCCGCTTACCAAGTTGACCCGTTGTTCGCCAGGTTCAGACTTAGAGTGACGACGGATGGATCTGTTAGTCCGAGGGAGGCAGTGAATCGGTGCTGTCTAGATATCCACAATGACTTGGGTGTCCTCTCTAGCGCGTTCAAAAGTGCACACGAGAGCAAGATGGCGGAGAAGAAGCAAGCATCCGAGCAGGAGGTTGAGAATGGGAAGGCTGCTCAAAAAGGACTTGAAGAGCTCAACAAGGAGGAGGGTTCAGAAGGCCCTTTCGGCAGTGGTATGGCCGACGGTTAGATAGCATCGATTTGATTATCTCATAGCGTTTTCTCGATTATTACCGGGCACAATTCATCGGCGAGAGGAGGTAGACTGTTTAAAAATTGAAACCACACGCGTGGTAGTGCTCAGGTGTTGTACAATGTTTATGTCTCTTTAGCTACATGTCGAATACCACTCTTTTGTATTTCAAACTCGACGCCTCTCCCGTCTGAAGGGGCAGTCCATGGCGCGAAGACGACCTTGAACCAGCGCCGCCACTTGGAAATGTGGTTTTCTTCTTCGTTCCATTGGTCCTCGCCATTGACCGTATGGATGAGCGGCCTAGTCGCGAAGACTGGCTGTTTGATGAGCGCAATGCGACAGGCGAGTTGATTGGTCCACACGAGACCTAGTGATGGTGTCTTTTGGGCGTGTGATGGTTCATATTGCATGTCACCCCAGCCTGTGAACCATCGCTGCTGGTGGTCGAGGGTTAGGGGGTCGGGAGATAGGAGAAGCCCCCCTTCAAGATGGGAGGTCAGATCAGTGGACTGAGGTGTGTGCTCCCGACCATGGCCTTGACTGTTGGTTGATGTGGTTCGAGAGACAGCATTGGACGATGCGGAAGAAGGCGGTTTGGTGAAGCGGTCAGCGACTTGATTCGCAACTACAATGGCAATGCCCTCTGTGCGCGCGAGCTCACGCAACAAGGCGCCTAGCTGCACGAGCTGAGTGCCCCGCTTCGCCATGGACGCAGCGCCATCTCTTGCACCCTTCTTCTCAAACTCGGCGCGGTAGTTGGCAGCAACCGAGTCGAGAATGACCAGGCCTACTCCATGTTTCTTGATAGCGACCGGCAGCTGGTAGCGCAAGATGTGTTCCTGAGACTCAAGGTCTGGGGTCTGAATGCTTAGGATACGCGACAACGAGGGCTGTTCCTCGGGCGGTAATGAGGCAAGCGCCGGATGGGAGGATAGCAGTTGGGCTAGGCGAGTGGTTGCGAGTACGGCCTCGGTAGAGATGTAGACTGCTGATTTGGCCAGGCCGTGCGGAGGAGGCAGTTGAGCAGCCAACAGAAGGGTAAGGAGTAGCTGGGTTTTCCCGGCGCCACTGCAAGATGTCAGGTTGTTGCTGCTGCAAGAGGAGTGCTTTTGGAATACTCTTGGACATACCTCTCGCCAGTGACCTCGACCAGGTAGCCACGAGGAACACCGCCGCCCAAAGCAGCGTCAAGCTCTTCATCCAAGGTGCTTATACAGCCCCATTCGCTATTCGAGGCCTCTGGACTTCCCAATCCAGCTAAGAAGGAATTGCCGGCTGCTTCCTCTCCCCCGAAGCCGAGCGAGCGGTGGAGCGCAGATACAAGGGCATCCGTAAGCTTCCTCAGCTCCCCAGCCGGCAGCTGCGCGCGTTTGGCAACATCAGCAGCCTCGAGGGTGAGCAGGTCGTTGGTAGTAATCAGGGCCTTGTCGAGCGAAGGCAGTAGATGCGTGTATGGTCTCGCATTGAAGTCAGGCAGCACCTGCAGCAGGTCCGTCATGGGCCGGCAATGTCTAGCATCTGCGCGGCTCTGCGGATGGCACGCGCAACAACAGTGGCCGGGCCCGGGATTGACAAGTTGACAACGACGTCTTTCAGAAACACTCGCAGGCCAAGACGATGATGACTATTGCGACGTCTTGGACGCGTTCGAGATGGATAGTAGTCTAGGTGCTTGGTACTGTACTGTAGTGGGGGCCTCCGTTTCTCCGCGCCGCCCGACGTCACCAAGCCATGGCGTGAAAGGAAAGCCTTGTTCCCCGCATCCCCCCCACGCGTTGGCATACAGATACAGCGGAGACTACGCAGGTCATCCCCGGTTTATTATTATTACATAGACAGACAAGCGCATGTCCGGTGGTTGACGCCTGAGATTCGCGTCGGCTCCAGAGAGAGAGAGAGCTCGTGAGCAGTGGTCGCCGCATGGGCAGCACCGTATAATCGCGTCTTGACGGTTGGGTGCTTCAGTCTTCAGACTACTACTACTACTACTACTACTACTACTATTACTACTACTGCTCGCCAGCCCACATACCGTGAAGCTGCCTGTAGAAACTGTATTCGTTCGTCCAATTAGCCGGCAACCCAACCCAGGCCCACGTACGTTACGGCGGCGTGTTTCTTTATAAGCTCACCCTACCACCGACGCTTCCACTCGTCCGTGGCACTGATAGCTGATTCCCACCAGGGTTGCTAGTACACACCTCGGGGCTGTCTTGCGCGATACCCGTCTCCTCCTGGCCGAGCTCGACCAAAAGCTGCTATTTTTCGACGGCGGCTGCGCTTTTCCGGCTCTTTATCCTCATCCTGCTAGTCCGGGAGCGCGCGAAGAGATGCACAGAGTGCAGTAAGTTATTGCGCGGGACATCACATTGACCATAGCAGCTCGAATCCACGTCGAATCTGCGGAGAAGACCATATCTGCACCTCATTTAGAGGCTCCACACTTCCAAGTAAGTTGCGTTTCCTTGCATGCCCTCCTCGTTGGTTCACACTGTCGGGTCATTCTCCTCTCTTGTCTACCATTACGGGTCACGTTCCGAGTCAGCGGTCGGCTACCTGAGTACGCTCTTGGATCACCTTGTCCGTTATTACAAGCCTATCGCGCGTTTCACATGCATCGTTGCACAGCTGGACCCACCTTGATGCAACTTCCCCTTCCGTCCCGAGACTTATAAGACTCGCTCCCATCCCAAGTATCCACACCTTCTCGGCGATTACTCGCGTCCTAATGCCGGACTACTGTCTCCAAGACTGCCACTACTTCTACCGCAGTGCCTTGCGGCTCCTCAACGTCGTCACCTTCATCTCACCTCTCTACGCCTAACCGATAGTAACCATCATGGCAGTCCGTACCTTCACCCAACCCTCATCCTTACTCGAATCACTAGCAACAGCCGCCAAGATGCCGACCTCTGAGGTCAACGGCGAGACTCGATCAGAAGCTTCAGCCAAGGAAAGCGCCCAGTCTTATCCGTCCGATGCAAAGGCACCATTGGCACACTCTACAAACCCCAATTCAAGGCCAGGCATCACCTTTGCCCATCAAGACAAGCTGCCCAAGCTTCCCATCCCAGAACTCGAAAGTTCATGTAAGAAGTACGTCGCCGCTTTGAAGCCTCTTCAGTCCCCCAAGGAGCACAACGACACTGTCCTATCCATCAACGAGTTCTTGAAATCAGATGGACCTATACTACAAGAGAAGCTCAAGAAGTATGCCAGTGGAAAGGCAAACTATATCGAGCAGTTCTGTAAGTACTAATTCAAAACTATCATTCGTACATGTACAGCACGCTGACCTTTGATAAGGGTACGATTCTTATTTGAATTTTGATAATCCGGTGGTACTCAATCTAAATCCATTCTTCCTACTGGAAGATGACCCCACCCCGGCTCGCAACAACCAAGTCACCCGTGCAGCCTCATTAGTCGTCTCGGCACTTGCCTTTGTCAGAGCTGTCCGTCTAGAAGAACTACCGCCCGATACAGTCCGCGGTCAACCACTTTGCATGTATCAGTACTCACGATTGTTCGGTACCGCCAGGATACCCACCGAAAATGGATGTCAGATCGGCCAGGACCCAACGTCAAAGCATGTTGTCGTCATGTGCTCTGGCCAGTTTTATTGGTTTGACGTTCTCGACGACAATAATGATCTGATCATGTCTGAAAAGGACATTGCTCTCAACCTGCAGGTCATTGTCGAGGATGCGCAAGAAGTACCCATCCAAGATGCCGCAAAAGGGGCCTTGGGCGTTCTGAGTACGGAGAATCGAAAGGTGTGGGCTGGCCTTCGTGATGTTCTTCATCGGGAAGAAGGGTCTAACAACTCCGACTGCCTGAACATTGTCGACTCTGCACTGTTTATTCTATGTCTAGATTACACCGCGCCACAAACCGGTGCAGATCTATGCATGAACATGCTTTGCGGTACTAGCAAGATTGAGCGTGGTGTTCAAGTCGGCACTTGCACGAATCGCTGGTATGACAAGCTACAGATCATCGTCTGCAAGAATGGAAGTGCTGGAATCAATTTCGAGCACACAGGTGTTGATGGCCATACTGTTCTTCGGTTTGCTTCAGACCTGTACACGGACACCATTCTCCGATTCGCTAGGACAATCAACGGTAGCGCACCCAGCCTTTGGGCATCTCAGAGCCCTGATCCAGCAAAGCGAGATCCTGATAGCTTCGGCGACGTTCAAACCACCCCTCATAAGCTCGAGTGGGACATGGTACCTGAGCTCAGCACAGCGCTTCGCTTCGCCGAAACGCGTCTTGCAGATCTCATCCAACAGAACGAGTTTGCAACGCTAGAGTTCCCTCACTACGGAAAGAACTTTATGACATCGATGGGCTTCTCTCCCGATGCCTTTGTTCAGATGGCATTCCAGGCAGCTTACTATGGCTTATACGGAAGGATAGAGTGCGTCTACGAGCCGGCGATGACCAAGGTCTATTACCACGGACGAACTGAAGCTATCCGATCGGTCACAGAAGAATCCGTCGATTTTCTCACAACTTTCTGGGGCGAGAACCCAGCAGCGCAGAAGATAGACGCCCTCCGCAAAGCCTGCCAGAAGCACACTGAGAACACCAAGGACTGCGCAAAAGCGCAGGGACCTGACCGTCACCTCTACGCGCTTTATTGCATATGGCAGCGCTCCATCGACGAGTCGGCTGAGATCGCTAGCAGCGATGGCTGGGACTCTACACGACCTTCAAGCCCCGATGCATCGAGCGTGGCATCTCCCAACCGCAACTCAATACTATCCGAGAATGGATCCATCTCCAGCTCGCCGCCTGCGCCAATGCAGCACTCGATGCCCGCCCTGTTTGCAGATGGAGGATGGGACAAGATCAACACTACAATCCTCTCATCTTCAAACTGCGGTAATCCCTCACTCCGGCAATTCGGCTTTGGCCCCACCTCCGCCGATGGCTTCGGCATTGGCTACATTATTAAAGATGGCAGCATTTCCATCTGCGCGTCCTCAAAACACAGACAAACTTCACGCTACATTGACGCACTAGAATCCTACTTCCTCGAAATCCGCAAACTTCTTCGCCAGATCAAACGCCGCGGCACCTCGGCCGATAAGACAGCTTCCCGCGCCCGCGAAGCTGAAGACCGACCCAAGGCAAGCCGCCTCAAGAGCCGAGGCCGACTTATCCTAGGCGACAGTGGGAAACAACAGACGCCTGCTGAGAGCATTGTTGACGACGACGATGACGACGGTCTTGGTGGATGTAGGGCTCCCCCTTCCCCTCCCTCTTTCACCCTTGATGAAGTCGAGAATCTTGTTTTATCAAATGGTGCTTTACCACCTACGCCCCCACAATCACCTCTCTTCAAGCCCATGACGGCGGTTTTCGTGAGCACTCCTAGGCAGCCCACGTCCATCAAGACGTTCCGGACTAGGAAGTCCACGAAAGTCGCTGTACGGAGGCCGATCTACACTTCTTCCTGATTTCCATTCCTTCTTCTTGTTCTTGTTATATAAAACTTGCACCCGACAATATTGGCCTCCTTCCCCATGCATATACCCCCAGCCATTTCGTCCTCATAGACAAGATTTCATGACACTTCCCTCTCTTTCCACTATTTTTATCATCACAAACACATAACCCATCAATTTTTAGTCTCTCTCCATGTTTCATCATTCGCTGATTTCCTTGTTTTCATAGATGGCTTCTTCGACGCGGGCATGCTCCGCCAGGCGCTCAATGCGAATCGCGGGGGTGAAGCCGAACCCTCGGTCGAGCGGGACGTTATACGCAGGAACATTGGACGACGGCTAAGGTTAGCTGAATACTGAGGAAGGATTGGGATTAGGCGAGATGAGTAGGAAGACTTCGCGCCGAGGAAGGAGAAGAGAATGCTACTAGCAAGTGGCTGGTTTATGTCGTCTGTACATATACGGTTGGACGAGGGAAATTGATGTGATAGGGAGGACTTGATTTACCTTCTGTTCATTTCCTTCCAGCATACTATTAGCTATTTGTAGTTTGTATTTAGCAAAAAATGCTCTCATTAAAGCAAAGTCAACAACGTTCTCCTCTACTGTTATATCTTCGCATGAATGAATGCATTGAAATAAATGAGTCTATTTTTTTTAACCAAACTACAAATATAATGAAAGAACTTGCACACTCATACTGAACATGATACATACTAGCCGACACTGAAGCCATCCGACGATGAAAGAAGACGTTAATAAATATGTAGGGAAAACTAATCTTACAAGAAAAGAAAAAAGACATATAAGGAATCAAACCTGCCGTACTCACTTGCCCGAGCAAACAAACTAATGTCTTAACAGTCCGTCCATCATCATCGTAATCGTTAATGCAAACCTTGAGCTACCCGGGAAAGAAAAAGAGAAGAGAATAGAGACCGCTCCTTTTTTTTATACCCAAAACCAAAAAGGAAAAAAGAACTTCTCTCTGCTTCCCGCCGCTTATCCACTGTGTACTCTTCTCCGAAAATTCGCCCTCGCCACTCTCACCGGATTAGCGAGAAGCACAGCTTTCGCATCACTTTCAACTCCACCACCTTGTCCTCCAAACGCTTCCATTGAATCTTCTTCATCAGCGCCCCTAGTATACACGAGGCTGTACGCGTCTAGTTCCGAGGTGATCAATCGCATACGTGGAAGGTAGGAGAAGCGTGTTCCGTCGTAGGCCTCGTCATCTTCCTCATCGGAGCCACTTGAGTGCAGGATCGACGCGCGGCGCGCTCTTGCTTTTGTAGAGGATTCCGGCGCGGATGAAGCTTTGTGGAGGAGGGGTTTATCTGGACGCTGTTGGACGGGTGGCGTTGATGGGGGCGAAGGATGGAGTAACGTTGATGACCTTCTCGTCAGGACGGTCTGGTGTTGGACGGCGATGAAGGTTTCGTGCTGCAGTGCTATGCCGCTGTTGTCTTCAGGGTGCGATGGGTGTAGAAGAGTCGAGGTTTTGCGTTGCAGGGCCGCCTGACGCAGTATCTTTATAGTTTGTTGAACCGGGTGAGGCCTCTCAATATGGTGCGACGGCACCCGCCTTCTCTCTGTCAATGGGGATGAAGGGTGTAGTAACGTCGATTCCTTGCTCGTGACGCTGGAGGAGGATTGCTCCATTGGCGGTTGTAGGATATGCACAAGTTGAGAGAATGGAAACGTCTCTGCGCTTCGTGAGGTGGTTGCTATTGTTTCGACTGGCGGCGACGTTGGATGCAGAAGTGTTGACCTTCTCTCCGGCAGCTGGGGCCTTCCTGTGCTCGTTGTCGTCCATGCTAATTCCGCCACAGTTGCCGCGGTGCTGCTTGTCGGTCTCTCCATTGCTACTGCCTCTGATCTCGGCTCATACCACATGTTGCTGTCGAGTTTGGTAACAAAAAAATCAATCGAGCCACGTCGTGTACGGTCATACGAGGCTTCGTTGAGGTGAGTTTGCATTTGAGGTCCAGCCTCGCCATCTGTCCGCGATAATGATCTGCGAGTTGAAGACATTCGTTTGCGTTCAGCGCAGTCTTGGCAGGCCGTAGTCCGCGGCGAAAGCAATAACTCGTCGTAGTCAATCGCCTCCTCCTTCTCCTCTTCGTGAATGACATCACTGTGGCACCCGGAGTCATTGGTTTCATCATGATCGCGTTTTGGGTTGAGGCTGCCGTTGCCACGCTCAGCAACACCATGGCTTCGGGCGATTCTCGCAGAGCTTGCATAAAAGCTTCGTTCGGTCAGGTTGTCGAACGTTCCAGCATGATCTGAGACCATTGGTTCCCGAGGTTCGGCACGGTTGTACCAATGCAGTGTTGTCCCGTCGAGACGGTGTGCGTATAGGACATGTGTCCAATAGGAAGTATGATACACATTTGGCTACTAAAAAGTGGACAGATAGCGTAGAGTTGTGCGTGCCAGTGAAGAATGCTCTGCACAAAGAAGCCGAAACATCAAGACTGTTGAAATGCACAACGAACAGAACGCTCAAACACCTGGAATGCAATTGACGAACAGACCAGACTCAAAAACAAAGAGAAACACTGAGAGGACGAAACGAGTCGAACGGGTTGTATCTACTTCTTCATATAGCGGCTCTATATTCTTCAACCCTCGGAGCTGCACCAGTAGCTTGAAGGGGTCGCCTTGCATGCGCATATGTCAGTGCTTCAGACTTGCTGTTCAAGCGCGCCATCGACGCATAAGATATTGGCGAAGTCTGAAAATTGACTTGTTGGATGATGCCGCGTCGGGGTTCCAGTATGTTTATGCTTAGCGAGGAAGGATGGTCCCGGGTCCCGACCACAATTCTTGTACGTCAGCATACCAGAGCATTTATCTTGGACGTGCGGAAGGCATATCACGTGCTTCACACGCCCTTGCAAGACGAGCGCGTCATGTAAAGTTCCTCTCGGTTTGTCGACAGAGGAACTAGAATACCTCCATTTCCTCGGTGACGCGCTTTCCGAACCAGTCAACAAGCTCGTCTCCACCACTCTCGTTCCTCCCAGCAAAGAAGTCCGTCATGCGCATATCGTTGCTGTCATCCTCAACGGGCCAATCGATAGCAACGTCTGCTTTCTTCCCTTCAAGCAACTCTTTCGCCGTTGACCATGAGAAGCGACACTCGTTACCCCATCCAAAGAGAGGATCCATGTTCTGCTTCAACCAAGTCGATGTCCGTGTGTCAGACGGATATCCCGAGCCCCAGGCTACTTTGACCTCTGCACCTCCCGCCGATTCGTCCACCCCGGCATCGTGATTGTGATAGGGCTCGTAGCAGACATCAAGCGCAGCATCTCGGGTAACTTTGGCGCATACAGACGCAGCACTGACACAGGGATAGAGACTATCAGCTTTCTTGGCGACGGTGATGCGGATGGTAGGCCATATCCTCTCTAGCTTCTTCTGGTATATTTCTGGCCTGCCGATTGTGTCGATGTAAATCTCCGTAACATTCACGCCTTGGGCCAAGACTCCTTTGATCAAGTCAATGGTTGCGTCCATGGCTTGTGCGTTCAAATTGTACACGGCTGGTGACAGCATATGCGCTGAGATATCCTGTGCCGACAGCAATCTCGTAGCCCATCCGCCGGCTTGGTATAGATCTGAGCCCTTGGTGCAGAGCTTGCGCATCAGGTTGGAGCGGACTTGGGGCGTCAAGACTTTCGAGTCGTCAAAGTGGTGTGTGTCGGCTAGTAGAGAATGGTGTAGCTCGATCGGTAGGTAGAAGAGGGCGTAGACCATGGGACCTGAGCATTCGTCAGTCGCTGAGCCGCAGCCCGGGTGCATCGAAAGGCGTACCTAGCACAGGACCTCGTCCAGCCTCGTCAACACCAAGCACGACTTCGGTGGACATGTCTTCCGCAACCTGCTGCGGGATTGGCGAGAAGTGCGAGTAGGACTTGCCCGCTTGTATGTCGGCCTTGTAAATTGACGGCGCCATGAATACATCCGAAGGTGGGGTTTCTTGCTCAATCTCTTGCGTGTCCATCTGGACATCTTCGATTATTTCGGCCATAACTTTGGGTCTTGTTCCTAATGGCAAGTGTTGAGTTCTACGCTTCGATGTGGTCGCAAAGTGCTACGTGATGTTGGTGATCGGGAAGACGCGTCGACGCGCCTACCGGGGCCACTAGCGTGAATGACACAGCAGACACGGCAATAAAAACGAGACACCCTCGACACACACTGCATACGCACGGCACGTTGACTGCATACAGTTTTCAACACCTTTCTACTAGACCTACCGAAAGAAGAACCAAGTATCCGCATTGGGGTCGTGTCCCACCACATACCCTCCTAGGCTGCATGAGTTCCCAATCTCAGCAAATCATCGATGAGCAGGAGTACCATCCTCGATTACACGATTTCAGCTATCGTGTGCTCAGCAACTTCTTACCCCATAACAGCAGAGTAACTCCATGATAGCCATTAACAATTTCTGTTATCCCTTCGCTACTCTCCACGTCCATGTACATTTTTTAGGTTCATATATAACACAAAGATGAGGAACACTATCGAGGAACAAAAATGACACCTTCTCCCCTTTCTTTCCTCTACTTCGCACTCTTATAGATCGTCTTAGTAACCCCATCCCTCACAAGCTCCTGCACCCAACTCGGCAACCCCCTCAACAAAGCAGTCGTCCCACCTAAACTCGCCGGCAAAAACACATGACCCCCAGCACACCTCTCCACACTCGCAACCACCGCATCCGCCACGTCCTTGGGCTCGATAATCGCCGCCCCACGCTGCTTCAGCTCCTGCTCCATGGGCGCAAGAAGCGGAGTGCGGACCCAGCCCGGGTGTATAGACGTAGTGAGTACGTTGGGCGCGGCGTAGTGGTGTTTGAGCTCTTGGCTGAGAGACTCGTGGAAGGAGAGTATGGCTGCTTTGGTCGCACCGTAGTCTGCGAGGCCGGCTACGCCGGCGTAGGATGCGGTGCTGGCGATGGTTATGATGTGGCCTTTGTTTGCCTTTACCATGTTGGGTAGGAAAGCCTTGATCGTGTACCAGTTGCTGAGTACGTTGACGTCGAAGATTCTTCTGAGGAATTCGTCTGAGGTGTTGAGGATGGTGTGAGTGGCCAGGATACCAGCATTATTGATGAGAATGGTTGGGGGCCCGAGAGTGGAGTTTATCTTCTCTGCTGTGGAGTAGATGGCTGATGGGTCTGTGATGTCGCAGGCGAAGAATTTGATGCTTCCGGCTAGATACATCGGTCAGTTAAGAATTAAAAAATCCAAGGGGGAAAAGTTGCTTCATACATCCATGCAGACTAGGTGGTAATTTTTGGATATCCAATACCGCAACCGTAATGCCTTTATCAACCAATCTCTTCACAACCAACTCCCCAATACCACTGCATCCTCCCGTGATCACAGCAACTTCTTGACTCCAGTTCCATCTCGCCTTCTCACTCTTCCACGTTGTGCTGAACCGCCCTGCATTCAACGCAACATGGTTGAGCTGCTTATTCAAAACGCTTGTGACGCCTAGTGCGAGACACCATTTCAGAGCCTTGAGTATCTGCGCATAGCTGTGAGGATCACGAAGAGCCGCGACCCGGCTAGTTAGTTGGCCACGCAGCTCAGGAGGCCCTTTCGTCAGCACCCAGAGAAGGCCTGCTGTGACAAGGGGATTGAGCGCGACATTGCCAATGGACACGGTGAGGAGCTGGGATATTCGTTGAAGTGCGACGGACATGTTTGCAACTCAAGAGACTCAAGGTTCCAAACCGTAGGAGGTGCAACGTATGCGCAACAACAGGATGACTATCTTATCGTTTTCCTGGTCAACGTACAGCGCTGCGGTTCCGCCGGCGTGCAAAGAGGGGAGCTGTTGTCTACCCATGTCGACAAGCAGCCACTATCCCGAACAGACTCGACCCGACCGTGTCAAGGGTTAGCGTACCTCGGCATCACGAGATGTCATTACTTCGCTGAACGGTGTGCGATGCTACTGGCAGTTTGGTCTGTGAGTGGGCTTGTGAAGTCACCTGTATGGCAGTCGAATCCTGAATGTTGAAGAATGATACTAAGGGTTGTTGCTGCAACCTTAATACGGGGTAGCTAGGTACCACGCTAGCTGGATGGGGCCCTCAGAATCGTAAGAACGTAGACCGGCGACTCGACAGTCACACTTTCCAAATCCTCATTCATCTGGACTTAACGAATGAAGAGCTGAATTTCATTCACATTGTGCAGCAGTGAACATGGTTCAACCGCCATTTTCCCCTCGAAACACCTTGCTAACCAGCCTATACCTTAACACATAATTAGGCACTCTATCCATGTCCCTACAGCCTGTTGTAAAGAAGTTGATGCAAGAAGATGTTGTTACATAGCAAAACCTTGACGACCCTCCAGCACCAAGAGCGTGCTTCTTCGTCTCGTTCCCTCTGGTAGAAGCGCATGACGACCTCGTATAGCACTAACATGCCATAGTCAAACGTCCGCTCCTTAGTCGGTAATTTTCCAGCTCTCAAACCACTTGAGATGCTTCCACTGAGTGCTCGGTCCCACCATGCCGAAGCTGACCGCCCTAAACAGCCAGTATAGTCCGATAACGATGACATAGAGCACCCCAAAAATACCCCACTGCACCTGTTTGCTGAGCTTTCTCGTGCTGAAATCTAAGCAAAAGCCCATCACGATGATCGCAAACCAGAGTGCCGGATAATAGTGATGGACGTACGTAACACGCCCCATGGCCATGAAGGGAATGTAGTGCAACACCCATCCAATGACGGGATAGATGCCAGAGTAGTGGATTTGGTCGATATCAGCGGGCTTCAGATCGTTGTAACCGCGTTGCCAGCGGACAAGGTAGAAGGCGACGATCAGACCGAAGACACCGAGAGAGGCAGTGCTGCCCCAGTAGACTGCTGGATTACCGAGGAGGAAGTACTTGACGACTGTGGACGTGTTAACGAGGTAAGGGTTTGCAGGGGAAGGGACTGCTTACTGTCATCGTTCCAGCCGCACATACGGAGACCAACGTTGAGAAGAGGCCATTGCCAGAATGCAGAGGCAAGATCATCTTGTTTGTCAGGATCGGGGACGAGAGCATTGTTGGAAGTCATCATAGCAACGTTGAGATGGATGAAATCCTGGAAGAATGGGGACTTGTAGTCGCCTGGTTTACCCGGGGGAACTATCACAGTCAGCACAGATACGATAGACATGTTTGAAGATGGGGGCTTACGTTTCTCGTTGGTATGGCTTTCGATGTTCCAATGAGTGTAAACGTCACGGGGGTTGTTCGCCTTGACGCACGTTGTCTCAATCTGCTTGAAACCCCACTGAGGCAAATTGACATTGCCAGCACGAAGGTAGCACCCGAGATCCGTATGCTTGAAGCGCAGGGCAGTAGTAAGTGTTCGGATTTTGGAGCGGTCGTTTGAGGAAACATCACGGACTACCTCAATGGCCCAATGATCCTTGGTGTCACCGACAGTTGTGTTGCCATAGCAGGAGACTTCCCAGTCAGCCTTAGTAACAGGAGCTGCGACTTGATGCGAGTGGAGGTTGCGGCCGGTCTGAGCGTGGATCAATCGAATGACAGCACCGTTTCCAGGATAGCGAAGCTCCTCCTCCGCGTCATATTCGACCTCGTGGCGGTTTGGGTAGAAAAACCAGTCGTTGTTAGAATCCTTGTGATGATAGCAAGTGATCTGCTGCTGTGTGGAACCCTCAGGGTAGGTCTGAACATGGGAATGGAGCAGACCACCTCCGTATCCCATGTTCTTCAACGTCACACGGGAGCCATATGCAACCTCGAGCGGACTATCCTTGCCCACCTCCGTGCCTCGCAGATTAGCTTGGAAGAGCGAGCTCATCTGGGCGTCTCCAGGTCCGCTGTTCTCCAAGATCAGGAAATGTAGGTAAAACGAGAAGACGTAAACGACGAAAGGGATGAGGATGAGGCCAAAGACACGGAAAGCTACGTGCGTGAAGAGCTCGATCTAGTCAGGTTAGCTTTACTTCACACAAAGTTCGAATCACGCATACCTTGGGCATCTTCAGGTCGCCAAATTTGTTCCAGAGATCCTCAATAGTGTAGAGTCCAACCAAAGCAGTGACAAAAAAGCCGACCCACTTGACACTGCAGACGCATCCAATCGAGACACCAGTGAGCATGAGCCAAAGACCCCACTCAGGTGAGAACGGATCTTTTTGCAGGCGGTGGAATTTCGACCAGCAGAAGACGGTTGTGAAGGTAAAGCAGAGCAGCATGGAGTCGAGCAGGATGAAGCGACTAATGGTGGTGTACGAGTTCTCGCACAAAACTGCCAGCGTGACGAACCAGACGATAGGTCTCCGGAAGTTCAATTCCTTTGCCGTAAAGTAGGCTAGGGGTACGCAGACCGCACCGAATGCCGAGTTGAAGAGGCGCATAAACGTGTAGTTCAGCTCCTCAGGGTATGTTTCTCCAGACTTGAACTCAAACGAGCCATTGTATCCTGCGAGGTATCCCGATAGACCGACGAGCATCTTTCCGAGCGGAGGGTGGACATCGAAGTAGAACTCGCGCTTGAGGTAGTGTGAACCGAACTTGCCAAAGCTGTTCCGCGTCAGAAGTGTACATGTATCGTCGAGGACTAGTCCTGCTTACTGAGCCTCATCCCAGGTGACAATTGGCGAGAGACCAATCTTGTACATGCGAGTGAAGAAGGCGAGGGCGGTGAATATTAGTGGTGCCCATATGAACTCGTACTCATCGAAGAAGGAGATGATGTCGAATGGCTGCGAACTGGTTAGCTCGAAGCAAATTGGGCCCTGCAGCAACAGGATTGCTGAGAGCTTCAATGCCGGGTGTGTATGGAAAACGCACCTTCTCTTTCGACTTCTCCTTCGCTGGGGCTTCTGCTACTACTGGTGTTGTTGACTGTGATTGTGCAGCTACATTTCTCCTCCGCACCTCTTCCGCCTGTGCATCCGCGCCTGTTGCACGCGCCGTTGCTGCCATGATGAACAGTCTCTAGCTTTGGGCCCGCCTGATGGGATTGTTTGCTAAGGTTTGCAAGATGCCAGGAGAGGATTCGTGGCGTGAGGCTAGAATTTGGTCGTAAATGTTGGGTCGGTACCACGGAGGTTGCGAACCGTTCCTGAGTCGTTGCTTGGACTCCAAGGAAAGGAATTATTAAAAAAGGCCTTCAGCCGTAGAAGAAAGTCCCAAGGAGAGTGAGAGCATCAAGATGCTGACAAGGAAAGGGCAAAGTTAAAAGGCCCCTTGCGATGCGGTATCGAGGAGGTGGGATGTACCAAAATAGAGCCGACGAGCAGCTGAAAGGAAGCTAAGGGCTAGCCGCGTGTGCAAGGGGAAGTAGCGACACCTGTTGCGATATCACGTGCAGTTTGTGGATCCCTTTCCTTAGAAATGCTCCAAAGCGTGAACGAGGCTCTCGCTGTTAGTGTATATCAGCTTGGGCACTGTTTACTTTTTGCGACAGATCGGGCCTGCAGGGAGAAGTCGATGCCAATGTCACCGGACCAGGGCGCTATATTAGCAGACAGACGAAATAGTAGTGCAGCCGAAGAGCTTATATTCTCGTCTACAGTTGCTCTAAGAATCAAGCCGATATTTATCCATCGGTCCCAGTCAAAACACACACTCAACGCGCCTAGAAATGCTATGCACCCTCTATTAGCCCACAGATTCTCCAAGCCGAGCGCATTGCTCGTGGATATCGACGCATGCTACCGCCAATGCTGTTCAAGGGCGTCGATGCAAAAATCTTAACAATTGACAATCCTTCACATGTTTGCCTTGTATGATCAGTCCTCATCCTGCCCGACGCGCTTGTATTTTCCACTCGAGCTGTCGCCTTCTCCATTACCCTTCGTCCTTTTGACCATGTTACTGATCCAGCCACCGATGCCTTCACTGCCCTCAGCTTCAGCTTTGGAGAGACTCTTGCCACTCTCAATATCAGGCGGGTCGATATTGAGTCCAGGAATAGCATCATCCTGTGCACGCCGTCCGCCTCGGATGTCCAGCGATGGCACAGGGGAGCCGTGACCTCCGCTGAAGAGCGACTCCACTTCCGCAAGGGTTTGGGGAGTGGGCATGACTGAGGTGGCGTCTCCGAATAATGAGTTCATGTCTTCTAGGCGGACGTTTGCGGTCTCGGGATATATGAAGTATACTATAGAGGAATTAGAAGGCTTTTGTAGGTGGTTAAACGATCACTTTACTCACCGATAACAAAACTGACTGCGCAAAAAAAGGCGTGTATCAGGTAGAGGCGCCACTGAATGCGTTCCTGCAATATGGGCGTCATTTCTCCCACCAGCCAATTGAACGCCCAGTTGGTCGCGGTACTCAAACTGGCACCCTTTGCGCGGATACTCAGTGGAAGAATCTCTGGTGGATACAGCCATGGGATGGGGCCCCATGAATATCCAAACGCGGCATTGTAAATCATGACGAATATGACAACCCCATTAGGGGTCCAGCTCGCTTGTAGAAAAATAAAGTACGAAATGGCGGAGAGCGAGATGACCATCATCAGGGCTCCAGAGAGAAGGATCTTTCTTCGGCCCAGAGTGTCTATGATGTACCAAGGCGGAATCGTAGACAGGAGGTAGGTAATGGCATTGATTCCAGTCATGAGGATAGCCTGGCGACCCACCCAGCCAGCTTCTTCAAAGACAAGGGGGGCATAGTACGAGATGACGTTGATGCCATTGAGTTGCGCGAGGGCTTGGGCGGACATGGCAATAAACACACGCTTACGGTACCGCTTGAACATGTCGGAATACGAGCGTTCACCTTCTTGGCGTTGGAGAAGCACGTTCATCTTGATTTCTCGGTATTCATCTCGTGCTTTGGGATTGTGGATATCGCCCTTTCCGAACAGATTGGCAATGACGACAATGCCTTCTTCGTCATGGTCATTGTCCAACAGCCATCTAGATCGATTAGAAGAGCGCACATGCAAGAGGAATTTTGTAACGCACCTAGGGGACTCGCAGATGAGCAAGCTGCCACCCGCAAGGAGAAGTCCCATGATGCACTGCATGAACAGGGGAACTCGCCAGGCCCAGTCATTCTTGATGTAACTGCAAAAGTAGTCGACCCAGACACTGGCAGCATAGCCTGTGATATTTCCCGTAAATTCAATGCAGCCCATCCTGCCTCGGTTGTGGGGCGGTGAGATTTCGGATTGGTAGACGGGCACAATGGTCGAGAGTGTCCCGACACCAAGACCAGCGATGATTCTCCCCAGCATCATCAGTGGCATCCCGTTCGCGAAAGTTTGAAGGGCACCACCGACGACAAAGATCAGGGAGCCGTACAAGATGGTCTTGCGTCTGCCCAAAACATCGCCTATGCGGCCTACGACCAAGGAAGAGATGAAAGCACCAATTTCCAGGATGGCCACCATTGTACCCAGCTCGGTAGCTGAGGGCTGGTTGAAGTAGTCCTTGAAATAGATTCCACTGCAATCAGCTGTCAGATGTAATCGAGTACGGAGGAGTTTAGGGCGGCGCACGTTATAATTCCGGACATGACTCCCTGGTCGTAACCAAATAGGAACACGCCCAACGAGACGAATATGCTAGTAAAGTAGCTGTCCTCTGTCAGTACGGTATCTGCATACATGACCATATAGTAGCCTCACATTAGCTTCTTCCCGTGTAGCCCGTGGATACGGGAGGGCCTGTCGTTGGGCGCCATGATGGCAGCGAGTATCTGATGCGCCTTTGAGATGGTCTGCGGCCCTGGGTCAGGTATTTCAATATCCTCTAGGCGAATCCCCGTCGACTGTTTCTCGTCAAGGCCGTCCTGGGACTGGAAGCGAGCGCGCTTCTGGTGTTTTGGATGTCTCAGCGGACGACTGCCCTCGAGTGACTCCCGGAGGCGGATGCGGAGAGGGTCTTCTCGCTCGGCTAGCTGGTCGACCAAATCGCCTGTATCACTCCAGACAGACAGGTCCGAGTCGGAGGAAGGAGTGTCGAAGGAGGACCGCGGGCTGTCCTTATCGTGGTCGTCGTGGAGGAGATAAGCCGAATCGTGGTCTCGCGGCCGTGCTGAGGACGATAGGGTATGGAGCGGGATGTTGGCGGGCCTCCTGTCGTTGTGCGAGTAGGAAGGAATCTTGACGATGGCAGGCTGTTAGGGAGCAGCCCGACTCCAAGACGGTGAAGGTAAGAAGCAACAAAAAAGTGGTTGCAGAGGACGTCACAGGGTCAAGCAGCCGACTGGTGCAACTGAGATGGCCTAGTGCAAGAGCGGTCAAGGCCTGGTCACATCTGGCAGCTGTGGAGAAGGATTTTGGGCACGATAAGTGCTTCGTGACCAGGAATGTCTGCAGTTGGGTGCATGCGAGTGATTAGCTACTACGTACGGTCCCTGTTCGGTTGTCTTGCTTGGCGGCCTCTCCAGGGCTCGTACTGGTACCGGTACTCGGTCCGACCATGTCGGGCACAATCGCGACATGAGCTTGCTGTTGAAGCGGGACGTGCTGCGCGATGATGTACAGCTGCAGCAGCAGGATGGCCGTTATCTGGGATTTGTTACTGGGACTTGACTGAATTGAGTGTATATATGGTAGGGGTAGCACTTTTTCGCTACCAAAACGGCAAAGCAGGCAGTCGGACACTAATAATAATACATCGGTCGATGAGCTCTGAACGACCGAAAGGTGTAATTCGAGGCTCTTATCAAGGACTCCCATGTCCCAGGTTACTCCGTGGTCGTTATAGTCTACTCTCTCTCCCTCCTCCCCCCGCTCTCTCTGCTAGTATCCCAAGTCCCCGCGATCAGGCACTTGCTTTCGAATCCAGACGGAATGCTCTCTGAACAGCGGAAACCCACGTGCAACCTCCCTCGTGAATACCTCGCCTCACCCTTGCTTCGCGCGTCAAGCGCGCAACCGTGTTCTAGGGTCATGTCGTCGGGCCTTACAGGTGTTTGGAAACGAAGCAAGACGTTGCCAACGCATGGTGAAGGCCTGAGTGTTCGACTCGTCTGTCTGCAGACCACACGGCGTGTACCCATTTCCTGACATCGATTCAAGGTGTATAGCCAGGCCATGTCAGTTCCATCATGTCAAGTCTATCCAGCAGCAACCAGATGCAAGGGTCTTCCGAGCTGAGATTGCCTCCACCTTGAAACACTTCGTTTGGCCCCCTAGGTCGTGCTTGGGCTGCTCTTCGTGAGAGAATCCTGAACGTGGCGAGGCGGCTGGCGAAAGGCACGACGCCATGCTGTACAGTGGGGGTAGAGATGGCTCGTAGGATCTCCTCCAGGTTACCAGAGAGCCGTGGTGCATTCGTCCCGCCTGGCTTTGATTCAGTCGAGGCGCGTGGCTTGTTCTGCCGCCCCCGTCTCGTCTCCGCAAGATGATCTGATCTGCAACTCCTGATGCTAAGACGCCTTAGCGGGTTTATGTGAAACGTGATTGGCTGCGTGTTAGATTGCTCCGTTTGTCCCTTTGTCGCTTTGTCGTGTCTGGATGGAAGCCCTCAGGCGTCACATTGCTTTTGATTCACGGCCACGCCAAAGCCATCTCTCCTGTCGCGCTGCCAATCGATTCCACAAAACTGCTTTTTTTTTCCTCCCTCGGTCGTCGGCACGGGCGCGTCAGTACGGCAGACGTTGAGTGACAGCTTCGCTCGCTCGGCTCGTGAATTAGCAGCCACATCAGACCGCCCTGGTAACCAAGCTTGGCGCCTGGAACTTGTTTCATGGAAGCTATCCCAGCCACGCACCACACCTACGCTGCAGCGCATCATCTCTCCACAACCCGCCCTGAACACTGCACCGCGCGCTCGCTCACCCTCTGCCAGTCGCTGCATCTGCGATTCGACAAAACGTCGCTCCTGCATTACTCAACACGAGGCTGAGCTCCACTCATCCATAGCCAGCCATGTCACGATACGGCAAATTCGACGACTTTTGTCGCGATACAGGCAACATGTGGTCCACGTTACCAGGTACGCAAAAACAAGTCATCGCATTGCAACAACATTGCAACGCATTGAGAACAAACACTGACCCGCGATAGTCTGCTATGTACGTCGCAATTCCATCAACCCCTTGTCCACCCCATGTTCGCGAACGCGCCGCTAACCGCCCAACTTCGTCTACAGCTCTTCGATCAAGCATCTACAAAAAAAGGCACAGGGTGGGAAGGAGCCTGCACCTTGCGAGGCTTCCCTGTGGGCGGAGATGCTAGACTTCGCAATTTGGGTTCGTGAACGCCTTGCGCTGTGAAGAGGGCGCTCTGCTCACTGTCTTAGGTTCGATAATCATCGCCGCTATCGCAGTGGTCGTCTCTGCGTTCCTGCTATGGAGGTCGCAACGAAAGAAGGCGGCTGTTGGGAGAAGGTACGCGATGTGTCAAAGCTCGGTGAAGCAGAGTGCTAACAACATGCAGAGAAATGCAGCTTTTCCTCCTTGGCTACATCATCATTTCGATCTGTGAAATCCTGACCATTGGTGGCTTTCCACTCAGTAGCTCGGCGCGCCTGGTATGTTACCGTTTCTGCAAATGGTTCGAGTACACATCTGACTATCGAACAGGCTTTCGCCTCGATCCATATCGCCGCCATCGTCGCGACATCTTGGATCCTCATGCTCAATGGCGTCGTTGGCTATCAACTTCTGGATGACGGCACCGCAGTGTCAATCGGACTACTCCTCATCTCGTCACTCATCATCTTCGTAGGCACGGGCTACATTGCGCTCGATACGGGTTTTAGCTGGACGGGCTACTGGGACTCAACCCTCGAGGTACCAAATCGGGCGTATGCTCTCTATACGCTCTATCAGCTTGCACCATTGGTCTTCCTGGTCATCTTCTTCCTGCTGGAAGCCTTTTTGGTGCTTCGCATCCTGGGCGAGCGCAAGCCAATGCGTACGTATTGCCCGGCCTGTTGCAACTGCCCCTTACTAATCTCGGCGCAGTATATCTCTTGGCCGCTGCCCTCCTATTCGCCATCGGACAGGTCTTCCAGTACGTCATCAGCGTCCACATCTGCACCGGTACCGTTGGTAAAATCAACGGCGGGCTGTTCGAGACACTGTTCACCCTGCTCGCGGTTGTCATGATTTGGGTATTCTGGTCGAGCATCACCGAGGACGACTGGCCAATGCCCACCGTGGCGGGGTCTGGATCCTATAATTAATACGACGACGGGGACATGTGGAGGAAGCAACAAGGAATGGCGTAATGTTTTCATGATTTTTTCCAAGCATAGCGTATACCATTTTGGGGCTCTTTGGGCGCATTCGATGCGCCATGCTGGCTAGCGCTATGATACACAGATAATGTTTGTTGAAAGAAAACTGTATTCACGTTACTAGATTGGAGTGTGCCTTGTTTCCATTTCACATGCCAAACGTGAGCGCGCGTCTTACCCATCACGTGGGTTGGCGTGTAGATCTGGGGATTTGAAATGGCCAACCACGAGCTTCTCAAAGCTTCTGACACTCAACACCCACCACGCTTTGGTGATACTGCATATGATAATAATGATAGCCTCTGAACTGCCTATACCATATCTTGCGCCTTCACCTTCAGACTTGCGCATATGAGAAATCTTAACGTCGTACCTTGGCTTTGTCTACCTCGAGCCCACGGCACCTCCTCCAGCGCTTTCTTCCTCGCTCGCGACAGGATACCCCGCATGCATCCCTTTAACCCCTAATACTACGCGACACATTCCACGAGCCGCCCCGAACGCGTCCTCGGAGATCCTCCATTCCTCCACAATCTTGAGCGACCACCACTGCGGAAGCCCTTGCAGCGCATACGCGAACCATGGTCGATTCCGACTACGAGTTCGAGGGCGAAGGCTCCGACGACGAGTATGTCGGAACAAAGAGTGGCGATTCGGGCACACACGCGCAATCGACATCCCGGTTGAATAAAAGGCAGAAGAGGACAGGACAGAAAAGGACAGGCGTAGAGCGAGGAGAACCGCCCAAACGGCAGGCATGGGAGACGGAGTACTCCCGCACAGTTGAAAAGACGATACAACCCGCCGACGACGGCTCGCTCGGGCAGAGCGTGCAAGAACGCGAAGAAGAGCGGAAACGCAAGCGATTACGCAAGGACACCAAGCCCTTCCAACGAGGCATTATACGCCATGTTGTCCTGGTGCTAGATCTATCCGAGGCGATGCTGGAGAAGGATATGCGGCCAAATCGCTTCATCACGATGATCAACTACGCACAAGACTACATCCGCGAGTTCTTCGAGCAAAATCCCATCTCGCAGATGAGCGTCCTCGGCATGCACGACGGCGTCTGCATACGAATCTCCGAGCTCTCAGGAAATCCCGCAGAGCATGTCGCCGCCGTCGCCGGCCTGAGAAGTAAAGAGGATGGCAAGGAGCCAAAGGGAGCGCCGAGTTTGCAGAATGCGCTCGAGTTGGCGCGAGCGACGCTATATCATACCCCGAAACACGGCACAAGAGAAGTCATCATTGTCTTTGGGAGCCTGCTAAGTCTGGATCCCGGGGATATACATCAAACAGTCAAGGCATGTGTGCGGGATCGGATACGCGTCAGTATCATAGGCATGGGCGCAAGACTCAAGATCTGCTCCGAAATTGTGACGAAGACGAATGCGGGAGATGAGGGCGAGTACACGATTGCTACGGATCAAGAGATGCTCAAGGAGCTCCTCCTTGCGACAACAACGCCTCCCGTCGTTCGAGAGACTAAACAAGCCGCGAGTGCGCCACCGGCGGAGTCAGCAGCCGCGCTCATGATGATGGGCTTCCCGTCTCGAGTGGTTGAAGACCAACTTACCATGTGTGCATGCCACGGCAATCTCACAAGGGGTGGATACACGTGTTCGCGCTGCAGCGCAAAAGTCTGCTCTTTGCCCATTACCTGTCCCAGCTGCCAGCTCACGCTCCTTCTTTCCACCCACCTTGCACGCTCGTATCACCACCTCTTTCCCCTGCGCAACTGGTCCACTGTATCGTGGCCGCGCGCTCGCGAAACGGGTAGCAAAGAATGCGTGGGCTGTCTTTCGGCATTTAGCGAGCCGCCTACTGTCGAGAATGAATCCAGGGGCGCAGAAACTAATGGGGAGATGAACGAAAGGAGAGACGGAGAGGATAGCGAGGAGCAGAAAGCTAGTGAGAGCGGGCGATATGAATGTAGAGCTTGCGAGAGCCATTTCTGTATTGATTGTGACATGTTTAGTCACATGGTGCTGCATAATTGCCCTGGGTGTCTAAGTAGACTTGACCCAGGGGCGATGTCAGCAAGCAACGGAGATGTGGAGATGAGCGGTTGAGCCTCGAATGGTTAGGGCTGTACAAGGCACTGTTTGCCAATACTACGTTAAAGCATACAGTGCGAGCACCAACTACGCGACCGTGACTCTTGAAATCGTGCAGACTCTGGCATTGGATTTGCGACATATCGGAGTCTCATCGGAGACACTTGTTGTTGACGCGTAGTCCCGTGAGCTAGGCCACTCGGGATATGTGGAGTTACCGAAAGTTGACCCCGCCGCGAGAACGTGGGGCATCTTACTGTACAAGAATTGGTGGGATCCTTTGCATGATGACATATTTCATGTTTGCCCGCCCTCTATTCCACATCTCGCGCGTTCCCTTGACTTCACGCATCTCTCACCAATCGACACTGAGAAGGGTTTCAGTACCACTAAATCCGAAGAGATCGAGGTTCTTCACATCAACGTCACGAACCATGGCAGCGTTTGAACGACTGATCCGTTTCGAAAGCGACAATGGCAAGATATTGTATGGTGATTTAGAGAAGGAGACGCCGACGCGAGAGATCGAAGGGAGCACAGTTGAGGTTCTGGATGGTGATGTACAAACTGGGTTCAAGAAAACGGGTGGAAAGGCCAAGGTATCGAAGCTGCTCTCTCCACTATCGACAACCAATATTATCTTGTGTGTGGGCTTGAACTATCGGCGGCATGCAGAGGAGTGCAATGTACGAGCACCTCTTCCAATATATACCTGGAGCTAATAGTCGTAGCTCGAAATCCCAAAAAACCCGGCAATCTTCATGAAACCCAGCGACGCACTCGCTGGCCCACTAGAAGACATCCCAATTCACAAAGAGTGCCAGTCTATGCTTGACTACGAAGGCGAGCTCACTATTGTCATTGGCAAGGACTGCAAGAATGTCTCCGCTTCCAATTTTCAAGACTACGTCCTCGGCTACACAGTCGGCAACGATGTTTCAGCGCGCAACTATCAACTGCCAGCCAATGTCTCCGGCGGCCAGTTTGGATATGCGAAGTCGTTTGACAAGTTTGCGCCTATCGGCCCGTGTATCGTGAGTACCAAGGTGATTCCGGATCCGCAAAAGATCAAGTACTGGACCAAGGTCAATGGCGAGAAGCGGCAGGAGACGGGCACAGATGACATGATCTACACCGTCGGGCAGATCATCGAGCACTTGTCAAGAGGTACCACGCTGAGGGCAGGTACAGCTATCTTGACCGGCACGCCGAGCGGCGTGGGATTCTTCATGGAGCCCAAGGGCTTCTTGAAAGACGGAGATGAAGTCGAGATTTACGTTGAAGGTATTGGCAGCATCATCAATAAGGTGAAATTTGAGTAATCGCTAGAACAACGGCAAGCTCGATATGTACGTATAAAATAAGACACTACCAAGGTCAGGGCGCTCCTGCTATCTAGCAACCTCCGTTCCACCTTCTCACAACAAGCTCATGAAGTTGATTACAGGACCCAGAAACTGCCACAAATTGAACTTCCTATCATTTCCACCACGGCACCCATCGTTAACAAAGCGTCATCACTAGTCCAAATCACCGTTACAGCACTCAACTATCACCAGTCATCTATTCTGCACCTAGATTTATCATATCCGGGCATTTTCAAATGGACAATAATGAAGATGCGGTCCCGGGCGAATCCTGCGACAGCAATCTATTCGACGTAAACGAGTCGCTCTTTGACGACACAACTGAAGTTCAGATTGCGAGGGCTTGGGCTTCCTCTGAAGCTGACCAGATCGCTCAAGACATACAAGCCAAAATGGAACGAGATAATCGAGACGAGGCAATTGCTAGGGCTTATCAAGAGGCTGCCGATGCTGAAGCAGCCCGGGAATTAGAGGCGCAGGAGTGGAGTGAATTCGAGCGAATTGCGAGAGAGGGCGAGCGGGTGCAAACAAAACGACAAGATCGAAGGGAGCTAGGTAGGCAATGGCGAGAACAATGGCGTAAAGAGGAAGAGGAGCGGCACAAGCGGCGCAATCCGGCAGCCCAAATGTATTCAGAGAGGCATCGGGAAATGGAGGAAGACGCGACCGTGCGAGCTAATATTGACGCTCCTCAGCGTACCCGAAGTCGTACACGCATGGACTTGACAGTAAGTGAAGATGCTGAGCACGCATCCATCGATGAAGGGTTGACACACGAAAGGAAGAAGATGACGACTACGACGACGGTAATCAATGGATCATCGAACGGCATCAACGGCATCGACGACGTCGGTCCGTTTTCGACACTGAAGAGTACCAACCCTTCGAACAAGGCTACGATGGCGTCGATCCCCTTTCTCGTCGTATTGACCAAGCACGCCTTTCGGCATGGAACGTCACACGCAGATCAGCAATGGCGACGGCTGCCATAAATCCTAATCCCGACCGGTTGAGTCTGACTCCAACTGGAACACGGCCTGGCCTTCGGGTCCTATCGCCGTCGCCACCGCTACTAACCCATTGGCGTAGTCTGAGAAGAGAAGGGCGTGCGAACCGTTCATTAGACCGGATTGAAAGCGACTACATCCTCTCTAATACATATATCGAGGACGTCAACGACATGCTGGACGGTATGTTCGGCCTGCAGCAAGACCAAGCCGCAGCAGTTATAGAATCCTTCACCAGGGATCCCAGCAACACGATTCCAGGTCGCGAGGTAGAATTTGTAGAATCCGAATTCAGGTCTTGGACAATCAGAGTGTTGAATTCGAATCTCCAGCAGCGATTACCGTATTCTGACTATGGGCAAGACAGAGCAGCGTACAACAATCTGCCCGATGACTGCCTGACTAATGGCTGCTACGCACGCTGTCCGGCCCCTAGGTCTAAAGAGGATGAACGGAAAAGCCTGAAGATAGGTAGAATGATCCAGCGGAGAGAGATGTCTCGTAGAGGGTCAGGCTCAAGCGCTAAGGTGGCTACTGGCGTTCTTCCGAAATCGAGCCCACCACAGCCACAGAAACTTACGCTGAAACTCAGACTCCTCAATGAGCAACAGAAATCTGACGTAGTGTCACCGCCTCCAGTCGATCATTCCAAGGATATCCCTTCTAATGCACAGGCCCAGCATGCTATGAAGCAGCTAGAAAAATTATACGCGGCTCAACGTCAAGTAACCAGGAAGAAATACCAAGTACTTGAGGATCTGATACAAGATGATATTGAAGCCATGCGTAATGTCAGGACACGCCACAGACGTGATCAACTTGAACGCCAATCCTGGAATCAGCAAACTCAACTTTACCAGAATAAGAGGCAATGGGTAGTGAGGTCTGGAGCTACCAAGAACACACGTCCTGGCTATTACAAGTTTGCAGACATTGTCAAGCCGACCCGGGGTTACTACAGCAGGAAAGTACCATCCTCACGCCATCGAGGCATGATTGAACAATCCAACGAGCACCGGTCATCTAGTCCCAACACTCGCCAACACAAGGAGAACGAACTGACATGTTCAAATAATCCCAATCCTACCGTGACGCGAACAAAATCAAAGCGTCCGCAACAATCGGCTGTTCACAAGAGAGTTGAAGCTTGGATGATCGACCCCGACGCGTACTAGGAAGCTGCGAAGAGAAATAGTCCAGGATCCAAGACAGGCAACTCCCCACCCCACAGATTGAGTCCAGAGATCCGCAAGGCGAAGGACCCGCTAGAAACGAGGCGTCGGCAATTCCTGCAGCTAGCTGATCTACAACGGGACATGAAAACACGTCGACGAAAATCGTTCGATAGCGTAGCTAGCGACGTACGAGATGTAGACAAGATTAGTTTCCCACCGCGGGAATTGCTGGAGGCTAGCCAGACCAACACGATCGCTGGGTCTTCCACCTCACCACCAAGGGGCTCACCACCGTCGTCGGCGGAGGAGTGCAGCGATTCACCTCAATCCAAAAGATCCCGCTCCACGCCTCAACCTCGACCGAAGAAGCGAACGAAGATGGATCAAGGTTTTACGAAAGCAAAGGGGACAATTCAGAGCCAGAGTCCTTCTACGGCTTCATCACGAGATACCCCTTCTCCCCGCCGGAGTGGACGCATAGCTGCAAGAAAGAGCGCTACGCAGAAGTCTGCGGAAAAGGACACAATTTCTCTGCGTGTTGTTGTAGTTGAAGAAGAGCAGCCTAGTAATGATGGTGCTTACATGGCGGATGACTCATCGCATGGTAGTAACGAACAAGTGCCCTCTGAGAGGAGGAGTATGAGTAGAGAGGTGCAAGTCACTGTTGAGGAAGTTTCCGCTGATGAAGGGGTGAGTGATCGGGGAGGGGAAGTGGATACTGAGCAAGAGCCGGCGTTTGAAAACCCGGATGAGTTGTCTTTACCGGATTCGGATCATGAAGATGGGAATGGAGATGGAAATGGGAATGGAGATGGAAATGGGAATGGAGATGGAAATGGGAGTGGGTGTGGTATTGGAAGTGGGAAAGGTAAGGGAAGGGGAGGTGTTGACAGCTAGGATGACTTGAGTTGGCTGGCCTGGGTAGTTGTTGTTTTAGTACCAGAACTAGAGTTAGTTTAGAATTAAGAAACCGACCTTATCTTATAACAAGTGTGTATCTAAGAAATAGTGTCCAAGTGTATACGCCATTGGAGGACACTTTGAAACGACTTATCAAATCAAATAGGAACATCCCAATTTTAATTGTGATACCACGCGAAACGCAACGCGACCACATTCATTCATAGTCACCTTTAAACCAAGTGATGGCTTTGCTCGACGAAGTTTCAATGAGTAACAAAATAGAAAGGAACAAAACTAAAAGTCAAAGTTACACTTCAAGTATGTAAGCAATGAAACAAAGCACGAATCTTTGCCCACCTCCGAGTCAGCACGACACAAAAAGCCCCGCGGAACCTCCTACTATAAACATACGCCCCCGATAACGAACGTTGAAGATCCCCGCCATGACGCCAAACGGCCACGCCCCGCCGGTTGGCCAATTCCCGCCATCCACCTTCCTAATGCGCCTTCCCCGAGCAAGGCGCCGTCCTTGGCAGCTCAACTCAAATCACGCCTCGCACCGCTAAGCAGCCTTCCTGCTATCCGCCTTCCCAAACCGAATACTGTGGCTCTCATCGTACTCCATGCACTCGACAGGCGGCTTCGCTACCTTTGCGCTGAAAGGTCCGGGAGCCCGCCACCATCATCATCGCCAAGAGCGTGCCTAGAAAGCCTACTGCATAGAAGCACAGGCTTTGGCGGGGCTTGTATCACCGCGACAAGGCGCTGATTAGATGGACGGTACCATGCACAGAGGGCAAGCATGTCTGGTTCGGCGAATAGCTGGAGATTGGGATGAATTGAGTTTCTAGGGCTTCTTGGCGGCAGCTAGGATAGCTGGGAAAATAAGGTGAGCAACCGGGATCTTGGGATATTGGCAGCGCAAGGCAAGGCAAACTTTGGGGGGACGGTCGGGTATGACGGGGCCATTGTGCATATTGCGAGTGTCGGTCTTTCTTTTGCGAATTGGGCAGGGTGGGGGAGATAAGCTGGGATGAGGGGTGGTATGTGTGTTTGGGTATAAAAGATCGCTGGCTGCGGTGTTGGGGTGGTAAGCTGGTACCTGCATTTCTTCCTCTCTCCCCCGGTCACTTGGGAATATTACTCGAAGGCAGAATAATAATTATGAGGTCCACAATTGTACTTGGTACGCTTGCTGCGGCGGCTTCGGCGTCGCCGGCTCTTGCGAGAAGACAGTATGGTACCTACAAGCCGCTGGTAACTTCTGTACGACGCCTTGTTGTCCATCCTACCGATTAAATAGACTAACGTGGTGTAGGAAGCACTCCAAGCCGATATCACTAAAGAGGGTCTGCTGGAGGGTGCCCAGACTCTTGAGGATTTCGCCTACGCCTATCCTCGCCGTACTAGAATCATTGGCAGCGAAGCACACAATGGTAGGTGTTCATGTTCGAGATGCGTGTGAGACATAGACTGACTTGGACCTCCACTCTGCGCAGACACCGTCAACTGGCTCAAGGAGGAGCTCGAGGCGTTGGATGGATACTACGATGTTTCATTGCAAAACTTCTTCACCGTTGCTATGATTACTGGACAGATCAACGCCTTCAAGGTGTCAGGATCCAATGCGTCAGCCTCGCTGTTCGAATACTCGGCGTCGGGAAACGCGACGGCTCCTTTGGTCGTTGTAGCCAACCGTGGTTGCAATGCGGTAAGCATCACGAGGCCCCAATGCTGACCGTTAGCTAAGTCCTGTAGACCGATTATCCTGCCACGGTTTCAGGAAACATCGCCCTCATCTCCCGCGGAAGCTGCGATTTTGGCCTGAAGTCTGCCCTAGCTGGCACCGCTGGCGCGGCTGCTGCCATCATTTACAACAATGCAGCCGGAGAGTTCAACGGAACATTGGGTGTCCCCCCTCGTCCCGAGGGAAACTACGTCGCGACTGTGGCCATAAGCCAGCAGTTGGGTACTGGCTTCGTCCAAGCCATCGCCGGGGGCGCCAACATCACCGCGACGATTGATGTGACAACCGACATCCAGAACGTATCCACTTACAACGTACTGGCGACCACCAAAGGCGGAGACCAGAACAACAAGCTAGCGTTGGGCGCTCATACCGACTCTGTCCTTGCTGGACCAGGTATCAACGACGACGGTAGCGGAACCGTTGGTATCTTGGAAGTGGCCAAGGCCCTCTCGAAATACGAGATCAAGAATGCGGTTACATTTGGATTTTGGGCTGGCGAGGAGGAGGGCCTCCTGGGCTCTACATACTACGTTGAGCATCTCCCCGCGAACGAGACAGCCCAGATTCGAGGGTATCTGAACTTCGACATGGTATGTGCTGCGATCCATGCCAAACTGAACACTGCTGATTGAATCATGTTAGATTGCCTCACCAAACTACATCCATGCCATCTATGACGGAGATGGCAGCGCTTTCAATGTCAGCGGCCCTCCTGGATCTGCACAATTTGAAAAGTTCCTGGAAGATTACTTTACCAGCGCCGGAGAGAACTTCACCGCGACAGCGTTCGATGGCCGTAGTGATTACGGACCCTTCCTTGATGTCGGCATCCCATCTGGAGGCACCTTCACCGGTGCCGAGGAGATCAAGACGGAAGCAGAGGCTGCGGCGTTTGGCGGCGAGGCAGGTGTCGCCTTGGACAAATGCTACCACGCTGCTTGCGACAACGTCGCCAATCTTGACCTGGACGCTTTCGAGCTCCATGGCAAGGCTATTGCGGCGGCTGTAGCGACGTACGCGACCTCCTGGGAAGGATTCCCTGCGAGAAACACGACGGTTGCGAGAAGGAGTGTCCCTAGGGCTCGAAGGACTAATGAGTCTCGCCACCACAGGAGTAGGCGCTCGCAGCCTTTGAAGAAGTAGAAGTCTTGCTGTAAGAATCGTTGACACGATAAGTAGATGCTAGCAATGTATAACGACATACTCCGTATGCGCCGCTCTCCGTTGCTTCTCTGATCTATTCGTGAAACGTATAATTCTGCCAATGTGTGGAAAAGCATGTTCTAATTTGCCACAGTCATGCCAACTCATGTCGCCAAAGACTCGGAACCCCTCTCTCTGCTGGAGTGGACGACGACGGACGGAGCCCGAACGTAACACACATGGGCAGTGGCGTGCAGATGGATTCCTTTTTCGGATGCGAAGTCGCTCCCAGAACAGTGGAATCGCAGGCGATTTGATCTGCCGGTAGATTGACTATGGGGAAGGATCGAACAGGGTGCCTTTTGAATGAATGCAACATGTCAAGATGTTGATCAAACCATGGCTGCGGTCGCCAGCTCTTCGCAAGTGTTTCTTCGTGTATATTCTTCCCTTTCCGTATCGCTCAATCGATACTCAGTTCTAGGTCTTCTAGCTTCCTTCAGCCGGCCGGACAGAGTTTGGCCGGTCTTCAGCCGATTGGCAAGTGCGGGGAAACACTGGCCTGGATTCTGAAACGAGGGCTTCTCTATCGGCTAACCTTCTGCATGCTAGCTCTTCTGTTTCGACAAGCGGTGTGCAGATGCGGTACCTGCCTAACCTTATCTGCCATCTGGTGTGGGTTGCGCGCGAGGGGCGCCTCGTCCAGCGGCTAAGAAAAGAGATGATGGTCGAAGAAGCGGCACTACGACAGAGATGTTATAGCGAAGAGTGAGTAGAGTAGAGGGTGGTGGTGTGGTCTGGCCCAGGGTAGGGCTAATTTACTAAATAGTTCTTACTTAGTAATTACTATTTAGTAATTACTAAATACTAAAATTAGTAAATTACTAATTAGTAATTACTAAAAAAAAATAGTAATTACTATTTAGTAATTACTAAATAGTAATAATTAGTAATTACTAGTTACTAAATAATATATTATATGGGCGAGTTAGTCGCCTAGTTAAGTTAATTATAATGCTAAAACCCTACTAAAATTAGTACTATGCACAATAGTATAGTACTATAAAAAACTATAATAATAAATTATAATAAGCTAATTTATTTAAAAATTATTTTTACTTTTTACTTATATATTTATATATTATACCTAGCTTTATTATAGCATTTATAGCGCCTTTAAAAAAGCTTACTTGCTTTAATATATACTTGCTTTTTTATTTTTTTTTATTACTACGCGCTTTAAACTCCTTTAGAATTGTTAGTTAAAAACTGTTTTTTACTATAAAAGTTTTTTTTTTTTATATTTGCTTTTTTTTATATAATTTTTATTATATAGCAGCTTTATTAGCTGCTTAAAGCTTAGCAATTTTTTTTTGCGCTAATATAAGCTTATGCGCAACTATAGCTGTACTTTTTAAAATTTTTTTAAAAGCTTTAACTATTAAAGTAAAAAAATTATTTAAGTGCTTTTAAATTTTTATTTTAACTAGCGTTAATTAAAACTTAAATTTTAAAGTATTGCTTAGTATTTTTAACTTTTAAGGACTGTTTTTAATAGTAAGTAGTAGTAAAATATATAATTAAATATTAAGTTTTAATATTATAGCTTTAAAGTTAAAAAAAACTAAACTAGCGCTTTTAAAGCTACTTAAAATATTGCTTTTTATAATAGCAGTATTAAAAGCTAGTTTAAAGCATAGTAAAAATTTAATTTTAATAATATAATTAATACTATTACGCATTAGCTTTTTAGCTTAGCACTTATACACTTTTTTTAAAAATATAAAATAATTTATATTAAGTACTTATAGCAAGTGCGACAAATACAGAAGCATATAAAAAGTAATAATTTTTTATTTTTTATAGTACTACTAGAATTAAACTAATGCGTAGCTTTTATAATTATTAATAATAAATAAATAATAAGTACTAATAATTTTTTTTTTAGTATACTTATTAAAGTGCTTTAACTACTTAAAAGTAAATTTATTTATTATCTAGCCGTTTTTAAAAACTATAATAACTTAATTATAAAGCAGGCTATTTTTTTTATACTAAGCTAAAAGGTAGTTCTTGCCTGCAAAAATAATAAAAAATAAAATAGCTTATTTTATTATATTAATGCTTTAGATTACTATTACTTATTTTTAATTACCCTGCTATACTATCTTTAGCTATCTTTAATAGTTGGCACTTAAAACAATAGTTTTATATAATATCTAGCTTATTATAAAGCTTATTTTATTAAAGTTATATATATTTTTATTTTAAATACTATACTTAGCTTTTATATTTTTTATAAGTTAAAACTAGCTTTATACAAGCTTAAAATTTTTATATAAAATTTTTTAGTAATTATACTTTTAAAAAGTCCTAGTACTAAGCTATAAATATTATTTAATAAATATACTAGCCTAATTTTTACTAATAAGTAATTGCTTATGTTTAGCTAGCAAAGTATTAGCTATATTATTTACAGCAGCTAGTTAAGGCGGAAATCCTTAGTTTTTAAAGTAGAGTATATACTAAGCAATTACTTTTTTTTTTATTAAAAAAAGCTTTATTTTATTAGGCCTAGTATTATATTATAAAAGCTTTTTTTTTAGTTAATTACTAAATATTGTTTAAAAAACGCTGTAGATTTGCACAGTTTTTTATTAGAAAAAATTCGCGTCGCGTTTTAAAGCCTAAATTGCAAGCTATATTTAGTTTTTTTTTTAAAAAAATTGTATATTATTATATTAAAGCATCGCGTTTAATAGTAAAAGACTACTAATTTTAGTAAAATTTTAGTATTATAACTAACTTAACTGGGCAACTAACTTGCCTATATAATACGTTAAGCTTTTTAAATTATAATTTAATATAATAAATTAGTATAAATATATTAAGTAATTACTTTTTTTATTATTAAAGAAAGTTTTATACTATTAAGCCTAGTATTATATAATAAAAGTATTCTTTTAAATTAATTATTAAGTATTTTTAAAAAAAATATTAAATATTTATATAGTAGTTTATTAAAAGAAATTTGTATTTTATTTTAAAGCTAAAACTATAAACTATATTTTTTTATTTTTTTAAAAAAATTATATATTATTATATTAAAGTATTATATTATATTATAAATATAATTTAAATTTTAATAAAATTTTAATAAAGT